TCTATCTGCCTCTTCTGTTTTCCACCCCCTCCCCCCTCTTCTCCCTTTCTTTTTTTTTCTTCCTTTCCTTCATCTTTTTCCCTTTTTGGTTCTATGCCACCCTAGGTTAGCCATTGTCGCCCTTGTTTTGGCGCCACTTGGTGCGTGCAAAAGAAGGGGAAAGAAGGAAAAAAAAAAAGGAAAAAAAGAAGCTCGCTAGCAAGGATACGGGTCATATTGTCTATAATCCGCGGAGAATCGAAAATTAACATGCATTTGTCAGGTTACCTCTCCATCCCCGCCCCCCCGTTCTCGCCTCCCTGGTCTTATTCTAGACCTTGTTTGACGATGGTGTAGTGGATCCAGAATATGGGAAAATGGGAAAGAAGAAGGAAAAGGGAAAAGAATGAGAATAAGGTGAGAGGATGTTGGGACCAGGGGGTGGTGGGAGGGAGGGTAATAAGGTAGGGTAGGGCATAAGAAATGGCGTCTTTGGAACGAAATGGGACCAGTAGCTGCATACACCAACGACGCCTCGTCGGAATTCCCAGACTGGCCATCCGAAGCAGCTTCCCCTCGCTGCTGCTTACTGTGGTCATTGCTGCATCCGGAACGGGCCCGTGTTGACAGTATTCATACAGAAAGGAGGATGCGATGCGGGACATCAGGTTGGTTTTTATTTTTTTCGTTTTTTTCTGTTAAAGAAACCGACAAGCTGAGAAAAACTAAAGTGCAGAATGAAGAAAGAAAGAAGGAAAGACAAAAAAAGAAGAAGAAAAAAACCAGAAGAGAAGAAACCCGAAAACCAAAGTACCAGATACTCGGAACACACATGTGTGTGTCTCTCTCTTGTCTCTCCCTCTGGTTCCCGGAAATGGGGACCGGTAATTAATGCAAGTGAGGGAGGAAGAGGGTTACAACGCTGACTCTTGCCCTTGGCCGCTAGCGGAACATTCTGTGTGAGCAGTAGGCTGCAAGCGGCTCACGAGAGTTGTCTCCGAGTTGAGTCAATGGTGACGCGTAAGATACAAGCTTGTATTTTTGTTGTTGCTGTTGCTGTTGCTGTTGTTGTTGTCGTCGTCGTACGAGTGTCTGCATATTGCTCTCGCGCTCTCTCTCTCTCTCTCTCTTTCTCTGCAGGCTAGTAGGCAACAAGGCTCAGAAGGACAAACCCAGGCTACAGTCGTCCGGTCTGACGACGACATGAGATAGATACAGCAGGCGGGCCTTGATGATTATGGATGAGTGGCGCACACTCTGTCTGATCTCGTCCGGTCGTCTCACAGGGGACAGAGACCCCTCCGGTGATTGGACGAGATTGCGCTTCATATGGTCGCACAACAGATACGCAGGGAACCATAGAGAGTCTCTCTATCCATCTTCTCTCTTGCAGCCCCCACCCCCCAACAAAGTCTTTCACCAGCCCCTCGCGTGGTACGAGGTCAGCATATGCCGAATCTGCGTGTCGCACCCTAGCCTTGGTAACACGTACTCGTTGTGTGTGTCAGCGCCATGAGCTTCCTCCTGCGTACCGTTCACCGGTGTCATGACCAACACCGTGGACGTTAATGACGCATCATCATCCCAAAGAGTCAGTAGTCAATGTGGTCCTATGCAATACTTGCAGTAGTGTTTGTGTTACAGCATGATGATGCTCTGGCGGAGGGTGCGGACTGGGAACTCCGGAATTGACACACCACCACCACCACTCACATGGGCGACGGTCCCTCTTCGTCCTCTTTTGCGTTCTTTCCGATTCCAGACTTGGCGATGTGACGTGTGTACACCCTCTGAGCGCCGGCCAGTGGCCAAAGCAAAGGACTTCTTCATCTAGCTACTGTAGGCGAGCCTTGCGAAACCTTGTGGTGCCTTTGGTTTCTTTGAGAAGAGCGAAAGAGCGAGAGAGCGAGAGCGAGAGCAGATACACCAACATCGTCTGCTCTTTCTCCCCTCCTCCTCTCCTCCCTCCCTTTGATTCCGTCCCCAGCTCATCCCTCCTTTCTGGCGAGCTCAACTTGCACAGAGCAGACCGGGGGGCGCACGACAGGATGGACATACGCACCATGGTCTCTCGGCTGTGGTCGGTCGTGAGACGGCAGCCATGTCTCGCAGAAGTCCAATATAAAACATAATATAAAAAACGTGCTTGACGCTCGGTTGTGCCAGGGTGTCACGGCACCACGCGCTCGACGGTGCGGATACTCGCTTCCCCAGCCAGCCACCTGAACACCAAGTCCTGATTTGAGTTGAGCGATCGAGCTGCTCGGTTCGAGGACGAAGCACTGCCGTTCACTCTCTCTGTCGCCCCCCCCCCCCCCCCCGGCCCAAGGGCCGTACAGCTGGACCCGGCTGCGTAGTAATAAGCGATACTCACGTCGCAGCCGTTCAGTTACCGAGAAAAGCAGGCGTCTGATTTGTTGTCGACGATGAGGGGGCCCAGCTGCATCATCTCCTTTCCTCTCTGACTGTTCCCTACACAAACAACAACGGCCGCACACACACGCACACATGGCCAGTTTTGTTTGGATCTCTTTCCACGTGGCAACCCCACTGGTCTCCCTCCCTCCCCCCCATTTTCTTCCCTCGCCCGAAACAAGCATCCAAGCTGTCGGGACGTTGGGCGCTCTTCCCAGATGTCCTGTGCTGTACTTTTCCGACCACATGGGGCAAGAAGCGGTGGCACCTCGCAGCCAGCCCCATAGAGGCAGATGTCAGCCGCCACCCCACCTGCGCTGCTGGAAATGATTCTTCAGCCAGCCCCAAAAGATATATCCCGACGTTTTGGGCCTTGCGAGCGCTCTCAGGATCGAGTTGTACGATCACGATCAGTGCTGAGCAGTCAGAGACTAAGCAAGCCAGACGCCCTCTGCTTTGATGTTGAGATAATACGTTGGAGAAAGAGGGGGGGGGGACACGGCGACGGTTGAGAGGAAAGGCAGCCATGGCTTGAAGCCGTACCCACTTGGGATGGCTAGTTCAGCCAGCAGACCATCTGTGAGCGGACGCTCTAGCTCCTGGACTTTTTACGGTTCCCATCCCCTTGTCTCTAAGTCATTCCTTTTCCGGTCTGAGAAGAAGGGTGTGTGCTTTCCTCAGACCAGAAGCTAGGGATAGACAAACGGATGGCAGCAGTGGTATACGAATGGGAAAGAGTCACACAAGTCAATGACTCTCTGTCCCTCTCCCTCCCTCCATTTGCTTCACCGAATCCGGACAAGACTATTCGTAAAGGAGGGCCCGGCCGCCGGAACGGTACCAGGTAGACATCCTTCCCCAGATGACACCGAAGATCTTCTTCCCAAAACATAGAAGAAAATGTGCCCCGGCCCCGGCGCGAGCGGGCGACAGGAGGGCAGAACCTCGGCCATCTTCCGGGACATCAGCCCACGCCAAGGCCCGACTCCGTCCGTCCCATGCAGCAATGCGGAGCCCATCCCAAGTGGACCTGTTAAATTCACACGGTGAATCCCACACCACCACACACCCCATGTTCCACTTTCCAACCAAAAACACAGCTGCTGGCGGCAGCGAAGCAGCGGGCCGAGCGTAGGCTGGTGCAGGTGGCTTTGCCGCACCAATAGTTCATTGTCTAACCGTTCTTCCACCGCCATCCTGCAGACGAGAGAGACTTGCCCCGTACGTCATCTCTCCCCCTGCCCGGTGGCATGCGAAGGTCCTGTTGTGGTCGTAGGTTTGCGATGCTCCCATGTCCGATATCAGGCAGGGACATGAATTGGAACCTGCATGTGTGAGTTCAGCTGTAGGAGGACAATGGAAGAGAACAAGGGAACTACTCCACAGCCCCCAATAATACCATATCCCGAGTACGAGCTATGGAAATTGGCAAGGCCAATCCTTTCCCGCACGACGGCGATCAGGGTCGAGTTTGAACGGTGAGAAACCCGAATATACAAGAGACCAGCCAGAGCACACTCGGCGAACTGCCCTTGGGGGTTGCCTCGTGCATTGGGCAGGTCGGGCGACCACGGTGGCATTTCTGGGTTCCGTTCTCAGGTTGAATGAGTTCCGGTATGTCTCAAGGACTTCCCGGGGGGATGGGAAGGCTGAACTCGACTCGACGTGAACTAGGATGGAGGAAGACTCCTGAAGCCATCCGGAGAAGCCTGATGGCCAGCCACTCGGAATGATATCCAGCCTCGCCACAATCGAGCTATCAATCCAAAGTTGTATTGAGATGGAGCCGTCGTCAAGTGACGCTGGCCGTAAGCGTGTGAACAATGGGCACACGTCCCTCTTGCACAACGCCTCTTCCGGCGTCGAGACGAAGCAGCTGCGAGAGGGGCCTTGACGAGCTTCAAAAGCCACCAGCTCCACGCCTGAATCCTGTCGGCCTTTCTCCTGACCGCCATGGGACTGGCTGAACACACAGCTCCTGGGAGAAGGCAGAAGGAGAGAGAAGCCACAGCGTGACTCAAGTCACGCCAGTGATGGTCAGCCAGCCAATCCAGGCGCATCCATTCACACGATCCTCTTTCCTCGGAGGAGTCTAGTGAGATGGGAAGCAGATACCAGCCAGCGGTGAGGTGCAACCTTGTGCTCGAGCAACCTTTGGCGCCCCATTGCAACCTCGCCATGACCACTGCATAGGGCCAGAAGATGGCGAGGGCACCACGGCGACGAGTGCTAAGTTGCTTGTCCGTTCGTTTGTCGTGGTCAGATGTGAAGGATGGGAATGAGAGACGCAGACGACAAGGTTTGAAATTTCCTTCCCCTACCTTTTTTTCTTCTTGGGAGGGGGAAGGTTCGATGGATGCTGAAGGCAACAACAACCAATGAGTCAAAGTACCGGAGTACCTGCTGAGCACCTGACCAGATGATGCCCGGCCTTGGCTTTTGCTTCTGTGTGGTTGAGCTGCGGTCGCTTTATCCTTTTCAATAAAAGCCAAAATCCATATATGTACCATGATAAGAATTAACCTTGGTGTACACAAGGACGACAAGATATTGGTGTGACGAGTTAGAAAATGTAGATACAGCTCCCCGAAGACGGCATCATAATTCAAGTAGATGGTATCATTTCTGGTTGCAAAACTCCTGAGCGTGTGATTTGAGATAGCACTTCCCTTTTTTTATATCCTCTTTTTGCAATAAAAACGCCGTGCCTCTCTGCCTGCCTGCCCTAAACCGCCGAGTCTGTGGCCTGGATACTCAATCTGGGCTTTGGTGGACCGAAGAAAGAAAGAGGAAAAACCAACCACATTCCGGCCGAGTCTCATGAGAGCCTCATACCCGTCACATCACAACCCCCGCCCCTCTACCCCCAAAAAAGACTCAGATGGACTCCGGCACTACGTCCTTCCTCCACCCTTTCGCCCTCATGTTTGACTCGATCTTCTTCCAGAGCATGTCGACCACCTCCCGATCCCTGAACCGACTGGAATCAGCCCCCGGCATGCCTGGCTCCCTCCACTTGTCCACCTCAAAGGCCTGCACGCGATGCCCCCAGTTGCGGACGTTATCCGGTACCTGCTCGCCGCGCCACCCGACATAGACCCCCAGCACGTGCGAGAACAGGTCCTCGGGTCGTGACCACCTGTAGTTCTTGAACTGCCAGGTCTGGCCCGTCGTGAAGACAGCCACCAGGCGGTTCCAGTACTCGGGCTTGAACTGCTCGACGTTCTCGACGAGGATGAAGCGCATCGGTCTATTAGGATCGATATCGCGCATCAGATGAGTGATGTGGATCATGCTCGAGTCGCTGCCTGTTTTGGCGGGCTCGTATCTGTACCCCTCGAGGAAGGAGCGGGCATTCGAGAGTCGGAGCAGGGAGGAGGCCGATGGCGAGATCAGGATGATGGGGTGGAGGCCGCCGCGGATGAGTTTCTGGTTAAGAGAGAGTTGTGGGCTATGGGCGGGGGCACCTATTGACTGCCCGGGCTTCTTGTTTATGAAGACTAGGGCGTTCTTGCGCACCCCTGAGAAGTCCTACGAAGCAATTCCTGTCAGTACATAGATACACATACATACACACACAGAGAGAGAGAGAGAGAAAGAAGAAAAAAAAAGGCCAACGAGGCGTCCTAAGCGTGCGGCGGATCAAGGACCCTTCGACACCTCGCCGAGGACATATATAAACGTACCACTAGTTTTGTGCCCCTGAGGGCAGCGTTGCGATCCCCCATCTTCCGCTCGCCAGCATAAATCACCTGTAGCCTCGGGTCGAGGGTGCCCTTCCCTGACCGCGCCGCGGCGGCAGCTGGCGCCGACGAGCTCTTGAGCGCCTCGGCCGCGGCGGACCCTATCTCCTTCTCACCAGGCAGCGGCTTGATGTACTCGCTCTCGCCGCCGCCCTCGATCCACGTGATCAAGTTGACGCGCTCGACAAACGTGAGCTTGTGGACGGTCGCGCCAGACCCGGAGGCCGCCAGCTGCTCGTTGAGCTGCGTCGCGGCGGCATTGTACGCGGGGATGAGCAGGTCGCGGTTCACCCAGGCGAAGTAGATGGAGCGCAGATCGACGGGCACCTTGAAGTCGTTGACCGTGAACCGGGTCGGCGTCTCAAGGGGCAGGACGGCAGGCTGCGGGTGGACAAGGCGGAGGTGAGTCGCGGTTGAAAGCGCCGTTTCCTCAGTCGAATCTGGCGATGCGACAGGCACCATGGCTTGCTCTGCGGCGATCGACTGCCGCAGGAGCAGCAGGGCATCTTGTTCGACCGCAGACATGGTCGCAGGTCGATCGACCAGGCCAGCTCGGAGACTAGTTCACTTTTCAGTTCTGTATGGACGGTGAAGGAGAAGGAGACTCCAGTTTGAGGGTGCTGGCTGGGAGGGACAGAGGTGTTTTGAGCTGAGAGGGAAGAGTGTTATGGGATAGAGAACGTCCAAAGGTCGACGTGTGGCTCCACAAGATAATTGCTGCAGTTAAGCTAGGACAAGGGCTGTGCTCGCTAGCCCATCGACAGGCTAGGAACCGCCCCCCCCCCCCCGAGACTTCACCCCTCCAATACAAATGGGAATTGATTTAAGAGGGAGAGAGAACCCCCCCCCCCAAAAAAAAAAGAAACAACAACCAAAAGCCAAAGAAAAACACAAGGGAAAGAAGAAGACAGAAACCGTCACAGATACCAGATCAGAACGCTGACGATGCTTCAGAAGGAATGGATTTTCGAATTGATAGACTCTATAAATCTTGCATTCTCGGTATTGAGCTATTTTCCCTTTTCCCCTTAGCCCTTTTTTGATTTTTTTGATTTGCTTTTCCTTTTCTTTCTTCTCTCCATTTCCCTAGAACAATTACGCCCTCCAGTCAAGCCCTCAGTTTGTAACAATCCTTCCTCTCTGCTTCATCTTCCAAATTATCAATCACTCTCCTCAGTTTCGTCGCCCTGGACAGTTGACGCCTGCCTGCCTCTCCCATGATACTTTGAATAAATTGAAACTGTCAGCTAATGTCACATTGAAGCAAACGCAAGATCCAGCAGCCAAGGCTCACCACGCAGACCAGTTTCCCTTTACCCTTATGCTTTGGATTGGCTGGGCACATCGGGCTGCTGGGAAGATGTTCGGGCAGATCAAACTCGAAGAAGGATGTGTCCCGAGCAGGGTCCCCGCTCACGGGTGCGTCCCACCACTCCCTCTGATCGTACGGCTGCTCCTTGTGGTAGGATGATCCCCACGGCGCTGTCCTTCTGGAGTTGGAGGAGGCGCTGGCATCATCCTCGAAAGGGTGGGGATGCTTGATATCCATAAAGAGGCTACGTGGGTTTCCACCCGCAGTTTGTTGCTTGAGCGGTGGCGTTTCTACATGCATGGCTTTCTACTGCCTTCAGTCTCTTTGGTCTTTCATGCAGCTCAAGCTGGGACGTGAAAACTTACAGGATATGACCTCGTTGAGCCTGGAATATGCACTAAATGGCAAGGTCAGGTTCCGCTTCAAGCATGTGGGCTGCGGCTTGGGTTTTCCTACCTGGACGGTTGAAGGCCACGACGCTTTCGTTTGTACTCTCCGATGACGGGGTGTTTGGCCACTTTTCTTGATAAATGGGACTCGTAATGCTTTCCGTTGCTGACGAGGCAGAAACCTTGCGGCTTCGTGGAAATTTCAGGAGCCACTTACGCAGGCCTCTCGTTGTAGATGCGGTCGATGATTGAGATGGCGCTGGCGATGCCTGTCGAAGAGCCTTGTATCTGTCCTTTTTTGCCTGTTGTGGAGCAGGGTCTGAACGGAATGGAATAGGCTTTTGCGAAAAGTAGCCTGGAGCACTCTCTATACTCGGTTCTGTACGTGGTTGTCCTTCTGAGCTCTCGGCTGATTTCCACACCTGCTCCATATCAGACCACACGTCCAGAGGCCTGGTGAATCGTCGAGTATGGGCTTACCATGTGCCTTTGTATAATTTTCCATGCAGCTTTCGAAATTGGTGGGTTCTTGACCTCCCTCACATCTTGTGATAACAACTCGTCGATTGGAGTTGTGTTCGGGCTGAAGCTGGTCCAGGTGTCACGGCTGCTGCGCAGCCCAGGCGGACTCTGTAGGTCTGAGGGATGCTGGAGCGCAGCGACCTGTTCGGACTCTGAGAGGTAGGGACTCTGAGGAATGCTTCTGGGTGGCAGGATGTGCGAAGTCCTCGGGTTGCTCGTCGGCGAGACCTGACGGCTCTGGCCCTGCTCAGGCCTAGGAAACTTCGAGATGAACTTTGAGCTCCGGCTTGCTCTTGGGGACCACCTGAAGAACTTGCTGCCGCTGGGAGAAGTCGGTTCCAGGCTGTGGCGCTGAGCCTCATCTTTGGAGCTCATATGATGCTCGAGCGGCCTCTCGGCCCAGTACCCGTCTGGATACCACACCCACTCGAAGCTATCCCTGGCCGGTCGTGGCGGGTCAATGTTCTTGGGCCCAGAACTGGTGCTCCAGACACCCGAGGGAGAACCAGAAGGCAAGACGGTGCTCATGGGATATTGATAGGTCGACGATAAGAGAGGTTTGGTCGGGAATAAAACTGTCGAGATGGCCCAACGTGCCTGATGACCTCCGGGTGGAGACCTGGATGGCTTTGGACCATGTTGTCCCCGCTCTTGTGCAGAGAGAAGGATTAGGGCGGAGGCATAGGGGAATTTTTATAGGACGTAGGTGGTCGATCTCACGGGCGACATTCGAAGACGATGATCAGACAAATGTTGTAAGACCGTGACGAGAATACAAGAGGCTGTCAGGTTTCGAGGACGCGAGGTCTCGGTGCTGTGGTCCGTCCGCAATGGCTCCGAGCATCTGAAAATTGGTCAGGATCGCAGAAGCAACTCCAACTCAGGTTAACACCGAAAAACAGGAAGGACACTCACATCACGATTGCCGCCAATCCTCACAGGCTGTGGAAAGTGTGACCAACTCAGATCTCGGCGGAGCTGTCCTTCCGGCTGCGCATCGCACCAAATTTTTTTTTTTTTAAAAAAAAAAAGAACTGAGACAAAGCGAGGCCTGCGCCATCTGGATTGCTGACCGTGGCAGAAGCGTTCGACGTGAAGGAAGGCCTGAGCGATCAACAAGTAAAATAAGTCGAAAAAGCGTGAGGACAAAAGCATAGCATTGGAATGCAGATGTTCTGCTCTACTGCTGTGTGTGGTAGGACATGTTGAACCATCCTGCCATCGCAGGGCCCCCCTTGCCACAGCTGATATGTATTCTTCTTGCCACCTTTTGCTCTGGTACGCATGTTGTGCCTGCCCCAAAACCCCCTGCCCCAGGAAACTTCGAAAAGGACAATGCTTTGCCACCTACTGTCAGTGCGCCAAACGCCAGTGTGTTTTTCTCTCTCTGAGAGTTCCGTTCTAGATGCCAAACACCGTCTTGACTCTCTCGTAAGTGAAGAATGCGACAGCAGCCATCGGGACCACCTTGACATATCCGATCGTCAGCCCAACAAAGAAGCCGGAGATTCCCCTCTCTTTCATGATCAGCGCCGCCGTCTCCGCGATGCGCAACCTTCGGCCGTCGCCCACAGCACCAGCTACCTGCATCCGCCGCCTGATGACCTCCAGCGGGTACGAGGACGTCTGAGAGACCAGTCCTGCCACACCGCCGGCGAACAGCTCAGCCCAGAACTGCAAAGGGGCCGCTTTGCCCTCGGGCGCGTTCTTGGGCTGCGGCAGCGTTGTCCATTCAGCGATGAGGTGGTGGCGCAGCAGGTCGCCCATCGTGTCATGGGTCAGGAAGGATATGCCCGCGTACGGGAGCATGCCGAGCATTGTGGGCGAGAAGCCGCGATAGAAATTGATCAACCCATACTTGGGCGCGACAGCCTCGACGGCCGGAGTTGCAGCCACGCTGGCAGCCCTCACGGCCGAGGGTCCCTGCACCTGGGTCCCGGCTGGTGGGAGCGTCGGGTGCTCGTAGTAGATCTGTTTGCATATGGAGGACAGAGAGGATCGGCCGTCCCTCTTTGTCTCGAAGGCCAACCTGACCCGTATCACTTCCAGCGGGTATGTAAAGAACACCGAGGTAGCGCCGGCCAGAGAACCGCTGAGCGCCCTTCGGACGGGCGTCTCATGCTGCTTATTCGGGATGACGAAGGAGCGAATTTGTTCGTAAGCCAGAAATTTGATCCCAGCGTAGGGAAAGACCCGCAGGAGAGTCGCCGAATGGCCCCTGAACAGCCCCAGCATACCATTTTGGCGATAAATCTCGCTCATAGCAGTGATCGTGCCAGCCCATGATCCCGAATATTTTATGAACTGTGGGTTTCTCGCCTGGAAGAGGATCTTGACGCGGTCGAGGGGTGCCACCACGGTTTTGCCCTGGCCAAGACACAGTCAGTACTCGACCTACTTCCAGTCCTGGCGCAGTGTAAAACACACGAGAGAGAGAGAGAGAGAGAGAGAGGCCGCAAGCAAGACTTACTGCACATCCGGCAAGGCCGCCGGCCATCCCAGATCGCCATAGATAGTCCAGGCTCTGCTTGTCCACCTTCTTTCCCGATGCTACCGCCTCGTCTGGCGCAGGGAGCACGGTGACATCTTCCTTGGAGAGGCGACCGACCCGTCCGTCGGTATCCTTTCGTGGTTCGTGTTGTGAAAGAGCCGACATTGAGGCATTCTCCAACAGGGCTGCCGGCATCCCCACGCCGATCAATCGTTCCCCGGTTGCGCCGCTGCTTGCAGATCGTAGTTATGCCCTTGGAAATTAACAAACAAGACCTGGAGTGGAGGACAGAGGCCTGGGGCGTCTACGCCTCGAATAGAGAGAGGAGGGGTGGTTCGAGATCAACAAATCGGCAACCTGTCGGGGCGGAGAAGGACGAGGATTACTTAAGTGCCGGGAAATGGCTTAAGCCGGGCTGAGCAATCGTGAGAGTGTGCACGAGACACTTTTACCGCGGCGCGGGACGTCATTGCATTTTCACACTACGCCTTTCGGGACATCCAGTGCCCCCCTGTAGAGCCTCCCTCCCACTGAAGTCAGTGCTGTATAGCGTATGGTGTTCGTGCATTATACAGGCCACTCAGGGACTCTGTGTTGTTCAGCGGTCCGCATGTAGCCGGCCAGGCCAACCACACAGAGGGGCCACTGGGCTCCGTCCCCTAGATCTGGACCCCATAGCGCCCTCGCCCTCTCCGTAACTTTTCTAAATAACCGAGGGCCGAGTAGCCCCCTTCCGTCCATCCCCGGGGAAGCCGTGCAGAACATTCTGGTAAGCACCGAGTTGCCTAAATGCACAATACACTCCTACGAAATGGCGGGCAATTTTGATTTACTGACTGCTCTTGTCAGTCGAAAGAAGGGACTGTAGGCCGGTCAGAGCGCAAACGGGAGGAAGGTGTGTGGCGACTGCAAATGAATGGCAGGGAACACAGACGAGGCGACGAGGCGGCGAGGCGCGAGGCGCGGTCTATCCTCTTTCAGAACCAAGACCGCAGCATCGTCCTCATCGACGTGCCCACGTCTATTGAAGAGGCTCAAGCGTCCCCTGAAGAGGTCGGATGCGATGCTGGTCCGTTGAGGAAGAGGAGGAGGCTTATCTCGTCCGAGCCGCCTCACCTGCCCTTCAAGACGCCCGAGCCTAAGGCTGGCTCAGGCGGCCTTACAGAATCGGTGTCGGATCTCATGATTGCAGCCGCCGCTACGGAAGCTCTAAGGGTGCTGCAAGAGTCGTACGCAGGTCCTTTCTGTCTGCCTCGTGTTGTGGCTGCGGTCGGAGACGAGGACGTTGTGGTAGCGGGCAGAAGTGACAAAATCAACAAGCGGAAGAGGACGACAGCCCGATTGCCCGATGGCGACAACGTGCCTCCTCCTATTGGAGATTCGGTGGTAGAGACGAGACCAAACCCCCTCAAGTCTGCTTTTGTTCCCAAAGGCTCATTCTTCCTGCACGGCACGGTCTCCTCTGAACGAGACCGCTTCGCCGCTGAAGCCCCCGTGTTTGATCTCATCGTCCTCGATCCTCCCTGGCCCAACCGCTCCGCACGCCGGAAGCAGCGCAACTACAGAGTAGCGGACAGCCTCGGCTCGATCCGAGAAACGCTGTCCCTCATCCCCATCGCTGCCCACCTCGCCCCAGACGGACTGCTTGCCGTGTGGATCACCAACAAGGCAGGCGTCGTCGAGCTCTTGACAGGCCCGAGAGGTCTGTTTGCCCAGTGGGGTCTGGAACAGGTCGACGAGTGGACATGGCTGAAGATCACCACATCCGGAGAGCCGATCGTGGATGTCGGTTCAACCTGGCGGAAGCCATGGGAGCGGATCCTGATAGCTCGCAGGCGTGGAAGCAGTAGGAAACCGGCCTGTCGAGGCCGGGTTCTTGTCTCTGTGCCAGATCTCCACTCGCGCAAGCCTAACTTGCGTGGTCTTTTTGAGGATGTACTTGTCCCAAGCAACAAGGGTCTTGAAATATTCGCCAGAAATCTCACCGCAGGATGGTGGAGTTGGGGAGACGAGGTTCTGAAATTCCAGCAGCCCGAGTACTGGGTAGAATCGTAGCCACGATGAAAAGCTGACTCTTGAGCTATGTGCACCGTTCTAAAGTGGTAATCTAGCCACCCCCGTGATGCCCTGTTGGTTTTGGTACAATTTCTACAGTCAGACTCTGATGTCTCATTCGTTCATCATGGCCTCTTTACATCTTTTTCACTTGTCGCCCCCGCCGTAGTCTCCAGCTCGCCCTCTCCAGACACGGCCTCTGGTGATATCGATGCCTGAAGGGCCTCCTCCTGCTCCTCCTCGTTCTCAACCTCTACCCACTCCGAGCCCGGCGTCCACTTCCTCTTTCCCTCCAGCAGCTCCTTGGCCCGCTTCGCCAGCCTGGCCCGGTCCAGGTCCTTCTCGTCGTACATCCGCAGCACCGGCGTGCCTCGCACCCTCCTCTCCGCCTCAGAAACGTCCTTTTCATGGCCCCCCTCCACGTTCTTGAACAGCGCGTGGTCCCAGGGCGCCATGTCCTCCTCGGCGGGCCGCTCAGGCCACACAAAGGGCTTCTTCAGGTCCACAATCATCAGCTTCTGCGACCGCGGCCGGTACCACCGCCCGCCCATGCCGCCGAGGGATCGCTGCTGAGGCCTCTTCTGGTTGATGAAGGACCGAACCGAGTTCACCTCCACGTCGTACACGTTGTACAGGTAGTCGCGGAAGTCGAGCTTGTTGAAGGTGAGGGGCACCTGGAAGGTGGCGGTCGTGGGCGACTGGCCTTCCTTGGGGCGGAGGAAGGTTATGATGTGATTCGGCCTATATGAAAGAGAGACGAAATGTGTGTCATTAGCCACCACCTTTCACGAGGCCTTGTTGTCAAGGTGATAATTGATCTGAGCCTGATGCGCCGCAGGGTCTCTCCTACTTACAGGTAGACCTGTTTCTGGCCCAGTCTGAAAGGCGCCTTGCGCGCAATACCCTCGACGGCGGTATCTGCCGCTTTAGCTACTGCTTTCGTTGCCATTTTGTGTGTGTGTATGGGTGTGGGTTGTGGACGATCTTTAGGACCGCCTGTGCAACGACAGTCAGTCGAGTGAGTGTGAAGTAGCAATTGAGCTCGCCGCTGCGCGCTTGCAGAATTTCGAACCCTCAGATCACGCTAAGCCTGGTCGAGCCGAGCGAAAGCGGCCCGCATTACACTGGTGGGGCTAGACGGCCAAGCACCCCCACGAGAGCATCCACCTCCGACCTACGACATTGATTGTGACATCAGGATCGTGCTTAGAATGCATTATAGTAGTACAATATGAGGAGAGGAAGAGTAATTTGAAAAGGGGGGGTGTTATTTTTTCTTAATTTAGCTTTTTCTTTTCTTTCCTTCTTTAGTCTGCTTCCATGTAGTACCAATGAAGTGTTTCTCATGTGCTCAGGTCCGATGGCTTGAGATTTGAGAAAGGGCGCAGACCGTTCCAGATCTACGCCTGGAGTCGTCGAGATCCTTCTACTTTGCGAACAAGACTTGTCCGCAGGATACAAAGGACTCTTAATCCAGGAATTTTACACCTAGACATCAAGGCCATCGACGACTGTGCCACGCGTCCAGTTCCAGCACAGGATGCGGGCGACCTCATTGGCGGACTCCTCAGAGACCAGGGCGCTGACAAGATACAAGGCAGCATCAATGCCAGCGCTGACTCCCCCAGATGTGATAACTCGAAGCCCACCAAGACGCATCGCGGCACGGCGAGTAATCGACTCACGACGAGAGTTGGAGCTCTTGAAGGACATGCTGCCCTTTCTGTTGGGGGGAGGGGGTTTGCAGTTAGCAGGCAAGCGTATTGATATTCATGAGCTCCGAAAAAGGGGAGGGGGGGGGAGGAGATAGGGCTGGCATACCGGGCATTGGAGGGGCGGCGCCCGTCGGGTTTCTCATGACGGACGTAGGGGTTCTCATCCTCGTCGCCGAGCTCAAAGCGCAGGTTGTTGACGATGTAGCGGGAGTTCTCGTCAACATCAGTGCGCTCAGTCAGGTCACGCTGGGCAGCCTGACTGCAAATGTTCTCGAACCGGATGATGGCATCGGGGTGGGTAGTGGCGGAGAGACCGGACAGGATACCCTGCTGGGCGAGGAACAGGGAGCCGGTACAGACAGACATCAGGGTGCGCCTAGGATGGTGGGCGACAGCGTCAGTAAAAGAAATGCTGTCGGGTGTTCAAAGCACAATTATTAGGAAGGGGGATAGTGCTTACTCTCGGGCGGGATCCTTCTTCTGGACCTCGCTGTAGGCGGTGATGAGGTCGAGGGGTTCAGCCTTGGCCTTGAGGACGGGGTCAGTGTTGCCGCCTAGAACAACAACAACGTCAAAGTCCTCAAGACGCTCGTGCGCCTCCTTGAAGGAGATCTGGGAGCCGATGATGACACCAGCATCAGAGAGGACCTTGGGCTCTGCAGCGGCGATGGTAATATCGAAAGCCTTGGATGCTGAGGTGATAGCAATAGGGTCAGTAAGCAATGCCGCGCTGAACAGAGCTAAAGGAGTAAGGTAGGGCTGTATGAGTATGCTTGGGTGGGTGTAAGGTCTGTACCAGAGTTGTTGATGTCGTGAAGGGACTTGGTCAAGACCTCAAGGGGACCAGCCAGGTCCAGAATATTGAACTTGTCGTGCAGGGCGAAGAGCACATCAACAGGCTCTTCATTCGCCACTGCACTCGTCTTGGAGGCCATCTTGGGCAACTATTGGGGTTGGATAAAAGGCTGGGAAAAGCTGAAAGAGGCGCTTTGTGCTTGGGAGTGAATCAATCAAACACTAGTAGACAATCCTCAGATAGTCTTGTTGTCGTGATCAATTGGCTGGATGATGGATAGAAGCTGTGCAGGACAGAGTTGATTGAGGTTGATGATGTGGCTTATTCTTGTGCAGGTAAACGACGTTGTTTTGGAGAAGAAAAAGAGGTTTTTCCTTTGATCTGGTGTGCAGGAAACAGGTGTCAGGTGTCCCGTGCCCCTCCCCTCACCTCCCCCAAGCTCCCTCTTATGCTGCTGCTGCACTGCGGGGTTGGAAGCTTGTTCCCGCGCTCACGCGTCCCATCTCTGGCTTGCAGGCTATGCCATAGTCCATACATCATCTGGTCTGGTGGGGCCCAACACATCAGCTGCAATGCAGACATCCTAATGTGAACATAAAGCAGTAATTCAGCTTAGGTTCTTCTGTGGCAGATCATCCCACAGAGCTTGAGAGGTTTGGCTGTATGTGTTCTCTCCCCCCCACTTCTCCCCCCTGAACTGGATCTTTCTCAAAGGAAGCTCTCGTATTGCCATTAATTTCCTCATTACCAGACCTCAATGCTGCTTCTCCCCTGAATGAGTCAATTCTAGATGTGAGCTGACCTCTTGAACATCCAAGTAACACCACACCATCTTCATCAGACCACACCTCAAGGCCCTTGTCCCCTGACGTGAAGTGTCGGGATCGCTGTGGGGAATGCAGGTGGGATATCGCGGGGAAATGGCACTAAAGCTACAGGGAAGAAACCCGCTCCCAGATCCGTGCTTGCAGCAAGGTGGATGCTCCCAAGCTCGACCCACTGCCAGCGTCTTTTGAGCCGGCCTCTGCCGCCGCGTCTTGACCTTATCATTCGATTGCCGGTGGTATGTGGTGGTGCCATTGCCGGCGCAATCAGGAGCCTTTTTTGTCACCACCACCGCCGCCTTCCGCTGGTCTGACCGTTATAGCCATGTTTCTTGATCGTGACAAATCTTGCAGCTGTCTCACCTGCATACGCGAGATCCATTTGCCACCTCACTGGACCCAACAAATCCTGGTCTGACCCCGTTTCTCACTCGCTGAGTGTTCTCTTCTGGGCCGTTTCGAACGTCGTCCTCTGCTGTCATCTCAACCATGTCTTCTTCCGGGTATGTTTATTTTCTTCCCCCCCTTTAGAACGGGGTCAAAGCTTTTCCTTCTGCCCAGGTCGGGCGTGGAGTCGTCGATCAATGTGGGGTGTTCTTGTGCTCGGTGTTTCAGTAACGCCTTGACCTCTCTTTGTTACACACTTCATCCTAGGCCATGACTCTCTAACCACGTTACAGCTCCACGAAGGACCTAGTTAGGGCTATCAACGCCTTCGTACCTGGCGCGAGTCTTCCCCTACCGGAAGAGCTTGTGTCGGTAATCGAGGCTTACCTGGACAGACACGGCGACGAGGGACCTTCGGAACGCCTTCACGAGGAGCTGCTGTCGATCTGGGAAAAGTCTGTCAAAGATAGTCCGGCTTCGCAGGCTGCATGGCTTGCTATTCTGCGTGAACTGCTGCCAGCCCTGAACAACCCAGCCTTTATCATCGACTGGTGGGATCGTGTGCAAGAGCCCGTCTTGAATCACCTGACGGAGGATAAGGTCCTTCGGTCGGAAGCCTGGGCCAACACCCTCGCCGTCCTCACCGGCGACCATGTTGCAGAGAACGATGGCTCGCAGCAGCTTGCGATCCGGCTGCTGAACATATGGATGCAGTCCACCCACCTCCCCGGCCAGGGTGACAGCTCCTCGGCGTCGCTCAGGGCGAATTTGATACGTGGAGGGCTACTGAGCTATGGCCGGAAGAGACCTAAGGTAAGTCGCTTTTCTTCTTCTTCCTCTTCTACTCAAAAGTGAGCCCTGAGTGATGAGTGGGTGATATTGACTGTGATTTCCTCGTAGGGCCTCCTGGTTGCCTTGGACGCCTTCATGGTGCAGAGAGACTTCCGAGCGCAAGCTCTCACGCTCCTCTGCGAGTTTGTACAGAGCCAGCCTCCGCATCTGCATGTTGTCCTAGAGACACCGCTGTTCGACAATATCTTGCGCTGTCTTCAACATGACACCTCGACAACGGTCGTCACGATCGCTGTCACCGCCTTGACCATGTTGTTACCGAATGTACCGAGCTCATTGGTGCCGTACCTCCCGAAATTGTTCAATGTTTACGCTAGATTACTTTTTTGGGACCGGGAGAGATCGCTAGCTGCTGAGATTCCAGGCGCGGAACCCGAGGCCAACCGGGTTGCGCCGCCTTCGGATTGGGAGCAGTGCGTCTTCTCACACGACATTGACCACGCATCAAAACCCAACCTCCTCAGCTACTTCACCATTTTATATGGTTTATTTCCTCTGAACTTCCTCGATTACATCAGGAAGCCCGAGCGCTATTTGCGCCACGCTGATGACCCGCAGGCGGACACTATTGAAGTACAGCCTTCAGAAATCCGGCAGAAGTCAGAACGATTCAGGCAGTACCATGTGCTGCATCCAAACTTCTACTGCCTCACTGTGGAGAGCGAGAAGACCGATCTCAGCCGATGGCTTAAGAGCGAAGCGTCTGAGGTCGTGGCGGACTGCACAGCGCTTTGTCTGGCCACAGACTTTGGGTCTGGGCTTGAAATCGGAGCCCAGCAAGACTTTGGGTTATCTGAGGTCGGATACACTGCGAGAAGCAGGGCGGATCAACCGTTCCTCACAGGCCAGGCCATTCTGGACCGTTCGTCATCCCGAGATCAGAGTTGGCGGTCAGCCATCTTCACAGGGTCACTGGAAGATAGCCGTACGCAGTCCTCGGTCTTCCGACGTCAGTCTCAGTCGAGCCATGCTCCGTCTACGCGCAACAATCGTGAGGCGTTGGCTGATAGTCCGACCTTGCCGCCGTCCTTGACCATGTCAACTTCGCACACCAATCTGCAGGACATGATCAATTCCAACAAGGTGATCAAGTCTGGGCTGCACCAGTCTATGGCCAATGACAGCGTGCCTTCCTTATCTCTCAGTCACCAAGACTCGGCACCTGAAAGGCCGGCAAGCAAGGTCTCTGCGGCCGCGACAGTGCCTCCTCCAGAGCTCTCCCCAGCAACACCAGGCAACGGCAGTGATCAGGTCTCGCAACTTCGCAAGGAGATCTTGCTGCTGAGTAATGACCTGGCGTTTGAGCGGTACATGAAGCAACAGCACATGGCTCACATTGGCGAGCTGAAGAGGCGGCAGTTGAGAGAGGCAGCTACAGAAGCCGAGACGCAAAATCTGATCCTGATCAATCGCAGCCTGCGCAATCGCCTGGAAGAGGCCAAGCGGTCCGAACTCCGCGCAAAGAAAGAGTCCGACAACCGTCGCAATCTGTCTAAGAAGTGGGAGACCGATCTGGCGGCCAAGCTTAAGCTTCTTCGCGAGGAGCAGAAGAAGTGGGGCAGCGAGGGCGCAACTCTCAGGCGCGATCTCGAGGTCAAGACGCAGGAGTCTGTGAAGCTGACCAAGATGCTGTGTGAATACGAGACGACAGAGCTGAACTCGAAACAGAACCAACAGGCGGTCAACGATCATGCCGAAGAGATTGCCAGACTGAAGGCCGAGGTCAACCGCTTCGTCGAGCTGGAGCGGACGTATCAGGCGAGGGAGCAGGAGGCAGAAGGGCGACTGGCCGAGGCCGCCGTGTCGATCAGCCGTTCGGTCATGTTGAGCATGCAATTGGATGCTCGCGATTCGGAAATCCAGGAAACGAGGAAGTTGTACGAGTCACAGATTGCAGAGCTCAATAAGCAGCTCCAGGAGGCGCTGTCTAGTGGTAGCATAGGGTTGTCAAGACGAAAGCGCGACTCCAAGCAAGCCGTCGAAAGCTCTCTGGCGGCCAGCCGGGCCAAGATGGCCGAGCTGCAGAGGCAGCACACCCAGCTGGTCAGGAAGTACACCAACCTCCAGTCATCCTTCCTCGACATGAATGCCGCCAGAGCACAATCCTTGCCCATGAGGTCAGGCATCGCTTCGGACTCTTCAGATGCCGAGATTTCGGCGATCGTGCAGAACAGTGATCCGCTGAGCCCAATTCGCAAGAGATCACTCCGTGAGCGAGGCTTCTCGGACCCTGAGGCCGTCGTTGAGGGCGCACAATACAACGTCACGCCACCACTCGATGCGTTGGCGAGCTCGTCAGCCAAGACGGCGCTGCACCGGCCCTCGACGCCGGCATCTGGGACCGTAAGCTCATCGTCAACGGCTGAGCCGGAAGTAGTACGGCATTACGGGCGAGGTAAGTCTTGGTTGATCTCCTGGCGCTGTGTTAGTAGACTCTGATGAACATTGGACTGACCATCTTTGCGCAGGCGGCGTTCAGAATTCGCGAAAGGAAAAGAAGGACAAGGACAAGAAATCTTCGGGCATACGAGGGATCCGAGGCTTCGTATGAGGAGTTGTGTGTTGGATGATGGATCAGTCCACTGGACTTTACCTGGCGTATTGGAAAATCGAAGCTGGGAGACTTTGATTACATCACTTAAAGTGTAGACTGCATATAGACAGATAGTTTTTTTGTGTTTTGTTTTAATGTTTTATCACAAGATATCCAAGCTGAACTATGATTTGCAGTTTGGTCCTCTTGCATGCTAGTGACAAGTTCGCGGCTTAGATAGAAGACCTAGCTCTAGCGGCCTAGTCAGTAAATAGTCGTACCTAGTAGTATACTTGTACACTATGGTACCCATTGTCGTTTTTGCGAGAGTTGCGTCCCTCAAGTCAACAACAAGTTATACCAGAATACTCCTTAGTGAAGGATTTTTGCAGATCAGATCTTAGCCTTGTCGGCATGCTGCAAGTGACTCCATAACTTTATCTGATAGATATTGCTGTTGAGCTTGGGATGACGAGACACCAAGAAAGCTGATGTCGAAAAAGGCGCGGCGTGGCAGGTGTAAATGCGGTGGTTGGTGAACTGGAGGGCCCTGTTTACTAACGTACTAAATACGCTGTTCCAGGGGGGGGAAGGGGAATTGCCAGCATCATCATGGTGGGGGGATCCAATCCAATCCCCCAGGTGCAACCCCCCCCCCCCCCCCAATCTCACCTTCCACTGCGCCTTGCCTTTTTTTGTTTTATTTTCCCACACCCTGCCCAGTAAATACAGTGAATCCTACTGCTTCTGCACATGCATGTGCAACCCACTTTCTCTCTCTGTCTCTCGCGCGCGCCCGACTGGCCAAGTTTCTTGCTTGCCCTTCACTTCTCGTCCTTCTATTCTTGGGGCCCCCTGCGGATTCTTCCCTCGACCTTTGCATGTCCTGTCCAAATTACGTGCCTCTTCCCACTTTATCTGCGATCTTTCACTCTCATTTCTAGACTGGCCCCAGGAACGTCGCCTCTGCCGACTTGTACATTTTGACTCGGCTTTCCACCTACACACATACACACACACACACCCACCCTTTCTGCGCCGTCATATACACGACAGTGCGTGTCTTGGAATCGTCTCATCCAATCCGCGATTGCATCCTCTCGCCGGCATCCTCGCGCCGACAGCCCGAGTAAAGGTTCAGGCCTCCAATCTTCGGTCTACGCGACGATCGATTCGTACCTCAACGACTACAATTCGCCACAGCATCCGGTTCGGTTATAGACGTGGCTATCCAACAAAGTCTCGGCTCCTTGTGCCAACGATCTGCAGCCCTTTTAAGCCTCTAGAGGCGCCGTCTTGTCGTACAGAGAGCACGCTAGGCAATGCTCAACACCCAGCCACGCAACCTACGCTGATATTTACCCGGCTTGTGGTCTGTGTCGTACCACTGCGATAGAAACGCCTCGTTTTCTTTGCGACTGACGCCCTTGCGCAAGACACCACCTTTCCGAGACCTTCGGGTTCCCAGCGCATTCGCGATGGCCCCGATTATATTGTCGTCGCGGCTGCCAACCGCCATGGTGGAATCGTTTGCACCGCGCGGGCTTGAGCCTCGGTTCCAACAAGCTTCCTCCCCAGACACAGCAGCGATCGCCGGACGCTTCCACGCCGCCTCGATACCACCACAAGTCGCCTCCAGAACTCTCAAGACGCCCGTCCTCGACGCGCCGAGCAGTAGCCTTCTGGTGCACGCACGCCAGGAGACCGACACCGTTCCCGGCAACTACCCGGGCCTCAACTCAGGGCCTGACCCGGGCACGGTGGTGGGCATCGTGCTCGGCTCAGTGGCCGGGTTCCTGCTCCTCCTGTGGCTGATCTACACGTGCTTCCAGATGGGCGGCCGCGGCGATACGGTCAGCTCGTATGGTACGGCCAGCGTGGTGACGCGCAAGTCGCGCAGGCGGCAATCACGGCACCACCACCGGTCGCCGCGCCGCGAGACGGTCGAGATCCGCACCAGCCGCATGGCACCGCAGCCCGAGAGGGTGGTGGTCGAGGAGCAGATCCGCAGGACGAGCTCGCAGGCCCCGCCGCCCATGGCGCCCCCGCCCATGGCCGCACCGCCGGCCCCGAGGATCGTGACAGACGATGAGGATGACGAGGTGGTCGTGATCGAGGAGCACAGCCCGCCCAGGAGACACAAATCCAGAAGCCACCGACGACACAGCTCTAGCACGAGGCGCGAGTCGGGCTTCAGGGAGGTGGAACCTGACAGGTTCGCGGGTGGCGATGCATCCTTTCGAGATGTGAGAAGGTCAAGCCGGCACGGGCGATGATTTATATAATTAATGCGGTGGTGGGGAGGATGACAAGAAGAATGAGAGAAACAGGACTCGCCAGAGCTGCTGTTGTTCTTGGCATGCACGATTGGAATGACCTCGGGGACGTGACGCGGCATCGGGCCAAGATGAGGCGGCAGCAGCATTGGAGGTGGTGCATTTGGTTACTGTTGGTTTTGAGGAGACCTCTGAGCTCACAGGGTTCGGAGGTCCGATTTTGTTTCTACGGGGTTATATGATGTTACTTGATACGACTTTGATATCCTTTGCTGTGTGTTCTTCTTTTTGAGGGGGCAGCGGATCAGCTGGCAGTATGTACTGTCTGCAGAAGGAGGAACAGGAGGGGCGAGGGGTTGTGTAGAGGATCTTGACTGCACACTGTAAACTTTATTTGCTCAAATACCACATATGGCTTTCGCTTCGAGCAATTTTGAAAAAGGAGAAATGACACATTCCAAAAGATTAATAAGTGTCCGGTGACGCCCCTGCCTCATTCAGTATTTGATTGGTCGTTTAGGAACGATCCTCAGCACACCGTCTACCATCCAAAAGGCAGAGGAAGAGATATCTAGAAGGCTACAGATAGATCTAAAGTTGTATTTTCAATCGTTTTCAATGAGAAGGAGTGGGAAGAAAAGAGAGAGAGAGAGAGAGTACCTTCACAGTGAAAACGGTTTCCCTCTCGAATGCAGGAACACGGCCCAGGCCTCGGATGGTCCCATCTTGGCATTCGGGCGGCTGGTGCCGGCAGAGAGGGCAGTGCAGTGTTGTAGGTGCGGTGCAGTCAGTGTGGCTTTCACATGCTACTGTTGTGGGAGGCGTCGATCTGCTGCTTGCTTGTGTGGACCAGGCCCGGGAATGACATCACTCTTTTTAGAGCACTGTTTCTCCCCCTGTGCCTTCTATTTGTTACTGGGAACCACAACAGTCTTGGATTTTCTTGAAACATGCCCAAAGGGGGGAGAGAAAGAAAGGTAGAAACTAGGGAAACCAAGCTGTATTACTTAATTATCTTGGACTTGGACAATAGGTCAAATTCCTTCAGTTGAGACTATTCATCCCTCATAGTCAACACTCCAGCTAAACCCAACTTGCATCTACAATCCATCCTTATTCACACAAGAAAGGCATCCCATCCACCGTCCGAAGAAACCACCATGGAGAATCCAGGTACTGCCCGCCCCCTTTGTTCCCTTCCCTTCCCTTCCCTTCCCTTCCCTTCCCTCCTCCCATACACCCAGACACCTCTTCTCATTTGTGTAAATATTTTCTCCTTCTTCTTTCCTTCTTCTAAATAATAAGCAGACCACGAGATCCGACAAGTCGTCCGATCCCTCTGCCAAGGAACAGCAGACGAGCAGCGCCGCACCCTCGACCGCTACTTCACCAGGGACGCCTCCTTCGTCCACCCGTTCTGCGCCGTGCCGCACTTTGACGGGGTGCGCGTGCCGCTGCTGGGCGGCCGGCTCAGCTCACGGGATGTGGTTCGGGGCATCTTTCAGTGGTATCGGATGCTTTCGCCGCGGATTGATATCGAGATAGACTCTGTGTGTAGGTGGTTTGATCCTTCTCTTTTCCCTCTTTTTTTCAGTTTCCTTATAGGGGTGGCAAGTTGACCACAGTGAGGCAACTGTATGTAATTTTGATACAAATTGGGCTCGTGGCTTAACGTTTTAATGTCAAAATATAGTACACGACGAGGCCCGCGACAAGATCTATCTCGACATCCGGCAAACCTTCTCCGTCTGGTTCATCCCCATGTACCACGCCCACGTCCGTCTCGTCACCATCCTCGACCTCGTGAGAGACGAAACCCCAACCAGGTCTTCGAGAGGTAACGATGACAACGACTATGAAAAGGAAAAGGACACCCCAAGCGGGCCCCGCCAGTGGAAGATCGCCAAGCAGGAAGACCTCTACCAGGTCAACGAGTTCCTCCGCTTCGCCGGCCCCACGCCTCTGCCGTTCCTGTGGCTGCTCTTCCAGCTCGGTGCGGCCGCCGTGTGTGTGTTGATGGCTTTGTTCCTGCGGATTTCGCCTTGGGCTCTGCAGAGGGAGCCTGCCAGGGCTGGTGTCGAGGCTGTAATTGAGTACCGTGACGACGAAGGGGAGTCTGCTAGGAGGGACGCATTGCAGGGGGGGGAGGGAAGGAAGCTACGGAAGAATGGTGGAGGAGAGGAGTTGAAGAAGAGCTAAGTGGGGAAACATTAGTGGAGGTGGTCGCAGCAGCATGGAATGAAGGAAGATTGTTTGCCTTGGAGGTTTCGAAGTGCCTTTGGGGCAATGTCGAGAATTTCGATTTCCGGACTCATACGAAGTTGTTGACAGGAGCAGCAGCGAGACAAAAATGTGTTTCCATGAAAAATGTATAGTTATATGTTTCCAGCCTACCGGCCATATAAATCTGAATGCTACATCCCCAAGATATTTCCTCCTATCTCTAACGTCGTTCGTTGCTTTTCCTTTTTGGGTATCGATATTGTCACCAACTTGGCCGGAGCCACCACGTTTCCTCTTCTTCTTCTTCTTCTTCATCATCATCACCGTCACTATCCCTCCTCTCTCGTCTTCTATCGCCTTAACAGCATGTTTGCATCCCACAACAGCACCCTCTCATCCCAACCCGTGCTCGCTACCCAGCCACCCGCCCCAAACAGACACCAGTCCACGCCCGTGGCGAATTCCGTATGCCGATTCATCAGTCCAAGCTGGCGCCCGGGCCTGACCGGCGCGTTGGGATCACTCGGCGGCCCTCCGTCCGGCCCTATGCCCGCCATGGTCGAGCCGTCCGTCCAGACCCGAACCGTCATGTCGTAGCTGGCGCTGACAAGCACGTCGCTGGCGTGAGGGCTCCACGCGAGCCGCCGGACCGCGTACTCGTGTCCGGCCATGACCGCCAGGGGCCCGTTGTACGGCATGCGCAGGTCAAAGGTCCGGATCACCCTGTCCACGCCGGCCGTGGCGATCACGCCGGTATCGCTGTACTTATTCCAGTCGTGGGTTAGGATCTCGGCAGCGGGGCCAGGGGGCAGGGGCACGGCGGCGGCGCCGCTGTCCATGTGAGAGGCGGCGACGCGGTTGCGGGAGGCGGGCGTCTGGTGCACTGGGATGTCGGAGACGAGGTGGTATTTGGCGGAGGTGGGGGTGCGCAGGTCGAAGATGCGCAGACGAGAATCGGAAGAGACGGCGGAGAGAAGGGAGGGGTTGTGGGGCGAGAATGCGGTGCTGTAGGTGCACGAGCCTATGGGGAGGGTCTTGAGAGAGTGTTGCCGGGTGGGTGACCACTGGAAGAGAAGGGGAAGGGGGACAGAGCCGTGTTAGCAACATTCAGGGAAGCAGAGAGGATGGAAGAGTTATAAAAAGGAGAGGGGGAAAGGGGCATGCTGGGAGAGAAGGGGAGGCATACTATCTTGACGGTACCATCCCATGAGCTTGATACAAAAGTGTCTTTGGTGGTCTGGTTCCAGAAGACGGAGAAAGTCTCTCTTTTGTGCTCATGATAGTTCATGACAGGATAGGTGTCGACACCAAGGTCAAACAACTTGATCGACCCATCGCCACATGCTGCAAGAAGCTGGTTCTCGTTGATCTCGGACCATGCCAGGTCATAGAGTGCATCGTTTGTGTCGAAGCTGTGTTTTCACAAGACTCGAGTCAATAAATCTGAGGTGCTCGCCTCGTTTCTCACAAGTAACAATCAAGGCACCAGTGAGCTTTCATACACTTTCTCTGCCTGGATCCCGTTTGCTGTAAGGCCTAGCGCAAACAGACGACCATTGCCCACGATGCCAAAGTTGGCTGATGTAGCTACCGCCACCCTGTTGTCGTAGTAGGGCGAGTATTTCACAGCATAAGGGTTCCAGCCCCCAGTGCGGAATTCAAGCATGGGCGCAGCCATTGTGGAGGGACTGGATCGACCAAGGTGCTGGCCATGCAAAACAAAAGGGGAAAGCACCTGTCGTAAGGTGGGTGAGGTGTGAAGACGCAAGAGGGAGAATAGAATTACTCCGAGTCGCTGATGAGCCAATAGTGTGATGTCAATATTCTGATCACAAGCCTCGGCTGTTTACCAAGTAGACACACTGCTTGCCGAAACCGGCCCGAGCTCATCATTACATGATATAATAGTCAATGGGTGGTGCCTTCTCCAAGTCCGTTGCATCCACAGCAGCACGTGCCCTCGTGGCGAGTTCGTGTCTCCTTCTCCATTCACGTCCTTACCCTGGCCCAGTCAGCTGCGCGCGCCCTTCAGTCGACCCTTTTTTTCTTCCTTTTTTTTTTCCCCCTTCCATAGTAGCCTTTGATTATCATTGGATGCCATCAAGGTTGACCATGATTCGTATACTGCCGACAATACTAGCTATCGTGACACTACATCAGCCTGACCCCGGATAGGCGTTTTCTGACAATGGACGCCTTCGTCACGAGAAAAAAGCGCAAGGCGGCAGCGGGTCCAGCGGCACAAGAGAATGACCGCAATGTCAGCCACGATATTGCAGCAGACGAAGACGACCCCACAGAGATCAAGCTTGCCATTCTGTCGTCTCTACACCCCAACTTCTCTCAAGAGGCACTCCTCGATGTTCTCCTCGCCCATGACGGTGTTGTCTCCGAGGCTTGCAGTGCTCTCTCCGTGCCTAGCCCTGAGAGATTGTTGGCCTCTCCCAAGAAACTCTCTTCTTCTTCTTCTTCTTCTTCCCATGCTTCATCAAACGTTGGCTATCAGGCATCTCTGCGGGCCTTCACTGCGTCAGAACAAGATCGACGAGGAGGATCATCATCACCGAAGAAGGCCAGACTTCTCTCTCGTAAGGGTGCGACGCTACATCTCTTCGATCCTGTTGATATAGCTGAGCACACACCATGCTCCATCATCCACAATTTCTTACCGTCTGCTCTTGCCAACGACCTTCTCGAGGAGATGCTCGAGGAGTCCAAAAGTTTCCAGAAGATCACCTTCAAGCTCTTTGACACCGTCGTCTCGAGCCCTCACACTTCATCCTTTTACGTGAGCACGTATGGTGAGATGCAGGAACAGAAGCTCGAGGTAGGTTTGCCTAGACCATAAGGATACCCTCTATTTCTCTCTGCCTTTAGGAGAATTACAGTGCATGCTGACCTCGGACGTAGTACTTGTACAATGGAGCGCGCCTCGATGATGTCCGTAGAATTACACCACAGCTCGATAAGGTCAAGCCGCTAGTGCAAGAGGCCGTGAACCGTGAGATCCAAGAGCGCATAGCGACCCGTTATCCCGGCGGTCGAAAACTCAGATACCAACCCCCTCCTCCATGGGTGCCCAACGCCGCCTTTGTAAATTGCTACAACGGTCCAGCCGAGTCTGTCGGCTGGCACTCGGACCAGCTCACCTATCTCGGACCTCGCGCGGTCATCGGATCACTGTCTCTCGGCGTTGCGCGTGAGTTTCGAGTCCGCAGGGTCGGTACGTTGTTGCACTGTTTGTTGTTCCCCTTTTCTCCTAGAATGACAAAGAAAGAAAAAGAAAAGAAATGAAAAGAAAAGAGAAAAAGGATGCTCGAGCACACTTCTTCCAGGTCGGTTCGGAAGGCAGCCCCTTTGCTAATCGCGACAGTTATGTCCCAGTCCCCAAGGATGACGACGGCAACCCAAAGACAGACGGCGACTCCGAGGGCCAGATCGCCATTCACCTCCCCCATAATTCCCTCCTCGTGATGCACGCCGAGATGCAGGAAGAGTGGAAACACAGCATCGCACCGGCCCAGGCCATCGACCCTCACCCGGTCGCAGGCAACCGACGCATCAACGTCACCTACCGCGACTACAAGTCTCACCTGCACCCCAGCTCGACGCCCAAGTGCAAGTGCGGCGTCCCGGCCGTGCTCAGGGTCGTCCAGAAGAAGAAAGAGAACTGGGGCAGGTATTTCTGGATGTGTCATACGAGCTATGTCCCGGGGAAAGAAGGATGCACCTTCTTTCAATGGGCTGAGTTTGACGATGATGGGGTTCCGATCTGGGACAAGGACAAGCAGCGCGCAGACCGGAGATGTCTTGACTGACATAGGCTTGAAGAGAAAGGGGTCTTATGTTCACGTCCTTGGATTCTTGCTAGTTCTGTCTCGAGACACCCATTGTTTGATTTGTATTCTCTGTACTGAATCAAGTACCTCTAGCTGGAACCAGTCTTAATGTCCCATCTGTTCACCTAATATGCGAATGAATGCTTGACGTCTCAAGCCAATTTCTGTAGACACTAAGTCGACCTGACTCCTAAACAACTAAGGCCCGCTCTCCCCCACCCACACTTGCTTGCAAGCCATGTTCAAGTCCTTTTGACAACAACCGATATTCAGCCGTTTAACAACCAGTTCGTGAAGCCCCATTTACCAGAGCTCTTGCGCCCACCACCGCTGTTGTCCCCCTTGGGGCTTCTGCGCTTGGTACTAGGAACCGACCCGTCCTCCACCATGCTCAGGTTCGTCCGGTCGACCAGGCTTGTTCTAGATCCCATGGCTGCCAACCGCTGCCTCTGTATCATCAAAGAGTTGCTGCCATGAACATTAGCCCTCTTGCGCCGTATGGCCCAGCTGTCTGCGCTGCTGTCCACAGAGAAGGGCAATGACACCGAGGCTGCAACAGATGAGATCGTAGAAGTTGAAGTCTTGCGCCGATGCGGGGCCATACTGAGTCCCGAGCAGCGTCTGATCTTCTCCCAGATCTTGGAAGCTGCATCGAGAGACGGGCCCTCCGCGTCGTCTGCGGCCTCATGTGCTCTAGAAATCGCTTTATCATGGCCGTTTCGCTGCCCGCGATACGAACCTTGTATAGGTGGTGGCGGTGCGGGCCGTGTAGGCGAGGCCACGTGCATCCCTACCACAGGCTTCGAGGCTCGTTCTACAGCATCTCGACCGCGGCTTCGTGATGAGATCCTTGGGTACGCGAGGTACGTCGTCTTGCGAGGAGTGATTTTTTGAGGTACCAATTTATTCCGAAGGAGGTCATCCGCAGCGTCCATGCCCCAGTGAGCGGCTATGATTCCCAAGAGACGATTGGGTGTGGGTGCTGGAGGGGGTGACCACGGCGACGCAGCATTGTATCGGGCGATGGCGGCGGTGAAAGTAGTGCGAAGCCTGGTCTGGGAACTGACGACGCCACTATTCAGCCCAGACAAGCTGGCGGGATCCAGCATGGACGAAAAGACCGAGTGTCGGTAGATAATGTTCACTTTGAGATACTCGCATTGCGCGCTGCCGAGATGATCCTCGAGATCTTCCATCAGCTCATCAGACTGGGACCGAACATGGCCACTGAGCCGGGAGAGGTTGGTAAAGTTCAATTCAATGTTTACAAGGACCAGAGCCCTGGTCTCAACACCGAATACTCTATTCCTCAATGTCAGTGCTGTGCCATGAAGTTGTCGATGCTGAAACGTGGACTTACTTGGGAGACGCTTCATGCTCTATGACCTCAAGCACGCGGCTTTTTGAAGTGGATTCGACCTCAACCTGGACGTCGTGTAAGACGTCACTCTTTGTATCTATCCTGTGTCAAAAAAAAACACCAGAACGTAGTATTCTATGTAAGAACTTGGCCCACTCACCAAACCCTACAGAGCTAAAAGGTCTCTGTGAGCGAGGGATGTGGTCTTCTGCTGAGTCTTCGAGACCATGATCAGGTCGATGCAGGCGCGCCGATATCTCCACTGCTATCCAGAAACTTTGGTAACCTGTGTCTACAACACGTGTTTCCGGAGTGATTCTCACATCCGGTACAAGTAGAGTGCCCAACTCGATGTCATAGTCGGTGTGCCTCGTTGGTGTTGTAAAAGGGTCATCGGAGACCTCGCCGTCATTGCACAGTGCCAGAGGCGAAGGCTCGCGACACGAGAGGCTGTTAGCAGTCTTCGACCTCTGGATGATATCGATGAGCCCCGGAAATGGACAGTGTGCTGTGGAAATTGCCTGCTGCGAGTTCAGAATGCTGAACTGATCACGAAATCCGGCTGCGGATCTTACGAGGCCCCGGCCTCTAAGCTTGGGCGAATGACGAGGCCGAAATGAGTCCATAGCATGAGCGTCCCAAGTGGCTTGGCTGTTGCACGAGTCTGGAGGGCAAGCTCGGCCGTTCATGGACAGACCCTCAGCGCCACAGTAGCCTTCGTAGCCTGGCATGAAGAGTCAATCAACTTTCATATCAAGACGACTTGGGTGCACACCTTTCGAGAGGTACGGACCTCGTCCAAGAGGTACGGGTGTCTCGTCCACATTGTCTAGATTTCCAAACAACCGACTATTTCTATGACCTCTGGTCTTGGGCAGGGTCAGGGGTCTATCGCCACCAGGAGGATCAGGGGCGCTGCCGCGACTCTTGTTTGTTTCCTGGCTGGACCTTCTGGAGGCCTGGTCATCGACGTTCCCGACTGATACACCGCAGACGCTGTCCGGCCGCTTCACGATGCGGAGTGGACGAACATGCTTCATTGATCGTAAAGTGTGTGGCCCAGGCGTGTGGGAAAGCCCCAGTCGAGGCGACTCCGGCGAGGAGGTTTCCATACTGCCGAGGGGTTGTCGATGAGAGACTCGTCGTCAGCGCCGGGTCTTACAGGGCGCGAGACTTTCGTCTCCGGGGTAAGATGCTCAAGGTCTGACCAGGAGTCTGCGAATGAGTAATTCGAGGAGAGATGTTGTGCAGGGGGCCTGCGGTGAGTTTCTCGTCTGACTGGCGAGGGTTCTTCGGACGATTCCCACGAGATAGGCACACGCAACGTAAGCAGAACGAAAGAAACACCAGCCACCAGAGCAATCGGTCCCAGAATCCAAAGCACAATAATGCCGATGCCAGGACTCATATTCAAAAGCGATGCTGTAATGCAGATAGCTGCTGAGAATGAGGAGTAGATGAAGCGGAATGGATAGTGAAGCGGTCATGGGTATCAATTTCTAAGCAATGTTATTTGCGTATTTGGAGACAAGATGGACGACATGATGGCGACAAATGACATGACGTTGCTAGTCGTAGCTTCTCTCCATCATCGTTGTTGTGGACTCAAGAGTTGGCAGAAGGCACAGCCAGAGGGTCTGCTCTTGCCGACTCGCCTAGGGTCTTGTAGAGATTGTCTTTGACTGTCTCGACTTCAGTGTCCTCCATGCTGAGGAAACGGATCTAAAGAAAAAGAAAGAAAAAGGGTTCGATCAGCATGAATAGCAGGGATGAACAGAAGAGGATAGGTTCAAAATTACCGTATCATCGCCTCCACCAACGCCCCCGTACAGCACCGGTTCTGACAGGGACGCCGCGATGCCCTTCTTCACCCTTTCTTCCCACACACCCTCCCAGTTCCACTCCCCAGGCTTCCTAGCAGATGGGTCACCTTCGGGCAAGGCATGATAGCCCCGGTGAGTTCTCCAGGCATGCCAAGCCCCTGGATTCCCAGCGGCCTCCAGGGGGACTAGGTCCAACACGTTCTCGTCATCAAACGAGCTGCGGATGTAACTCAAAACCTCGAAGGTCGAGATCTCCCTCTTGTGTACATCCATGAATGACTTGAACGGCGTACTTCCCAAGGTGGCGCCCGTGCCTCCTGTTTGTCCACGACCTGCGGGGGAGGGCGAGGTGTCCGATGCTGCGATTTTGGAATTGGGCGTACTGGAGTTGCTGTCCCTGCCGCCCCCACTCATGGCTCTCGAGGACCTGGGAGGTGTCTGCAGGATCGAGGAGTGTTGCGAGGCTGCGTGCCTGCTCCTGCTACCGCGGCCAAACCAGCCTGGGAAACCGTGCCTCAGGCTGAAGCCCCCAGGTGGTAGACGCTCGTCGTCGGTTGCGCTGACCGTGCCGCCCTCTTGAATGTCTGTGGTGTACATGTATGTCGACAGAGGCGTTATGAGAGGATGGAAGATGTCGGTGGAAAACGTGACGAGCGGTGGCAGCGCGGGATATGTAGCTGGGAACGAGATGCAGAACCGCAGGATGGCTGTAGCGTAAGGACCTGGCACACACCGTGTCAGTGCTCTTCTTGTCGCGAATCGTCAGGAGTTGTCAGCTCACCTTTCCGCACAAAGATCACACCCGACCACAATGAAGGGTCACCTGGTGTTAGACTGACGAAGATGCCCGGGGGACACGACTGCTTGAGTCCAGCACTGTGGCCAAATTAGCTGCCAAGATACTAACTAGTTGAGAGTAAGTATCGAGGCACGTTGTTGATCACAAAACACGTACAATTCGGCCAGCAAATTCTGCTGCCGTAGGGACGGTAGCATTCCTATGTTCTCTGTGGCCATAGTGGCGATGCCTGTATACCAATGGCGAGCATAAAGGGCCAGGTGTGGTAAATACAGCAGACCAGGACAATAATGAGACTTGGGCTCAAGTGAGGAGACTCGGTGACGATCAACTGTTGACGTTGATAGGGTTAGGGTTCTCCTGTGACCTCTCTCCCTTAGGGCCCCGGGCTGACTGTTCGTGACTTCGTCTTCTCATCGTTCCTCGCTATGAGTAGTCAGCGATACTCGAGATTGCACGTCCAAGTAAAACTCCCTGGGCACGCAAGTGCAGCTTTTGTGGAAGTGAAGGTGACAAACAATTCTCAATCTTAGTTAGCTATATGCTACCCAAGGTCCACAATCCGGCCGAGTGGACGTTTCAGGTGCAGCAACTTGCGAGCGTGGACGAGTAGTTAGGCGACGATGCAGGGACGCCGTGGAATGATGCAGTGCGTCCGGTGTACCATGATAATATCTCCCAAGCAGGACAACTTCTTACCTCGAAGACAGTGTGAGAGCATCACCCGTCGTTGGTCACGTTGACCCTCGGGAAGGGACTGGGAGGAATTTCATCATCAGTCTCTAGGGTTCTCTCATGGGCTAAACAACATGACGATACTTACAAGTGTTAATTATCCAAGGCGGGCGATCAGTTCCAGGAAGAAAATCAACGTTCAAAATAGTATCAGTATCCACCAGAACACGCATTGTAGCCGAGACTTGTTTGGCTTACTATCTGAAGTCGTTCGTTGATAAGACACTTCCAGAGAGACACCATGCTGCTCCAAGCAGCACATACACAGGGTGAGACACACACCTGCGCATGCGAGTAAAGACCTTGCCGAATGCAAGAGTGCGAGATACTGGTCTAGTTACTGCTGAAGATTGATTGTCTAGAGGCTCGAGTAGGAAAAGTGCTCAGTGGCTGCATGCAAGCCCAAAAAATGTGTGCGTACCGTAAACTTCAACTGAATCGGTATGTGCACATCTGAGGCATTTGAAGCACGTACTATCCTCATGTTACTGACCGTTCATTCGTGCATAGAGGGAAGGGACGGTGCAGATGAAGAAGAAGAAGGAGCCATGCTGTGCTGCTCGTGTCCTCCTGGTCAAGGCAAAACACCCCGTCTGAATTACCGGCTCGAATGCTCCACGACAAGCACACAACAATTCAACCGACAGTTTTTAGTATCGTGTTCGACATTGACATTTGGTAAATCCGGCTCGAAACTTCGCTCATATCGTCATCTTCTAAAAGGCATCATAATCCTGTCGAGATGGCGTCTCGCAAGGGAGGCGACACTTCAGATGGACAGAATCTCGAAATGTAAGCTGCACCACCTCCACTCTCTATTCTTGATGGGTCTCTTGTCTCTGACTCCGGGCAATAGCGGCATTTTCGAGCAAGAAAACTCCTCAGCTATCCTTCCACGCCATGGTATTTTCCCAACTTCGCCAACAACACCTTCAGCGGAGCAGAAACTCAAACGTCGCAGAGCTATATCTCTAGAGGACAATTCACCACCGCAAGGGCCAGCCCTCGAGACTTCAAATTCGTAAGACGATAGTACTAACGTCACGTTATTACCGTTGGCACAGATACTGATCGATAAATCCGTTTAGTGTTGAATTCGATTCCGAGGGGTTCGAGATCTATGAACAACCTGAGGCGGATACGCCGGCCACGGTCGAGATTTTCAAGTAAGCCTACACAAAGTGTATATATTCATGATGAAGGACTGACAAAGGAGCATAGTATCAGCGACACCGAAACACCTCCCACCCCCAAATCTGCACGATTCCAGTGTCAAATTAACCCTCAGCAGCCAATCTACAGTCTCCCCATACCCATGGAGCCCTCCTCTACAGTGCCTACAAACACTTGGAGTCCATCAAGCTCGATTTCCGTGTGCCATACCGTCATGAATGACACAGGGGCAGGTTCTCAGGGACAAGTGATTGTTTCGAGTCAAAAGGTTGAAACTGTCAGCGCAGCAGGAGCTAATGACGAACCGTGCCTGTCTCGGGTGGAGCACCGTGGCGAGAGCATGGAGTACCAGGTCATTGATGACCGGGAGGTTCAAGTTCGACGGAACCGATTCTTGCGACTACGGGAAAATCGATTCCTTCGGCCGAAAGAGGCATCGGACAAGCATGTGAAGGAAGTGATCCGGTCGCCGCCCAAGAAACCAAGAAGTGCGCCTCTGCACAATCACGGTGACAGATCTGCCAAGAAGATCAGGAAGGCTTTTGAAAGTCGGCAGGAGGACTCGGACAAGGAAAATTGGGACCCAGATGATGTGGTCTAAGACATGAATGGCGGTCCAAGACCGGTGGTCACTGCAACTTTGCCTTCCCCTTTGCTCTTTGCGCCTGGCTATAGATGGCGTCTGAGCATGTCTAACAGGCGTGGTCACCGGACGAGGAAGCGTTCTTGGAATGCCATGGTGTGGCGTTTACGCAGTTCTTCAGGTAACTCGTAGCTGGAATCGGTTTCTGAAGCTCTCAAGGCCGTTGACTTTCCCTTCTCAAAATGGCATGGTGATAGATATAGCTATATCGCGCAAGACCTTGTCAGCCATCTCACCGCTTGCCCTTCTTTGTAGGTCGGGCATTCTTCTCCTTCTTTCTTTGCTCAATCTTCCTCGCCCTGCGGATATCCTCCGCACCTTTGATCTCCTTCCGGCTGCCCTCTCCATCCTTGAATTTTCCAATCCGCTTCTCCTTGGCCTCGGCCACCCGCTTCTTGCGTACATGGTAGTCGTCCCGGAATTTGTCGGCCTCCTTGGGTGCTCTCTCCTGCTTGTGCTTGAAATGCCGCCAGCCAGCATCGCCGCCAGGATTCCCAGCCGCAAGCCGCGCCATCCCAGGCCTTTCCGTCTCGCCCACGTGCGGCAACTTGCCCAGGCGGTGTGCGCGGCGCCATCTATCGAACCGCCCGCTCTGGAAGCTCGCCGCGATCTTGACGCCACTCTCGCCCTTGATCATGCGGCTCTTGGCACCCTTTGAGCCGTCGGCGTCGTTGGCTGTGTTCACGTACTTGTTCTGCTTCTTGTCCCAGCGCATCTTGGCGCGAGCGGGCGCGCCGAAAGCCTTGGCGCCGTCGTCGTTTGTTAGGTCCATCGTGACATCGCGGGTTGCCTCCACAAAGGAAGACCCGCCGCGGCCGGTGCCACCGCCACCGCCGTTGATACTGTAGCCCTTGTCTTCATCGACGTTGGTCGTGCGGGGGGTGTAGGACATGAAGAATTCCGGATCTTTCCAGGGCGCTGAGGCTTGCTTCGTGTCGGCCTTGGTATCGGTGTGTTTCGAGACAGTCACTTCGAGTTCGGATTCTGAATCATCTTCCCCGACTACACCATCAAGATCGAAGGTGGCAGGGTCATCTGCGGAGTCCGACAGCTCCTCATCGCTACCACCATCATCCGAATCCGAGAGGCTATCACGGCCAGCTCTTGGAGCCTCGCCCATAACCACGTCCTCGGTATTGTCCTCAGCCTTCTTCTCGATACGGTTCTTTGGCGTGATCTTTTTCCTTATCTCCCTCATGACAACTGCTCCAGAGTTCGACACTAGCTTCTTCCCCATATTGATCTCAAAGATGGTCTCCTTCGGTTTCCAGTTGCTGATCCGAGCCAGCATGTCGTTCCGAGCCTGGTCCGCTGCATCGTCGATCGGCCCGAACAGTGTATGCAGTTGACTCCACCCAGTGGATGTGACGACTTCCTTGGCTCTTTTCGCACTCTGATTTGACGCAGAGTTCCTAGTTCTTATGTAAAGCTTCTCGGCCTTGGCAGCAACTGAGCGCAAGGCATTGATGTCTTCGTTCTCCTTGAAGAGTTTATTCAGCCACTCCATATGCATCTCCACCTCGGACCGCTCAAGAGCGCCGACAACCATTTCCGTCGCGTATGACGGGAAGTCCCCTACTTCGCGACCGAGCACCATCTTCCTGTCGAGGAAAAGCTGGAGGTCGAGCAGGTAAGGTGCATCTGAGTCTTGCAATATGCTGTAACTCCAACCTTTCTTCCCGGCTCGCGCAGTTCGACCGACACGGTGGACAAAGACCTTTGGTTGGGGAGGAAAATCGTAGTTGATGACATTCGCAAGGATCGGAATGTCGATACCACGAGCCGCCACGTCTGTCACTACCAGAATGTTCGTCCTACCTTTTCGGAAATTGTCAACCTGGATCTTGCGTGCTGTCTGATCCAGAGAACCGTAGACATAGGACACTGCGAAGCCCTGCTCGCGAAGAATGGAACCCAGGTATTCGACATGATGCTTTGTCGCAGCAAAAATTATGGTTGAGTGCTCTGTTGGTTTGTCGACTGGGTTCGGATTGTCGCCTCCTCGTTTCCTCTTCTTGGAGAATCTTTCCGGCTCTTGTATTGCTCCTTCTGGTACACCAACTGGCACCTTGATCACATCATGCAAGACATGGAGAAGACCAGCTTCTTTCTCCGCAGCCTTGACGGTAAAGAACGCACTCTCCAGGTCCGGAGAGATCTTCGTCTCGGCATCCAGCCTTACCAGGCTGGGGTCCTGCAATCCTGCTCTTGCGAACTCCACCAGCGACTTTGGCAGCGTGGCCGAGAACAGCAGTGTCTGCCTCGAAGCCGGCAGCGAGTGTAGAATCTCCGTGAGCTGAGCCGCAAAACCCATCTCGAACAACCGATCTGCCTCGTCAAACACGACATACTGTATGGAGGACAAGCTCAGCGACATCTCCACCTTCAGATGCAGGAACCGTCCAGGGGTCGCAATGACAATGTCTGGATTTGTCGTCATGAAGCCGAACTGCTCTTCCAAGCTGTCACCACCGACGAGCAGGACAGACTTCAGGTCTGTGCCCTTGCCAAACTCCTTGACGACCTTCAACGTCTGCAGTGCCAATTCTCGAGACGGCGACATGATCAGAGCCCGGACCCCAACCTTGGCACTATGCGCTTTCAGCCTTTCTATCATCGGTATGACAAACGCCGCGGTCTTGCCGGATCCAGTCCTGGCCATTCCGACGACGTCTCTCCTTTCGAGAACGAGGGGTATCGCTTTGCGCTGGATCGGCGTTGGCTGCTTGAAGCCCTTGCGGAGGATGGCCCTGAGGAGATTCTCGTTCAATCCTGGACGGTTGTCAGCATGGTCCCCTCTCAAAAGTAGCTCTGCAGGTCTCCTCCTGGCCTCGTACCCATTGTCTGAAAGCCACGGCCGCTCTTCTTGGCAGATTTTGAGCTCATTTGTGACGTCTTCCGATACGACGCAGCCTGCTTGAGGGCAATGAATGCCTCATCGTCGTCCTCTTCAACGCCATCTGGACCGTCGTTCAGGAAGTCGAAACCTTCTTCCACTGCCGCCTGGTTAGGCTTGCTGCTTTCGACGTTGTCTGTGTACAATGAGTCGAATATGTCAGCCTCGGCGTCAGAAGGCGTTGGCGACACACCGCGACGACCCATTTTGGAATTTTTGTGAGAAGACATGCTTCTAGTTGTTGGTGTTGCGAAAATGCAAGAGAGCGCGAGTGGAGTGGATTTAAGTCGCCTGCGTGAAAAGGCAATGCAACTTTTCGGTGGGTCCCTATCGATAACAACAGACGAGGGATCCCTGCGAGGCACCCGCCGTCTATCGTCAGGAGCTTTGAGCATCTGCGCGCTCTAGCTCGCAACCTCGCTATTTCAAGCAGTGAGATTTCGAGTCTTGCGCCTGCTGTCAGTCAACACAATACGGTCTGTCTCCCCAACCTCGGAAACGTCTACGCTGCGAATGGCCCGGTAGGGTCAGGACAATATTTGCAGTCGCAACATCAGCGTCCGGTTCTTCGCCCTCCAATCAGCAGCCCCTTGGTTTTGTAAGAGTCACTGCCATTGGCACTTTCGAGTCAAGATGGCGGCGATGTCTCCCCGCCTCCCGAGTCCACCTCCTGCAGCCGAGATCCAGATTGGACCCAAATCGCCTGGACTGGGCTCGATCGCGGATCCAGAGTCGCAGCAGATGGAGCAGACACTCCTCAACGCGAATGCGAAGAGGCGCATCCACCCTGGAACCAAGAACTGCGAGATGGCCGCTGGCCCACCACTGATACCCTTGAGTGAGGTAAGTGTCGTGCTGTCCTCATCGCATACGTCCTCGTTTCGTGAACAGGATTCGGCTGACCGCTGGCTGGCACTCCGCTACACAGCTTGACTCGGCTTTCCAGCTCCAGGAACACCTCGCCGCCCTCCACTATCATCACACCGCGCACAACACACAGCCTATTACCCGCGAGACCGCCCAACTTCTCGCCACTCCTCCACCGTCCATCGACCGAAACCTCTGGCTTTACGAGCTCTGCCGCTTCCTCATCGCGCAATGCAATACCCTCATCGTCGGATTCCTCTTCGATACGCCTCCATGCAGTGCGCAAACCTGCCCAGAGATGCGCGCCTCCGAGTGGCAGTTCCTCTGCTCCGTGCACGAGCAACCTAAGTCGTGCTGTGCCATCGACTATTGCTGCCACACCCTCGACTGGGCTGCCAACGTCGTCACAAATCCCAAACTCTTCCCTTCGCGGTTTGTGGCCCCTTCTGGCGGCGAGGGCCCTGGTCACGACAAGGGTGCCGCGATCAAGAACCTCGTCAACGTTTTCCGCCGGCTCCATCGCATCTTCGCCCACGCCTGGTTCCAACACAGGGGTGTATTTTGGTCTTCTGAGGGTCAGACGGGCCTATACGTCTTCTTCAAGACAGTGTGCGACACCTACGACACGTTGCCAGCTGAGAATTACAAGCTGCCGCCCGAAGCCGAGGGGCTAGAGAGTGCCGCAGCGGCGGCCGAGAGCATGGACCGTGGGACTAAAAAGGAGCCGTCCCTGATGCCGGCTCCTATCCTGCTGCAGCGCTCTGAAGACGAGAACCTCCTGCCCCCAGGCAGGACAAACACGCGACGACACATAAGGGGCAGCCCCTCAACGGGGAGTGCTGTGACGACAGTGATGGAAGCAGACGAGGATGAGAGCTCGGAGGTAACCAGCCGGCTCGGAGATATGCGTATAGCAGCGCCCGACACTGTTGACGAGGAGCCTGAGACGGCTGACGTGCCTGTAATTGTTGAGCACGGCATGATGGATGAGGCACAAACCGAGCCTGCTGTGCAGCACGAGGACGCGGCTCCTCCATCAGAAACTCGCCATCATGATGAGAAGCCAATAGTGACCGAGAACGAAATCGAGCCTGAAGAACACTCAGAACTCGAACTGTCGCCAGGCGAAGAGGAGCGGAGCACATTGGAAGCGCCTGAGCCGACTACCGAGGTGAAGGACGACACCCAGGACGAGGCATCAAAGGAGGAACATGACGAGGTTGTCGAAGACTCGGAGCCTCACGACACAACGGCGGACAAGACGGAGGATGCAGATCTCGAGGCGACGACCACTCAAGATGAGCCTGTTCCTGAGAAGGAGGACGAGGCGCACGAAGCATCGACGGACGGCACTCAAGAGCATGGGAAGCCCGAGGGGCCAGAGGATCAGGACGCATAGGACGTCACTCCTGACCTGTGGATCACCGAGGAGGGCGACCAGCCAGAGTGCGAGCATGTTGAGTTCGCCGACTAAACCTGTGACAGGCGAGTAGTCTCGTCCTGCGAACCACATATGGAAAGCATGGCGTCTTGAACGCTTTTTTACATGTATAATACGAACTACACAAGAATATCAAGAGAGAGAGCGCCTACTGATTGTGAAAGCGGGCGCCTCGTGCTGTCATGGCTACTAATGCAACTTCACTGTAGACACTTGGTTCTTCAGGTTCTTCAGCTAAGGAACAGTTATCAACTGACGATAAGGAAATATGATGAATCTTTTTTATAGTAAAGAAAAATATCGAAAACGAGCTGGTGATAGGTGACGGTGTTTATAAACACTAAATGTGTCCTATATCTTCCTCTAACCCTGCCTGCTAAGTAATCTACTAGGCGAGCAATTTATCTATCTATCTGTCTTGCCTAGGGTGTTGGGCTCGTTTGACCATAGCAACTCTTCTCGGACAGGACTAAACCCCCGCCCTACTCTTCGTCGGCTAATTCAATCGAGGTCTGGCCGCCCCAAGATCTCTCTAAGTTTATCATGCAAAACAACCTCTCCGATCCCCATATAAATCTTTATGACTTCTCCCCTTAAACGCCTGTGCACCATCTAATGCCAACTTAATTCATCTGAAATGCAAGATAGCCACACTGCCTGCTGAAAAGAACCACACTGGACTGACTCCTTTTGAAGTCTCTTAGTCCTCCAGGTGACCATCCTTGCTCTTGGCATCCCTCTGCCTCTGTACCCACTGGTGCCGAATGACCCACAGCGTCAGAGCAAAGCCCAAGGCGCAGGCAGCCACGGTGACCAGATAGGCCGAGCGGTAACACTCCAGGCCTTCGATGCAAGAGCGCTCACCGTTGGGGCCGACGACGCTGTGCTGGTCGAAGACCACACCGTAAAAGAGGTTGAAGATGTTGCCGGAGAGGACGGGAGACATGGTCATTAGTCCCCAGTTCTGGCTGAGGCCGTGGATACCAAAGCTCTCGGCGACAATGGACGGGAACACCCCGAACAGGAAGCCATAGCCCAGGCCGGACAGGCCGGAAACGAAGCCCAGCATGTGTGGGTTGATAATGTTCATGGCACAGATTTGTGCGACGAAGAAGATGGAGCCCGCGACGAAGAGACACCAGATCCGGCTGGCATGGAGCACCTTCACCAGGAAATCGGACCCGACGCCTTGAGTGGACGGTCAGTTCAGTCACTTGTACAGAGCTCATATTGGTTCATGGGAACGGAAGAAAAGAGAGGACGCACCACTCATGAGTCGGCCCGAAAAGCTGCACACGGACAAGATCGAGACGTGTAGGTTTTGGAGCTTGAGAAGACTGTCGTTGCTAATGCTGTCGTCGAAATGTTGCCAGAGCGCTTGTACGGAGTGCCCGATATTGCTGGTAGTATAAATGTCAGTCTTGAACTTGTTCTTCTTGTCTTTTACACACGATGCCTGGGGTGGTCCCCGCGCACGAGGAGACTTACTTGATCGTCATGAGACCAATACCAGCCAATATGCCCATGATAACGAATAATTGCCAAAATTCGAGATTGCGGAGTAGATCCCAGCCGCGGACATCTACAAGATGAGAGCGATCCATATCAACATTCTGCACATAGACCTCACCGGCCACTGAGGATACCTTGGACACGAGAGAAGATGTCTCGTCCTCGTCGTCGTCGGTCTCGGCAACAATAGTAGATGATGCCGCCGTCGTCGGATTGGACGTGCTTCCTCCTGCGGTCCGACCACTGGTCGGATCGAATGGCTTGCGGGCCGAGAAGACCCTTATACCGGATTCCTGATCCGCTTGGACTGGGTGTAAGGCCTTTTTCTTCTGTGAGGAGACATGGTTGGTGATGAACCTACCTGGCTCGAACAAGCCCCCGCGCCGGGGCTGTGGTTCCTCTGGCTTGTCTTCCTCGCTGGTCGCAACGGACTGGTAGTTGCCGTGCGGGATGATGCGCAAGAACCAGAAGCCCAAGAATGTCATGCCCGAGGTCCCACACGACAGAAGGAGTAGGAAGTCGCTGGTGTCACCAGGGAAGAGGAATCCTCCGATGAGAGAGAAGAAGAAGGCACTGAGGCCGAACGCAGCCAGGGGAAATGCGGTCGCAGTTCCTCTGTGGTGTGGCCTTTTTCCCCCTCTTCAATGTTAGCCACACATTCTTTCGAAGCATACGTATGTTGCCAGAGAGACACTGACCAGTTCAGCGCAGAGGTCTTGATGGCAGCAGCGAAAGCTGTGCACCCTCCCAGACCACTCAAGAATGAGTATAGGCACATCAGAAATACCGGGCCCGAGCCGCTGTTGTATGCCTGGTATAATGGGAAATAGCCCAGGCCCAGCAGGATGGATCCGATAAGCACAGCCGGTCTTGGGCCCTTCTTGTCAACGAATAATCCAATAGGCAACCCGCATGCGTACATGCCGAGGTTGCCTGCGAGACCGACGAGGTTGCTCTCGGTGGTCGAGTATTTGAGGCGTTCAGCGAATTGGGGAGCCCATGCTGAGTAGACATACTATAGCCAGGAAGAAGAATTGTCCGTTATCAGCCCTTGTTCACTACTACAATGCAGATACTTGATGATACGCAAGAATATAATGTGTAAAGGGGGCGGGAAGGGGAAGAGGATGGCTTTGGTCGCACATACATTGCTTCCACAGGCCAAGGAGATCATGGTCGCTGCGACGCTGGATATGATCCGCGCGCGCTGCAATTGCCGGTCCTGCATCCTCGCGGGCGGCGTTTATCACGACACACACTGGGTTTCTCGAGAAGGGCAACCAAGACGAGGGTCTGGCTGGCTCGTTGCAGGCTCGAACAGGTTAGGGAGACGATCAAAGGAAACTGATTTGGAGCAGCAGCCTGGTCAATTCGTACAATCAACGACGATCCATAAACGAAGGAGTGAAAATTATAAGAAATATAAACAAAATAGAAAGAAAAAAAGGAATCTAGGATCTAGAAAGGTGACATGACATGGGCTGCTCCGCAGATACGATAGTAGCCAAAATACACAGTAGATAGATGCAAGTTGAAAGTGGACAAAGGCGTACGTACGCGTTTAGGCTTTCCGGAAAGGGGTCACTATTGCTGCACTATGGCTGCAGGTCGTCTGATAGGTGATACGTGGTAGCATGCGACAGCGCTGTGATTGGCGGCTGTGGGTAAGCATCTGCCGTAAGCTCCGATTTCTGGAGCAGAGTGCAGCGGGGCCTTCAGCCGGTCACCGAACCTGGTGGCAGCCCCACGACCTATCTTGGGCAAATGACGATAATCTTGGTTTCAAAAGTCCCAAAGCCGCAAGCGGACTTTTCGCCTACGAGATTGATTGATGATATATGTATATTAATGTACATATACAGAATGAATATGCATACGTATCTGTAGTATTACCATACGAAGTTTATGCAGGTTAATCTGATTTGCAGAAAAACACAAGGAAGAGACACAACTACTAAACCTCTATGATCGAGAAGGGAGATGGGTCATCAAGGGTTCAGGTACAGTAATGTGCCAGTGTGTGGCGCAGAACTTGCCGGCGGAGGGGGGGGGGGGGGTCCCGTCTCTTCTAGCTGTGGCTTGCAGGGCTACGTAATCACCCACCAGGGTCCACGGCAGGTCCGGGGGCAAGGCATGCAACGACAACCAGCCCTGCAATTTACTTACCTAAGATTCAACGTTCCATCATCATCATCAACAACAACCACCTGACTGAACCACGAGGACGGCGCAGGCCGGCGACGCACCTGAATCTCACGAGAACCATCTTGGTGCTTTTATCTACCTCGATACCCCCGCATCACCTCCCGACAATAGAGGCTGGTCTTCCCTGAGGGCTGCCCAACTCTCCCAAGATGGGTGCCTTGCTTTCCATCCCGCTCATGGCGCTGCCCAGCGCCGGCACTGTGAGTTTGCTCCCCTCCCATCGTCACCTCTGCCTCGATGTGACCTGTCGAGTGTGATCCGCTGAACCCTTCTCGCCTCCTAGCTCCTGTCCTTTGCTGCCAGCTGCTGCGGGGCGGCCACCTGCTCCATGGTGTGTAGTGCATGTGGCAAGTGCGGAAACAGGTGAGCATGCATTTTCTTGAACTCCCGCCCTCTGCTTGGCTCTAGTGTGTGTGACAGCTCGGCTAACCCATGTTTGGGGGTAAAAGTGTGGCTACTCGTATCGCATATGCCCTCATCCTGCTCGTCAACTCGATACTGTCTTGGATCATGCTCACCCCATGGGCTATCACGAAACTACAGTCCCTCATGCTCGACTACGTCAAGATCGAATGCCCTACCGGACAATGTTATGGCTGGCTGGCAGTACACCGTATAAATTTCGCCTTGGGCCTGTTCCACCTCATCTTTGCCGGGCTGTTGGTCGGTGTGACCTCATCCAAGAATCCTCGCGCTGCCCTGCAGAATGGCTTCTGGGGTCCCAAGGTCATCGCCTGGCTGGCGTTCATCGTCCTATCATTTCTCATCCCGGATGCCTTCTTCCTGTTCTGGGGCAATTACATCGCTCTGTTTGCCGCGATGCTGTTCCTCATCCTCGGCCTGATCCTGCTGGTCGACCTGGCACATACGTGGGCCGAGTACTGCCTGAGACAGATTGAGGAGTCAGATTCTGGTCCCTGGCGCTTCGTCCTGATCGGCTATACCCTGGGCATGTACGTGGGGTCTCTCGCTATGACCATCATCCAGTACATCTTCTTCGCCAGCAGCGGGTGCTCGATGAACCAGGCCGTCATCACCATCAACCTCCTGCTGTGGCTGGCCATCTCTGTCATCTCCGTCCACCCAGCCGTTCAGGATGTCAACCCCAAGGCCGGTCTCGCCCAGTCAGCTATGGTCGCCATCTACTGTTCCTATCTGACAATGTCAGCGGTTTCCATGGAGCCCGACGGCAATGGAAACAAGCACTGTAACCCACTGGCCTTCTCTCAAGGCACACGAACTACAACAGTGGTTCTCGGTGCCATCGTCACGATGCTCACAGTTGCTTACACGACGACAAGAGCTGCCACGCAAAGTCTCGGCCTGGGCAACAACCGCGGGGGGATTCGCCTCCCTGATGAGGATGAACATGATCTCGTGACAACGCAGCCTAGCGCACGCAGGGAAATGCGTGCCGAGGCGTTGCGGAGGGCAGTGGAGGAAGGCAGTCTGCCGGCCGACGCACTCCTGTCAGATGATGAAGATGACGAGTCGAGCGGCGGCAACACGGCACATGACGACGAGCGCGGCAGCACGCAGTACAACTATGCCGTGTTTCACATCATCTTCTTCCTTGCGACGGCATGGGTGGCTACCCTGATCACGCAGGGCTACGATTCAGAGAACCAGGATGGTGACTTCGCCACGGTCGGCCGCACCTTGTGGGCCAGTTGGGTCAAGATCATCAGCTCTTGGATCTGCTACGGCTTGTACGCCTGGACCCTGGTCGCTCCCATCGTCCTTCCTGATCGATTTGAAATATGAGAAATGGACAAAAAAGAAAGGGGGGGAGGGTCCGATAAGAGGGTGCATCCTTGACTGCACTCAATGTACGTTTTGTATTTGTTTACACGAGATTGGTTCTGCTGGTAGTCTCAGAAACCAAAGGGAGGTCAAATTGGTCAAAGCATATTCTGTACTACCATCATCATCACAATACATAATATTGGCATCATCAGACAAACTCCATCCTCTCCTAGACCAATCATTGCGAGGGGCTGCTGATGTATCCTCTCATTACCGAGATGCAACCCGCCGTCTTCCATCGATATTTAAGTGCAGCCTCCAGGCGGTTACCTGCCGCGCCCAGATGTCGGCAACCTCGAATTTTGTGCAGTGGAAGAGCGAAGTGAGGCGCCTATCTGAGACGGGAAACAACATCACGCATTCATCCCCATCTTCATTTATTTTTATTTTTTTTGGGGGGTGGCGGAGAGGAGAGGGCAAAAAAGAAAGGAAGATAGGTCATCTGGTGTTGATACCTCATGGATGGCCACGTACACGATAACATATCGCGTACTGTACCCAAAAATTGAGTTTGCATATGTTGAGTGGCCGAACCTGGCCCCCCCCCCCCCACCCTTGTTTCCCTTGACAGATACTGGCAGATGCGTACTGACATCAGTACACTTCATAGTTTTCCCAAGGTCGGTTAGTCTATGGCCATGTGATTGCAATGTGCCTATGGACGTGCTCTAGACCTCTGTCCTGACTTGGGCCCTAATGCAGCAGGTGCAGCAGCAACAAGAGCATGCTGCGTGTTTGCTCTGCCGTGTCTTGTCTTAGTGCTTGCGCCGGACAGAATAAGAGAGCAGAGACCGGAATATATGTCGCTCCCCCCCCCCCCCACCAGGACGCCACCGAGGCCGCGTCAATACTCGTGTGCGACGTGACGCTTCGCTTGAAGGACGCAAGCGAACTTTGATTTCGGTTAGGTAGGTGAGCAATCAAGCGGTGAGGGCCGTCCCTCCCTCCGGCCCTCCCTTACTTAGGTCTCCCTCATGCCGTTCCTAAATACCCCCCACTCTCTCTTTTCTCTGACCGAGGAGGGCTGGTAAAGTATGCAATGAACCCTCGGTACTGGCCCGCTGCCTGGGAACGAGAGGTGGGAAGAGTATCTACGGGGGAAGGGAGCGAGGAGGACTCGGACGGTTAGTACAGAAGGCAGCGTGCGTGACGTCTTGGTTGTTTCTTCCCCCCCCCCCCCCAAATATGCTTACCTTGCATGTGCGTGCCCCAGCTCCCGCAGAAGATATGCGCGACAGTGTTATTTTGTCCACATCATGTCTCGGTTGTTGTCGTCTTTCCTCGTCCCTGGGCGGCATGCATGAATACCAGAAAGGGAGTGCTGTCGGCCTCGAGATTCGGTTTATGCCGGCTCGAAGAGGAACTGGGTACGCCTCTCCTAAAGATGCCGCCTGGAAAATATGTGTTCCCTAAATGGGCGACGATCGCCACTATGGCTTCTGGCTGCAGCAGAAAGTGGTAAGGCTGTCTGGCTAGTTCTGTCTCACCGTTGAGATCCCAGTTCATCTCTTTAGCAGATCCTTGGTTCTTTCTATCCAATCGAGAGGTCCAGCACAAGGTCACTCCTACCGTGTGTGTTCGGCCGTCACGGAGTTCCATGTCTTCATGCATCTCTTCCTTCTCCCAATCGGACGGGACGGCATGAGATTTCATTTGTCCAGGGAGGTCACGCGCGTCCACATCTTCTCACACCGGTACCTCGGTTGCGTGAGAGAGGTATTGTGCTCTGCACCAAAGAATCCATGTCGACGGGTAGCTGCAGGCCTGGAAAAATCATTCTCGATCTCACCGATCGTGTTAGAATCGGGGGCTTGCCCCACGCGAGCTTGGCTGAGGTCCTTGTCTACGTGTCTACCCGCAATTCTTGCCTCTACGAGGACGCGTTTGTGCCGTGAGACCTTCGCGCCCCCTTGGACGGGGATGGCCGTCTGGGCAACGGGAGTTGCACCCGAAGAATGAGCACTATTTTTCTTTTGAAACAAGAGAGAGAGACACAGTTTGTTTTGATGGTTGGTCTCTTCTTCTTGTCCTTTTGCTTCTTTTTTGCTTGTGCTTTTTTATACGAGACCTCAAGGTGCCGTCGACGCTTCTGTGTCCCAAAACAACATTCGAATGAGCTTTGTGAGTGGGCGAGCGAGCGTTGAGCAGAAGACCAGAAAAGAAGGTCCTGGGGGAAAGGAGATAGGGAGGGAAGGAGGGGTGGAGAGGTGGAGATGATAGACTAAAACCCTCTTTCTCTTTTTCTCCCTCTTTCCTAGCCCACAACGCTATATCCACAGCTTTTTCAGAGATCTGAGAAATCATCTTTGCCAGATTGACTCTGCGTCACCACTTACGCAACTATCTCTCGCAAAGGTCGCCCCATCCATCATCAGCATTGACAGGCATGCAGCGTGGCTTGCTCACCTGCAACGGCTGTTGGTCGAGGACGGATGCCTCCCTCCCCCCCCCTCTTTTCTCTTTCGAGAGAGAGAGATATCGTTTCTCATCTCTCAAAAAGTCTTGGAGAAAAAACGCGGGATGTTCTATGTAAGGGTGTGTGTGTGTGTGTCTAAGACGCGTTACAGGCTAGCCAACGGTGTGTGTGGGTGCACAGCTGCGAGTGAAATCACCTCTCTCTGTCTCTCTATTTGATTCCCTCGTGGGCTGGCTGGCTGGCTTACTTTCCCTTGCCCTTGGCTCATAGGGAGAAAAGATGGCTGTGATTGATCATTTCTGGTTGATATGTCCCTGCCTCCCCCATCCCATCCCTCTTTGGCTGCAATCTTGGGTACGGCGTGTGTGTATGTGTGTTACATCACGCAAGGGCCCAGGTCACAGTCACTATCACGTAGGCTGCCACTTACGAGCTGCAAGGCATGAGTGACTATCACAAGATGTGAGGGAAGGAAAGAAGAAGAAAAAAAAGGGGGGGCGGGGCCAGAGGGTTTCGAAATGGTACGGCACGCGGGCGGTGTCTGACTGACTTATATTGAAAAAGGGGGGGGGGGGGGAGCCAACGACGACGATAGGTCAGTATGCGATGAGCCTATTCTGGTGCCCATACCGGTGTTGCGCACCGCCTGACCGAGGCCTAAAGCGTCGTGGGGGTTCGTTTGTTCTTGTGATGGTTCAAGGATCAAGGAACTTTGGGTTGAGGGAGGGAAGGAATTTGAAGGGGGGGGGAGGTTATTGCAATGATGTAAGTATTGAGAGGGGGGAAGGAAGAGAGGTAGAAGGGTTTTGTGATCTGCCGCGCTGGGAAGGGGGGAGGAAAGGCTTTTCTATAAAGAGAGCGTGATGGTATGTCCTTGACAGTGATGAGAGAGTTGTCTCCTTTTCTTGTCTTCTTCTTTTCCAAGCTTCTCAGTCTATATGTCCTCTGTTGGCTTCTTGGAATCTATATCATTCTCACAGCCCTCCTCCTCCTTCTCATACTTGTCCAAAAGACAAACACTCTTTACTGAGCCTGACTATCCACCTCATGCAACCACCACGACAAACATATTGAGACCCCCATCGTCCAGTAGATATGTCTCAGACCACCAAGACAGAGGTGGTCCAGTCCCAGGGCAGCAGCACCTCCAGGTTTGAAGCCACATTCCTTTTCTCCCCCCTTCATCACCACCATCAAGACGATACGGAAAAAGAGAAAGAAAGAAAAGCTGACGTTTTCACCGCCCATGTTCTTCTGGTTCTTTTTTGGACAAAAGCAGACCCAAGGATGCCCACTCCTCTTCCTACTCCTCCGCTTCCTCTTCCCACCACCACTCCTCCCGCTCCTCGAAGCGTCCGTCTGAGATGCTCCAGCGCTGGGAGGGTGAGTCGGGCAAAGACAATATTACTTTTACCGAGTACATTCAACGGCAAATGTGTCAGGTACGATTGATGAGACAGCCCCCCTCCCACTCTATATCATTCCCATACATCCATTCTCTTTTCCCTCACCTTTTTACAGCTTTAGTTTTTTATTGGCTGACTTTGGGCATTGGCTGGGATTTTGTTTAGGAAAAGGGACAGGACAAGCCTGTCTCGAAGCAGTAGTGGATGATGGATGGGTACGGGCTGTAGAAGGAACACATTTACTTCTTCAACGGCACTGGATTGATGCCATGTCGGCATGCCTCTATAATGAGATGGGCTTATTCCCAATTCCAAGAGAATGCTATATTTATTGATTTTTATTTTTTGGATTGGTTATGCCCCGATCCGACGTTGAATTTGTTCCAAGATTCTTTGATAATGCGCGTGATATAATAAACCGAAACGCCTTTTTTTGAAGCCCTGAATTTAATGCATGCCTATCCATTTCTCTTTTTGGTCTTGTTTATGAGAGAATTTATCAAGAAGTCGTTGCAGCTGTCTCTCCCGCAGTGGTGTCTGCAGCATGGAAGCCATCCACTGTGATCTTCACTGCTCCGGCTTGAACAAGCTGTATAGAAGAAGAAAAAGACAAGATTAGTCATCGCTATACAAGCGCTGGGGGAATATTAGGGGCTTTGTATTGGTGAGAAACTTACAGCTCTAGAAAGATCGTCAATCAAATCGCTGACATCCTCGATACCCACACAGAGCCTTATTATATCCTCAGGCATCTGCCTCTCTGCCCTGGTCTTGGGATCGATGCTTGCGTGGCTCATGCGGCACGGCATGCTGATGAGGCTGTTCACGCAGCCAAAGCTCACACTGATCCCCCACAGCCTGGCAGCCTCCACAATCCTCTCGGAGACAGTCACGTCACCAGTCTCGAACGACAAGACGGCGCCAGCGCCGCGCGACATGCTCCAGTGAAGGTCATACTGGGGGTGGGACTTCAGGCCTGGGTACCGGACCCGGAAGCCGTGGGTCTCGAGGAATTCGGCGATTGCCTGTGCGTTGGCCTGCTGCTTCTCCATACGGATGGCGAGGGTCTTGATGCCTCTCATCAGAAGGGATGAGTCGTCAGGAGACAGACCGCAGCCGGTCGAGTTGATCATGAAGTACATCTTGTCTCCCAGGGACGCGTCGTTGCAGGCGATGACGCCAGCCATGATGTCGTGGTGACCAGACAGGTACTTGGTGCCGGACTCGTAGCTGATATCCACGCCGAGCTCCAGCGGGTTGCAGAGCATGGGGGACATCATGGTGTTGTCAGCCACGACCAGGGCCTTGCCGTTGAAATCGTGTGTCATCTTGGTAATCGCGGGGATGTCGACGATCTTGATCAGAGGGTTGGTGGGCGTCTCCAGCAGGACCATGGCCGTCTTGGGCGACAGAACCTCTTTGACCTTGTCGACGTTGGTCGTGTCCACGTGGTGGACGATAATGCCCTGGTTGGTGGACAGGTACGTGAGCAGCCGGTTGGTACCTCCGTACAGGTCGTCACCAGTGATGACCTCGTCGCCCGGCCGCAGCAGCCGTGTGATGACGTCCAGAGCACCCATACCAGAGCCTACAGCAAGGGTCCGGGTGGCATTCATGATCTTGGCCAAGTGACGCTCCAGGTGCGTCCGGGTGGGATTGCCGGAGCGGGTGTAGTCGTACTCGCCGTTGGGATTGGCGGCCGACTGCTTGAAGGTGGCGGAACGGTAGATGGGGAAGCTGGACGCGCCATACTGATCCTTGCTGTCGGTGTAGACGAGTTCTGTGGCGAGGGCATAGCGGCGCCGGCCGTTTGCAGGGCTCGAGGGGGCAGGCGAGGGAGGCAGGTTGTGCCCGTCGAGATCAACCTTGGAGAAGGCCTTCTTGGCGGCCGCGCCATTGCCAGATGACGCTTGGTTGACCATCTTTGTATAAGAGAGTATACACCTCTTTTGGGGGGGGGGGGAGTTGATTCGCAGTCGATGATGAGGTCTGAGGACTTCTTAGGTGTTGACTCAAGAATGAAGCAATGAGTCCTGGTTGAACTTCGACCGTTCGGTGGACGAAGGGAAACGTGTTGGGCTTGAGGTTTTGTCGGTCGGTCAATTAATTGGTTCCGTGCCAGAGGGAGAGAAGTCAAACTACCCTGAAGGGTTGCAACACTGAACAAGATACCGACTGGTGTGTAACTTACAACTTCAAGCGAGCTGGTTTGGTATGAGGACACGATTGGTAAATGGTTGGAAAGAATGCTTGTTGTAGGTTTCAAGAGTCATTCGAGTCGTGCAACTTTTCCGGAATACAAGCACTGAAATCTGGGGTAAGGTAAGCAACGGGTCCATGTATCGATACCTGTACTGCCGGAGGGGCCGGTACGCTGTGATACGCTGTATAAGGGCCCTAGCAGCATTGCGTATTCAGCCGATAGCGGAGGGTTTCTGGCAGATGGTGCTAGCGGAATACGGACCTACTCTGTGTATTCACACTACAAACGAGGGTACCTTGCTATTTCGATGAGGTATAATGACGTGCTTAAAGCTACCTTGAACGGGAAACAGATTTGCTGGCCACACTCGTACCTGTACATTGCCCCTCATCCACTTGCCAATTGGGGGGGTGACGCCTCCTACTGCAGGTACAACTCTCAGGGTATAATTTTCACACTTCGCCACCCAGGCAGTACATACTCGCCAAGTGAACTTATTATTACTTCTCCTATATTTACGCATTTTTTTTTTTTTTAAAAAGATATATTTATTACAGACAGGTCTGGCTCACTTTCTGGTATCTATTCACTAAACTGGTATTTATTTATCAAAAAGAGTCTGATTTCAGCCTGGATTCTGTATAGTATAGCATGTACAGCCTAGGTGGCGAAGTGTGAAAATTATACCCTGAGAGTTGTACTGTACGTAGTAAGTATTCAAAAAGATGATGGCTCAGTAGTACAACTTGATACGAATATTCAATTTTTTCTTCCTTTTCTGATCGAACTGATACGTTGGCGCTTTTATTACTTTGGCTCTATTCACCTTCCCAAACGCCTCGCTCCTTCTTTCTTTGCCCAATTCCCTTTGCAGAGAGATATCCAAGGGCTATTTATTACTCATTGCCTCGTTCATAACGTCCATGACCATTTTCTCTAACCAAACAGCCCAACACCATCTATCCTTTCATTGTCCCCCCCCCCCCCCCCAAGAAATCATGTACTCGTACAATCTTGTTTGTACACCAACAGCAATAACCACCAAACCCACTTGCAATCACTCCTCAGACGACGACACGGCAAACTTGCTCAGCGCCCTCAGCCTGGCGCCATAAATATACAGCAAAAAGATGCCAAGGATGCCAATCGTGCTCAAGCCCCCCAGAAGACTCGTCCCCCTTGCCACGCCCAAGTTGCCGTACAGCGGGCCCGCGAACAAGATACTACCACAGGCCATGGCGCTGCGGAAGAAGTCGTTGCCTGCAAACAGGGAGGCGGCATACTGCGGATAGCTGAGGGGGATATAGACAAACAGGCACTGCATGACGACAAAGACAGTCGCGCCATAGACGGTAATGCCGATGGTGGGCGCGATCCAGGGAAAGCGCGGGGCGGCGGTCCAGGCGAAGATGAAGAGGCCGAGGGTGGGGCCAAACGAGGCGAGGAGGGCGGGCACGAGGCGGGTTTCCTGGACAGGCCAGCCCTTGGCGCGGATGCGGGGATTCATGTAGAAGTAGATGTAGCTGGTGTAGATGGCGATACCGACGAGACACGCCACGAGGACGCACAGGAAGACGAGGCCGATCTGGCCGGGGGTCATGCCGTAGTACACGGGGTAGACGAGCGGGAACACCTCGAAGAAGCTGTAGTAGATGCCGTAGATGATGGCCGTGTAGATCTGCACAAACAGGATGGCCGGGTCCTTGAGCGTGATCTCGAGCGGCTTGATGAGCGCGTCCACCAGCACCGCCGACGCCTTCATGTGGCGCTGGTCAATCTCGCTCTGCGACAGGAACCGCGCGTCGCCTGTGCGCCTGCGCAGCCGCTGGGCCCGCCGCAGCAGGATGGCCTGCGCGCTCGTCTCGGGCAGCAGCACAAACATGAGCAGGAACACGGGGCTGGCCGCCCAGATCACCTCCAGCAGGGACCAGCGCCACCCCATGACGGGGACGCTGAAGCCGCTCAGCAGGGGGCCCAGGGCGGGGCCGCAGTAGGCCGCGCTGACCCAGGCGATCATGGCGTAGGGGAGGCTGAGCAGGCTGTACATGTCGCCGACCGAGGCGCCGCCCGAGGCCAGGCAGGGCGAGCCGAAGAAGCCCTGGAGGAAGCGCAGGACCATGAGGCCCGGGTAGTTGCCGACCAGCGCCGTGGGGATGGACACGATGGTGTAGAGGAACATGGTGACCACGTAGACGGGGTTCCTGCCGACGGCCGGGAGCTCAGAGAGCGGGCTGAAGAGAAGAGGGCCCGTGCCGTAGCCCAGCACGAACAGGGACAGGCCGAGGGCGGCCTTGGTCTTGCCGACGCCAAACTCCTCCATCACGCCCTCCTCAGAGGTGGTGTAGATGGCCGAGGACATGTACACGACAAAGGTGTAGAGGCAGATGATGGTGGTGACCAGGGCGCGGCGCAGGCTGGACCAGTTCTGCGGGTTCTCGGGGTCGTCTGAGTAGTACCAGTCCACGAGGATCGCCCCGTCCTTGGTCCTGCGCGGCACGACTGGGATCGACTTTGTCTTTTCCATCTCGTGCATCTCGTCGACCTCGAGACGATCCTGTGTGTACGGCAGCGTCTCTTCCCTGGTCCTGGTCCGGTGAAGACGCAGGTCCGCCCGCTGTTCATCACCATCACCACTACCGCCAGCAGCAGCCTTCTCATAGGGCTGTGCGTCTCTGTTCTCCACCGCCTGTTTTTTTTCTTCATCATCAGACGTTGATGATTCGAAGGACGAGCTGGGGATGCTGCCGAATGCAGGTGGTTCGCCCAGTATCTCGTCGTTCATGAGCTGGATCCATGTCTCTGGCAGTTTGAAATCTGGTTCCTCTTCTGGGTACTTGAGGGTCTTGTTTCTGGTGACCAGGCGGATGAGCCCGCCCAATGCGGTATTGTGGAGAGCACTTGACATTTTATGTGTGAGAGAGGGGGTTGGAGGGCGTCTTATATAATAAAAAAAAAAAGATAATCTTTTCCCCCTCTCTTCTTTGGAGGCTTGAGAGGCAAAGCTAGAGTCCTTCCAACAATTGTCGACCAAGACCACTTGATCTGGATGATTTAGATGTAATCTGATGATCCATTGTAAAAGAGAAACGAGGGGGAGGGGGGAGAAAGACAATATACTTATAGTGTTATTCTCATCAAGAATCCCTTACCAAAAATGCACAGCAAAATGGAAGTATGTGTGTATGTAAACACCACGCTCTTCTCTCACACACCTCTCTCAAAGCCCCAGTTTACTAACCGTGCCGTGTGCTGACGGAGATTGAGCGTACTTACGCGCAATCTAGACATCGAACGGATGAATTCTTTGCAGCGGACATTACCAAGCGCCAAGTCTGTTGTAAGGCCGAACTGCTGCTAGTCGCAAAAGTTTGGTTACGGACCCCGATATCAAAGAGAAGGAAGATACAAGCACGACATAGGCAGAGGAAATCTGATAATCGAGTCAAGACGTAAACGTATTCCTCTTGCTGAGGAAGGGCTGGGGTTTAGAGGGCTTACACCCGTTCGACGGCGATTAGTAAACGCCTTGGTCGAAACATCCCTGCTTTTTCTCCTCTTAGCGTTTCGATGGTCTTAGGCGCATTTATCAGCGACGGTTCAGGGCTGCAGGGGAAGAGCCTAGGAGATATAACTCTATAGTAGCCTCAGACGCCAAAATTGGGGGGGGGGGGGGGTCTTGTAGTCGGTAATCTGTTCCCATTGGTCGATACGACAGATGCGTCATCGTGTAGCTTAGAAATTGATGTTTGATTTGTGAGGAAGATGGTGCCTTGTAAGAAAGATATGGAACCGTTGGGATTCGTTTAGAGTTTGTTTGGGACATGACAATTATGCGTGCCAGGCAACATGGTAGTAGCTGAATCAATGCGACAAATGGCTGGAGGGAGCAAGTGTGTGCAGGGCCGATGACTCCCTGCCAACCATATCATTTCAGCTGATGATGAAAACCCCGACGATTTAACGCCGATAGTGAGATAAGTCGACCGCCACAGCAAGACAGCCGTCCGTCTGTTGGAGGTTGACGCCGCAGTAGCCCTAGCCGTTGGCTCAATTGCAACATGTATCAGTACGTTGCTAGATGTTTCCTCTCTGCAGCCTGCGCATCCTCCGTCTCTGTCTCGATGGTAGGCGCAGCGGCTTCCTCGTCAGGGGGCGCTTGTATCCTCCCAGCCTCGACCTCCTCGCGCAGGGCACTAATCCTATCCTCCTCGAGGCCATATTTCTTGCAGATGCCAAAGATCCGCCAGGCCTCTCGGTCTCTCTCTGCAATCAGCCTCTTGACGAGCTCGACCGACAGGTCCATCATGGCCCGCCTCTTCCGACTCTCCGGCAGATAAGCCTTCCTAAAGTGCGGCGCGACGGCGAAGAAGTATTCCTTGACCCGGTGCGTCGGCCCGTGGTGCTCGACGTGGATCTTGAACATGAGCTCCCAGATGGCCAGCGTCTTGCGGACCTTGAAGTGGACCATCTCGCCCACGAGAAATTGGGCAATGTCCGGGTTCGTGCACTTCCAGAGCAGGTTCCGGAACGTTTCCACGTTGGGATCCGAGGGGACGAATTCCCGTATGCGCCGATAGAGATCGAGCGCCTTCCCAAATGCTTCTTCGGGGTGGTCCGCGTCTGACCGGGCCATCTCGTTCAGCACCGCGTTGAAGATCCCGATGGGCACCTTGTATCGCAGCTTCAGGTCCGCCATGGCCTGCACGGCCTGGTCGATCAGGGCCGGGTTGCGTCGGAGTGCCTGGCGTAACGAGCCGGTCGAGGACTGGTTGACCTCTGCGCCGGCGCCATCCATGATGCAGTATGTCTCGATCGCCCTCTCCATGTTTCCCTGCACGTTGTATGCATCAGCCAAGGCCTCGTAGTGCGGTCGGCTCAGCCTCGTCCCTCGCGAGGCCAGATACTGGATGACCCTCGTGGCAAGCTCTGTGTCGCCGTACGCTGCAGCCATGTTCAGGACATTGAGGGCGATGCCGTCCGACGGGTTGACCACGCCCGCCTGGACGGCACGGTTCCAGATGTAGGTAGTCGCCTCGTGATTCTGGTGCTTGCTGCAAACGTCGAGCAAAAAGTACCAGACGTTGACGGGCACGTTCTTTGCTTTGTCGAGCCTGTAGCGCACGATCCGCAAAGCATCGTCGGTGAACCCGAGCTTGGCAAAGACGTAGATGAAGATGTGGTATACCCACGGATCTACCACTATTCCGTTGCGAATCATCTCTTGTAACTTTTCCAGGGCAAGCTCGTACTGCTCATCTCGAAGCAAGCCCAGTGCAATGTACCGGTGGCCCTTGGGCAGTATCTCTATCCATCGTTCTTTCATCTCTCGTATCACGTCGTTTCGAAGCAGGTAGTCAGGGTGGATCGCCAAGGCCTATTTGAAAACCGCCAGTGTGGGCGTTGCTCCAAGTCAGCAAACATGATGACGATATGACGAATCTGGTCAGAGAAATCAGGGTGGTTGCAGGAGACATACGCGGATGGCACTGTGGTACGCCGTCGACGACCATGGGACCTGCTTCTCCCGCATCTCCTTGAGCAGCTTCCTGACCACATCCGCAGAGCCATCGGTCAGGGCATGCTGGATGAGTATCGTCTCGTACAAGAAGGTGTTGGGTAGGGCGCCGTCCGCTAGCACATGCTTGACCAGGGCCGCCGTTACCCTCCTCATCCCCGGCCGGGGTAGCTGTCGCGTGGCCCGAAGTGCCTCGTATATATGCTGGTGGGTCGTTCCGGGCGGGAAGTTATCGTAGGGCGGTCTCATAGAGATGATCCTGTCGACAATGCCGCGCCCGCGCCCCGAGTTCCGAACTTTACGGATGGTAGCTACTGACGAATTCAGGCCAGGCGGGTCTTTGGCCATCTCATCTGGGTTCTCCAGTGGACCAGAGGAAGTCGGATCATTCGTGATCGAGCCCCCCTCGGCAGGCTGGTCTCGCTGTCCTCCAGCCTGCGCGTCCTCGTCCTGATTGTTCCATGTCGCAGGCTCGTCCACAGTGGCTCTCGTCCTGCGCGTCTTCTTCCCTCGCTGCATCTGCACCTCTGCGTCGATCATCACCGAGAAAGGATCCTTCAAAGGTCGTCCATCATCCTGAAGACATCGCCGTGCGGTCGTGTGGAGTGGTCGTACTACAGCTCGTGCGCGGCTAGAGGCGCCATTGCTGCCTCTCGAAGGACGTGTACGCGCAGCCAGTCGAGGCAGGATTGCTGTGGAGAACGCTCTTGTAGAAATCACGGAATCAATTGAAGGACACAGGCAACGCCATAGCCCATCAACCGTAACACGCGCGCCAGACATGGATTTGCTGTCATGCTCATGAGAGGTTAATATTTATCGAATGTTTTCAGGACGGGCAGTCTGAAGCTTTTCGGCAAAGTATTTACATAGGCTAAGCATGCCTGGCTCGAATCCCTGTCGCAGATCGGAAAGTTGTTGAAAGAACCCCACCATTCATCCAAGAGTCGATATGACTTAAAAGTATATACTTACCTACTTATACAGTAATTGATTTTATCTACCTTAGACAGAAAACTGAGTTGGTGCTCCTATATATCCACACCTTCATATTATCTCTAGACAATGAACTGTTTTGGAGACCCACAATAAGATAACATGCACAAGGCGAGGAACTGCTTGAGGAAAATGATTCTTGATCTCACAGCAGTATACCGGTGATATATGCCCTGACGACCTTGCTGCAAATACCATGCCACGCCACGCTGTTAACATATGGGAGCAGTATCTGCACAGGTACAGACAACAGAAATTAATCCTAAATGTCCTTGCAAGCTGCATGCTCAAGCAGATGTATGCTCTCGACGAGCCTGGGTCCCACACAGCAGAGGCCTCAATGTTGCCTTCGTAGAGGGATACCCTAAGGCCCTTACAGCATCCTCGCCGTGATGCCACCACCGCTCTGTCTTTGCCTACTCCTCCTCTTCCTACTCCTCCAGCAACAAGAGTCCCGGGTATCATTATGGCAGGCGGCACCACTTCTCTTTCAAGATCCAAGCGCACGTTTGATTTCCTCCTCAGCCCCTCACGCACCTCTTCCACGGCCCCGTCCACCCCTCTGCCCCCTGCCTCGCCCGCCCCGATCACCACCACCCCTCCCACCGTGGTCTCCTCTCTGTCCACCACCACCGCCGCCGCCACCCCGGCCGCCCCGGAAGTTGCCCTGCTGGTGGTTCTGCTGCTGCTCCTTGACAACGTCGATGATCTCGTCCGGAACGCGAAGGTATTTGATCTGCCCCACCCCAGACAATTCGCCGTCAGCAACGAAGAAATAAAAGCCCAACTGAATAATCAAATTTCACAAATGCTCCTTCTCTTTCCCCGGGGGATGAACAAAGACACGTACATTGTTTCCCTTGACATAAGCCTCCGTCAACCGCATGAACTTGTCGCCTTCCTATAGTCCAGAAAATATCCCACTGTCAGCCGATCCAACAAGACAACTGCGTCGCGCAGCCAAGGAGGGGTTTGTTTGTTCGTTCGTCCGAAGCGGAGGAGGAGCGACGACATACTGCGCTCGTCTGTATAACTTCTTTCAGGGTCAGGTTCATCCACGTATCGCAGTTGACCAGGTGTCCGTTGAGCGTCTCGCCGCTCTTGAGCTCCACGAGCATCGGGTGCCCTTGGGCGGCGTTGAGGAGGCCTAGTGGTAGCTAAAACCAGTCGTGAAAACGACATCCATCATTAGTTTCTCTATGTACGCGGGGGAGCGCGCACGCAGATTTGGGAAGGAGGGAATATGACACACCATGTTGGAGAGGGTTGTTCCTTTTCTGTACAAAGAAGAAAGAGAGAGGGAGGGAGGGAGACGGAGGTTGGAAAGGGGATCGTCGTGTTACTGCATGGAAGATGGCTATTTTGGTCGAGAGCTTTGGGAAAGATGCAGCCTTCCTTCGCCAAACTGCAGGTCCCGCGTCACTGGTACGAACCCCAAACGCACGGACCATGTCAAGGATTCGTAGCGCAATGGGTTACTTTACTATACTTAAGCAGCACCGAATACTTACATACTATAGTCTCTAGCTGGGCACCCGAGCACTCAAGGATACGCATCCATACAATCTAATCTCAGGAAGACATCTATTATTTCAAGTCAAGGGGAAAAAAAAGAGAAAGAGACAGATGATATCAAAAGGCTCATCATCATCAACATCCTAAGAAGAAAAGCCCTGAGAATAAATCAGGTCAAGCACTGCGCGAATACCTTCCTTTCCTTCATGCCTAGCAAGTGTTTGAGAAACAAAGGGTAGAAGGAATAGAATCAAAAAGAAAAGTCCTGCCCTTCCACCTGTTTGTCGATCGCCTATTCCAGCTCCACACACATATAAATCCACCTGACTGAGCTACTAAAGTTACTATTCACGAGACGATGCCCCTCATCGTTCTAGACCTTCCTCCTCCATGACCACATCACTTCTACTTCGTATCCGGCTTAGAGTGCATCTAGGAGGTGCTCTCACGGCTCTTCCGGTAGTTGGCCTAATTCATGACGACCGAATGTCAGTCTTGCGTTGGATTTTTCTTTTGATCAGGGCAACGAATACGCCGAAGCGCGACTTGCCTCCTGCTCCACCTGCAGACCCTCGATAGTAGGTGCAAGCTCGCTCAGGATCTCATAGGCCTTCTTGTGGTACTCCATCTGGGCCGAGATGAGCTCGGCAAGGTTGCGGAGAGGCTCAGGGGTATCAAGAACCTGTATTTTTGTGTTGTTTGTGCTCATGGTCAGTAACGCGGCCTTTTTGTCTCTCTCTCTCTCTCTTTCTCTCTCTCTCTATCTAAATGCAACAGCAGCGGCGTAGGGGCAGAACAGCTCACATTCTTCATCACTCCGACGGCCTCTTCGGTCTGCGTCACGAACTCATCCTCGGCTTTCTCGATTTCCTCCTGCGCCTCGGGGCTGATCTCCTCCTCGTGTGCACCCTCGCGCGGGCTCTGGGCGGCCGCGACGGCCGGCACGGGGAGCTTCCAGGTGGCGCCCTTGGCCTTGGTCTTGGCCGCGTCCAGAGTCAGGCGGGCCTTCTCGACGCCCTTGCGCGCGCGGGTGGCGAACATGATGTTGGTGTTTAGGGTGGTGTTCCAGCCAGCCAGGTACCGACTCTGAATCTGGGCATCCTGGGCCAGCCTGGCCTCGCCGACGCGCTCCTCAGCCAGGGCAAACTTCTCGAGGGCGGTCGCCAGTGGGTCCTCGCCGGCGGCGGTGTGCTGCTGGTGCAGGAGCTGGCTGCTAGCCAGAGAGGCGCGGGCGATGGCGTGGGCGAAGGTCTTGGGCTGAGGCTTCGCAGAGGGAGGGGCGGTCAGGGCAGCCTGGGCCTCGGCCGGGGAGCTGGCAGTTGATAGCAGCTGGACCTTCTCGCTCACTGTACGACCGAGGTCTTGGAACGTTTCGTTGATGTTGCGTGGGTAGTCGTAGGCCTCGGAAGAGTACTGGTTGCTGCATCATGATAAGGGACGATGGGTCAGTGAAATCATGTCTCGTTTGGTTCCGTTTCAGGGTTCGTGGATCGTATCTGGTATCGCACTCACGTCACAGCCAGCATCTTCTGGTGGACCTGCTTGAGAGCATCCACGCGCTTTTCAAGGTCGATGTAGTCGGGAGGGAGTTGGGTCTATATGTTATGGAGAGCACGGATCGGTCAGCACATGTACTGTATGTTTGTGTACCCCCCCTCCCCCCTTCCTCCTTGGGGTCTTTTTTCTTCTCCTCCTCTTCTCCATTTGATACTGACCTTATCATCAGCCTGGCCTAGCTGCTCTTTGGTGTACTGGAAGGTACGGGATGCGAATGGGGTGATCTGGGCCCCAAAGCCACTGGTAATCATCAGCTTCTGAGGTCTTTTTGTATTGCATGACCAAGCCATCCCATCTCAAGATTGAGGGTGGGGGAGGGGGTTAGAGATGATTCGAGAGCAGTTTCTGGTTTTTCCTCTTTCTTACCTAAGGCTTTTGCCAAAGTTCTTGAAGTTATCCATGGTTGATTTTTGGGACTGTGGCTCGATGAAATCTTTCCAGCTTTGACGTTGAGGTTGGATGTTGTTGTCCTGGCAAGGGTTGAGGGAGAACGACACGGGTGGCTTGTTTGTCTCAATGACCAGGCATCAGCTAGGTATCTGGGTTGTGAGCGCTGGAATTAGAAGGGGGGGCAGCTTCCGGAGCAACGGCCTATCAGGAGCTTGCTGGCCTGTGACAGCATTGCGGGGCAGGGTACTCATTTTTAGGTAAGCAGGTGGCCCTAGGGTTGATTGCTAGCACTTGAGTACTGTGCCAATGTGGCGGCTGGCGGGTGATTTCTCGCCCTGAACACATCTCGCATATCCTTGAAGCTGTGAAGCTGCAATGGGTGCTGTGACAGCTCACCACACCTTGCACAGGATTTGACACCTCTATCATGTTTTCAAGACATGACTTCAGTTTCTTGTTTTTTTTTTGTTTTTTTTTTTCATGAGACAATACCATTGTCGGGTACTCACTCATCAAAGATGAGTCTCTAGGCGCAGTGTTGCCAAGAATTCAAACGTCCTACACAATTGAACTGGCCAAGAGAGATATTCCTCTGCTCTGAAATGCCACCTGATACTATGTAGACAGCTAATGTAGTATCCATATATCATAAGAAACAAGCCCAGTATCAGGATTGCATATCTGAGAAGCACAAATAGATTCAAGATCTTTTGTTCAAGATGCTACATATTTCCTTTACGCCTGCTTCCTAATCCAACCAAGAGATGGCCAAGTCCATCCAGAACCACCTGGGTATTCCTATACTTACTATACTCCTGAGCACCTTCTTTGTGTGAAACCAAGGTGTAACAGAACGCCCCCCAGTCGCCCACCCTCCCGGCTTATACAGTTATATTTCCCTCCATCTTGTACATGCACATAAAAATATGTAAATCTCCCCTTATGCCTCTCTCACCATGACCGTTCTGGAGTCAGCCTCTCCTTCGTCGGGCTGTTGCTCCTACTTCGCTGCTCAAAGGTCTCGACTAAATCCAGAACCCTCGTCCGCGGCCTTTCGTACCGGACCTCCTCTGCCTGCATGGGAACACCTGGCGAGAGGCTCCTCCTGCCCTCGTAGTGAGACGAGTCCTCACTGCGGCGCAGCTGGGGCACCTCGAGCAGTCGCGCCTTTCTCTCGTCCTGTTTGACTTTCTCGTTGGTTGCGCTCTCAAAGCTCCTCTGCTCGAGCAGGCGTTTTGTGTTTTCTTCTTTGCTGTTGTTTTGGTCTTTTCCCTTCTCGTTGGTTGCGCTCTCGAAACTTCTCTGTACGAGTAATAATGGTGCCACCTCCTCGGGCTGCTTCCCCTTTTCTTGCGCCCCAGCCTTGCCCGAATTCCTCCTTCTCATCTGCTCCTCCTCGTTGTTCTCATCATCACCAGCATTTCTCCCACTGTCAACTTCTCTTTCTTCCTCAAAGATGAGCGAGGGTCTTCTTCTTCCGTCTCCTCCCCTCTGCCCCCCAATGCTCCCTTCTTCCCCATCGTCGTCGCCGTTATCCCCGTCATGTTCCGGATCAACGATTACCGCAGACTCCGCGATAGAGATGACATCAGGCTCGCCATTAACGATCCTTAATCTCTCCTTCGGGACGCTGAACATAACCTGCACAAGCCTCTGCTCCGCCGACCTTTCAACATCCCAGTCGTCCTCCTCATCCCCGTGCCCGTCAGCGTGGGCAGCAGCAAACCCGCCCGTTCCCCCGCCAATATAATCCTCCCATGCCGACCTTCCCTGCTTCCGCTTCTGCAGAAGTCCATACCCGCCCAAGCCCAGCCCGCCACCGAGCCCCCAACGGTCATAGTCGCTGGTGTCACCCCGCGTAGGACTCTCCGTGCGGTTTGAGCCCGCCGCCGAGCTACCACTACTGCTCGGTCCGCTAAATACCCTCCTTAGGCTGCCGAACCAGCTCCTCCGCGGCGTCTTGCTCTTACTCGGGCTACCCGGTGCGCCATCGTCGTCCGAGACGTGCGTCAGATCCTCGATGTCCGAAATAGGTCTTGGACGGCCGAGGAGTAAGGTGGGACCCTCAGTCTGCAGTGCTGGGATGGACTTGGCCGTGATAAAGCTGCTGTTGCTGTTGCTGCTGCTGCTGTGGTCCGAGTGCGAGGTGCCTCCTCTCTTCTCAGCACCACCGCTGGCCCCAGAGGCAGCGAGCAGTCCTCCTCCAGCGCCAGGCGCAGCCACCCGCAAGGAGTCGGACCGGTTGACCAGAAAGCTAAAGGCACTACGGTTCGAGTCGGACAGACCGCTCTCCGTGCGCGCCCCGGGCGTTGTCGGGGTGGACTCTCCATCTGCAAACCGGACAGACGAACGTCGGGTGGGTGAAATTTTGCCCATGCGCACCGATGCACCACGGGGCTGCAGGCGTCTTGTAATGAGGGCGTCCGAGGCGTCAACGTCTGTTACCCAGCCTGTCACTTCTGGGTGCTGCTGCTGTGGCTGGACCAGCGTCGGCATGGGCGTCGGCGCGCGGTGGTCGTGTTCGTAGACGTGGTCGTGGTCCTCTGCCGTCGGGCTGCTGGGCGGGTTCATGTTCCCAACAACGAAAGGACTCGGCATGGTATCGTTGACAGGCGTAACAAAGGGGTCATCCTCGGTCCCCTCGACCTCTTTATCGGGACTCATGGCCCCGTGCATAGACATCTCGTCCTCCTCGTCCTCCATGATGGGCGAGATTGCCGCAAACGTCCTGCTCTCGTCTACACCCGTAGGCTGATACAAGCCCTGCGCCACGCGAGGGTTAGGTTTCCTGCGAGTAGGACCCCGGTACCCAAGAGGAGGCTCAATAGACGCCAGGCCGCCAAAGTCGTGATGCTGCTGTTGCTGAGGACCACCCCGTTGACCGCGGAGGCTCTCGTAGCCCAACGACTTCTCATCGCGGAGATACGGATCATGTCCACCGGTATACGAATACCAGCGCGCTGCGGCCTTGGGAACCCATGGGTAATGCTGCTGCTCGTGTTCTGTCTCGTACATTTCCTCTGGGGTGATGAAGGGTGCTCCCGAGGTCAGGCCGCGAATGTGCTCATCGCGGTGGGCATGCCGGTGGCGCTGGCGGCGACGGAAGCAGAAAAAGGCGACGCAGAGGAAAATCAAGAGGAGGGGGATGCCAGCGCCTAGACCTACTTCGAGACCTAATTTTGTGTTGTCTGTTGAAGAGGAAGAAGAGCTGCCAGTGCCCGAGGAGGAAGAGGATGATGAGCTCGTTGGGTTTGTGTATGAGTCGGACCAGGAGAGGGAGGTGAGGTTCAGGAATGTCTTGAGCTGTCCGCCGGCCACGCCGATGCTGTCTCTCGTGCGCAGTTTGGATGTAGATGACGAGGATGAGACGGAGTATCCACCTGCCACCATCATCACATTGCCAGGCAGCAGCGCAGCACCATGACCAAAGATACCCTCACCACCAGTCAGAGGCTGGTCTTCAGGAACCACCCAAGTCCACTCGCCAAACGCGCTCCCGCTCAGGTCTAACACCACAAGCTGTGGCTCCGCGGGTGTGCTCGTATTGCCGACCCAACCCCCCAGAATAATCAAGGCCGTGCCAGCCTCGTTCAGCACAGCCGTGTGCCCGGAGCGGGACTGGACCTGCACATTGCCGTCCCCATCTTCGTTCTTGGCCAGCTCGCTGCCGACGGACGACGACGACGAGGCACCAGACGGGCCGGAGATGGCAACATAACTCCACGACTCCTCAGGCAGGGACCAGATGGCGGCCGTCGAGATGTTGACAAAGGCATTGCGCGTGTGGCCGCCCAGCACGATGCTATTGACTGTCTGGGTCACCGTGCCTGAGATGTTGGACGTAGAAGGGGGCAGCTGGGTGAAGGTAAAGCCGGCCTCTGCGACGGGCTGGGACGCCAGCGACAAGATCTCGGCCTCATAGCCGTCAGCCGAAGACGAGGATGTGAGCCTGATCATGGCGTTGGAGTAGTCTGCCGCGTTGACCCAGGTGGTTGATCCATTTATGGTCGCGTTGGGACACTGGCCCCCGTATGAGTAGATTTGGGGTGTTGATATGGACGGAGCAATAACTTCGGAAAAGGCCACGCCGCCTCCTAGGAAGTTAGGACCTGTAGTGCCGTCTAGAGAAGAAGAATCTTGTTGTTCTTTCCATGCTGCCTTGCCAGAAGTGGTGTTGTAGATCCATACTGACGAGCTATCGTCGGATGCACAGTCGCCCGCAAAGACAAGAATGGATCCATCTGCTGCGAGCGTGGGCGAGAATGACGTGGTGTTGGTTGACGAGAGAAAAGGCAGCCCAGATGTGAGTGTCGTGACAGCACTGGTAAGAGAAGAAGAGGCCAACGTAGACGAGATGTCGAGGGACAATAGGTCGACCGAGCTCCCATCGTCGTTGGGCGACAAGATGTATGCTGTGCTGTTGTCGTTGCTGCTGCTGTTGCTGCTTGCCTCCTCTGCCAAGCCACCAGGTATGAGGATGGTCGTTGGTATGTACGGCAGGAGCGATGTTGTCTTGGCACCTGCTACAGCGGAGACGGCAGACGAGGCTAGGATGACATTGACCATGATCGTCATGGCCGAGGGTCCTCTCCGGATCGACAGCGCCGCCGCCCCGGAGCGCCTTGTCTTGACGGTGCTGTCCAGCATTCCAGTGGTTGGCTGGATGGGGAGAGAGAGAGAAAGATGTCTTGAATTAAATTTTCGCTTCACTTCCTTTTCGGTTTTGGTTTTTTTTCTTTTTCTTTTTTTTTCTTCAAAAGTCTTCTGGCCTGCACATTACACACAACGAGAGAGTTCCTGTCTCTCAAGTCATGATGATGGCCCGGAACAGAAATGAGAAGGAAAACATTTGACCTGACCCTATATCATGCGTATCTGCTCTGGGTGGTTGCAGATCCGTGACAGCCTTGTCCGGGAGCCCGGGCGTTGTCTGGGGTGCAGGTGGTGGTGGAGGAGGAGGACAATAGAGAAGGCGTTGAAACAAAACACAACAACAGCCCGAAAACAGAAGAAGGACCCTGGCTCACTCAGGCTGTACGACAGCTGCAATGTTGCAGTGCATGAAAGTGATGCAAGATGAGCTGTTCCTTTTCACTTTGAAGAAGAGAAGATCGTACGAAATCAAAAAAGACCTCAATATAGTCTGTGGTTGAAGTGGTAAGTGTGATAGTATGGGTCCAACAGGGAAACTTGTCCAGGGTTGAGGCGACTGGGACAGCGGGGAATTGGGTGGCTGGTGATGATGGGTTGGAGGGTCAGGGAAATCCGATGCCGAGCAGGGTCAACAACAGGAATCAATCTTGCATATGCTGCATGTACTGTAGTACTGTGCAACATGCAACAAGGACAGGGCTGCAGATAAAACAAAGAAAAGTGTGGTCCCTGAGAAATTAATACCCATATACAACACAAGAGTAACATTCACATCCAAGATTTCTTCAGAAGAACTCGCGTGCTGCTGCGCCTGACAGGTTTTGGAGCACAACAAAAAAAAAAGAGGATCTGGTGCTTGGTAGCTGACCGTGGCTGGCCAATCGTAGATTTCTGGTCATCCATCTCATTGCGCGTCCACACATAGTGCTGTGCTAGTGGTACAATAGTATTTGACAGGAGGCTGGTAGCTGCACGTCGGGGTGCAGGGGGCGCGTGCACAAGGCTGTTGCTGGGGTGATGACTTACACAATGGAAGGCCATCATGATAGTAGCTGACCTCTTTTCATTTCTACTCTGGTACAATACTGTATATACACACATGAAGATACATGACGATGCTTGAATTTAATAGCCAATGGACTGACAGCAGGACCAAAGTACAAAAGAAATTCTATCCGACTTGCCACTCATGATTTGATCCATTGTGACTTCCCCCTGAACACACAAGATACAAACCAAAATCCACCCCAAACAAGCAAGTAGCCTGCTCCTTCCTTAAGACAGCCTCACATTTCTTGCCTCTGATATTTTTCTTCTCCTTTTGTCTTCCTTTTTCAACACCATACTAATAATCATCATCAGAATATGGATCGTCAATATCCATACCAGCCCCAGCCTGCCCACCAGCCGTCGTCCGCCTCGTCTGCTCAGCCGCGGTCGTCCTTGCCGCCGCCACATCGCGCGTCACTATGGATGTCGCCAGCTGCGAGCGCAACTCGTCCGCCGAGAGGTCTCTATCCGTTACCAGCTGCTTTATGGCCAGCAGCTGCTCCTTCAGATCCAACACCTGCGCTCTCACACCGCGCAGGTCACCAATCGTAGGTCGCCGTCCTAGCTCCTCCAGCGCCCTGTCGCGCTCCGCCGCCGCCGCCTCCTCCCTCGCGCGCGCGCTCCCAATTTCGTTGGACAGACTGACCCATGTCTGCTTGGCTGCCTTCCACTGGCCCTCCTTCTCCTTGCCTGCCCGCACGGCCTGCAGTGCGTCCGTGGCCGTCTTGACCGCGTGCCTCTGCGCCTCCAGCTCGTGCTTCAGCGCCTCGATCTGCGCCGCCTGGTTCGTCTTATCGCGCTGCAGCTGCGAGTTCTCTCTCGACGCCGACGTCGCCGCCCGAATCTGCTCCTCGTACTTCCTCTGCCATGAGCTCACCCGTTCCGGCCAACGCGGCTGCACGAGCCCGAGCACCCCAGGCTGCGCCTCCAACTCCGCCGTCACCTCTTGAAAGTTGGGACTGAGAAAGATGGTCGAGTGGCCGCTTCCTCTCAGCCGGTACACTCTGGAGCGGATGTCCATGGCCGTCACTCCAGATGTGTGCACCGCCCCGCCAGGCGTCTGCACGAATGCCCTCTCGCCCACCAGCCCGGCTTCACGATACGTCTCGGCCACCTGGCTCTCGATCCCTTCCTTGCCGTCAAAGAGCCGCTGCAGAGTTTCCCAGGTCCCGTCGCCCGCGTTGACTAGAACATAGCGGTCCTGGCCCGCCACGAGCTCCCGAGCCGGCCGCCCGTTGGTGCTATCTTCGCTGCTATTTAGCGACTGCATCGGCGCCACGGCGTCCTTGGCCAGCGCGTCGCGCATGTTGGCCATGTCCAGCTCCATCTCGTGCATGCGGATCGTCAGGCCTTGCACGTGCATGAGCAGCTGGCCCAGTAGGGAGTTCTTGACCCCACGCAGCTCGTCCGAGCTGCCATGTTCTTCATCTTCCAGCGGCACAAGCGCCAGGATCCCGCCCATTGGGCTGTACTCGTGGTCCAACCGCTCCAGACACTCGTTGGCGTGCATGACGAGGTTGTGGTGGCTCGCGTTCGGCTGCCTGGCCACTTGGGCTTGATAGTACTGGTTCTTGGTCGCCTCCCTGAGCCCCCTCGGCGGCACGTCGGTGAGGGGGCAGCGGAACAGCGTGTCGTCTGCGTCGTTGCGCGACTCGACCTCGTTCATTAGCGCGTTGAGGGGCTTCCAGTGCTCCGGGTCATCGTTTTGGTACGGCACCCCGAGGTCCGCTAGCCAGTCGAAGGCCGAGCCCATCTCGAGCCGCCGCTTAGGGTTCAAGACGTAGGGGTCTTTCGGTGCCGTCGCGGTGCCGTCGTCACTGTCGCGCGCGTCCCAGTCGCCCTGGCGTTGTCCGTCGACGCGGCCGCTGTGCAGGCTCGGGTCCAAGTACGAGATGAGCAGCGCCAGGGACTGGGCGTGCTGCTTGAGGGCGTGCAGCGTAGGCGGGTGGCCCGGGGTGCCCAGGTAGGAACAGTTCATGTGGGCAAGCATGCGGGCGTTGACGTCGTCTTCACTGACGATTCGTGACCAGGGGGATACGTAGGGCAGGGCATAGTCTGTGCCATGGTAGTAGCCTATCTGGCCACCCTGCCCGTGGTTTTTGTCTTCGTGTTCGTGCTCTATGTCGTGAGACATGCTGACAGTTGATTTGTTTCCGTGTTGCTGACAGACTTTGTGCTTGCAGACAGAAAGGTAGGTGTGTATAGTTGCTGCCGGTCGGGTTGAGGCTGTTCAAGAGTGAGAGAGAATGTGTGAGAAAGATGAGGGGTTGCGAAGAAGCAGCCTGCGAGCACCCACAAACCTGCAGAAGTGAGAGCTCAAAGGGGGGAGAAGGAGGATGTGGCCAGCTTGGGTTGATTAAATGGATCTGGACTTTCTTTTGTCTTCTCAGCTTCTCAGACATCCCGGCGCTGGTGAGCTCCCGTTCATTGTTCCATTTGTTGCCTCCCGTCGCCGGAACTGGTCGTTTTCTTCTTGTTGTCTCGTTGTCTCTTTGACAATGGGCTTCAGCTCATAATACACAGTATTGAAGTGCATGCCTTCGCTTTCCATTTCCGTCATTCAAAAAGGCGTTATAAACAATGCTCAGACTGACCCTTTTAGCACGTCAGTCAGTTCCTACTCCGATCGCTTGAGCATGTTTATCAAGAAACTCGAGGACACCGACAAGTGTATCTGAATTCCAGTGCTGTGGCCATACTTGTTTGAAATATCTCTTTCGTCGGCAGATATGTAGCAGGCGCTATGCCTGTCATGAACAGTATCACAAAGAAGCCCTGCGACAAAGGACAGAAGATTTTACCAACCAAATGTATTTTCCATTCCCGCCTCCCCTTGTGGCCTCACCCCCCCCCCCCCCCTCTCTGTCTCTCTCTCTCTCTCTCTCTCCAAAAAAAATCCCTGCCCTACCAAAAAAACCCACAGAAATACCATAATAACCTGCATGTCGTGATACAAAGCAATCTCCACAAGCCCTTCAACAAGAAGAACACCGTCATCCACAAGTTTGCACCCTTGTGGGGCGAAATTGTGTAAGATGATTCGTCGGCTTTTGGCCAGTAAACCGAAAGTAGAAGTTGTAAGACTGCCATTAATTGGTCAAGTAAGAGACGACTCTGTGCCCCATGAGGGCTGCCCCCAAAGGACTTCAAGGCGAAACAGCCCTTTCCTACTCATTAGGTAGGAGGAGATGACGATCAAGGGAACGAGTGTGAACGAGGCCCCAGATCCATCTGTGTGGAAGAACATGGGAGTTATTCCTTTTCATATAAATAGAGACTGAATGCTCTCTCTTGATCTCTCTGCCTCTCTCCCCGTTCTCTAAAGTGTTGAGAAGATACACCAGAGTATTCATTCCTCACTGATTTATTTGTACAGCTCATACTCTTCCTCCCCTTCCTCAAGTCTTCTCGTAACAACTGGCCATCATGCCTCCCCTCAACATCGCCTTCAACCCAGCCAAAGACATTCCCTCGCTCCTAGGCAAGACCATCCTCATCACCGGCGCCAATACCGGCCTGGGCAAGGCCAGCGCCCTCGAACTCGCGAGGCACAACCCCTCTCATCTCTGGATGGCTGCGCGCCACCCAACAAAAGGCCGCGCAGCCGCCGCCGACGTCCAGAGACACGCGCCCGCCGGCACAGCCGTCTCCTTCCTGGAGCTCGACCTCTCGTCCTTGGCCTCGGTGCGGGCCGCGGCGCGAGCGTTTTTGTCTTCGGCCGCCCGCCTCGACATCCTGCTGCTCAACGCTGGCATCATGGGCTGCCCGCCGGCCGTGTCCGAGGACGGCTACGAGGTACAGTTCGCGACGAACCACCTCGGCCACGCACTGCTGCTGCGTCTCCTCACCCCGCTGCTCCTCACCACCACCACCACCACCACCACCACCGCTGATGCCGGTGCTGCTGGTGCTGCTGCCACAAGCGATGTGCGCGTCGTCAGCCTCGCGTCAGTGGGGTACAAGTACGTGACGGCCGGCACGATCCAGTTCGACACCCTCGCAGACCGTGATCAGATCATGGACCCGAGCGTCGTGAGCCCCGTCCAGCGGTACACGCAGTCCAAGCTGGCCAATGTGCTCTACGCGCAGGAGGTGGCGAGACGGTTCCCGCAGTTCACGACGGTGTCGGTCGACCCGGGCGCCGTCGCCACGGAGCTGTTCTCGCGGGAGCCTGGGGATGCGCAGATGGAGACGCTGCAGACCACTGTCGCGCCGCAGCGTGGGAGGCCCGTGGAGGAAGGGGTGCTGAACCCGCTGTGGGCGGCGACGACGGTGCAAGGCGTCGAGAGTGGCAGGTTCTACGAGCCCGTTGGGAAGGGCGGGCTTGAGGAAGGGCTGGCGCTGGACAGGGACTTGGCCGATAGGCTTTGGCAGTGGACGGAGAAGGCACTGGAGGGACAGGAATGCTGACGCCTGTACATAGTACGCATGAGTTACTGTGCAGATGCGTCTCAACACGTAATTACCATGGAAACCATGCTAGCCAGTTCATGATGCCCCCCCCCCCCCCGACAAGGCTGGTCAGTTGCATGTCCCGCCGGCATTGTTCTTGACGCAAAAGTGCGACTCGAAAGCCCCTCAAAAATGTCAACCGAATCCGGAGGCCTCACCTCACATCTCATGAAATAACTCATCACTAGGTGAGGAGAGGGGGTTTTTTTGTGGTGGTTTTTTTTTTTTTTTAAAAAAAAAAAATTTATTAGTAAAAAAAAAAAAAACCAACTTTGATTTCTCTTTGTTGGTGGAAGTTTGCGCGACTCGATGCTCGCGCTGTTTTCGTCCGACGCAGCTGGAATGTGGCTCAGCAGTAAAAAGTCAAAAAGATAATAAAAAATGGGGTGGTTGCTACCGGCTGCACCGTTAGACAACGCATGCAGGGACGGGAATTTGCTGACCGTTGGGAATGCTAGCGACAACAGAAACAGCTCTAAACATACTATTTGGACGCACCGTCTGAGTCGGAGCAGCTTTGCGAGGCCTCTTACGCATAGCCCTTCCCCAAATCGACCTCCTCCGTTATTGGTGAGAGGTCATGCACCATGGCAGCTGGTGCCGAGGGTTTTCGGAGCCCACCAACCAATCCCACTGCCAGACAGCGGGCGGGTTCTAGGCCTTTGCTCATGGCTGAGCAGTCACGGCAGTCTTTGAACACCCTCCCACTTCCCTCGGAAATCCCACTAGGGTGTCTACTAGCGTCCTGGCGCACTTGCTCGGCGTGGTCCGTCGTCGTACCCATTGTTATGCATTATAGCCTCTACTACGTGTTTTTATCTCCGCGGAAAGAGGAGGATGTACGGCCATGACATACATCTCCTAAAGAAAGAAAGGAACAAAATATTTGTGGATTCCATGCGTTGGTCTCGTATCCAAATGACATGTGAGATGATCATCGCAATCTGAACTTGGTTGCTAGGTTGGGGCAGCGGGGGAGTTCGCAGGATCTTGGACGCCAAAACCGGAGACAGCCCGCTCCGCAGTTCAGCCTATGTGGTTTGCTTCCAAGCCTCCAAGTTCAGTAGTAAGGATTTCAGGGTCCCTCCCACCTCCGACGATGACGGTCGATCGTTGATCTTGATCTCTTGGTTGCCGCCGCTCGAATGGGAAACCCGATTTTTTCTTTGTGTAACGCGACCAACAGATGTTGCAGAGCTGGACAGCCACAAGCTGCCGGATCCGGCATAGAGCAGTGCTCCATTGAAATCATCTGTAGTACCGTTCATCAGAAACTTGTTGTCGCTCACGGGCCAGAAAGATGAAGCAGCAAAACAATTCGATGATGTTGTCGCCCCCTCGTTAAAGGTTTTTCACCACACAGTACATGTACCACCATATTTTACAATTCACGGCGACTCATGCAGGCTGGGGAGTGACTGCTGCGAGGTGGACGGATCGAAAACAAGATGGACCGTGATCCTCGATCGCAACCACGACAGAAAAGCTGTGTGAGTGATCATGTTGACAGTGGACCGAAACGGGGACAAGCCCTGAAGCTTAGTCCCCATACCAACAATGCCCCATCGGACGACAGACGCCCAGCTAGAACAAGTTGCGGTCAGAACGCTGGCCCTGCAGCCTACAGCATCATCGCATGGGCTGCAGCCAGACGAGCCAGAGCTCAAAAGCAGGTGTCATGAAGGGGGGGAGGGCCTTGACGTATTTCTTGCTGGTTCGACGTGCAGTACATCTGCCAGTCCTGCCAGGTTCGGGTCTCGAGTACCGCAGCACCACACACCTGGCTCCACACACATGCCAGCACTATTGAGTGAGACCCTTGAGAGATTGCGGGTCGCGATTGCAAGGGTGCAATTTACGGTCGATGCACGATTCCTGGTTTTGGTCTCAGACATCGACCCATCTGGCCTTGCTTTTTGAACGGCCTGATTCGCCCACTGGGCCGTGTGCGTGTGTGCATTGGCTGGAGTTTGATGTTGATTGAGGGGAGATTGGGAAGCTAAAAAATAAAAACAAAGGAAAAAAAGTTCAAGACGGAAGAAGAGGGGGAAGAGAGATCTGATGCACCGTAGTACTGCGGGTGCTACTTGCCTGCTTGCACTAAAAAAAATCTCCCAAAACTCGATCTGGTAAGCCTCATCCCTTCTCTTCCAACAGGGGAGCAGCCGCCCAGGTCGAGCGCGTCCAGCTAGGCAGGGATACTGCTTCGTGAATCATGCCCCTCAGACGTCATCGCAGATTGGCCAACCACACTGTTTTCACGGGATTTGGCGTCGAAGCTCAAGGTGCAATGTGGTTAGGCAAGGATCATGGCCAAGTTGCAGCGCTACTTCGGGAGATTGCTTCAGTTACAGTGCTCTGCCGTAGGCCTGGGCCTGGTCCCGGGTTTGGGGTTTATTTTTTATTTTATTTTTCCCTTCTGTTTTCTTCTTTTGGTTCTTAATAGGGCCTTCTCCTCCTCCGTCCATCCCTTTTCTTTGGCTTTTGGTGTGACATCGTCGTCCTACCCAAAGCTAGAGCAGTGCAGGTCTGCACCTCCCCGCTAGGTACTCTCTTTCTAGCGCTGAGCCAAGTGGTTTATCCTGTGTGGTCGCCTCATTACCTTCTTGCCTCGAGATAAGGTCGCACGACCTCCAGAGGCCGCCTCCTACCTTTTTACTTCTTGATCTAACACAATAAGAGATCATACTCTCTCTTCCTCTCGCTCTCTCTACACAACGTGCCGGTCCTTTACACTTGACCTACACCACGTTCACATCCCCCCTCCTATACAACAAAGGATCCAGTGGGATAGGCCTGCCAAAGGCTGAGTCCATCGCTCTGCATCGTCATTACCCAGGGCGCCTATTGAACAGTGGGTCTCGATCTCGTACGTGACAATTGTTGACTCGAATTTTCTGTCTTCTCCCTCCTTTATTGACTTGGTACTGAAATACACTGACGAGACGGCAGAAGCCATCTAGGGCGGTCCATCTCGCGTCAATCCTCACCATGAGTTCGAGTGCGGGGTCCAATCAGGACACGACGCCAGTGTCCCTGTCGGGCTTGATCTCGACTCTCGCGCCCGTCGCTGTCGTTGCGGGCATCTACTTCTTGATCTTCCTCATCCTGCGCCGCAGCCAGAGGCGTTTCTATGCGCCTCGTTCCTACATTGGGAGCTTGCGAGAGACCGAGAGGACACCTGCTTTACCGGGAGGCCTCTTCAATTGGATCGGCCACTTTTGGAAGATTCCCGACAGCTGGGCGCTCCAGACCCAATCTCTCGATGCCTTCCTCTACCTTCGCTTCATCCGCTTGACCGTCGTCATCTCCTTCGTCGGTTGCTGCATCACCTGGCCTGTCCTGTTCCCAGTCAATGCGACTGGCGGTGGCGGTCAGAGCCAGCTGGATGTCCTGTCCTACTCCAATATCAACCAGCAGACCGAGAAGAACCGCTACTTTGCCCATGCCCTGGTCGCCTGGGTCTTCCTTGGCTTTGTCATGTATATGATCATGAGGGAGTGTATCTACTATGTCAATCTCCGCCAGGCTTTCCTAATCAGCCCCATGTACTCCGATCGAGTGTCCTCCCGGACTGTACTGTTCACCTCGGTCCCTGACGACTTCCTGGAGGAGAGAAAGCTGCGCAAGATCTTTGGAAACTCTGTCCGGCATGTCTGGATTACTGGCGACATCAAGAAGATTGACGAGCTGGTCGAGAAGCGTGACAAGACGGCTTTCAAGCTGGAGAAGGCCGAGATCAAGCTTATCAAGCTTGGTGAGTTTGCCCCTCTACCCAATTACCCACTCTTGCCCTTTAGGGAGATATTTTGGAGCAAGTCTCGATTCTGACAATGTACCAGCCAACAAGAACCGCCTCAAGGCTACCAAGGGTGCTCCCGCCGACGGACAAGAGCAGCAGCCTGCGCTGGACGCCGAATCAGGTAGCATCGCTGCTCGCTGGGTTCCCGCCAAGAAGCGGCCCACCCACAGGACTGGTCCCCTCGGGCTCATTGGAAAAAAGGTTGACTCGATCGACTGGTGCCGCTCCGAGCTTGCGAGGCTCATCCCCGAGACGGAAACCGCGCAGGCTGAATACCGCACCGGCAGTTACAAGAAAATACCTGCCGTCTTCATCGAGTTCAGGAGTCAGGCTGAGGCCGAGACTGCCTACCAGGTTCTCGCTCATCACCAGGCGCTGCAGATGTCTCCTCGATACATTGGAATCACCCCTCAGGACGTCGTCTGGAAGTCTCTCACAATTCCTTGGTGGCAAAAAGTCATCCGTCGATATGCTGTTGTCGCCTTCATCACCGCCCTCGTCATCTTCTGGGCCGTTCCGGTCGCTGTTGTTGGTGCCATCAGCAATGTCAGCTATCTTGAGCAGAGGTTCTCGTGGTTGAGTTTCCTCAATAAGGTTCCTTCTGTGATCATGGGCGTCATCACGGCTCTTCTGCCCTCGGTCGCGCTGTCGATTCTGATGTCATTGGTGCCCGTCATCATGCGGCTCTGTGCGAAGCTCTCTGGCGAACCGTCGTATACGCGGGTCGAGTTGTTCACGCAGAATGCCTACTTCGTGTTTCAGGTTGTCCAGGTCTTCTTGGTCACGACAGTCACATCTTCAGCATCGGCCGTTGTCAACGAGATCATCTCCACGCCTCAAGATGCCACCTCGATCCTCGCCAGCAACTTGCCCAAGGCTTCCAATTTTTATATCTCCTACTTTATCGTGCAGGGCCTGTCGGTCGCAGCGAGCGTCATCTCCCAAGCAGTTGGCTTCGTTATCTTCACACTGCTCTACAAATTCCTCACCGGCACGCCTCGTGGTCTCTATAAGAAGTGGGCCTCGCTCAGCGCCATCTCGTGGGGAAGCACATTGCCCGTCTACACATGTATTACGGTTATTGCGATTGTGTACGCCGTCATTGCTCCTCTCTGCTTGGGATTCTCGACAATCGGCATGGGTCTGTTCTACTTTGCATGGCGGTACAACGTCCTCTTTGTGACGGACACGAGCATCGACACCAGAGGTCTAATCTACCCGCGCGCTGTCAAGCAGCTCTTCACCGGTATCTACCTGAGCGAGCTGTGCCTCATTGGCCTCTTTGGTGCATCGGTGGCTATCGGCCCACTGGTTCTCATGATTGCCTTCACCGTCTTCACGGTCCTCTTCCACATCAGTCTGAACAGTGCGATCGACCCACTGCTCTACAACCTTCCCCAGAGCCTTATGGCCGAAGAGGAATCCCGCCGTGTCGATCTGGCCGCGCCATCCAGTAATGAGAAGCAGGACGGTGCGAAGAATGGTGAAACGAATGGCCACTCGGTAAGTGGAAGCGTCCCATCATCATCACCACCACCCCCACCGCCATAGAAAATATCATGCTGGAACCACATACACTAACAACCAGGACAGCACACTTCTGCGCCAAAGAAGGCCAATTTGTTCACCAAGTTCTTCAAGCCGTGGATCTACGCCGACTATTACACCATGCAGGGCCTCGTCCCCCGACATGACATTGCCTTTGGCTACACCGACCAGATCGAGGCAGATGCATACTACCCGCCCTCTGTCACCTCTTCGGCTCCGCTGCTGTGGATCCCTCGTGACCAAGCCGGCGTGTCGGCACAAGAGGTTGCCCAGACCAGCAAGGTGATCCCCATCACGGACGAGGGCTGCGAGCTGAACGAGAAGAACAAGCTCGTGTGGGACCAGGATGGTGCCCGACCTCCAGTCTGGGAAGAGAAGATCTACTACTAGATGTGGTTGTGTGAAGGCGCCATGAAGCCTGGGAGGTGCGTTGGCGGGAGGGATGGTCCGATCGACGCTGAGAAATCTCGGCACATGTTGGTAATGAAAAGGGGTCGGCGATTTAGGCCCGTGTCTCTCTTCTTTCTTTCTCCTTTACTACCTGTCATTACTAAACGATGTTCACGCTGGAGCTGTCTGCCTCTTTCTCTGGTTTTCCTCTCCTCTGGAATGCATTCACTCGGGGCGTGTAGGGATGACTTTTCTAGAAGTTACTATGTCAAGAGTTACGGCAGCGAACATGATACCACTTTTATGCAGAAAATACAAATTTATTTAATGCGCACAAATTGCCGAGCCCAGGTGACATCTATTTGCGAGACCAAGGCGGCTGTTATGGTAACCGAAACAAGTCTGGACCAGATCATAACTTGTGTCAACATGACGTCTTAGACACCCACTGTAGAACCGAAGCTCGCTGGAGCTTGCTATGTATCAGACCTCGTCCCTCCCGGATTCTCGAATACCTGATAGATACTGTCAGAGGTAATAAACACATCGAAAAGGGCCAGTAAATCCAGGAGAGGATTTGTGGAGTAGGGAATAAAACTAGAATCAACAGTCATGATTATACAAACCATGAATATGATCATAAATTAGAAGATGTAAGATAAGTAGATATTTTGATATTTCTGTCTTTGCGTTCTTGTCCTGCCCTTCCGTTTCCGGCCCCCAAACAATAAATGTACAAGGGGCGATATAGGATTAGGGGACCTTGCCAGGTTGTTCGCTTACTTAATATACATGAAATTCGACGACGTCTGACATGGGCAAGCTCATCATGCTCCACACTTCATCAACCGTTCCTCGAGTCAACAGGCTGATTCGATTAAAAGAGAGAGAGAGAGAGAGAAGCGAGAATTCACGCAAGATGTCCATCTGCTAACCTTTGACGAAAGGCTCAATGGCTGGCTCTGAGCGGTATCGAAATCCTCAACAACTGAGAACGACGTGACCTGACTGGCTGAATGATGGCGTCAACGAGCCGAATGAGCTCACGCCACATATAACTGAAAGCAACGACCACCATTTTCTCTAGGCAGACAGACTTGCGAATTGTTCGATGGGATTACCGCGCCTCATGTCGATCATGATGCCTCCTCTCTACCATCACCGGCGCAGCCGGGCCAGCATCGTCATGTTCACCCTGGTGGCCATCTTTGGCGGCTACTCTCTCCTGCACCTCCTCGTCTCGCCACTCCAGCCCTTTCTACCCTTCTCCAGCCCTACATGGCCAAAATGGCAACCGCCAGCTACCTACCACAACTACACATCGTCTTTCTCCTTCGATCTAGACCAGGCTGTGCACCCAGAGTGGATGTCCAGCATCCCAGACACCGCCTCGCTCTCCAGCCTGTCCATACCAGGCACGCACGACACCTTCACCTTCGACCTGGTGGACAACAATATCTTCCAGTGCCAGAACCACAACCTCCAGACCCAGCTGCGCGCGGGGCTGCGCTACTTTGACATCCGAGGGAGGCTGCTCTACGGCGCCACCAGCTCGGGCGCGCCGGACAAGGCGCCGCCGCCCAACATTGGCATCTTCCATGGCCATGTGTACACTGGCTACACGTTCCAGGACGTGCTGCTGGCCATGTTTGCGTTTCTGGACGAACATCCCTCAGAGGGTATCGTCATGCGGGTCAAAGAGGAGGGCACGCCGCTGCCCGTTGGTGGCGATGGCGACCAGGACATCTGGACGACGGGCGTCTACAATGTGACCTTTGAGGAGGCCTTCAACTACTACCGCCTCCAGAACAGTGCCACAGCACAGGGCTGCGAGGAGCACCTCCTCTTCCCCTGGCCGTCTTCTTCTTCCTCCTCCTCCTCTCCATCGTCAGCCCGCGTCATCCCGACCGTGGGCGAGCTGCGCAGCAGGATCCTCGTCCTCTACGAGTTCGACACTCCTCTCGCCAGCAACTACGGCATCCCCTGGACCTCGGACCACATCGCTCTCGAGGACCTGTGGATCATCCTGGACCCGCAGCTCCTGGACAACAAGTGGGACGCCGTCCGGCAGAACCTGCTGCTGGCGGGGGCGAGCGCAGGCGACGCCGACAAGCTGTTCCTGAGCCATCTCAGCGCCAGCGTGGGGGTCTTACCTATCGAGGCGGCGGCGGGTCCGCTGGAGGATAGGACCAACGGCTCGGTGATTGCGGGGATCAATGATCGTACGGGGTTGTGGCTCGAAGAGGATGAGAAGGAGGGGAAAGGAGGAGGAGGAGGGAAGCTGGGCGAGAAAGGCAAGACTGGAGTGATCATGGGGGATTTCCCCGGGAAGAGACTAGTGGAGGATATCTTGAGGAGGAATGAGTGGTTATCCAAGTGATGTATGATGGGCTTAACAAAATAAAGGCCCAAGATCTGGAGCATTGCATATAGTTTTTCAAACATAGAGAGAAAACTTAGGAACGGCAGGCAGGCATAGAGGAAACCATTCATACTGTGGTAACAAATACACCGCTCTCAAAAGAAACTCTTCTCCCCTCTTAGCATGAGAAACGCCTTGAAGAGTCACTGTCGTGTTTCAGCGATATAGGATCGCTCTTCACACACGCAGCATAGATACACAACGTGAACAGGCTCAGATGCTCCCAGCACCTTTCTCCACACTTATTTGAGATAAAGAACAGCAGTGTTCACCACAACGCAGAGCAACCCGCCCTATGTACTTACATACCCGTCCCCTTCATGTGCCCAGCGAAGGGCCAATGGACCTTGCCGTCAAGTACGCCTCCTTGAGCATCCTGCGCCTCGTCAAAGATGGCCACATTTTTGCTCACATATTCCACACGAAAGAATAGAATAGAAAGAAAGAAAGAAGGAAAGAGAAGACCGCCAACAGGTCTCCCGATTTGACCAACTGTTGTGACTTTGTCTTCCCCAGCGGCCGTTCTAGTTCACTATGCCAGCTAAAAATGTCAAGTCTCGTCGCCAGGTCTGGGCTATGCTTTTTTCTTCTTTCTCTCTCCTCCTCGGGCGGAGCGCCTGGCAGTGCTGCCATTCCATCCCGACTGACCGGTCCAGAGAATATCAAGAAAACCATGCATGACAGATCGAGATGGTTTCAAGCTCAAAAGTGAGTCGCAGTCTGCCAGTGGAGAAAATAGCTACGAATATAATGTCGTAACGGCTTTGGGGGGGGGGGGGATTTTTTCTTTTGGTACCTCTTTGGTACTCGCATTGGTGAGTTAAAACAACCCGGGGTACATGGCTTGCTGACATATGAATATGGTAAAAGTTCCATCTGTTGATGGAGCAAAAGTGAAAAAGACATCATAGATCTGCGGAATCTGAGGGAGAGAAAGAAAATCTCCTAAAAATCTCGACAAATCGAAAAATTGGACGAGGGGCCGAGGACGAAATCCAGAACCAGAAATCAGACCAAGGAACCCAGTAACCCACGTGTCCCAACATCTACAGTACTCTACCTGGATCACCAACGCACACCCGAAACAGTGCACGCCCTCGGCCCCCAAATTATCTGCTGATGATCACCATTCGCCAAAGAGGGAGGTTTGCGGACGGACCGTGTAGATCTGCACAGGGAAGATTGCACAGGCGCCTCGGGAGGGGAAGAGAGAGAGAGAGAAAGAAAATTAGGAACCAATCGGAACATCCAAAACCAAGCCCAATAAAGGAGGAAGGGAAAGAAAAGGAGAGACAGGGGACGGAAGGGACAACAGAGAGAGAGAAAAAAAAAAACCCAGCTCCGAAGATCATGAAACGCCGAATCTTATGTGACCAAGATGGAAGGCTCAAATGCGGTAGCTGATGAGGATGATCAGTGACTTGTGGGAGCTGAGCTCGCCTAGTACCAAGTAAACCTCCATCCCAGTGGGCTGTCCAGCAAGCAGATGGATGTACTATGTACTATTGCTAACGTAAACAGTGTGGTACAAGTTAACCACACCACAGTTAGCACAATTAAAACCTCGCCTCGACTTTCCGAGTACAAAATGAAGCATGACATCAAGCGCCGCACCACACCTCATCAAGCAGCTAAACCCAACTTTGAAAGTCCCAAAGTGGGATCAACATTACCCCCTCTTCCAAATATCAAGAAGCAAAAAGAAAAAGAAGGAAGGAAAAGAAAAGAAAGCAAGAAAGAAGAAGGGAAAAGAAAGAGAAAAAGAAAAAAGAAAAAGAAAAAAAAGGCGGTTTCAAGCAAAATGAATGATTGCTGACTGGCTGATGGGTTGACTGGCAGGCATTTTATGAAATGACCAAATTCTTTTACTGTATGTAAAGTATTATGGTAAGAAGCAAAAGAACGCGACCTCAAATGAATCAATCAATCAAGCTCAAATTTTCATTGGGCTTACATTGCAAACACCAATCCCCTTTGTGCTTTTCTTCTTTTCCCCTTGCCTCCTTTTCTCCCCCTTCCCTCTCATCCTCCTGGGTGGATTCGTATGTAGTGACGAATTGTCTACTGCAACGACCCCTGACCGCGCGCGGGAGGAGACCACATCAGCATCATCACATGTTTGCGCCATTGCAGTGGAGACGGCGCGGCAGGGCGGACGGGTTGGGAACTCCGAACCGCCCGCTGATCTGTGATCGCGGGCCATGACCAGATGCTGGAGCCCAAGTGGCCCCACGCCCCCCATGTGAACGTGGCTGGAATGTCCACAGATCGCGATCATGAAGCAGTCCTACACAATAACATCATCACACAAAGTAACTCACTTGGCTATCAAAATGTCCTTATTCGTGCCAATAACCGGTGTTCGTGCCAATCAATGCTTCGCTTGTCAATGTTTTGCTTCTTTTGTTTTGTGTTATTCGCTGCTAAGCTGTGAATACCACATACTCTATATCAATCCAACACGTCCCGTCTTATGTACATGTTTCCTGATTAGAAAGTGCTTGTCCAGCCCCGACCTCGCCCCATTATGAGTTTAGTTTTCTGGAAAGGAAAGGTCCTTGTCTTCTCGCCTCCGTGTCCGTGTGAACGGTCGTGGTCGGGGCGCGCTCGAGTGACGCCATTTTTTGTACAACTCAGCTTCTGTTCCTCCTTCCATCGCCTGATCGTGGCGCTGGATTTATAGACACTAAGAAATAAGCAGCTGTCGCTCACCGTCGCCTGCTCTCAGACCAGTGTGAACTGACAGCGAAGCCGACTGCGTGTAATTGCCCCTGTAATGCTTTAACCAAACCCCAATCCAGCAACACCGTCCTGACCCAGCCGTGTCCCTGACCCGTCTTTTCTTCTCTCTTGACTTGCTCAAAAGAAAAACCTAGAAACAAAAATAAATAAAAAAACGCCGTCCTGGTATCTCCAAGTGTAACGCCAGTATGCAATCCAAAATTTGGGGCCAAACGCGCGGATGAGATTCGTTTGCGTCGTGAGATGCCGTCGCGACTATCCAAAGATTGCTCCTTGGTCCGTGACTGAACTCCAGAATGAGACCCTCACATTAGTTGTCATCGACGGGGTCGGGGTTGAAAACGCGGAGGGCTCGAGTTGGCTCGTGTACTCTTCGCGAGTAATCCTGGTCGTCGCGGAGCGTATTGATGCTGTCATGGCTTGCAGCACGGTACAGACCAAACGTCTGTTTGGGGTCCAGCCGGGGGTCCATGGGCTTCATGCTCATCCTCCTGCTCGGGGATCCGTAGCTTGTATCCTCCTCCATAGGCAGCCCATAACCGTGACTAGAGATCGTGCCCGTCTTGGACATGATGCCGGCCGAGCTCCCGCGCCTGTGCGCAGCGGCCATCGCAGCGGCAAGCGGTGCCTGTTCTGCCTGTTCCCGAGCTTTCTTGTGGCGACGATATAGAATAGCGCCGGCGACAAAGGCCGCGAGGATAGCCAAAATACCAATGACAAGACCCGCAATCGCCCCTTTGGAAAGGCCGCCGGAGCCTGAGCTGGCTTTCGCTATGGACGTCACGGTCTGGTAAATGACAGTGCCGTCGCTTGTGACCGTCTGGACGCTCGTCACAACGGTTGGCGTGTCACTGGTGGTAGTAGTTTTGGCAGTTGACTGAAAGTCCGTTAGCAAGGGGTTCCCAAAATAGTGTGATCGCATGCATCCAAAAAAAAACAAAAAACCCCCCCCCCCCAACAAAAAAAGAAGAAAAAGAAACCAGGCTCGATGTCCAGGCCTCAGAACAAAGACATTGATATAAATAAGGCACACGCAAGACAGCTTAAGAAGCATATACAGAAAAATGAGTCGCATACCGTGGTGTCCGTGGTGGTGTCCGAGGTCTTGGAAGAAGACTTGGTACTGGTAAGCAAAGTGGAGGAGGTGGTGGGGTCATTGGAGGTGGAAGTGGAGGAAGAGGTGGTAGTTACTGAGGCCTGGAGAGTCTCAGTTGTTGTCGTTATCGACAGGGTCTCCGCCGTTGTCTGCATCCCGTAGTCGTTAAGCGACCGTTCGACCACACCCGACGATAATTGTATAGACAATATTGAAACGCGGATGTGGTGGGGAGCGAGACATGCAGATAGGGTGGCTTTAAGTGCGGCGCGTACAGAAAGGGGGTACTTACAGAAGTATGGGTGGTGGACGTGGAGGTCGCCGTTGACGAAGTGCCTCCAGAAGTGCCCGAGACTGCTGCGTCTAGAGCAAGATAACCGTACAGGTCATCGCCTCCACAATAGTCAGAAGGATAGCCCGGACAGGCAGTATCGCTGGATTGCAAGTCAGCAAGCTTGTTCAGGTCTTGACTACGACGGGAGGATGGGTTTACTCACCATTTGCTTGTATCAACCTGGTCGTCCGAGTCGGGAACGTAATCGGCACACCAACAATCTTCGTCCTGCAGAACAGCCAGTGCGTAACCTTCGTCATTGCACTGGTCGTAGCATAGGCCTTCGGACATGTATATGGAGCTGTTGGCAGCCGTGGTACCGGTATTAATGCTGGCGCAATAGGCGATTGCTACCGAGGGCGTCGCCGCGGCATGGTAGACGCATAGCGAGGCCAGAGCAACGAGGGCGCCTAATGAGGCGGCAGACTTGGAAACGAACGACATCTCGTAAATCTGGCGATGGGCTTATTCAGAAAGTCTGAGTAACAACCAGAGTCAGTCTCATGATTGTAAATATATATGGCGTTTTGTAAACAGCCTCTGGAATGTATTGATGGGGTCGAAGCGGGGAGAACACCCCACGCGCGTTGGAGCGGGCCGCCCCTGAGGTAAAAGAGAGCCAAGGGTAGATATCTGGACTGACCTTTGAGAGTGATGATGTTGATACAATAAGTGAAGAAGAGGAAAAAGAGAGAGAAAAAAAAGTCCTGATTATTATCGCTGTAGCCCTTCGCGAACCCAGCACAGATATTCTCAAAAGCGGTTGACGAATGGTCCCGGCAAGTCCATCACAGCGAACAGCCAAAGAGGTGATAAATGATGAGGCAGGCGGCAATGATGGCACAGATGATTCGGGATCGAACCGGTTCGACTCTTAAGGCTGCCACGCGCCTCGAGCAAATGCCGACAGAATCTGATCTCGCAAATACCCAGAGCCGGCAGTCAAGTAATCAATTGACCAGGAATGAATTGGACCGCCTCGCAGGGAGAGGAGAGTATCGACCTCGTACGGCGTCGTAAGTCCGGTGCAGATCTGCCGGGTCGACCTAATGAAGGGCCTGTGGTCGTGAAGCTCTCGGGCAGAGACAAAGACCGGTTGTCTCTTGTTCGGCACGCTGTCGAGCAGACAGTTGTTGAGCAGCCTGACTCACTGGGACGGGGTCGTGCAGGTGCAAGTCGAGTCGAAGGGTGGTGGCGTGGAAGGAGAAGCCCGTGAAAGGAGCACTGCGTGAGGGGTGAGGAGTAGGAAGAGAAGCGAGTGTGAGGTGAGGTGTGATGTTGGTGGTGGTGGTCGACTGCGCGGGACAGAAGGGAGGAGACCAGAGCAGAAACCAAGAAAGCAAGGCGCAAGAGCGAGTGAAAGACGCAGCCATGCATCGACGGACCCAGCCAAGAGAGGAGAACCCGAAGGAAAGAAAAAACACAGACCGGGAAGAACCAGGAGCCAACTTTCCCAGATTGGAGCTCAGGGTTGCCCCGGCATAGAAAGAGGGTCTCGCGCTGGAACCTAGAACCGAGAGACAGGCTTTCGGCCCAAAACTTGCAAAGTGGAGATGGCGGGTGCTACTGTGTACAGTAGTACCTAGCACGAGATATGGAGGGTGTGCACGCGGCTGCTGGGGGACGAAGCCGAGGGAACCTGGTAGGAGGGAGTAGAGGCGGAGGAGAGAAAGAAAAACAAGAAGCAGGGGCAAGTGAGAGCGACGGCAGAAGAATAAAGGAGAAAGGGTAAGAGTTACGATATCAATCAGATCAACTTTGGGAGAACCAACGTTTGTTTCGTGCTAGCGCCGACATGCACCATACTGGAGCAAGTACAGTAGCAGCAGTAACGGTAGCGCCAGCGATAGCGCCAGGAGCCGGCTGCTTTGTACTGTATTCTTGCTACGCTGCTGCACCAATCTGATAGGATGCGATGATGGTGACAACAACGTGCATAATGACCTATAGCAGTGAACAGGCGAAGGAAAAATGAAAGAAAGAAAAGGACTACATGATAATACCGTAGCGATGTCAAAATGGAGCGATGAAGAGGCCGACGCTGATTCAGATGAGGAGGAGAGGAAAGCAGCCACGCAGGGCAGAGACCAGCACACAGTACAGCATACCGTGAAAGCCAGAGTCAGTGGCTGCAGGGGAGGCGGTAACCTGCTGTACATAGTCCACAGCAGAGACCAGGATGAGCAGATACCACTGTAACAGTTAGTGGCGGAGGATCTGCTTCTGAACAGGAAAAGACTAAAACATCTCCATCGCCGCAAACCCAACAAGGCATCAATAGCAACCCCCATCGGGCCTATTTCTGGCACCTTGCCCAAAAATGGCAGAAATGCCCCGTAACGTCTCTATGATGAGCGAATATGAAGTATTCATTGAACTCATAGTTCAATATATACCTACTATAGTTTAGTAGTAGCAGTATAATATATATATGTATATATAGAATCTTGGCTCAACTGGCGTCTTTTACACTACCTGTGTAAATACGCAGGATAAATTCAGAGATCAGCATAGATTCTTGTGTGTCTGTTGTGTGTGTCTGTGATGCAGTGGAATCCCTCGACACCCGGCAAGATACAGCGTGCACCACCTACCACCATACAATCAACCGTACCCCCATTAGCGTTTTCGCAGTCGGCTCGTCGGCACAGCAAGCAGGGACAGCCCGACAGCTAACAGGCCAGCTGCCCTGAAGCCACTACCATAGTATAGCACTGCTCTGCCACTGCCACTACTGAAGGGTTACTTACTAGGACGGAAAGGAAGCACACGCAGTCAATCGGTACTGTCCTGGTAGGAGTGAACTGCTCCAGCCCCTCCACCTGGGAGAAGACAGCAAAGAGAAAGAAAAGAAGAGGGAGTAGCGGGAAGCACTCTGATTGGAAGATCTCATCCCGTCAACAACAAAAGGCCCGTCTGAGTGAGCTTCGTGTTGATAATACACCTTGGACCATTTCAATTTATTTTCGGGCTGCTCGGTGCTCCCACACTCCCTCCTCCTCCCCTTTTTTGCGTCAAGTTCCTTCCTGCACTTCCTTCCTGGCCTTCCTTGCAGGTCCCTTACTCTGAAAAATGTGTGTTACGCATTTAATCTAGTTGATCAATTGAACATGATCGAATCGACTCTGAAGATGATGCGCAGCCATTGAGAGACAGAGGAAGAAAACAGAAAGGAGAACAGAAGCAGAAAAGTCAAGAGAGGAAAGCACACGAGGTTGCAATCTACACAGTTCGGATCCCTGACCCTGTCCCTGGCCCTTGGTGATGTCGTCACCATCTGCATACAGTACAAACGATCCTCCAAGAGCCCCCCCCCTCTCCCCTGTCCTTTGCATGTGGATGCCCGGGTGGAAAGGCAAAGAACGGTGGGTCACAAGAGGACGCGTTGCCTCAGGGTTACAATAGAGAAAGAGAGAGAGAGAAAAGGAGACCCACAGCACCTTCTCTCTTTTTCCCCCCACGCCCGGACCTTCCATAGTGCTATGCTATATCGTACAAGTACAATTGATGATATGACAGGGCCCTGGCCCTCTGCACCACCAAAGCCTGTCGGTGGGTTCCAATCTCATGTTGAGGTTGAGGTTGCTGCTGCGGCGCTCACGGACTCGGGCCACACCCCACACCCACACCACACACCCACACCACAGCCACTTTTGCCAGCTTGTCGTTTGTGACTGGTGATCGACATTCTCTCTCTTCCCTGCGAGCATCTCGGTAAATAAAATGAAGGGGCTCAATTGACCTCTCAGACATTTGATACATCTGGTTTGGGGCGGGGAAGACGATGAGGATGTGCTGCGAGGCGAGACGAAGTGATCTTCCCGTATGTATGTGATTGTTTGGGTGCACCAGGACAACATCACGTTACCTGCGCGTTGGTTCCAGCTCACAGGTTGTTGTGGCGCCTTGCACGCGCCCGCAACCACTTCACGTGCGTGAGTGAGTGAGCGACAAGGTTGCCATTTGCACGTCGCCACAACAAAACCCATGAGCACGCCAAGTGGTCCACTCTCGTTTTTCCAGGCGCCTCTCTCGTATCGGCGGGAGCTCGAGCTTTTGCTCACTGTTGACAGTGCGTGCCGGCCACGGGGTTGTGTCTTAAACCCGTAACCCATTCGGCTCTCCAACCATCACAACTTGACAAAAAGACCTCTCTCTCTTTGACAGGTCCCTCGGTACCGTTGGAATGAATTTTCAGGCTCACCAACCCATCATGGGGGCTCTCTCTCTCTCTCTCTCTCGGGGCGTACCAAGAGTCATTATTCATCATCATGATGATCCCAGACATGAATGAAATAAACATACCTACGAGCAAGCACAGACGGCACGGGAGGGCGCCATCAAATACCACGGGACGGCCTGAAGACCCCGGACGAAGGCCTGGCAAGGCTGGTGCGCAGACATCGCTCGGTATTGCCGCAACTGCCGGGCGGCCCGTATGTCTGTCTTATATGTGTGTACGGAACGAGACGGGGGCCCCATACAGTTCCAAAAGAGTATTCGCTGTTTTGGTTTTAAACTTTTTTTTGTTTTGTTTACTTTTAGCACACGAATCTCCGGAGCAAGGGCTTGCGAAGAAGGGCAAGCCACAAAGCCGCCCCCCCCCCCCCGCCGGACAAACTAACTCCACCTCGCTCTCGAGTTCAGCCCCCGGAACGGACCCCTACCGAGAGACGATGCCATGAGCTGTAAATTGCTGCAATCTCGAGATGGAGGGACTTGACACTTAATCCGCCGAAAACCTCGTTGTTTTCCTTGAGCCTTTTGAGAGGGGTAAGTTTAGGGGGGCCTGTACCCTAATTAATTCCCATACTATATTACCATAGTACTTGTGTGATCAGCTTGAGTGGCAAAGGGGGCCATGCAAGGGAAAAGAAGCTCTACACTCCCTCAATCAAACTCAAGCTGCCGCCAGGGAACAACCTTGTCATCGAAAACGCCCGGTGAAAGCTTCTTGTTATCTGGTCTATCTGGGGGGCTACTGGCAAGAGAGAGTCGCTTTGAATGTTCTGTGCACCTGGCCTTCGTTATCTTGCTTCTCTACACAGGATCGCGAAAATTCATTGACCTTGTGGAAGCCGATGGCGTCCTCTGTATGGCGTCCTCGTTTCCCCCGACGCTGAAGGGCGGGGTGTGGTGACCTAAGTGACTTTACCTCTTGTTCGGGTGTCTCAGTTTTTACCCCCCAAGATCAGAGACAACAACAGACCGATATGCACCGTGCTTGGGTGTCTCTTGAGAGTAGTACCACATTCCGCAAAATAACACCGACTCTGCTAACATAGCCTTGCACACACACACACACACACACACACATACGCGCGCGCACAGGCACGACATCTTTCGAGGTTTTGATATCAGTCTAAATCAACAGTGGCTCCTATCAGATAGGAAGCATGGGCCCTTCTTGGTTCAAGCCAGAGAACAGACGAACCTGGACTGTTTAGGCAAGTCGGTTGCTGTGTCTTGTGCTTGACCAGCCGCTGATCATAGTATAGTACAGCACAGTATACATGGGCGAACACCACCTCACACCACCTGTAGCAGGGTGTGGCAGTTTTAACCCCATTGATCGAATGGGTTCTCGCATCTGGTCTCATGTGAAGTGCACCCGAGGGAGGCGAATATCGAGACGAGTGTGGTCATCATGGACTGCCCTACCATTCTTCACCGGCAAAGACGGCGCCTCCACATATGTCGCCATCTTTTTCTACCTTTAGACCCCACGCATACGTTAAGTAAACTATTTCGAAGGAAAGAATGGGATGCATGCATGCATGCACGCACTTATGTACTATATATGCATGCATGCATGCACATGCATGGGGAAGAAGAAGAAGAGAGAAACCACTGGGCCAAGAAACACATGGTGCAATGCCATGGGAAAAGAGAGAAGGCGGGGAAAACATGCAAGAACAGATCCATCCCGAGTGGCATTAGCGCCTCTTGGTTTACGAGGACTTGTCTTACTGTATGTAGCCCAGCATTTGTTTACTACTAACCTGCTTCTCTTTCGCCACCCTAGTATCGTATGAGGCTCACTTGCTCACACCCTCTCTTTTGTCTCTCTCCTTCTCCATCCATCCACACCTCACTCACACACATCCCACCTTTTCAACACGAAGTATGTAGCATACTATGGTTGTCCAAAGAAGAGGAGAGAGAGGCGGGGAAAAAAGGAAGAAAAAAAAAGTGCGGCTGCTCTTGTCCCTCTTCGCCAATGCTACGGTAGATCTTGAGGTAAAATGTGGCATCCCAAACCTCGACGGCACGCATCCAACGCACCAAGGGTCCCGCTCCCCCGCCTATGTTGTTACATGTACGATAGGCAAAAAGAAGAAGAATAATAACCCACCACCACATTTCTTACTGTTCCTTATGGTTCACCACATATGGCCGGGTTGTAATTGGGTCCGGCGCGTACGTGCCCAGCGGCAAGCTCGTCAGGTGGCCCAGCAATATGGATCACCAAGATCGCCATGGCCAGGGTAGGGGAGAGCGCAAAAAAACATAAAAAAAAATAAAAAAAAAGGGAAAAGGAAAGGAAGTGGAGGGGTTCACCAACCCCCCCCCCTCTTCTTCCACCTAGAGAATAGTCGGTGTGCTTCAAAAGATCCCAAAAAGAAGAGATCAGCGCCCACGTGCGGTTTGTCTTTTTATCTCTCTTTCCTTTACACCGAAATGTACAACACGGGGCATCATCCCATAGTAGCGATACTTTCGCCAAACCTGCTCTTCCCCCTGCACAACGTTCCTCTGCACAACATGTGAGCCCATCCATCACAACCCTCGGCTTTCTTCTCAACAAGACTGACTGAGCAGCCTCCCCCCCTCCCCCTGCTGGCGACTACTAGGCATTATTAGTAGATAGAAATCGAGCAAGGAAAGGTTTCCCCCCCCCCCCCCCCCAATTTGCTCGGCAAGCTGCCATCCCTCCCCAACGCCAAGAAAGTTGGTCGAAAGGCGCCGGCTCGAATCTTATCCAGGCCCTTCAAGTCATTTCCCAGCCCATCGAAAAGACTGTCCGGTCCTTTCTCACACGGCCGGGGAGAGGAGGCCCCACATCTTTGGGACGGTGGTGGTGCGCCCGGGGGGGGGGGGCGGGAATTGACGCGGCTGGCCCCCCGGTGTTCCGTCTCCGGCGGTTACTAAATTTTTTGGGAGGGGGGAAAACAAAAGAAAACAAGGAGAGAAGACGGGCGATGGGAGGAGGAGGAGGAGGAGGAAGGGGGGGGGGGCCCGGGCTGGGGGCTTGTTGGTCGCTCACCAAATCTCCATTTATTTTCCTTTTTTCTTCTTTGACCATGCGACAAGCGAGTGGACTTTTTTTGCTGAGGATGAGAGATGTGAGACATCACACCAATGAAACAATTTGATACTGCTCCCGTGTCCCCCGCCAATGGCTGGGTTCGTTACCCGCCAGCTCACATGAGTTTGAGAGCGCTTATTTATAGATGGCTGGGTTATCTCTCTGACTCTCTTGTGTCGAGACCGCCAATTCCAGAAAGTTCGCTCTTGATCTTCTTATTGGGTGGAAAGCAAAAAAAAAAAAAAAAAACCGATCACGACGATCACGCCCTGGGAGAACTGTTAGGCTACTCGGTGCACCGGTGAAAAAGCCCTCATCTTTGCTTCCGAGAAGGACGAGCATCTGCACATGTCTTTTGTGAGTCTTCCTGTGGATTCGACTGGCTCAGTGCGATGTATGTCTTAATTGCTAGTGTCGAAAGACTCCTGCGCCTCGAACGTACGGCCCCCCGTGGAGAAGAATGTGTCTCGGATTATTTCGAATGAGGATTTGTATATGTGTAGATTTGCCATTGGGTAACGAGATATCCATCCAACCAGCATTTCTTTTTATTTTTTATTTTTATTAAGAATTTCACTTTACACCAAGTTTGTTGTCAAACCCCATGCCTCCTAAGTGGTCACGACCACATTTTTCCAGACTCGGCCCTACGAAATGTAAGCACCTTGGCACAGCATCTCTGCAAAAGAGCCAATGGATACAGAACCTCAACAGCCGGACGTCGCTGAGGATTGCCTTACGTACCTGGCACGCCTACTTACCGACATGTTCCATGAGGGATGACGCGTTGCGGTTCAATTGTGCGGGGAAGCATCGGTGAAGAACCAGAACTTCGTCCAGGCGCCGACGCATCTAGACCGCCAACTCGGCACAACAACGGCTTGCTAGTTGGAAAAGAAGAAGAAAAAGGATTGGTAGACTGAGTTTATTTCTCTTCCTGACCTGGATGAGCCCTGTGATTTTGAAACCCCGGCTTTTGGCTCGCAGGACTTGGGGTTGTGTCTGATATGCAGCCAATATCTCTTCTCATGCCTGTCGTCGACTCATAACCCAACAGAATGGGGGGTGTCTTGTAATTGCTACACGTAAAGAAATCGTCCCATCAAGGTTGGAGCGCCGTAAAATTGAATACTTCTTGCGCCTAAAATACACCGAAAACGCCGGCTAACAAGTTGGCGAGATCTGTTAAGCTCACTGCTGACTAGATGCCAAAAAAAAAAAAAAAAAAAAAAAAAAAAATTAATAATAATAATTCATAACCAGACTTGTCGTGTGAACTCGTCGTCGACGAGGCCTTGAAAGCCTCCCTACTACCCTTGGTTGTTCCTCAGCATCTCGTACAAATGTTGATCCAAGCCCTGGTAGGTATTGCCCGAGTGGCCCGCGGCCCGTTGCTGCCCATAAGGAACGCTGCCCGAGCCCGAGTGGCCATAGCTGGCAGAACCTCGTGAGCTCGATCCATAACCGGGGTTTGCGTCGTTTGTGGACCCGAATGCAGACCAGTCATGTTGTTGCTGTTGCTGTTGCTGTTGCTGCTGGCTCGAGGCGTTGTGTGACTGGGACGGGTAGTGGCCGTAGGACTGTGGTTGCTCTCGAGGCTGCTGGGCCTGTTGGCGAGCTTTGTAAGACGCAGAAGCCTTGGTCCGACTGCTGCGCGTAGTCGACTGTGGCCTTTTGTTCGATGACTGCATCGCTGCGGACAGCTGGAGCGGCGGCTGCTGCTGCTGCTGCTGCTGCTTTTGATGGTGGATTGGGGCGGTGGGCAGGTGATATGCCGAGTTGGTAGACGTCGCGACACTGTTATTGTCGTAGGAGTTGCTGTCTCGCCGAGCCGTGCCTTTGGGCCAGTTCGCAGAGCTTGCGCCGGTGGCCGTTCCAGAGGACGACGAAGTCATCGTCTGGGTCATGGGAGCCGCAAGGCCGGTTGTGGTCGGCGTAGGAGACTGTGAGTTGTACGCATCATAGCCCGAGTAAGAAGTGGATGCATTATTATTAGAGACATTTTGTTGTAGAGGGTAAAGATCATAAGCCCTGCGCGAGGTTACCTGGCCATCTTGGTTATCCGCCGTAGTATAGCGAGAATACTGATCGTAATTTGGGACATTGTTGGTGTGTGCCGCATTGGCTGAGTTGGACATGGCCGATGTGCTCGCAGAGGGAGGGACCTGAGCCGCAGGATTGTGTTGCAACGGTGGTGCTGTTGTCAGGCTCTTCTGAGGTCTCTGGCCTTGTCTCGACTTGGCCCTGGCCGCCGGGCGTGCAGCTTGTTTTGGGACTTGAAACGGAGATACGGTACGTGTGGCCGGTGGAGGCTGAGCCTTCTGCAAAGCTGCCTGAGACAAGATTGCAACAGTCCGAAGCTCGTCCTGTTGTAGTCTATCAGAAGGAGGAGCCGCTGTGGCCTGGACAGGTGTCGATTTTCTAGGCGGCGAGCCTGAGAAGGTCTGCGCGGTTCCTGCCGAGAAGGCTGCCATCGGCCAACTGGAGCCATGAGTCGTAGACGCAGAACTTGGAAAGGCAGCCTGTGATTGGACTGAACTGGGTGTCATTCTGCGATGTACACCAGAAGGCGAGGATGTAGAAGGGGCCCGTTGAATCGGAGACTGCACAGGCTGGGTAGGCTCCGGAGGTGGACCAGGCGCTGGCGCTGGCGCTGGAGGAGGGGCTGTGCCGAGTAGGTCTCGATGATCTGTTTGTGACACTTGCTGCGACTGGTGGTGATAGGTCATACTGCCTGGTCCAGCGTGCTGCTGCAGAGCTTCCGCAGGATACGCCGAGTAGTCCATTCCGTTCGACATCTGATCCGGCACGGCTTGCGAGTATGAATGGCCGCTTGTGCCAGGTTGGTGGAAGAAGTCATGAGAGGCTTCTTGGTAGTGTGATGAGGTATCCGCTGGTTGTGGCAGTGTTTCCGGCCCAGGGGCGTAAGAGCTGGTAAAGCCAGGCGAGCCCAGATCTGAGGCTTCTTCTGCTCCAGGAGCCGCTGGTTCGACAACAGATCCTGTCACTTGTGCCGGGGCAGGTGCTGGCGCTGAAGCCTCTGCAACAATTTCTGCAGAGATCTCTGCAGAAACCTCTGCATTGGGATCATCAGGTTCGTCGTGGGCCACGGCGGCCGACTTGAATGGCGCTTGACTCTGCTGTGGTGGGTAGTGACAAGATAGACCTGACTTGAGGCACTGGGAACATGCAGGTTTCTCCTTGGAGCACTACGATGAGTTAGATTTTGATCATAGACGGCGAACGCGAGGGCCCGGGTCCGACTTGCCTTCTTCTTCTTGGTCCTGCACGACTGACAGCTGCCCCGTGTCTTCCTGACCCTCTCGGTGCCATCTGTATTGTATTTCTTTTTCTTCTTCCTTTTCCCCGAGCTATCAGAAGCGGCCCCGTTTGCCGGGTTGGCGTTTGACGATGAGGCATCGTCCTTGTCAGGGTGTACAATCCTCAGTCGTTCGGCACCATACCTGATCAACATGGCCAGGGACTCGTTCTGGAGCTCGGGCGACTGGTTCGCGAAGATCTCAAATTGCTCAGTTGAGAGTGTACTGGGGTCAACACCGTTGTCGCTCAATTTCTTCGTAGCCTCGTCACGACGGCGAGCCATCTCGCCTGGGGACAGATTGAGTAGCGTAAGCTGCTGCTGGTCATGCCCTTGCGCCTCTCCACCGCCAGCGGCAGTAATGCTCGCTCTCGCTGACTGTGGTCTTTTGGGTTTTGGTGTCTGTGTGCCTTCAGCATTCGTGCCTTCGGCATTCGTGCCTTCTGGATTTTCGCTCTTCTTCTTCCGTTTCTTCTTTGGACTCTCTTCATTCGTAGCGCCCTCGACGGCTTGGCTCTTTCTCTTCTTGCGCCCTCCCTCCCTGCGCCTTGGCTCTATTCCTGCGGGTGGTGGAGGAGGTTTATACAGCTCCGCGAGGTCCGCCACGGTCTTGTGGAAGGGGGTATGCTCGAGTTTCACGGTGATCAGACGGCTGTTCTTGACAAAGGCTATGGTGACTGAACCACGACAGTCGAAGGCAGGACGAGCTGAATTTACACTTGACGATCAGTATACAGAAAGAAAACGAAGAAGAAAACAGTGTCAACTGCACAAGCAAATATGGACGAGGTCTTACCCAGGTTCACGGGGTCCTGACCGTCCTTCCCACTGGACTCCCCCACAAGCACCTTGGCAGCATCTTTGGAGGCCTGGCGCTGCCATGCCCGCGTAGAGCCCCTGCAGAGATAGTGGAAGCTCCAGCCCGCGGCACCCCTGGAGACCGAACAAACCGCCCAAGAGCTGTTGTCCATCCCTCCAAGTGACGCGATGACATGCCTCGCGACAGCCTTCTGGAGCGCTGGGTCGTCGGCGGGCTGGTTTACAAGCACATCGTGGGCTCTGATCTCGCGTGTCGCATAGTTGGCTCTGCTGCCGACGGCGGTCCCAGGCACAGCAGCGTCAGGGCCATCGCGAACCGGACTGGCGGCGGAGGCGGCGGCAGAAGCGTCATCCTCCGTCTCAGGTATACTGAAGGCGGCGCTGGATGGGAACTCGAAGGTTGCAGAGATGTGCTCGGCCCTGGACTCGGTGACCTTGGCCAGGCGCAGATTCGCGAGCTGTTCCTTGAGATCCTCGACGGAGTTGCAAGCGTAGGTCGACCTAGGTGTATCGAGGAGGAAGTCGTCCATTGCTTGCTGCTGTTGTGACCGCGGCAACGTGCGTTGGTGGGATGCCGCTCTCACGGCCGCCTCCTTGTCACGCCGCATGGTGGCGATGGCTTGTTTCGCAACATGGATCGCGTCGTGACGCGCTCGTGAACCAGGATGATTGGACTGAACAAATGCACGGGCAACGGCGCGGGCGAGTGGGGAGGGCGATACTGGTGCAGTGTGCCCAGCGCGTCTTTGACTTCTGTGGTAGGCCGCGTTTTGGGAAGGTGCAGCATAAAGTACTTGGATTAATTGATTGAGTCCCCCGCCCCCGCAAAAGGATCACCACTGTATTTAGAGTACTTAGTTACCCCCCGAACACCAACTTTCCCTTCCCACTCAACTCAACTCAACACTCTTTCTCTGTTGTCTCGAGAGTCTTTGGGTTTGAAAAGTCACAATTGGAACGAGGATTGACTAATGGCTTTATTACATCAATGTAAACATAGGATCTTCATACCCTTGATTTACCTTGGCACTGCTCGATTATTATCACCACCTAGGACTGAAACTACCCACTTATTCTTGTCACTTGAGATGCCTGATCGAACACAATAACTCTTGCACATTCATATATATATATATATATATATATATATATGAATGTGGCTAATAAGTCCTTATTATACCAGCGATGCACTCTAGCTACCCTCACTGCTCTACATATTTCTTGTAGACATCCACATACTGGAAGAAACTGGCCTTATAGCTCCTCTCCAGCCCAGGGCTGTCGAAGTCCACCCTCTGCAAACCAAACTTAACCATGAAGCCGTCTGCCCACTCCAGGTTGTCAACAAAGGACCACGCAAAGCAACCCATGACGTTTAATCCTTCGCTCAGGGCAATCAGGATCCCCTCAAGATATCCCTTGTAGTAGTCTGACCGGATCTGATCCGTCAAGATATCTGCTGGGATCGTCTTGTAGACCTCACTGCGCAAGAGTTAGAAATCAAAACACATTGGCGGTGCTTTCAGAGTGTCTGTAAAAGAGAGAGAGAGAGAGAGAGAGAGAGAGAGAGAGAGAGAGAGAGAGAAGGGGAAGAGAGCAAGAAGGATACTCACAACGGCTCAGCAAACCCGAACTCACTGACCACGATCCGGCCCAAGGGTGGCGCCCACGTGTCGTTGATGTAGTGCAGCAGCGCAGGAACCCAGTCGTTGGCCTTATGCAGCCACGACGCGAGGGGGTCAGCCGCAGCCCCAATGAGCCAGCCGCCGTCGGCAGCCGAGTACGTGTAGCTTGTGTTGAAGCAGCCCGGGTACAGCGAGTTGGACGTGTCGTTGAGGCACGCATCGATGCCCGCGTCGGGTGCATAGTAGAACTGCGAGGTGTAGGCGTCATGGGCGAAGAAGTCGGCCGAGCCCTTGATTATCTCCTGCTGTTCGTCCGTGAAGGGGTCCAGAAAGGTGGACAGGTACTCATTCAGCGAGTCGGGCCATGTGCCCGTCAGGAAGATGGGGTCGGCAAACCAGCCCTCGTTGAAGTCATATGCGCGCTGCACGGCCAGTGCGTCTGCGCTGCTGCTGGTCAGCGGGATCTTGTAGCCGCCGTTGTTCTTGTACGAGATGAGCGTGTCGTTTCCCAGGAGGGATTTGCCGAGGCGGTAGGCCTGCGCGTGCGCGAGCACCACATTGCGCCCGCAGTAGTACTGCTGCTGCTTGTACGGGACGGTGAGGTTCTTGAAGTACTGGTCGGGGAGCGGGTACTGCTCGCAGAAGACGATCGGCTCGTTGACTGTGAACCACGTCTTGACCCGATCACCAAACGCTTGAAAGGACGTGTTGGCGTAGGCGACAAAGTCTGCGACAATGTCTTCCGACAGCCATCCTCCGTACTTTTCCTGCAGGAACAGAGGAGTGTCCCAGTGGTAAAGAGTCGCGATGGGCGTGACATTGTACTGCAGACAAGTGTTGATCACATCGTTATAGTGGTCTATACCAGCCTGGTTGACCGGCCCGCTGCCGAAAGGATAGATGCGAGACCACGAGATCGAGAAGGAGTAGGTATTGATCCCCATGGCGGCGATGCGAGCAATATCTGGCCATTCAGGTCAGTATAGTCCCGTCACAACCTCAAACACCCACCCCCCTGGTCTTTCTCCCTTTGTTCTTTCTTTCTTTTTCTTGAATATTTTCTTCACTCACCTTGCTTGTAGAGATAGTAGTGATTATCTGTTATGTCGCCAGTCTGATTCGCAACGGTATAGCCAGGCTACATTCATTCGATACGTTAACATCGCTAATACATCTTTCGAAGAAATTGATGCCCCATAGGGTGACAGCTTACCACGCGGACGAGCTTGTCCCACACACTGGGGCCTCTCCCCTCGTCCTTCGCCGCGCCCTCAACCTGGAACGCAGCGCCGGCGACGCCCAACATAAAGTCCTTGGGGAAACTCCACGAGCTGTTGGCCACTACCTCAGGTATCTGTCTCCCAGTAGGAAAACCATAGGATGCCAGATTAGGCGGTGGGACCAGGGAGCTGGAAGGCACCGGAGTAGCCGCCACAGTCGAGGTGATATTGGCAACCGAGACAGGGCCGATGACGATGTCCCAGAGATCTGTTTATGTGGTCAGCGTCAGATGTCTCTGGGGTTCCGGATGTGCTATGAGCTTACCATCGACAGACAGTTCGAGCGAGGTCGTCACCGTGAGCGCCGAACTCGCAGTGACAGTACCAGTCGCAGACTGGGCAGCGGCATAGCTGCCCAGCAGCACTGGGAGAAGCAACCGACTCATTGTAACTATACTGGGCAATTGGACGTGATCAGTGATACAGAGGGACGAGGAGAGCAGAGCCCAGCATTCTTGATCAAGAGGAGATGTATAGGGCGCGAGGTGAGGAAGGAGAAAGGATCAAGGAAGGCGGCAGTCACCAACACGGTGCTGCCCCTCATCATTTTTAACTCTAGCCTATCCTCATTTTGCGGACTTGGGAAGCTATCAAGAAAACGGCCGCATATACCCCACAACCAAACATCGTCACTGCACATGACGAAGTGCGGAGTGCAGACGCCATTGACCCCAGCCACATACAGAGTGAGGGGCTGCCGTCCCACTCAGGTACATATCGAGCGAGGATCGTGAGAAAAGATTTTTGGGGAAAGCAGGCGGTCACCGTTCGCTTCGAGCCCGAGAGGAGGCAGGGTGAACCGTGTATGGCCGGGGTCGAGCCGAAATGGCGGCTGGGACAATAGCAGGTCAAGTTCGGACGCCATTTGCCCGATGCCTCTGGCCCCGGTTTCCCCGGATCTCCCCATGGTGGGGGATCGGCACGCTAGACCATATTAGTGACATTTCTGGATATCAAACCTCTTATTTAAACCTGTTAGCTGGGTAAAAGAAATTTTCCTTTGCGATGCACAACGCCGATGTCGCCAGTGGACATTCCCTTCTGCCCGAAATCACCTCCTAACGCCATAATAGTTGTGCAAAGAGTACGCGTCCGTGCCAAGAACTCAGTTCTGGCTTTCGGTCCACTGCTCGATCCTTTCCAGCAGATCAGCCTTCTTGCCGCTGGTGCTCAGGCCTCTCTCAGTGCATATCGCCTTCAAGTCGACGACAGTTCTCTTATTGAGAGAGCCGTCCATAATGGCTTCGTTCAGGTCCTTCAGGGTCGTGCCGCCAGCTGCTCCCGCCTTCTTTGGGGCGGTCTTGGTCCGCTTTTTGGGTCGATCGTCTGCATCCTCCTCAGCCTCCCGCTTGATGGCCATCTCTTGTCTCACAATTGCTGCCTCCTCGTCCAGCTTCTCTTTGAACTCGGCCTGATAGGCCCCGACTCTTTTGTTGATCTGTCTGTACCGGGGTAGCGTATGGTCCTCCTGCTTTAGCCCAGGTATATCCTCGTCTAGGGCCAGGGCCTGAAGAACCTTGTAGTGATACTGTAGGGCTGGGTTAGGATATTTGCTCGGGTCATACTTGCTCTTGGGCAGCTGCAGGTTCTGCACGATGCTTCGCATTTGTGTGATCAGCTCGTCTGAAGCACGGACTACGGGTTGCTGCTTGATGGGCTCGAGGTCCCGCCTGTCGTCAACGAATGGCAGGGGGAAGAGCCACAGCCCTGCGGGGAGGTAGTGCGTGCCCGAGTCTTCATCTGACGGCTTATGGGACGGCAGAATTGCGACAAGCTGAGGAAGGGCGTTCTTCCGCGCGATGTGCCACGCGATGGCCATCTTTTTGCTGTCGAGAAGCTTCTGCCAGAGTGCAGAGAACACTCGTGTGGAGCCTACAAAGCCTGCCTCGGTAGGGAAGATGAATATCGACTTCTTGATAGCTGCCCAGGAAGGGAGCATTGATTGTGGTTTGAACCCAATGATGCGAATGCACGGAGGCTCAAACTCCTTGATCTGCTCAAGCTCACGGGGTGTAAAGTATATGAGGTCGCCTCCAGCACCGAATTTGTAAGCCTTCTTGAGCTCTGTCTTCTCCACGGTCCGCATCGAGCCGTCCTCAGTCTTGGTCGTCTCACTCTTGACAAGCTGCGTTGGGGCGTTTTCATCCTCAATGTAGACGTAACAGTTTCTCTGGGCGACTTGTCGGTGCATGATGAGATAGCCGTTGACCGAGATGGTCATCCCGGGGGCGAGCTGAAAGGGCATGCTGGAGAAGTAGGCGCGCTTCGGCGTCTGCTTGGCAGTGATGCTTGAGGTGAGGGACTGCAGAAGCGAGATACCGTCGCCGGACTTGATGGTCTTGATCTCGTCTGCTGCGTCTGGGTCCGCGACCTGAAGTGGATCGAGGTAGATGATATCCTAAAGAATGTTAACTCGAGGCTGTTAAGACAAGGCTGGTGGCGGAAAGCATGGACTTACGCTGTAGAACTTGTCGAGGTCAAACTTGCGCCCTTCCCGGCTGATGGGGAACAGCTCGATGGTCACCCCAAGGTCGAACAGGTCCTTGGCGCGTACGGCTGCCTGCTCCCGTAACTTCTTGTCTCCCGAAAAAGGGTCGTCGTTGTCTGTGACAATGAACAGCCTGCGGGAACCGAAGTTCGGGGCGCCGGTGGTGAAGATTTGGTTTGCGCAGAAGAGCATATCTCTGATCGGAGGATCGCTTCCTGCGGGCTTCAGAACACCCTCTGGATCGTCGTTGTTCTCTGCCATGTCCTTTAGGGTTCTGACGACCTCTGCCGACGGGATGTCAAGGTCTGTGTGCACATAGCAGTGAGGATACTGTGACGAGGAACTGTTGGTGTTCCCACGGAACTTGGTCTTCTCTGTCCCGTAGAAGATGAGGCCCATCATATCCTTCGGCTGAGCAATGATTCGTTGTTGCATCATCAGGCTTGCGCTCTTCAGCGCTGCCGTGACTGCGCTATCCTTGTCCTTGGATTCCTCCTCGGACGGGGACTCCAACATGGACTTGCTGACCTCGATGGCGAACAGGACTGCGTCTTTCTGGCTCTTGTAATCCTTTGATATAGTCAGAATGTGCCATATATCAGTTTTCAGATTGCATGCGTAAAACTTACAGTCTCGCCGATCTCGTCGTCGCCATCGTCCTCATCTCGCCGGTCCTCTTCGTCCCGATTGTAGGCCATCTTCACTGCTGCTAAAAAATATGCACTTGGGTTGCTCGACCAGATCTTCCCTTCCTGGTGAAGAGGAGAAGACGAAGTGAGACGCCCAGATGTGCAGTTGGATGGGTGGACGCCAAAGCACTTTAGGCACCGGCCGCGTCTAAGCTATGGAATGGACGCGCTTCTAGGCAGACACCTCTAGCTTGGGGCGTGTGCTGCGTACCCAGGGCTTCCACCCCACCTACATAACTAGCTAGTAGAAGGTACTATGGCGTGTACTATGTACAGTGGGGTGCCAAAAGTCTGTTTACACTTACAAGTTCTCCCGAACCGCCACAAGTACCACCTATCACCAATTTAGCCATTTCTCAGCCAAATTTGATGCAAAATACATAAAAAAGACAGAAATATGTTTCTAGATACATAGATATTAATGGTGGATATACCAGCCCCTAGCCCGACGTAATGCTATAAGCCTAGTTGGCAGTGAATCAATAAGGGCATCAATCCTCCTGTTATGACCTATCCAACATGCAGGTCACGGAAACAGGCCCCGCCAACAAAGAACCAGGTGTCACAACCCCAGCGTCGGACAAACCAACCAGGATTACGTAAGCAAGGGTTAGGGTGGGATCACCAGCCAGAAGTGAGCCGCTCACTTAGTCGGAAGTGAGCCACTCATTGGATCACGGTGAGCCAGACCTGGTGATCCAAGTGAGCCACACTGAAGAGCTGGATATATAAGGACACGTTCATTACCATCAGATAGACCACTAGATATAGCTCTTCAGTCGTCAATCTAAGTATTCATTTGTTCTACACTTGAATAGCCCCAAAGGCAGTTGAAGCACTTGCACAGTTTGCCCAGTTATATTTCCGTATTCAGGGATTGACACTTTGACACCGCTCTTGTTAGCATAAACCCTTTGTGTACTTCAGGATCTTCGGATATTGCAGTGCATCATCACACCTCCTTTGATCCAACCCTTCCCATACATGTGCCAACTTTTCCTTGAACTTTGCGATTTCTATGGAATTTGCTCTCATTTCTGAAAGTTCAGGGCATTGCCTATGCATCTCATCCTTTAGTAGCTTCCAAACGTGCTCGATGGGGTTGAGATCTGGCGAATGCGGCGGCCATTCAATCACAGAAACGGCGTGCTGCTCAAACCAGCGAACTACATCCTTTTGACCGTGAATCCTCGCGTTATCCTGTTGGAAATGACGAGTACCATCATAGATAGGCAAGAGGCCCTCCTGAAGAGCCTTGAGATATGATTTAGCTGTATATCCATGCCGTTTTGAGGTCAAATCTCGCTACATTACTATAAGACGAGTACGGCTACCCTTCCAAATGCCTGCCCATACCATTATCGAGATAGTAGGCTTCACATGAACCTTTAGATTAACAAGATCAGGCCTAAATCGCTCATGGGAGTATCTCCAAACAAACTGTGATGGATTTGAGGGCGAATTTTGGATAGAGCACTCGTCAGAGAAGATAGTCTGTGAGGATTCCTTGTTAGCCTTGTCAACCCTCAGGAGTACTGCACTTACACGCATCAGTTCGTCCTCTCTGGACCTCCAGTGCCTGTAAAAGCGTATCCGGCCTTGAGCATCGTAAGCTTTGAGCGGAATCTTCTTCACTGCATGTAAATAGAAGATCTTTTGAGTGCGTAGCTGTCTCTTCAAGGTTCAAGAGCTTATACCCCCACCTATACTAGAAGAACAGCTTTCTGGGAGGCTCGGGGGTAACGGCGTACTGTTAACTTGATAAACCGCTTGTTTGAGGTGTAACTAAAGGCTTTCGACCAGTACGAGGCTTGCTTTCAAGGCTTTGGTCTTGTTGCCAGCGTGCAACTGTTGAGTATACCGAGGGCCTCGTGATCCGAAATCGCCGTGCAACCTCGGCCTTAGAAAGACCTAGGTCTAAAGCCGTCAAAACTGCAGATCTGAGCTCCGGAGTAAGCTCATCGTTTTCGCCTCGTCGAGTACTAATAGTGTTGATAAAATTGAGCTGATTTGACGGCATTTTGGGTTGTTGAGGAAAGAAAAAGAGAAAGGGGTGGGTTGTATGCAAGCACTTTAAAAAGGGTGGCGGGGGTGGAGTGTAAACAGACTTTTGGAACCCCACTGTAATACGGTACCTATAGACAGAAGCTATAGTGGGGCGAGACCACTACCGCCTGCACCAGGTCCTGTTGCCTCCACTGTGGGGTCGAGTTGATGACAACCCGTCATCAACTGCTGGCTCGCCGCAGTTGCGGGATCTGCAAGTTCTCCGGCCGACTTGGCGATCGTCCCAAGATCGAGACTTTCTCCCTCTTCAAAATACATGCACACAATACTTCCGCCCAACATTTCTCTAACATCTTTGTCCTCACCTTGTCGCATCAATTCGAAGTCACAAACACTGAGAAATAACTTGGTAAAGCCATACGTCTAGGAAATAACTTGTCGCCATGGCTCTGCGGCAGTCTGCGACGAAGCTCTCGAGGAGCATCTCGCGACCGGGCCAATCGGCAGCGTCACTCTTCCTGCCCAAGAGCCTTGCCCAAGCAGCAAGATGTATGGCCACAGCTCATACGCCTCCGGTCACACAGAACTCTGCAGGATCCAAAGGGCCAACAGCAATGGTCTTCTTGAATATGGGCGGTCCCTCCACCACAGATGAGGTGGGGGACTTCCTCAGCCGGCTCTTCGTATGCATGCCCACCCCCTCTCCCCGGAGAAGCATGTGCTCTTCTCGTGCTGTATCAAAAGCTAACGGGAGTCCGTCCTATGACAGGCTGATGGCGATCTTATTCCCCTCGGGAGGCTACAAAACTACATCGGACCCTTGATTTCGAAACGCCGTACGCCCAAGATCCAAAAACAATACGCCGACATTGGCGGCGGCTCCCCCATCCGAAAGTGGTCTGAATATCAAAACGCAGAAATGTGTAAGATCCTCGACGAGATTCACCCCGAAACAGCGCCACATAAACCCTACGTCGCCTTCCGCTACGCAGATCCTCTGACCGAGGAAATGTACAACAAGTTGTTCGAAGATGGATTCGGCAAGGGGCGGGGCGGGCGTGCGGTGGCCTTCACGCAGTATCCACAGTACTCATGTTCGACGACCGGCAGCTCGCTGAATGAGCTCTGGAAATGGCGGCAGAGACTGGAGAAGCAAGACGACCAGTGCGCAATACAATGGAGTGTAATTGATAGATGGCCAGTACATCCAGGGCTGGTGGAAGCTTTTGCGAAGAATATTGAGGACAAGCTGTTGGAGTACCCACCGGAAAGACGGGATAAGGTCGTGCTGCTGTATTCTGCGCACAGCCTGCCCATGTCGGTTGTAAACCGAGGTATGTGACCATGTCCTAGGTTCGAGGGAGAGCGCGTTCATGTTCGGTAAGCTGACAGCCATTCTTCAGGTGACCCGTATCCTGCCGAGGTGGCAGCAACCGTCTACGCGGTTCAGCAGCGTCTAGGGTTCTCTAATCAGTACCGATTGTGCTGGCAGTCACAGGTTGGACCACAGCCGTGGCTGGGTCCTCAGACGGCTAGCTCGGTGGAAGAGTTTGTGCACAAGGGCCAGAAAGATCTCATCTTAATCCCGATCGCATTTACGTCTGACCACATCGAGACGTTGTACGAGCTGGACAAGGAGGTGATAGGGGACTCGGGCTCCCCGGAGACGGTCAAGCGGGCCGAGAGTCTGAACGGCAGCCCCATCTTCATCAAAGCACTGGCAGACATCGCGAAGACGCACCTGGACAGCGGGATCACCAGCTCGAAGCAGATGGGGCTGAGGTGCCCGGGCTGCAAGAGCGAGAGGTGTCTCGAGTCGAAGAAGTTTTTTGCCGGAGAGGGCTGCGTCCCAGCATGATTGGCTTCATCTGCCTGTGTTACATATATACATGTCTGTCTAATTGTGTGTGTACATATTCAGTAGTATGTGTCATTGGACACGCATTGAGATGGTGGGTAATGGACTGTTTTGAGATTTTTTGGGAAAGGTTTGGCAAAAAGGAAAACGCAGAGGGTCACAATCTTCGAAAATCGAGGTCTCCTGCGATCATAGACAAGCGTTACAAAGTTCACCTCTTTCAAAAATCGCCAGGTCTGGTGAATGCACGAGGCGGCTTATGAATCCTGCCTGGGCTGAGAGTGAGAAACATCCAGGTGAGATGAGGATGACAAAGCTGCTTCTTTCTGGGGGCTCAACACTACAAGTAAACCGCTCTGGCTATCTTTCTAGAGGAGCCTAAGTAATTTTCTACTAACACGTGTGTGTGTAAATGAAAAAGAGGTGATGTTGGATGGGACTCGTCGGCCAGCGACCTTACGCGCAGTCCAAGGAAGAAAAGGTCCGCGATAGCTATAGGCTTACTACATACCATAGCACAGTGGTAAGTGCTAAGTAATCACCAGGGCCTCGGTAGGCTATTGGGGTAGCGCAGCGCAGCGATGAATCATGGCCCCCAGAGTGTTGGGGGGTCCTCGTCCTCTCTATTCCCAGTAGCGCCTCCCAGGCGGCCGGTACCAACGGGCTTGGTTCGTTCACATCCATTACTGGTGTAACAACAGCTGTGCGTCGGCCTCTTTCCAACTGGCTTGGCTTGACTGCGTGGCTATAGTAAGCCTCACAGAGCCCCTTGTGTTTCTCTCAGCGGCGGCTGAAATCGAGAGCCGAAGTCCGTACCACATTATCATGCACTATGATGTGGTGGTAAGCAGTACCGAGGTCCTTCTTTTGCTTGGAAATGCCAACAAAGGGGACTTTGAATAGTACGTCATCATTTATTGTATCCCTTTTCTGTGCTAGAATAAGACACCGCTTACTGATGTACATTCCTTTCCTTTCGTGTTGGGGCTTGAAAGTGTCTTGGGATAATCATTAGTAGTTTTCTTTTCATTGTCAAATTTTTCTGTGAGAGGTTGAGCGAGGGAGGAGCATATGAAACGTAGACTAGTGGGGGTGGCAGTTTTCCTGCCACGGTGGTTTTGTGTGCGTGGGAAAGAGCTGGCAATGCGTGGTGCATCATCTCCTTCCCTCAGAATTGTCCACCCGCTGCTTGCCAACAATCCTAGCTTGCCCCACGGGCTTATCGGCCTTGACAGGAAACCCGGCTGTTTTGATTGATCTGATTCGATTTCCCATCCCTCTTGGGATCAGGAATAAGTCTTCCAAAAAGTCCGTCTGATCCAGTTCATTGGTATGCGTGTGGGTGTGGTGTGTATACGTGTACGTGTATGCATTTGACTTCTGCAGCTACCCACGAACTCTCTGTTTCTCTTATCCTCTCTTCTCTTCCTGTCAACTCTTCTCCCTCAAACTTCCCTTTTTTCTTCTTCTTCTTTTTTTTTTGTCATTGACCAATTCATCCACTCTTATTTCTCTCCTACAAACAACCAGCTGGAGGAAACGAAATGTGCTTTCGATAGTCAGTCTTCGCGAATGAAACCCCGGGTGTCCAGCACGTCATCGTGACCCTCTCTGTCTTGCGCGAGCGCGCGCTCTATTCTCACTGAGTTGCGGATAGCCGGACTTATCTGATACTCATCCCCCCCCCCCCCTCTCTTTTCTTTCTCAAGCAGGAAGAACAAGGACAACCACCACGCGACGTGGACTACTCGGGCGCAATTCTCAAAGCAAAACTTGCGCTCTGGGTTCTTATTGGAGGACCATCACCTTTTGACAAGAGGGGAACTCCGATTGATTGAGCGCCATTGTACTGTCTCTTGGTCACAATGTCAGAGCCAGACGATAGCAAGGCTGACGTGCCCAAGAGCGCCTGGGATGACATGCAATCACTTTCTACCACGCAAGAGGGCGAGACAGAGATCACAGGCATGCCTGACGAGACCACTGGCCTGTTGGGTGCGGGCACCCGGAATCACCGGTACGACGCCGCGGCAGTAGGTTCAGAGGATCCAGACACCGGTGCATCCTCGAGGAAAGATTCGTGGGACGGTTACAAGGAGTACGAACACCTGCCGTGGCACAGGAGGCCCACTGTATGTCCTGTTCTGTACTGTGTACTTACTGCCCAGAGAACATGCCAGACTCAACTCTGCTAACACGATGAAACTCTGTGTTCAAGGTCTACTGGTTAATACCGCCATATGCGCTCTTCACCCTGGCATTTGGCGGTTCCATCGTGCCCAAGCTCAACCTGATCATCGACCTGGTCTGCCAGCGTTATTTTGCTGAGCAGACCATGCACGATGGCCACTTCATGGTGGCCCCTGTGGTACTAGGCGGCGACAACCCGCAGTGCAAGAGCCCCGAGGTCCAGCAGCATGTCGCCGCGTTCACCCTCGTGCTCAACGTCCTCGTCGGCTCCCTCAGCGCCTACACGGCGCCCAAGATCGGCTCCCTCTCCGACCGTTATGGCCGCAAGAAGCTGCTAGCCCTCGCCTCCTTCGGCGGTGTCATGGCCGAGATTGTCACCATCTGCGCCGCCAGGTTCCCCGACGTCATCCACTACAGGTGGCTGCTCCTAGGCTTTGCCTTCGACGGCCTCGCTGGTTCCTTTACCGCCGGCTCTGTGCTCAGCCACTCGTACACTAGCGACTGCACGCCTCCCTCCAAGCGCGGCGTCGCCATCGGCTACCTGCACTCGTGCCTGTTCAGCGGCCTGGCCTTTGGCCCCCTGATCGCCGGTTATTTTGTCAAGTGGACCGGCTCCCTCTTGTCTGTCTTCTACGTTACCCTGGGCTGCCACATCTTCTTCATCTTGTGTGTCAGCTTTGTCATCCCCGAGTCCGTCTCCCGGCGCCGCCAGCTGCTTGCCCGCGAGAGGCACGCCGCCGATGTAGAGAAGCGCGACAGGCGCACCCGCGAGTGGGCTTCCGCCTACCTTGCCACCACTGATAACAATAATAACAATGACGACGCCGCCCCCGCCGCCTCCGCGGGCAGCCGTTGGTTCTGGTCCATATTTGCTACCCCCAAGTATGCCAACCTCATCGCCTCCATCCGGTCGGCCAACCCCTTCGAGCCGCTCAAGGTGCTTGCGCCCAGGGGCCCGGAGAACGCCCGCGTGCGCCGGAACCTAGTGCTCCTGGCCCTTACGGACATGGTGATTCTCGGCGCGGCCATGAGCTCGGGCCAGGTGACGCTGCTGTACAGCGAGTACATCTTTGGCTGGGGCAATTTCGAGACCTCGCGCTTCATCTCCCTCGTCTCCATGGTGCGCGTCTTCGTCCTTCTCGCCATCTTTCCCGTCGTCAACTACCTCTTCCGCACCCGCCCCGCCGCCAACCGCCGCCGCGTTTCGGGCCCCATTGTCGAGAGCAATGCCGGCGCCGACGATCTCGATGTGTGGATCCTGCGCTTTGCTATTTTTTCGGACGTTATTGGCTTGGCCGGATACATCTTCGCGCGCACAGAGGCCCTCTTTGTACTAAGCGGCGTCGTCACTGCTTTTGGCGGCCTTGGCTCGGCTACCATCCAGAGCATGCTTTCCAAGCACATGCCTGCCGAGCGAACTGGAGCCGTATTAGGCGCCGTTGGCCTGCTGCACGCCCTCTCCAGGATCATCTCCCCCGTCGTCTTCAACGGGCTATATGCGGCTACGGTGAAGACGTTCCCGCAGGCCGTATTTGTTGCACTGACCAGCCTATTTCTTGTGATTCTTGTTCTGTCGACCATGGTGCGGCCACATGGTGAGCCCCCCCCCCCTCCTCTCCTTTTTTCTTTCTCTTTCACTTCCCCACTATCCCTTCAACAAGATCTCGGCTGACCTAGCTACCGATAGTCTTCGTGAAGGAGCTCGACAGGCCCGAGGAGGAGGGATCAGAAGAGGAGCCCGTGCGGCCCAACTATCACCGCGCGGACACGCTGTCCGACGACGAGGTCGTGCCCCAGATCTGACAATGGGAAATGTTGCCAATAATTTCTTGTATGCGATTGAGTCCTTTTGTCTTTTTTTTTTTTCTGCATATATACCACAAATTACCTACATGATGATCTTTTTAAGGATATTTGTAAGTACAGAATGTGAATTTTGCTTTTTCATTTCAGGATAGAGATAGACAGTGACCACGGATGTCGGCCCAAGAGCCAGAGGGACTTGTTGTTTGTTGTATGAATAGCGATGACTGCAGATATGAGCTATGTAACAATTTCCAGATGTTAAGAAGTGATCTATACATTTTCTATGTGTGTATATGCATAGTTGGATATACGGTGGTCTCAATGAGCGCTCCCCGCAGCAGCCCTCCGTCCTGTCAGCCATGCACAAGCCTTTGATAAATGAATCTTGAAGGTTTACAGCCAAACTGCTTTAATCTGTCGTACCTTCTTGAAACTTGAAAGAAAAATAAAATGAACTAAAGAAAAGGAGGAAAACAAGAGAAAGTCACAAGCAGTGGCACATTTTGTCAAATCAAGTCTTGGCTGGTCAAATCATATATACCCTGTCATTGCAGTAGAACGCTCGAGGCCTTGCTTGCACTGCCTTTTTCTACTACTGTGCTGTAGCGCCCACTTGTTATAGAGACCCACAGCGCACTGCCACCACTCACTTCCTTACTCACTGACCCAAAACTACACTCTCCAGCCAGCCCATACTTCCCAACATGAAACTTCTGGCATCCCAATTTACTCTCAGGCACCACTCTACGAGAATATCAAAACCACTTGCTATCAAGGAGGTCTTCAGAACCAGAATCATGAGCACAGAACATGGAGGCCAGAACAAGGAAAAGATCATGTTTGGGAATTTTGAGGTGACTACTCAGGTGAGTAGATGAAGTAGCAAGAGAACCTCCCTCCCCTCCCAAGTTTCCTATAGTAGTACAGACAAAACATTCCTCCTCCTCTTCCTCCTCCTGCAGCAGATTTGGAAATTAAAAATTGACACTGACATTTCGCTCTCTCCCCCCCCCCCCCCCACCAAGGTCTTCCTCACAACCCCCCACTCCTTCGCCCTCGTCAACCTCAAACCCCTCCAAAAAGGCCATGTCCTGGTCTGCCCTAAACTCCCTCACAAGCGTCTCACAGATCTCACCACCCCCGAGGTCACAGACCTCTTCACCACCGTCCAGCGTGTGCAGAGGATGCTGGCGCGGCACTGCTTTGTTCCCCCCGCCACCGCAAGCCCCCAGTCCTCTCCGTCTGGATCTGGAGCCGATGCAGCAGGAGCAGGAGAAGGGGAAGGAGGAGCGGGGTCCTCGAGAATAAAAAGAAATGAGGGCAAGGGAGAGGACGTTGACCAACAACAACAAGACTACATCAGCCGCGGATCCTTCAACGTTGCCCTCCAGGACGGTCCCGAGGCAGGCCAGACCGTGCCCCACGTCCACGTTCACATCATACCCCGCCTTCCCGCCGCCGCCGGCAGCAGCAGCGGGGGCGACGAGATCTACGAAAAAATGGCGGGGGAAGAGGGCAACGTGGGCGGGGCGCTGTGGGACCGGGACCGGGCGCGGGAGACGGCAGCCACGGAGGACAAGGAAGGGGGGTTCAGCAGGCGGCCGGAGCCGGGCGGGCAGTTTGACAGGATTGAGGACAGCGCGAGGGTGGCGAGGTCGTTGGAGGAGATGGAGGCTGAGGCCGAGGTCTTTAGAAGGGAGTTGACGGAGCTGGAAGGAGGAGAGGAAAGAGGGGAGAGAGAGAGAGGTGAGGGGGGCGACGAGTGACGGCTATTTATGGCGTAGGAGCTGTGGTGCTGTATTGGTTTTTTCGTCTTCTTTTCTTCTTTTCTCTTTCGTTTGCTTTTCCTGTTCTGCATAGGAAATGAACAAGGTGCGTGTTCCACATCAAACAGCTTTGGTCCCATCGAATATATTGATCGCACTTGCAACAAAATATCTGCAAATTAGACAAAGACACCAACACCGAGCGCTGCTGATCTGAACACAAGATTTTAAACACTCAACACTATGTAATGCCCGCCCCCGTAGTGAAAGAAAATTTTATCAGCCATCGAATATCACTCCAGCCCGCCTATCATGTCCAGGTTCGTCATGGAACTGTCAAAATCCCAGCCATCCCCCGTGTCCGGGTCCGAGCCTTGCAGGCCTCTGAACATGAACAAATCTCCTCCAGTTAAGCCGCCGACGCTGAGTCCAGCATCATTCCCACTGCCGGCAACGAGGGAGTTTGCACCAAGGCCCCAGCTCTCAAAGTTTTGTTGCCAATTAACACCGTCCTTGAGGTACCAGTCCTTTGCGTCCACCGTATAGGGGGTTTCGGGGGACCGTTGGTGAGAACTCGAAGACGTCGACGGGGCACCGCTACCAGTGGACTGCTGGACTGGTGCATAAGCCTGGAAATAGCGTGGTAGACCGGGTTGGCTGAAGCCGGGCATAGCCCAGGAGGGGTTGTTGTCATTGGGAGCAAAAGACATAGTCGTGGTGGACGGGTCGGCCGCCGTGGTGTTTGGTATTCTCAGCGGTTGGACGGTCACAGGAGAAGGTATCGAGCCTAGACTCGGTAGGAACTCGGATGACGACATGGTTGTCGCTGGCTCTCGGAGTAAGCCGGCTGCCATGTCTTGCTGCATGGCCTCCGCAATACCAGCCCCCTCGTGGCCTTGTGGTGGTTGTAGCTGGTTTGGGGATTGAGGAGCTGATGGTGGCGAGGCTGGGAAGGACGACACCTTGTACGTGATCGGTGAGGGCACATCCGCCATGACTAGATGGCCGTACTTTTGGTCCGTCCGCTTCAGCACCACGGCTGCCTCCTCCGGGAGCTCGCAATTCCATTTCCTGGCCAGGACACTGAGTATACTCAGGGTTCGCCTGGAACAGAGCCAGTCCTCGGCCATCTCCTCGAGGTGTTTTACGCCATGGGTGATGTCACGCCTCGCGCTCTTCTCGGGCAAGTTGAGGAGATGAATGGTGCAGGCCGAGTGCAGCATGTACACAGCTATGTTGCAGATCTGCCGTAGATTGTACTGCTTCTTGTACAGCCTCATCAACTTCGATATGAACCCTGCATTCGCCGTACAGATACGTCGCGGTGACACATGCGCCGGTAGTGGCGACGCCGAAGGATTGTACTTGAGAAACGGGCGAAACAAATGGATATATTGTAGGTGATAGAACATGCTGTGAGTGAGGAAAAAAGAGAGAGAGAGAGAGAGAGAGCCAGGGTTAGTACAAGTAAAAAGAAGTGGTCAAGGTAGAGCGACATACTGCATGAGGATCGCATTCGGCAGCTGGCCTTCCCTGGGCTCGAACTCCCTCGGGAGCCCCTTGCGCCAGTCCTCGAGCTGTCTGTGCAGCTCGCTGAGCTTCTTGAGCTCGACCGACTTTCCATTCGACCTGCCGATATGCTTCGGGTGGTAGAAGAACAGTAACAGATCACTGCTGATCTCGCAGAGCTTGGAGAGCTGGAGGCCGATAGCTCGGGTGCGGGCAGGCTGCCTCGATTTCTCGTCAAAGCCTCTGTCCGTGTATGGGATCCAGGATTCACCGTCCTCATCTGGGTATACCTCAAATTTCGATACGTTGTAAGAGTTTTTGGGTAGCTGGGGTAGACGGCCCAGGTAGTTGGACCAGGTCTTGTCGAAGAGAAAGCAGCCCCAGAACGTGATCTTCCTGGCGTCTACTTCGTCCTCGCTCATGCGTCTCGTTTCCCCCGCGATGGCCTCAGGCTCCATGTTCAGGCCGACGTCCTGGGCCATCCGGAAACTCATGCCGCTGTAGGCCCAACCCCTTGCCTCCCGCCCGCAGCCTGCCTCGCGGACAGACATGAGGGCGAGCGCCTGGGTCGTAGTGAGAGAGGGGACCGTGTACTCGTCGTTGTCAAAGACCAGCCTCTTGGCCTCGGCAAAGAAGTGATCACCCTTCGTGCGACTGTCCCCAGAAACCGCGCACGCGCCCGATGCATCTGTGAAATGACAGCCGAGCGCAAGCATGGCATTGACCAGCGGGGAGGAGCAGTACACAGAGATCCTCGGCGCCTTTGCTGGCCTGCCCTTGAGGAAATCCTGCCAGAACAGCTTCTTCGAAAGGGTTGTGAAGTAAGGATAGTGCCAACTCCAGTACATGTTGAGGAGGTGTGTCACCAGGTCCTTGTCCTTGGTGACTTCTGACCAGCTGGTGAAGGGGTCTTCATCCAGCTGGAGGTCTGGTGAGTCCGACTCCGCTGCTGCTTCGTGTTCTTCTCCCTGGTAGATGAGATGTGAGGTGCCGCCGATGTACCGAACCACTCCGTTCCTCATCCTCAGCTCTCCCATCTTGCTCGCTAGATCCCTTTCCCCATCCATGGGTCCGTCAGCGAGGTGAACCTCAGCGAGATCATTATCGGCATCGTCTCCTCCTCCACCACCACCACCACCACCACCCCCTCCTCCACTTTCATGACTGGCGGTCCAATCCTCCTTCGAGATGGCATCGGCGACGGCGTCGAGACTATCACAGGTGCGTATCCTCCGTACGATCTCGGGGACATCGTCCTCGTTCGCGTTGAGAATGGCCTCGATGAGAACCTGCAGTGTTGAATTTTTGGCCCTGGTGCTGTCGACTCTCTCACGATAGACCCCCTTGCGACGGTGGTCTGAGTTTGGATCGTAGATACAATCGGTATTGTAGACGGATCTACACGCCGCACAGCTCGGCAGGGCCCCGTCACACTTGGACTTCCTCTTCCTACAGGCAATACATGCCGTACTGACGCACCGTCGTTTCTGATTTGTAGGATCGGCTCGAGATCTCGATTTCTTCTTTGTCACGCGCTGCTGTGCTTGCAGAGGACCAACCAAGGAGGAATCGCCAGCGCCTTGAGGCGGCTGCAGGGTAGGCCGAGGACCCGAGGAGGGTTCCATATTGGCCCAGGGCCTCAAGCAGTGAGATGGGTCTGTTCGTTTGGGGGCACAGCTGATCGGCTGAGATGAGCCAATAGAATCAAGAAGAGATGACCCTCAGCGCCGCGGAGAAGTCCAAGACAGTGTGTTGGGGAGCGGACACGAGTCCGCGGAGTTATTCCTCTTGGTGATACCCTGCGAGCAAGCAATAAGAGAGACGTGCGCCCGAGTGTCAGAAAAAGGAAACATAAAAATGCAGAGACCCGCACGCGCACACAAACACATACAATCACAAACACACAAAGGAGGAGAGGACCCTCGTCTTGGCTGTATAAGAATGTAAGAGAAGACTTGTCGATCTCTGAAAGGCTCGGAGTGACCTATTTCCCCCCACCCATCCAAGATGGTTCGCGCAAGCTTGGCGTGGCCGATGCGAGCACGCTTCAGGTTGACCAGATCCGGTCGGATAAGGCCTTCACTCTGAAATGATGATGATCCAGGTGAGCCTCGGCGACGTTGGACTAGACAAGTAGCGTGCGGCATATGTGCTCAGTAGTGTCTGGTCCGTTCAGACAGGTTTGTACTTTTAGGTCCTATGTGGCACGGACGATGATGGGCGACGTTTTGCGCAGCGGATTCTGACCGACCACCTGACCATGAGGCCTAGACCAAGAAGACGACCCGACCTCCTGTGAGCACGGATAACGCTGCTTTCGTTGAGATGAGAGGCATGGATCGACCTCTGATGTGTTACTGGGCCTTGGGATCGACTCTGCGTCGTCGTGGTCAAAGAGACAGAGGGACTCCCTCTCATAGAAAGTAGGAGGGCATCGGGGGTTGCGGGATGGTCCGGACCTTAAGCCAACGGCTCACATCAGACAAGGCGGGAGAGGCTGCTGAGGGTATGGAGGGTTAGGGTCTACTAATCACAGCCAAGGTCTCCCGAGACAGCCATGACGGCGAGGCTGCGAGAGTGGGATGGTGGACTGAGACAGGAATTGTGGTGGAATGTCACCTCATTGATTGATGTGCGGACTCTTCATGCGCAGAGTTATCAGCTCTGGCGACGATGAGACCTGATGACGAGTACAAATATCCTGTATCAAGGCGGTTAAGGGAAATAGTGTCGGAAAAGATGAAGTGGCCTGCATCGGGAGAACATGCGTCGTCGGATGATTACAGGAAGGAGGAGGAGGAGGAGGAGGAGAAGAAGAGAAAGAAGAAGAAGAGAAAGAAGAAGAAGAGAAAGAAGAAGGAAGCCCTAGGCTACAGCTGCCTTCTCAAGGTCGTGCTCCCAGTAGAGGTGCTCCTCCCTTTCATTCTTGTCAACGGTCCTTCCATTCTTTCTGACACTTGGCCACGGGAAAGGCAAGTGGGGGGAAACAAACAGAACGAGAAGACAAGCATGAATGAGTCAATAAATAACGAATCAACAAATGGAAAAAAGCAACTAATAGAGACTGTCCCTTTCCTACGCCAATTCTTGTATACATACGACGATTCAGCCGGTGTCGTTGCGACTACAGAGCCCGCTGCGGAGTTGTTCATATAAATAACCGATTTTTCACTGCAGCTCTGCTCAATTATCAACATCAACGGACCTTCGCACAACAAATATGAGATCTGATATCTCAGATGCGAGGTGGGCACAGCTCGAGATACGAGATCCAATACGTTGACACTCAATATGGAGCGCATCAGTTCGTGTGGGCACACGAAAAGAAGAGGGGAGTCATCATATGACCTGAGGCAAGTATAGATTTTCCCTCATTTCTTCAATCCTCATGTATACGTGTGAAGGGACGAACATCTGTCGACCTCTTTTGTTACCATAGTATAGACACGCAACCTCTGGATGAATCAGATAGGTCATGCACGAGGAGCCATTGGGATCGACAATTGCCAACGCCAACGATGTACTATGGTACAGTAGCTTGCTAGCACCTGCATAATAATTACCTTGGACTGCTTGGGTGAGGTCCAGAGTTCGGCCAGGACTGCACCGAAACGGTCCAGAAAGCAAGTGACCCTCCCTGCCTCCCTTCCCCCGCATGCGCATACCTGGGACGGCGCCGTAATCTGGGGAACAAGACAAGACCCCCTGTGTTTGCCGGGGGAGGGGGGAGGATTAAGCGAATTCTATTTCTCTCTCTGTCTCTCTCCAAAGTACTCACGGGCCTGGGGTTTCCTGGAGCTTGTTTTGCCTCCAATCAAAAATTGTAGCATCCCTCACCCGTTCATCAATGAAGTTACTCAATCCAGAATGCGCCCGCTTCGAGCCCTGCATTAGGACAAAATTGTGGGAGGAGCAGCACACAGCATCTTTGCTGCCCTGGCCCTCTCATCTCGCTATGCACTCCGTCATGATGCAGCAAGTATTTATTAGAAAATATATGTACATGTATATATTCAAATCAAGACGCCCCCTTCAAGTGGTTGCCCTTCCTCCATGACGGCGATGATGATGATGATGTAGGAGTTCGAGTCCCATCACCTCACAAAGGCAAAGCAGTAACAGTCTGTTCCCTATCGACATACACGTTGACACAATGGCTACTCACTTGAAAAGTCTCATCCTCCATCTCCCTCTCCTAGGCCTGGTCACCCTGCCCTCCCTGGCCTCCGCGACCGCCCACCTCCCCATGACCAGGCCTCGCAGCCCAGCCAGCACCGGCAAGACCTGTACCCTCACCCCGCTAGGCAGCGGCCAGGACGACGTCCCCCAGATCCTCACGGCCTTTGAGGACTGCAACAACGGCGGCACCGTCGTCTTCCCAGAGAACGCAACCTTCTACATCGCGACCCGCCTGAACCCGGTCCTCTCCGACGTCACGATCGACTGGAAGGGGGAGTGGCTGTTCTCGGACGACCTGGACTACTGGCGCAACAACTCGTATCCGATCGCATTTCAGAACCATCATGCCGGGTTTGTCATCTCGGGCGAGAGGATACACCTGAATGGCTACGGCACGGGCAAGATCAATGGTTCGGGAAATACGTGGTATACCGCTGAGGCGGGCGACACCCAGCCCGGTCGGCCTATGCCGTTTGTCTGGTGGAACGTCTCGGATGTCCTGGTTGAGCACTGTAGGTTTTATGCATTTGGGCTCAATCTCCCCCTCCCCTTCTTTTCGTTTCTTCTCCTTCTCCTGGGCCAAATTGTCCGTGCTAATAATAAATTGTCTCTTGCGTGTGTTAGTCACCGTGACGCAGAGCCCGTTGTGGTCTATCAATATCATGAACGGCACAGAAATGTGGTTTGATGATATCTACGTCAACAATACTGCCCTGGACGCACCCTATGGCACCAATTGGGTGCAGAATACAGATGGCTTCGACACCATGGACGCATACAACATTAGGCTTACCAATTTTGTGTATCAGGGGTAAGTTTCGCGAGAAGAAAGAGACATCACCACTGAATCATCACTAGAAGGATATCCGATTACTAATCTCAAGATACACAACAGAGGAGACGACGCAATAGCCATTAAGCCTCGCTCGTATAACGTCTATATTCAGAATGTACATTGCCCCCTCGATTCACCCACCCACACACTTGTCTCTGTCAACATGCCCGGACTGACCTGTTCTTGATGCTAGATCACCGTTCATGGCGGCAACGGCGTCGCCATCGGCAGTCTGGGTCAGTATCTGGAGGATTCATCAGTAGAGAACGTCATAGTGAAGGACGCGCAGATCCTCACCTACAATGACGATCTAGAGACGGGCGCGTACATCAAGACCTGGGTTGGCGAGCTGGTGCCGCAGAGTAGCTATGAGAGTGATTATCTGCCGCGAGGCGGGGGATGGTGAGTCTTGTTACCAAAACAGCTGTTTGTTCTTTTCCCCTCTTCATTTTATTCACAGATGGCTCATTCATATTTCCTGTTCTTTTTGGAAATACAGGGGCGTCGTCACGAACATTCTGTTCGAGAACTTTTACCTCCAGGGCCCTTCCGTCGGAATGGACATCACCCAAGATTCTGGCGATAATGGTAAGCAGCCTGTCCAAATCCGTTCATGCTTCCACCCACCCGGAAAACCCCCCAGCATATGGACACGACTCTCTCAAGGCCATTCACTCACTGACATCCGGGGGACAGGTTCATATCCCGGCACCTCCAACATGTTGGTCTCCAACGTGGCTTTTGTGAACTTCACAGGCTACGTCAACTCGGCCACCCGCACCGCCGCCGTGTCATGTTCTGCGAGAAACCCCTGCTACAACATTGCCATGAGGAACATTAGCCTTGACCTGCTACAGAACGGCACCGTTGCCGAAGGGGCGGTAGGAACTTGTTCTTATACAGCCGAGGATGGCGTGTATGGTATGACGGGGACTGGGTGCTGAATAATAGAAGAAGAATAAAAGGGCCATCTAAGTGCCTTAGGAGGAATGGCGGGCTCGAGAACTAGAATCCCTGATAGTGGCCCCGCAAGCCAGTGTCTCTTCTCAATAGTCGAAGCTCTTATCCATCGCTCGTGAGGTTAGACGAGTAGTCTGCGTTCTTCCAAACACACAGACAATAGACCACGAGAGAGCCCGGCCCTTTCAACCAGACGAAAAGTGCCTGCAAGAATTCACAGTTTATGAAAATGTTGATTCCAGCCTTCTGATTACCTGAGAAAGCCTTATGGCCCGAGAGCGCAAATGCCTTTTGCGCACGACATGCATGCGACAAGAGTCCTGACTTGGTGGTCGCCAGACTTTACTCCATTCCTTTTTGAAGTCACTCGGGCTTGTGGATGATCACTGCTGTACAGGAGCAGGCGTTGCCCCTAACAAGAAAGAGGGAGCCGCTCATATCGTCCCTCATGAAATGCTTTATTTCAACCGTCCTTATAACGCCATGTCCCCCCATCCGACCCAGTTTGCTTCCTTCAGAAGTTCTGTTTAGAAAGATGAATGCCAATGGCGATGCCAACAGACCAGAAACCGGGTATCAATCAGTGTTTGACTTTTTCCAATCACATGCTCTCCACGGCAGTACGCTCACTCGGTCGCCTCGACAGCAGCCTCGGGCTTGGCGTCGACTTTCTTAGCAGGGGGCTCTTCGGCAGCGGGTTCGTCGTCGCGAGCACGCTTCGAGTTCTCGTTGCTGCCCTCGCGCTTGCTGTCGCGATCCCGGCGATCGCGCCCACCACGGCCACGGCCACGGCCACCACGACCGCGACCAAATTTGTGTCCGTGCTGCCGATCATCGGCCTTGCGAGCCTTCCAGTCGTTAGGGTCGGAGTTGCGGTTGTGGAAGTTCTTACCACCACGACCGCCACCACGGCCGGTACGACCTTCAAAGAAGGCGCGGCGCTCGGTAGGCTGGAGCTTGCCCTCCTCGATGAGCTTGTTCTTTTCCTCGACGTAGTCTTGCTTGGACATGATTTTCAGGTCGTGGCCCTTCCACTTGGGTGGAGGGTCAAGAGCCAAGAAGGCCTTGGCCTGCTCCTCGGTCTCGAACTCGACGAAGACGGAGCCCTTGAAAAGGTTCTCAGGGGTACGGCGCAGACGAATGGCATTGACAGTGTCAAACTTAGCAAAGAAAGCCTCGATATCGAACTGGGTGGAGGGCTGTTCGTCGCCGAAGCCCTTGACGTAGACGGAGCATGGCATGAGCTTGCGGGCCTTGGTGGGGTCGTAGGCTTGCTTGCGGGAGACCATCTCGTGGCCCTCTTCGCCGGTGACCTCCAGGGAGCTGCTGTCGCGAAGAGCCTTGACGACGGCGGAGTAGGGTTGGAAGCGGCGCATGCGGCCGAAGACGTGGATCTTAGACACCTCGACGGGCTTGTTCTCGGCACCGCCACAGAGGTTCCAGAGATACTCATCCTTGGGCAGGTTGTTGTCGGAAAAGTAAAACTCGACCTGGAAACAAGTGTTAGTGTGCGTGCATGGGTCGCGTGCAGTTCTGGCTGCGACCATACCTGGGCTCGGATCTCAGATGGGTTGTCGGATTCTGGCAGGACGGAAGGGTCGAACTTCTTGTTCTTGCGGGGATTGGTGTAGGCGCGGGCCTTGGTTTTCAGCATGCTGGTGTCCTTGTTCTCAGTCTCCTCCGTAGGGCCAGCCTCCTTGCCGTCCTCCTTGGCTCCCTCAGTCTTAGGCTCTTCGCTCTTGACATTCTCAGCCTCCACGTTCTCATTGGGAGCCTCGTCGGTGGTAGGAGCAGTCTCTGTAACAGCAGCAGTCTCCGCGGGAACAGATTCAGGGACAGGTTCAGGGACAGCCTCGACAGGTGCCTGAGCAGCCTCAACGTTGACAGTCTCCTCAGCCATTGTGGTAGTGGTAGTGTTTTGATGGATAGTGCGTTGGGTGATTCAATATGGCCGCTCCGAATAAAGGATTCTTGGGAAATAGAGGTGTCTATCGCCCCCAATTCCCTGGAGGAAGTTGAGATCCTTCGCTGGAGGCTGAGGACAGCAAGATGTAAGGTCAGGCTGGTGGTGGGGTAATTCACAGATCGTCAACAGGCTGTCGTTTTCTAAGGAAGGGCCCGAATGCGATCGCAGGGTCGCAGTGATCAGTGGTAGCTCAGAAGCTAGACCTCCTAGTCTGTCTGGGTTGCAGAATTCTGAGTAGGAATGGACAACACGTCTATCAATAGCTGGACATTGGAAATTATTCTGACAATTGTGCAGAAGGAGGTGAAGAAATTGTCGTGGTGAGGAGAAGGTGAAGAGGAAGAAAGAAGTAGAAGAGGAGGAGGGATTGTAGATCACTAGCGAAATGGAACTTTTTTTTTTCTTCTCCGTCTTCCTGGCCTGCAAACAACCGTATCGATTGCAGTGATACCCTGTATACCCCACATGGACCCCCCCCCAAAACTTCCAGGGAGCTCCAGGCTGCATGGCTGAGGCTGTAAGTGGCCCGTGCGTGCTTCCATTCTAAATTTTGGAAATCGCGACGAGACAAAATCGCGACGGCTCAAGGTTAAATACTGCACCTGCACCTGCGCAGTAACTGGCCGGCAAATCACCACCAAAGGCTCAACTCGACCTGGAGCTTGTCAATCCAGCTCTACAAGACTCAAAATGAGGTTAAGGAGGACGTTCAATTATCATCACCTTAAGAAGGGGGTAAGCAATGCCACAAAATTCCTGTTCTCATCATCCGATTGCTTGCGACCAAATCTCAACCGTTTTTTTTTTTGTTTTTTGGGTGACATCCTCAATTGACGCCTCCCTCTTTTCCTTTCCGTGCCCAATTATAGAGAGTTCGAGCGACCTGGAACAAATACAATCTCTACAACCTCTCCAAAGTCGAGCGGACCATTCCCAACTTCATCCGCCGGACCTTCTTCCAGCAGAAATGGACCGCGAAGGCCCTGACCCGCGCCTACCACGGCGAGCACATTCGAGAGTCCAAGTGGAACCGTATGTTCAGCCGCCGCCTGCAATCTGTCGTCAACATGGATCCTGTCTATATGGCTCTGAACGACGGTTCCGAGCAGGCCACAGGTCGGGGCTCGGGCCGTGACATACCCCGGGCAGAGGACGAGACGCCCTGGCACGAGAGGGGCCAGAAGCGCAAGCACAATGTCAAGGGCCTCCCGCTACCGGTCCACGCCGATATGACGGAGGTCACGGTCGGCGGGGACCGCAGAGCCAATAAGAACGCGATGAACACACAGCAGTTCTCCGGACAGACGCCTTATATGAACATGACATTTGCGCCACTCGAGAGGAGGATTGATGTCGCCATTTTCAGGGCCCTGTTTGCGAGCAGCAGTCGTCAGGCGAGGCAATTTGTGATTCACGGTGCTGTCAAGGTCAACGGGCAGGTGGTAGGTGGTCCCCCCCTAGTGCTTCTCGACTTGCGAGTATGAGAAAAGAAAGGTCGAGCAAACTGCTAACTCGCGGTGTCTGCACAGATGACACATCCGAGTTATCTCCTGAACCCCGGCGACATGTTCCAGGTCGACCCAGACATGGTCATGTACGCAACTGGCAGGAAGAAGCATACACATGTAGAGACAAAGGAGGGCAAGCCACCAGGCACGGATGAAGAGGCAGAAGAGCCCGAGGATGCAGCAGAAGGCTCGGAAGAAGCCGCCGCTGAGGACTCAGCAGAAGCAGACGCGGCCAAGGCAGCACCAGAGACCGACAAGGAGCAAGTGGCCAAGCAACTAAAGGTCCTCTCCAAAATGGCCAAGGGTTTCCTCCAGGCGGAGAAGGGCGACCTCTCGGTCAAGAAAAAGCAGCAGATTCGATCCTTTGTCAAGGAGGCTCGCAATATCTCATCGCAAATTGGCCGCAAGGACGGCCAAAACGCCGTCACCAACGACATCGTCGGCACCATCAACTCGATGCTCAAAGAACTCGTCATCAATGATCCCAATGCCGCCACTCGGGCCAAACAATCTGGCGCCTTCTCCGCCGAGGCGACTGCACAGGCAGTTGCCGCCGCAGATGCAGCAAACCCGGCGCCACCACCGCCGGCACCGGCGGATTCAGTGCGCTACGAGATGTCGGACGAGGAGGCGAGCCGGCTGGCGGAGATGGTGCGGGAGTACGAGGAGAACCCATTGGACGAGAGCAAGCCATACCTCACACCGTGGCAGCCAAGGCGGTTCATGAGCCCCTTTGCCTTTATCCCACGATATCTCGAGGTGAACCAGAACATATGTGCGGCCGTGTACCTGAGGCATCCGGTCGCGAGGCAGGGCTACGCCGAGGTGCCAAGCCCGTTCCCGCCGAATGTGATGCAGCTGGCTTTCAACTGGTATCTAAGGAGAAGATAGTGACCGAGATTGGGGCTCAGAAAAAGGAAAAATAATTACAAATCAGAAAGAAATTTCAGGGGGAGACCGAGCGCAGCGTACAAACAGACATCCATACGAAGATTTCAATTTGTGTCGTCGGTACGGATGCCGCCCACTCTGAGTACGATTAAAAAAATCTTGAGCTTGGTATACCCTGTATATACTCGCCCAGTCTCCTGTGAAGGGGGAGGGACGGGGGGCGGGGGCGCATTCGCAAGATGGATCCTTAGACATAGATGATGGAGGGATGTGATGGGCCCGGGGGGGGGGGGGGAGAATCCAGCAAAAGCGCAAATGTAACACCACCACTTGACAATACCTTCCTTTTCTGTTCGCCCTTTGCAACCAATTTCTGGAACGACGAAATGCTTTCTCAATGGATGGCACGTGAATACGCGAGCAATAAGAGTCGCTACTACCGCTGCTGCTCAGTTAGGGTGTGTCTTAAATCAGCTTACCCATTGAGCGACATCAGCCTCAGGGTTGCCATCAGCTAAGACGCCGTTTTAGAGGTCAACGGCACGATCAACGGCCCGCCGCCACGGCTGACGGCCTGATCCGCCTTTCTTTTTAACCTTATCATGTGGAAGGATGGATGGATCCTTCTCTCCTACCAATGGCACGGCACCGAACTGCACCAGGCATCATGAGCACAAACAGGTTTGTGATGGATGTCCATCGTTTTCTGACTCTGAACCACTAGACTAAAAGAAGAGCTGCAGGGTGACAACAAGGAAAATACTGTAGTAGTAGTAGTAGTAGTAGTAGTAGTAGTAGTCGACACTGAACGGGCCGGGAAAGAGAAAAAACATGCTTGAGAGGCAGGGGTATGTAAGTAGAGAGCCTTCCAATGCGATCCCAGCTCCTCCAACGAGATACCGACTTCGAGAATCCGGACGCATCCACACCTGCCATGCTCGTGGGCTACCCATCCGACCACCGGGTCACACATCCTCCTGTCTTATTCCCCAGTCACTAGGTGCCGCAAACCAATGCTCACCTCCCCTCCACCACACAGCACGCATCCAAATACGCGCCCCTATAGAGTCCTCTGGGGATTCATTCAACGCCCCCCAGGGATATGAGAAAAGAGTTCCCCCGAATGGTTGGTCGTGGGGTGCCATTGAAAATGAATTAGGTCCTTCCGGCGAGGAGGGATGCTAAAGTCCGTCGTGAATTATAAGAAGTCGTATTCTCAAGTGTCGGCTCGACAGATATCTCTGAACAAGTAATGAAAAGAAGCAAATAAAGGCCAGCGCTGTCCGTACGCGTGCGCCAGGAAAACCGCGAATGCCGAGTCGACTCCGGATCGAATGTGAGGGAAAGGTGTTCTAGACCGTCTTTGAAGGATGCAGGGGACCTTTGCTCGGAAAAGCTCCAAACCAAATCGTATATCGCAAAAAGTGGTTCAAGGATCCTGATCTGAGCTGCCAGTGACAACTAAGTCGCGGCAGCAAAGCGATTGTCGATACATTTCGACATTGCCGTTTCGTATGACGCGCCTGGTTGCCAGGTTCCACCCGCAGGCTGGTCCGGTTGGTCGAGCCATGTGTGACTTTTCGACGATTAAGTAGGTTGAGATTAAACTGGAGAAAAAGAAGAAAAAACGGAAAGACAAGACTTGGAAATCGGCGGGGTTGGTTTGGCGAGGGCATGAGGCGTGCGCGGGCATGATCTTCGAGGGAAAGGTAGGAGAGAGGCTGTTTATCGGAGGGAGAATCCCTTCCTCTTGCCTTCCTTCTCGATGGGCCGCCCGCTCTCGACTCTCGACTTCTTGTCTTCGAGTTCCTGCCGCTGGCGGTCGAGCTGTTCCTTCATCTCGCGATGCCGCGCGTACAGCTCTTCCTCGCTCTGCTTGAGCTTGGACTCCTTCTCAGCCACCTTCTGTTGGAAGACCATCTTCATCTCTGCCTCCATCTTGGCGAGCTTCTGCTCGTGGAGGGCACGCTCCTCTTCCTGCTTGACGGCGGGGTTGACCTCCTTGAAGACGCTGGGGTCTTGAGAGACTCCCATCTGGATGAGCTTGTCCGTGCGGTAGTTCTCGTAGAGGAGGTTGTTGGTATGCTCCTTGAGCTCCTCCATGTGGGTCCGGATCAACATCTGGCGGAGCTTGACGAAGTCACAGTGCTCCTCGTTGTCGACCTCAATGACGCCCCAAGGGTACTGACGGCCTCGGACCTTGCGCCCGTCGGCATTGGTGATCTCGTTGGTCGCACCAACCACGGCGAAGGGAACCTTGGACATTATCTCGTTGTTCTCGGCGATGGTCTCCTCGTCATCGAGCTCGTAGCGGGGACCCTCGAAGATCTGGACGTTGTGGTGCTTGATATCTGCCAGGATCTAGTGACTGGTTAGCGGCTGATGGGAAAGTTCTGGCATGACTCGACAACACTTACTCTGGCCTTGAAGGCGGTCACCTCCTCATCTGTCAGGGTGTCAGACTTGGCGATGACGGGAATCAGGTTGACCTTGGTGTGGAGGCGCTTCATGACCTCGATATCCAGAGGCTTCAAAGAGTGGCCCGTGGGTTGGATGAAGAAAACACAAGCGTGGATGCGGTTGTCCACGATGTTCATGCGGTTGACCTTGTTCTCGGCGTCCAGGTAAGCATCGAATCGCTGCTCGATGTTGTCCGTGATAGGCCGCCAGGACTCGTCATTGTTGACAAAGTCACCGAAGCCAGGCGTGTCAACGACCGTCAGTCGGAGACGGACACCAGCCTCCTCAATATCAGCGCTGATAGACTGGATGGTCACAGTCTTGGGAAGGATATCGAGGCTGGGTCCCTTCCGCTCCTTAGGTGGGTAGAGGGAGGTGTTGAAAAGCGTGTTCACGAGGGTAGACTTTCCAAGACCCGACTCGCCTGAGACGAGCATTAGATATGAAAACTTGCAGATGGATGAGGCTTCCTGAAAAACGTACCAACAACCATCACGTTGAAGTTGAAACCCTTGCGGACACTCTTGCGGTGCCATTGGTTTGGCAGGTTGGCAAAGCCAACGTATCCAGTCAGCTTCCTGCGAACAATGTTCTTGTTCTCAATCACGCCGCCAGATGTGGCTGTAGCGGGGAGGTTAGAACGCTGCTCTGGCTCAGAGGCAACTTGGTCCACAGGAGAGGAGGGCTTGCCAGTAGGAGGCTCTGGAGGGGTGGAGACAGGGGCGCCGTTAGAAGCTAGAAGACAACGATCAGGTTAGTCATGTGTTTCTTCTTTCTTTCTTTTCCTGAGGCATTGACAATGAAGATGTTCGGTCGGTTTCAGGGAGCAATGCAGAGCCGAGGAACCTGACACTCGGAGCGTGGCGGCATGATTTCGCGGCGGAGTTCGTTCAGGTCCAGGGCCATGAGAGGTGCGATGCTGGGTACGGCGCCAATATCCAACATGCTGCGGTAGACGAAGTTCCTGGGTATGTGGTAGGCGAGGCTGCTGGACCTCGTCGCTACAGCGGGCGGGGTAAGGTTCGGAGAATTAGGGGCGCTGGCAACGGTCTCATCCAGTTGAACACTGCGGGGACGAGTCTTTATCGCATGGTTCCTGTCGAATGACATGTTGCGCTGTGACAGATGTCGCTACGACAAACTCGGTCGTCTCCCTGCAGCCGCTCTAGCCTTTCCACGATGCCGAGATGGAGGCTAGTATCTCGGTGCGAGATCACGGATGATGAATAATGAATTCGCACAGCGATGCCCCGAGGACGATCATGGGAGATGCTGTCAAGAAGGACTAGACCCAGTCGGTGATAGGCAGCTGGAGAGACAGATCGTTGAATCGAGAGGTGGGTGGATTGGGTCGGGTTGGTTGGGATGTAGAAAACCGTTCGATTGGGTCCACGCGCGGTCATGGCCAGCGGGCTTGTTTCTTGCATCGCTCCCTCCATTTGACCATCAAAAGCAGGAGAGGAAGTCCTTACCCATTGTGTATGTGCAACCGATTTATGTTTCGGAAAATGAGGATAGAACGAGTGACTAGAAAAAGGCAGCGACCAAAAAAATATGTTAGCAAGAGGGTCGTCATTCAGGGGAGAGGCTCGGCAGTAGCAATAGTAGCAGCGCACTAAAGCTCCAGGTACCAAAAAGTCAAGCCTCCTAAATCCTAGACCAGACTCATGGGCGAAACGCCAAACTGTCGTCACTAGCAGAGCTTAGGAGGTATCAATCGCCCAGAGACAGCTGCCAGATGAGACACACAGGTCTGGTTTGGAGATGAAGGAGTAGCGACAGAGGAGGGTTTTTTTCTGCCCGCGAACTTGGGAAATCACAGCCTTGGGGGGACGTACCAGGAAGAAGACACACGCAGCTCGGGCCAACGCGCGTTAAGGAGATAGACAGGTGAGACGTCTTTGTCTTGTCGGATTGAGGAGTCTGTAGAAGGTGACGAAAAGGGAGGAACAAGAAGGAAGGAAGAGAAAGAAAAAGGTGTAACTGGTGATAACAACGAAGATGAACAGACAGGTAAGGTCTGGTCGTGGGAAATTTTGCACGGGAAGGAAGAAGACGTGGAGATGAAGTGTGTAATGTGAAGATGGGTGTGCAGAGAGGGTTTGCAAAGGGGGAAATTTGGCAAGCACGGGTAGGACGACATGGTCACTTCGCTTGCTACGAGCTTGGTCCCTGAGCCAGTGAGGCCCCCGGTCGTCCCAATTCCCCAGTGACCCACAGGGTACCGCCTAGGGTCCATACAGAGGACCGTGCCCCCCTGGCTCAACTCGAGTGAACACGCCAAGCCTGATCAGGCCAGATTGGAGCAGATCCAAAAGGCACTCATATTTTACCCTGCTCACTGCCGGTTGCATGATGAGCTGCCCGCCCCGCTGCACTGTAGGTTCTTGTGCTGCATATTTGGCAGAAAATAAAAGGGGGGTTTGTGGTTTTGGCCGTCCTGCCTCACCAATGGGTGGAGAAATCAGAACGCTGCAGGGGTGGGTTGGTTGGTAGTACCACACACACATACTACTGCTAGGACATGCATGTACGAGGTTTGAGGTGCCAAAAAATCCTCCCCTTCCACGAGCTCAATTGGCTGGAAATTCACATCTCCTTCAGGCGACGCGGCAGCTGGGCGTTGTTGTCTTGGTGGTAGGTGGTTGGTCCGGGCCTGCTGGTGGAAATTGCCAGCCCTGGTTAGTTAGGCTGCCAGGTGGTCTATACGATACACGAGCAGCGGCACCAAAATCTGGCCCTCCCTCTTCATCTTGATCGTTTCTTCATCTGGGCGCCCCCCCCCCGGTGGTACCCTTGCATGCTTTTGACCGAGTTAAGGGATTGAGATACAATATTATTTACTGGAATACTTATCGGCAAGGCCCTCATGTGGATCCGATGAGGCTCGTAACGAAGCCTTGTTACCATCCACAATTGCTCTTTAAATGGTTCTCCACCTTCTTTTGTTTTCTTCTTTCCTTTTTCCTTTTTCCTTTTTCCTTTTCCGCAACAGCAGAAGGGGCCAAAAATAGAAAAGAAAGGAAAGGAACAAATTAATATCCGCCTTCCCTCCTTGCTTATTTGAAGCCCTTGTTGGAAAACCATAAGCCAATTGAATACTGACACAACATGTTCCAAATCTTTCTTTCCTTCTCTCTCCACAAGACCATGTCCGTTCGTCTAGCCTATGTACGTACGTGGCAATCCCTCTGCAGCGGCATTCTGTAGGTTGGCGTGTGATTCTCGAAGAGGGCTAGAAACCTTGAGGATGGGAAGCAGGTTTCAACGGTAGCGTCGCGCCATAGGGCTGATGCTCCTCATGCAGTGATGATGTATTGCTTGTCGAGGCGATGCAAGGCCTTCAAAGGCAATCCCAGTACTAGCAGTGTGTCAAAGAACAGAGATTTTTGCAATGATTTGTTAAAATTCATTTGGTTTCGGGGGGTTGAGAAAGGGAAGGGATTAAAGAAGGGAAAAACAAGGGAGAACAGACGATAAACTAATCCCGACATACGACGACACCCGAGCATTGCGCAGAAACTACTTTATTCTTAACTGGGCTGGGATGGGACGGAAGCCGTGGCGGCGAGTACCTGCATTTCCCGTGCCGGCCGAGAGCTCCACCCAATAATTTGTCTGCGCGATGATATCACCCTCGACTCACTCCCGAGGTATTATAAAAAAAACAATAAAAAAAACACCAAATAAAAGTTGTTGAGACAGGCGTGGCGTCATCTCAAAAATTCCCAACTAAAAACCTCCAGATTGGTGAACTTTCGAACGCTTATCAGACGTGAGGAGAGCACAGAAAACCCAGATGAATAGACTGACTCTATTTCTTCTTATGTGCCCTGGATTTGTTCTATTTCTGGGAGTTTGACATGTTTGATCGGCTGGCGGACCATGGACTTGACATTGGACACACTCTTTTTGCCAACAAACTAATCAGACGGCCACAATGAGATTTCCTCGACATACGTACCTGCGAGGTACCACAATACCACGGACCAGGCTGGACGGGCACCCTGGACACCTGTGGCACCAATGGACCTCCAAGACAGCCACCCCAGCGCATCGAGCAAGGTGTCTGCCCTCGCCCGCCCAACAGATCCGCCACATCTTCTTCTCGTCTAAGAGCAGGCAGCCAAGCTCCAACCGTACGCTTCCCACCGCGATCCTGATCGGCACCCTACTGATCTGGTCATTGTACCCATCAGATATTATTAGGGAGCTTCAGCCTGGCCCAGAGCGTGCTTTGGAAGCAAACGACGTCACCAAAGAGAGTCCGTCGTCAGCACAGATTCAAGGCGAGAGCAAGGTCGACGACGACGACCAGGCGGCAAAGAGCCAGGACAGCGGTGCTTGGTTCAACTTTGCCACAACCTTTGAAAACTTCCGCATCATCACGGACACCGAGTGGCGCAATGTTCCCGATAAGATGCTCGATTACATCCTGCCGGAGTGGTCCAAGATGCTCCCCGGCTTCATCCGCAAGTTGCAGCGAGAGCTCTCCATGGCGCCTGGCTCATTAGCAGATGAAATATGGCAAGAGGCGCACGACCCAGATATCAACCCTGAGATTCGCCACTCGGCCCAAGTCCGGGTTTCCCAGGAGCTATGTGATGATGAGATGCAGTACCTGGCGCGGAGGAAGAAGATGACCGCAGTCGCACTGGCCAAATATCTCGGATTAGAGGAGGACGATGTTCATGAGGATGATGTACCCACTGTGGCAATGTGCGGCTCAGGCGGCGGGCTGCGGGCCCTTGTCGCAGGGGCGGGCTCCATGCTCGCCACGGAGGAGGATGGCCTCTTTGACTGCGTCACATATACCTCTGGAGTGAGCGGCTCATGCTGGCTTCAAGCGCTATACCACTCTTCCTTCGCAGCAGGCAGCCTGGACCGTGTTCTCGACCATCTCAAGTCAAGGATCGGTGTACACATTGCGTACCCGCCCGTGGCCTTCTCGTCTCTTTCCTCCGCCCCCACGAGCAAGTATCTGCTGAGCGGCCTGGTCGAAAAGCTCAAGGGCGATCCGAATTCCTACATTGGCCTCGTCGACGTGTATGGCCTGCTCCTTTCCGCGCGACTCCTCGTGCCCAAAGGCGAGCTTGGTGTGGACGGTCGGGACTTCAAGCTCTCAAACCAGCGACAGTACATCAGATACGGGCAACACCCATTGCCCATCTATACCGCGGTCCGCCATGAGATTCCAAACGTCGAGGCTGTGACGGGCAGCTCGACCGGCAATGCATCAGAGGCGGCCAAGGAAGAAGCTGTGAGGGAAGCCTGGTTTCAGTGGTTCGAGCTCACCCCTTACGAGGTCTTCTGTGAGGAGTTCGCTGCTGGTATCCCGACCTGGGCTCTGGGTCGTAGATTCAAAGATGGTCGTGATATCCCTCCCGAAGACGGCTTCCATCTACCAGAGGTCCGCATGCCGTTGCTCATGGGTATTTTTGGCAGCGCGTTCTGCGCTACTCTGTCTCACTACTACCGCGAAGTGCGACCGCTCATGCAGAGCTTGACGGGATTTGCGACCATCGATGAGATGATTTCGGGCCACAACGAGGACTTGAGTAAAGTACACCCGATCGATCCTGCGACGATCCCGAATTTTACCTATGGCATGGAGGGGAAACTCCGACAGACCACACCCACGAGTATCTACAATCACGAGTACCTGCAGCTCATGGACGCGGGTATGTCGAACAACCTGCCCATCTACCCGCTCCTGCGCCCAGGCCGCAACATCGAAGTCATTATCGCCTTCGATGCCTCTGCCGACGTGAGGACAGATAACTGGCTGTCTGTGGCGGACGGATACGCCCGACAAAGAGGTATCAAGGGCTGGCCCTTGGGCGTGGGTTGGCCCAGGCCGGGCGAGAGCGACACCCAGGTCGCCAAGGAGCTCGACCAGTCCGAGTCCGTCTCGGCAACCGAGGCAGAGCGGAAGCTCACCGAGGCCAAGATAGACCAGGCAGCCCGGCGGCTCGAGGCTGGTGTCCAGGAGAGTGACGTTGAGGGCACGCACAAGTTCGAAAAGGGCGAAGAGACCTCAGGCGAGCTGGGGTACTGCACAGTGTGGGTTGGTACCACGCAGGAGCGCAGCAGCGAGCCGCCGCCGCCCTCCAAGGCGCTGGAGGACGCCGACGCGTGGCAGCTGATGGAGCCCGACGCCGGCATCACGGTCGTGTACATGCCCTTCCTCAAGAATGACAAGGTCGAGAGCGTGGACCCCGGGCAGAGCGAATATATGAGCACGTGGAACTTTGTGTATACTCCGGAAGAGGTAGAGAAGGTGGTCGCGCTGGCGAGGGCAAACTATGATGAGGGGCGGGAGAAGATACGCAAGACGATCAGGGCAGTGTATGAGAGGAAGAAGAGGAGGAGATTGGAAAGGGAAAAGGCATTGAAGGCGGAGAGGAGGAGAAGGGAGGTTAGCCTCGGGGTTAGCGGGAAGCTGGGCGAGGGGGATCATTTCAGTTGAGATTACCATGGCCAAAAGGCGTTGGGTGTAAGCAGCGATGGAATTACTGCTCGAGGGGGTTGGATGGGAGAAGGTTACTAGGTAGATACCCCAAATAGAGACGATCACACACTAAAAAGCCTATTGTGCTGCAAGAGGCGACAGGACATTCAACCTTGCGGCTCCTCAACCGGTCTCACCCTATCATGCAAGCCTCGTAAACCTGCTCTGTCTTGATGTGTCTCTTCGGATAGCCTCACTCGATTCTTTCAGCATTCCTTCCCCCCCCCCCCCCTTTCCTGACAGCCCTTATCTTGGACGGACTCTGCATATCGACTGCGTTGAGGCTTGTCTTACTCTTATGGACTGTAGCACCCAGGGCAGAGGAACTTTTGCAGCTATGACTTTTACGGCTTCAGCGATGCTCATCTTCATATTGAGGGTTAATTTTCCTTTTTCTTTTCAACAAAAATATACAATTCCCGAAGGAGTGAGCAGCAAGCCCAGCCATCCCCTCCTCCTCTTCCTCCTCCGCTTCTTCTTCATGCTCGCCTCATCTCCCAAGAGAGGACTTTCTTCCTGTGCCGACTCACTGGCCTCTGGGTCATCAACAATGTGTATGATTTTGCCACGCTCTTCCTTTCTCGCACATCCCTAGTTCTATATTGCGCCACAGATGCCACCCGTCTAGCCCATCCCGGCCCGAGCGTCCCAAGCCTCCCACCCCGCCTGCTTCTGCATGATGAGTAGAGAGATAGATGTGTGCATGTAACCGCAACCGCCAGACCCTCTAAATACCAGAAGTGATGACCTCGCCAATATCCACATACACGGGCTCCCAGGGCTTGGCGCCCTCCAGCATCATATCGCTCGGCACGCGGACGTCCTCGCCGGGGCTGTACAGGTACCAGGCCTTGAGTGCGTTCATGGCGGCCTTCTTGCGAGCGTGGTCCAGGCTCGCCGCCGTGCCCTCGCCGAGCTTATCATTGCCGCTGAAGATGCCCACGACGAACACGGGCGTCCTCGAGAGCCTGCCCGTCTCGGACAGCAGCCTCGCGACGGGCTGCTCGAATTCCTCCCGCATGCACAGCCTCGCGAGCTCGCGCAGGGGGAGCTTGAAGGTGAACAGCCTCTCGAGGTCGAGCTGCCGCGACAGGATGTGCGCCTTGACGAATGACCGTGCTGCCTCCCGGCCAGAATGTGTGTAGATGGCGCCCACGACGGCCCTCACGAACTGGCCGTGGATGTTGTGAGACCTGGCTTTCTTCTCGTCAGGATCGCCCAGGCTGAGTGCCCTCTCGAGCGGAAGCTGTGACGACTGGCCCTCCTCCTCCGCCTTCATCGCCTTCATCACATCCTCGACGTCTGGGCCTCGGGTGCTGTCCTCCTCCGAACGTGGGATGACCTCGCCAAAGTCGTCGTCCATGACCACTCTGCTCGAGATACCTCGCCTATATCTGTATTTGTGCTGGTACTCTGACCGCACGAAACCCCACTTCGTGTTGAAGGCCCTAGGCGCATCCAGCGAAAATTGTAGCAGACCCGGGTCAACCTCCACACCCGGTGCGGCTGCATTCTCGACGCCCCATGACCTTGATACGTAGAACAGCGTCTTGTCTCCAGCGTAAGCCTTCATGGCCGCATGCATGATCTCCATGGGCAGCCTAGGGTACCGGCACATGAGCATCTCCGATGTGTAGTAGCTGATCAGTGTCTGGCCGAGGAAGGAGAGGTTGGAGTTGTTGAAGAGAGGGGCGGCGTCGGCCGAGGGATCCACGAGGGTCCTTGCCAGTGTCTGCAGGGGAATCTTGTCGGAGAGGGCGAGTCGTGCGTGTAAGGCGGCGAGCTTGGCGGAGCGGAGAGCCTTGTTGGGTAGAGGCGAGGGCGGCTCTCCGAGGTATTGATCTGGGTCTATTGGCGGCCATTGTGTAGGCTCAGCACTCGACGTCGTGGCGATGGGGGAAGATTGTGGATCTTGTGCCTCAGAAGAGAGAGGAGGGGTGCCGGCTGGTTCGTGGGCGGCCTGCCTAATCTCCGCCTCGAGCCCTCTTGCATTCGTTATTGTCGATTGACAACGCCTTGGTGCAGAAGAGAGAGCATGTTGGGCCTGACTTCTCTTAAGCCCTTGACCTTGCACTCGAAGGCATGCCGCGGAGAGACTCGATCTCGAACAAGTTGTCGCGGCTCCCGGTCGAGCTGAGAGCAGGTGCCCTGACCATTTTTCCAACCTTAACCTCTTCATGGAGACAAAATTTGTGCAAGCCGTAGTCCCAAAAACAAATTGAGACACAGCACCGTTTTATCAGGAAGCGGTCGGGTGGGGAGGGGTCGCCGTCATGGGAGTCGTCAACTCGTAGTCGTGGGGTCGTGCTGCTCGATGGTTCTCCGTCGCGCAAAGTCTGGAAAAAAAATGGTGAGCTCGAGAATGGACGCTAACACGGTCGGTGCCGGGGTCGCTCGCGTGAGCTGTGCAGCAGCCCGGCGCCCCTGTAGGCGGTTCCTCAAGCTGACATAATGCAGTCCAGGGTCAGGCTACAGACCATTCCGGCAGGCAAATCTGGGTTCGCAGAGGTCCCACACGCTTTTGGTGTAGCCAATCCCTCTCCAGGCAATTCGACGTCAACTCCAGGCTTCCCATCGACGACAGTCATCCATCTCCCTTCTCAGAACCATTACTCCCCGTCTACGAACCAACTAGGTCAAAATGGTGAGTCTGGCTGATACCAAACCTCTTCTACCCTTATCTTCTGCTAACAGTCACGCAGGGTGGTGGTCCTAAAGTTCCGTCCGTACTCCCGATTCTTCAGCCATTCCTAGGCCACACACTCCGGTCCCTCCTCCAGCCATTCTGACAACCACAATCTAGGTATCCCAAGCACGTCTGGTCACCTGCCGGTGGCTGGTACGCACAACCCTCGAACTGGCGAAAGAACACCGCGATTTTCGGCGCTGTCGTGGTGGGAATCACTGCCCTCGTGTGGAACCTGAGTGCCGAGCGCGAGTTCAGACACAAGATGCCCGAGCCAGGCCGGTTCTTCCCAAGTCGAAAGTGCGTATTCAACCGAACGAGCATTCTTATGTTGGAAATCATGTCTGGGCTAACCCGAGGACAGCTGGACGAGGCAAATAAGAGAGCACGAGAAGGCGCAGAAAGAGGCATCGGGAAGCAGCTCGTCATAGTAGTGAAGTGGAGGGGGGGGGGGCCAGTGAAAGGTGTACATATACAAGATTGCAGAGGAAAATCGAAAAAAGATTAGCACTGAGTATTCCATATGAGCATGTCCAGTCTCTTGATCGCAGAGTATACCCCTGTCTCACATCACACCCGCCATATACATCTAGCAAAGCACCGCGACTCCGAGGGGATTTCATCAGCTATGCGATTTCCTCAAACTGATCAATTCTTGCTTTAATCGAAACATCCTTCACGTCCATCATTTTGGAACCCTGATAATGAGTCCAATTCTTCAATCCCAAGCTCGACATTTAAGATAAGCGCGGCAGTGATCGGGTCGAATCGTCATGCACTTGAGCCAACGTTCCAGCCGCGGTTAATGGTAGGTCTCAAAGCTCTGGACAAGGCAGTACTACGATACGCTATCTCGAGTGAGAATCGCTCTGCCTCTACTGCACTGGAGACCTTCGTTCCCTCTGGTAACAGGTGCGAGTTGTTCACAGACCTGGATCAGGCTTATGCATATGCAATGAACCGTGGCTGGAGGTGGCCTTCACCTTTAGGACCATGAGCTCAATTGATTGACCTCAAGTTTTGACTTCACATCTGTCAGTATGGCAAGACCTAACTACCGTAAAGGCCAACGTAACGGCCAATATGATCATTAATTCGCGTCTTCAATGGCGCCCAGACTTCAGACATTCTTCAGACCGAAGCTAGGAAGAAGTCATGCAGCAGCCTCCTGAGTAACGCAAAAGCCCGTCACAGACTCTCCAGTCAGTCAGCTTCGATGTCACAAGTGTAGGTGGGAAGGTTTCCTCTGTGACGTGGAATATGGGTTTCGATTGGTGTGGAACTGGCTGACCGATCTTTCCGGTATGCGACACAGTCGTATGCCTAGCTCAAGTCAAGCATGACGTGAAGTAACTAATCTGAGCCTTGGTTATTTTGTCTCAGAATATCAAGAAGAATCAAAGAAATTTGATGCATTGCCAGGCTTTTAATCATCTTTCAACAAGGCTGACGAGTTGCCATGGCTTCGACAAACAATACGGGGGCTGGCCAATGTACTGCCTATGATTAAATAATGCAAATATCATACTAGCCTTTTGCAAAACACAAGCGCTGTCGGAAAATCTACTTGAAGAAATAAATTGTGTTCCCATTGAACATCTGGTTGTAAAAGTGAAAATGCGTAGTCGCTAGGAACGAAAAGTCTCTTCATAATTATCTTTCTGCTGCCAACTCAGAAAAAGGTCCTTTGGCGCAATGGTAGCGCGTCACTTTCCGGTCTTCCATCGGTTAGTTGGTGAAGGTTCACGGTTCGAGTCCGTGGAGGATCGATTTACGTTTTGCCAGGACTTACAAAGGTCCTGTCTCCTTTTAGTTATTGGATTTCATCTCCTCTCCTCTTTTTCTTTTTCGCTGTTAATATTCTTAATTCAGAAAAGAACGTCAGTCCAACGTAGCGCTATGTCGATTTGCCAAGATCGAGCTGACGCTCATTATGAACCAGAGGACTCACTGGAAGCCCCAACTTCCAGGTCGACATGTCGATAACTTCGTGATGCTACGTCCTCCTGGTCGTTAATATGTGAAGTACCGTCAACAGTGCGGCATAATTTCAGTCCGGTCTCCCAGATCAACACTTGTTAGAATGTTCGACAACATTACCTTTTCATCCCGGCGGACGCTGCTCCTCCTCGCCGTTGCCGCACCTGCTGCATCTGTGCTCCTCATAAGGGCATACATCATGCGCGACACGTCCAGCTACACATCAGGCCGGTTATCAAAAAGAACTACAGCACAAAAAACAGATAGGGCGATCTCAGCCCCAGTCTCGACCTTGGACCTCACACCTCCCCTCCCACAGTCTTTCCCTTCCTCCGTGGCAGCCAATGACTTCGCCGACCACATTGTCTGGCACGAACGTGTCGTCTCTAAACCCGTGCTCCTGTCCGCCTTAGTAGGTCGCGAATGGGACGAGCAGGAGGTAGACGAGATTCTCACCCGCTACGTCCGCGGCACGATGTGCGCCTTCGCGAAGACGCCACAGTCCGGCCTTCTCTGGAAGATGGTACCCGCGGATGTTCGCCTTACCTTTGAGAAAGGGTATATTGACACAATGGATTTTCGGCAGGTAGGGCAGCGGGTGGATGGGGTATATACCGTCCAGCACCGCGGCGCTGGCCCCGAGGGCATCCATGGGCAGCGGGTGGAGTTGAGGCTGGATGCTCCTGAGGGGTATACTGGGCCCAAGTCCGATGGCATGATCGTTGCTTCTGTCGAGGCTGCTGGAGGGGATGCGACGGGCTTGGTGGTCTTTGCGAATGAGACGTGGCTCTGGCGGAGGAGGGACGGTGAGAAGCCGACGCTTCTGGAGAGCGCTGTTGGGCGGTGGCTTCATTCTCTTATGGCGGCCTGGCTTATCAGGGAGGGAGTCTCTGCACTCCAGGTAAATTCGGTTCCAGTCAAGTGAGGATCTGTTCCTTCGTTTCATATATAGACGACTGCGGTGCTCGAGTATTGGCAGAGACTCATGATTCTGAATTTGGCTCGCTGGTTGGCTCGACTATGCTTTTAGGTACCTATGGAGCATGAAAAGGTCTCTGGTCCATTTCTGAGCTCTAGGCATAAAACGTCTGAGATTTTTTTTTTTTTTGGCGATCCAATGCTGGACCATCCTCACCATCAGCCTGTTTCCTCCGGTTCCTCACTGCGTCCCGGCCACACAGTCAGCAACAAATTCCGCAACCTCCTTGTTAAACCTCTCCGGCTCCTCGTAGAACATCCAATGGCCGCTCTCAAAGACAGACCACCTGGCAAGGTCCCGCCCGCTGCCCTCGTTCACCCGCCTCACCGACTCCTTGGTCCCTTCCAGTGGGAAACAGCCTGACTTCCGTCCCGCGATTACAAGCGTGGGCTTCCTGATCTGCTCGATGGCCTCCCTGTGATCGTACCTCGTATGGTCCGCGAGCAACCTCGCGAGCCACACCGAGTCGCACAGCTGGCTGATGGCCACGAAGAACGCCTCGTCCTGCGACTCCTGCGCCCCGCCGATGCCCGGCCTCTCTGGGTCGGCCCGGTACCCGAGGCAGCCCTCGACCAGCGACCGATACGCTCGTAGCGGCTCGTTCACCCAGTCCTGCTGCGCGGTGAGCATCGTCTCCTCGTCATAGCAGCCCGTGTGGCTCTTGGTCGCGTCCCACCCGCCGCCAAAGGTGCTCCGGTCCTGCAGCGGCGCCTGGTCTGCAAAGACGAACCCGGCGAACTCGTCGTCGCCAAACAGCTCGACGTACGTCCACAGCACGGCGGCGCCGATCGAGCAGCCGACGGGCACGATGCGCACGTCCGGCTGGCTCAGTCGCAGGCGCACGAGGATGCTGCGCAGGTCGGCGGCGAGGCGGGCGACGTGGTAGCCGCCTTTACACCGGCCCGAGGCGCCGTGGCCGCGCATGTCTGGGGCGACGACCCAGTGAGATTCGGAGAGGGCAGCGTAGTTGCGCGTGAAGTAGGCCGAGCTGCCGCTGAAGCCGTGCATGAGGAGGATGCAGGTCTTGCGGCGGGGGTCGGACGCGGAGCCGGGGCCGGAGCTGGGGAGGTCTTCTAGCGGGAGAGAGGTCTGTAGAGCGAGGCACAGCCCGTCGTTGGTGGCCGTGTAGGCATATTGCATGCCTGGTTCGGCCGGGAGTTTCATGTTGGATGAGTTCGTGTGCAGGTTGCGCATGAAATCATGTCAAAAAGTGGGAAATGAAAAAAAGAAGAAGGAAGTGAAGTGAAGTGTTAGTGAGAGGTTCCTTCCGTCTGCACTCGAGGAAGCTAAGACGAAATTGTGATGTCAACTCAACACTTTGGTCTTTTGAATAGTCGAGACGAATTTTAAAACAAGAATGAGAAGAAGAAAAGAAAAGAAAAGAACAGAAGAAAAGAATGATTGAAAAACACCGAAAGCTTCAAGACAAACTGAGAACAGAAAACGTTCGTTTCATACTTATCAAGATCTCCACTTTCTATAAATACCAAGTATATATCCGAGTTTTGCAGTCTCGAAAGCGCCTCCCCTCCATTTTTTTTCCACCCCCCCCCCTTTTCCTTGAAACTTCTCCTGGTTAAAAATGTTTACTTGTAGAACGAAATGTTCTTCTCAGTCCTACCTATTCTATAACAAGATGGAGTTCGTGGAATTTTCAGTGCTCGGAATATACACGAGAGACATCTACGAAGCGAAACACCTTGGGAACTAATGTGAATACGCAATCTTACATCTCTTGAGACATCTGTTTATTCATGACGGCTATCTAAAGAACTGCGTAGTACCTGATTCTTAGGCAGCAGATTCTCTCAGCACTACCTACACTCAGCCGTCGCGAACAGGCCTGCACGCGCTACACTTGTCTGCACCCATACTGGAAGGATAAATATCCCAAAGTGGACCCACCAGGAATTGCAGGCGCCCAAAAGCCGAGTAAGATCACCCAACGAGATGATCAAGAGAGAAGACCGCTCAAGGAGAGAAGTTAACCATTCTTCTTCGTGGGGGTGGTCTGATGGCCCTCTGCCTCAGCCACCTTGGCATCACGAGGAACAGGCGTGGCCTTGGGAGTGGGACAGTCGGACTCATCAGGGACGATGGTGGCCTTCATATCCTCCAGCTCAGCTCTGAGCTCTTGGACCAGGGCCTTGTACTGCTCGAGCAATTTCTCAAGACCCGCCGTGCGGCTCTCGATGGACGATTGGATGACCTTGATCTCGGCCTTGAGCGCGGCACTTTCCTTCTGAAGCTTCTCGTTGGCATTCTTGAGCTTGTTCCCCTTGATGCGCTCGTGCGCGACCTGGTTCTTGATCCGAAGCACGGCGCTGTCGTTCTGGTCAACTTGCTCCTTGAGCCAGAGGAAGAGGTGGGTGCGCTCGAGCTCGGTCGCAGGGACGGGAGGGATGAACTCCTTCCAGCCGTCGCAGCAGATGTTGACTTCCATTGGGTCCAGTACAGAGCTGTCGCCGCCGCCCTTTTCATTCTCCAGTGCGCCTCGTGGAAGCTCGAGCCAGAGGCGGCAACCGGTGCTCTGCTGAGTATGCAGCATCGATGTCTCGGTGATGATGAAGTGCTTATCAGAGGGCATCTCGTGGAAGCGGATGCATTGGATAAGGTTGGCATTCTTCGGGTGGAAGCTGATCTCGAAGGCGACCTCGTCAACGTCTTCGTTGATACTATTCTTGGAGTGGTGCGACTGAGTGCTTATGCAAAAGGGAGTGATTCCTTTCTTGCTGGTGTACTGCTCGAATTGCGAGGTGAGCCAGGAGATATCGAGATCGTAGAAGTCCGAAACCTCGCGGAACATGGCCACGTTTGCCTTGCAAAGACGAAAGGCAGCCTCGGTGGTAGCCATTTTGTACTCTGGACCAGGTTAGTATGGCTCAGGACCAGAGTAGATGATCTGGATACCTACTTGATGTTGCGCAGAACGCGTCTGGGTTCAGCAGAACGAAGCTCCGGGTTTTCCAAGGCGCGTAGTAGGACTAGAATCTGTAATGTGGAGGGACAATGCAGAGGGAGCCTTCTTTCGTGAGCTGGTACGATGACAGGTCAGCGAAGAGTATTGGACCACGGGGTGCTTTGTAGATCGTGGGCAAGCAACGGGCGAGAACACCTTGGTAGAGGAAACAGAGTGGAAACAAGACACCAAAAACGGGAATGCAGTCAAGAACTTACCACTTGATCTTCTCTTAAGGCCAAAGAGAGCGTGGTGTTGGCAAAGCAACCTCGAGAGGGGTCGTGTCTTGGGCTATGCCAGGGCTCGTGTTAAGCAGAATTTAGGTCCCCAAGGATTGCGAGGATAGACAGGGAGAAACAAAGCACATCCTGCAAGACGAGAAACCCTGGTGTCTGCAGAATGTGGCGACGCAAACTTGCAGCCATGTGGGCTGCTTAGTCGTTGGGTTCTCCTGCAGCATTGTAAGAACCATGAAGATGCAGTATGCAAAGAATAACCAAATTAGGACAAAGCCACTAACCACCAAATTCAAGACCTGGAAGACATCATGAAGACAATGCGCCAGATCTGAGTGCTGTCTTGGGTATGATCTTCTGGACGGAATGATAAGGTGGACGTTGTTGAACAAAGGCAACTAGCCCCTTGATGGTCAGGAGATTTGGCTCAAACACCTACCTGTAAGCACTCACATATCCAGAGGTATCGAGTACTCAAAAGAAGTATGTAGATACATGGGCGTGTATCGTTGACGGAGTCTCAAGATGGGCCTTCAAGGGACCACCTTGGATCCTCTCTCAGCAATGAGACGGTCGCCAGAAGACTTGATATTCGACTTCAGCTCCCGAAGAGCGTCCGAATTGAGATGGGCCTTCATAAGAAGCGCCGAAGAGAGTTTCGTCGAGAGCATCTTGGCCTCTACGCCGAGGTTGGCCTGGCTGATCACCTTGCCGTTGCAGAGTTCTCGCACGAGCTGCTCCGCTAGGTGCTGGCAGTTGTTCGAGAAGAGATTATACCGAGGGTGCTCGGATATGAACCTCGCGGCTACAAGAAAGTAGGTTAGTCTCCCATGTCTCTTTTAGTAGTCAACCCGGTCAGAGTTCACACTGGGGGAAAAAGGAGGGGGGGGGGGGGAAGAAAAAAAAATAAGAAAGTGTATGTATACTCACCCAATTCCAGAATCTGGTCATGTGTCCGAGTCGTCTCACCAATGTACGAGCAGCCTGTCCAGGACTCGACCATCTGCTCCGTGACAGGGAAGCAGCGCGGATAGTTCTTCATGACCTTATTCGTCGGCAGCATTTCTGACCCCCCCCCCCCTGAAGTCAGCAGATTATTCCCAAGTGAAGAAAGCTGAAGAAGGGTGGCACAAGTCTCTCACGATCACTCATCAGATCATACAAATAACACACCCCCTCGCCCCGGTCCACCACCACCAGGGCCCAATGACTCAAAGCCTCCAGCGACAAGCCAGCATGCCTGGCGAGGATCTTGGACGCCAGCTTGGTGACCTGGATGCCGTTGATATCGATGAGCGAGGTGGCCACCAAAACTGCCGATGTCCTACACCGCCTGGTGTACTCAAGCGGCTCCTCGAGCTCAGCAGCTGTTGCGTCGCCGTCGAGCTTGGCGCGAAGGAGCTTGAGGAGAGCCTTCTTCTCGACTTTGACTTCGCTGTGCTTTCTGAAAGCGAGGTCGAGTCAGTAAGAGAGGTTGGCAAGTGGGATTTGGGACAGTCAAAAGTGTTGGGTAACCTGTTTGACTGGGCGAAAAAGAAAACATACTTGATTTTGTCGACATATTCTCTTCCGGCAGCGATGAGTTGACTCGCGCTGATCCCGTGCAAGGGCATTTTGAGTCTGCCAAGAGAACACTGAAAACAGAAATCCTACGAGGGACGACCAAGCTTTGTTGTCGTGAGATATGAAACCAGTTGAGGTGTTTCGAATGGTATTGTTGTTGTGGGAAGAAGAGTTGTCAGTGAAGATGCGAACCTTCCCAAGGATTTCGCGCCCGAGTTCCTGCAAAAACCCCTGTCGCCAGCAGGCAAACCTGGCGGAGCAAGGCACTCAGCCACGGTGCTATGAGATATGTTGCGCAATTTAGCTATTTTGAGAAGGATCGCGGAATACCAAATAGATACATCCGAGGCCCAACTTGCTGTTGATTGATTTTTTTCCCCTATGTATTCACTGCTTCTCCAGCCATAGGCGCTGGTCAGTCAATCTTGAGGCAGACACACCTGCGGTCCCGACCGGTGTCGAGACGGCCTTGGCTCGGCTTTGTGGGGCCGGCGGCCTCCCGCTCCGTTTCGACGTTCGAATGCCCCAAAATGATAGATGATGGTATCGTGATATTTTATGATCATATTCAGTATATTTATCCTCTTTCTTATGTTCACCCTGGGGACACACTCTTCCGCCTCCTGGGTCTGGGCGACTTGCGTCCCGTCAGCGGAACCGCATCAAGACCCGATTCTGGCCCAGCCCGCGACGCCGTCTTCTGCCTCGCCCTCTTCAAGTGTGCCAAGTCCATCTCCTCCCTCCAGGAGCAAGTCTCGGCAAACTCACAATAAGAGCACTTATACGCCTCCTCCACGTCTACCCCGCTCGCACGTCGATCGCCGTTCCACCATTGCATATAACCCTCGAGATACTGGTCGAGGACCCCGTTGTCCACGGCGAGAATATTCGTCCCTATTAGGGAGCCCTCTTCACCACGCAGGCGGTATTCCACTGACACAACGCTTCCGATGCTGTCTGCGCCTGCAGGGAATGTTAGGCGCAGCTCGCTCCGCAGTAGAGGGACCAGCTCCCGTAGAGTGCGATAGCGGAGGAGGTCATGGGTGTCGGAGTCCGGCGACGGTGGCGAGGTGGAGGAGATGACCGAGTTAGATTCATAAAAAAGGTCGTCGTGGAGCTCGCCGATCTGCGCGAGAAACGCATCAGAGAAGGGCGCCTCGACGTCTAGCCCGTACCTCCTGAAAACCCGCAAGAAGTCGAGTTTGTCCGAGGCCATGTCGGACAGGAAGCGGTGGTACAAGTAGAGCTGCACCTTGGTGGGTCGTATTGCCGCCCCCTTCGGCACACTCTTGGCGCCTCTCGTTTTCACGTCTGTGAGGTAAACCTTGCGGGTGTCCCTGGGCTGCGGTTCCTCTGCCCGATCTGACGGAAAGAAGTTGGTGATCTTTTTCTGAGAGTCATCATCATCGTCTGCTCCAGGTTGGCTCCCCTGACTACTCAGCCATTCCTGCTCAAATTCTGGATTCGGATTCTCATAACCCAGAAAGTCAATCAGGCCATTGACAACATTCCCGTCGACCAGGCCCCATACTTCCAGCTCCCTGGTCAGGCCTGTGTCCCGAAGTGTCCGTAGGCCCTGTACGATGTTCCAGATCTTCAGGCCAAATGCATCCTCCTTGGTAGCGATCTCGACCTGAACCGTGGTGTGGACTTGGTCCTCTAATTTTTGGTGAACCTTGCTGCCCTCCTTCATGGCCGTCGTCCGGGTCTTCTTCCCTCCAGGCAGCCGAGTCAAGGTGTACTCATACTGCAGCTCACACCATGCCCCACCCGTCAGGTCTGATACAGACAGCGGTTTCTTTGGAAATGTTCGGAAGCGGAGTAAAGGTGACCTAGGGTCATGCCGCGACGGCTGCTCGAGAGGAGTGTCTGGCTGCTGCGGCGTCTCCAGCGACTGCTCTAAGCTAGTGAGATCTCTACTGACTGGGACCTTCAGAGTCAGTCAGGATAGCGCCTTTATCCTACGGCCAATGGAGAGAGGCTAAAAGAGGGTGAGGGTGAGGGAGAAGAGGGGAGTACCTACGATCTGGATATTGGACATCATCCGTGGCAACGAACGACGGAATAGACTGTGCTTGTGTCCTGCGCACGAAAGCGTCGATGCTGCTGGTCCTCGCGACACCAATAAGGGCCCTATTGCTGCCGATAGGGCTGCTATGCGGAAGATTGCCATCCGCATCTCGACTGCTGTCTCCTCTTGACGACGCAGGAAGAGACACGCCGGGTGTTGGGACTTGGATGGGAGCCGGGCTGGCGCTGTCGGCGAGAGAAGCTAGCAGCCTCTCGTCCTCGAGGGATAGGTCGTAGCCAAAGTCGTCATCGCTGTCGTGATCCAGAGTGGACGCCATGGCCATAGCGGCGGCGTGGATGAAAATTCATTCCGCTGCTTGTGTAGGCGGGCGCGTCATCGAGGAGTGGGTGGCCTGGTCTGCGTCATGACTCCCTGGCCGGGATTACAGCGGACGTTTGGGAATAATCGAGAAGTGAATGGTTGGTCCGTACTCCGTCCGGCCTTAGAGGGACTAGGCTGACAGCTTACAGCCTTTCTAGTGCACAGCGACTTACAGGGGTGGTTTTCTACTAGGATCATCCCCCATACTTCTCTTATGCTGTCTTGTAGTACTGCTGTGGATTCACCAACTTATAAGGTGCATATGTGTCATATTGTACATAAGGGAGGGCATTTCCAAACCTCTCTCACTTCTTATGCATTGAAGAAAGACACTGCTGATGCGTGTTCTATCTCTTCAAAATCAAAGCATCAGCGTGTAGTTGCTTGCCAGGTGGTGTCCCGCAGCGCTGCCGCTTCAAGAAGTATTTATTTTGCTATACCGCATAGTTCCAAAGGTCCAAGCACTTCTTCTCTATACTGCATGTTCTATAATTGGTGCTCAGTCGTTCTGCAAAACAGAGAACATCAAATCGTAAAATAGCCATCTGCTGTGCCAGACCAGGGCATGGACAAAACGGGCTTAGCAAACATTACCCCGGAAAGACTTCTCGTATACCGTACCCAGCTGGAGGTGGCCTCATTTCGGCTCTATCAAACCTGTCCTTTTCACAAGGCAGCAGTATTTCATAAACACCACTTATCTTATCAAGAGATCTTTTCTCTCAGTAAAATGGATTCAACTTTTCCGAGTTCTGTAAACTCGTCTCCGCGGAATTTCAGTCAGGTTCATTCCCTTTTTTAGGCACGCCTCGAGCCAATCCTGCCTCAAGATGGCTTCACCCCTCCACCGCCACCATCAACCCTCCTTCCCTATGACCAAGTCGTCGAGGTCGTGGTCTGAGGAAACATTAGAAGACCCCTCCTCACCAACAACCCACACAAGCACATCCTTCATGAGCCTCCCGCCCGAGATTCACGTTATGATCAGCCAGCAGCTCATCTACCCAGACGCGCTGTCCCTGAAGCACACCAGCCGCTATTTCTACAACTTCGTCGACACCGGCGTGTGGTTGAAGGTAGACTGGCTCATGGAGCGCCGCATGCTACTTCTGGACTGTCCGAAAGACAGGAAATGCATCCTCCGTACGGACCGCGAATTTTGTAGGGACACCGTCAGGTATGTTACATTACTCACATACGCCCACTATGGCCCCTCCCCCTTTCTCTCTAAAAACCGTCAAGATATTTTTCCTGTTTGCAAAAACTAATTCTCCCGCAGTATACTCATGCAGAGGCGGCGAGAACACCTCGAGTGCGAGTCGCGGCCGGGCCTAGGCTGTCTCATTTACAACACGCCCCAGTGTACGCACCGGAGAGACTGGAGGAGGATATGGGCTCGCAGGATGAGGCGGCAGAACACCAGCGAAATCTGGTGGGTCCTGCTGGCAGCCATTCCGCTCTTGATGGGCTGGCTCTGGATGACTGAGTTTGTCTGTTGGGCGCTGGCTTGATATGGATATGCGAAGTCAAATGAGACGCAGCATGGGAGTAAATCATCGGGGTAAAAATAGCAGACGATCCACACAGAGAGAATTCTTGTCTTTGCAGATCGACAATGCTTTATAAAGCCCAATACTTTGGTTGTCTAGCTCTCCGTCGTCTCGTTCTCTACACCTCCGTCTCTGGCTAGCTTCTTGAAGACCGTACCAAATGAGACGCAGCAAAGAGTAAGATCTTGCAGAGGATTTATGGTCTTCGTCTCTGTAGTATTTGGCCTCCAAGTCCACCGTTACCCCCAAAAGAAAAGAAACCCCGCCGCCTTCAGACGGCAATCAGTGATAGCAAAGCACCTCCCACAATCAGGCTACCCATCAATGGAGAGAGATCGGTCCCAGGAGGTGCCCCTCCCGAGGTATCCTGCTTTGGAGCGCCAGGAGTCGCTGTGCTCGAGGCAGTCGTAGACGTGCTCGTAGTTGCTACCGTCTTCGTAGCAGCAACTGAGCAGGCAGAAGACGTATCGGCACAGGTAGTCTCAGCCGAGGAGGAGTTTGCGCCCGCAGTGCTAGTGCCCGAAGAAGTTGTTACCACCGCCGTAGGTGAGGGAATGGTGACGGTGGTGGCAGTGGCCCCACCTGTGGCGGCAGAGATGCCGAAGGCGGTCTGGAACTCGTAGCTAAGGCCCTCGGGCTCGCATACGGTACCCTCAGCGCAGTCGACCACGCGGCTCCACTGGCCGGACGCGCACCGCTGGAAGGCACTTGACATGCAGTACCAGGCGCCCTCGGAGCCGGCGCAGGAGGAGCCAACGCCCATGGCATTGACGTGGCGAGGCAGAGTGCTGGTCTGCTTGTAATCGAGGCTGGTAGTGTCGCCAGTAGCGGGCATAGGCGAGAAGGGGTTTAGGGATGCCGTCGTTGCCTGCGTCGCGTTCACCGTGGCGAGCAGGACAATGGTGGCGGGTATGGTTTTCATGTTGAGGTAGAATGTGTCGTAGAGAACGTCTCGTAGGAGGAGGTGGGCGTGTTAGGGTCAAACTTGAGCCAAAGTACTCTATCGTTGGAGTTGGCTGAAACGCGACGTGTATGTCCACGACCTTAGTAGAGTAGGATGGTGAGTCTAAGGAATCGTTTCGTATGATAGAGGGTGGGCAGACACGTACAAGTGTAACGAGATCTCGCACAGACTCGGGAAACTTGTGGGAGAGCTGAAGAGCAGTTGGGGAAACGCTTCACTGATGACTGACTTGGGTTTTTCACAGTTGGCAATTTATGTGGAAATGAGATGTCTAGGGAAGTGACCAAGCGGTGACGTAGGAATTGTCACAGCCCACACTCGAGCAGCCAGCTCAGGACCTCCCTTTGGATGATACTCCAGGAAAAGGAAAATTTGCTGAGACTGATTGATAGATATCTTAATTACTGATATATTAGTACGGACTTGTACACTATCTTCTTTCGTTATAAGGGTGAAAAGGAAGGAGGCCTACCTATTGTAAATAAGGGAAAGAGCAAGGAGACGGCTCTAGCCTAATATGCGACTCTCTCGTGCTGGCATGACTGGTTTTGGGAGTAGCGATTCAGCTTTCCTTCTGAACTGGTCGATCGATGTGAAAGAACAGGCACAGACAGCCACTAACCAGACCAACCACGAACGCCCAGTACACTGTTGGGACAAAAAGTGGTCATCTGCATCGAGGACTATCGGAGCTCCAAAGTCAGCATCATTAGATGCAGGTTCATGCCAACACCGACCTGCTTATTGTTCATTTATATATCTCTATTCACCAAGATCCACAAGAACAAGAAGGAAAACAAGTGCACGAACCTTGTAGCTGTATTCTTTACATCACGTCTGGCTTTTCTATCCATTGTCTATGCCTGTCACCAACAGCATTTCCATCATTACCAGGTCAAATCGAAATCCAACTTTCTGATGGCTCCCATGACCTTGGAGTATCTGCAGAAATTTATGCACCGCCAGCAGGCATAGCGGGGGCTCGCCGCCGGAGCAGGCAGTGCTGTCCCCATTTTCGTTGGAACTTCTCGGGGATGAAGCTCCAGGCAGGGACATATAACATCCTGGGAATGAGGCCTGTGTTTCCTGCGTCGAGGAATGGAAGGCACTTGACCACCTCCCAGTTGTCCGTGTCAGCGACATAGTCGGGCTCATTGGGAGGCAGAGTCAAACCCTTCTCCATATTGAGAGGGTATTGCGTATCCACCAGAAAATTGCAGTGGCCAATGTCCGTGTACTTTCCCATGTCCTCCTCATTGCGGTCATTCATGCCTTCTGGTATCATCCACGTCCCAGACAAGAGGCCGGCTTTGTTCGAGTGGTGGGCAAACTCCCCGGGAAGAAGTCCACGGAATTCTGAACGGATGAATTTGGCCTGCATCTGGCGAGGGAGGAAGTAGGAGGTAGGGAATCGATACCATTCCTTTCCATAGCAGACGAAATCGCCACGCTCCCCAACTTCACCAATTTGCCCATCGCGAACTCCTGCACCGAGAGGCTCATACAGAGACAACGGCGCGCCATACGCCGTGTACACCCCGATAATGCGGAGCACCGTCACAGAGACGACGAGCAGGAATGGCACCACCACGAAACCGAGGAGCCTGATCTTGGCGGGAATCTTTCCGATCACGGTTCTTCGACTGATGTGCCCGAGAAATGTGAGGAGAATATGGGCGGAGACCGCAGCATTGAGGGCCAGGAAAGGATACGCTGGGTACATGAAACGCTCCTCTTTATGTGGCTGCAAAGTGAAGAGACCAAACCAGATGTAGAAGGGCGAGAGAAAAACGACCGTCCTCAGACCGGACGAGAACCCGCGGCCGGAGGGAGCGAAGATCTTCTGTAGAGCGAACAGCGGCAGGGCCACGAGAGATAGTAAGAACCAGAGATTGAAGTTGAGGGTCAGGTTCTTGAAATAAAACGTCCATGGCTCCGTGCCGTATAGATTGGGACCGCCACCCTTTGAGAGTACGTTGTAGTCGATAATGTTCCATGCTACGACGATGCCGGGCTTCCTGTAGAAGTAGGAATTGACAAGTGAGTCGGCGGCCTGCGTTCGATTAGCATCTCCTGACTCAGGCGTGGAGGGGCATTTATTACGACGCACCAGTATGAGTAACGCGACGCCACAACCCTGGAAGATGCGCTTGGCTGCGAAGAGGAAGCGGTCGGAGTCCCGCAAGCTCACAGCCACGAACAGAGCCTCCTCCAGCAGGAATGGAGCGCACAAAAACATGGCGAACGGCCAGCCAATAATACCGCCAGCAGCAAACCATGCAATTCCAGCCGCTGTGCGCGGGGCTCCCTCCCAGGTCATGAAGGCTGCAGCCCCGAGCATGCCCGTGTACATGGTGAAACTGGAAGGGACATAGGCGGTGCTGGCATGGAAGTTGCCAGCACTGAGGACGGTGGCCAAGATGAAGAAAGCGCCGATTCGGGGATGAATGGTAAGAGTGATGACACGGTAGAGGATGGTCTGACAGAGGGCGCAGACGGCAGCCAGAACATAACGGACGAAGTAGAACTCCCCAAGCTATTTCACGCGTCAGTACTCTGTTTTCAATAAAGATAAAAATGGCAGTGTTTGTCACAGATGTTCATGCCTTTGTAGATTGTGGTGATACGCGGCGAATAAGACTCAATATTGCATGGGGAGCAATATACAACCAGTCTCTGATGCCATATTCAGGCGACCACTCCCAGGTCTGCAGTCCATAGCCATGGGAGAGGTAGTGAGTCGGTTCCCAAAAGTTAAAGGTCTCGTCACAGTCCTGGATGGGATTGAACAAGGCTGCAAACAAGGCTGTGACAAAGAAGATACCAAGCGCGTAGATGGGGGGTATAACAAAGAGGCTTGGGGCTCTGGTCGGCATCATACTATTAGCTCACACCTTTGTCTCACATAGTCTCTGGTGGATGGGCTCACCTCCTCATGGCATGCGCAGCCTCAGGATGCACAAACTGATGCTCTTGGGCTGGAGGAGCCATGATGGCATGGGTCAGGGCTGTCGCCGCCGCAGATGATCAATGGGAAGATGATTGTTGGCAAGCACAAGCTCAAAGACAGTTCAAACGACGCACACATGAATAATTTTGATGGGACGACACCTTGTAGCTCAGCACCCAGGCTAAGGTGCTGTTGATCAGGCTGGTGGAGAGTTTAGCTGCCAGCTAACAGTAACGACAAGAAAGTGTCCACTGGAGCAATCCCTGTCAGTCAACGTCACTTGTCCCCTGCCACCTTGAACAAAGATCTTATCGATACCAGACGACCCAGAAAAAAGTTCGGCAAAGTGAACTATTTCAGAACTCTTCTACCCAACCATCTTCTACTTTCTGCCATTGCAACAATCACACCTCCAGCAATCCTGTTGTGTAGCACCAGTTGACAAACAATATTCTTTTTTCTTTTCTCAGGATTGCATACTACCATATTGAGTGGTTGAGAGTTGAGGGTCTTGCTCATCATCACTTTTCAAAACCTTGACATTCATATCTCTGCAGAGCACAGCGAACCACAACGTCTCTGAAGGGAGGATTTTTCAGTTCTTGGATACATACATCTCAGTTCAAAACTCAAACAACACCGATTCCAAGCCTATGTCAAGATTTCGCAGCGGTCAGCCTCCGTCATGAACTCGAACCTACCCATTCCTGGCCTCGGCCAGCTGGAGTCCATCGATACTTCTCAACCCTCAGATCCAGTCATCGAGAGCGACAGCACACCCGTGGCCGCCAACGGTGTACCCGACATCAATATGACCGAGGAACGCAGTGTCGGCCTTGCAACAGGCGAGAATTTAGGGACCACTGCGCAGACGTCATTAGCCGACACAGAAGCACAAGTGTACGATGCGATCAAAGTGCAAGACAGCAATGTGGTGGTCGACGAGGGTTCTGCCGAAGATGTGAATATGCAGGATCAGCAGAGCCATGAGGACGATGCGACAGCGCCAGCAACCACGACCTCTGTGGCTGTGCCCGGTCCACAAGACAGTGATATGGCTGGTTTCGAGGAGGTCCGGGTACAGCAAGTTGCTGGAGGGTCGCCAGCAGCGTCGCCGCGTATTACAGATGCGCTGGAAGCTGTACTTGATGGTTTCCTTGGGCCTGCAAATCAAGTCGCTACAGAGAACACCGTGACACCCGATGGTAATCAGGCCGGCGGTGAGCAGCTCTCAGAAAACCCTGTTCACGAGAACCCGATCCCCGCATCCGATCACCCACCCGTCGAGGGCACGGCCGACGAAAACCCTGAGTGGGAGGTTGACTCCTCGCCGTACGAATCTTCAAGCTCCGACAGTTCTGATAGCTCCGAGGACGATGAATCAGACGTGGAGGAGTCAAAACTGGGTATCGAAGAGACAGCACGGCTGCTGATGGAGGCAGATGGAGGCAGTGATGACGAGATGGATGGTGTGAGAGCGGCGAAGCAGGCTGCTGGTGTGCGCACTAAGAATGAGCAACCCGACGAGCCTGAGCCAATGCCCGACATCAAGATCGAAGCAGGTGAGGCCATTATGCCACTTGGAATCGTGCGCCACATCGTTGAGGGCGTCCAAATCGTCATTGAAGCTCTTCAGGACGGCACCGCCAACACTGTTCTTGATCGTGGAACTCCGTTGTGCAAAGAGGATCGAACCGTCCTTGGCACTGTTCACGACACTATCGCGACTGTCCACAAACCCATGTACGTCCTCAAATTTAAGAGTGAAGAGGAGGTCAAGGCAGCCGGACTGGAGAGGGGCACACAGATCTGGTACCCAAAGTCACTTGCAAATCTTGTTTTCCCCTCACAGCTCAGGCAGGAGAAGGGGTCCGATGCCAGTAACTTGCACGATGAGGAGGTTGGGCCGGACGAGGTGGAGTACTCGGATGACGAGCAGGAGCAAGCTCACAAGCGGGAGAAGAAAAACCGCAAGCGAGGCAAGGGTAAGTCCAACAACAGGGGCGACGATCATGACTGGCGCGTGAACAACAACAATGGCGAAGGCAATCTGCGATACGACGAGGATGACGATGGCCCCTATAAGCCCTTGTCACGGCCAGCCAACTTCGGGATGGGTCTGCCTCCACCACCACCCCCAGGCGTGTCGGCTTTCCCAGCCGCACACAGCGGCCGCGGTGGCCAGCATCAAGGCCGGCGTGGGGATTCCCGCGGCCGTGTTGGCCGAGGAAGAGGCTTCAGCGGGCGAGGCCGTGGCTCTCATGGGCATAACGGTCACCAGTCGGTCCCGCAGCCTCAGAACAACTACCAACCACCTCCTCCCTTCGCAACGAACCCACCTCCTGTGCCAGGCCAGTGGCCTTTTCCGATGCCCCCTGTGCCTCCCCAGTTTGGCGGCTCTGCGCCTTCCAACCCCAACGCACCCAGCACAGGCTACGCGATGCCCAACTGGGGTGCTACTGGTCAGTCTGTACCGTTCCCCTTCCCACCAGTACCTCCCGTGCCAAACTGGCCCACCCCAACAGCGCAGAGGCCGCCACAGCAGGCAAGCTACTCGCCGCCGACAGGAGGATACAGCATGCCCGTGCCATATCCTCCAAATGGGGCAGCGAACGCCTCGGCGCCGCCGCCAAACAATTACCAGTATCCCAACTACTATGGTGGCGGACAAGCCCAGAACAGTCAGTCGCAGCAGCGTTGGGGATAGGATGTCCAACGAGCTCTCGAGATCATCAGGCTTGTCGCACAGAAGGCACACGGGCGCGAGTCAGTCCTGGATGACGAGGGTGATGGCAACGACCAAGATCGACGAGCTCATTAGGTGATGACGGTGTCGATCTCTCCCCCTTAGTTCTTTACGCGGTGGGACAGCCACAAGATGTCTCCAAGAGGGGAGGATAGCTGAGCCAGTCACCCGGGTGGTACAGCATCAGTTATGCTGTGTCACTGTGATAGGGAACATCATCCCGCAGAAAATGCCATGCACTTATCGCCACACGGCATACAGGATCCATAGTCTGAGTTACCTGAAAAAGACGACAACTCATCCGAATCGAAATGATTTTTCGTGATACCTCCCTAACTGGTCAGAGTCATGTTCTATCGAATGCAGTGGACTGGTGATCACCGCTCAAGCGCCAACAAAGCCTAGCCTCGCGCCTTGAAACGTATTTGCTGAGCAGCGCACGGGCAAGATGATCGACTGCAAAACCGCCACGAGCGCCCCGGAGCTCTGTGCATCTCGAGCCGTGAGATGTGATGCTCGGCAACACCAGTCAGTGCAGGCAGAGAGAGAGAGAAGTGCCGAGCCCTTGCGGGTCGTGGAGCAGCCATTTGTCCATGATGATTGATTGTGACAAGATCGCCGCTTACCATCGCGTCATGATCAGATGCCAAACGCCGCCGTGTCGGCATTCCCCCAGTTGCTTGAGAGAGAAAGAGAAAAAATATCGCATCGCAATTTTAATCCGCAGCAACGGGCGCTCATCACCTCCACTCAGAGAGATGATGATCTGAACCCAATGAGGCCGTCGGTCGGGGAGGTTTTTTTGGCCACGAGGGAGAAAGCCCCATTAAGCTTGACAATAGTAATAGGGTTCCACCGACCCGGCCGCCCCCCTCCCCCCGGTCTTGTTTCCCTGTGTCTCTTTCCCTCTCTCCCTCTCCAGGTTGGCCTGCTGTTGGCCGCTTCCATCAGCTGCTGCGCGCAGCTTGCCAGCTGATAAGGATCGTCGTTGAGCTGCTTCGCTGCTGTGGGGGCCGGGACGCCGGATTCCAAAGGTGCTCAGCAGCTCAGCGGGGCGAGATTAATTTTGAGAGAAGCACAGGATAGGCCGTGCACACTGCCCCCAAGGCTAGGACGCTCATCAACAAACCAAAAAGTACACTAGCCATGAGGAAGCGGGTCTGTAGTGCTGGTTGAGGCTGGCAGACAACGCAATGAAATGAGGCTGTCGTCCCCCTCTTTCCTTTTTTTATTTTTCTTGTTTCTTTCCTCTAAGCAATGAGAAATGCTGCTGGTTCTGAGTGGAAATTGTTAATCCATCACCACAGATACGGATACGATTCGACCGAGGCTATCCCGTCGGGCCTCGAGGGCCCTGCATAGTACTAGCTGATGACAAGATGGGGGGGGGGGGGAGGGAAGAGAACTAACTATAAGACCGAAGGAGGGAGACCAGTCATACCATGTCACTGACCACCATGCATGAATATTGACCATCTGGAGGGAGGGTCTTGTCATCTTCCAAATCCGACAAGAGGAATGACCTCGACGATCCTTGGCGGCCAGAAATGCCCTCGTGCTATCATACTATCATGGTAGTTGTATGTATTTTGATCAGGCGAACGCGGCAGGGATCAGCCGAGGGAGGGGGGGGAACGGAAAGAAAGAGGAAAAGTACCATGTAAAAAAGAAAAATAGGGTTTCCAAAAATGACCCCTGACTTGTCCTATCTCGCTTAGCTCGCACGCGATGGGTCCATCCGTCTGGTTGACCAATGGCGGGGGAGCTGTGCCTGAAGAGTGGCATGGGCCAGTGGGTTGTTTCATGTGGAGACATAGTAGCAGCTGGAGGTGGTGCTCGGACCAAATGTAGGGAAACAATGTGTCTTGCGTTGTCCCTCTTTTTCTTTTTCGTTCTTGCCGATTGTTTTGTTTTTTTCTCCGGCTGTTTGCTGCTGCGCTATGGCAGCAGATCCCCACCTGGTCGAGCACGAGATGGCCATGCCACGATGGACTCCTCCGCCTTCCTTGTCACTAGTGCCAACCATCTTACTGGCATGGCATGACATGACATTGCATAGCAAGTCAGCCTCTCTCTCTCTCTCTCTCTCTCTCTGTCTGTCTGTCTCTGTGTGTGTGTGTGTATGTGTGGGACCCACTGGGTCGGGAAATGAATTATCTAGCTGCATCTTTCATAAGTCTTCTCCTTTTTTTCTCCCTCTTACACTGAGATGTAGACTGAGACGGGGCATCCAGACCCTGTGTGCCCTGCTGAAAGACGGCTGGCGCCCTTTGTACTATATGCTACTTAGTAGCTCGACGGCCCCGCCACGTCCGTCCCCTGCAGGCTTGTTTTGTGTTGTCTTGTGCTAACCCCAACGACGTCTGCACACACAAAGAACCAAACCACCCTGGCAGCTGGATCTTGACCCCTGGTCTGTTGGTCGAATGTACCCCTCCCAACGGTTTCCGCTCTGGTGAAGACAAAAAAAAAAGTCCGTCAGTTCGTCCGTCAGTTCGTCCGTCAGCAATCGAGGGACCACACCACCCTCATCTTACTCTTGAATCTGACTGCAGCACACATGCATTCTGCACACTGCACTTCTGCAAGGCCCCCTCCCCTTTCACAAACCCGTCCCCGCCCAACCAACCTCTAGTTTGGTGGGTTCTGACATTGGGGTCCTCGGTGGGTCTTGCTCTCTCTGTCTCCCTCTCCCTCTCTTACGATATACCAAAGGTGCTGGTGTATTATCGTGGTAGGTGTCATTATGGTAGTAGTGGATGCAACTCCATCTCCTGGGCATAGCACTCAAAAGATGGTACGTACCATGATAATACTATGATACATTGGTACATGCGCGCACACACCCAGGCACCACGCACACAGCCTCTCAAGTGCTGATCTATCAGATCCTCCCAACGCCATCTCATGTGGTCCATCCTGTCCACTGCTTCCTTCCCGTCCCTCTTTTTGGAACCCACCCCCGTTCTTTCTCGCCTTATTGCGTACCGCCAGACTGCGCCGTCGCTCACACCGGTTTGGGGGGGGAGGGTTTTTCTTTCTCCTGTGCGGTGCTCCTGTTTGCTGCTACTGCTGCTCCTTTCACCAAGATCTCTCGTGCATGCGTGCGTGCGTGAGAAAGGGATACTCACTTTCCTCTCCTGTGTAGAGAGAAACCTTCCTTCGTCACCTCCTCCTTCGCCTTGGGGTTTTTTTCTTTTTCTTTCTGTATTATCGATAATACTGGCTTTCACGTCACACAACACAAACGCGCACGCAGCCACCCCAACTGGCCTCGCTCGCCCTTCCCTGCGACCTTCTATCTGCTTCGGCGTACTTGCCAATCGAGATAATCGTAATCGATTCCTTCCTTTTTGGTCTCCTCCCACCGAGCAGCTCGACCCATCAGCCGAGCCTTACACTGCTTCCATTTCTTTTCTGCCCGTCCAGCTCGACTCTTGGCTTACTCTCATCACCACGAGCCTCTTGATTTTCTTCTTAATCCTTCTTTCTTGGAATTACCGGCGCTTTCTGCTTTGCGAAGGAGCAAGCAAGGACCCAATTTTGACAATAACCACCCGATCAAGCGAAAAGACCATCAACAATCAAATTAATGTGTCGTCGCCAAATTGACATCCGGTTTACGTGTACGACATAAACCTCATCGTATCGCCCGAATTCCATCTACCGATTTTGGCAATCCCATCTGCGCAGCGGACCTGCAGACGAACCAAGATCTGTTGTGAGTATCGGAGCTCTGTGTGTGGACGGCCGAGATGCCTCAGAGACGCGGCCATGGCCACGCGAGACCGCGCGATGTGATCTTGGATGGTCCTCAAGACCAGCCCATCATAATACCCATCATTGAGAAAAGGGGGATTGTAACTGTCTACACGACTGTCACCTCATCCGGCTGGACGGGTGACTTGACCACACTACCAACGGAGGAATCCAGCACCGAGGACACGACAACGACGACGACGACGACCAATGAAGCAGAGGAGACGAGTAATCCTAAGGGGATCGCAAAGGGTGTCGTTGTCGCCGGCAGTTCGAGTTCAGCTCTGCCAACAGCCATTACCTTGGCGTCGTCAGGTTCATCGGCCATAGGTGGTATTCCACTCATGACAGAGGGAGGTAGTTCTGCTGCGAGTACGACGTCTGCGACATCGACGACGTCCGCGACCTCGACCTCGAACACGGCAGCCGCAGCCTCAGCGTCGACGACAGCTGCTACGTCTTCCAGCAAGTCCTCGGGCTCTGACGACGTCGCGACCAAGGCCGGTATTGCGCTGGGAGTTCTGGGTGGTCTTTTCGTGGTACTCGCCCTGGTGTACTGGCTGATCGTGCGCCGACGGAAGCAGCTTGAGGAGGAGCAGCGCAAGGCGATTGACGACGAGAAACTCGGCGGATCAGAAGATGAGGGCCCTGCCAGCGCGACTGCGGCAGAAGCTCCTCAGCTCCATCCCCTGCGACCCATGACTGAGATGTTCACTGGCATGAGCGGGCCAGGTCAGGCCAATCACCAGACCAACGGGTCGATCGCGATGGCTGCTGGTCCCGGGGCGAAGCGTGCTCCTGGCAACAGCCCATGGGAGCGTCCGATGACGAGCGACAGCTCGAGCGACCAGGACCCTTTCGGCAGGAACGCGCAGGTACTGGAGGATCCCGGCACGCCTGGGGACGCCCTGGGCCCTATGACGCCTATAAGCGAGGCAAGCACGCACGGCGCTTCGCCAGAGCAAAGAGTCGGCCTGGCACCGGCGCCCCGCGTCTCTGCGCTCACTGCAAACACGGCCACCACCGGCAGGGTGTCCGCCATCACGATGGACAGTGCTACCGTGCCGCCACTTGTGACTTACAGTCTGCCTCGCTCGCCACCCCACTCTGCCGAGGTCTCTCCCATCGAGTCTGCAGACGACATTCCTGTAGGACAGGCCATCACGTCAACCGAGCCAACTCCTTTTACCGAAGATGATGGCGCCTTCTTGTCTACTGTGGAGCGTCAGCCGTCCGAGCGTAGGCAGTCCGTACGAAAGGAGAATGTCCCGGCCCCTCCTGACCTTACACTTCCTCCCAAGCTATCGGCTGTACCACCCAGCCCCGCAGGCACCGAGTTCAGCATGCACGAGCTCGAACCAGATCAGTCTCCTATAGCCTCTGCCAGTGCAGCCGCCATTGCTGAAGCGGGCGGGCCTGCCAACTCGACAGTTCACCGCGTCCAGCTAGACTTTAAGCCAGGTCTGGACGACGAGATGGGTCTGCAGGCTGGCCAGCTCGTCAGGCTGCTCCACGAGTACGACGACGGATGGGTATGTTTCTTCCTGCTATACCTGCTCCCGCATGATTTACAAGCTAACCCTTCTTTGTATTCAGGCCCTCTGCATCCGCCTCGACCGCTCTGAACAAGGCGTCGTGCCGCGCACCTGCCTGTCGACACGACCTGTCAAGCCGCGAACACCACCTCACGGAGGTGTCCCAAGAGGACCACCGATCAATCCTCAAGGCAGACCTCGAGGCCCGTCTGTCAGCAGCCAGCGCAGCCAGCACGGTCCCGGCCCGAACTATCCACCGGCAGGCAGACCCATGGGACCCCCGAGCACCCAGCCTTACCCTCCTGGCCCTGCTGGACAGCGCGGTCCAGGCTATATGCGTCCGATGGGTCCAGGGCCTCGGCCACAGTCCCCGGGCGGATCTAGCCAACGAGCTCAGTCTCCCAGCGGCTCGGGCAGGAAATATGGCCCTCCAGGACCTAGCAATAGGCAACTGAAATACCGACCCAGTCTCGACAACCGATACCGAGACCCTGCTGCAGGCAACCCGGCGCCCGGGCAGGCTTATTAAGTGCCCACCGCCCTTCCACAAGTTCCGCCTGCCCGTCGCGATTGATTCAAGCAGACTGAATGGCGCAAGCCAGCTCGATGGCGTTATGTTGAAGTTCCACAAATGATTTACCACATTACCAGCCCTCGTTCATGCCTCTTCACTTCTCTTTTTTTTTCCCCTTCTCTCCCCCCTTTTCTTATTTGTTCTTTTTGGAACCCAGGTAGAGATTCATGCGTTTATGAGCCGAGACTTCTACGGATGACACTCGTTCCCCAAAATTTCTCACCACATTTGTCAACATTCGCTTCACTTTAAAATACATTGATATTCTTACCAAAATACCCACCCCTTTATGTACTTGTACGGCATCCTTGGGGGGATTTGCAAACACGCCGGCATCAAGGGATGATCGGTTGCATCACAGAGCAGAGGGGGATAGATGGATGAATGGTGCATATGGGCTTGAACACATGGACATCCCGTTAATTTTTTTGTCCACATGGCCGTTATTTTACTTATTCTCAACGGAGCTTAGGCTAGAATTAAAAACTTGTTTGGAGGGAGCGATTCAAAGTTATGTCGAGACATCAGAACAGGCTTGTGCCATCAAATACCAAATTTCATTGCCAGCCCTTTGCCAGCTTGAGACTGGGAAAAAAAAAATTTTTGTTGTGTGTGACGAAGGCCGAACTCCCAACTCTTTCCCTAAGTCTATCCCATGGTCCGATCCCAGTTCAAGCACCTGACTCTATGTCCTTCTACTCGTCGTTGCCCGAGGGTGGGATATCATCGACCTCGTCGAGACCAGCCTCCTTCAGGCGCTCCTCGCCGACAAACAGGGGTTTGGCGTCCTGGAGGCAGAAGATCATGCGGGCCCACTCGGTGTCGCTGGGGTTCCTCCATGAGTGCATGGTGGCGCGCTGGACACAGACGTCGCCGGTTTGCATGAGGTGCTCCTCTCCAGAGTCGAAGCCGGCGATGATGCTCCCCTGGAGGTTGTCAAACGACTGGGGAAGGAGAAAGAAAAAAAGAGATGGTGGAGAGGAAACAGGGTATCCCATCTTTGTGCGTGGGTGACTTTTGAAAGAAGGGTTTCAAGTGAGAATTTTCAACTTACCGCTGTCACGATGCCGTAGTCTACGGATTGGGTGCGGTGCATCACTGCCTATTGCGAGTTGCGTATTTCGTTGTGAGTACGTAGACAGGTTTGATGATAAGAGATAAAGGTAAGAAGGAGAGGGGGTTAGACAAAGAAGATGTGCGCGTTCTCGCACTCAGCTCACCTGATAGCCCGGGGCAAAGTCGACGTAGCGAAGGACGGTGCCGCCGCCGAGGGCGAGCCCTGTGGCGCCCTTGGCCATGCGGTCCTTGTGCAGCTTGAGGTCGGCCTCGTCGTTTAGGTCTGTTGGGAATTGGGTCGTCCAGAGGATAGACATGGCTAGGCGGTCTTGGTCGTAGAGAACCCACTGGAGGGGGTGGTGTTAGTTGTTGTTATTGGTATGTTTTCGTGAGGTGAAAGGATGTAGGTGCTTAGTGGAACGTGGAAGGAAAGGGTTGGAGAGATAAGAATGAGTACCTTGACGGGCTCAGTGTCCCTGACGACGGCCTTGCCCTCGCCGTTGTGGGAGGTGATCAGGACTTTGACGCCGGGGAGGTCGGAGGCCTGGTTCTCGGTCTTGGGACGGTCGGGTGCGGAGGAGGACGCCATCGTTGCGTCTTGTCGGGTCGATGAGAGCCGGGGGGGGGGGGGGGTTGGTGGGTTGAGGTGGTGGTTGAGGGAGGTGAGAACTGGTTGTGCCTGCGAGGTTCTTGATCTCAGGGTATGAATGGTAAAGAGAGATAAACAGACAAGACAGACAAGACAGACAAGAAGACGACTCCTCAAGGAATAGAGATGTGGAGGGTCCCGCTCATCTCAAACCTTCCCTCTCGGGTTGCTGCAGGTCTGCGCCGTGGCAATCACCAGCCAATGTTTTCCAAAGCCTCGGATCCGCTGCAATGTACATATGTGTACGTACTTGCAAGGTATATCTTGCGCGCGTAATCAATAACTGGTCAACATAGAAAAAGTATATGTACTCGTGTGTGTCACGCTTGCATTGGCATCTCGGGGCCCGAAAGGTGGCATGTTTCCCCTCCTGGCGCTGCCTTTTCTACCTTGCCAGAAACAAGCAGGACCAAGAGCTTGTTTACCGGCTCTGTCTCAACCGCTTGCTCTCGTGCATGACACAGCTAGGTATAGCGTACGATAGATCCCGCGTTGATCCATGGCGTCCCAAGAGCTTCAGAATCCGGGAAAAGGAGAGAAGTCTCAGGCGACCCGGCCCTCCCTCTTCTGTTCGGCGAAGTCGGAACATTAATTACGTGGAGGCGGGGAGAGGTGTCACACCCTGCTGCTCTATCTCAAGGCGGACCGGAAGCTCGGGTCTTTTGCAGCAGGGGTATGTGTAGGTGATTGAGCGGCATCGTAGCCAGCGAGAGGAAGGGAAGGAGAAGGGATGATTCACTTTAAAGTTGTGGCCAAGTCGGTAATTGTTCTCGGTTGCGTAACAGTTGCCGGACCGGAGCCCCGAGAAAGCCAGGGTCTCGCTTGGCCGGCGCGGGGGAGGCGCGGCCGGGACTGGGGACTGAGCCGGGTAATCAAAAATGCCGACTCGACAACAGGCCGTTTTTTCTTGTGTTAAGGAACTCTTGGGATAGCTTGAGCTCTTAGGCATTCATTACTCCAGCTTGAATTTTCACCTGTGCCAGGGCTCATGATCAAAATCATTCGTTGACAGTCATAAAAGATTTTTCATGAATATCCCATAGGAGGCTATCAGGTCCGTACAGCAGAGCATTGAGACACGGACCTCTCGAGAGGTGTTCTCTCCTTGCCTGGTAAACACGCAAAGCACCTTATAAGAGGAAAACATCTGATCAGCACTGGGCAGAGATGATTCTGTTTAGGAAAGGCAAACGCCGCGCCCCCCCCCCCCTTCCCCCTCCTTCCTTTCGCCGAGCGGGTCTCTCTTTCCCTTATATGAGTTTGAGTGACTCGAGGAGGTTCTAATTACGAGTTTCAATTGTTCGCAGAGTTTCTTGGTAGGATGGTTGATGTTTGGAAAGTCCATCTACATGCGCAGCTCATGTGAGAAGAGGGTTGAACAAATGATCAGCTTCTCAGATCGCAACCATTTAGACGGGGCAGGAGCCATCAAATGAGCCACGGAGAAGAAGCCGTGAGAAAACACTCTGTAGGAAGGAGACAATGACATACATGATGGATTCCATCACATTGGAGCTCCCACTTGCTTTCTTCAGCCCGCCGTGTATCCTTCTTCTGAAGCATGATCATTCTCCCTACCCAGTAACCATTCGAAAGCATCAGTACCACCTTATTACCCAAAATGGCTTCAATGCTCGCTCTTCTCATCAGCTCTTTCGTCATACAGGCCTCCGCGCTGGTGCCTCCCTGCATTTCCGAGCTGGGCCCTCGCTTCTGCCCACTTGTGAATTCCTTCGTCCAACGTCGCGAGCCGGCGGCTGTCTTCCCCGATGTGATGCGCCAAGAGACCCTTCTCAAGAACGAGGTCTTCCCCCGCCTCAACGCGACCCGGATGAAGGAGGAGCTCCTTCAGTTCACCAATAGTGCCATCTTCCCTAATCGACATTGCAAATCGAAACATGGCGTGAATTTCAAGAGAGTATTGGAGATGATTGTCATTAACGACTTGAGAAGCCCCCGCGGCGTGCTGAACGGAACATCAAGCTTCCCCTCCAGCTTCAGAACTGTCTTAACGGACACCCCTCAACAGAGCTTCATCTTCAGGATCCTCGGCGAAGAGCCTCACGGGTGGTACGCGCCCAAAGATACAATAGTCGTTGGGTATGTTGCGTGTGCCCCCCCCCCCTCCCCCCCAAGGATCTTCTGAAAACATGAGTTGGTGTGGCTGACGAGACTTCCTCGTCCCAAACGGATAAAAGGGCCCATATGGACTCGATCAACCATTCTGACAAGCAGCAAGATATTGATGATATGGTAGCCCCAGGGGCTGATGACAACGGGTCGGGCGTAGTTGTCCTTCTGGAGGTTCTCCGGGCCCTAGCTCCTCTGTTCGCAGAGAAACACGTTGTGAATGAGGTTCAATTTCACTGGTAAGTCGCGCTGTGAACCACGTTCTCGTCTAATAGCCCCCATCCCGGCTGACAACCCTACCCCCTCCCCCCCCCCCCAAAGGTATGCCGCCGAGGAGATTGGTCTGCATGGCTCAGACTCCGTTTTCGCACAATACCAAAATCAGTCCTGGCCGGTCAAGGCCATGTTGAACCTCGATATGGTGGGCTATAGGGGCGATCGTGATGAGGAACTACCCACCATTGCGGTACAGGGGGATCACATCGACGAGAATCTGAAGGCCTTCACCAAGAAGCTGATCGGGACATACCCAAACGCAACAGCAGGCGACATGGCCTGCGGTTACCCGTGCTCCGACCACGCCAGCGCCTTCAAGTACGGCTTTCCCTCCGCCATGATCGGCGAGTCGGCTTATATCAATAGCCAAGCTGGGCGGCCAAATGGATACCCCTGGATCCACTCAGCAAACGACACCATCGATCATATCGACTTCGAATACATGCTGGAGTTTGCCAAGGTTGCTGCGGGATTCATCGTGGAGCTGGCCTACACCAATTTCTCGACGCTTGGCTGATGAGATGTCACATGTGTGACGCATTGCGTCCATCATTCATCCTAGAATAGTTCCCGTGCTCTTACAACCTGACTTACATACACACATCAATCGATAGTAGCCCTAATCGGGGGTTAAGGTGGTTGCCCCAGACCGTCTGCAATATTGGTGAACGAATACCTATTATTGCGTTATGACTTTCAAAGATGCTCGCGAGATGAATAAGCGCATTTCGAAAGAGACTTCAGGAAGAAGAGGGAAAAGCCCTCACTTTCTTCTATTTTCATGACCCTGTCCTGTAACCCCACTGCAGTTGGGGGCGTAGTAGAGTTCGTCTAGGTATCTGCATGCACAGTTGAAATGTAGGCCGCGCCACCAACTCCTCTGAACGCCCCGAATATATACAATCCAAGATAACAAAAGAAGCTGCGTGTTCTGGCTGTCTACTCGTCCAGAGCAGACTTCGCCTTGGCCTTTGCGCCGCGCAGCTTGGCCTTCCGCTCGGCGATCTGCTTGTCGAGCTTGTCATCGTTGCTCTCGGGGAGGTTTGCCCGCTTGGCCTTCTTGGCCTCGGGCTCCTCCTCCTCCGCAGAGCCGGCAGTCTTGCGCTTCTTGCCGATATTGGCCTGCTCCTTCTTGGCCTCGATGGCCTTGGCCTGCTCGGAGCCGTTCGCGATCACATCGGTCTCGGCGTCCACCCACAGCTCGGCAGACTGCCAAATTGGCAGGGCCACGGTCTGGGGTCCCTTGACAAAGATGGCCTTGATGCCGTTCTTCTTCTTGGGCACGTACTTGGTGGCTATCTCGCCGGCCACCTTCACGATATTCTCAGACAGCGCCTGGGGCCCCAGGCTGGCGATGCCAACCTTGACGGCCGTGTTGGTGGAGGGCGACAGGTGCACGAGGGCGCAGCCGAGGGCCTTCTCGATCTCGGCGGCGACCTCCTTGGCGGATCTGCAGTTGATGTTGTCCGGGTCCGCCGCAGCAGCAGCAGCAGCGGCCGACTTCTTACTCCGCGGGGCTTTTGCCTCGCCGTCGCGCTGTTGCTTCTTTTTCGACAAGACGACAGGGATGGGCCTCTTGGCGGTGGTCTTGTAGAAGCTCTTGCCCAGGGCCTTGGGCAGGCGGTTGATGATGCGGTCGTCGCCGAGGAAGATGTCGTGCTCGGAGGCGAGCTTGCGCTGGGCCTCGTACTGCCTGAACTTGGCGGTCAGGTGCTTGAGGTCGACGACGCGGGTGATGCGCGCCCGCAGGTGGTCGGGGAAGTCATCCGAGGCGACGAGGTTCTTGTAGTGGCGCTGGGGCTCCGGCACGATCAGGCAGATGGTGGCCTCCTGGTCGGCGTCGGCATCGCGCAGGGGGTGCGGGAGGGCGATCTTGGCGGGCTGCAGCTTCTTGGTGTCGTGGATGTGGCGCTTGGTGGTGATGGTCAGCCAGATGGGCGTCTCGGCGGCCGAGGGTGCGTCCTCCTCGTTGTCGGCGACGTCGAGAATGTTCTTCTTGGTTGCGTTGGCGGCAGTCTCGGCTGCGGTTTTCTGGATGTGTGCCAGGAGAGCCTTGGAGGCTTTGAGAGCCTGTTTTGGGAGGAGGGAATGAAGCGTTTTCTTTGTCAGTCTCGTGTTCAAATAGAGGTTTTCCCATGGAAAAAAGACATCATGGTTATTTTGTCTGGTTGGGATGGATTTACCTGATCAGGGTCGACCTCGAATTGAGGCGCCTTATCGTTCTGCTTCACGACTGTTTTCGTGGGAGCCATGGTTGAGATCTTGTTTGTTGAGAAAGTGTAGAGGAATGGGTAGAACTTTCTCAAACTGGCTGCAATGGCGATGTGCATTGAATTGAGGTTAGAATTGGACTACAGCGAGCAAGGGTTGTCTCGAAATTTTTCTTATCTTATCGCTCAGACCCTTGTCTGAGTGATTGAGGTCAAGCACTATTACTGCTTGTGAACTGGAGGGCAGAGCTCAACTGCCCCTCACTCAATTCGCACCCCCAATTTCTGTACTTTTCACATGTACAGCAGGAACATGAGCATGGGTACCTTCTACTCAGAGATGGCAATATTCTTTGTGAGATTCCATTTAATATGAGCTATCCCCTTGATCCTCTATCTATCAAGCGATTTGACTCTATTTCTGGATATGTCTAGCTCTCATCTAGGTCTGGTCCGTCTACTCTATCCGGGTTATGATAAGCAGCATGAAAAGAAAAATCAACAACAACCTGGCCATCTATAAAATCCGTCTGACTTTAGTTGGCGGCCTCCTTAACGCTGATCTTTCCAGAGACAACGTCCTTGACAACAGAGAGGATGTCCGAGAAGTCCTCAAACGTCGTAAAGGGCACCTTCTCCTTCTCACAGTACGTAACAAGATCTCTGCCTGCCTTGGCAAACATGAGGTCCGTCTCCTTGGCCGCCGACAGATCCGACACTCCATCGCCGGCGTAGAACAGATATGGCCTCTGGTCCTCGGGCAGCTGTGAGTATTTTCGAATCTCGAGGGACTTGTCATGCCCAAAGCCGCTGTTTTGCATCGTCAGTATAGGTTTTCTCGCTTCTTAACGAAGGGGGGGAGGTTCAGGTTTAGATGCCAGGAAGGAGTAAGGGGAGTTATAGAGCAAGGGCGGTAGTACTCACCTGTCATCATGGAACTCGATCTGCCACCCTCTCTCCTCGTTGATGTCCTTCCCAGGCCGGGCCTTGACGTTGTTGCTCACGATCTGCAGCTCGCTGGCGTCCTTCTCGCCCAGCAGGTGGCCCAGCAGGGCGCGGATAATGGGCTCCATACCGCCGCTCAAGACGACGATGGGGATGTTGTTTTGCTTGGCATAGGCATGGAACTCCTTGAAGTAAGGGTCGAGCTGGATGTTCTTGAGGAGCAGCTGGATGCACTGGTCGTAAGGGGTGCTTATGCTCTCCATCATCTCCAGGAACGAGTCCCGGAAATCCCTCTTGCCAAACAGGACGTCCTGGTTGCCCTTCTTCCTCAGCTCGGTCCCGAAGCCGAGATTGTCCGTTATGAAATCATTGCTGTCCTGGAGGGTGATGGTGCCGTCAAAATCGGTGAAGAAGATGTGCGTGGGGTTGGTCTTGAGCGCTGGAAGCGCAGTCGACGCTGTGGCACTCATCTTGCTGATGTGCTGGAGTGTATTAAACTATAATAGATAGATTTTCTAAGGCAATTTAGGGCGAGAAAGGGGGGTGGCGTTTTGTGTGTCTGTCATAGAGAGAGAGAAGAAAACTTGACGCCGGTACGGTCCTTCAAGGAAAAGTAGATAATGATGACACGGACAAGAGCCGTTGTTGAATGAAAAGATCAAGAATGCAAGGCTCTCCCCGGGGGCGTCTCCCGCAAACCCGGGCAGAAACTCCTTGTTAACCCCCGACATGACCCAACCAAGACGCGCTCCACAGCACGTTTCGGGCGCCTGGCTCGGCGGCTTGACGTGCGTCATTTCAGCGGTCGAAACTCCTCGCAAAATTCCTCGGCGCTAACTGGGCAAACCCTTTGGTGAAGAAATTCAGGGTCCTACAGTGGGCGAGAGACGCAAACCCACCGCCATCGGAGGGAGTAATCTGTATGATGCACCATCCCGAACCCTGACCCAAAAGACCGAGAAAAAGAAGAGCAAGACAGGCAATGTCGTCAGAATATATCTACCAAGGTCTTTTTTCTTCTTATTTTTTTTATTTTATTTTTATTTTTATGTTCGTTTCTTGTTGTTTTTCTTCCAGGCCCCTCTACAGCCTTCCTCCTGACCATCGACCATTTCAGCCACCAAATGTACCACACGAGACTCGTGGACTGTCTTCCGTGCCTGAGTTGCAGCAGATACTTCCGTCGGTCCAGTTGACCCCTATAAAATCATCTACATGCCACCATGGTCAGAGACAGAAAGTTTTTGGGGGGGGGGGGAGGGGGTTGGTATAGGGGAAAAAAACAATGGGCAATGACTTCTACTCACTCAGACTGCACGAAACGTTGACTCCCTCACATATACAGGCATAGTAGTATGCATCCGTGCCTACGCAACTGCTACAATGAGACCGATATCCACCACTACATCATCCCCAACAGCATCACCACTTCAAGTCAGTCTGGAGCCATAATCAACCACACAGACACACATTGTACCGAAAATTGTACCATTGAAAAAAATCTTATAAGGTACCACTGCAACTCACCCTTGATTCCCTACAAGATTCTGCCCGTCAAAGGACAGGCAGTTATCAAGGCTAAGGAAAGACTCTGGCGGGAACGGCCTGTGGGTGATGTTGAAGGCGCAGTCCGAGCCGGTCGCTGTGGTGTAGTCCGCGCTGTATCCAGTCTCTGCGCAGTCGTGGGCGTAGTTTGAGAAGTTCTGTGCGGTGGTGGTGCTCAGGAGAAGTGATGTTATGGGGACGAGGACTGGAAGGCGCATTGTAGGCTGTTGTGTGTGTAAGTACTTAGGTGCTTGTCTTGTGAAATTTGTACCAAACCACGTCTTGGAAATGCCTGCTGCAATGGATGGCGAGATCAAGTCCAAGAGAAACAGTCCTATTCTATGTAGTTGATAGATCAACGCCTGTCTCCCTTTCCCTCTTATATAGCATTACGCAGCCCAACCTCGTATGCGGCTGTGCTTCGAAGGCTGGTGATTCACCAAATTCGCCTTGACTGACCAACATCTAGTGATACAGCATTGCGGGTGTTACGATGAGAAGCAGCTTGGAGACGCTAGTACTATTTATGAGGCCAAATGGAGACAAGAGGAGAGATTACTTGACTGTGTGGGTGCGCATACATTTCAAATGAGTTGAGTGTTCTAGGTCAAAAATCGTCACCAGTCCATACTAACTGAAGAATACTTCTCCTTAGGTCATACAAGCGCGAGCAAAGTAGTAGAATTTCATTTTTGAAAACTTTATACATCTGCCTTCGAGGCAAAGAAGGACAACTCTGGAAACATCCCCGGGTATCCAACAAACATGTTTCTTTCCCCAAGTATAGGCCACGAGGGCAAGGAGCGACGAGAAGAGAAGGCAATAATCGTGCAATCATAACAACAGAATTCAACTGCTGCAGTCGGTAGAGCAGGCAGTATCCGGGCAATATCCAAGCTGACACGTATAGGCACAGAGCGTATCGTAGATAGCATCCTCTCCCGAGAGGGCACACCCGGTGGTCGCGACGCCAGCCTCGTAGGTCACCACAGTGCCGGTCGATGTACAAACACAGGTGTCGGTGGGGCAGAACCCAGCAGCACAGGCAAAGGTGCACAGGCCCAGCAGATTGAGTGACACGCCATCGGCAACGGTACCGGCGTTACAGTCGGGAGTGCTAGATGCGGTCGAGGAGGCAGAGGACTGCGTCTGAGAGGCTGCCGCGGCTGAGGATTGTGCCTGTGATGCGGTAGCAGAGGATTGGGTCTGCGAAGCGGCAGACGCGCCTGCAGTGACCTGTGAGCTCGAAACTGCCGCAGTCGTCTGTGTGGCAGCTGTAGCGGTCGGTTGGCCTCCACCAGTGACACTCGCAACCGAACTTCCCGCGCCAGTCGTCGATGCTGCGACGGCGGTTGGGGTGCCCAGCGATGGAGTGGCAAGGCACGTAGTCACGGACAATCCAGTCAAGAATGAGGCCAAGCCGTCGGCACCCAGAGGATCTGAGTCCTCGGCGGGCAATGTTCCCACATAGGTATTGAAATTGTAAATTCCGCAAATACCTATACATAACGGGAGTCAGCCAACGATATATAGATACATCGGGGCAGAAACGTATCCTTCGGATTGCAATTGTTAAGGCCACTTACAGGAATCTTGAATGTCTTTCAGGCTTGTACCACTCAAGACGGTCTTGGAGTCTCGGGTCAAGGAGAAAGTCTGCTGTCCGACGCCCATGGGCATTCGAAAAGCGTTGGCCCCAGCTTTGGCATCAAAGGTCTGGGTGGTATCGCCAGAGGTGACGCTCAGGGTACCATCAGCAGTCAGGAGTGTGACGACGAAGACGGCGTCCTCGAGATCTTCATAGCCATTTGGCTTGCCGTTGAAGTAGTTCCCACTGCTGTTGTCCGCGGCCCCCATCGTATTATCCGTCGAGTCGCAGTCCACGGTGCTCGGGGTTGGTCGGTACCAGTAGACGATCTGGTCTTCGGTGATGTATGAGTCGACCGCTGCTGCTCCTGCCTTGTAGGCTGAGATAAAGGGCTTGGCAAGTGTCCGGAAGCCATCATGAGGCATGTCGTTAACCCACTTGGACGCCCCGTCGTCATAATGCATGGACGAGAGCGGTCCGATGTAGTGGCTCTCACCATAGTCGTTCCATGTGATCATTTCTACATAGTGGGGGCTGAGGGTCAGGATCTCGGTCCAGCGAGTGAACCACAGCAGATCACTTGGGAAGACAAAGTTCTTAGAATAGGTGACCTCGGGGCCGTAGTGGGTGCTGAACCATGGCGAGATGGGGGCAATGTACGGCATGGTGGACAACCAGGATTTGTACGTGTCATCGCCGTCGACGACAGTGATGTTGGTCCCGCCCGCGACCGGCGCTTTGTTGTCTCCGTTGTTGTTCCATCCCATCCAGTTCAGCGCACCATCGATGCTGGCACTGGGGTCGGTGGTCTCGGAAGGGTGGAAGTTGGGGGCGAAGAAAATATCAGCCCCAACAGCGCTTCGCACGGCGGCGACGTCGAGACCATCGCCGGCAAAAGATGAGGCAAAGATTTTTCCGTCCACCATGAGCTGCGCCGTCTCGGCCCCATACTTGGCGATCATATCACCAATCTCGGCCGCATCGGTAGACGGGTCCCACCAGTTGAAGTCAAAGGAGATAAACACGGACATGCCGTTGTTGGCCGCCGATTCGTACGCATACCCAAGCTGCGTGTCGGTGAAATCATCTGTGCCTATGTTCAGGGCGAAAGCATCTATGCCTAGGTCTTTGGCTATCTGCATGTCCGAGTCCCAGTCTGCCGCGCTGGTTCGGTCTGAGATGATACCCACCATGAAATGGCAGAAAACGAGCTTGTCGGACGAAGTTGTGGTGTTTTGGCGCCGGTCAAGGAGTGGAGGGGACGAGCCAGCGTCCAAGAGAAGAGAAGGGGCGGCGCTGACGAGCGAGGCTGCCAGCAGACATGTTGAAGAAAAGGAATGGAAGCCAACCATGTTGGCGGTTGTTGAGAGAAGAATCTAAGGAAGGACAATGAAGGAGAAGTCTGGAGTGCCTGAACTCACCATCGTGGGCTCTTCTTGTGCGTGGACCCCATGACACTTTTTAATGTGTTTGCTTGTGTTTGGGAAGGGGGCTTGCCGGTGAAAGAAGTAACTTTTGACCGCGGCAAAATAAAGCAGCCCATACCGCCTGGTGGCGCCTATCTCCTGCCTCATCCTCGTCCGTCGTGAAGGAAGGAGGCGCAAAGGGATCTTGGTGTAAGTACGTACCACGACCTCAGACCCACATGGCCCCCAACCAATGGCCTAGTTCGACACCCAATCGACACCCGGACTTGAAACGCAAGTCCTTCTCAAGGTGGACCGAGACTCGAGCCAAAGCGGTAAACTATGGGATTCGTGGCGTCCATACTTTGGAATGTGTCAAAGCGAGGTAAAATACATATCTTTGGTCAGTCTACACCTCGAATGTGCATGCCCACCTCATTCAGGCCTCGACATTTCTGAATCCAAGTTTCTCTGCAGCTAGCCCCCATGTTACTTTCCTGCGCCGGCGAAACATTCTAACCGATGATACACACGATATATACATATATATAGAAAGAAAGACGTAGGATAGAATAGCTTCATGCAAACAAACAAATGTTTATCAGGACTCACAAGAGGCTAGACCTTGAAACGTTGTTTGGAGTGTACTTGTGGTGGGTGTAGTGGGGTGGAGAGGATCGCCAACGTGCTGTCCCCACAGAGGGCCTGGACACTGGGCAGCATCGGGAAAGATCAACGACGGGTGATGCGGTATTGTACGGGATCTTCTGCACGTCAGATCGCCCTGCATTACGCACGCAAGGGGGCAGATTGTCATTTGATTACCTGAAAGGTAAGAGACGATCGCTGCAGTTCAAAGCGCGCAGAGCACAATAACTGATGCGTTCTCCGTGCACTTCCCCTGATTGACTCATGCAGTCGTCATACCGTTAGATGGACAGAAAAGATAACCTCAAGTCATTGCCCTGCGGGGCTAATCTACCCCCCGCGCGTGCGGTCTCATGTAAGCATTTTGAAAAGTGGGCTAAAAACTGACTTATAAGGGTTACAGGGATTCACCTGCAACCTCGTAAGTCCTGTACAGCTTCTTGTAATTACAACGCATGCCTGCGCGGGTGAGACCTTTTCAAACACCCAAATTTGGACATCAATGACTCCTTAGACAAGTAAGTACTAAATAGACAACACCCACCGAAATCAGAATGGCTTCCAATATACTACTATATTACACAATCTAGGAGTAAAATTGTCTTGGGGGTACTTTACTCTATTTTTGATTGCATTAATGTAGACGTTGGTGTAGCCAACGGAATCCTCTTGAGATGCCGGTGCCTACGAGTAATATGCCTACTAGGGTCTCAGTTTGACCCCTTTTGGTCTGCTATCTGGGCAAAAGGCCCTCACGAAGCACATTGTGGCAAAGCTGCGAAGGGGGCTTTTCTAGGCATGTTTCTAAACGTTTAGCTCCTAGAGGAATGCCGATCCTATGGAAAAAAAGTAAGGGTGGAAAACTATGCAAACAGAATTTATTGCCCGATCCAAGTTGGGGTACTAAGCAAACTGATCGATGGGATCGATGGCAGGATGTGTAAGTGGACAAAGTAATTAGACTCGGACTTCGAGACTGATGAAGATAACGAAAAGCGTGAGCTGGAGTTCAAGAGCGTGTGAATTCATACTTAGGTGTTTGTTGGCGTGCAGATCTTCTTTGAAGTAATAAGTCTACTGTCTATCTGCAAGGGCCTCCTTCATATTGAATAGAAAATTCCAAGTGCAAGAGAGGCCTCGTCTCTCATGCCTGCCTGCTTTTGGTTCTTGATAACCCAGATCTAACCCTTCTTCACTTGGATCTGGGTGGCACACTTGATCTTGGTGCCGTTGGCGCCGTTACCATTGTGAGAACCAGGCAGTTTCCGTTGAACTTGACGCTATAGATACTGTAATCTCTAGAGTGAGCTTCATGACTGCCAGAAAAGAAAAGGAGAAATTAGCGTCCTAGGTGAAAGGCTTCACTCACGATAATAGAACAAGAAAGTAAGGTACACACCAGCATTGAATGACCTGAGGCTTCGCGTCGCGATCCTTGTCAAGGGCGGTCTGACTGTCGACGTTGAAGACCGCATAAAGGCCAGGGGTTTCAGCCCAGGCAGTGGCATTGGTGAGGTCGAAGTCAGACATGGTTGAGTAGGGTTCGAGTTGTGAGTATAGGTGTTTGATGTATCCGCGTCTCGATAAAGTGTTTGTTGAGGCGCGCTGGACAGCTCTTGAGGATCTAGAGGGATGCATCACCTGCTTTATATAATTTTCATGAAGCAAGAATATGAGCAGCTGGCCAAGCGATCTGCAATCGTTCATGATTAAAAGGTGCTCTCCAGGGAGTTTCGTTCAGAGACAAGCTGGGGGGAGAGAAAAAGACAAGAGCTTCCTTGCATTCGCAGCTCAGACGCTTTCGGCGGGCTAAAAACTTGTTTGTACGCACGATCACTGCTCGAATATTGAAACCTGGGTTGTTCTAGCATATCGTCTATGTATGGATGTATGGTTGTCTGAGGTCGTGGCTGGACCATGTACTGCAAATGACTGAACGTCAACGTTGAAGCGGTCCTGGTCTGGAAGGAAGGCTAAGGAGGCCAGAGCCACACCACGTCCACTCACGCACACAAAGCGAGAACGTGTGTATGATAAGACTCAGCAAACTCTGACCGTTTGAACTGATCGTTCCGTGATGTATACTTCTCATTGGTCCAGCGATGTCACGACCTGCTATGGAATTCGACAACGTTAACTCTCATCTGATTGCCCTATTTTAGAAGAGAGGTGATGATATAATCGTCAACAAATAGCGTCGTTATTCAAGAGTTTGTTAGTAACATAATTTTGTATTGTGTGGTGCTCTACTCTCAAGAAGAAAAGTGAACTGTTCTCTGCAGTGGTGTGCCACATTCGCAAATGTGCTTAGGTATTTCACGAGGCGAACAGATGACGGTCATGAGTGGCCAACACTATTTTCAGCCTCTTCCCAAATGGGCCCATGAATATTGACGTGTTTCTGCCTCCATATGCTTAAATTATGCTCGGGAAATCTGGCGAGGTTGTTATTTGCTTTGGTCTCGGATGCTCAGCCTCGTGCTTCGATTCAGGTCTCCTAGAGGACAGCTCCAGCTGAATTTGATAATGATATCGTACTTCACAGATCTTCTACAACATCAAAGAGCTGTGAGCTGAGATATGTTGTAGATTTTGGATTCCTCATAGTCGAAATAAGAGCTTTGCACTCGTAGCGAATCTTCTGCCACAATTCAGCGGCTTCCAACCTCAGTCCCGAGCCCTACGCAGACGCTGCAGGCGAGATATTGATGCCACTAGCACCTCCAACAGACGTGGATCCATCCGAGCCCTGTGTTGAGACCAAGGTCAGCATGTGCTTGTTTCATCCGATAGCCATTGGTACGCTTGGTGCAGGTGCCCGCTTCAATAGAGTCAGACTGCTCACCTTCGTGATGCCCAGGTCTCCTCCCAAATTCTGCGCGTTACCATTGGAGTCTAGGGTGATGCCCGCATCCTCAGAGAACTGATCAGACTCCGCAACGGCTTTGGGCTGACCTGCTTCGGCCGCCTGTGCAGTTTCTGCCGTGCCAGCTCCCGTCGCTCCTTCAGCTGCAACAGTTGGGGAGGCAGCCTCGCCTTGTCCTGGACTTGTCTGAGCCGTACCAGCTGTAGCCGCGTCAGCGGTGCCTGTTTGATTCTTTGCGGCTCCCTGAGCCGCTGCAAGGAAGCCATCGAGAGCTGAATTCTGAGTGTTTGCGTTTGCGTTTGCATTGGCGTTGCCTCCTCCGTCTCCACCGAGAGTCAGCCCATTAGGCAGTGTCAAGCTGGAGCCTCCTCCGCCTCCGGTATTTGTGCTGTTGGATTGACCAGCAGCTGTGGTGCCAGTAGCGGCTGCTGCTCCCCCTGGCTGACCGCCGTTGTCCCCACTACCCAGAGTCAGTCCTCCTATAGTGAGGTCCCCTCGTTCTTTGACCGTCGGAGACTTCCATTTGATGTGGGTCGCTACTTGTCCAGTGTAGCCGCCCTAGAGGAGAGAAGTCAGAAGTGAGATGTCGAAGGCGGCTATGCGAGGGGAGATGTGGCGGGTGATTCGATACTTACCGAGAAGGCGAGGCCCGCCTCGCTGAAAGCCAAGACGGCTGCAAGAATGCAAGGAAATTGCATCGTGACCAAAGAATGGGAGAAAAGAGAAAGGAATCGATCCGTTCGACGGATGGAATTGGAGTGATGGGTGGTGACCAGAGCGCTGCTCGGCCAGAAGGGAATGCAAACTGAAAGGGTGAAAAAGAAACTTACAGAAAGAGCAAGTTATGGATAAATGGAATGGGATCATTAATCCCTAGTATTAAACCAAAGCACGGCCATTCTTGCCTTCAATCATTCGGCCAACTGTAGCAAGGCGTGACATGATGAACTGAGGTCCTGCAAACCAGTTTCCGAACACATTTGAGACACTCGGGCTTGGAAGATGTTGAGTAGGAAAAGATCGCTGGATGAGCCAGAAATAGAGACTACTGCTTCCTAAACTACATAATTATGAGATGACGTCCCGAAAAGGCAAACTTGAAGGTCCAGAAACATGGCCGAGTATCTTGGCATCAGTGTCATGTCACGAACGGCCCCGGTTTAGGAGTCTCAGACACACTTGGCATGTATGAGCATCCGGGTTGAGGATGATCTCGAAAAATAACTGCACAGAATCTCTTGGAATAATAAATATAACTTAAATTACTGAAGATCTGCAAGACTGAGTTGGGTTAGTTAGTTCCTTGGGAGCACTGGCTTTTGCCATCTCAATAAGCATAACTATGCCAACTTGGTGACGTTCATCGCTTCCACCCAAGGCTTCCAATAATCCTCAATACCAGCTGGGAAATGCCAACCTGACCAGTTATAACTCGTCAAGCCCCAAGTGTCCTCAAGTCCCTGCTGGCCCGAGCGAATCCGATAGCTGCCGGCGAGGCTCCACATAGCCCAGCTGACGCCGTTCTTCTCGGTGTAATTTTTGAGACAGCTCTGTAGGGTGTCGTTGTACATGGTCGGGTCTTGGTTGTGCCCAAACTCTGTCAGGATGACAGGTGTGATTCGCTGTGCGGGGGAACAGTCGTTGGTGATGTTGCAGGCGGCAGGAGGATCGATCCCGAGGGCATTGAATCCGTTCCTGTACAGGCCAGCCTCGATGATGGGGCAAGTGCCGGTGTCCACATCCTCGCTGGATGAGTACAGATGCAGCTCCCAGACTAACTTGTCCGCCCAGGCGTGGCTGTCTAGGTCAAAGTAGACAGGGTCCCGCCGGTATGCGTCGACGATCGCCGTGCACTTGTAGCAAGGCGCTGTCAGGATATTCTTCTTTGTTGTCAGCGCCGAGAGATCCTCGTCGTATTGCATGCCTGACCAGGTAATCAAGATATCCGGGTTGGCCTGGTGGATGGCATCACAGCCCGCCGTCATGTTGCCGACCAGTGTCTGCCAGTTGTAGTAGAGATCCGTGTTGTTCCAGGATTCGCGCAGCTCATTGCGCAGGGACATGGAGACGATGTTTGGATGCTGTTTGGCCCATGTCGCAACGTAAGAGAGGCCCCTCAGCCAGTTTGTAGTGTTGAATGTCAGGTCGTCGAACCATGCATTGCCGTCGACGTGCGAGCAACACCACTCTGCTTTCCCCACGTGAACGTCTGGATGGACGAAGACGCCCTTCTCAGCAGCGATTCTTGCGATATCGGACCAGATCTCAAACCGTGTTGTCTCGCGCGTCCAGGTCGGGTTGTTGGCCATGATCTCGTTTATGATCCTCGTGCCGTTGACATAACCTAGTGCCTGGATCATGGCCACTTCTAGAGGCACGTCTTCACCATCCCGCTCATATATCTGGTCAACCATCTCGATGGCGTAGCCCCTGCAGGTCAGATCAGCCTCTCACCCCCCCTCCGTGATAAATTCCATGAATATGACTTGATGATTTAGTCTTACATCCGCATGAAGTTGAACCCGACACTGGCTACATTGTCAATGATTTGTTCAACTGAAACCCATTCAAGACCCTCCGGAATCATCGTCTCGAGATTGAGGGGCCAGTTGACTCCAGCCCAGGTAATGGTGTCGCCCCGGGTGTTGACGATATTCCTCCCTTCAGTACTGAAAGGGCCGTACGGCCAGACGGAGGAATTCCCAGTTCTGGACTCTATTACATGTTTGTCGGCAGTAGACCACCGCGGTTCTGAAGGCGCCTGTGGTATTTTGACATACTGAGCTGAAGCTGCTGCTGCTGCTGTTGCCAGGAGTACCGGGCACAGCAGCATTATTGCCGTCGGCCTCATCTTGAACGTGAAAGGTTGCTTAGAAAGGAGCGTGAACATGTTATGGAGATGGCAAGGCAGGATAACTGAAGGGTACTACGTGCATCATGGCATGCAGACAAGTGCCTATTTGTATCGGCGGCTACCATCATTAGGGTTCGTGAGCCTCAATATCCCACGCGGTGATGATCAGCGCTGAGAACCTGGCTCGAGCGGTCGCGAGTGGTGCGGAATTAGCTGGTGGGAAGACTTAATTAACCATTAATCCATACCGCATCGCTCACCTAGATCCGCGCCGGGTCAAGACTGACCGAGAAGGTGGATAAGTATTTCTGCACGCCAAGAAACCTGGCTAGAAATCGAGCCAGCATTTCCAAGGTGAGTAGAAATTATCCAAACGACGAACTGCCGTGCTGTAGCTAGGTGGATAATTTGGTTGAAGTTTCCAATAAGATTCAAGGTCGTCGCCACTACGGGCCGCTGGCGTAGGTACTACGATGCCTTCATGGAACCATGGCGATGCAAATGTCATTTCGTTCTCCTAGAGTCAGCCGCTAAAGTAAAGCCGCGTTGTTCTTGGAGCGCCGCCCACGCTACGCTGCCTCAGTGGTAGCTTGATCACTACCAGCCTTCATTGTTTGCAAAATGACCACTGGGGTATGATCATCATCATGATCCATGATTTCATGTGCCTCGTAGCCAAATGAAACTTATTGCCGTAGACTATGACAAGTATGTCTCTAAGTCCAATTCTTCGGACCGCGGAGGTGGCACGGGCACGGTACAGGGTAAGTAGCCAGGTGACTCGAAGGGTCTCATGTCATTGCGTTGAAGAACATGATTTAAGACTGCAACAATATCAATTGATGCTGGTCCCTTTGTTGGCTGATGATCGCAATCCTGCCACGAGGTCTATAGTGCCACAACGGCGGCCTCCAAAGGTTCCCTCTGCGCCTCCCAAGCCAGCCAATCTGAGCGCGTGGTCGGTAAGAGCCCCATTGAGTTGACTTTCCATATTCCCACCGCCAGGGCAACGAATTGCATGGCGACGTAGGCCAGCTTGGCCTGCAGCATCTTGACCTTGTTCGTCTCCGTCTCGAAGCGCTCAAACGCCTGATTGGTAGCTATCAGTCCGGCAATCGGGTTCTTGAAAGCCATGAAGACCATCATGATGCTGAATATCTGTAACGAATTGCCGGTCATGTACATCATGATGGCGGTCATGGGCAAGCTCTTGATTGGGGCGAGGGCCACCTCCCAGGCCTTCTTCAGCTTCAGGGTATCCATCTCTTCCGGCGTAGCTTGCTTTCGCGGCTGGATCTTTGTGTCTTTCGAGGCATCTCGCTTCTGTCCAGGAATATTAGCTGAGTCTTCCAAGGGAAGTATAGGAGCTCTGCCGTGCGGACCTTGGAGCCTGAGGTCTGAGATGGAAAGCCTAGAGGGTCTGGAATACCGCCGGCCTTGGACTTGTATGGAGGGGGCGACTTGAGGTCAGAGACCCATTTGGGAGTCTCTGGGTGTGTCTTGAGCTCTGACATGCTTTCTGTCGTCGTGCAGAGGAAGAGGCAGGAGGGTGGTAAGATGTTAAAATGCGTGTGTGTCTAGAGGGCTCGTCTCGATGAGTTGACGTTGGAATTCCGGGAAAGTGTCGACAGTACCCTGGAGCGAGCTGATAGCTTGCTATCACTATTGCTGACAGTAATCCTTACTAGTGGGCCGCCCATGCCCACTAACGTACATATTGTAGTAACAAGAGTAGTACATAGTACATCATAGTAACTGTCGATCGCCTAGTGGGCCCCGCTAACACCGGAGACATCTTCAGGGGCTTGACGGACTTTAGTGATGAGGTGCGAGATTGAAGTCCAGACATCTTTTTTCGGTCGGTTCGGGCTCTGCTGTTATTTCGATCTCGACATTGACGACGTTGACCTTGCCGAAAAGCAAGCAGAATACCAATCCTGCACGGTGATTTCAACAACTCTCGACCGATACGAACAAACAAGAAGTTGGCGACGACATTGACTGGCCCTTTTCATCATAGGCGTACAGGCTGAGACATCCACAACCTTGGGGAGACCTTGGGGAGACACACCTCATCGAACGTCCTGGCGCAACAACTGCTGTTGTCCAGTTCACATTCCAACGCACCGTCTTTACACATCACATCGTATCGCTAGCCTTTCCAGCTGATCGACCAGCCCCAGCCACGAAACTCTGAGCCCGATCGAAACCCTCCCCCCCCCCCCTCCTCCCCGGGGAGCTGCTACAGCCGCAAGTTCTTTCCTACAAACGAAAGCAAGATAGGCGAGCCTGAAGCGGGAGTTCCAGAATAGCCGCGAAGCAGATTGAGAAGGGAGTGAGGGGTCCTGACAAGCCCTTGTCGCATTGTGTGGTGGACAAGGCCTAATTGGTTGAGGCGCATTGTCCTACAATTGTCGGGGTGTCGCTATCACCAATAGCAAGGCAGCACCAAATCTTGGGGGTGGTGTTTCTGTAGTAAAAAGCCATAAACTCGTGGAAAGGGGGGGCCCTGCTGGCTCATAGGGTTTACGCGACATCAACCTTAACGGCGGCGCGACCTGCAGCAGCCACACCTCCCGAGCCCATACCATATCCATCCACACCTCGAACATGGCAACCGTCCAGGGAGGAGGGGATTCAAAGCTGTTCGCTCGGGTAAGCTACATCCTACTCTTTTTACCCTCCAGCCTCCCCTCCCTATGTTCTTACACATGGCCTCTCCCGGCCCGCCACCTTTTTGATCACGTCTCGGCTACGAAGGGCATGTCTTAGACTCCCATTTCGCCGCCCGCTTATGTCCTGAGCGCAGCCATTCTTCCTCTTGTTCCGTGCCTACATTATTCCCCCCCCACTGGCTGCCTCGTGCCTGGGCCCTCGAAACTCTCACGGGTCTTTTAGGGCCCGTCAAGCAGGGGCGGATGCCAGCCCAAACCTCCCAACATCATGTATTTGGCATATCTCCCTCCGGGAGGCACGGCGCACAACAGTAACTCACGCATCAGACAACAGGGCAAGGTGGCAGAGCTGCGCCTCGAGTTGAACAGCGGCGGGAAAAAGGACAAGAACCACTCTGTCAAGAAGGTCGCCCTCAAGAAGATCGTCGCCAACATGACCATGAGCAACAACGATATGGTCGCCCTATTCCCCGACATCATCGGCTGCATGAACATACCGAGCCTGGAGATCAAGAAGATGTAAGAGCTAGGGAGTTCTTGAGGAGGCCGACAAGACGAGGCAGGGAAGGCTGACAGTGGCTGCGCTAGGTGCTTTCTGTTCTTGGTGAACTACGCGAGGATGAGGACAGAGATTGCCGTCAAGGCGATACCCGTGCTCGAACATGTGCGTACAAGCCCGGTGGACGACTGTGGGTCACGCGTGCCCGGCTGACGCTGTTGCAGGACATGGAAGATGCCAACCCCCTCGTTCGAGCGCTCGCCCTCCGCACAATGTCGTACATTCACGTTCGGGAGTTCGTCGCGGCAACGGTACCACTTGTGAAGCGGCTTTTGCAAGACCTTGACCCGTACGTGCGCAAGACGGCAGCATTCTGTGTTGCGAAGCTCTACGACCACGATAGGCACATGGTCGAGCGGTCCGACCTCATCGACAGGCTCAACTCGCTACTGAGGGATGACAACCCCACAGTTGTCGCAAGCGCCCTGGCAAGTTTGATGGATATATGGGAGAGGAGCGACGCCATCAAGCTCACCATCGACTACTCCAATGCGTCCAAGATGGTGGCCATCCTTCCCGACTGTTCGGAGTACGTCCCATGTCCCGCCCCAGATGAGTGTTGACGTTCCTTTTCCACTGACTCTGCAACAAACAGATGGGGTCAAACGTACATACTAGAAGCCCTCATGTCCTACGTGCCTCAGGAGACGGGGGAGGCACACTTACTGGCGGAGCGCATCTCGCCCCGGCTTTCTCACTCCAACTCCGCCGTGGTGTTAACCTGCATTCGTGTCATCCTTTACCTCATGAACTACATGGCCGAGGAGAAGCAGATTGCAGCACTCTGTCGGAAGCTCTCTCCGCCTCTGGTCACTCTGCTTGCCAAGGGACCCGAGGTGCAGTACCTTGCCCTGCGAAATGCGCTGCTCATGCTCCAGCGACGGCCTGACGTGCTGAGAAATGACATCCGCGTGTTTTTCTGCAAATACAACGACCCTATTTATGTCAAGGTCACCAAGCTGGAGTTGATCTTCATGCTCGCAAATGAAAACAACATCGACGAGGTGTTGACGGAACTGCGAGAATATGCGACAGAGATCGACGTGCACTTTGTGCGCAAGGCCGTTCGTGCCATCGGCAAGCTTGCCATCAAGATCGAGCCAGGTGCAAGGAGGTGTATCAACCTCCTTCTTGAACTCGTCGCCACCAAGGTGACATACATCGTACAGGAGGCGACGGTTGTCATTCGCAACATCTTCAGGAAATACCCCAACCAATACGAGTCCATCATCGGAACACTGTGCGAGCATCTGGACAGCCTGGACGAGCCCGAGGCCAAAGCTGCCATGGTCTGGGTCATTGGACAGTACGCAAGCCGCATCGAGAACAGCGATGTGTTGCTGGAAGACTTTCTGTTCTCCTTCTCTGAAGAGCCGGTAGAGGTGCAGCTGGCCCTGCTCACAGCTACCGTCAAACTCTTTATACAGAGACCGACCAAAGGACAAGAGCTGGTCCCCAAGGTCCTGAAGTGGGCCACGGAGGAGACCGACAACCCCGACCTGCGCGACCGCGCCTACATGTACTGGCGCCTCCTGTCCACCGACATGAACACCGCCAAGCAGGTCGTCATGGGCGAGAAACCTCCGATCACGGCTGAATCCGAACGACTCGACCCGCAGACCCTGGAGGAGATGTGCCTCAACGTAGGCACGCTCGCGACCGTCTACCTCAAGCCCGTACAGACCGTATTCCGCAACGCCCGCCCCCGGCGCCTGGTGGAGTCACCCGCGCTGCAGAGAAGCTACATTGTCGACGGCCAGGCCCCCATGGCCGGCTTCGATACGAACAAGACGCTCAGCCAGTTCGGCCAGGGTGGGCAGCCTACTGATGTGGACCCGCGCACGTTTGCGTCTGGTGCCGCGTCGAATAGCAACGGCAATCTCGCGCAGGCGGTCAATGATGCGGACGCATATTTTGCGGGGATTGGCAGCCAGCAAATGCAGGCAATGCGGATCCAGGATGCTGAAGGTGACGCTTTCGGTGGAGGGTCGGGCCACGAGGCTGGGTATGTGGTGAATCAATACGCGCCGCAGCAGGTATTCCAGCCTGCACAGGGTGTCGGATCTAACGGGGATCTGTTGATGTTTTGAAAAGGGGGAAGGGGAGAACATGGCCTTGAGGATTGAGGGCTGCGTGCGGTGTTGGCAGGGTGCAACTTTGCAAGCTAATGTATTTAAAGGAGAAGGAAAAGTGCGTGACAGAGTACGATACCTAGTAATTATATGTGAATCTAACGCATGGCTTGTCATGTTGACCAGCCTATTCTCCATTTTCTCTGGTTCTCTTCATACTATACTGGCGAGTATTGTTTGTCCGCCCATTGTCCAGCCATCTTCATATGGGTCCATTTAGGAAACGCAGATGAGAAGATTGCGATGGGCCGCTCTCGTCCATTCAGTCTGGAGCACCTATGGCCGATGATAAAAGGTATGATGATGGCCTCGATGATATTTCCGTCCGACTCGCATCATATCTACGGACGAACTCACCGCCTTGGGGGCCCTCCTAACTTCAGGAGGAGCACTCTCACAGTCACATCACAATACCTTTCCATTTTTTATATAATGGTTGGAAAATCAATTTTTATTGTACTGTCCTATGGAACAACTAACCCCAAAGAGAGGAGTCGCCCAATGACCAGGCGAAAGTTCAGGTGGGCATATCCTCATGCCTCCGAACAAACAAGCGCATATCGTAAAAAAACAACAACTCATTTCTGAGTATGTCAGTGGGAAAAAGAGGAACGAAAGAAGAAGAAACCGCCTCTCTCCAATTTTCCCTTTGATCCCCCAACGCCAGCCTACCGACATTGAGCCAGTTGCCATCTTGACCGGGTCCCTTGAAACGCCATTCCATGCTTCCAAACACCGAGAGAAAGAGAGGGAAAGAAACAGGATGCATAATGCAAAGAGACGACTAGGACAAAAAGGGGGTCTGGGGCCTGAGGCCTAGACGATGGCGACATCGATGAACACGGCCAGGAGGATGGCCAGGAGGATGCTGGTGCGGAGACTACCAGCGCCACTGCTCTGGCCGGAGCCCTTCGTCGAGTCTGGCATGGCAGTGCTGGGGTCGGTTGTGTCTGGGACGGCGGTGCCAGCGCCCGTGGTGATAGTCACGCTGTGAGTGACCGTCACGTTCTTCGTGAGAATGACGGTGTAGTCACTCATGGTAACTGTGGTGGGAAAGGGCTTGGGGACAATGATGGTGGTCGTAAGGCCCAGGCAGCTGGAAGAGCAGTCCGCATTAGTAGTGGTGTCTGAGCCGGTGGTGGCAGCTTGAACCGAGAAGGCATTGTCACCGGACATGGTGTCCATAGAGGATATGCCCATAGCCATGAAGGAGGAAGTGGTGTCCACAGAGGAAGTGGTATCCACAGAGGTTGTGGTGTCCTCAGAGCATGCAATGTTGGTAGAGGCAGAAACCAGCGTGGCTGGAGACGAGATGGTTGTCACCAGAGGCAGAGTCTCGTTCTCTGTGACAGTGACCATGCCCACAGGCGCGCTGTTGTCGAGGACTGCAGAGCCAGACTGAACAGTAGGAATGTAATCCAGAGTCAGGGTCGTGACAGGGCTGACAGCGTTGCCAGTAGCAATCTCCTCAGTGTAGACTGCAGGGCTGCTGAAAGGGACGAAGCTGGTGATGTTGCCACCCACGAATCGCCAAGTGAGGCTACGCTTGACAAGAGAATCATGACGGGTGGTGGTGGTAACTGCAGGAGGAGAGGGTGGGACTGAGGTGAGAAGGTATGTCGCATCAGTGGGCACCACAATCTCTTCTAAAGTAGTCGTGCGAATGTAGGTCTCTGTTGCGTCGATCTCTGTGGGAGGTGCCAGCCAGGATGTTGTGTAAATGGACTCAGTAGAGTACGAGATGATGGCAACATAGCTGATTGTCTCAGTGGGAGAGAGGTAACCTTTCGTGGTAACGATGGTGGTATAAAGAGTGGACAGAACTGTGACAACCTCTGCAGACGAGCATTAGTATCACAATGCTGGTCCCTCTCTGGGTCCAAGAAGCTGGAAATTTAGTTACCACTGCGAGTGATGGGTTTGTAGACGAAAGTCTCGACTGTGGTGTCTGACCGAGTAGGTCAGCTGGGCAGTCCAATCGATCAAGATGTGCGGCGAATGTATATGCCAGGTAGACGAGTAAGTACTTACAAACCATGGTGACAGAAGTCCAAGAGGTGGTGATCGCGCTGGACGTGGTGTCACCAGTAGTAGTCGAGGCGTTCTTGACAGCAGGGACATTGTAGGTCTGAGTGAAAACCAGAGAGTGGTCTAGTACAGCGAGTTAGGCAGGTAGATCAACATGAGGATATCTTGAAGACTTGGTGTACTCACTACCAGTGGAATTGGGCAAGATGGCATCGACAGCACCAACCAAACCAGCAGCGGTGGTACCAGTGGACACGGCAGCTATCCGACAATGTCAGCACATATTACTTTGAGATCCTGTACACCAGTAGAGTTCTACTTACATCCCTCACCAGAGGTGGTCTGGCTGGTAACACCCTTGCTGGCCATGTTGGCAGCAGCCTGGCTAAAGATGCCAGAGACAGCCAGCATGAGGCTGACAAGGAAGTGGATGAGCATCATGATGATGCAGTTCGAATTGATCTTGTAATGAGTTCAATGCGTAGCGGCTTTTGAATGATCAACGCTTCTTCACAGTGATTGATTGGATGGACTGCAAGCGTGTTTCAAAGAGATGGGTGGGCTGGGAAGAATCGTCAACTGAGGAAGGGTGGAGGAGAGGTGGAGGGGGGAGGTGATGTTGGCACAGGTCGCGAAAAGTCGCGTCAAGTAATGGCCCCTCGAAATCACCACATGCAAGCCCAACAGAGAGGCACTAACGATTGGCGAGACCCTCAGGTTAGAGACCTTAGTGGCCAACCACACAGGAACTGGAATATGGGATGAAAACTCTTGCTGCTGTGATCTTGGGCCATCCCGTTGTATGCATGCATGCTGCTATCACCCTAATCTCCGCCCACAGTACTGACTGCACCGTCATCAAAGGACCGCATCCCCTGAGGTCTCACAAGATTCTGTCCCATTAATTACCTCCTCTCTAGGTGTCATATCTTCAGCAGATTGCCTAGTCCAGTTGTCCAATTGACCAGAGTTTCTTGGACCTGCAGTCCATGACCACGGAGGAAGAGCACCCCTTCCTCTGATCTAGGCCTTTTGTTGCGACGGGTGCCTCTTATTGCCCTTGCGTCCATCAGGACTGCCTCTGTCAGACACGATTTCTCATCCATTATCCTGCTTCTACAAAGACTTCTGTTTGCAGGGCCCCTTGTTCTAATAGTATCCATGGACGATCAAATATGTGGTGTGTGCCACTGCTGGATATCTCCATGCTGCTAGTATATGAGAACAGCCAAGCACACCTTGCCTTGCAACGCTGAGTGACTTGTCCACACGATACCACCCTCCTCCGCTTGGAGTTGCACCACTTATTGTTAGGAACAGATAATGGTTGTGATGCAGGCAGTGCAGTCTAGGTCTTCAAGTGACTTTCGACACAATATTTTCCCCCAGGTTGTAGCACAAAGAATTTTGGTATCCCCCCCCTTCCTCTCGCCCTCTGCTCTTTTGTGTATTTGCTTGATCAGGGAAATCAACTTTGAACAGAAGCTGTGTGTCAAGACATTGAACTTGGACATTTGGAAGAAAAATGCGAAAACTTGTACAGCTTGAAACAAAGCAGAAAGCAGGACAACTTGTACCTGCGAAGCTTGCCATTAAGCATACAAAGACAGGTTGATACTGTGAGCCATCCAAATTATTCAGCTAGGTATTTGTTTCATGAGAAAGGAGGGGAGGTTGAAAAGGGGAATACACAGTGCGTGTCATTGACTTCTGAGTGGCAAGCTTGATGGCATCCCAGGTGAACGCCAAAGATAAGGCCAAGGACTCGCCTCTGGAAAAACTTCCATGCAACATGGAAAAACAGGCTTGGGATGGTCAAAATATGTTTGGGAATTATGCATACATAGGGCTGGTTGGTATAGGTGACAGCATGTTGTCATAGGCAGTATTATTGTTGAGTTTTTATGATCCGAAGTTTGAAAAAGACCTGCAACAGAGGCCCCCAGCGTATGAGGAACTAAGACTAGGGGTGCTGAGGTGGGACCAGGATGGCCCTTTCCCGCTTCAGCCGCGTTCAGAACCCACTTGCACGGCTCGATCCGTTGAGCGTGTGGGCAGTAGGGCAGGTACTGTTACTCAGCCATGTAGGTGACAAAGCACGAAATACTATGTAGAGGGACACTACAAACACGTACAAGTAGATCTAGCCAAGATTAAGCTCTGTGTTGAGACCGCATCACAACCTTGACTCTCCACCACAAGGCAAACCACTTCGTCATCCACCTTGTTTGCCAAAGCCAGAGCGTCCACAAGGGTCTATGATGCACGATTCTTGGGTGAGGATTCAGGCCTGCAAGAAGTCCTGAATTTCTTAGCAATGCCTCTTGCGGGATTACTCCGTAGTGCGGAGTTTCCCCGGATCGAGCCTAGCAGCCTTCCATTGCCAGATTACCGGATGGGACAATAAGAAGATGGGAGGTGGTGCTAGAGTAGTAACAGCAACCATAAAGTCCATGGCGGCATAGTAGCTGGATGTCTAACCTGGGGGCCAGACCATCCGATGTGCCGTAGTACGAGAACTGGAAATGGGGGTGTCGTCACTGTTTTCCCTCTCCAGCCTGTCCTCTGCTGCTCATTTGTACCTTGGCCTGGATGACCGGGACGGCCGCCAGATCCAAAAAAAAACAACAAAAAACGAGCGACCTGGTGAGGCATTTCACTAGATCTTGGATCCGATGCAGCTAATCGAGTCTCTACTCGAAGCAGGCCCCAGACTGAGAGCAGGGACTAGGGTTCCTCTCGACTATATCTGCACAGTAACGCCCTGTTGCGACCTTGCTGCTGCTGCTTGCCAAGAGCCAAGAGAGACCCCAGGGACAGGACAGCCTAAGCGTCAACCTTTCCTTTCTTCCTCTGTCAAATGTATTGTCTTTTCGTTTTTTTCCTGCCATAGTATAGTACAGTGTAGAGCAGTACATCACTGGTGTGCCGACAATGTCTACATGAGTCGTGGGCACACCGTACGCAGCAACTTCAAGCCTGAATTGACTGGGCAGGGGCCCCCCCTCGGCCGTCTCTCCAACCCCCCAAGAGTGTCCCCACCTGGGCTCGCTATTTCCCGGACACTCCTGTCGCCAATACGGCCTGTGCAGCCAGATTCCCATCCAAACTTGGGGATTCGGGTCACCACTCCTCATTCTAGGCTTTGTATCCGTTCTCAATTACACCAATACCCGTGCCGTCCGTCCATCGAATTCAGAATTCTCGCCGTTTAGGTCACAATCAATCAATTCCATCCATCAACCATCTCGTTGAATCCCATTGCATCCCGACTTGCAGGACGAATCAACCCCGTCCCGGCGACGACTCTTTTCAGCTTCTGCCCATCCTATACGGATTTGCTCTTTTCGCTCTGTTTGAGGTCTGTCTGGCCTGGTCTGGCCTGCTCTACCCCCTCTCAAGCGACTGCGCGCGCGTGTGTGGAGCGGTGTTACCTGCATCATCCATCCTTGTTTCGAATCCCTCCTGCCAACCACGACGACATCCCCATCCGTCCACGACCGGTCTCCCCTCGCAATCAGGACTCCCTTCTTGTCTTGTTTATCAACCTCGAGCCCCCTTTGCATATGACATAGTCCGGCATCTCGTAGGCTCCTTTTATTTCCGCCAATCCCGCCCGTCCACCTTCCGGGTCGTACCACCACCACTGCCCTTTCACACATTCCAGCCATGGCCGATACAGAGCAGACCGTGATGAGCGGTGGTCAAGGCGGCCAGGGCGGCCCGGCGGAGAACAAGGACGCTGTTGAGATGAAGAAGATGGACTCGCCACAGCCCTCAGTCCCCGCCAAGGACGACGCACCTGAAGCAAACGACGCCGAGGCGTCCTCCTCCAAGGGCAAGGAGGTCGCGCCGTCATCCAATCGCCAGGAGCGGACCGACTCGCTGTCAATAGGTGCTGCCGACTCACCAGTACCCATCACGCCTGTCAATCCTGCCGACGGGCCCGCATGCAACATCACCCTGCTCTTGCCCACCGGAGCGAGGCATCCGTACAAGATCGATGACAGATATCTGACGAAGCGCAACGTCGACGTGCCCGAGATGACAGAGAGTGGCAAGAAAGACCCGTTCAGCATCAGCGTGTACAAGCTCAAGGAGCTGATATTGCGGGAGTGGCGCGAGGAATGGGACGGCAAGCCAGCCAGCCCGAGCAGTATACGACTGATTCACTTTGGGAAACTGCTCGACGATAAGGAACCGCTGAAAAGTGAGTTGTTCATCCTCTCGCAACTTTGTTCACATTATGACTATGTCCAGAGGCATGAAGAAGAGGCTAACAGTCTACTCTTTGACAACAGAGTACCGCTTCAGCGCTGAAGCTCCCAACGTTGTCCACATGTCTGTCAAACCGGCTGAGATGCTGGAGGAGGACGAGGCCGGCAAAGGTAAAAGCAGCAGCGGAGGAGGCAGGAACAGCGAGGGCGGATCAGGATGCTGCGTTATATTATAAAAACATCAGCACTCAGGCTTTTTGGCGCCTGTTCCGAGACACGTCTGATATCCGGCATCCCTCATCCTCCACCCACATACCACACTTCTCACCAAGACTCGAACGGGTGCGTGCAGCATGGAAAGCTTGAACAGTGCCGCGCTACTTACCTAGAAACCGGGAGTCTTGAGGGGCATCGACCACAGTACTCTGATCCGGCTTTCCTGGGAGCTGCACAGCTGAGAACTGTTAAACCTCATCGATATCGACGCACTTGACGATCCGAACGGCCCTCTTTCACTTATCTACATGCCTCGAATTGCATTTTGTTTGCCCCCCCTCCCTTGTTTTCTCTTCCTTTTTTGTCACTTGTTGGAGGCATCATTAAGGAAGAAGAGGCTGCTCTCCGTGGTGTTTAGGGCTCAATCTTTACTGCTTTGTAGTGGCTAGGAGGCAGGTATGGGTTTTATTGTTGGCGCAAATTATCGGTAATCTTGGGGGTTTTGCTGGGTCCATTGCTATCTCTTCCACTGTCGACAGCAGTACGCAGACGAGTGGAGCACACATGTCCATATTGTGGGTAGGAATTCAATCCTTGGAAGTTCATATACTCAGTTTATGGTCTTTGTGGTCATTCGTTATTTGCAGTGCCAACCAGAGAATGGTGCCCGCCACAAGGTGACTGTGGTGCGTTGCCACTTGGCCTCCACTCTCTGTGGTGTCTATGCTGATATTCATCTATGCACCGTAGTCGTAGTCGTACAGAGCCTCCTTGCCGTCAGCTATAGAGATGAACAGACTCGCTTTCTGAAATACCTCCCTTCGCGACCGTAGAGGCTCACTCTCCTTTTCTCCGACACACACCATCAGGATCGCACTCACAACTCGTGCCTCAGATCTTCAATTTTCTCTCCATCTCCTCGTGCACGCCAACAACACCCCTCTGGTCCTCACCGGAGAACACATCCTCCCAGTCGACGGTGGCCTCGCGCCCCTTGAGTATATCCTCGTGCACGCTCCCGGCGGCGCCCCCGCCCAGGGCCAGCGGCCGCCACTGGCCCTCCCGGGTGATCTTGAGCTCCATGCCGCGGCGGATGGGCTCCGCGATGCCAAACGTCCGCCGGAGGGACTCCATGCGCAGACTCTCCTGTGTGGTCTCCCACTGCTTGAGGCGCGTCTCAAGGGGGTGGGCGGAGCTGGGGGCCGTGGAGTTGTAGGTCTGGGCGAAGGGGTCTGGGCCCACGCCGGCGCGGAGGGTGTCGTGGAGGCCTGGGGCGGAAGGGGCGCCATGGGCGGAGGGGCGGATGTGGGAGTAGGTGGAGGCGTGCGCGTCGGCGGGGACGATGCGGAGAGACTGAGGTGGTCAGGTTAGCGTTTGGAGGAGGAGGAGGAGGAGGAGGAGGAGGAGGAGGAGGAGGGTAAGTAGGTTGGGTTGGATTGGAAGGGTGCGGCTTACCATCTTGGGCGGCTTGGGGTGGATGTCGTTTTGGGGAGGTGAGAAGTCTTGTTTGATTTGGTATCGACTCCTCCGTGGGTCTGTATTCGTACTTTAAACAAGAGCGAAAGGGGTTTGATGGAGAGAGTTTCTTTGGTCTGGGGGTCGTGGAAGGTCGGGAAGGTGGATGTCGTCTGTCTTGTCTTGTGTGGAAGCTTAGCAACAGGTCGAGCCGCAGGCTGCCAAGAGCTGCGTGGATGTAATGCTACCTGGGCGCGCTGGGCACGGACCAGGGCTTGCCTGCCTTTGATACATTACAGGTGGGGGGTGGTTGTGTCTTATCCCCGGTGTTATGACCGCCCACATACTAAGTCACGTAGTAGTACAGACACAGTAAATGAGTAACTTCCTCACGCCTAAATTGAGCAACTAACCACCAGAGTAGTCAACCAATCCAGTTTTGATTTTTATTGTAAATGGACATGGCTTTGAATCTTCAAAGCCCCCAGCTATCATGAAGCCTATTCCAGTGCGTCCGCCAATAGTACGCATCAGCAATGGCACGTTTTACCGGCACCACCCTTCGGCGCAGCTAGCACACCCCAACCCGCCTTTCTTCTCAGACCTTACCTTTGAGCTCCCGTCAGACACCAAGTCCAGAGACCGCTGGTGTGTGGTTGGCCCGTCCCTCTCAGGAAAGACGACCTTTCTTCAGGTCTTGAGGGGCCAGCACCTCTGCATCCCTCCTACAGCACGAACCTACCCTTACCTGGCTACAGACGACGTCCCCCACCGTCTCAAGGCCGCAAACAAGGCAATCCAATATGTGGGCTTCGACGCAGAGCGCTCTGGCGGCGGACTGGGCCCGGCAACATCTGCATACCTGTCCGCAAGATATGAGTCCCGGCGCGAGAGCACCGACTTCTCCCTCAGAGACTTCCTCCTCGGCAACACGCAGCTGAACCCCTTCCACCTTCCCGGCGAGGACGACGGCATCAGCGCGGGCCTCATGGACCGTGTCGTGACAGACCTGCGGCTGCGGCCCCTTCTCGACCTGCCAGTGGCGTTTCTCTCCAACGGACAGGGCCGGAGGGCTCGCATCGCGCGCGCATTGCTGACGAGCCCCGAGGTGCTTCTTCTGGATGAGCCCTTTATGGGCCTCGACCCGCCTACCGTGGCTTCGATCAGTCCGCTACTGAAGGGCATGGCTGAGAAGGCAGCGCCGAGGCTGGTGCTCAGCGCCAGGCCACAGGATCCCCTACCGGAGTGGGTCACGCATCTGGTGTATCTGCGGAATGATTGCCAGGTGGGAGCAATGGGAGAGAGGGAGGTCGTTATGGAGGGGTTGAGGAAGTACCTGACGGGTGTCAGGAAGGGCGCGCTGGCGGAAGATGAGGCGATGCCCGTGAGAGCATTCAGAGAGATGGGGAGGGTATTGACAGAGGGCGGGATCAGAGGGGCCGGCTTAGGCGAGGAAGGAGAGACATTTGCTGGCGCGACTGTGCCTAGGCCAGAGCACGAGCTGAGGCCCAAGTCGCTGGGAGAGCCTATGGTTGAGATGGAGGGTTGTCAGGTGCGATATGGCAACAAGGTCGCACTGGGCAACTGGACGGAAGAGAAGGGCGGACAGCCTGTCAAGGGACTGTCGTGGACAGTGAGGAGAGGAGAGCGGTGGGGTGTCTTCGGGCCCAACGGCTCTGGGAAGACGACCATCGTATCGCTTCTCTGCTCAGACCACCCTCAAACATACTCTCTACCGATCAAGCTATTTGGCCGCAGTCGACTGCCGGAGCCCGGTTCTGGACAGCTGCCGCTCACCTTCTGGGACATCCAGTCCCGGATAGGGCACTCCAGCCCAGAGGTACACCAGCACATGCCCCGAAGCCTGACCATCCGGCAGGTCATCGAGAATGCCTGGGCCGACACGTTCTTGCTGAAACCAAAATTGAGTGACGAGGCCCGCGCCAAGGTTGACGCGTGTCTGCACTGGTTCGAACCAGAGCTGAACCCCTCTCACAACAGGGAGGTGCCATCTGGTCTGTCTTGGGCGAGCAGCTACATCTTTGGCGAGCTTTCCTTCAGCGCACAGCGGGTTCTGCTCTTCATTCGGTCTATGATCAAGAACCCGGACGTCGTCGTTCTAGACGAGGCCTTCAGCGGCATGGACGAGGCCGTCAGGGACAAGTGCATGCTTTTCCTCGCTGAGGGCGAGGCTAAAACATATGCAACGAGCACGGGAGAGGTCACCAGCGGCGGAGGCTCCAACACCACGACGGAAACTGTGGTTGTTGATAGCGAGCAGGCCAGGGCTGGCAACGTCAAGGTGACTGGTTTATCAGACCAGCAGGCCCTGATTTGCATCAGCCATATCAAAGAGGAAGTGCCTGACGCCGTGCGAGAGTGGTTGTGTCTGCCTGAGGCGAACTCTGAGATGCCTGCACGATTCGGTCGCCTTGATGGTCCGTTGAGGACGGACTCTAGAAGGTGGCACGAGATTTGGGCTATCTGATGGAGCAGACCATTGTCGTGGAGCAGAACTACATATTCAATACCAATCATTGCCTCATGGCTCGAGGCATTGCCAATTTCATTTTATCTTGGGTTCGTATCCGTCCGAGCTTTCAAGTTTTCCCAAAGGGATGCCGTTCTGGCTTCTACACTTGCACCAAAGTGACTTCTACCAATGTAACGAGTGCTTGCATGAGGGATATTGATATCAATCCAGAAGAAAGAGAAGGAAAGTAGGAAAAACCCGAGAATTACTCAGTCAGCGCCGGTCTTCAGCTGCAGCTACGAGCCCCGACTGTCCGCGATCAGCCACAAACAGCTCGTTCCGCGCGAGCCGTGCAAGTGGGCTTACTGCGTGTCAGGGTGAGACAATGGATTTGGACTTGCTTCTGGGCAACGGACCATGGCAACTCGGCTCGATGATGTAAAGATGGCGTCTGGGCTCTCAACGGCTCCTGGTCAATTGGTCTTCTTTAGGACCCTGTGAACTCTCGAATGTTCCATGTTCAAGTCCGCTCGAGGATAAATGCCGTCTTGATGAGGTTTCCGTGCTCCAGCTGGTTTCTTCAAATTGAGAAAAACACAGGTGGGAGGCAGACTCGACTGCGGCGGGGCAAGTCGTGTCTGAGATTACGCCATAGGTCAGGGCCTAGGTCGTAGTTATTTTTGATTCGTTTCTATTGCGTTGAGCGGCCGGGACCCTCGGATGCGAGGAACATTAATTGACTCTAGTTTTCATTATTTTCTTTTTCCATTCTTCTTTTTCTTTCGGGGTTATGAGGCGCGCGACAAGCCTCCTTCACTGCCACTGTATTATACATAGTATGGATCCCGCCCCACCTGTAGAGCCCGCCTCCAAAGTCCACCAACAAGGGCAACATCGTTCAAAGATGGCCATGCAGCTATTAGCGTGATGAGGCTTTACGAATTGACAGAAACTCGCTTGGGGTCCAGCCTTCTTGAAGCAGTACTGTGTGGTAAGACTCGGAAGGCTCCTAGGCCAGGAGCTATTCTGTTGTCAGCCCAAGGCTAGTCCGAGAAGTTCTTGAGAAGACTTGTCGTCGGCCCTTGAGTTGCAACACAATTACATAGTTACATATCCATCGTTCATTCACAGATCTCCCAAGACAACGAAAACGAAGGGCCGTGCTGTAGGCTCGTGGCTTCAATCCACGACGACGTACCCGACGCGTCGTTGAAGGGTCCCAGAGCCACTAAATTCCCCAGGTCTTTGTTTAGTTTCCTCCAGCCTCCCATTTTCCAATACAATGTGGATGAGGCGCCTAGGGTCCCCATATTATAAGGTCGTCGGCCGGGGGAAGTCCCACTGCAGAAATGACGGTGATTGGCTGTTGATGGGTGAGGCGTGCCAGGATGGGATTGAAGTGGGCTGGGGTGCGTCATGCCAGCCACCCAAAAATGCTTATCTTATCGGCGCGTTGCTGTGGATACCTCGTTCTAACCGCCCAAACACCAGAACATCCTCTCTCTCGAAGGCCCCCTTCACTACGGCCTGGCCCAAGGCGCAAAGCACGTCTTGGGAGTAATGTATCCACACTCCAGCCTATACTTTGACGTGCATTCTCCCATGTGCCGTCCGCCGTTGCTGTTGTCGACCCTGTGCCTGGTTCTGTTTCTTTGATCCTGTTCCTGATTTCGATCTGGGAAGGTCTGTTCAACAGCACTAAGCCAGCCCTTTCTTTCCCTCCAGGCTACTCTGGGAGGCCAATTGAGAGTTTCATTCCCAACCTCTCGATTATTCACCAGGGACACCCCTCTTCCCATCAAGCAGCACACACCAAGCAAAGCTACATTCGTTCATCTTTCTCTCATTCATCCATCCACCTCTACCTGCTTGCGTTTGTGAATATCCAACCAGGTCGAGGTCCAGCGCTCGTCACCTGGGAAACCTTCATTTTTCACCCGTCAAACATTCCAGAGTCACCCAGTACTTACTTTACTTTAACCCCCAGCTGGTCAATATGGATCGTCCCACCACCCCGTCGCGGCCTCCAGACTATGGTCACTCGTACTACGGCGACGACGACCAAGAAGATCTGGGCCTCGGTCAGGGCAATACCGCAGCCGCTGTCAGGTTGCTAACGTCCATGGATGAGGATATGTCACCAACTCGACCGTATGTATCGCAACAGCTTCTTCGTCCAGCCCCTCTTTCTTTACCAGCAGCGGGGATCAAGCGCTCCCCCAAGGCAAGCAGTCGTACTACGGAGCATCTCGCCGCCCCCCCCCACAAGGTGCAGCAGGAGGAGGTCATGGGTCAGGGTATCGCTTCCAGTCCACCCAAGAAGACTACAGGTCCCACTGTCAAATTTGTGCTTGAGGACCACGCCATGGAGTCATTACCGCGGCGTAGGCCAGTTGCTACTGCTGCTGCTGCTGAGCGCGGCACAAGGAGCAAGAAGCCCGCGAGGGCCTCAACAGTCAAGCTGCAGAAGAAGACCAAGCCCGACCACGTCTGGCAAGAAGAGATCCTATCGACACTGCCCGTCATTCCAGAGGGCATCTCCCCCCGCAGAGAATCGCTGAGGAAGTCCAACAGCGAGCCTCGTGCTCTTCCGGTGTCTTTACCAGCAGCCTATAGCAGAAGCTCACACACAAACGTTTCTAGTAGCCATCAAGCGCGAGGCTCATACCAGCCTTCGGTCTTTTCCACACACTCCCATCACGCCTCGATCGTTGACCCCCCCAGCATGCCGCCGCCTGACTCCACCTACGTGCCATTTCGACGCAACGACGACGACGGCAGTCACGGGTCTTATAGCCCCACTCGGTCTACCTACGATAGGATGTCTCCAGTCTCCCCGACATACGAGCCGGCTGATCTCAATGGCAGTCCCCGGCCCGGAAGCCCCTCATCTAGATATGGGGGCAGCCCCAGGCGTCCTCTGCCTCCCAAGCCTCTGTTCTCTGATTCAGCTCGAGGCTCTTTCGCCGACGATGCAACGGTCTCCATCCCGCTCGGTACTGAAGTTGACCAGGACTTCTTCAGCAGCGGCCCTGAGTCCCCTGACTTGGGCGACAAGAGGAGGCGCGAGTCTTACTTGTCTCAGTCCCAGGAGACACTGAACGAGGATGAGCTCGAGACCCCATTCAATGAGAAGTTTGCGCACTACGGCCCAGCCCCGGCGGGTAGACAGGAGCGCAGGGGAGCGCGGGCTCCGCAGATGAGCCGGAAGGAAGTTCAGCTCATCAACGGCGAGCTTGTACTGGAGTGCAAGATCCCCACCATTCTGTACAGCTTCTTGCCAAGACGAGACGAGATCGAGTTCACCCATATGCGGTATACGGCCGTCACCTGCGACCCCGACGATTTCGTCGACAAGGGATACAAGCTCCGCCAGAACATCGGAAGGACTACACGCGAGACCGAGCTGTTCATCTGTGTCACCATGTACAACGAGGACGAGATCGGCTTTACAAGAACGATGCACGCGGTCATGAAGAACATCGCCCACTTCTGCAGCCGCACCAAGTCGAGGACCTGGGGCGAGAACGGCTGGCAGAAGATCGTCGTCTCAATTATCTCCGACGGTCGAGAAAATATCCACCCGCGAACGCTCGACGCCCTGTCCGCCATGGGCGTCTACCAGCATGGTATCGCCAAGAACTACGTCAACCAGAGGGCCGTCCAGGCCCATGTGTACGAGTACACCACCCAGGTCTCACTCGACTCCGACCTGAAGTTCAAGGGAGCCGAGAAGGGTATTGTCCCCTGTCAGATGATCTTCTGCCTCAAAGAGAAGAACGCAAAGAAGCTCAACTCGCATCGCTGGTGCTTCAATGCCTTCGGCAAGGCCTTGAACCCGAACGTGTGTATCCTTCTTGATGTTGGCACTAAGCCTGGCAGCAACTCGCTGTATCACCTCTGGAAGGCCTTTGACACCGATTCCAACGTTGCTGGAGCCTGCGGCGAGATCAGAGCGATGAAAGGAAAATGGGGCTCTAGTCTCCTGAACCCCCTTGTGGCCTCACAAAACTTCGAATACAAGATGTCGAACATCTTGGACAAGCCCCTGGAGAGTGTATTCGGATACATTACCGTATTGCCGGGCGCTCTCAGTGCGTATCGGTACCATGCCCTACTCAACGATGAGACTGGCCACGGCCCTCTCAGCCAGTACTTCAAGGGTGAAGTTCTACACGGACAGCATGCCGACGTCTTTACTGCGAACATGTATCTGGCTGAGGATCGAATCCTCTGCTGGGAACTCGTGGCTAAACGCGGCGAGAGCTGGGTTCTCAAGTATGTGAAGAACTGCACTGGCGAAACCGATGTGCCTGGTAAGTCTGAACTTTGCTCTCTAGCGGGACCGAATCTCGCAGACTTGATACTAATGGGGATGTGACAGATACTGTACCCGAGTTCGTCTCGCAGCGCCGCAGATGGTTGAACGGTGCATTTTTCGCAGCAGTGTACTCGCTTGTTCATTTCAAGCAGCTTTTGGCAACAGACCACACCGTTGCGCGCAAGGCATTACTCCTCATCGAGTCTTTCTACCAGTTCATCCAGCTCCTCTTCACATACTTCTCGCTCGCCAACTTCTTCCTGACCTTCTACTTCGTGGCCGGCGGCATTGCTGATCCGACGGTGGACCCGTTTCCACACAACTTCGGCAAATACATCTTCTACCTCCTCAAATACACCCTGGTGTTGCTCATCTGCACTCAGTTCATCCTGTCGCTAGGAAATCGACCGCAGGGTGCCAGAAAGCTGTATCTAGGATCTATGGTCACCTACGCCATCATCATGGTTTACACGATGTTCGCAAGCATCTACATCGTCGTCTACGAGATACGAAAGAGCAACGGCATTGATTTCGACAACTCCATCATGACCAACATGATCCTATCGGTGCTCTCGACATTCGGCCTCTACTTTTTCATGTCGTTCCTGTACTTTGAGCCATGGCACATGTTCACCTCTCTTCTACAGTATTTTATTATGCTGCCCTCGTACATTTGCACACTTCAAGTCTATGCATTCTGCAATACGCACGATGTCACATGGGGGACGAAGGGAGACAATGTTATGAAGACCGATCTGGGAGGTGCCGTCGGAAAGGGCTCTACCGTCGAGCTTGAGATGCCCTCCGAGCAGCTCGACATTGACTCCGGGTACGACGAGGCTCTGCGTAACCTCCGTGATCGTGTCGAAGTCCCCAGCTCGCCTGTTTCCGAGAACCAGCTACAAGAGGACTACTACAAGTCCGTGAGGACATGGATGGTGAGCACCTGGATGATTGCGAACGGCATCCTGGCCATGTCGGTTAGCGAGATCTATGGCACCGGAGAGGTCGGTAACAACATCTACCTCGCTTTCATCCTGTGGAGTGTCGCTGTCTTGGCAGCTTTTCGTGCCCTCGGCTCAGGCATCTTTGCCATCATCAACATGATCAATATAATCGTCGAGGGCCGTGTTCGTCTCAGCTTGAAGATACCAAAGTGGTTGGGCGGTGTCGGCAGTCGGATCTCTGACACCCTCAGCAGCGTTGGAAGTAGCGTCAGGCGGTAGATGACAAGGAAGAGGTTGAGATATGTTTTTGTATCTTTGTTCCTCGGTGCCTGTTTCAGGGACATGTTTTCTTTTTCTTCGAAGCATTTTTTATGATACCGGAAGTGCGCCGACGAGAACGGCGTGCTCTTTGCACATTGGGACTTGGGGATCACGGTTGTTTCGGATTGGGTTGAAGGCGTGATGGATATTACGACTGCCAGGTTATACGATGCTGGGCTCTGGTAAACAACATGGAGACAAAACGGCGAGTACTTAACGCTTTGGGAAACACCAGGAAACAAACGACTCGAGGCTCATGAATAGTGATGGATGATATGGGTGTCAGGGGGGTTTCTCACAGTCTAGCAGTAGATCATGTAAACTAAATGGCATCAATCGTTTACACTCAATTTCGGACCCGCCCAAGTAAAGCAGCTTTTGATGATCATAATGTGATGCCTCACGTTGCGGCCACAAGCTGTTCTGGTGCCCCGTGCACATGCTCTGGTTCCAAGACGTGGCGGCAGAGGCTCTCACTTCTTGTCGTCCTAGGTTTTTCTTATCTACATGGCAATCTGTCTTTCTTCAACGAGAGATTACTTTAGTATTGAAAAAAGAAGCGATCCATTTCTTCGCGCTATTTACAAAAAGTCAAGAAAAGCTGACCCGTCATTTTTTTTGAAACGCCATAAATGCGGACCGATATTTTGTGGGAATCGTGCTTTCCTTTTTTGCCCTTGGGTTTGTTTTCTCTTTTTTTACCTATTTTGTTGGGTTGCCCCAAACCAATACCCTTCGCGCCAAATGAATGAGCCGGCAGTGTGATACAAGCACAAACGCTTAGCAATTTATAAGCTTTTCACTCCTCATCGTCATCTTCCTCAGCAACCTATTACAAGGGCAGTCAGCATTTTGGTTCGGTATGTAATGAGCTGCAGCAGGGGAATATGCTAGAGTGCGTAGATGGGTGTACTTACATCAGCATGGAAGTTTGTACCGTCGGTCGTCGCCTTGATGTAACCCGTCCTGATACAGAAATCTCCAAACCTCTCGCCCTCTTCTCTCTCCAGGGCATACTGCTTCAGAAGAGGCTTCATGATGCTCAGGATCTCCTCCTCCTTGATGCTGGACCGGTACAACTTGTTCAGCCGCTGGCCGTGGTATCCACCGCCGAGGTACATGTTGTACGCGCCGTAGGCTTTGCCGACGAAGGCCACTTCAGCCAGCCAGGGACGTGCGCAACCGTTGGGGCAGCCTGTCATGCGCATGACGATGGAGTCCTGTCGCAGGCCGTTCTCCTCGAGGCAGTCCTCCAATTTGGAGATCAGCACGGGAAGATAGCGCTCCGACTCGGCCATGGCGAGACCGCAGGTTGGGAAGGCAACGCAGGCAGAGGAGCTAAGGCGCAGACCGGAGAACTTGATGTTGTCGAGCTTGTACTTCTTCAGGAGGGCCTTCATGTCGTCAAGGTCCTCATCAGCAACATTGCTCAGGATGACGTGCTGGTTGCCTGTCAGGCGGAACTCTCCCTTGTGCACCTTGGCGATCTCGCGCATGCCCGTCTTCATCTGGAAAGTGGGGGTATCCTCGATACGGCCGTTCTCGATGAAGAGGGTGAAGTGGTTCATGCCGAGCTCGTCGCGCTGCCAGCCGAAAGTGTCGACATTGGACTCGAACTTGAACGGCTTGGGCTTGTCAAAGGTCTTACCCCACAGATCCTCGACCTTGGACTTGAAGACATCCACGCCCATGTCGTCGATCGTATACTTAAGTCGTGCGTGCTTACGGTTCTTGCGGTCTCCGTGGTCTCGTTGGACCAGCATGACCTTCTCGCAAGCAATGTGCACCTCCTCGCGGCTTACAAAGCCCAGCATGCGGCCAGTCTGTGGATAGGTCTTCTTGTTGTTGTGCGTCGCACCCATACCACCGCCGGCCATCAAGTTAAAGCCGACAAGGTGGCCATCATCGCCCTTGATGGCGATCAGACCAATGTCGTGGGCATAGACGTCGGTATCGTTGTGAGGAGGAACGGCGATGGTGATCTTGAACTTTCGGGGCAGGTAAGTAGGGCCATACAGAGGCTCAAAGTCTTGCACGGCGTCGCCAGCAATCTGAGTCTTCTTGTTGTCGTCATCTGTCAGCCAGATCTCGTGGTAGGCGGTGGTCGATGGCAGGAGGTGATCGCTGATCCGCTTCGAGCACTCGTGCACCTCGCCGTGGAACTTGGACTGGGTAGGCAGGGAGCTGCACATGACGTTTCGGTTCACATCACCGCAAGCGGCGATAGTCGTCATGAGAGCTCGGTTGATAGCCTGCATGGCAGGCTTGAGCTTGCCCTTAACGACACCGTGGAACTGGAAAGTCTGCCGTGTCGTCAACTTCATGGTCTCATTTCCGAGCTGGTTGCTGATGTCGTCCATCTGAATCCATTGCTTTGGCGTGGAGACACCACTTGGCAGTCGACACCGAATCATGAAAGAATATGCTGGCTCTAGGCCTTGGGCCTTTCTTTCGTCCCGGAGATCTCTGTCATCCTGCATGTAGGTACCGTGGAACTTGGTCAGCTGCTGATCTGCGGCCGAGATTGCTCCGGTGGTGGGGTCATTGAGTCCCTCGACAATCGTGCCGCGGAGATAATTGGACGCGATCTTGATGTCCTCGTTGGTCAATGGCGGGGGCTCCTCAGGGAGGCCCTCGACGTTTGCCACGCCAAGAGCTTGCCAGATCTTCGGCTCCCACTCAGTATATCCGGTCTGGTAGCCATCAGGGTCCTGATCATCACCAAGTCCGATCTCTGCCAGGCGCTTGCCACCAAAGTCCGCCAACTTCCTGTCGAGGTCCTTGCCAGGCTTGTTGTAGTAGATCTTATCCTCCTTCCTCGGCCAGTAGTGGCTGTCACCGAGAGCAAAGACTGAGTAGTTGGTGGTGGCCAGGTCGAGCTCAGTGCTGTCCTTGATGGCGTTCCAGAGCGCATGCCCGTTCTGTGGGAACTCTCCTTGGCCAGCAGTAGAAGTGATGAAGACGACGTTTTCCTCGGTCGAGAGATCCTCAACTGGGTAGTCTTCCATTGCCAAGACAGTCGTCTTCAGACCTCTCGCCTTGCCCCGGTTGCCCAGACGCTTTGCAAGTGACTGCGCATTGCCGCCATCCGACGCGAACAAAATCATGAGAGGTGCACCTTGCAGGCCTTCCAGTAGTTGAGCATACGCATCCTTGGCTTTCCGCTTCTGCTGCTTGCGAATTTCGGTACCGTAGTCCTCGGACAAGACCGGAGCGTACTTGGGCTCCTTTGCCATGAGCTGGGTCATGTGGTTGTCCCTGTCCAGGAACTCCTTCAGCTCCTTCTTGATCCTCTCTGAGTCCAAAGCGAAGGCCGGCTCGCCCTTCTTTTCGTTACTTGGGTTCCAGCGGTATAGGGGCCAGTAGCCGATATCAACTGCCTGCTTGGTCTCCTGGAGAACTGTCAGAGGTGAGTCGTGCTCACCGTTGTACGGCAGGTATGCCAGAACGACCGACGGGCCGTCGAACTTGTCAGCCTCGTCCATGGCCTGCAACACCTGTGTGTACGAGCTGTACACAGCTACGGACGCGACGTAGGCATTGCCAAAGTTCATCGCATAAAGACCAATATCCTTCTTCCTCCTGGCAGCATCAGCTGCTGCCCGCTCAGAATATGGAGTCGAGTCAATGATGAGCATGTTGACATTCTCGCCAGAGGCCAGAACGTGGTGCACACCAGAATTGCCGAGATCGTATGCCCACGCATCCGAGCCCACCAGCCATAAAGACTCCTTGCAGAAGAAAGCCTTGTTGGTGAGGATCTTTCGGGAAGTAGAGGAGTTGTCCGTCTCGAGTGTAGAGATGACGTCTTCCGCGACCTGTTCGATCTTGGCTGGGTTCTCAGCGTGCGAGGCCCATTGCGCAAGCGCTCGCTTAGGAGTCTCCGTCAGGAATGTACCCGAAGCAGCAGTCTCCTTCACATCGGCAACAAATTTTCGCCTCCTCTCCTTGCGCGCCAGCAGAGAGCCGAAACCGTACTCGGGGCTTGCAGAAATGGTAGTGGAGACGCCAGCATTGTCAGACTGGAGTGAGTTGGCGAGGAACACTCTTGATCCAAAGAGTTGATCCAGAATCTTGGTGTAGGCAGTCTCAAGCTTGGGAACCTCAAGCCCGTACTCGGAAGCCTCTTCCGGGCCTTGTCGGGAGCCAACCTCCAGATTTTGAATAGGCTTGTCCGAAATCAAGTTCTGGTAGATACCACGCAGAGCCTGCGTGGCCGTCTCATGGGTAAGATACCCAAGCTGGTACCCCACAATGGTCTCTACGCCTCCCATTCCGCTCTTGAGGGAGGTTAGGACATCAATCAGTAGGGGTCCCCACTTAGTCGTCTTTTTCGAGACCTGCTCCAAGACGGCAACTTTCTTTACTGTTCTTGGCAGAATATCAATCAGCTTGACACCCAGCCATGGCCTGTACAGCCGTGGGGTGAGAATGGCGCAGCTGGTGAAGCTCTCGGTAGGAGGTGCCCGGTCGATTGCATCGCCAAACAGGCCCGCATCGGATCCGAAAATGAAGAGGCAGGTCTCAGCTGTCGCAGAGCCCGAGTACTCGAAGACGTGATATTCCCGCCCTGAGAGCTTCTTGATCTGGGCCCAGATCAGGTTCACGTAGTTGTAGATATGCTCGGAAGTGACCGTTGCAGGCTGGGCCTCGATCGTCGTCGCCGAAGACTCGCTGGGAGGGCTGCTTGTCACGCTTTGCTGGCTCGACTTCTCGGACGCCTGCGAGGAGATCTTGCCGTCGGTGCCCTCGGGCGCGCTCAGGCCATTCAGCTTGGGTGACTTGGGCGACGTCACCTCGGGGCCCAGGTCGATCAGGTTCTCAGCCAAGGCCACCCGCCCACCGTCGGCATAAATACCAGACTCTGGGATGTTGGAGTTCTGCAGGCGCCGCACTAGATCCATGTTCAGCACCTCGCGCAGGGTACTCGGCACCTCGTACTCGATGGGCTTGTCATCCTTGCAAGCAGAAGAGCTGAAGAAATGTATGACACCCTTTCCTGACCGGACCGCCAAAGCATGGGCAGTCAGGGCCATATCCTGGGCCTCCTGGATAGACTCGGACTGCAGGAACGACCATCCTGAGTTCCTGATCGAGGTTATGGCGGAGTAGTCTGGGAACTGATCAGGGTGGAGGGCGACGTGGATAACAACAGGATAGTTGGCCAGCTTGTAGAGGTGGCCGACCGATGGGAGTAATATCCTGGAAGAGGTCGTGACGGAGACCAGAAGGCCGTTTCGAGCAGGCTCGAAGACAGAAAGCAATGGGTCGGCGTTGTGCCTCACGGAGACGAGCTATCATATAGGTCAGACCACAAAGCCCAGGCCGAACCATTGATGTGTGTATAAATACATATACGACGGGGGGATATTTAGACCATGGCGCACCTCTGGGACAGACTCAACATTCTTCGCGACCAGACTTCGCTCCTTTCTACCATGGTATCTCTTGAGATGGCTCGAGAATTCGGAGTCAGCAGCCAGAGAAGGCTGTACGCTGACAATCACATCGCTGGCTTGGTATGCGATCCGGGCAACTGTGGCAGCGCATTGTCAGCAATCCTCTCTATAGCCTACTTTCTTTTCTTCTTCTTTGTTCGGTGTGTGTGTATATATCATGGAACGTAGGACAGGGCAGAAACGACGAGGCGTGGATGGTGCCCAAGCAGACAAAGTGCAGCAACGTACCAGCCTCAGCAGGCGTCCGGATGCCAGGGAAGGGAGAGGATGCCATGTGGTCTGGAAGATTATCTAGTACGGAGGCCTTCGGCCGGAGGGAGGTTGAGGTGTCAAAGGCCTTGAAGAGGAAGGACATCGTGAGAAGAGCTCTAGTTGGGCCACATCTGGGCCCAAGCCAGGGATATATCTATCGTCCAAGCCAAGGATTGACTTGCCAGGGCGCTCGCTGCCTCAGTCCGATCCGGAGGTGGATATTCTCTGCCGTCAACACTTTTTAGTTGATTACAGCATTAGATGTGCTCAGTAATTCCTTTCAATGGGTGCTTAGACGCGCGAAGTGTGCCCCGCCATGCTGGGCCAGGGGTCTGCTGCAGGTGGGATGGGATGGAGTTGGCTCGGCTTCTGGCATAATTTTTTTTCACGCGTCAAGACTAGCTGGGCAGCAGCAGTTGCTCATGGCCAGGAGCGATGGCGTGATTGCTCTTAGCGTCCCTGCCGTGAAATGGTTGGTGGTCTTGGGGCAAAGATTGGGGCGAGAATCCCGCTTCTGTTTTCATGATTCAACACCCAGTGATCTGGGGAGAGCATACCATATACCGGCTGACCAATGGCGTATATTGCATTAACACGGAAAAACGGGTCACCCTCACCCGAGAAGCTGCAGAAGCTGCAGCACAACTGCCACCCGCCCGCCTGGCACGCCTGGCAGCATGGCAGGGTCCCATTTCTGGTGACAAATGGAGCCCGAGAGCCGCCTCAGCGGTTCCTCGGCCTTTAAAGTTAGCCGCTAAACCGTCGCTTATGAAGAGCCGCAGCCGCTTTGTGCAGGGGCTTGCCCGACAACCTTTCTTTTCTCTCTCATACATCACATCATCCGCCCTTCCGATTTCATGGTATTGTCTCTTCGACATTCGATGTTGCCTTGAGACCTGCATGATGTGCTTGCCGCTGGTCATATCTGGATGGAGTCTCTCTTTATGGATGACTTCCAAGTAATAGTATTGTGTAACTAATTGGGTGACTGGCTGAATGACTGACTTGTTCTTGGACCAACCCTGCCAAGACCATAGCCAAGGTGTATTCCAAGACGAATTAAATGACACTGTCCCAGATTACCTCCCCCCCCCCCTTTTTTTTTTTTTTTTTTGAGGCTGAGGCGCATATCCTCGGTGTATGAGTGCCTGATGCCCGTATATAGACCCAGTGAAGTTGATCATGGTCATGATGGCTTTTGTCAGGATAGATTAGTCCCTCGTGCCTGCAGTGATTTCTATGAAAAAGGCCAGCAAACATTACACTTGCGCCAGCAGCAGGGTACTAACTCTGATTTACCAGTTGCCAGGACTCGTCACTATGCACAAGAATCTCAACGAGGCTGAGGTTGCATGTAGCTGCGCATGCATATGACAGACCAAGCGTCCAGATCAGAGGAGCCTTGGAACGACAGTGAGGCTTCAGGGAGGGTCCTTTTGTGGGCAAGGAGGGGCACAAGTATCAAAGATAACGAAAGGGTGGCGAGGAATATTTACTCTCCTAGCCCGTCAATGACAACAAGGAAAGGAGAGAGAAGAGAGAAAAATGGGAAAAAGAATGTCTTTGATACTCTTCTCTTTGAATACTACAGGAACAAGACTGGAGCTCAAGGCCAGGGGCCACAAGAGAACTCGTGCAGCTGTCTGAAGCCTTCTTTTTGTTTCTTCCTAACTACTTACTTGGCCTTCAAATTCGCCCTACATGTATTTCTCTACAAGTGTTGAAGTGAATGCTCATTTGCCTGTTTGTAGAGAGCTTCAAAGTTGTGCAACCTTTTTTTTTTTTTTTTTTGCTGCATGTTAATGGTGTAGAACCTACACAAGAGATCAGGCACATGTTCATTTCAATGCAATGCAATAGCGAACTTGGCCTATGAGCCAGCATCAATTTTAGTCTGCCTGAAAACCCCATGCCATTGAATGTTCTTGGCATTATTACTGTCGTCCTCCCGCAAAGCCAACGCCCAGGTCTACCGTATGCTGCGTTAAAACCAAGTCGATGCTGTATTAAAACCAACTCCTGCTGCCCATAGCATACACTTTATATTACAACAAATGGCCTCCATATGTACACAAGCCTGCAATTAAAGCCTGCTAATACTCCTCATCCACAGCACTTGCGAGCGGCACCCTCGCACCCTCGTTACCCACCCATTCCTCATCGTCCTTTGTTCCGAGCCAGTAGTCCTGGCCCACAAATACCATCACCCGGCCCAGTCTGCCCTTCAAGCCCTCGCCCTCCGGTGAGTCAACTGCGAATAGATCGCCGATAGCCCCCTTCTCCCGGGCTGCACCAGCCACGTAGCGGCGGAGAGCCTGCCGCGTGAAAGACATAACCACTAGCATCAGGTACAACCTCACCAGCGTTAATACCACAATAAGAACCATGCTCGCCGCCGTGTCCGTCGCCTGCTCAACTGCGTCTCCTGCAGGGTTCCCCTCGCTGGCAATGAACCACTCGATCGCGAAAAAGGCCGTGTAGGCGGCGTTCAGGGCTGTATCCACGATATACAGCCAGGCTAGCAGAAGGACTTGGAAGGGAGTCTGTTTTCGGACGTGCGGGAGTAGAAAGGCGAGAGTGATGAGAACGGCTGTCGAGTAGATGTACATGGACAGCTGTACCGCGTCGAGGGCGAAACCCGTGAGGATGGCGAGAAGCCCGTACAGACCCGTGAGTTTGTTGATGAGGAGGGTGATGGTGATGATCTCGGTGCCTGTCTGTAGGGACATGAGTCCAAGGAAGGTCTGCAGGGTACTGGTGTTAGTTTCTTTGGCGGTCGTTTGACACCTGACGCCATGGGCTGGCTGGGCTGGCTGGGCCGGCTGGTGGTCGTGCGGGCGTGGGAGGACTTGCCTTGGGCTTGGGAAGCCGAAACCATGAGCCTCTTGATGTGGCCATGTTTTCTGGTAGTCCTGCAACCTTCTTGAACTGGAGGAACGCAAATGCAAAAGATTCGAGGTGGTGCAAGGTAGGTCGTTCTCTGGGTGAAGTATGATGGTCCGAAATCATGCAGGTTGGTTGAGGACTAAAACTGGTGACGGATCAGTCGGACGTCAGGGGACCTAGACCCACCACCCCCTGTCCTCAGTATTGCATGTTGTGTTTCCTTGACAGCTGCTGAAATGGCGGGGCTGGCCGGAAACCTTTTACTGCTGTAGTATGGGGCGGCCGGTCTAAGACTTGTCCGGCCCCACTACAGGCCCTGCTTAGCAAGTACTATGATGAGAACCATAGTACTACCTACGTACATGTGATGCTGGTGTGATCATCTCGTGCACCGCGATCGGGACAACGAAAATAACTCTTGACATGACTCTCTTGGATGAATTTCCAATTTAACGCCCAGGTCGTCACTCAAGGCTCAAGAGATCAGTGTCATTTTTCTGCTTGTTTCATGCGGCAACGACTTACCAGACCTTACAATCTCCACGCCTTCAAACCCGACAGAGCACAAATAACCCGCAGGCTCATCGTCACCATCTGCCCTGCGATACAACTACCAGCCAGTGTCATACCGATCCAATTGAATCGAGGCTATACCATTCCGAGGCACTCTATTCAGTTTCAGACAAGAAGAATGGCAACTACATCCTCCTCTGCCCTCTCGGCAGTTGAGCAGGCCAAATTGATCGAGGAGTCCAAGCGCGCCGCCGCGCACCAGGCCGTCCAGGAGCACATGGACGCTGGGTACAGGCACATCGGCATAGGCTCCGGCAGCACAGTGATCTACGTCGTCGAGGCCATCGCCGCCATGGGACCAGAGCTCACCAAGAAGATGAGCTTCTATCCCACCGGCGACCAGAGCCGCGAGCTCATCAAGGGTGCCGGGTTCCCGCTGCGGTACATCCAGGATTTGCCAGAGGGCGTGCAGCTGGATGTCGTTTTTGACGGTGCGGATGAGGTCGATGATGACTTGAACCTGATCAAGGGTGGTGGGGCGTGTCTGTTCCAGGAGAAGCTGGTTGCGACAAGGGGGAAGAAGTTTGTGTGTGTTGCTGGTGAGATTAATCTCTAACTGACCCGGCCCTTGGGAATCGGACTGGTGATGGTTACCGCTCCCCAACAGGGCTTCTTGCTGACATGCTACAGACTTTAGAAAATTCTCCACGCGGCTAGGGACCAACTGGAAGAAGGGCATCCCCATCGAGGTCGTCACCCAGGCCACAGGCCACGTCTTAGCAGAGCTCAAGAAGCTGGGGTCGCTGAACCCAAAGTTGCGGTCTGGCCTCCCAGCCAAGGCCGGCGCAGTGGTGACGGATAACGGCAACTCTCTCATCGATGCGCCGTTCCCTCCGCTGGCTCTGGCGAAGGACCTCACGGGACAGGACGGGTCAAATGGGGTGTGGACGGTTGACGGGCTGGCGGACAAGCTCATCAAGATCGTGGGTGTGGTAGAGACGGGCCTCTTTACTGGGCACAATAGTCAGGTGATGAGTGGAGGCCAGAAGCCGTGTGCGGCTTATTTTGGTATGGCAGATGGGTCGGTAGAGGTGAGGAAAGCATCGTGATTGTGGCATCGAGACGTCATACTGTACACCTAAAGACATTTCATGCTTCGGGTTTAAAGACATCCCAACGATAGAAAGACAAGAATATTCCTACATGGGACCCAGTGAGATCTGAGATCTGGTGGGACACCGCCGTGATAAATCATTGAGTAGCCTAGTCTAGTGCCAGGCCTGCATCGCGTGTGAGAGATATGAGGTGACGAAGCAGTACCTTGGAGCATAATGCATGTGACCAGAGGTAAATTTCTCCTCGAAGATGAATTATATATAGTACTAAAAAGGTCTTATCAGTGCAAGGGTCGTGACACTCATGACCCATCAATCGTTGTTTTATTATACAATCGCTCATGCTGTGAAGATCTGGCCAACGCCATGCCGGCCTTTCTGGCTGCAGTTCTTGCTTTCTACAAGACCTTATTATAGGGATAGAACTTTTTTGCCACTGCGAACATGGCGATCCATTGTTTTCTCTCTCTCTCTCTCTCTCTCTCTCTCTCTCTCTCTCTGCAGCTGTCTCTGGGTTCCTGTCTGCTTAGCAAGAGCATCCTTCTTGGGCTGCTGGTGTGTTGGCTGTCTTGACGTCGATCACTATGCATGTGTCAGCACGGGAAACTTCTGGTAGTCTTTGGGATACGGCTCGAGCTCACTCTGGTTGGACGCCTGTGCGGCAGCATCGGTTCCCTCCATGCCGGGCAGAGCCTGCGCTATCCTCTTAAAAAGGGTCTTCACGTTGTGGCCCAACTTGGCACTCGTCTCGACGAACATCAAGTTGTTTTTCTTGGCCTCCTCCTCACCCTGTTGCGTGGTGACTTCCCGCTTGTCGTTCAAATCGGTCTTGTTCCCCACGAGCACGATGATCACATCGTTTCCGCGCTCGGCCCGGACGTCGTCAATCCATTTCCTCGTATTCTGGAACGACTTCGCATCTGAAAGATGCCCGCGGTGTCAACACGAGATCCTGCTTGACCGGCACCTAAAAAGCTTCCACAGGAACATGGGGTGGTGCTCACTAGAAATATCATAGACCACCACGGCGACGCTCGAGTCTCGAATATAGGATGGGATAAGGGATCGGAATCGCTCCTGGCCAGCCGTGTCCCACAATTGCAGCCTGACCGTCCTGTCTTCCAGGTACATCGTCTAGAAATCCCCAGATCAGCCTCCGGCACAAGCGGTTCGGAAGTTCCAGTCGCGAGTCACCTTTGAGAGGAAGTCGATGCCGATGGTCGCCTGGTACATGTTGTCGAACGAGTCGTACATGAACCTGGTGATGAGGGACGTCTTGCCCACTGTCGCGCCTTGTCAGCTGAAGCTCTCTGCGTACTGTGAGAATGTGGCCTGAGGATCCGACTTACCACTTTGCTCCCCCAAGAAGACCAGCCTGTTGTCGAGCAGATCAGGTAAGCTTCCCATCCGCTTCGCTTCGCGCCTGAGGGCTGAGCAACTTACTTGAACTTCTTGAGGGGGTTGTTGTACGATACCCCTGCTTGCGCCATGGTGTAGATTTGCGGAGGGAGCAGTGGCTTCGGAGGGACTGGCTATCGCTTGTGACGTTGGACAAGGCCCAGGAAGAGGAACCCACGAGGCGGAGGATTGTTGTGGTTACCTCTGTCGATAAAACACCTGTAACCTGATCTCGGGTCCTCGAGGCTGGGCTTACAATTGATTGGTCTGGAGAAGAGTGATATCGAAAAGTTACAGAGAGTGCGCTTTGTTCTGGACAGATACAAAAGAGGGCGAAATGCAGAGGGCGGGAACTGACGGTGTAGATTTAGTTGTTCTTTGAAGGTCTGTCTACATGGGCGCGAAATGGGCCTGGTATCCACGATCCCCTTTCGCAGCCCACCACGTCTTCATAGGCCCCAAAGTGTGGGGGCCCCGACCAGGCGCTAGGGATTGGTCAGGATGCGCTGTCAGAACCTGAGAGCCTACCGCGGCTTCGGGGCATCTTAGTTATCGATAAGCTTACCCGTCAGAAATTTATTGTCGCTTCTCTGCGGCCTGCCAGGGCTAAGGTGAAGCAGGCCGAATCTACGATTCTTGCGACCTACCTCTACAACCAGAATCGAGTTGAAACAGTATTACCTCACGACACTTTTTTCTTCCACATTCAGAATCTGTGAGCCAACCAGGACCGCTACCGATTACCATCATGCCCGTCCTCAGGGGCCAGGCGGGCAACCCCAACGCCCCCCAACAGCATAGTCAGCCCTCAAGGAAAGGCAAGAAAGCATGGAGAAAAAATGTCGACGTGACTGAGGTTCAGAAGGGCCTTGAGGACCTGAGCGAAGAGATCATACAGGGGTAAGGGGGAAACTTTCCATGTTTTTTGGGATCAATCACCAACTGACTTTCTTTCTCAATCTCCAGTGGTGTCATTGCCGAGAAGGACTCTGGCGACCTCTTCATCGTCGACACCCGTGGCGATGCAGTCAGCTCCAGGAAGATTCCCAAGGTCAAAAACCTCAAGGCCGATGAGATTATCTCTGCTCGATCCGTCGTACCCGCCGTCTCGTCCAAGAAGCGACCAGGTGACAAGACAACTGATGGCATCCTCCCCACCAAGCGCCAGAAGACGGGGACATACGTTACGCACAAGGAGCTTGCCCGGATCAAGAAAGCCGCAGACGGACACCATGAGTCCACGGTAACCGTCACTGATGCAACCTATGATCCTTGGGCCGTCGGCCCCTCCTCTGTGACCGCAGGTGGGGCAGAGGAACAGAAGAACGAATGGGTTTCCGAGCCACCCAGGGCAAAGGCGCCCACGACACTCGCCAAAAAGCCCATCTCACTCGCCGCAAATGGCAAGCATGTACCTGCTGTCCCCAAGCCGGCCGGTGGGTACAGCTACAATCCAGTGGTGACTGACTACATGGCTCGTCTCGAGAAAGAAGGGGAGAAGGCCCTCGAGGCAGAGCGCAAGCGGCAAGAGGCGGCTGAGGCTGACCTGCGCAAGCAAGAGGCAGCAGCGCGGTCTGCTGCTGAGGCAGAGGCAGCAGAGGCTCGCGCGGAATTGTCAGAGTGGGATGAGGATTCGGCGTGGGAGGGATTCGAGAGCGAGGCGGAAGGTGTGTCCGCGAAGCGACCCAAGCGGAAGACGCCTGCGCAGCGGAACAAGGTCAAGCGCAGGAAGGCAGAGGAGGGCAGACTGAAACATGAGGCGGCGATGAGGAGAAAAGAGCAGCAGGCTCGGCACATCAAGGAGATTGCGGAGCAGGTGGACGCGAGGCGGATGGAACTGGCTGTGCAGAAGATGGAGATGAGCGATGGAGAGAGCGAGGGCAATGAGGTGGAGTTGAGAAGGAGGCAGCTTGGCAAATTCAAACTGCCAGAGAAGGACCTCGAGCTCGTCCTGCCCGATGAGCTGCAGGAGTCTTTGAGGCTGCTGAAACCTGAGGGAAATCTGCTCAAGGATCGGTACAGGAGTATGCTCGTCAGGGGCAAGTTGGAGGCCAGGAGGAAGATTCCTTTCAGGAAGCAGGCCAAGGTCAAGTTTACCGAGAAGTGGACACACAAGGACTTCGACATTACGAGGCTATAGATACTTCCCAAAGACAGAAGAAAGGCCAGCCACTTGCAGAGTCCCTAGAGACTCGTCTTCTCCCACGTATGCATATCATTTATGCACTTATACACCAAATTTTGAGATTAATATGTTATTTCCCCCCTTCCCTTCCATATTTACTATGATACCTATCTCGAAAAACGCCGCTGACGGCGTAGAAGCTACAAATATCGAAGCAGACCTTGCCCCTACTTTTGCCCACTTCCAATACGCCGCGCTCGATACACTAAGGAAGGCGTGTGCACAACATCAATTCTATAGGCTTATCAAGTCTGCAGCAAAGTTAGTGAGTGTGTGGACAATGGAATGGTAAGGGGAAACAAGACTAACCTCGTCCAAAGAGACCACGCTTTGTCCAGTCCATCATCATCAACATCCTCGTCCTGAGACTCACACTCTGTGCAAAGTAAGCACTTCGCCAGGTGTACACCGCCCAGAGCCCACCGCTGAGGTTCCATCCTCCACCTAGATCGAACACGGCCGAGTTGCCGATATACGCTAGGCTTCCTAGGTGGTGGTACTCAAAGGCCTTGTATACTGCGTCATCCAAATCCCCGTCGCGAATGTCATTCGCCTGCAGTCCAGGTGCGGCATGTGCCATCTTGTTGAATTTATGCGCAAGATACTGTCCCTGCTGATGGGCGCGTTGTGCCGTTGCCGGTAGGGAGGTAAGCTTGCTGTCGATCTGCTTGAGCAGCTCGCGAAGCTCGCCGAAGTCAAGAGTACCAGATTGGTCTTTGTCAAACTCGGCGAACAACTTATCAAGGCGCTTGAGGTGACCAACTGCCTGAGGGAACTTGCGCCTGACCGTGGCAGCCACATCACGCCAGTCCGAGAAATGAAGCTCCAGTTTCTCGGGGTCTTTGCCGTGCTTCCAGGCCATGCCACGGAGGAAAGTCACGATGCTATCGGTAACGTTATTCTGAACGGTGGAGCTGTCGCCGATGGCATAGACATCACCCAACGGTGAGCCAATAAGACGGAGGTGGGTGTCTGTCTCGAGCGCATGTCGGTTGTTCTGGTAGTCGCCGAGCTTGGTCGCCAGCTTCTGGCAAAAGTCGGTTTGGGAGACGCCAGTCGACCACAGACAGAAGCCCATGGGGAGCTCCTTGGTAACAGTTTCTCCGTTCTTTCCTTTCTGGGTGAAAAGGATACTGTCCTTCCGTACCTCGCTCACCCTGGAGTTCGTGAGCACATCGATATTGTCTCGTGCGAAGCGCTCTTCTGCGTATTTCGAGACAGCTTCGTCGTATGTGTTCAGGATGTGTCCACGGCTCTGGATGAGATGCACTGAGATCTCGTTGCGCAGCAATTTTGGAAAGTGTTTCGTGAGGTCCTCATTGAGGAGATCGTACAGCTCCGCAGCAAACTCAACACCGGTTGGACCTCCACCGCTGACCACAAATGACAGCAACCGCCGTCGCTCCTCATCCGAAGTTGTGGGAAGACAGGCCAGTTCGAGGTTCGCTATCACTTGGTTTCGGATCTTGCGCGCATCGTTGATGTCCTTCAAGAAAAAGCAGTTCTCCAAGCCCTTCACGCCGTGAGGGTTTGTCTGTGACCCGACGGCAATGACCAGCTTGTCGTAGGGAACGTAGAAACTAGTCTCTTTCCCCGATGCGTCAGTCTGAGACACCTCGACTAACCTCTCGGAGAAGCAAACATCTTCGGCCTTGCCCCTGATGAAGTGGCCCTTCACTCTTGATAGTATTCTCCTGATAGGCTCCACGAGCGACCTCAGCTCAAGCGTCCCCACTGTGGCAGACGGCAGCATTGGCGTGAAAAGGAAGTAGTTCGCTGGCGAGATGACGGTGACATGATAGTCGTCCGGGTTCAACTCCTTCAACAGAGCCACGCTGCCCCAACCACCTCCAAGAATGACGAGCTTCGGCTTCTCTTTCTTACTCCTACTCTCTTCACTATCGTCGTCGTCTATAAGAACCTCGGCGATCGGCAGGTTCTTCGGGCCGCCTTTGTGGGGGTTCAGTGCCAGTTCAGACACATGGCATTCGGTCGCGACGGCATGCTCGCTGTATGTACTTGCGTCCTACGTCTCATCAGCTACGACGAACGCCACAGAAAAGTAAATACTGGAACCCACATAGATGAAGAAGGCGCCAACAGCCAGGCCCACGCATACGATACCGCTGCCTACCACCGCTGCCGTCCGATAAGCGAAGTTGAGGAACCACGAACTCCTTTGTGGCAATGGCTTTCCGTGTATGAATCGGATGGCGAGCTTGTTGGGTGTAAAGAGCGAGGATGGTCGGGACTGCAAGCGTTGGGAGAAGGGTCTTTGGGTGGTGGGCTGAGGAGCACTCAGTCGAGTTGTTCTACTCAGGCTTCGAGCTTGTGCGTTTCGAGTCTGTATTCTGTAAATAGATGAGTTTTGACGAGGCAATGCCAAGTTTCGTTGACGACTTGCGCGGGCAGCAGCAGCGCCAAGTGAGGACTGCGACGGCATCGCGCGACGTCACCAAGAGTACCAAGAGTCGAGTACGGGACGAGACACTCGAAACACGATGTTTAGTTCGGCAGCGAAGGCGGCAAGACAAGCAATTGGAACCCAAAGTATAAAAACACACCTTGCCCAGGTGATTAGAAGAATAAGGAGAAGAAACGAAGTCCGCGGAAAATAAAAGAAACAAGCCACTTCATCTATGCAGGACTACTATGCAGAACCAGCGCTCAGTTGGTAACCACTCAAGATCCCGACTGACTGGGACTTTCTTAAGGCACGAGCGCGCCACTACCCCTGCCCCTGAAGCTTCCCTGTTCTCAGTACGTCATTACTTAGGAAAATAGCTCTCTAGCGCGGCAAGAGCCCGCTGATCCAAGTTGTCACTACAACACTACCACTTACAAGTCAGTGGCCAGGTTTTAGATTCGAACGCCTGTATTCCACGCATACTGCCTGTCAGTTGATTTAGCCATGAACAACAATATGTGAAAAGTAAAAGAAACAAAACCCCTCCCTCAAAGAGAGAGGCTCTTATGTCTCACAAGAAAGCGCACGAACAGTTTTCTCTCTGCAGCTCCGACTAAAAATTATCACAGGTGTGAGAAGAAAATCTCGCAACAGGTATCCTCTTTTCATCCGGTGCACCCGATATCGCTAGGGATGGACCGCAGCTAAAATCGTACATGCGAGTGGAATAGCGAAGGAGCCGCTTCGTGCGTTCGGCCCCGGTCGGCTGCATATTTTGGTAATCTTCCCATGGTGCACTAGCAGGTTGGCAGGTTGTCTCATATGGAGAATTCTTGTCGCACAGCAGGCTACGCCACAGCGGCGAAATGGCTGCAAAGAGGCGCTTGAGGCTCAGGGACGAACGCAGACATACATTTCACCAATCTCTCGAGTCTTTCGTTCATGTCCCGAGGAAAGAAGGACCTTGGTTGGCCGCTCGCTATGCAAGATGCTCACTTCTCAGTGCGCTCCCAGGGGAAGAAAATAATTCCATTTCCCCAGTGTGTCCATCCTTCAACATCTGAAGTACCTCCTCTCGATCCATCGATCCTCGATATCAGGCAGAATGTTGCCCACAACCACCGTGATATCCGGAAATACAGCTGTCAGGCGATGGAGCCCCATACGCCCAGCAGAATACGTCGCAAATACAATTCGGTCCTGCGCCACGCCATGATCCACAAGGACTTGGACCGCCATGAGAGCAGAGCCGCCACTTGACATCTGTGCATCAAGAACCAGCACACTCTCATGTGTCTCAATATCCTTGGACAGCCGGCTATAGTGCAGTTCCGGTTCTCCTGTCCTGATGCTGGATTGGATCAGGATCCGGCTGGAACGACAGTCTGGTATGACACGCTTGAGCCCTGTCTCCAGTGCAGCCCCACCGCGAAGTAGGAGGACGGCTGATACCTCGCCTTGGGATTTAAGGCCTACGTACTGATGCCCCGCAGGCGTGTTCACAGTCGTAGATTCGAAGCGCACATTGTTCATGGCTCTGCAAACAGAATCAGCAACCAATGTCTCTAGCGGGATCCTCAGACTCACTGCTCAATTATCAAGGCAGCCAGCCTGTCGAAATAGAAAATGAAATCTTCTGAGGTCGTATCGATATCCTTGATGATGGTGTTCATAGCCTTGAGCTGTGGCGTGGGCCTGAGTACAACGACCTTCTTGCTGAGCGGTTCTGACTGTGCCTGTAGCTCTAACTGCAGAAGCGCTGCTCGATGATGCCTGGACTTTTCAAGAAGCTTCTGCTCGATGAATTGGACGACCATATCTTCGTGTCTGTCAGCCTGAGTCTTGTTCGGGGTACCATGTATTCACGCACTTATGGCAACCAAGTTCTCGACGCCCCTCGGTACTATGATATCTGCTCTGACTCAGTAAGATTCAAAATCTCCATCGGCGGCGTTGACTGACCTCCGTTCTTCCGCTGTGGATCAACAAACTGCCAGCAGAGGTTAGCAAGAGACTGGGTGCCATTTAGGAACATCTACTCACTTTTTCAAAGTTTGGTTTCACCCACATAAACCACTGCTTGATCACGCCCTCCACGCTCCTGCCACGACATTCGACATCTCTCAGTATTCGTCTTGAGAGACAAGTATCTGCATCGGCCTCGCAAAAGATCTGAATGCGCATCAGCTCTCTGCCGGGTTTGTCACGGGACACGACATCAAGTTACCTTCATGTCCAGCAACTCAAGCACCCTCGGGTCGTACAGGGCGAAGATTCCCTCTACGATAAGGACGTGGGGTGAGTATATTGCCGTCGTCTTGTCCAGGCGTGCATGTTTCTCGAACGAGTAGACAGGGATCTCTGCTCGTTTTCTGCAAGACCGGATCATAAGTTACTTAAGGTTCAGATTAGACCCTCGTTCATTTACTGACGCACCCGGCTTTCAGGTCTTGGAGACACTCCACGAGCTTATCAAAGTCGATTGCTTCCGGAGAGTCGAAGTCGTACTCGTTGAGGAATGCCTTTTTGGACGATTCTGGATCCAAGCTTTTATAGAACGAGTCCTAAGTACTTGCGATCAGCCTGTGCAGGCCTGCCACGAAGCGGCATCATATAGCCACTTACCATAGACAGAATAACAACCCATGGTAGGTTCAACTTGTTGACGATGGTCCTGGACAGCGTCGACTTTCCAGACCCCGAGCTCCCTGCTATGCCTATGAGGCTGACGTCGGCCCACGGTGGCGAGTAGTGTGCCCTCTTAGCGATCGCGTTCGCTGCGCATCCGGGGTCCATAGTGATCTGTGGTGCCTCTGACAGAGAGAGACACACACAAACACACACGCACAGAGAGAGAGAGAGAGAGAGAGGAAGAGAATGAAAGAGCTGAAAGTAGTGAGAAGATGAGCCCTTGGGAAAGACTCAGACAATAAAAGCGGAGTATGGGCACTATAACAACACTCAGCCTCTGTCATTTAAATATTGAAACTCTGAAAGGTCAGGTGCTCTCACCTCTGGCATGTGATGATGTGTAGCACAGAGAGTCTAGTTGATTGGGTCAAACAGCGACCTAATTCAGCATTGATCGTGGGGAAGGACCCAGAACGGAGCAAAAGAATACAAGTAGATCTAAATTTCTGAGTAGATGAGATGACCGCAAAGTGTGGAAGAGGTGAATTAACAGAAACTGGCCCCCGCCAAAGTGTCCTGCAGCAGCCACTGGGCCCCGAAAGTGCTGGCTGCTATTAGAATTCCTTGCTATGGTTTTCCAATACCAGATAAAGTCAGGGCCAGGCCGGCTGTGGCTAGTGCTACCAGAGTGTGGCTCAGGTCAGCAGCTCGGCAGGGTGTGGGGGCGCCTTAGCGCTGCAGGCAGCTGCAGTTTTCTGCTTTCTGCACCCACCTCTCGAGCTCCAACACAAATTCCGTTCGTTACCTTTTCATTCAACCGCACCCACCTCAAACACCCACGATACATCACAACATCACTTCTTCCCATCACGACAGCCACCACTGATACTGTCTGGAATCATCTCAGTCAGTATCAATGCCACCAGCCAGCTAGTCGTATGAGTTCTGCTGGCCCTCCCGCGATCGACTTCCAACCTCCGGGCTCCGATGACACGGCGTTCTGGGCCAATTTTGCTGCAGAATTTCGACTTAAATTTGGCGATATGGTACGCTTGCTCTGCTGTTCGCGACGTGGCCACCAAGACCCCCAACACTGACCATTGACGCCCTAGACGTCGACCACTTCCACTGCCACGCCGGTCCGGCATGTCTTCGAATCCAGGGTCATGGAGACCAAGGCTCCCAAGAGGTTAGTTATTCTCTCTTTCTGCGTCGCTTAACTGCCGTCAAACCAAGACGGGCAGCTCGCACCGAGTCATATGATGCTATCAAGATATCAATGGGAATCTCTCCGAGACAAGTATGCGGAGAACTTATCTATAATTTACTACTGATCGACTCTATCCATCCTCAACAATGCGGCTCAGCTATTGGCAATCATGTCCACCACACAACTTACTGACAAAGCTCAATAGCGATATAAACCTCCTGATTCTGGACTACTTGACAATGGAGGGCTACCCTCTGGCAGCCGCCAAGTTCTCGAAAGAGGCAAACCTTCAACCCCGGCAAGAGGATCCCGCTATTAAGGCCCGGCAGCAGATCAAAAACTCGATCCACCAGGGAAACATCATGGAGGCTATTGAGGCCCTGAACGAATTAGATCCTGAGGTATGTCAAAATTTTTACCTTCTCGACCCCACAACCCCCTTTCACATGATTAGAACACGAGTTTACATGCACCACGCATATGGCCTTTGGCCGTTGATGATAAACAACCACTTTTTTTATGAATGTGATCTCATTTACCTTCATGCGTCCATCAAACCGCTCTTCAAATTCTCTAGCTGATCATGTATCAGATCTTGGACAAGGACGCTCGTCTCCACTTTGCGTTGCTCCGACTACAGCTTATTGAGCTGATTCGCAACTCTGAAGACGGTGACAAAAGCATGCTGCATGCGATTCACTTCGCGTCGCAGCAGCTTGGTCCTCGTGCGCCTAAGAACTCCGAGTTCTTGGAGCAGCTCGAGCAGACCATGGCCTTGTTCCTTTATCCCAGAAACGAGTTGAGGCCAGAGCAGCAGGCGCTTCTACACCCCGACCTACGAAGAGAGGTTGCGGACAAGGTCAATATGGCGATTATTCTTCGCCAGACCAAACGTCGCGAGGCAGCCATCCGACAGCTTGTCAAGGTGCGGACCTGGGCAGAGGATTCTGCACGCAGCGCACGCAAGGACCTGCCCGAGCGGCTGGGGCTTGGGCTGAATGGCGACGACCCCGATGGCACCTCCCACGAGAATGGGTCTGAGGCTATGATCACAACCTAGCATGAACCCATACCTCGGGACTCACGCGGGGTGAGAATCCTTTCTTATGACCCGTAACGCTTCTTTGTTCCATGATTTGTTCTTCTCATTTTTTACGGTGTTTGGGTAGGGCTGGATTTTACTTTCGGTGGGTAAGGCAGAGTTACTGGCGTTCAGGTCCGCCAAGAGCGATTTTACAATGGGCGGAAGCGATACAGAGGATACCCTCGGCGTTCTTTGGAGAGGTACCAGATGATACTGGAATGGCATTTTCATGCAAAATTGTCTTAACGAGTTATGATTCAAATGTTATTACGCTACCATGGCCTCTCAGAGGTGTTATGAGTAGCTGTGTCAGTACTTACTTTCCTACGAATGTGACATGACATGCATCTCCATTGTTTCCGCGGGCCACTGGCCACCACCAAATCACTTGTGTTATATAAAAGGCTGTGTAGCTACCACTACCAGGAGAAAACAGTGTGTTACTTCCTCCTATGTGCCTAACTCCGCCCCCGTTAGATATACAACGGGCCGGATTAGAACTGAGGAAGCGAGTTTTGGTTGGAGGTCTCTGAGCTGTGAATAAAGCAAGTACTTGGCAAAGTGTAGTTTGTCGCTCTTGACACCTTGATTTTCACTGCGCACTATGGCCTCTGAAGCCCGCAAAATGATGCTAGGATGTTGCTGGCTTTGAATTCATCACCGGCATTGCAGTTGCCCGGATGGTCTGATTAAGCTACAATTCTCTCCTCAGATTGTAGTCTACGAGCTCGGCCACCAGTGGGCGCTTTTCTTTTAAGACCTTTTATCTTGCACGATGTCCCTCTTGTCGACCAGAAATGATTATCAGCGCACAACGTGTGCTTGGGGTGGGGGGGGGGGGGACGATTTCCAAAGACTTCAATTCTGATCCTTGCCATTTATCATATATGTACAGCCTTTCACTCTTGATCCCTCTATCCCCTTCCGTACCTTTCCGCAAACCATGCCCTCAAACGGGCTCCTCTACTTCGTCCTGATGTGCTTCAACTTGCCCGGTGAGTACAAGAAGTTGTTCGCATACGCCTTGGGCGTGAACTTCCTCTCGTTGGGCTCCTGCACGAAGTACTCATAGCCCTGCTTCTCAGCAAAATTGATCGCGTCCTCCTTGCTCTTGAAGTTGAGGTGCGTGCCCTGCATGTAGTCGCCAGACGACTGCCAACCCATCAGCGGGTTCTCCCACCGGTTGCCCTTGGGCAGCACGTCCCAGTCCATCCGCCACTTCTTGGACTGCCAGTCGCCCGACTGCGTAGCGGGCTTGGCCTTCTTGTAAATGCGCACCGTGCGTGCCTGCAATTCGATCGGTGCGCCTGAGAGCACAGCAGCAGGGAGGGCGACACCAGGCTCAGAGCCGTCGAGAAGGCGTTTGGGGACGGGAGTGAAGGTGCTAGGAAGGGGTCAGTTCTGATCTGGGAGAACGACCAGCAGGAGGTGTCCTGGACAATGCGTGGGACCACATACGATGTAGCCTTGTCAATGTGAGCGCCATAGTCAGGCTGGTTCTGTCCAACAGCACCCTGCGAGGGCTCGTTCTGGGGCCGCCTGGCGTTGATGATCGAGGTAGACGAGTGGCGAAGACCGTCAAAGTGTACAAATCGTGACGTGGCCGCCCGCAGCATGCGAGCTGCCTGAGGTGTTCTGAGAGACGCCATGGTCAATTGAGCTGTTTGCAGTTCACCAGACCGATTTAAAGTGGTCAAGGTAACGACGACGAGTCGATGTGGAAGAGAACTATGGGAGGTCGCTGACGTTTGGGCGGGCGGGAGTCAGGTGCGTCCTGATTGGCTGTCGGAAAATCAGCGCACTGGGTCCGGTCTCTGCAGTCCTGTTCCTGTCCCGGCTCCGGCTTCAGCCGCCAAACTTTCAACGTCAACGACCACATCTTCGACATAGGTTCAATTGAAGCGATTCCAGCCGCGCTCAATTGTTTGTCGACGATCTGTACACCCTCCGAAACGACTCCATCCTTCCATTCCACGGGAAATCCGGCACAAAACTCAAGATGAGCTTCGTCACACGCCGAGCGCTCTCGACGCTCATTCCTCCCAAGGTAAAATGAACTCTACCAATGCGCGGGCCACACGTTTGCTAATAACATGTCTTGTAGGTCGCTTCGCCTAAGGTACGTGCATCGAGATCGAACGGAGCCCGATCATCGTGGCGGACAATACACAGAACGAGTTACAAGACATGGAAAAGGACAGCCACGGCGGGCATTGGAGCGGGCGCAGGGCATTCATTGGATCAACTAGAGGACTGCAGGGCTGACGTTGCGATACCCAGGCGATCGGCTCCGACCCCAACGCCATTGCGATGAAGCGCGTTGTCAACTTTTACGAGAAGCTGCCCCGGGGCCCCGCGCCCGAGGTCAAGGCCACCGGCATTCTCGGCAGGTACCAGGCCAAGCACTTCGGCAAGAACCCGACTGCGAAGCGTACGTGAGCGAGAGCTGCTCTCCAATATTCTCCTATCCTGCAATGGTTCGCAATGCTCTCTGTTCTGGTACTGACACTGCTTCTCCAGCTATCATCCACGTCATTGTCTTCCTAGTTGCAGTTGGATACGCCCAGAACTACTACTTCCACTTGCGTAAGTCTCAAGTCTCTTGGGGGGAAATGTGTTGAATCGTTGATGCTGACAATGTTTCCCAGGCCACCACAAGAACAACGCTCATTAGAGACTTTTGGGAGGGAAATGGAGCTCCGTCCGTCAGATATGACATGTAGATACCAGCCATAGAGAGGAAGTGAGTGCGAATCACACTGAAAAAGATTTTCTTTGGTTGCAGAAATATCCTATTCATCTTAAGAGGTCTTCCATCTGTCTTGTGAGGGTTGAAAATGCGTGATCAAGACAACATACTACCTACGAGCATGGATTGGATATGCATGAAGGTGCAGTTGCCTCCCTAATGACAAGTAGACCTATGACATAGGAGAGGTGTGTTTACGAAGGGGTCTGTGAAGACATGTGCACGAAAGTTATTGCTGCTGGGAAGAACAGATCAGGGGGGCATATTGCAGCAGCTTGAAGGTACGGCAATTGAGCAAGTGGGAAGGGATGCTGGTTGTCCAAAACATGGGAATATTCTTAATTAAGTTCTGCGTAATGGCTGAGGGAAAGATCCCAGGCGGCCCTTCCTCATCAGTCCTGCACTGAGCACACGCGGTGCGTTTGGCTTTTGTTAGGCTGCAGTTTCGAGTATTTGTCTGACTGGAGCTGTTGTTGTAGAAGGTGGTCCGTGCATCAACGCTAGCCAAGCTTAGGTGTGGGTTCTCATCGGAAACCCAGGCCCCCAGCATGCCCAGGTCCCATATTCAAGCAACAGTACAGCGGTTGCGACGACGACCTCGAAAAACGGCCAACGGTTCGTCTACGAGACGATTCTCCTTCTTTCTCCCCAGGGAAGGCAGTCGCATATCTTTTTGTCCATACCCTTTGGTCGCTCCATAGCGAGGCCCATTCCTTCACAACTCGACCGCAGACTTCAGCCCCTACCCCTGCCCCCGTCGCGCCAACTTTTTGGCTGCGTCACTCGATCGATCCGATTTCGATTTCTCGACTCCAGCCACGTTCGATCTCGCCATTCAAACACGGCCACGTCCACGTCCACGACTGGTGCTCGTGAATTATTCTGCATCCACGCACACTTCTTTACAGTCATCATAGTTCTCCTCACCTCATCTAGTGGTAGCATCCCAGAGGCAACCCATTGACAGTGTTTGTCGGACGATGGCGGCGGAACCAACGCCACAACAGTCCGTCGAAGAAACTGCGACTCCTGTTGTTTTGCGCGTAAGTCATATCTCACTGCCTGGCGCGTCGTCGCAGGCCCTGCAGCTAAGTATCTTTCGGCCATAACCAGACACAGACAGATGATGCCAGTCACGACGTCGTTGGAGAATCCTCCACGGAGGCCCCCGCTGGGTCCAACGTGCATGGCGAATTTCCGGCGGCCGCAGTCGACAGGCTGGTCCACGACATAGTCGACGAGGTCGTCAACTCTGCCGAGGTCAGCATCAGTGGAGGCTCCGACACCGAAGCTTCCAGGCCAGACCAGCTCAAGAAGGACGACAAGGGCCACTCTCGAACCTCGTCCGTCAAGAAACCTGCTACCTTCAAGCCTGTCTCCGTGAACAAGACCTTCCTGGCATCCAAAGCAACTTCGAGTACGAGCGTGCCCAAGGTCGGCGAAAAACCTTCAACACCCGTGCCCGCGACCGCCGCGCCTTCGAGTACATCTAGCACACCTAAACCTCGACTCGTCGCCAAAACTGCAGGGGGTCTGCGCGATGCCTCCAAGGCATCTCTGTCTCAGAACGGACGGCCTGCACCCGATGGAAGTGCTGTGTGGAACAAGAACCGACGTACGTCCACTGCTGCTACTTTGATTGCGTTGACTTGTGAGACTTCTCCCCGACGCGAGAGTACTGACAAACATTTTACGTATAGCTGTCCCAGTCCCCGATCCTAAGAAGTTCACGGACGAGGAGCTGGCCAAGATTGGCATCCACATGGCGCACCGAATCCAAGCAGACGACACGAAAGGCCAATCTAATGCGTGGGCCGACATAGATGACGATGATGAGGATTGGGACGCACCTGAAGCAATCACCTGGACTGATGGCACCAAGACAACTATCCCGCACGTCGACGAGACGACGACCGTACCCGAGCAGCCTGTGATCCAAGAGACCAAGCCCATTGACAAGCCTCTTTCCCCAGCACCTCCAGTCTCAGTACCACCCTCCAGCTCGCCCTCTGTGAAGCCCGGCTCTTTGGCTTCTGGCAAGGGCCTTGTCTTGACGAGGGGAGCATCGTCGGAGAAGCCTACCCTGGTCGCAAAACCTCCTGCGCCACCGACGCCTGTCAAGTCGCCCTGGGCTCCACTCCCACCTATCTCCAAGATTTCGCCTATGGATGTTCCTCATGACCAACAACAGCGAGGCTTCGCGCCACCAGGTCAGGGTTACGGTCTGCGAGGCGGACCACCACCAGCGGCTCGAGAGATTGCTGCCGATGACTTCAGCCGATCACCGCGTCGAGACAATCAGCAGCTTTATAACTCCCACTCGGGTCGCTACGAACCCGTCCCTGACCGGCGTGGGATGCCGCGGGCTGAATATCCCCAAAGACAGCCTGCGGTACTTCAGCGTCCTATGCACTCCGAAATGCAGGGTCCTGCAGAGCCATCGGCTGCGTTCCAGACCTCTCATACCAGCGGTGGGTTCGGTAGACGGCGCAATTCGTCCAATGTCAGTGGCGGTAGTGGGAGCTACCAGAGGATGGGTCGGCCTTACGACCACTCTATGCCCCCTGCTGAGGTGTTCAACGCAAGGCGGAGCTCGCTTGCTAGTGTCGGTGACCACCCCCCTCTTCCTCCACACAATTTTCCGCCTCCTGGTCCCCAAGCTGGACCACAGGGAGCTCCACGCTCCAATGCCTCGCCGTATCAGTCTCGAGTCTCTCCTGCTATGTCATCTGCTGCTCCCGTCGTTCCTGACGTCCAGGAGGCAGCAGTGCCGCCGCAACCAGCGGTAGAGAACACTGTGGAGTTCCAGAAGCGACTCATGCAGGAGCGTCGCGCAGAGGCTATCAAGCGGCGACAGGAGGAAGAGGCCCAGGAGGAAGCAGCGAGGAAGGAGAGACTGGCAAAGAAGCTCGCGGCTCTCGGGCCAGCTCCAGAGCGGAAGAGTGCGAAGAAGGAAGACTCACACGAAGCAGCCAAGACACCGGCTGCTCAGTCCAGTGAGACGATCGAGACCGCTCAGGCTCCAGGACCAAAGGAGGCACAGCCAACCAACGCAATGGCAGACGACAAATCTACCTTACTTCCAAATGGCGTACAGCCAGAGCCTCAAGCACGATCCAGACCATCGACCGGTCCCGAACAGCCTCCAGTTGCAGAGAACAAGCATGCCCACCCATGGCAGCCTCGCATGCCGAACCAGCCTGAGCGCATCTGGGGCTCCGGCAGCCAACCCCCCCGAAACCTCTGGGGCGCTCCTAATAACGATCGGACACTTGGCAACGGTACATTCAGCGCAAACGCGGGCTTCGATACTCAGCCACCCCAGCCAGCCCCGATGCACGGCAATCGCCCAGTTCCTGGGCCTATCGCGCCACCGAGGGGCGCCGCCTCGAGCGGTCCGTCGTCTCGACTGGGCCCCATCGGGCCGCCTCAGCGTCATGAGCCACGTTCCACAGACGAGAAGGAGAGGAACAGGAGTCGTTGGGCTCAAGCAGCGATGGCGGCTGATGAAGATCTGCTGGCCGAAGAGCGAGAACGCCGTGCGGAACTGGAACGAGACATGAGAGCACGAGGCTTGAGCTATGCAGACATGGATGCGCCGATCCAGGATTCGTGGATGGAGAGAAACGAGGAAGGCAAAGTCCAAAAGCGTGCAGAGTTGACCTATAGCAACGCTTCTGCACCATGGCACGTCACGCCTGGAGCTGGGCAGGACGACCAGCGACGCGTCGCAGTTCCACCATCTGCAGGTCAAAATGGCAGTGCTGCCGCCACTTCGCAATCTAGATTCTTTCCTTCGGGTAGGGATGCGCAGCAATTAGAGCCTCTGGCTCCGGATACAGGTCGGCCTTTTGAAGAGGACGCATTTGGTGGCGATACTCTGTACTCCCACGCGGCTCCACCCATCAGAGTGAAGCTTCCTCCGGCTCCGACAGTCACTGCACCACCTGCATCACAACGACACGGCCAGCCAGGTCCCAGCTGGGGTCAAGGGCCCTCGCTTCGGGACGATGGCGCAGGACGTGGCCAGGCTTTGAAGCCGAGTTTCGGTGCTTCACACACGGGTACCAGCCAAGGCGTGAACACACCAATCATGGATCGCATCAAAAATCTCTTTGCAGACAAGCCATCAAGTGTCAACTCGTCCAGCAGGACTGCCTTGTTACAACCATCCCCTGCCACGCCAGCTACTGTGTCACTGCCATTCATCTACGCACCAAGCACCATCGTTAACGAGCGCTCCTTCACCACCAAGAAGATGGATGAGGATTGTTTTGAGGAGCAAGAAATGGGCTCATTGCCACTCGTTCACCTTCCGGCGGACATCCCTGATGCGGCTTACAACCTCGCAAAAGCCCCACCACGACAGGATAGGAGACTGCTCCCGGTGATGGCTACTACGGCTGAGGCTCTACCGTTCTTCCCTGACAGCAGAAATATCTTCATTCAGTTGCCAAACGGTCCAGACCGGAAGAGCGTTTCACGAGGTAGCCTTCGAAGCCCTAATCCTCGGCGGGGTAGCCGTGGCCCCTCGCGCTACGGCTCCTCCTATCGAGGTGGGAACCGTGGCCGAGACTCTGCCACTCCATATTCTCCTGAGCAACCGTCAGCCTCGGGAGCAAACACTGGCAGCGGGGCTGGCCGCGGTGGCCGAGGCTACCGTGGAAGATCTGACAACTGGGGTCGTGCCGCAGCACCGGCTATCCAGACCCAGTAAGCTGGGCATTCAGGAATTCCGTCTCCGCCGCAAATTGCCGACTGTGACACATTACGACTTGGTCAATAATCTGGCTTCGTTGCACTGGTGTCTGTCTTCATCTACTACAGAGTCGTTCTGTAATGGAACTGCCTTGTGCACATCCTTGTTTGCATTCGGCCGACTTGCAAAAATTCGTCTGATCCTAGGCTGTCATCAGCTAGACAGATAGTTTCTGTATCCTTTCTACGACTTCACACTCACGGAAGATCATTTTACCCAACCTTGGGGGCATGCTATTGCGGCTTTGGAAGACACTGGCGGTAGCGGGTTTGACAGAAAGCTTCGAGTGTGGTCGGAACAGCGGGGGACGGACTTGATTCTTTCGCTGGCCACGAGCTCATGCGATCAAAAAGAGGAAGAGGCTCTGCGTACTTTGCAAAGGAGTGACTCACCTGTCGCCGTGTGTTTGGCTCTTGTTTTCTTTATTTCAGTCGTGGCAATCCCTGTCCGACACTACTACTATGGTGGGTGCTGCAGAGCAAGCAGAGAATGCTGCGTCCACGTTTAAGAACACAGTCAACTTCGTATTATGAAGGAAGAGCAAGGAAACGGCTTTTCGTGCGAAGTTCGAGAAATGATTTGAGATGGAAGAAGATCTTCTCCGTCTTTACTGACTTTGGAAGTGGCCTCGAGGAAGATTGTCTCTTCTTCTTTCTCTCTTCCCCGACGAGGCCACATATTTTCTGCTCGATACGAGAGGCAGATCGTCTATCAAATCAACACGAAAACAAAAGGACGATCCTCCCTTTCGGGCGAAGAAGCTGGAACTATTTCCTCTGGCAGACCAGAGCTTATGATAGGCAGAATAAAATGCAAATGACTGACATTTGTGTCTCGTGTGCCTGACTGTGACACGTTGTTGGAGGAGTCTGGATCTCTGGGTGTATATCTCAAGCCGCCTCTGAACACAGGGCATGACGGTCAATCCTGAAGAAGCAAGATCACCACAAGCATCAAAAGGAGCTCGTGAAAGAGTGATGATGGAAGCAAATGTATCACAGACGGATACAATACATTGGCAAACGGTAATTCGCATTCTTACTTGATATCCATCCTAAACGCATTATCATGAAACCCTGCCTCCATGCGTCGTGGGACCGTGTTGATGAACTCCATAAACTCCACAGGTAACAGTCGTAGTAGTAGGTACATGAATACATATTAAAACAATCTCTGCTCACAGGTAGGTGCAAGCAATTCAGAACTCTTCGACTGCACAGTTCGGGTGCAAGACATAGACAATGTTCTGTGACTGTTGCTGCGACGCGGAAGCCTCGCCCGCATCGGCATCGTTGGTCGCCATGCCTTCGCCGCGGATAGCCATGAGGATGTTTTCCTGTAGAGGTTCGGGAAATGTCAGAGCAAGTCCACAATTCAATAGCAGTCGCGATTGATAACAAATAAAAAGCACCGTGACAACTCACCTTGACCATCTTCTTCAGCACCATCTTCGCCAGTGCGTGCTCCTTGTGGTAGTCCTCTTCGCCGTCTAGCTCATCCTCTTTCTGCTCCAGGTACCACTGGATCAGCCCTTCGCCGTCAAGACCCTCGCCGCTGCCGGCTTCATCATTCGCGACGCGGGTCACGATCATATTGACCATGCTGATGTACTTGTCGTACGAGATGGTCTGTCTCGCTCTCTGACCCGCAGCGGCATCGGCCATCTCTGTATCCTCGCGGTCTTCATCCATCTGCGCATCTCCATCCTGGTCTCCTGTGCTCACACCTGCCGCCTCAGACGCTGCACGCCGGAGCGTCTGGCCGTCCTCGGCCGGTGGTTCGTCATCCTCATCCACCTCAACATCGTCATGTTCCACAGAGATGATGCTCTGCCGCAGCAGATTGAACGCCTCATTGACCATGTCGGGGGTGATCTCCTCTACACAGTTCGCCTTTGCGATAGCCTCGCTCAGGCGGATCATGCTCTCCAGCTGACGTACTGTGATACGGTAGCTGTTCTTGCCGGCGCCTCCCTGCGAGTCATCAGCACGCAGCTCCCGGTACCTCTCGACGAGGACCTCCTTGGCCTCATCAGTGAATTCGGGCCGGAAAGTCCGCGCGAAGCGGATGTATCGCTGGAGCTGCTCTGTACTGAACTCGGGCTCGATGGCGTCGTCGCGGAGCTGGTGGATGCCGACGATGTGCTCAGCGAGATGGCGGTCGACCTGCTCGTTGCACTCGTCGAGGATGACAAAGAAGAGGTCAAAACGTGACATGATTGGCGCCGACATGTTGATGTTTGCACGCAGCGTCGTCTTGCGGTTGTACCGGCCGCCGACGGGGTTTGCGGCCGCGAGGATAGAGGTCCGCGCGTTCAGGGTTGCCTGGATGCCAGCTTTCGCGATGGAGATGGTCTGCTGCTCCATGGCTTCGTGGATAGCAACCTGGTCCGCAATGTCCATCTTGTCGAACTCATCAATGGCGCAGATGCCGTTGTCCGCTAGCATGAGAGCACCAGCCTCAATAGTGAATTCGCCGGTCTCTTCGTCCTTTACCACGGCGGCTGTCAAACCAGCAGCGGAGGAGGCCTTTCCACTTGTGTAGACAGCACGAGGCGCGAAGGAGCAGACATACTTCAAGAACTGGGACTTGGAGGTTGATGGGTCGCCGACGATGCAGATGTTGATGTCACCTCTCAGCTGCATGCCCTCAGCCGTGGACTTGTGCACACCAGACATGAGCTGCAACAAAAGCCCCTTCTTGACCACCTCATGACCATATACCATCGGTGCCAGGGAGTTCACCAGGCGCGAGTAGATGTGGTCACTGTGCACCATTTTTCTGAGGTCCTCGATTTCTGAGGGCCCAAAGGAAGCAAGCACGGCTTCTTGTGCCTGTTGCGCATTCTCGCTATTGGCAGAGTTAAGAGCCGCCATGATATCTCCTACACCACCGCCCAGGGCAGTCGTGTCTGGTGCCACCATACAGGCCAAAAAGGCGAGTCGGTAGGTCAGATCACGCACACCAAGTGACTTGAGACCGCTGACACCGCTGCCGCCAGCATCACCTCCGCGAGGGGCATTGCGGTCGTCCCGAGCAGCTTGTGCATGTTGACCTGGAAGTCCTAGCTGGCTCACATCCGGCACAACAATCAGAGCGCCTGTAAAGATGCACTTCTCGCCAGCCTTGGCGCGGTCAACAATCTCGCCGCGCAGGATGACGTCCATTGTGCGAGGCATGCTGCCCGTTGGGATCTCGGAGCTGTTCTCCTGGATCCGCACCTTCTGCCAATCGATGAATGTGCTCTGGCGGATGTCGAGCTTCCAGGCCTGGCGGTTGTTGCAGGTCTGGTTGGGACATTGTGTAGGCTCGGTGTAGCGGAAAGTCTGCTCGACATTGGGAACTACAGCACGGCAGGCCTCGCACACAAACGTAGCCACTGACAACTCGGGCCGTACCTCGGATGTCCGTGTGACTGTGCCAGAGATGGAGAGGAGCTGGCCAATATTTCCAGCTCGAAGACTTCGCACTCTGGAGACCAAAGGCATGTTGTAGAAGGCAATAGAAAAGACCTTGTCCGTCTGCTGGTTGACAGTCTTGCTTCCAGACCCGGACTGGCTGGCTGAGCCAACATTGCTCGCTCCAGACGTGGTCATGTTGCTGGAGGCTGTGGGCTGTCTGTGCTCACGGAAGTAGGCCGTTTCGTACTTGGCAATCATATTGTGAAGAGCGGAGGTAAGGTAAGGCAAGAATCGATAGTACTGATCCACAATACCGTCCGCAAGGGTGCCGTCGGTCCATGACTGGAGGTGTTTGAAGTCGACGTAGAAGGTCGATAAGGCGTAGTGGCGCATACCACGGATCTGGGCAATGTAGACCTTGTCTGTGGTGATGGCACTCGATGTCGGTGCGCCAGAAGACGTCGGGTCCTCTATGAAGCTGGAAGAGGGTCAGCATCAGCACATGGAGAACCTAGAGGCAGGACCCTGCTCGTAATTCATACATACCCCTCGATGAAGTCCTCAAAGTGCTTCTGGACAAGGACACCAAGCTTGTCCTCGACCTTTGGAATGTTCTGCGTGTCTCCCGGTCGTTTATTGGGAATCTGGTCGTCCTCGAAGCCGTCATTGCCCTCGTCGTCACTCGTTGCCCCAAGACTTTCTGAAGGAGGTCCACGAGGCCTTCCAGCAGCCGATGAGCTGGGCGCATTTGCACGACGTTGCCGGGGCGTCCTCGAGAGGCCGTCCGACATTGGAAAACCAGCATCGCTGGACATTGCCGCTGTTGCCGCCATCTTTGGGATTCACACTCTCGCTTCAAGTATGATATGGGAGGAAGAGAAGGGTCGACAAGTCGATTGCTCGATCATCAAATTGGGAACTTGTCAGAAAGTAGGCGAAGTGGGATGGCACATGGTCGATTCAAGGCTAGGGAATCACTTAATTTTGGCTACTGAAAATGAGACGCGAATTTTCGCGTTACCCGTTGAATGCTTGCATGACACTAAACTAAGTTAGGAAGTTTATTTACACGGATGCGCGACAGCCCACTCGTCTATTCATTTAGCCTTGAAGACAAGGTATCTTGTAAATGCGATTTCATGTTTATGTATTATTTCTTTACTCTATATTTTCCTTTTCTTTGATGACGAATGGATGTCTCTCTCCGTCTCTGTCTCTCTTTCTATCTTCAATTCCAAGGCTGTCAGTCAAAAAATAGTGGCATTCACAAGGCTGGACAGATAATGCTATGAAAGTCCTGCAATTCAGCGACTTCAGTGCCCCTTTTCCTCGTACGAATGTATCTGCAGAACACCAATGTCAGCCTCAGAACATCCAAATTCCAATTCTCAGTGGCCATGATGCGAACCTGTGCAGATAATTTCATCCACTCCTCTATACCCCTGACGTAAGGATCTGAAGATACCTCCGCCGTGGACTCGTGGCCCCAGATGACCATCTCCTCAAACTCAGCCCTCGTTTCCAGCGCGCCAAGGGGTAGGTCCTCCTCTTCTGCGTCAAGGTCGACGACCTCCGGCGCCCCTGGTTTTGGGGCCTCCGGCTCGGGGGCATCCTTCTTCACCATAATGGCGCCGTGGTAGCCATCGGGAACCTTCAGTGGCTTGCCGTGAAGTTCACGGCCCCTGAAGTGCGCTGTCCTTTTACCTCCTGCGACATTGATCAGCCGGGTGGTCACTTCACCTAACGCTGGGGGCCCTGCAAAGCTGTTAGCCATACCTTGATCTGTCTTGGGCACCCAATATGACTTGGTTGAGCCCACCGGGCCATCGTGGTGAATTCGACAGGGCAGTAGGTGGGCTGTTGTCCTTGCGGTGGTGTTCGACCTTGAGTCAACGGAGAGCATTGGTTGCTCCATGTCCTTTATTGGTGTGTAAATGTATCAACAGGGTGTCACGATTACGAGTGATCCATCCCAGGGCCGTGGTAGTGTTTTGACGCGTGTGAGGACACTAGCCCATCAAGACGCGTAGATGGGACTGTTATCGATAAGAACCCTTATCTCTGGTCAAACCCAAAGCAGGGTTACACACTGAGTACCCGGGGTGCCATGCTAACTACTTGAGTACAATGTCAAGCCAGCCAAAGAGCAATCCAACCACATATATCAACAAGATACACAATTGGCGGTCGTTCATGGGTAGCTGAAGCGCAGAGTGCGGGCTATTGAGAGACGGGAGAACGTGTCGATGTCCTGTGGCCAGCCTTTACGCTATCACACGGGAGAACGAATGATCCATATCTAAGGCCACGCAGATGTTGCACACTGCGGGATGATCAAGGGTGATAGTGAAATGAGCTTAATATGGGAAGATGCTGATCAACCATGAGCTGTTTCTCCTCTTTCTATAAAATGGACCCATCCTAGGTTAGGATACGTTGTATTTGGCAGCCTCTCTATTTGACTGGCATCTGCGCGCACACTACAGATGTTCTTGACACATACCTCACACAAAAGAACAGCCACTCAACCCACATTTCCAAATAAAAAACTTCGCACTCGCATAGAATCTCTTCTCTAGTTAGCCAAAATTGCACATGCATTGCAACGTGCTACGACCAAAAAGAAAAAATTGGAGGGCCAGGTGCGGACGGGTAGATTAGATGTCCGAGGACGTCGCGATTTACAAGGCGTCGTTGAGTCATTGACGTCACAAGTGGAAATTTCAAAATGCCGTTTATCTGACTGAAAGAAGGAATCGATAGACTGTCGTCGATTTTTCCCATGTGATATTGTAGATGACTTCTCCTGGATAGGAAATGATATTGATGGTAGGGTTAAGCTGAGGTTTACAAGGTGTGTACCTTTATGACAGTACTTTTATGGGAGGAAACGAGCTTCTCCAACATTGCAGTGACACAGTGACAGTATCCGGTTGCAGCAACGCAACAGCAAATAGTTCAAAGCGCCACAGTAAAGTAATACGACCCCAGGAACAGCCTTCGGTGAGATCGCAACCGGCGTCCAGCCATGCCTCCACCCAGCAGGCTCACATAGGAAGCTACCGTCCAATGCCTGAGGTTGGTCAGGGTGGAGTTGAGTTTGGGTTCGATCCAAAGTTCCATGTCTCTGCATACGCGGACCGAGAGAACCCGATGCGAGCGCTTGAGCCTCGATGAGACAGTCCCATGCATGCAGTGGGCCAACGCCGGTTCGTTCCTCTGGTAACCTCCTTTGGACCCCACCATCCGAAGCTGTGTGGAGGAGGCACGAATGCAGAATTGCCGTCAAGCAGTAAGCTCTCGTACCAGAATCTGGCGCAATTCTTTCCATTGGGTCCAACTATGCATGAGAAAGGAAGTTGGTGAGGCATTCCGAAAGGTGCCACACTCCCTCCCCCTTGCGACACTTTATCCTCGTGCGCCTCTCTGCCTCTCTTATCGATTGAGTGCGTGCTGGCAGATCTCTGGCTCGTTTGGTATGGGTAACTGCACGGTTTAGTAGCAATCACAACTAGCTCCTGAAGTTCAGGACAAACGCCAAGCTCTCTCTGCTCAAGGATGGGCTCCCTCCCCCTTTCATTCCCGCCGCCGATCGTCCGGCCTCCCAGGCCCGTTACGGACCTGAACTACCCGAACCCGAGCCTTACAGTCGGGAGGTCTCACCAACACCAAAAGACCGCACGAGCCGCCTCAGGGTGCTGGTCCTTTTCCGAAAGTAGCATCGCCCCGTGGTTTCTGAAGTACCCTGGATCCATGCAATGCGGCACGCCCTGGAGGGGTAGAGGGGAGGGGTTGTCCCTTTCGCAAAAGTCATGAGAAGTCGATGACGAGCGAAGCCCCCGAGGGTGCCCCTTCCTTGTTCGACCGAGGATCACATTGGTGACTGGAAGAAAGTGGTGGCTAGGTCGCTATCATGTTTGCGACTTCCCACACACCCACCACACTAGATGATCGTGCACCTCAGCCCGGTGGCATTTTTGTGTACTTCAACAGTACATGATCATGTGTTCTCGAGCAACGACTTGACCTTTAATTTAAATTTTCTTTTTGAACTTTGAGGTTCTCATTGTCGCTATTCAGGCGCAAGTAGTCTGGAACACTTGAGGTACGCATCGACCTGGCCAGCCATGTCGCTTCTACCAGGCTTTGTCACGCGACCAGCCGGCCAATGGCTCGACTCAGCTCGCGGCGCCGTTGGAGGCGTCACCTGGGGCCCGAGTCTGAAGGCTGCCAAGTGGGCTGTCCACTCACTCTTCAGTAACGTTGAGGTTGGCACCCTGATTGTGCTGGACGAGGCCGACGGGACCAGCCAGGTCTACGGCGGGAAACCCAGCGGCTTCAAGGTGCCTGGCAAACCGGTCAGCGGCAGCGACAAGCTGGCCGGTGCTCTTCAGGTTGAATTGGTTGTGAAGGAGAGCGCCTTCTGGATGCGCCTTGTCCTGTTCGCAGACATGGGCTTCGCCGAGTCGTACATGCTGGGTGAGGTGGAGTGTAACGACCTGACAGCTTTCTTCCAGGTATGAGTGCCATCTTGTGCTTCAGGATGGTAGCCTACCTTTGCTGACATCTTGTGGCCTGTAGCTCTTCATCGCAAATCGAGAACAACTCGGCAACGGAACCACGGTCCTGTCCGCCTTCTCCAGCTTAGCTTCGACGTTGGCGCGGAGGACCAACACAATGTCCAACGCCCTGCTCAACATCCAGGCCCACTACGATATCAGTAACGAGATGTTCGCGGCATTTCTCTCTCCCGACATGACATATTCCTGTCCTGTCTGGAAGCGCAGTCATCCAGATGCGCCGGAGGAGACGCTGGAGGAGGCACAGATGAGAAAGCTGCAGAGGTTTGTAGATGGCGCGCACATCAAGTCAACCGACCACATCCTGGAGATCGGGACTGGGTGGGGCTCTTTTGCGATATTGGCCGTTCAGAAGACTGGCTGCCGAGTCACCAGTCTGACCCTGTCGAAGGAACAGAAAGTGCTTGCAGAGAAAAGGATCGCCGATGCCGGACTGAGCAACCGAATTGACGTACTTCTGATGGACTACCGAGCCTTGCCTGTGCCTCAACGGCCGTACGACAAGATCGTCTCTATCGAGATGTTGGAGGCGGTCGGAAGGGAGTTCCTGGGCACTTACTTTGCGTGTATCGACCGGTTGCTGAAGAAGGATGGTGGTATCGCGGTCTTCCAGTGCATCACAATGCCTGAAGGGCGCTATGAGGCGTATTCCAAGAGTGAAGAGTAAGCTGTGCTCCCATGGAGTGACCGTGCGTTGCTGACACTTGCATAGTTTCATCAATCATTACATCTTCCCGGGCGGCCATCTGCCATCCATCTCGCAGTTAATAAATCATATCAGCACCGAGTCAAAGGGAACCCTGATTGTTGAGCAAGTGGAGAACATCGGTGGTCACTACGCCAAGACTTTGAGACTCTGGCGGGAAAGCTTCATGAATAATTTCGAGGCCAAGATCAAACCGGCGCTCCTCGAGAAGCGCGGTTATATGACGGACGTAGAGGTTTCAGTCTTCAGGAGGAAGTGGGAGGTAAGCAAGCATCTTAGGCACGCGATGAAATGTACCTGTCCTCCGCTAATTCTCGCTGAAAGTACTACTTCACATACTGTGAAGCTGGCTTCCTTAGTAAGACTTTGGGGGACGTGATCATTACGGTTGGTCGAGAAGGCGCACTGGAGCTGATGGAGGGCATTCCAACATGATGAGAGCCTGAGCGATGCGCATATTGGGTCGAGCAGTGGAGCCCATACAGTACTTGATCATGACCATCTCGTCCTGTCCGAGCACAACCATTTCGCTTGGGCGATAGAGAAGACTACAAATTAGACGAAGCTAGACCCATTAGATCGAGATTTTTTTTCTTTCTTCTTCTTTAGTTCCGCCGCTTCTTCTTCGTCCTTTTCTGCCTTGGCTTGGCCGCCTTGTGTTGAGACGTTATCGGGGCGGGCTCGGGATACCGATTGGCGTGTTCAACGTCGAAAGCGGGCTTGTGCTTCCTGAAAAGCAGCATTGCAACCCTGGCATCTTCGAGACTTGAGTGCTGGCCTGTCTGGATCTCGACACCCAAAATCTCCCTGGCGAGAACTCTCAAGGCAGGCTTCGGACCGTGACCGTACTTTTTGAAATCCGAGAACTTGGCGGTATCACGAATATCCTTTCTCGGGTGGTCCAACATGAGAACGTCCAAGTCGTGGCGAATATCATGACCAACAACGATCCGCCCGTGCAGAAGCTCTGCGACCTGCGCCTGAACCTCCTCGAAATCCCTAGCTGTGGCCATGTGCTTAGGTGCAATGCCGCTGATCCTGGTCCTCCAATCGGTCACTCGCTCCTTGGGGCGGACATAGGAATCATAGACCTGGCGCCCATGAAAGTCGGCAATGCTCACCCTGGCCAGCGCGTGGCCGTAGCCTCCTTCCCCTACCCCGACCATCTCGCAGTCGATAGCAATGTACTTGCCGAGCTGGACATTGTTGGCAAGACCTTCATTGGGCCGCACCGCTGTGGCTGTGAGCATCGAGCTATCCTTGGTACCCAGGCCATAAGCCTCCGAGAGGGTTTCTGGGGAGATGTCGTTGTCTTCTGCCCACAGCGCCAGGGATGCGGATATGCCAGGCTTGCTGGTCTGAGACTGCACTGCGCCCATAGATGACTTCTGAGCCGCCTTGGGCTTCCTGCTCTCGGAAACCTGCTCAGCTGGTTTTCGCGAAGGATGCCTGGGGCTGACTTTTGCTCTCTTTCTGGCACTAGAAATCGCTTGAGCTGGGCCGTCGTTGTGATGAATGTCGTCTGTTGATTTCCGCTTCTGCCCTCTGGTCTTGTTCGATTCCTGCTGAATCTTGGCCTGCAGTGTTTTCCAATTTGAGGAAAGTTCGGGAGCCATGACAGTCCTGTTACTGGAACTGAAAGCGGGGAAGGAACCAGATGGCTAGATCTCAGACCATGACAAGTATTGTCGTATTACTTGTACGAGACTCGCACAGGCTGCAGAAGCGCCAATCGAAATGATGTATTTGTGTAGAAGAGAAGCAAAGTCTTGACCTCCCAAGACTGAGTGTGAATGACAGAAGATTCTATGCTAGGCTAGAACCAGGGGTCTGTAAAGCGGTGTTCTAAGGCAGGCATGGATGTAAAGTGCGACGCGCTAAGATAAGATAAGCCAGGTGGTTCTAAAGCATCGCGGTCGCGGCAGCGAATATCTTCGGGACTAGCCGAATTTCTTTCCGACGCTTCTCAACGGCCTACAACGCTCTGCAGAGCACAACCTATCCATCAACCACCAACACCACATCGATAATTCCATCATGAGCCCAGGCGCTATCGGCGGAGAGCCGTCTGTGGGAGGCGATGGGGCTCGCAGAAAGGGCAAGGCGACGGCCGACACGATCATCATTGGGTGCATCGCCATGGTTGAGAAGGAAGGTCAGCCCCGCCGAGCTGAAATCCTGGGCATCAAGGACACCAAGAGCGGGCGACAGTACTACTGCAACTTTGACAACTTCAACAAGCGGTTGGACGAGTGGGTGCCCGTCTCGAGAATTGACTTCGAACACGACGTCGAGTGGCCAAATCCCGACAAGGACAAGCCCAAGGATGGCAAGACGAAGAAGGGGGCCACGGCCCCGGCGAAGAAGAGCGTGCCCGGTAAAAAGCAACAGAAGCGGCCCGCGAACAAGCGAGAGCAGTCGATCACGTCCGAGGCGCAGACGCCGCACCCCTGGACAGAGTTTGTCGAGTCACAGACACAGAAGGGCACGCCTGCCGCGGAGGAAATCGCCACACCTGGTCCAGAGGGTGGTGCGCCCACACCCATGGCTGGCGACGAGATGGATGTGGATGGCGACGAGACGCCCAAGGCGGGTAGTTTCAGTAGGGAGCAGGAGATCGAGAAGCTGCGCACGTCAGGCTCTATGACGCAGAACCCTGCCGAGATCGCCCGGATCAGGAACATCTCGACGGTGCAGTTTGGCAGATACGACCTCTTCCCATGGTATTTCTCGCCCTACCCGGAAGAGTTCGGCCAGGAGGATGTCGTCTACATCTGCGAGTTCTGCCTGAGCTACTACGGCAACCTGAAGAGCTTCACGCGGCACCGGCACAAGTGCACGCTGCAGCACCCTCCTGGCAACGAAATCTACCGAGACGACCATATCTCCTTCTATGAGATCGACGGGCGGAGGCAGCGGACCTGGTGCCGCAATCTCTGTCTGCTCTCAAAGATGTTTCTCGATCACAAGACCCTCTACTATGATGTAGACCCCTTCCTATTCTATGTCATGACCTGTCGCGACGACAAGGGATGCCATCTTCTGGGCTACTTCTCGAAGGAGAAAGAGAGCGCGGACAACTACAACGTCGCCTGTATCCTGACGCTGCCGCAGTACCAGCGAAAGGGATACGGACGGCTGCTGATCCAGTTCTCGTACGAGCTGTCCAAGATCGAGGGCAAGCTGGGGTCGCCCGAGAAGCCGCTGTCTGATCTGGGTCTCCTCAGCTATCGTCAGTACTGGATCGAGAACATCGTGGACATGCTGCTGGAGTACCACGAGAAAGATGAGAGGTGTAGCCTCGACCAGATCGCCACGTCGCTGGCCATGACGAACCAGGACGTGGAGCATACCCTCCAGGCGTACAAGATGCAGATCTACCATAGGTCCGAGCACAAGATCATCATCCCCAACAGCCAGATAGAGGCGCACGAGAAGAGGAAGAAGAAGATTATGCGGAGTATCGACCCAGACCGTATCCAGTGGAAGCCGCCCGTGTTTACTGCTTCTAACAGGACATGGGGATGGTAGAGATAAGACGAGACCAGAACGGGCCAGACAAGATCAAGGGAGGCAGTACCGAGCCCATGGTCAGATTGAATGTGGGACTTGTCAAGTGTACATATTAGCAGAGATACCCCTTTTTCTTTTCTTTTTTTTTTATGAGCAATGAAACTTGTATGAGGAGTCATTTGAATGTCGGGCCGTTGATCGTATCCAGGTGAATAATTCTGTCTTTTGAACCAGGTTCAATAACCGAGCAGGTTGGCGAAGGGGTCGTCGACCCGAGGCTCCGATTTCCTAAGCACGGCGCCCGTAGTACATACCGGTCGATATCGGCCAACCCCCACTTCCGGCACCCGTGACTTTTTGCCGCTCCATCAAAGTCGCCGCCGGAGCTCACCTCCTGCACTTTGCTCCCTACTTAGCCCATCAACAACATTTCACAACAAATGGCTCCATCTCGTCGATGCTGGCTTTTCGAAATTACCCTCATCGTCTCTTCCTCATAAGAATAAACACTTCTATCTCGAAGACTTTCTTCACCTCTCGTTATTCTCGAAGATTCTCCACCCCCAACAACCATGACGCCTATGGAGCCTGTACCGGGTCAGAGGGAGGAGGAGACAGAGAAGAAGCTTATCAACCTCCTCCGCGGCTGGCCATCCACGCACGTATTACCAGCAGACCTCCTCAAGACCGCGTCTGCCAAGGTCCTCTCCGATCCCGACATCTTCGTGCCAGGTCTCCAGTACGGCCCCGAGCCAGGCTATCAGCCCCTCAGGGAAGAGCTGGCCCGCTTTCTGAGCAGCTACTACGACACGGAGCCCGACGCAGAGAGGCTCTGCATCACGGGCGGGGCGAGTCAGAGCATGGCGTGTCTGCTGCAGTCGTTCACGGAGCCCGTGTACACCAAGGCCGTGTGGGCCGTGGCGCCCTGCTATTACCTTGCGTGTCCGATCTTTGAGGACTCAGGGTTCAGGGGGCGGCTGCGCGCCGTGCCTGAGGACAGCGAGGGCGTGGACCTGGACTTTCTGGAGAAGGGGCTCAGGTCGTTTCAGGAGGAGCTGGACCCGGATGAGCGGCCCGTGTACAAGGACCCGAACTTGAGGAAGATCTACCGGCATGTCATCTACGTCGTGCCTTCCTCTGCCAACCCGAGCGGCAAGACCATGACCCTGCGGCGGAGGGAGGGGCTGGTCCGCCTCGCCCGCGAGTACGACTGCCTCGTCATCTGCGATGACGTCTATGATTTTCTCCAGTGGCCCGTCTCCAGCAGCGTCTCGGACCCATTGTCCTCCTCCTCCTCCATCTCCACAACTGTCCCTCCTCTCCCCAGGACCAAACCCCTCCCCCGCCTAGCCGACATCGACCGCGCCCTCGGCCCCAGCAAGCACGACGCCGCCCGCCCAGACGGCCGCTGGTTTGGCCATGCCATCAGCAACGGCTCCTTCTCCAAGATCGTGGCCCCAGGCGTGCGCACCGGCTGGGTAGAGGGGACACGGGATTTTGCCCTGGGAACGGCGCAGACGGGCTCGACCGGGTCGGGCGGGGCGCCGTCGCAGCTGTCGGCCACGCTGGTCTGCGAGGTGATGCGGCGCGGCGACCTGGCGCGGCATATTGACGCGGTGTGCAGGCCCGGGCTGCAGAGGCGGCATGGGTTGTTGATGCGGGCTGTGCATGAGCAGCTGGACAGGTTTGGTATTGAGGTTTTGGATGGGAACCTGGGCGGGCAGGGGGAGGGGGCGGGGCAGCCCGCCACGTATGGAGGGTATTTTGTCTGGATTACGTTTCCTCGGGGTCCGGCGGCCAAGGACATTACGGAGCGGGCGATGCGGGACGAGAATCTGATTGTGCCGCCGGGAAGTATGTTTGAGGTGAAGAGGGACGAGGAGACGGCGAGGTTTGAGAAGAGCATCAGGTTGTGCTTCTCGTGGGAGGATGAGGAGGATCTGGTGGAGGGTGTGGCGAGGCTTGGACGGGTCGTTCAGTCGTTATGGGAGGGGAAACCGGAAGAGGCATCACAGGAAGGGAAGGCAAGCGGGCACAAGACGTTGGCTGCTTTCTTTTGACATGCATAAAATATTTGGGGATCTTGGTAGATACACTTGCCACACCATGATAAGGTCAAAAGCAAAACACAAATGAATAAGTGGCGACGATGATCATCTCCTTGCATTGTTGCTATTACTCTTAGTCCATCTCATCTTAATTCTACCTACAGCTCCTTCAGCAACTCCTCAAAGCTATCAAGATACCCAATATTCTCGACATAACCATCGGGACGAACATAAACGTAGCCAGACTTGTCAGCAAAGCCATAGCGCTCGTAAATCGTAGCGTCCACAACCACGTTCTTGTCGATGATATGGACGCTTCCCTCTACCCCGTTCTTCTCCTTCGAGGCAGAGAGAAACCTTGCCTTGGCCTCTGCGACGGCCTCCTCTCCGCCATCGTTCCCAGTCGAGAACAGCAAGAGGTGGTGCCCAGTCCCCCTGAACAGGTCCTGGAGCCACGACTCCTCTCCCTCGTCCTTCGCCGTCCTGATCTTGCCATCCGGCGCCCGATACCCGCCCAGCACCGGCCCCTCGAAGCCAGCAGCGGTGTGCACGATGGAGCTGTGGCGGTACTTGACCCTCAGCTGGGAGAAGTAGATAAACATCTTACTGCCAGTCTCACGCGTGCCCACCAGGGACGGCAGGGCGTGCGGCAGGAGCATGTTGCGCATGTCCTTCATCTGAGGGTCGGGGGTCGTCAGGAAGGTGAAGAGCTGGTCCGTCTCCCTGAGGAGGTGTTGTCCGATGGGCCAGCGTTCCTCATGGTACGAGTCCAGGAAGGCGTCTGGCTTGTCGCCTCTGAGGACGGCTGCGAGCTTCCACCCTAAGTTGACGCTGTCCTGGATGCCAGTGTTCAAACCCTGGCCGCCGATCGGACTGTAAACTCGTTAGGAGAATAGGTTAGTGTGCTTTATTACTACTCAGGTTCCATGTCCAAGGAGACTTCTCTCTTTCTCTCTTTTTCGACGCACCTGTGGATATGAGCAGCGTCACCAGCGACGAACAGCCTGCCGTCGCGGTACTTGGACACGCAGCGGTGATGCAGGTGGAAACGGGCCAGCCAGTATGGGTCGTGAAGCTTCGGTTTGGGAATATCTTCTGGGAGCATGGTGGCGATGCAGTCTTGGAAGTCCTTGAGGGTTGGATCCGCGTCGGAGGCGAGATGCTCTGGGCGCGAGGCAACAAGGCGAGCCTTCCCTCCCTTCATCGGCAAGAATATCATCATGCTGTCGCCGAGAAAGATGTGGGCTCTGCCTTGGCCTTCAGGCCACTCGCACCCGGTGTCGGTCAGGATGAACTCTTGCGGGTAGGCATCTCCTACAAACTCGACGTCCATGCTGTGCCGAACGATGCTGTGAGCGCCATCACATCCGACCTAAATGAAGAGAGTTTGTCAGTTTAGAAGAAGGAAACAACAACCCCTTCTCCTGGAGAGTTTGGGCTGAGAGGAAAGTACCTACGATGTATCGAGCGCGCACAGACTCTTCCGACCCATCCTGCTTGGCCAGAACAGCAGTCGCCCCTTCCCCGTCCTGCACGATACTCTTCACCGTGACCGGGCGCTCGATGACGATACCTCTCTCCCCCAGACGACGGTCGAACCAGGCCTCGGTATACACCTGCGAGGCGGTGAACACGCCGGGGTACCTCGTGTCGGACTGTACCTTGGTCAGGCCCAGAAGGCTGGCGTCGAAGCCACTGTAGCGCTTCTTGTTGATCCATAGATTGTTGCCAGCGATGCGCCCTGCACAGTCCAACAGCTGCTGAATGGAGTCGCCGTACCTAGTCAGCACCTCGAGAGTGCGCGAGTGCACGCCCAGGGCGCGTGACTTGTCGGAGCGCTCCAATTCTTTCTCAACGAGGCGGAAGGGGATGTTCTGCATGGACAGCTCCAAGGCGAGAGTTAGGCCTGCTGGGCCCGCGCCGACAATGAGCACATCAGTAGCTGACATGTTGGTTGCTCGCGTTGGTATTTGATGTTGTTGTCCTAATCGAAACGTCCAATCACAATGACTTCTTCGAGATGAATTCTCTGGTGTATGCTCTGATATTGGTGTGACTCCGGCCAGACCCTATTTTTTCTCCTCCATCCGACCTGGGAACACCACTCTCCTTATACTCTCTTCCAATATGTACTGCAACATGGCAAGGCTCGTGGTTATTTCCATCGTGGCGCACGTTGATGCACACAATTCATTGTGAGGAACGAAGAGAATACCGCAAAGTCGGGCACGACAAATTACGCGAGCCGAGCGAGCATATGTTGGCCTCTCCCTTCTCAAGCAAGCGCACAGGCAACGAATAGCAAACCGCCCAACGGGGAAGAGAATTGCTACATGTTGCAACGAGTATCTTGCTTTCCGTTAGTAGGAAGCGGTACTGCACCTAGCCAACAGCCACCTATCGGATTATCCATGGAACGCAGGCATAAATGGCAGGATTCAGAACACCAATCCTAACCTGCCACCATCTTCTCCAACTTACTGTACATGTAGTATGCCAGTGGTCAGACTGCGGGTGGCAAGGGAGAGGCCGGCACGCGAACCACCGATTCGGGCGGTCGCATAGGCTCGGGTTATAACTATGCGTCTCCTGCAGTTTCGTCCGGCTTACACACATGCAGCAGATCGCACCAAAGCAAAGGTCGCGCGACAAAGCCGACTTACGATCTGACATCATCTGTCTCTAAAAGAGGTGAGCGCCAATTAGTTAGTAACGTGGGCTATCGAGTCGCTGTTCAGAAGCGGAGCTATAGAAGTCTCGTCGATGTCTTCAAGTCCTTTTTTCTTGCTGTGCGTTCCTTCTACGAATCATTTACTTTCCTTTTTTTTCCCTTTTTTTTTTTTCCTTCTTCCCTTCTCTTGTTTTTTTTCTTCTTCTACTTTTTGTTCTTTCCCCCTAAGCCACCCGGTCCAAGTATTCAAGAATTCAAAACTAGATACAGTAACCTAAATTACTTGATAGAATTAGTACACCAAGAACGCTCTCTAGACGAACGTACAAGATATTGTAAACAACCCTCTCCCAAAAGGAAAGAGAAGACAAAAAGATAAGAAGAAAAACAGACAGGAAAAAGGTATTTTTTTCTAAACCCCCCCCCCCTCCCCATCAAGTCCTGATACATTCTGCTGGTGAAGGCCATTTATGGCCGAGGCATGAGATACTGGTCTTCTTGTGAACCGTTCCCGGGCCAGATATATATTCCTTGAGCAGAGGGGTGTCCCCTTCTCAATATATCGATATGTTCAATTGACGCCCTAGATACTATGGGCGTCTCGTCTAGCTTAGGCTGGTTCAGAGCCCAGCCAAGCCTTTCCTTAGCTTGCGAGTCCTTTCTGTCAGAGCTCATGTCTCGCCTCTTGTCCTCATCCTCGCTTCCTTCACTCCCCCTTAAAGGTATCAAGAAATCTGTTTCGACCTCCCATACCACCACAAAAGCCGATTAATATCCCGGCGGCGGACCACCCGGTCCTCCAGGACCCCCAGGTCCTCCTGGGCCACCAGGGCCACCACCGCCCCAACCACCGGGTCCTTCCGGCCCTCCAGGACCTCCGGGGCCACCACCGCCCCATCCACCTGGACCCTCCGGCCCTCCTGGCCCTCCTGGCCCTCCTGGCCCGCCGAAACCACCTCCCTCAGGCGGCCTGTCGTCATCTCCACAGCCAAAGTTACAGCAGAGGCAGCAGCAGTCACAGTCCTCGCCGTCGCCGCCGCGGATACTCATCGTCATGGGTGCCTCGCCAGTCTGTTTCGATGATTAGCAAGAGGATTCTCCCAGTCAGTCAAGGAGTCGAAAAAGAAACAATGGCCCCCTTTTTCTCAAGTTAGGGTTTGTTCGCTTACGGGCTGTCTGTTGACGATGGGCCCGGACGCTGGGGCCTCCATGGGCTGTTGTTGTTGAGGTGGGGCGACTTCGGGCATCTTTGTGTCTTTTGGTCGACCCCAAGTAAAGAGTTTGTGGATGAGGAGCAAAAGTGAATAATGCAGTATTCAATGTGATGAATAAGACCACACGCAAGAATCGACTCTGCAGAGAAAAACAATGGCCTTCCAAAGCAAGCCCCCTTTATATCGCCCCCTCGCCGGAGCCAGAGCATTTGTCGACAAAAGGGTGGCTCGACAGGGGCCCACGCGTACAAATATCAGCTGTGTGGAGTCTGCGGGACCCCTGATTTTGATATTATGGAGCAAACATACTCTATCTAAAAGGCTTTGTGAAGAGAAAGGCCCAACTTGACGGTAGTAGCCATGTTTACGATAGTGGATATGTCGTGGTCAAGGCGGGAATCCATCATTGCGTAACGTGTTGATGAGTCGGGTTCGTGGCGGTGCAGAAATCCCGGCGTCTGTCCAATTCCTCACAAAAATGCCAACATCCAGGAAACCAACATGTTCTTCCTCGTCTTTATTCCTCTTCTTGTTGTTTTTGTTGCAAGTCTCGCGATGGCTTCGCTCGTAGGTTGCTTGGTCTGCCACAACCCTCCCCCCTTCCCCAAACCATTTCTTCTCAGCTGAGAAATGTAGGCCAGCCATCCGAGATTGGGCTGGAGCACAACAAAAGTCTTGGCTCATGCGACCCCATCCGCTGCGTCATGCGATATTTACTACGTACAAGTACTTGTCACGGAAGTAATGTTGCTACTAATTATACGGAAGACGAGACAGCTCCGAGAGAGCCGAGATTTCCGTTGATACTGTATACTAAATAAAGGAGATAGAAAAGCATAAACCAGGGTGGAGGAGTTCGAGAGATGGGGTTCTACTTTTTGCTGGGGGTCCATCTTCAATCTTTTACCATCATCGTCTGCTTCTGCGCAGTGCGAGAGAAGCATGTAAGTACTCAGAAGTATGGAGGTTCTCCCCGGCCAGGATCTTATTTGGCTCTCTTCTGTCGGCACTTGGAGCGGATGTGATCCACTTTCTCGGGCCACCACAGCAGCAGGGCCAAGATTCTTGGCTCGCCTTGTTCCAACGCTACATTGTTTATTTTGTACAAACGCTCATGCTAAAGTATTATTGATACGTCCCGTCTCTCTGGATGTGCGACATGGCTTCAGCGATCGCCTCCTCATCAGGTCTGTTGACAATCATGAGATATAAGACGTCCTGGTGAGAGAGAAAGAAACGTTAGCCCACGCTCATGTGGTGTGCAAGAAAAGGGTGGGAATAAAGAGGAAGTGTTTTGACTTACGCTCTGCAGCAACTTCTTGACGCCCCCCGCCAGTCCACCACCACCACCACCTACTCCTCTGCCACTTAGTCCTCCCCTTTCCGGGGTAAGCCGCCTGCTCACCAACGGCCCGTCATACCTCGCATCTCCTCCATACTCTCCTTGATCGTATGCATCACCTCGGCCGGTAGTAACTTGTCCTCCATACGGCGCATGAGGTGCTGGAAGCCCAGGCCGCCCACGAGGCCCAGGCCCAAGCGACCCGAGTCCACCCCGCAAGCCTCGAGCCTGCAGAGCCCCCGCCGTTCTGTCCAGGATCGACCCACGGTCAAAGCCACGTTGCGCGAGGCCCCTGACCTCTAGGACCGCAGAGCGCCTGCCCGCCGTCGAGATGCTCTTGATGCCGCTGCGCTCGACCAGGCCAGGCTGGCTCGTGAGCTTCCCGCCCGTGACGAAGGCGAGCAGGTCGCCGCTGCTGGCCGGGTGCGTTGGATCGGCATACCGCGAGCGGAACTCAGGCTTGGGCTGGGCGTTGGCCATCTTACTGTCGGGGTTGTCGCCCGCCCACTTGGCCACGGCGCGGCGGTCCAAGTAGTCCTGGAGGAACTGGCCGCCGCGCTTGACGGCGTTCTGTTTCTTGGCCTCTGCGTCTGGGTCCTCGGACCGCGACGCGGCTAGCTCGTCCAGGGCCGGGAAGATCAGGGGGGCTGTCTCAGGGAACTCGAAACTGCTGGTGCCCGAGGACGCCTGCATGCGGTGCCTGAGCTTGCCCAAAGTGCTGCCCTGCTGCCCCTCGGATGTGGAGGTGGCGCTCGAGATCTTGGAGCCGAGATTAAAGTCAACGTCCGTCAACATGGACGGGTCGCTGGGCTTCCAGGTCATGAGGATGGCGACCAGGCCCCGCGGCCGGAAAAAGTCCTCATTTACCGTGTCCAAGAACTTGTTCGTCTTGGACCGGCTGTGCACCTCGGCGGCGGCATCGGCTGCGATCTTGCACGCGATGGACACGGCAACGGTGACGGGCTCGGGCACGTGCTGCGCCGCGAATGAGGCCAGGTTGATGGTCTGGATCCACGGGCTGGGCTCCATCGCCTTGTTCAGCTTGTTGATAAAGTCCAGAAAGGTCGGCTGGTCGATCCCCACATCCTCCAGGATCGGCGCATAGGCACGCACAAAGCCTCTCGTCCGCGCCTTGGGCCGGCGCTGGGTGAGGATGACAGGGAGGTCGAGACGACGGGCGACTGGCTCGGCAGAGGGCGACGGCAGAGGATGCTCGCCTATGAAGCTGGCGGCGAGTGCTGGCTCGTCCACTGCACTCCCTACAATGCCGGTTGACTGATAACCGGCCTGATCGAGCTCCCCATATGGTGGTGGAGGAACCTCGCCGCTAAGTTCGGCCTGCATGTCGTCGAGCTGCCATGCCGCCTCGTCTAAAGCTCGTGGGGTCTGCACCTTTTCCTCGTCTTCATCCTCCCGGCTGTCCTGGAGCATCAGGTCGCGCTGTGTTGGTGATTCTCCATCGTCTGCTGCTGCTGCTACCGCCCGGGCGCCCTCGAGCTTTTTCTGTTGCTTTTTCTCCTTGTGGTGCTGAATGCTTTCGGAGGCCAGCCCGACTCCGACTGCCAGGCCCTGGACCAACTTGCCGATTGGGCCATAGTTGTTTTGCCCCGGGTCACGGAAGGCCATATCTCTTAGAGGAAAGGGAAAACCCAACACAAGGAAGAGTTGAAGGGAAGGAGAAATGACAGTGGTTTGTACGTCTTTGTGGTCCAAGGATTGTGATGTGAGCTGGATACAAAGGGAGCAACAGCAATGCTACAAACTCCTCTCAAGATGAGGAGCCTTGCCTCCTTTTAAATGCCATCTCTCTCCCTCCCCCTCTCGACAATTCATTTCTATCACATTACAATGCCCTCGCGCGGTTGAGAGACTTTCCTCTCAGCTCAGCTTCCCAGCTTTGCGAGCCAAACGAGAACGAGGTGGGTTCCCTCTCCTCCCAAGGAAGGATTGTTGGAAGGACCTTCCATTGATTCACCACCAGCACGGAAGTGCCGGGACGCCAGTCGAAGGAAGGAACAAGGCTGCAGGTCGCTACATACATACCAATTGGTACAAGGCAATAGTGACAGCATAGCGATACTGTGAGAGAGACCCTGGGTGAAGGAGTGAGACGTGGGGTCGTTCCTGACACGGCTTACGAGTCATGTTGGTTAAGCCTCCTCCCTCTCAGCACGGCAACAACGTACTATAGCACGTACTAAAGCACTTACCTGTCCTACCAACCACTGCATGAGAAGTAATATGGGTACTGTTGTCGTAATGTGCATAGTAGCCCATAGCATACGCCAGCGCCTTTCAGCACTGCCCCAGGCGGGTCGCATACAGCCACTTAGTGCACTGCCGTTCTCGTTATCGCTCGCATACTGCCAAATATCCGATCGTTTACTGAAGCGGGAACAGGACAATTTGGTCTGCTTACGACCTGTCTTACAACCTTCAGAGTGGTGAAGTGGTTTTTAGATGCCTTTTCCGGGGTATAAGCCCCTGAAGATTTCAGCACCCGGAAGCGGGTCGAGAAACGGGCCTCAAAGTACCACCCGATTTAGTAAAATCAACCCGCCTCCTGGAGAAATCAACCCGGCCCCCACCGGCGCTATACCTAAAGTAAACAGCCATCTAAGTGCACAGCCATTTTTCATACTGTGCTAGATATCAAATTACCTGTACTCATCAGCTGCCTGAGTCAGCTTTTGAGGAGCCATTAGCTGCTGCCAGCAATTGCACCAGAGCTCTGGAGTAGTACATACGAACTGAGTGAAGGGAATCAGTAATATACATCTCATACATACGCATCTCCAGCACAGGACATGTGCTCACAAGAATCTTGTGAGCACATGTCCTGTGCTGGAGATGCGTATGTATGAGATGTTGCAAAATTCAGTTGGCGGTGTGTGCTTGTGACACACCGCCAACTATCTTTACCATACATTGCCATATACTGAATACGCAATACTACCTCTCATCAAATCATCACTATGTCTACTCAGGGCTTTCTCTTTCAGCAGCATGGATCTGCATCCTCTGGATCTGAGTCTTCGGATTTAGAGTCTTTAGATCTAACTTGCTTAGAGCAAACAGAGGGATACTCGGAGAATCAATCGGAGGGACATTCGGACCTCGAGGCTCAATTGGAGGCTCAATTGAAGGCTCAATCGGAGGCTCAATCGGAGGGACACTCGGAGGGACACTCGGAGAGATACTCGGACCTCGAGCTTGATCAGCACCTAGCTGATGCCCTGGACCACAGCTCTCCTTTCCAGCTTACAACTGATGATTATGATACGCTGGAACTTCTGCTCGAAGCTGTTCAAAACCGCGCTTGTGAGATGGGGTTTGGTGTATTCAAAGCACGTATACGCAAAGATCATCGTGGGGGTGGAACCCGTGGAAGAGTCGATATCCGATGTGTATATGGTCAGCATGCGAAGACCAAGGAGTCCTTGAATACGGCAAAGTCTGATTGCCAATGGAAGGCAACAGCAAATGAGCATGCTGATGGGCGATGGTATTTCAACCTGAAGACTGAGAACGATCATCATCATGGCCACGATCTGAATCAACATAATGCTTCTATGCATCCAGCAAACCGTCGATCTTACCGAACACCCGAGATCATCAATCGAATCCTCACACTTGCTCAGAATAGCAAGAACACGCATAGCGATATTGCAGCTCAGCTACGCCGAGAGCTTCACGCTCCTATCCACGCTAATGATATCAAGTATATTCTTGTACGGGATCGAGCTCATCAATTTGAATCAAGAACAGCCACGCAGAGGATGATCTCGGATCTGGAAGCAATGCAATCCCTTGGTAAAGCAACTGTTATTATTGATTACAAGGTCCCTGGAGATCTTACCTCACGCCCTGTGCGGATCTTCTGGACGTACAAATGGAATCTCGAGATGTGGAAAGAGCATTCTGAAGTCATCAGCATTGATAACACATACAACGTCAATCGGTTCAATATGCTACTTTGTCAGCTGGGCGGTATCTCTTCATGCTATACCAACTTCAGTATTGCATTCTATCTTCTCAGTGGAGAACGAGAGGATTCATTCAGATGGGTACTTGATCAGTTGTTCGCTTTAGCTAAGGCAAAAAGCATTGAGCTTCCTCTTGTGATGATCAGCGATTGTGATCTCGCATACAAGAACGCTATCAATGCCTTACTTTCTACTTCGGAAGGCCAAGGAGAGCTAATTGAGATCGCACAGCAGCTCTGCCGCTGGCATATCATGAAGAATGTTGCTCATCATATTCGACAAAAGTGGAACGGTTCTCTGGCAGGCACTGCACTAGGTGAGAGAGGCGGTGGGATTGGCAGTGGGCTTCGTAATGCTCCTTTCTTAAGCACCTCGATATCTCGTGCTATCGGCAATGGCTTTATCATACAGGATGAAGCTGAAGCAATCATGGTAGATGAGAATCGGAAGATGAACAGTCTCGCTTCTCGTCTGCTCAGTAAACCTGATCAGGAGGCTCGGTATGGAAATAAGACGAGAACCAAGCTTGAGAAGATCCTCAGACCTGAACCAGGGCTAGGGCGCAAATGGTGCGATAATGCAGATGGCATTCTATTCGCATGGCAGGATATGGTCTATGCAAAGACAGAAAAAAGCGCTCGTGATATATGGAAAAGTTTGTGCCAAGATTTTCATGACCAACCAGGTAAGTTCTCTCTACAAATACAGCGCGCACTGCATGTGCTCACACAAGATATGTGAGCACATGCAGTGCGCGCTGTAGCCACTATGAGTTAAGTTATGACTAATCTGTTGATAGAGATAATCAATTATCTTCAGAATACCTGGCTGCCCTGGAAGCATGAATTCTGCGAATACGCTGTTAATTCTTTCCGTAATTACGGCATTCGAGTTTCCTCACGAGCAGAGAGTGCTCATGCTGCTTTGAAAGCACATCTTCGCAATCGGCTTACAAGTCTCGAGAAGCTTCATAAAGCAATCATAACTATGCTGGAGCAGCAACAGCATCAGTTTGAAAGCAACAAGGCCAGAGATCAATGCAGATTTTATCTGGGATTGCAACAAGCTGCATTCTTCAAGAATATCAACCGATCTTGCTCAAGGAAGAGCTTGGAGTTGATGAAAGATCAATTTGATCTTGCAGGAAAGATAGCTCGGAATGAACTGCCAGCTACAGCGTGTTCAGGCTTCTTTGCTCAGCAATACGGTCTTCCATGTTGCCATACTATGATCAGTCTCGCAAGCCAATCTCTTTGCCTTCAACTCACTGATATCCATCCTCATTGGAATATTCGAAAAGATTGTCCACTTTCGCTGGATAATATCCGGCTTTACAATATACCAGACTCTCGAGTCCTCCCAAGCAGACATGCTCAAAAGCGTGGCGCCCAGAGCTTAGAAGACTGGGCTGCCAATCTGCCAGCAGAATCAGGCAGTACACAATACATTCAATTTCACGATAAGCCTCCCAAAAAGAGACGAAGATCACGAAGTACTGCTGCTCATGTTGCAGTGCTGAGAGAAGATCTTATGATGGCAATGTCCAGCTTGCGCAAGGAGCGCCGATTGCCACCAGTTTCATCACTCCTGGATCCCTGCACTCCGCCTTCCTCTGCACCTCCTCGTATCCAGAGACAAGCTCACGAGGCTTCAGCATCAGTACTAAGCTCTGCATCAATTGAGCTTAGCCAGATAAGCTAGAGTCGGAAGCGGAAAGATGAGCGATTATCCGTGGGGGAACAGATCATAGAATTTTGAGTGTATTGCAGTTCTTCTCGTGTAGATTGACTTGATGTAGGCACATGCAGTATGCGCAGTCACATCAAGTCAACTCGCACAATGATAGTAATTTTTCTTCATATGCTGATCTCGAGTAGATTAACTTGATATAACTACGCACACAGCATGTGCTCACGTGTTACACATAAGCACATGCAGTGTGCGCAGTCATAGCAAGTCAGCTCGCACAATAATAGTAATCTCTCTTCATATGCTCAACTAAGATAATCAGTCTTCACGTGCTTCCTTCAAGGAAACATTGCAATGACCGACACTTGACAGCCCCACTTGATCGCACGCCACTTGGCGCCTTCACGGGAACTACATATTACTATTAGATGAAGAAAACAAAAGGAAACAGAGAAAACACACGCTGGACCAGGCCTTGCCCCTAAACAGTGGGATCATACCCAAGATGCAGGGCCTGGTCTAATACTGTTGAGGCCCGCGACTGGCCTTCATCGTTTTTCTTGCATGCCTTTTTCAATCGCTTGCGAGGTGGTGGATCTGAAGGAAGGTCTATTGCTATAAACCCTTCTTTGTCTCGCATCGAGTTAATTAGCCGAGGAGGGCGAGGAGCAATCTCCTGCCCAAACACGGAAGAGGCTCTTGCATATCTTCGCTCCCCTTGCTCAAAAGACCTGACAGAGCCAGGCTGAACAAAGAGAGCTGGTTCATGAGCCCGAAAGCAGTGCATCATCCTCTAATGCCGCTGCCTCCAGATCTTTTCTTGGCGTCGCAAATACTCATCATCCGCATCATCGTCTTCCTCCCTTTCCATGTCGTCTTCAGGCACAAGCTTCTAGCCCATGCTATCCAACTTGTGGATTGGGAGTTTACGCTTCCGAGAGCCTCCCTCTGGGTCCTGGGGCGGATGGGCACTCTCCTCCACGACCTCGTCGTCCTCCTCCTCCTCCTCCTCCTCGACCGCGTCCTCCTCGACCGCGTTCTCCTCCGCGACAGCCTCGTCAACAATCCCCTCGACGATCTCCCCGACTGCCTCATCAACTGCCTCCTCCTCCACGATGTCGCCCTCCCAACCCCATCCCATATCAGCCTCAGGTGCTCATCCGCCCTCTGGTTCTTGTATATTGTTCCCATGGTCAGATGAACCCACCGACTCAAAAGGTAGGAATAGCTGCTCGTCTTCTATACCTGCAGAATTGCCCAGTAACAACCTGCCTGAGGAATCCGCAGCTGTATGATCCGCAGCTGCTACAGAACCAGCATCTGCTTCCACCACAGCAGGAGGAACCGCTGCTGTATCTGCTGAAGCAGACACAACAGGAGCAGCTGCGGGCACAGCATTGGAAGCAGGCCCAGGCGCAGGCATAGACAGAGCAGCCGCTGATTGAGCAGGCTGCGAAGCTACAGAGGGGGCAGGAGGCGCTGTATGGAATACAAGCGGAGCAGTATAGCCAATCACAGATTCTGTAATATAAGATCATGAATAGCTATTGTATGTACAATTGCTACAAGCCCCATAAGGAAGCGCGTTGGGTTCAGACACAGGAGCCCGAACACATCCTTGCCAGAGGCCACGCAGATTGCGACAGTTGTCGCATGCCTCAGCTGGTGAGGCTGAGGCAATACCTGAGGCTTGGACAAGGATAGCCTTCAGGTTGATGTTGAATCTGGAGCGACCACCAGTACGGCCCAGGTCAAAGACCTGACCAGCCTCCCGCTCGAGGGTCGCGCGATGAGGATTTGGAACAAGGCTATTGACAGCTAGCAGCGAGCCAAGCCTCTCGAATATACCGGTAGGCTCCTCGCCCCGAAACTCTGGCGCAGTCCTGTACTCTGGCACAACCGTCTTAACATACTCCCACGCAGTGGGAGATGACCGCGAAGCGGCAGGAGCCGCAGCCGCGGTGGCGTTGAGAGACGAGGAAGACGTAACAGAGTCCGAGGCCATCTTGAATCCTAGACAATTGATCAGCAGGTTAAAAAAAGTGTTGTGGTGTTGAGGAAATACTGCCCTGTTGATGATGCCTGTTGGTGAAGAAAGAAAAATCGTAAGCGCAGACGCGGTATAGCGCGCGCTTGAAGTAAATATTTACAAACTGTTGAAGCACACGACGTGTGCCCACGTTACAACTAGCGCTATTTGTCCACCACAGCCAAAGTCAAGCAACTTGACATTCATAGCAATAGATCAATCTTAATAGACACATCTTACAATGCAAATCAATTTGTAACGCAGGGATGTCATGAGTGCACTGCATGTTCTCACCAAATATATGTGAGCACATGCAGTGCGCTTGTGTTGAGGCTGCATGCGCAATTTACAAGATCTCTGTTATGGCTTACAGTGTGGGCGCCGTGCGGTATGTTCTGCCAAATACGGCTAGAGCGGTGGGGGGCGGGTTGATTTCTCCAAGAGGCGGGTTGATTTTACCAAGTCGGTACCACCTCGCTTTCACCTATGTACCAGTCACGACCAGAACAACAGGTTTCTGGCACGGTGATGTGAAAGCTGTTGTACTGATGCCTTCGATAGCAGTTCTTCAGACTCCTCGCACCCGCTAGTGCGATTGACCAAGATCTCTGCCCTTGCGTCGTGGCGATCGCATTCTCGCATGGAGAAGGTCTGGTTCGACATAAACTGGGTTCCAGATGGTGATGCCCCCGGCGCTTTCTTCAAGCTCTACACAGATGCTCAGTTGGATACCCCAACTGGCACACGCCCCAATGATGGCGCCCGCATTTTCATTTTCATTCCGCCGGAGCGCATTCGCCAACTGTCGTGGAATTCGCAGTCTGGCTTACGGCCATGGGGTCTGAACACGGTTGCTTTGAACTTTGACCGCTTACGCGAAATGTCTTGATTTGAACATGCGTTGACTTTCGGGATGTTAGGATGCTATCACGTCCGAGAGTTGTCGTCCGGCCGGTACATTGAGCTAAGTGACAGCCTTGGTGGCATGTGAAGGCTAGAGGTGTTCCCAGTTCTCCGTACGTACGATCCAAGAAATGCATTTCCTGGCCCCATTTTATCGGAGTGCCAAACAATGAGCGTTGGCTGAGTCGAGCAGTGATATCAGACAATTTGGCGCCCCCCAGTTTCTCGGTGATCCCCTTCCTCAAATAACCCGTATTCCTGCCACGGTGGACAAGAAGAGCCAGCGAATCATGATTAGGAATGTATATCCGTCTCTTTCCCAAGCTACTCGGTGTCAGCTGCCTGGTGGTATGGTGGCGGTGCTGGAGCCGACCGGCCGTCATCCTGAATGGAGCCAAGTCAATGTGGTTAATGCCCTAGGCCCAAAATGAGCTTGAGCACCTTCTGTGCCCTTTGCCAGTTTGGGATGCCGCCGATTATTGTGTGTGTTCCGGACAGGTATCAAACTTCAGCGCCAACTCATACCTGCATTTTATCTCTCCGCAGCGTTAGCGAAGCGTCATCCTGTAGATCGCTTAAAATAGTGAATTATATCAAATTAATGGTGGAACACAATTTTGCGCCGTCGGAAGAAGGGGCCTAAAGTGGAAGCCTTTTTTTCTTCTTCTTTTTTCTTTTTCTTTTCTCCTTTCCGTCTCAAATTTCTACATTAAAATTGAGTCAATGAGATTTGCCTACGTGTGCATCCTATCGTGGCTGAATATAGGCTGGAGCACCGTCCAGTGCTACTTTCCAATTCGGTCACGAGCTACCTTGACCCCTCCCCAGGAATAAGGCCCAACAAGCTCCGCATGCTACTGCCAATCAGCAATGCCTAGACCTGTTATGACCCATCCAACATGCAGGTCACGGAACAGGCCCCGGCAACAAGGGACCAGGTGTCACAACCCAACGTCGGACAACAGGCAGTATTACATAATCCAGGGTTAGAGTTGTAATGGAGGGAGGATCTGTAAGTCTGCTCTCAGAGCCTCAGATCCTTATACCATGGATCTATGAATCTGCCACCAGATCCACAGAGCCACGATGAAGAGCTGGATATATAAGAATATGTTCATTACCATTAGATAGACTACCAGGATATAGCTCTTCAGTCGTCAATCTAAGTATTCATTTGTTACACACTTGAATAGCCCCAAAGGCGAATGAAAGCACTTGCACAGATTACTCAGTTATATTTCCGTATTCGATTGGTTATTACTTTGATACCGCTCTTGTTAGCATAAACCCTTTGTGTACTTCAGGATCTTCGGATATTGCAGTGCATCATTACAAGACCCCATCCGCGGCTAGTTGACTTGCTCTCGACTGGCAGTTGCCGTCTCCTGAAGTCTGTCTATAATCCTGCAAATGGCTCAAAATGGTCCTATGTTGGAGCACATTTTTGTGCCCCCGGCTGAACGGGAAGGGTGTTCTAAAATGGGGGTGCTAATTACTGACCGACCACCTAGCTGCGTGAAGATACGAAGCTTGTTACTCTAACGACCCACTAAACTGCGTCTGCTAAACACCTGCTTCGCGACGGCCCAGCCATCTGGATACTTCGGAGCATCTTTCTGTGCTCATTTCCTATTTCGGTCAAGAGCACTTTTTCTTCTCTTATTATCCGTCCTGGCTAACACACGAAGCACAGATGTGGAAAAGCACAGCTGTGGGAAAATGCACATGAGGTACGGAAGTCGCTACCAAAAGTCAATACGATTCTGCTAGTAGAATGATATCCCCTGTACTTCAGTGAACAAGAACCTCACGTGCGGATCATAGAGGATTGACTAAATCATGCCAGGTTTCCCCTCGTGCTTAAGGGAAGTGCGGAGTAAACAATGGCGTAGTATAGGTTGGCCCTGCCAGGGCCTGTTGAGCGGGGCGTCATAGCTACCAGGTTGAGGGCCTGCTTGCTGCATTGCCACAGCCGATGGTTGATTTCGTCACCTGGCTGGCTTGTTTTTTGCCTCGAATGTCAAGTCACCAGAAGGAAGCTCTATCCTCGCAAATGAGACGAGGAAAAAGAAAACGAAGAAAATGACTGAATTATCAGATCAACTTGCTCCTAGGCAATAATTAATACCTATACTATACATTATCCGCCCGCTGTAACTTCAGCATCCTGCTGTGCGTCTTGAAGTATCTTCTTCATTAAGGAATAGAGCTCAGGCTCCGGTCTTTTCCGTCTTTCACCACCTGGGAATACCCCTCTGCGCAGCCTATTGACCCATGGAATCAATGGCTGGTAGTATGAACTAAAGTTCTCTTCCACGATCTTGAGAAAGATACTCTTATCGCCTATCGTACCAACTTTTGATCGAACCAGTTTGTTATCACTCTCGTAATTCCAACTGTCGAACTCAGTTGGCCCGATATCCTCACCATTCGCATCATAGTGGATGCATATCCAGAAGAGCACCCAGAAGAATGACTCGAGGTCGTGCATGAAAGAATGCTGCTCGCCCAGAAGCGTCCCGATTGCCATGAATGCCCTCGTGCCGGTCTTGCTCTTTGCTCCAGAGGCGCCCTCTCGTTGCTCTCTGATGGCGAGGTCCAGATCAATCAAGAACGAAGGCCAGGAGGGGTTGTTGTCATCCTCGTTAATCATGAGATTGTTGATGGAGATATCTCTGTGGAGGAAGCTGGCCTTGCGCCGCAAGGACTCATGTCCTTCAATGCAGCTTTCCAACGCAGCAAGCAGGGCCGATCGGGAGCTTGCCTTGTAGATAGGCTTTCCATAGTCACGAAGAATAATACGTCGATGCACCCGGTTTGATAGTGCATCGCCGCCAGCCTTCGTTGGAAATGCCGAACGGGATCGCTTGCTGGGGGGCAGAGGGGCGCTAATCTGACTGGATGGTCGCTTTTTGCTAGTAGCGCGGCTGCTGCTGCGCCTCCGTAAAGCCCCAGACGCGATTATACTCGGCGGCGGCGGCATCGAGCGTTCCGGCTGGTAGTTCGTAGCTGTGGTAACATCTAGTTCTCTGCGAACGTTTCTTCGAATATCATCATCCATGCCGTGTACTTGAACTGTCTCGTGATAGTAATATCGAGCCACGTTGATAACGCCTTGATTAGTTGCCTCGCGTAACAATTCGCCCTCCTCATCGCGCTCGGGGTATTGCCATGAGTCTTTGATAACGAGCAGTATCTGTGGGTGTCCTTCGCGATGGGCTTTCCAGCAAGTTGTAGCCCGGCCAGCTATGCAACGTGCGCGTAACATCACCTTATCAATGATAAGGCGCTCTGTTGAACCATTCCGCTTGATCTCAATGAATCGCTTATCATTTGCTGTTATGATTGTCGGGTCGAAGCCAAGCTCCTCCTTGCTCATCCAGAGGAACCCAAGGATTGTGGATACAAACTGCAGCCCATCTTTGTTGATATCGAATTGTTCGGATGCAATCCCTCCAAGCCGGTCAAACTCCCATATCCTCATGAGAGATCCACAAATGGTAAAGCCCAAGACGAAGCGACGGGTATCTTGAGCAGCAAGCACTTCTCTCGCATACGTCCCAAGATCAAGCCATGCCTTTGATGCTTTGTCAGCCGATGGATTGCTCTTCAACTCGCCCGGTACGAGGATATGCGACCAGTGACATCGAGAGTCTTTCCCAGCCTTAGGGTTGTCCACGAAGCCGACGTCCAACTTGCGTTCTGCTGTAGAACCCTGGATCGGCTTGTTGGGTTGTGCCAGTGGCCTTCGTCGATTTGTTGGGGCTAACTTGCATTCTTCTGCTAATATCGCCAGTTTCTCGTTCAATTCCGCAAACCAGCTCAAGACACCGTTCTGATTTGCATCTCTCGGCCATCCGCTCCACCCATTACTGAAGAGTGGTTCGCTGCCTTCCGTGCACTTTTTAAAGACAGCCTCGGATGCTGTCTTAAGACCTGCCACCCGTCCAAAAAAAGCCTCATGGAATTGAGGAAGCCCGACGTACAAAGCGCCGAGTTCATTCCTAAGGACTCTGTCCACATCATCGCGATACTCGGAGGAGTTCGCGAAGCTGCTCGTGTTGTGCAGCCATGGGGTTTGTTGCAAGGAAGAGGCTATCGGTCGGGGAGGCGGGGTGGATTCGGTAACGGCATTGTAGAGTTGGTTCCAGATGAGCGCATCATCAGGATCATCGGCGAGGGCTGCCTTTAGGAGAGGCTTGATGCGGTTGAAGTCGAAGTTGTCGGAACTGACAGCAGAGATCAGTTTGAGGAGATCGTTGCGAAGGGTGCCATAGCCTGTCTTTGATCGCAGGAAACGAATCGTGGGGAGGTTGCGTAGAGCGAATAGAAGATCGAGGACGACATTCTGGAGATCTGAATAATGGTCAGAGGAGCGTACTGGAACGGAAGTAGGATGTCTTTTCGTACCATCTTGGCTAAGCTGCTCTAACGCGTCCGGAGTGCAGGAGACACTCGCGCCTTCGCAGATCGAACTGAATGAAGCGCGGAAGGCATCAAGGCCTTTCCCAATAGGATTGCTTTCGATGATCTTTGACTGAGATTGATCTGCCATGGCGGATGGGACGTTCCTGAGATGGGAGGAGGGTTGGAAGGGACCGAACGAAGACGCGTTTCGCGGCATTTGGTCTGTACGGAGTTTGCCGCCCAGCCCCAGCCACCGAGCTGAGCCACTTCCGGGAAAATAGTTTTCCATAATTAGTCAGCCTCCACAATAAGCTCCTGGCATCGATGCGCGGAGACGTATTCTCACACCGTAAGCAACTACGGCTGGTATCGACCCTATGGGCCACTTTTTAAAAAACCCTCAGAATCATCTCTGACGAGACTGACATATTTCAGGCAAGAATAATGGCTAAGGAAACTTTGAGAAGCACGCATTGCATTGCCTTGTCCTCGCTATCCATGGGGCAGGCCTTGCTTTCAGACGGAGAGCAGTGCTCGCGCCAGCAAGATTGTTTCTGGGCTCGCGAGAGATTGTGTGTGATCATTGGTTCCACGGCTGAAACCGAACTATGTAGCTCGCGCCTGCCGCAGCACAAGATGAAATTCCGACAATGCACAAGCTCGCGAACACCTACGCCAGCAATGTAGTGGCCGCAAAACCACATTCAAGCCGCCGCCAGTCATTCATTACATGCAGGACGACCGGATTCCATAGCTCTACAGTCCCTTCCTCAACCCTATGACACAGCAAGTCAACAACTCGCTGTATCTCCCGGTCTAGCTGCCTAAGGGCTTGAAGAATACTTGAATAGTAAAGATCCATATTATGGACGTATATCTGTTCCTTTTTCGTCTTGAGTGGTGTCGCTGCGTGATTCCGAACTTCCGTCTGGAAGATATGTTCGAGATCGTCGTTCTTCAAATACGCATGCCGCCGGACAGAAGCGATTGTGGGCTTTTCGTATTGCCGCTGTTCCCAAATCTTAACACCAAGCAATCTCACATTCTTGGTAGGGCGAAAGCCTCCGTGCTTGTACAGAATTGTCCAAGCCTCATACTTGGAAGGAACTCTGTGAATAATCAGTTTGAGATCCCATAAATGCACAGTGTGCTTCTTGCCTATTGGGAAATGACTTTTCTCCACCGTTCTGGTCTTCTTGAGAGTCCTGGAAACCTCGCATTATCAATTGGAATGAAGATAGATAAGGTGGGCTTGACATTTCCTCGGACGGATAGAGAACGAGCAAAGAATACGTAGGTGGTAATTGCCGGGAGTGGGCACACAGTGAGAAATGTTGAAGGCTGGCGGGGAGTAGGCCTATAAAAAGTTGTACGTCACGGCCGTCTTTAGCGACGATCTTGACGCGGACCGGCGCGAAAGAGGCTTTGGCAGGGACTTAGTAGAGCCGTACGAAGGATGGCAAGACATTACGTTGCCCTATGATCCTGACGATAGGGAGCAGCGCGATGTCCGCGGCAAGATGCAGCTGGTCATCGCCAGTTTTGTCGATGTCGCGCTGCAAAGCCTCAACCCAGACAATCCCGATAAAGAACGGCATCACCTCGTACCAGTAGCAGACCATTCCAAAGCGGTAGAGGCTTTCAAGAAAGTTACGGAGGGCGCCAAAAGGACCTTCCTCGGTAGCGCAAGTAAGGGTACCCTTGAGGGCCTTGGTAGACAGGACGTCACAATCCTCTACTATACCTCTGCCAGCCAAATATATATTGATACGTGGCCGAGGACGTACGCGGTGGGATACGATAACCTCAACAACACGCCCATCATGGCTTGGGCTCGGACTATCTTCGCCAAGTTTGGGATGTCCAGCGTCAACGACGAGATCAACGAGCAGAGGATCGCGGTGGGTCAGGAACCCATCACTACCGTCGCGAGGCGTCGCCGTTAGCTTATAAATATTATGTGCGCGGCTCTAGCAACGGGTCTGGGATCATGTGGGAAAGGATACAAAGTAGACTGATACGGTGCACGTTTACTTTGGCTCGGTGGTTGTTGTTTCTTTAGTCATGGCATCCTGTTGTTTGCTCTCTGCGCGGCACAGGTTCAAAACGCTTCATGGGGTATTCAAGGATATCGCTAGAACAGCTGCTAAGAAATACATGGTGCAAACGTCTAATCAATCTCCATGCTCATGCACCCCTTTCACAACGCTTTTTGCCCTCCTCATTCTTCTATAACTCATATGGTGTCGAATCCTTCAATATCAGATGCGGTTTCCGTTTGGCTAGGTCCAAGATGGTCTCGGCGAAAACACCATTTGCCCAGGCAAACCAGCTTCCTAAAGAAAAGAAAAGAAAGTGGCGGCGTAGTCAGTTACCAGCATCTTACTTGATATATTCCCAGATTGGACATCATGACTCACTGGTATAGGAAGCCCGGCTGTTGACATCAATACTCTCGTGTATCAGGCCAAGCTTGGCGGATTTGAGGACAAAGTCCAGGCAGCCCGCAATCTCATCGTCGTCCTGGCTTGTCTGTGCCTGGATGAGGAGGCTCATTGGCCACGCGTTCGAGAGGCCAATGTGCGGACCTGCGGGTCTAGTCAGTCCTCTGGTCGCGGCGAGGTCTTGAACAAGAAATCTCTCCAGTCTTACCGCCGATGCCTTGAAACTCCCTTCCCACCAGATAGTACGGGTTTGATGTCCTGCTCAGCAACATCTTGCGTGTATTTTGATACACCTCATCGTCCGACGGCACAAAGCCCATGAGAGGCAGGGCCAGCAGACTTGGATAGTTGGCATCGTCCATCAAAATGGACGAACCATACCCGTCTACCTCGTACGCAAAGACCCGTCCGAACTTTGCGTGCTGGACCACGCCGTGCTCCCAGATCCCGTCTGTGATCGTCATGCTCCATTGCTCGAGCTTCTGTGCCCGTTCATCGTCGCTGGCAGCCTTGAGGACAGCAGCCGCCCTCTTAAGCTCGACTGCCATCATGGCATTCGCCGGGATGAAGAAGCCTAGTATGGTCGCGTCGTCGCTGGGCCTGAAGGCGCTGCGGACGAGGCCCGTGCCGTTGTTCAGCGGGTTCCCCACTCCGTCCAGGTTCAGCGTCTCGGTTCCCGTCCATGCTTGACGCTTGAAAGTGTACTGGTTCCTCTGGAATTGCCCGGTCTTGGGGTTGAAGGTAGACATGCTCTGCTGCTGAAGCACCTTCAGCACCGTGTCCAGGGCCAGGAGCCAGCGCGAAGTCACAAAATCGAGAGACCCGGTGGCTTCGTAGAAGTTGTTGGACAGGGTCAGGAAATGACCAAGAGAATCGAGCTCGTACTTGCACTCGAAGACGACAGCTGGCTCGTAAGCCGGATGGACGATATCGTCTTGACCGTTGAACGAGACCTTGAGCCCCGAGATGGGCGGTGGCTGGAAAGCGTTACAGTAGGGCGACTGGATCACATACTCCGCTTGGGTATTGACGGCGCCGAGTATCAAGTTAAAGATTGCCTTGTCCTTCTTCGCGAGCGGCATGTAGGGCGATAATTGGTTGCAACTATCCCGTAGCCATTCTGCTGTGATATCTCCCGTCACAATAAAGGACTGCGGCCCCTCCCATGCGCCATTGTCCAGTACGCTCTGTCCAGAGCTCTTCTTCTTGAACTTCTTAGTCCCATCGGTATGAAATTTGACCGTCGTATCTGTCGTCGAAGGAAAGGCGTTCTCGAAGAGCCGTGCGAGGTCGGGGTCTTTCATGCGCGAGGTGACATCGCGGATGACCTGTTCGACCGCGTCCGAGTGGAACGTTCGACATTTTGGATGGGGCCGCTGGAAGGGTAGTGCCAGAGGTCCCTCGCTGTTTGGTCCATGTGGGTGTTTAGAGTACTTGGAGTAATCGGGACACACCGCGGCCCAGTCTATCCTGTCGTCTTCGGTCACCGGCTTCTCTTGTATGCTCCCGAGCTGCCCTGCGCACAAGACAATGCGCAGCCACAGGGCGTAGCTCAACGCTAAGTATCCCCAGCCCATACTGAAAGGAGTGTGTAATAAGTCGTAGCCGAGAAAGATGGAGCGCGACAGGCGGTTTGGTCGTCACGAGGGAGCACAATATAAGCGGCGAGGCGCAAACCTGCCTTTCCTATAGACAGTAAAGGAAAGTAGCGCCCGTCGGCCTCCACCTCTGTCATCAGTCGTCAAGAGTGAAAATTCGTGACTACTTCATTATAGCGAAGTGTAAATAAGGGAGGGAAATCGTGGGACCGTGTGTGGGTGTAGTTGAGGGAGACAAGAGTTCATGTGCTAGGAAACGTTGGAGTTGGAGATTGGCCAGCTCTATTGTCCACGTACCCCAGGTTTCCGGAGACACTCAAGCCGCGGACCCCTATCCTACAGGGGAATAAGTACCCCGCGTTACGTGCAGGGATCTCCAACGGGGTCTCCTATGTAGGCTAGAGGCCCCTGATCCGGCGCTGGACACAAGGGGCCGCAGTGTGCCAAGGCAACTAGGGTAGGTCCATACTATTCACGATGCTGCGGCGCTTTGCTGAGATATGCAGGGACCTGGTTGTCTTTGTGTCATGCAGACATTTTTCAATTGAGAGTTGTCGCCTCATTAATACCCCCATCGAATTCCCATATACTGTAGTATGCGGCTCGATGATCTTTGCTCGTCTAAATGATGCCGCAGCCTAGCGTTTGAATACATGTAACTATCTTATTTCTTGCCGAAAAAAGACATGATATTGCCCTGGCCCTTTGGCGCCGGCTTCTTTGCCTTTGCGGGTTGTACCGCGGTCTCGGTCTTCTTCTTGGCAGGCGCCGCTGCCTCATCTTCCGAGAAGGACTCCCAGCCGGGTTCCTGTATGGTGACTGACATGTGTTAGTAGCCGAACTCTTAAGCTTGTGTCATTGAACTTACCCAGATAACCCTTGTCGTCTATGGCGGTCTTTTTCTTCAGCACGCGCCTCCTTCCGCGGCGTCTCCCGTTTCCAGTGCTTGAGACGACTTCAGCCGGCTCCTCGTCTGCCTTGTCTTCAGGCTGTGGCGCTGCCGGCTCCTCTTCGGGCTCCTCCATGGGAGTGTCCTCCTTCTCTGGCTCTTCATCCTCACTGCTCTCCTCCATCATCCGCTTCAGCTCTTCCTGACGATCCTTCTTGGTCTTTCGCCCCGTGTCGCTCGCCTTCTTTGGCTCAGACATCGTTATCGAATCGTCTTCACCATCGTCTGAGAGTGTCGGCATGCTTGAGTCGTCGGCTGCAGTGGAGGTCGCTGACTGAGAGTTTTCTGCCCTCTTTGGCTTTGATGCAGCTTTAGCAAACGACTGCATGATACCACCGGGTGCACCGCGCTTCGGCGCAGGCTTCTTGGTTCCTGATGACACCGGAGTTGACTCCTTGGACAACGGCTTCTGCTCTACTTTCGGCTCCTCCTTGACGGTCGCGGCAGGAGCGGGCTTCGACGGTGCTGGCTTCGTCCCGACGGGCTTGGAGACAGGAGCGGCTGCCACCCGGGCGGCTTCGCGGCGCTCTCTTCGTCGGACATGAGGGTTGTGAATGGGCGCAGTGATCTTCGGCTGATCGCCGTGAACGCCTTCAGTTCCCACGTCAGGGACTGGCTTGGCACTGTCTGAGAGAATTTGCATGTCCTGAAGCTCTAGTTAGTCAATCACAATGCTTGAGCAAGGGCACGACACGGACCTTAATCTGATGTGCACTTAAACTGTAGACATGAAGGGATACGACGTTCTCGTACAGGGAAAGGACGTCTGAAATAAGTCAACTCCAGATATCCGAGCCTTGGATGGAATAGCATGGTGTACCTTTGAGATTCTCTTCCGCGACGAGAGACAACGTCATCACAGGCACTTCTTCGGCAACTGACATGGGCTCTGGAGGAGAGCTGGTCATCTCCACGTCTCCGTCTTGCTGCGAATGGCCATTGGTATGAACTGATTTCTTGTTACCATAGATCATGTAGGTCGCATGCACAGCCCCAGAGCGTTTTCCATTCTGCCAGCCATGGTAGTCGTAGAGCATTCTGTAGTCGGGTGAGCAGTAATTCTAATGCGTGCAATTCACAAGAACTCACTGCTTAGCAATGTTGACGTTGACCCCCAGCGCCCGACTCAAAGTCCGGTAGGTGATCTGGACATATTGTCAGGACACGCAAAGTCGAGGTCGAGGATTGCACGCAGGTCCTTCTCACAATCTTGCCCTCTGAGACGACCTGCTCAGCGAGGTACTTCCTGTAATCCTCCATCTTGAAAGGTAGAATTGGCCCAAGGCTGCACCAAGATTCACTTAGCCTTCGAAAAGCACATGCAAAAAAATTTAAAACGGCAAAGGAAAATACATGCAAAATGTCGGAAATGGAACAAGAAAGCAATGCCAGTGAGTGTCGTAGACACAAGCCTACCATTTCGAGACGCGTGGTGGGGCCCTTAAAGTAATCCGCACTTAAGTAAAACGCGCCTTCCCCAAAAATTACTGTCCTCGATGACGCGCCTCGCGCCTTCGTTTGCCGCCTCATCCTCTTCGGTCGGCAAGACCCTTCAGCCGTCCTACCACTCTCTTCACCTTTCCTTCAACAGCACATACCTCACTTGTCACGTGCTCCATTATATCTATCCATTGCTTTTGGTTTGATGTACATAAGATAATTTCGCAAGTGGAACGGCGAGAATGGACTCTCGGACTGCGGGCCCCGCCACCAAGGACGATGCCTACGATGTCTCAGACCCAACAGACTGGTTTGGGACTCCCCTGTCCAGTCTTATGCAGGTCGAGCAGTCGCTGCGATGCCACGTCTGCAAAGACTTCTTTCAATCGCCCCTCATCACATCTTGTTCTCACACTTTCTGCTCCCTCTGCATACGGAGGGCTCTCAACACCGACGGGAAATGCCCCTTGTGCCGCACACCGGATCAAGAATCGAAGCTGAGGGGCAACTGGGCCATCAGGGAGGCTGTTGAGGCCTTTGTGAGCTCCAGGGAGGTGATGCTGGACCTTGCACGCCGGCCGCTTGCTGGTGAGACTTCAGCAGGTCCGTTTGCGACGACCAAGAGGAAAGCCCGCGAAGGGTCTACCAACGGCGAATCCACGAGTAAGAGGACTAGGATGTCTACCCGATCGAGCAGTGCGAGGGCAGCAATTACCACGGCAGCCATGATGGAACAAGAAGCAGACGTGCCCGAGGCGGAGGAAGTAGAAGAATATGTCCCTGGTAAGGTCCCCGTACGTCCTGGAACAAATGGTCTTCGAGGATTTTGCCTAACAGCATGTGTCACAGATGACGGCTTAGTTGCATGCCCGATCTGTCAGTGGCGAATGAAACCTGAGAGAGTCGATAAACATCTCGACACCGACTGTCCAGGAGAGCCACAGCCTCAGCCGAGCCCGTCAAAAACGAAGAAGACCTTTGGGTTGCCATCAGCACGGTCTTCAGGGACACCCCCAGCCATAACGTTCGAGAGAATTCCGTCAACCAACTATTCCCTACTGAATGATACAAAGCTAAAGAAGAAACTTGCGGATCTCGGAATACCGACCTGGGGCTCTCGCTTACTTTTGGAAAAGAGGCACAAAGAATGGGTCATGATTTGGAACGCAAATTGTGACTCGGCACGGCCCAAGACGAAGCGAGAATTAATGCAGGATCTGGACACATGGGAGCGCACGCAGGGTGGCAATGCCTCAACGATGTCCCTCTCCGCAAACTTGGGTGCCCAGATCAAGGACAAGGACTTCGACGGTGCAGGCTGGTCCGCCAAGCACAACAACTCTTTCAACAACCTCATTTCTCAAGCGCGAAAGTCGCATAAAAAGGTAGAAGACAGAACGCGGGATGTAGCCTCATCGTTCGGCGACAAAACTGATTCCGAACAGCCGCGGGTCAACGGCACGAGGTGTGAGCATTCTCCAGAGCTTGGGGACGTAGATGCGGCACATCCTAAGGACGGGCCAATTAGGACCTCGGAGATCATTGATTTGTCGTCACCGAGGAAAATTGAGGGTGCCAGAGGAGCTGATATACCCAGTGGTGACAGTTCGATCCCAGGAATAAATGCAGTCACCGGTTCTGCGTCTGCAGGCGCGCCATCATAACCCAGCATCAGCTTCAACTTCAGATCTTTAGTACCGGTGTAGTCACCGTGAGTGCTGCCGCTTCCATATTTAGGTTGCTTTAGCGGGCGTTGTAGAAGAGCAGAAAGCGATCTGGTGTTTGCATCCATTTGTGCATTTCAGCGTCATGCACACAATAGTGATCACAATCATGAAAGTCTGTCCTTGGTGTATTGGCTTCAGTAACTTGTCTTTTACGGCAGAGTAATACCGCAGTTTAACATTCGACTCGGCGTGTCGAGGACCAAGCAAACATGCTTAGAGACTCGGCTCTTACAACAACCTACGCGGAGAGCAGGCCATGATGCGAGACTTTCATGATGATGAGCAAGCCATCCCAAACAAAGGCCTTTCACGTAAACGTAAGAGCAGTCTAATCGGTGCGATGCAGTCACATAATTGTCTCGTCTGTATGGAGAAGTCATCCAAAGCCACCTATATATACACACGCTATGAACACATGCAAGTCTTGCTTAAAACCTTCAGTGTATTTCCTATGCTACGCGGCGTCTCAGATCACCCTTCTACCTGCGCTTGTGGCGTCTTCCCCAACGACATTTGACTAAGCTCCTCTGACGGGTCTTCCTCTGTATCCTGAATGCGATCCGGAACTGGTTTCAGAGCATCCAGCTCTGCCAACCTCCTTGCCGTGGCCTCGGCCTGCTTTCTCTCCTCGGCCTCCGTCTTTGCACGCTCGACCTCTTCCTCCCTGCTCTTCTCCTCCCGCAACATGGTCTCGAGCTCGTCGTCGATCTCGCTCTCGTCAACGACCGGTGCTTGCTCCGCGAGGATGCTGGATACCTCGTCGGCCTGGCTCATCTGCTCACGCAGGTGGTCCACCACCTCCTCGACGCCTTCTGCGCCGCCGACTTGTGCGTTGAGGCTCTTCAGGACGCCTGTGCTGGAGCCCATGACCTTGACCAGCTGGACGTTGTCCGATGCCTGCTCGATCTTGGCCGACACCTCTTCGAGCTGGCTGAGCGTGGCGAACCGCTTCTGCAGGGACGACTCGGCCAGTTTCTTGGATTTCAGAGCCGCGAGAGCGGAGACGCGGTTCTTCTTAGCAACCGCCTCCTTAGCTGTGATGGAAAGCTCCTCAATTTTCTTCTCCAGCACCGCCGTCTGATGCTCCAGATACTCGGTCAACTCCTTGAGCGATGCGATCGTCTCGTCCTCGGCTGTAATCATTGTGTCGTTGACACCGGTGGTTTTGAGCTTGATCGTCTTGCCATCGTAGAGTAGCAGTCCTTGGTCCCGCGACATGAATCTCAACAAGACCTCCAAGTCTGTCTCTGACAGCTTCTGGCCCTTCAATATCGCGTCTCTGAACTCCGTCTGGAACTGCACCTTGGAGAAGGTCCTCTCAAAGCGAGAAGTCAGGCCCGTGGTCTGCTCAAGCACTGACCTAGATGCGGCCTCCAGATTCGCTATGACCACGAACTGTCCGCCTGGTAGTCGGTCTTCACTGCCAAATGTGAAGGCCCCAGTCAGACCCAGCTGCCTGAAGCCCCACGAGGCGATGCTCCAGGGTATGGAGCCCCATGACTTGTAGTATATGCTCTGCTGTGCGCTCAAGAACTCCTGCAGCGGCACGAGATCCTTATGCTGTGCGGCTTCTCTTATGACGGCGCCGAGGGCGAGGGGGCTTCCGTACTGTTTGCTCTCGAGGGCTCGGAGGAGGGATTCGTCGGCGTTTAAGACGACGTGGTTTGGGGTGGACACTGATGAGCCTGACTCTGCAAAGCCTGCGCGTACGAGGCTGGCTAGACCATGTCGCCAGGCTGATATGTTGGCTTGAAAGCCATCTGGGTTTGTGGTACGCTGGCCTCGAAAGTCGGAATACAAGGCGGGAAGACGAGACCTTTTTTCCTCTTTTTGTTAGTCCATTATGATGCGTATCGAGCTCGTCTAGTCTACGTGTCTGCATATAATTTGAGGAAGGGGGTGAGAGGGGGAAAATGGGAAGCAGGCCAGGTACCTTCTGAAGCCCGGCTCATGTTCGACAAGCCACTCCAGTGCGTTGCTCATCTTGTGATGTGAGATCGCTGCCTCGACGTGGACGAAGAAGTGGCAGATGACGTCGTTGCTGCTGGGCACGGCGGAGCACTGCGGTCGCGGGCACCTCCTCTCCTCGCGACTGGTCCCTCAAAGGCATGAGCAGGAAGTGGTCCTGGAGAAGTCCTCAGAGTTTTGAAAACATCAAAAGCAACATTAAGGTTTTGGATGTTGGCCGGAGCGCGAAATCGCGGTCTGCAGAAGGGCATTGTCTTGTTTACTCCTGCAGCAGCCGCTATCTGCGCTGGTTATCAGGCCCACATGACTTCTGAGCGTCGCCCTAGCTTTATAGGCGGGCGTCGCCTGAATACAGAGCCACTTGCTGAGGTGTCAGGGGTCCTCTGGCCTCTCTTAGCCTTCCGCTATACTAAACGCTGTACCTTGTTCTACCGCCGAGACTACACTCCTGAATAGTAGCTTATCTACTGTCAAAACAAGTACATCGCTCTACATAACCAAGTACTTATTGTCTTTGAAGTATCTCGTGGATGTCAACGTCTTCAACTTTCTCTCTCATATTGACCTTTTAGACTCCAAGTTTCCTCATCGCCTCCTCCGCCAGCCTCCTCCATTCCCTCGCAGCCTCCTCCTTTTCACCCCTTGGGCACACTTCCACGATCGCCCGCACGTAGTTCACCACCAACTGCATGGCCTCTTGATATTCATTAGCCCTGGCATCGCTTAGAATAGTGAGACCTTTTACTGCACAGACTTCCTCAAACACCCTCATGAGCTCTGCCTTTTCGGCCCTAGACTCGTCGCCCTCCTTCATGTTCCACAGGAATGCCTTGACGGGATTCCACCTGGACGCAGGCACGACCCCCGCAAACTCCCAATCAAGTATGCCCGTGATCCTGTTCGTAAGAGGATCCAACATGATGTTCGCAAAGTGAAGGTCCCTGTGCGCCAGGACGAGCCTCGTGTCGTCCAGCTTGAGCTCTCGTGCCCTTCCTTGCCCGTCGCCGCCCCTGAGCAGCCCCACGAATGCCCTCAGCCGTGGGACGAGATCCCTCATCCAGGCAAGGCGCTCGTGCCTCTCGATTGCGTAGACGTACTTGTCCACGCTCGCGGCGCAGAGGGCCGTGTAGCTCTCATAAGGCCCCCCTATGTTCAAAGTCGAGACGGTCTCGTGCCCACCCGGCCAGTACCTCTCCACATCCGGCGCCTGCCAAAACGTCTCGTCCAGCACCTGGCCCGGAACAATCGCCGAGCCGCCTCCGTCTGCAGAGGAGGGTTCCAGCCCCCCGACCGCCGTCCACTCGTGCGCGTGCAGCTGGGCCACGAGGTCCGCTAGCTGAGCGACCAGGTCGCGCCGCGCCGCCTCGTCGAGCCTGTCTAGCACCTTATCGACGCTGATACCCGGGGCGCGCTCCAGCAGTGTGTACTCGTGGCCGAGCGGGTTGGCCTCGGTGGCGTCGAACCGCACCACAGCCGGGACGGGAATCGAGGTATTAGCTCGAACCCATTGCATGACGGCAACCTCGTTAGTCGTCTTGATGCGGGGCAGGTGGCGGCCCGAGACGCGGAGGACGAGGGTTGTAGAGCCGTCTGGTTCTTGGGGCAGGGCCGGGGCCAGCTCACCTTGGGCGTTGGCCTCGGGCGGGAAGGTGAGGAGGTAGAGGGTGTGGTAGGCTGCAGCGACGATGAGGGGACTGATGAGTTTTGCTGGCGGCAAGGAGAGGGAGGTGAGGAGGGACTGGATGGTGGGATCCGATAGGGTGGGCGGAAGGTATTGCTGTGGTGTTCCCATGTTTGCTGTGTTGTTGTAAGTAAAATGAGTTCGGATGGTTGTTCCAACAGGGAGTTTCAAAAGGTCATGACGACTTATGAAATGGACAAGACATCTCCAGTATGCGACTTTTAATACTATTTGAGAATACCATACAACATCATGATCATTTCGACTCATCACTGTACAGTATGATTCATTTTCTGGGGGTGGAGATTCCGCCTTTATAAGTTACTGTAAATGGCATAGAATCAAGCAGTCTCTTATGCATGCTCGAATGATGCGGCTCATATGGGATACAAAAGGCAAAGCGAGTATATGTCAAGTATAAGTAAAAGAACATGGAAACGCTGTAAATTCTCTATTCTAGCAAATTGTAAAAAGAAAAGCCATCTCGTGAAAACTCTACACTCTTCTAAGCAGCCTGTGCGACCTCCACGGGACCTTCAGGCAGGTGACTCGCAGCAATATTGCACTGGCGGAACAGACGGACCTCGTCCTCAGCAAATGCGCCGACGACGCTGTGGATGAGTCCCCGGTTGTGGAACAGCACCAGGTCACCCTCCTGCCAGTCGTGCGCGTAGATCTTGCCGGGCGCGATCCCTTGCCTCTGCAGGCGGTAGACCGTCTCGCGCACCTTGCCCAGGTCATCGACGACGGTTCCATCCGCGAGGTGCAGCTTGCGCACGGCAGAAGGATGCACTTGCAGGGCCAGCTTCCCGTTGACGGGGTTCCGCCAGCACATGGGCAGGATCTGGATCTTGTCCTCCTCGATCTCGGGCAGCTGGTCAAGAGGAATCTCTTTGCCTTCCGTCTCCAGGCCCAAGCCTGTGGACCGCGACCGGGCACCGCTCATCCAGATGTATGGGTGTGGGGCGTACTCGACGCGCGTGGAGCGGGCAAAGGCCTGGTCCTCGGGCGACAGGGCGTCGAACATCTCGTAGCCGCTCGCAAAGGCTGTCGTGCCAAGGGGCACCTCCATCTCGTCGCCTGTGCCGTCGTCGTAACGGCAGATCTGGCGACGGCCGCCAGGGACTTTAACGGCGAGGAGGGTCGTCACGATGGGTGGGGCGAGGCCGTACAGAGCAGCGTCGATGTGCCACCTGTAAAAGCGTGTGAAGTCGAGGTCCTCCTCGGCTGGGATCGAGGTTGCGTGGAAGGTCTTGTGGTGTGGGTGGCGGAGCTGGATGTTCTTGAGACCCTCGTACTCTGGCACGAAGCCGTTGCCGATCACCTGGACTTGAGGCTGGTGGGCTGCGGAAAAATTATCAGCATCCAGGCTGATGCAGAGGATGATGAGGAGGCAGTGAGTACTCACGGATGGTCTTCAGGTCTGGGTGCAGGATGGAGCGCTTCGCGTCGATGGTCTTGCCGTGGCCATATGATGTGCCGGCAGGATCAAAGCGGCGGGTGAGCTCGAACTGTGCCTTGGGGGTGACATGGCTCTGGTTCTTGAAGACCAGGACCTGGTTGTTGAAAAGGGCATTACGAATCACATCGAAATCGGCATCTGCGTGTCGGAAGTTAGTCATGATTGTCTTGGGGATGGAGGAGGGCTCAAGAAGTCTTCTTGAGGGAAAATACTCACCGACGAGGTTACCGATTTAGCCTTGGGAAAAAAGGCATTACGGGTATAGTTCTCGCCATACATGCATATTTCACATCATAAATCACATATCACGATGCAGCGGCAGATGCAACGATGCGCGTGTGTGGCTCATCGTATCTTACCCGTGAGATTCTCAATATCAACGTTGTCAACGACGGCGCCGAACTTGATGCCGGAACCCTCGGTGGTGGAGGACAGAGGCTGAACTGTGATGGCAGCCATGACTGATATTGATTGATAATAACACAGGAGGAGATGAGAGCCTTCCTCGTGTGTTGTTGTTCTTATGTGAACTTTCTTCTCTTTGATTGCTTGGAAAAGTATGGTTGACAGCGAATTTAGGAACAATACTGGTAAGAAGTAGGTATACTTGAGTAGGTAAATAGAGAAACAAAGGAGACGGATCTGGGGAAGGAGAGGCGGAGTGCCTTCCACAATATTTATACTATGATAAGTAGAACATGGCAGGTAGGACAGCGGGGAGGATCGTCCAGGTCAACGCGGAGGCGCCCGAGAATAGAAGAGGTGAGCCTCGCTGACCTCGGCGGCTACCGGTGTAAGCACTGGCCTAGTCCGGCAGCTATCTTCTAGGCCAGAGATAAGCCAAGCTGTAATGATAGGCGGCTGATAGTGGGACAAGCCACAGATTACTTGACAAGGGACCAGTGAGTGACTTACAGTTAGTGAGTAGAGCCCTGCACAGTCACGACAGTTACCGTATCGGATCTGATAAAAAACTGTTGTTTTATCTACTATTCCCCTTATTGATTGTTTCTTTTTTAAGGTTTGTCTAACAAAATGTATTTGCCTGTCACACACCCACTCATTTGCCACCCGTTTGTCCACAGTATTTTTTCTCTCTCTCTCTTATTTTTGGAGGGAAAAGAAGAAAGATATTGTTTACTGTACCGTACTCATTGCAGATGAGGCTCTGTGTTGAGTCGTGGTGGTGGCGTATGGGTGCGCCTCACAGGCGGCTGAGTGGGAAATGCCCCTCATCTTGACGTGGATACAAACAATACTGTATTTTATACACTTCTAGTCTGGAGGCAACTCAATCTCTAAGTATACAGGCCTGAGCAGTTAATACCATCGTGATTTTTACCACCACCACCACCACCACCACCACCACTACCACCTCGTAAGCATTTCATTCACGATCAAATCAATATAGAGAGAGAGAGAGAGAGAGAGAGAATCGACGATGGCCTCCTCCCCAGTCCCCTCCTCCCCCAAGATCCAAATCATCACCCCCAACACACCCTCCCAAACACCCCTCCACCCAACAACCATCTTCCTCGCAGGCCCCACCGAGTTTCCCTGGCGCCAAGACTTTCTCGCCCACCTCAAGTCCCGCCTCCTCGACCACGACGACCTCCCTCCCGACCCCATCACCATCTACAACCCCTTCCAGGAGAAGTGGGACAAGACCTGGAAGGAGGACTACCACCACGACGACCGTTTTCGCGCCCAGACCGACTGGGAGATGGACCGCATCGACTCCTCGTCCCATGTCGTGGTGTTCTTTGTCGCAGAGAGCAAGGCCCCCGTGAGCCTGCTCGAGCTGGGGCTGTGCGTGCGCTCCGGGAGGGCGGTGGTCGGGTGCGAGGGCGGGTTCTGGAAGAGGGGGAATGTGCAGGCTGCGTGTCAGAGGTTGGACGTGCCGCTGGAGGACACACTGGAGGGTTTAGTAGGTCGTGTGGTGGAAATATTAAAGAAGAAGAAGAAGAAGAAGAAGGAGAAGAACTAGGATGATGAGATTGACGATGATGATGATGCTGGCCTTGACGACCTACGGCTCGTTTTTTGCCTTCGTTTGTCGTCTATTACTTTGCTGTTCACTTGATAATGATACCACATCTACTACCCATCGAAAGAGAAACTCAAGACCAAGATAACGGATGCAAACAGTGTTTCCAAGTTACATGAAATGTTTGATTTTTTGCCCCTTCCCCATTGTTAGGCAGATGGCGCTGTCCTGATGGAATTACATCTCTAGGCTCTATCATAAGTTTACATATCATCGTTGCGAGGTGTTGTTGTTGTTGTGGTTGTTGTGGGGGAGGGGACATCTTCCTCGGCTTTTGCATAACCTAGCTGAAGCCATCATCAACCACAGCTGCGGTCTTCTCATCTCCCTGACCATCCACTGTTGGCTTGAGCGGTGCGGTCTCCAGAATCCCGCCTGGTCCCCCGGGCGGGTTGACCAGGCTCATCCGTCTAGACATGCGCTTGTTGGCCCTGTGGAGCGCCTCGGGCTCCGCCTGCTCCAAGACTTCGATCTCCTCGGCTCCGTCCTCGGCGAGGGCAGTGCTATCCTGCAGGCCGTCCTGCGCCAGGCCGTCCTTGAGCTGCAGGTGCAGCCTGGCCATGTACTCGCTGGCCAGGGACCACGCACCGATGCCGACCTCGCTCGGCAGCGAGCTGTACATCTTCCTCGCCTCGTTGAGACACCTCTGCGCCTGGATGTACTTGGCCTGGTCGACCCACGCCTGCGCGCCCAGGACGCTCCAGAACGCAGACCTGCGCCGCCAGCTTCCAAAGGTCATGGACCCCACGCCCTGCTTCGTCGCACAGCAGACTGCCATGCGCTCCTTGAGAAGCGCGTCGCCGACGGGCCCCACGATGCGGCTCTCCATGATACGCACCCCCCACTTGACCGACTCGTCGACTGCCGGCCCACCACGCATGCGCAGAAGCTCGAGGCCGAGCGCCATGCACCGGAGGGTCCCGTACGGGGAGCTGCAGCGGGTGAGGTACGAGTAGGAGGCCTGCTCCAGCATGGACACGATATTGTCGAGGCGTGTCTTGGAGGACATATTTGGCGGCATGATAAGCAGCGATAACGCGGCCATCTCATTAGCGGCTGCGTGGTACTTCCAGGCCTTGTCGTTGCCAAAGTCAGACCGGATGAGCTCGTATGTCGACATGGCGAGCTTCCAGTCGCGCAGCATAAAGGCATAGTCGGCCAGCTTGCGCATGATCGCCTCGGGCGCATCGGCGGTGTAGTACCCTCCCGCGTGGAAGTTGTTTGAAGACGAGCTCCCTGTCGAGTTTCTCGACGCGCCGCCAAAGGTCGTGAACCTCTTGGACAGACTCATGAACCTCCCGCTGAAACCCTTCCGTTTGGATGCGACCTGGTCGTTCCATACAGAGATGTTGCGCTCCATTGTCGGTATTATCGACTGTGTCACCATCTCGCGGATAAAAGTCCGTATTGCTGTCGCATCTGACTCGAACATGTACCTTGTCGGATCCTCAAACTCCTCCTGGCCCTCGTGCCTCTCTATGTCGGCGAGCTCCTCCTGGGCGGTCATCCAGTCGCTCCTGGGCAGCGGTATGCTGTCGTCGTCCGTCTCGGCGCTCTGGCTGCTCCGTATCCGCAACAGGTGGCAGTGCAGCCCGAGGTGTCTCTTCATCTGGTCGAACAGCGCCATGGTCTTGGAGATGTCGCTGTTCTCCTCGTCGTGGACAAGTACGTAATAGCGCAGATACTCCGCGTCGATCCAAGGCGGCAACCTCCTGTCACCGTTCGTCGATTCGTGATAGAGCCTCCTGAACGTCTCGATGGGTGCCCGCTCGCGGGAGCTGGCAGCGATCACACACGCCACGGGGTGTGACCAGGACTCGTGCGCAGACATCGGTATGCCCGAAAGCAGTCGTCGGAGGTAGAGTGCGTAGTATGGTGATGTCACATCCATGTCCAGCCCATGTGTCGTGGGTGTACTCGGCTGTATGAGGTTGGAGAAGGACTGCTCGGCGTATTTCAGGTGTCGACTCACCACCGCCTCCACGTCCGGGATCCTCCGCCCCGAGCTGGTCTGTTCTGACGGCTGGCCGTTGGTTGTCGCCTCAAGCAGCCCCTCTGGCGGTTCGATATTGTCCCCAAACTGCGTGAACCGCACCGAGAAGTCCTCCCATGACCTACTCGCCCCGTTGCTATCTCGTATCGTCACCTTTCCCGGCACGCGCTCGCCGAACGGCCGCAGCAGCTCCCAGAGCCCTTGCTCGAAACCCTTCTCCCTGACCAGGCCGTCCGTCTCTGGCGAGGCATATATGGCGACGTGTGGCACAAAGGCCTTGAGCGCGAGGTTCAGCGGGTCGCCAGGCGTCGTAGCAGCATCGGTATCGGCAAGGGACTGTGTTACTAGCAGCGACCCTGCGCGCCCTCTCGAGAACGGCCGTGCCGGAGAGCCCCTGCCGACGGGGGACATGGACCGGGAGCCCGGTGGTGTGAGTGTCGAGGCATAGAGGCTGGCAGCTGATGGGTGGGAGCGTCGCTGGGGAAGGCTGAGTTCGGACTGGGAGAGAGACATGCTGTCGATGGTGTTCTTCCTTATGGAGGCCGCCATGGGCGGGGAGCTGATGGGTTCGCCAGAGCCGGAGTCATTGTCGACAGACATAGGCAAGGAGTGGGCTTCGAAGCAAGCGGTAGAGAGTAGAGGTATTGGGAGGTATCGTGTGGGTGTGTGTGTGTGAGAGAGAGAGAGAGAGAGAGAGAGAGGAGGGAGGGTCTACAGCTCTCTGTGTGTTGTATTGTGACAGTGTTGGGCCCACGATTGGTCGGTCGGGTTCGGAGAGGCGACGATGATCTGAGCGGGCTGACTTTCTGTCATGCAGGGGACGGATGGACCTTGTACGTGAGCGCGGGGCAGCAGAGCTTGTACTGAAGCTGACATGAGACCAGACCTTCCTCTCATGAGCACGCTCTTGTGTGCAGCAGCTGTGTTCTGGGCTGTTGCGTGGCAGCAAACAAGGTCCTGGCACTTTTCCGGATGGTCGATGGGCGGTTGGCGGTTGACGTTACAAGGTTACAGAGGGACAAGCCTGGGAACTTTTTGGGCTTGACCACAACTGGGGTAGTAGGTACCGATGTACCCCAGAGGTTTGTACCACAGGGGGGTGGCGCGCATTATTAGAACATCCCTACGACTGAAGAACATAACAAAATAGCACTGAAGAGGGGGGGGGGGGGGCGAGAACCAAATTAATTAGAAACCCCAATTAATTGATTATCTGAATCATATCCAAAGAGAGAGAAAGAGAGCTGTTTTCCTGTGATAAACACTCTTCACCTCTCTCCCATCCCGAACTCAGAAGATGACGGTTCAATTTGCCAGGGAAACATTTATAAAACTCGAACTGTACACCAGGGCCCTGACCCTCAGCATACCCTTTCTTCACTACCGCCTCGTAAGGTTTGAGAAAAGTCTTTGTGTTTTTTCACGTGTGCTCTCTCTTCAACAACTGCAGGACCTCCTCCGTACTAAGAACATCCCCAAAAGCAAACCCAAATCCACGAAGTCCCCTCTCGTGCTGTGTCTTGTTCGCAGACCCACAAGCATCACTGACAAGCACCGTTTCATACCCGCGATTAAACGCACTCCTCGCTGTAGTATCGCTACATACGTACAGACACACGCATGTAGCGTTTTTTGGTTGTTGTCAGGAGTCAACAAATATATATACAGAGACAATGATTAATTTTGGGGGGGGGGGGGGCAGAAAACGACATGCTTTGCTTACCAGCAGCAATCTGTCATGACACCACAAACAACCACCCTCTCCACCTCGGCCTCCTCCAGCACCCGCCCAAGTTCCGTGTTGATAAAAGCATCATATGTGTTCTTGTGCACGACCTGAGGCTGCCAGTCATCATTCTTTCGTCGTGTCGTCGCATCCTCGTCTTCCACGTATGCTTCCATCTCCTTCTGCAGTTCCCAGTCCTCGGATCCGTACGCGATCGAGCCGTCAGGACCCCACTTCCGAACAAGCTGGCTGGGCGAGGGCACCGTATCGAGCTCGTCTCTGCTGTGGCCATGCATGGTGAAGACGAGAGGCGCCGAGGTGGACTGGAAGAAGGAGGTGAGCTTTTGGATGTTGGGAAGAGCGGCGGTGGTCATGGGGGCGAAGAACTTTTGCATGTCGATTACGAGGAGGGCGGTCTTGGGTAGCGACATGTTGAGATGGTTCCGATGTAGACAATAAAGAATACAAAAGAAAAGAAATTGATATGTCAATAATATCAAGGTAACTTGTTGGCCTTATTTCCAAGCATTGCGGAAAAGAAGAGGCCACGACGTAAGAGAAGAATGCCCGCAGCGACATAGATGTACTTATGCCATACTCTTGTGACGTCAACCGAGGGGAATTACGTGCATGGGGGAAGAAGATACCGTACAATACGAGCGTCTTCCCAAGTTTTTGCAACTTCTCTCAGATGGTACAATGCGCTATTTGAGCCTCTTATTACCGTTTACTTGATGGTGTGCGTATTGCAAATATGGCCAGCAACGTCCTTGTCATCCTACAAGCGTCTTTTCTTTACCTTGCACACCAGAGTAGCAAAGGGAGATCGCTCTCTCAACATTAGTTCTTTTTTCCTCCTTCTCTCTTCTTTTTCCCTTCCTTATGGACGTAGTGTGTGTTCAGACTGCGGGTTTGAAAGGCTAACGAAGGACCATCGCGATTGAATCGTGATCATTGTTACTTATGAACCAAGCTTACTTCGGCGGGATCCAGCTTGAAGTATTGCGCCTCAAGGTGTTGCCATGTTCAGTGGCCGAGACATGAAGTGAGCTACAAGTAAGGATTCAGGTCAGCCTGAGATGTAAAGACACTGGAAATGAGACGCTGATATGCATTCACAAGCATGACCAAAGGTAGGAGGAGAGATCATGCTTACCAGTGCGGCAAGGCCTGTCGACTTGTCAAGGTCTAACAACACGGATGCTTTGTTCATCATGCTCTATCTCTGTATCGTTACGTGGCATCTCTCACTGGAGCACATTATTGCGTTCCAGCAGAGCATTCCAATAATCCCAGTCCACAGGCGCCCATCCGGTGACATCGACATCAGCTGTGAGATTGCTAAACATGCTGTCAAATTGCAGGTCCAGGTCCGGTATGAACGGGCCTCCCATCGCGTCGGTGCCCGTGTTTATGCCGCCTCCGAGAGAGGAGGCCAAGTTCTGATTCATGTCGTTGTATCTCGTGTCGACCTGCGTCGCGACGCCGGCGAGCTGGTGAAGAGCCGACGCATCGGGAGGGACCAAGATAGACGCCATGGATGCAGTCCTTGCTTTTCTTGATTTTCGCTCCCGTAGCTCGCTGATGATGTTCGGCACGGCGAGAGGGTCGAGGTCCTTGCGCGCGATATCCGCCTCGCGGGCCTCCCACGCGCGCAGAGTGAGAGCTCGCACGGCCGCATACAGCTCGTTCCGCCCATCCTCCAGCAGGGCAGGTCTGTACTTGTACATGTCTGACACGAGACGCCAGGCCCTCTCGGTCATGGGGCTGTCTGCGGCTTGGGTACGGGAGGCGATGAGCATGAAGACGAACGCATCGATCTGGAAGGCGACGTCGAGGTGCCACGAGAAGGTGTCGAGGGCCTTGGTGGACTTGCCCAACACGTCGTACTCGACCATCTGCACGCTGATGGCGAAGAGCATGTCCCTCTCGGCCCGAGGCATCGATTTCCCCTTGTACTGGGCCGGGTGGTGGGCCATCAGCCTCAACTTGCACACGGCCGATCGCACGCCTCCTTCGGCCATGAGGTGCAGCGGAATGGCTGAGTCCAGATATTTGAGATATGTGTCTTCCATATGGGACTCGAATTGGTCGATGAGCTGGTCTTTGGTCCGGACAGGAACGTCGGGATCATGCAGCTTTCTGGCGTGAAGCGTCATGAACTCACCAACCTCGTAACGACACAGGCAGACTGTGTGTAGAACCTGAGTCAGCAATCCAAAGAAGAAGAAGAAGAAGAAGAAAAGAAGATAACTCCTTGACGACTCAGCACTCACAAGTCATCTCTGTTGGACCTTTGTGGACCATGGGCATCTCAGCCATGTCAGGGTTGATGTCGGCATCATTGAGGTTCGCAGGCAAAGGAGAGATGCGAATTTCCTGCAGAGACGGTCTGACCCCGATCTGTGAATGACTTCGCCCGTCTATCCATACAATCTGCCGCCAGAGGCGCCTCCGCAGCTGCGAGTTATACACCGAATCGTTAGAGAGGCCATGGCCGCCCTGCCCTGCCATCCTCAGCCCCAAGCGGACGGCAATGCCGGCCAGAAGCCAGAAAGTCTGGGCATCGTAGATCTGCCGAGCGGGAAGCTGTAGAATAATGGTCAGTATGATGACCGTATGTTATGGTCGTGCGGGAACCAAACAATAGGGAGGGGCCGGGGGGTTCGAAGACGTCAGTACCAAAAAGACAACAAAGGCCTGGAGCGTGACAATGCTCCGAGATTTCATAAAAGACGCGGCCGCCAGGGCCTGTTGACAGGCAGAAAAATACCGACTAAGCAGGACTGTCTTGGGCCCGTTCAGCTGGCTGCGGCAGTCCTCCTCCTTGAGCGACATGACGGCCGCCGCATAGATGGCGAAGAGCAGGGCCACGGAGGGCTTAGGGACCGAATCGAAGTCCTTGCTGGCCTCGATGACCTGGGGCTGAACGAGGGGCGCATGGATGACTTTGGACAAGGGATTGACGTTTTGGAGGAAGGTTTGCCACAGCATGAAAGCGTGCATGGGCGGGGGGTGAAAGTCGCGGAGGTTGACTACATCACGGATGGAGGAGAAAAGTAGGGTGGAGGGGTCTAGGAGGGAGTTTGGTTCCGGGTCTGCGGCCACATCCTCTTCACTCGAGGACGACTTGTTGACTGACGGGTCTTGGAACTAGGGGGCCAGGCTTCAGTTGGCATTCTTTTCCTTTTTAAACTGATCTTGTAGAGAAGGGAGAAACACAGGTAAGTAGAGTAGGCGCGGAGCAGCAGGAGTCGAACCTCTTCAGTTAAGCCAGTCCATAAGTTCCTATAGATGATTGTCAATACATATATGCTGTGGACTGCGATGAAGGAGACCAAAATTGGAAGTACTGAGTAGGTTCCCAAGCAACGAAAGAAGGAGAAGACTTGGGAATTAGCAAACTCACTGTCCAAAGGTCGGAACCTGTGGCCTGTCAGGTCGTGGTTCTTCCTCAATCGCTATGGGTCTGGTGGTGTTCGTAGCGCCTGGGATCTTCGACGAGATGGAATCCGAACGAGGCCTCTGCTCTCTCGTCGACGACGAAGAAGAATCATTTCGCTTGCGACGCTTGTAAGGTTGTCTCACGCCCGGGACACAATCCACGCCGGCTCGAACACATCCACTGCAAGGATTTGCCCTATCACAGCGGACTTTCCGCTGCTTACAGAGAAGACAGGAGTATTCCTGCTGTTGCCCTGAGGTCCGGAATTGTGTTGTCTGGGTGGCGGCGGCAGCAGCAGCAGCAGCAGCAGCAGCAGGCGAGGATGAAGAGGCTGAGATCTGTGGCTTAGGAGAGGTCTCTGGTGCAATCATGTTTGCCCGAGAGAGGTTGTGTTGTCATCGAAGGAGAACGGAGGTGGTTTTATGAGCCGCTGTCGTTCATGGCTAAGTCTTTTTTATTTTTATTTTTTGATAATCTGACTGTTTTGTTAATGACAATACTCACATTACGTCAAGCAAAAAAGGGAAAGAGAGGTCAAGTCCTGGAATGGCCGAGGGGATAAAACAACGGCTCGTCTTCTGTTTTCTCATTCCTTCTGCAGTGCAAAATGAAGGAACCTCCTACAGCAGAGAGATAGAGTACACTACACACGTCCGGGACTTGGTTGAGAGGAGTCCGTCCGGCGCTGTCGGGCGCTACGAAGACCGCCCTCTACCTTTGGCGGTTTGGAAGGGAAAGAAGGACCCAGCTCCAACCAAAGTGCGCCAACACCGACAACCGGTGGGCCAACCGGGGCGAGGGGGGCGTCTTTCCTTCAGCTCAGTGGGACCCGACATTCCTTCTAGGACGCGCACTCACCTACCTCTTTGCGAAACTCTCTAATGCTCAACCGATCTTGGAAGGAGAGAAAACACAGGAAACAAAAACAAAAGACAACGTTGCGAGGTAGATCGCCGCAACCCCAAGCACATGAAACGCAACAAAAAAAAAAAAAAAAGGCCCGGCAGAAACGGGTGTCGGTTGCATTCTTCTCTCAGTCTTCCAGAAGCATACAAAACAGCAGAGGGTGGGGTTAGCAGCCCCCCTCCCCCCTCCACCCTCCCCTTTGGAAGGCCTAGGTACGGGTACATGCTGGGTCTTGTGAGCTGCAGCGGGTGTGTGAAGAAGGTTCAGAGGTCCGCAGGCCCGGGGGTTTACCAACGGTATTCCCCATCACGCCCAGATGTCTTTCGGACCCCGATGTGATCGGTGCATTAGTAGCCAGCCTTAAAGGCCGGCCTAAGAAGTAGAATCCCAACTGCATATACCTGAGTGTATTATCTAACCAAAGTACGTAGCACAGGTTTGTGCACAGCAGAGGAGTGAGTGCTTCGACGGCCGGTTCCCTCATCTCACCTTGTCACTGCAGCAGCTCTCAGGAATCCGGACTTTTTTTTCTCTCTTCCTTTCGGTGAGCTTCTTTTGCCTGGTCGCACCTTTTCACGCGCACACACACGCACACGCCTCTGAGCGAGTCCTGCGTCTTCCGGGGTCATCCTTCAACTACTAACTTCTTACTCCGTTTTCCTACCATCCGCTTGATCTTGAATCCGCCGCCTTCTTGTCACTTAGCTTCTGGTCTGTCTCAAGTATGAAGATCCTCTGTCTGCACGGGCAGGGCGTAAGTGGTGCCATCTTCAAATCTCAGTCGGGTTTGTCACGCCCTAACTTCTCAAGAGAATCTCTTCTTCCTTGTAAGGAGGATGTAAAGTAAATTCTCCCGTGGCTGACCCAATTCATGAATGTTCTCTGCCTTGTTCAGCCTCCTTCCGGGGCAAACTACCCTCAGACTGGGAATGGGACTTCCCTGACGCACCCTTCTCGGCCAAACCACACCCAGGCATCGACCTTCTCTTCGGCAGCCCGACCTACACCTGGTGGCTTCACAATACCATCAACGCCGTGCGCGGCGCCCACCTCTGGCTGGAGGACTACATCGATGAGCACGGCCCCTACGATGCGGTCTGCTGCTTCTCCCAGGGTTGCTCCTTGATTGGGAGCTACCTGCTGTACCACGCAAAGGAGAAGCCCGAGAAGCCACTGCCCTTCCGCTCCGCCATCTTCATCTGCGGAGGCATGCCGCTGCCCGTCCTGGAGGACCTCGGCCTCGAGGTGCCGCAGCGTGCCCACGAGCTGCACGAGAGGACATCCATCCTCATGCGGGCTAAGAGCGCTATGCTGTACGACATCGACAAGCTACCCAAGGGCCAGGGCCTATGGGACAACACGGCCGACCTCGAACACGACTTTGATGAGCTCCCCGACGAGACGGACTGCTACGGGCTCGACTTTACCAAGTTTCCCAAGGACATTAGGATCAAGATCCCGACGGCACACATCTACGGCGCAAAGGACCCGAGATGGCCGGCGGGTATCCAGCTGGCCTACTTTTGCGATAATCGGAGGATGTTTGATCACATGGGCGGCCATGACATCCCCCGAACCACAGATGTGTCGAACAAGATCGCGGAACTGGTCAAGGATGTCAATGGTCTCTGAGGGACAAAACATAGGAGACCCGATGACGAACGCAGCAGGGCAAGTCGGCTAAAATTAACCTGCTCTGCGTTATGATAGATGGCGTTGGTGGTCACAATGAAATAGATTTGTATTAAAATGCAAATCCATATTACTGCTGGCCAAGCATTCCCCAACACCATGCACCGCGTCGTCAACCCATAACTTAACACAAGCTTTTTGAAGGGCAACATGCACCTCGGCTTCAGAGTCTCTATGTACATACTTAGCTCTCATGAAATCTGCAGGAGAATGGCATCGTCATCTTTGTGTTGGATCTTGCGTGCCATGAGGCAGTTCTGAATACGCCATTCACCTGTGCACCGGATGTAACCTGGTTCATGTGAGAATATTCAGGGCGCCGGATGAGTTTCAGAAGTTTTTCTCAGCAATGAATGAGTATGGACAAATAAAAACGTCACAACCTCACACGAGCGAAATGGAGAAATGGACTAACGGATTCACGTTGGTTCGAACTCTTGATCTTGATTTGGTAGGAAAGCTCAGTATTGTTTGTCCAAGTCAAATCTCACGCCCTGCCGACTGCACCATGAGTCCAGCCCCAAGGCAGAAGTACAACTGCCCGGCCTGATCATCCTGTGTTTCCACGCAGGTAGGAGGCAGATGGAAAGAAAAAAGAGAGATAGATTTTAAAATAAAATAAAAATCAAAAGCGAAGAGCAGAACCCTCACGGACTCTGCAGTATTGGGCAGAATGATTTCTGAACAGATTAAGTATCTTGCTACTTCGCTGGTAAGTTTTGTTGTGAAAATGTTTATAAAGCAAATCAAAAAGAGCCGGTACGATGGTTTAGAGCATGGCTGACTGACTGGGGTGCGGCCCCCGCTTTGGCCACCCCTCCTTCGAAGATGTTGAGAGAAAGAGATAAGAATAAAGGACAAAGTTACTACAGTCGTGTCAAGAGCATTATATATGTGATCGTAATTTCTCATCTGTATAAAAGCATATACGCCACTATTATATGTATCACAAAAAGTAATGTTAGATACCTTAAGTACTTATGTATGCCCATGCTTCGTGACCGAGGCCAACTGCCAACAAGATTCCAATCGGCAGTCTGTGCAAGCAGGAAAAAGAGTCAAGTACGCCCGTTTTGATTTTCTAGTATAGAAGAACGTCAACGCGTACTGAATGTTCCAGAGCATCCAAAAGCGACAAACAAGAGAATCAACGCAGGAAAACGGGCCTCGGTCATAATCGGGTGGACAATTTCCCGGGGGCGAAGGGCATATTTGGAAGACTTGAGGACTTTTCGTCTCGAGGTGTAATACATGAAAGGCGAAGAGAAGCACGCTCATTATATTGCTGCTATATTCACTCACATATGTGATTATTCAGGTATGTCCATATGAAGCTCCTTCGCTGAGGATGCGAAAGTTATAGATCGCTTATACTGACAATCTCGGGGTTCTTGTCTTTGTGCGGCATAAGTCTTCATGATCGGAATTCACATTGGCTTCAATTGACTGTGTCTCATCTGTCTACTTGTAGATGTGTATAATTCGACGTTCAAGGACCAAATGGTTCGATTTTGAGCATTGACAAGACCGTTCACCGTTTCTCTTCAGACCTAGGCCATTCATACATACGCCGTCGACTCAACGCTGTTTCTTTCAGATTCACTCTTACCTCTTCGTTCTCCCTCCTCCTCCTCCTCCTCCTCCTCCACCACCACTTGACCGCTTGCTCGCCTTTCCCAAAGCCGGTCCAACAACTAGACTGCCCACCGCCGCCTCAGCCAGGTGGCGCATGGCGACGTACTTGATCCCGCCTTTCTTCTTAGGCTTGAAGACATGATCCACGACAGCGGCACCAAGCGCAGCCGAGGCGATCTTGGTCCCCTTGACGGGCCAGGGGATCGAGTCGGTGCCGACCTTGATGGCGGCGATGGTGCCGGCCTGCATAGCCACCTTGGCGGCGTCCTGCCAAGGGAAATCGTCCCAGAACCGCGATATCTCGGCGACGGATCTGGGGTCCAGCCGCTTCACCATGCTCTGGACGTGTTTGGGCATGGTCCGGATCGACTTGTCGGACAGGCCGCGCCGTGGCCGTGGGCGGCTGGCGCGGGAGCCCGTGTAGGTTGATGAGGCTGCCCTGGTAGTGCGTGGCCGGGAGGAGGAGGAGGAGGTGGTGGCGGCGTGGTTGCGGTGCTGGCGGTATGACGAGGCAGCCCTCGTTGTCTGGGGCCGGGAGTGATGGTTTGTGTGTGAAGCTGGGTTCGGCTTCGAGGATGTGGTTTTGTGTCTTCTGTGTCCGTCGTCGTCATCTGCATCGTCTTCTCGTGAGCGGTGGCGTGAAGGTGAGGGTGAGCGCCGTCGAGAGTGCCCATGCGAGCGAGTCTGGCTGTCCCCCTTCCTCCTTCTCGAGGTGCTCTGCCGCCGCTGCTCCCTGCCATCATTCTCCTCCTTGGCAGGCTCCCTCGCTGCCGCCCTGGGCGAGAAGTACGAGTCCAGAGGGTCTTCCTCGTCTGAGAGGTAATATTTATCCTTGGGGTCGTAGTCGGTATCCCATCCGCTGTCGTATTTCTTTTGGGCCTCGGGCTGATGGGTTGTTTTTATAAGGGAATCCTCCCTCTGGACGCCCGGCCGGTAGCCACGGGATAGATTCGAATGGCGACGGCGCGAGCCATCTTCACTGCTGGTAGAGGCGTCTTTGTAGTCGGCGTTCTTTGTTCTGTGTCGCCTCGATGAGGACATGACGCTATTTTATTCTCAGGATATGGGTGTCTTTCCAGAAAACAAAAGCACAAGAATGAGGTCAAAATTGAGTGAAACAATAATTGATAGGTCTCGGGATATTGTTTGATAGTGAGACTAGTCACCCACCTATACTAATTTGATGCCTAGAAGAAGCCTCTGGCTGTTCTTTTGTACAAAATTAGGGGTCGGCAAATGGATGAGGTGGGTAGCGTACGACATGGAAAGTGTGATGCAACACAACACGCATGGCCAGTGGAATGTGTCACACGCAGGTGCCAACAGGAGTCAAAGAGAACCCCATCTTGACATGGTCAGTTAGCTCGGACCGGCAGTCACCAAAGTAACCATTTTTTCTAGTAGTCTGGTCTGATATAGAGTATATAGGAGTATAGTAGCTGAAATATTGCGAGTGGTACGATGTGGTGTGGTGAGAGAAATACTCCGCGCTGCCATGCGGTTGGTTGGAAGACAAGACGCAGGGTATCCCACCCCTGACAACCCACTGATGTCATTCTGCGTTGCAGGAGTGGCGGGACCCCTAACGATAAGCCAGCCCTCTCTTCTCTTAAATTCATCCCCTGTGGACGACACTCACAAACTGCTATCCCATATTGATCGTCTATTGTGGCTTGTCTATGAGATCTGTCACTCCTGAAATTTGATGTGCAATGCAGGACTGTGCAGCTGATGGGCTCCAAATATTTGGGCTCTCATGAATACTGAACATGTCCAGCTGGAATATTTCTACACCAGAGCCATGACATCTTCTCATCAACGTGCCATGCAAATTTGCACGAGCCACATTCACTGCAGATTGACATCATCGTACCCCGCCACCATACACCATGAAGCCCCGCTTTTGGTGGGTGGACTTAAACTATGGTAATGGCTGCTGCCCCCGCCCACGTTTTCAGGGTGTGGCATCGTAAGATCCTTTTCTCAAGGGTCGCAAGAAAGGTCGTCCTCGTACATCGTACTTTTGGGAGAGGAAGGGGTCCACCGCCTTTTCGACGTCAAGCTGCATGGAACTTCTTCGATCGGAGGGTTGAAGGAGAATTCGCGATATGATCTGACAAGGACGGTTTCTCGAATTATCCATGGGCATTCATGCATGGAGCGGGCGCCGCCGCATGAGAGAGGGGGGAAACGGTCTTACTGTTTGGTGACGATGACACGATGATCATCGTTTCTCTCTCCAGGGTGTCAAGACGGTGGTAATAACAAATCTCATGGAGCTCTTCTTTTTCCTTTCTTTCTTCCCTCTTTACAAATAATGCGTTGGAATATCCCAGTTTCTGCTCTCCCTCCTGGCTTGATGACTTGTGTCATTTTCGTGTACATGTCTGGCTCGAGTGAGGCGTGGTCGGGGCCTGGTCATTGTAGATCACCCAAACAGATCAGCGTTTAAGTTCGCACACAATCCTTGAGGATCTGGCCAGCCACACTATTTTATATACTACAATATACTTAAAGTACATAGTATTTGGGCACGCCGGTGCTGGCCGGGTCTTACTTTGACAGGCCCCACCAACGGGCCGCTGCTACACGGGCTCGACCGGCCCGAAGTAACGGTGGAGAACCGGGGTCGTGGAGATATTGGGGGGGGGGGGGGAAATCAGGGTTGAAGTTGATCTAATTGTTCAGCAGTCGATAACTGCGCAACAAATAAAACAAGGGCCACGCAGCCAGAATGGCTTTGGACGACAGAAAATCAGGCAGCACGACGCTCTCGCCCGCTGATGAGATACATGGCAGCCCTGACGTCCAGCAGAGGGTCACCTGAGGGCTCGACGCCCGGGACATCTCTCGGGATCGGATCGAAGATGATCTGCTTCTGCTCCGCCGCATCATCCTCCACCAGCCCCTCCAGGTTGATCGTCCCGAGCTCTACCACCTGCCTCTCCTCTGGCCAGTGAACACAGCAGTCATCCGTCACATCCCCTTCCTCCGCCACCTGCACTGTCAGCCTGAACTTGATAGGGCCAGTCCCCAGCAGCCTGGGGACCTCGCTGAACAGGTAGTCTTCCGCCTTCGAGGCCACTTCCTCGGCGCTCAGCGTCTTGAGGCCCACTGCGGGCTCGATCCTGTAGCGCACAAACGTACCCTTCCCGCCCGCGTCGACCAGCTTGAACGCGTTGACCGAGAAGAAGCGCTGGGTCGCGAAGCTCTCCGGGAACGGCTTGGGCGCCTGCACGAAAGCCAGCGCCTTGGGGTGTGTGCCCAGGTACGACTCAATCTCGCCGTCCTTTAGCGCCCGGAAGAAGGCGAGGGCCTCGTCACCGTTGGAGCCGGGGAAGCCGTCGACGCTGTGGCCGATGATGTCCGTGTGCTTGCGCCGCGGGTGCGAGGCGAGCTGGAAGCGAAGTGCAAAGCCATTGGGCTGGGCGTTAGGCGAGGCGTCAGAGACGTCGGGCAGACCGGTCGCTGTTTTTATAGTGATTAGCTTTTGTTTGCATCCATGCTTACGATGAAGAGGAATCTACAGCCTGGGGTTGGTTCGCGCACTCACAGTTGGAGAACCGAGCGATGACTGGGGTCGAAGGCTCGTTAAAATGCTGTGCCATGGAGAGTTTGCCCGCCTCTGCCGTTGGTGTAAAGGTGCCCTTGAGAAGGATACCCTTTGCGTGGGCTACATATTTGGTACGACGTGATACCTTTAGCACATTTCTTCCCTACTATTATCATAACAAGGAATGCAATCAGTAGAGGGAATCCGAACCGGGGCGGAATCCAGGATGAGGACCAAAGATTCCGTGAAGGGTGTCAACCAGCCCTTTACTAGTCTCCACCACGTGCTCGTCTGCTGGAAGAGGCATTTTTTGAATTTCTCGCGAGTCCAAGGTCTTTTATAGGGCAAATTGGTCCTTTGCTTGAAACTGGGGGGAATGAATTCTGGAGTTCTGAAGATGGGCTCGGATGCTCTCACTCGTTCACCACCCCGCACGAGTTTATATAAGTACTTGTGGTTTTCCACCACCCCTCCCTCTTCTTCCAAAGATAAATAGCGTCGCCTTAAAGCTACTATATCGTCCATTTTGAGATACGTGTATTCCAAATCACAAATCCCACGCCTGTCATTGGGTCGCGTAAGATGCTTCCGCCCTATCCCGCCTTGTTCCCTTTTCAGTCCATCATTTACTGTACTTGCATAGTAGGGCCTGAGTTCGCCCCGCTTTCTTATGCAAGTCATACTGGTCCTTTGTCAGCACAATCATTGTATAGGGCAGGTGGAATGGGGTGTCTATGTCAAGATGATTTGTATTTGATAATCATCATCAAGAGAACAGAGCCTGTACTTGTATGCTGCGCTGATGATTGGTGTGAGATGATTGGTCAGAGGTTATCCTGCGCCTACCTCGGGCTAGTAATGATAAGGCAAGCTAACTGCAACAGCGGGGACTTGCATCATTGTCTCCCAAAGGCAAGGCTTGCTGGCAGCACTCAAGGATGTTAGTGCTACATACGACAGCGCCTGACCCAGCTTGTGATTGCACCCAACTCGAAACCTTTCCACAACACTCGCACGCAACTAATATAACACAAACCACGCCGAGAAGCTCAGACGGCCTCCGGGCCAGAGCACGGAATCTTCCTCTCTCACGCACAGATGGACAACACGATTGGTGACGAGGGCCCAGACTCGGTGCCTGGTCCATCTTCTCCAGGCGCCGGCGGTATTGGCATTGGCATTACCATTGGCACCGGTACGCCCTCGAGTTCGAACCCGCCCACTCCTGTCAACATTGTCGGCCCTCAGGCCCCCTTTCCACAGCTGCGGAACGACCCAGAGCAGGATGGCCGGCCCCTACCTGCCAAGTCTGCCTCCCACGTACCACCGACGGCAGAGGCCAACGATGACGATGACCCTACCGTCGCAGAGCCCTTTCACCGCACGTCGAGCCCAGATCCAGCGAGCCGGAGTGGCACACACGGGCTTGCGTCCGAGGAGGAGTTCGATGGCGTCACTGGGACAGAGGACGCTGGCGAGGAGGGCAGGCCGAGGAGGAGGCTCGTGCACAAGATGCACAAGTTCAGCCTGTACGAGACGGCGAGCAGGTACTATATCGTGGGAGGGGACGTGACAGAGAAGCGGTATCGCATCCTCAAGATCGACAGGATGGTTGACGACAGCGATCTGAGCATCACTGATGACAAGATCGTCTATACGCAGAAGCAGATGAACCAGCTTCTCGACACCATCGACGACGGGAACAAGGGTACTGGAGGCATCAGGCTGAAGTGCACCACCTGGGGCCTCCTGGGGTTCATCAAGTTTACTGGGCCCTACTACATGCTGCTCATCACCAAGAGGAGCATTGTGGCTATGCTCGGTGGCCACTACATCTACCAGATCGAGGGCACCGAGCTCATCCCCCTCACTCCCGCCAGGTACAAGACCGACGGGCGGAACACCGAAGAGTCTCGTTTCCTGTCCATCCTCAACAACCTTGACCTCACCAGGTCCTTCTACTACAGCTACTCGTATGATGTCACGCGGACCCTACAGCACAACATCACCAAGGAGCGCATCGCCCTGAACAATGGCCTGCCCTGCTCGGTGGATGACGACCCGAACACAATGTTCGTTTGGAATAGTCATCTCCTGCGACCTGCGGTGGACGCCCTCAAAGATCCCTTTGACTGGTGCCGTCCCATCATACACGGCTATGTAGACCAGGCTTCGGTGTCCATCTACGGTCGGACTGCGTTCATTGCCATCATCGCACGGCGATCCAGGTATTTTGCAGGAGCTCGTTTTCTGAAGCGCGGAGCCAATGACCTTGGCTATGTGGCAAACGATGTCGAGACGGAACAGATCGTATCCGAGGCGCTCACGACATCCTTCCATGCACCCGGCGGGAAGCTTTATGCCAGCCCGGAGTATACGTCCTATGTTCAGCACCGTGGATCCATCCCTCTCTACTGGACACAGGACAATACAGGTGTCACTCCGAAGCCACCCATCGAGCTCAACCTGGTCGATCCTTTCTACAGCGCCGCCGCGCTGCACTTTGACAATTTATTCGAGCGCTACGGCTCACCCATCTACGTGCTCAACCTCGTCAAGGCCAAGGAGCGGACGCCTCGCGAGTCCAAGCTGTTGGACGAGTTTCGCAGGGCCATCACGTACCTCAACCAGTTTTTGCCCGAGAAGAACCAGATCATCCAGCGCCACTGGGACATGTCCCGCGCCGCCAAGGACCCCGCCCAGGACGTCATCCAGACCCTGGAGGACATCGCCGAGGACGTTGTCGTGACGACCGGCTTCTTCCAGAACGGCGACGGGGTGGTCAGCCCCAAGCGCGTGCAGAATGGTGTCGCACGCACCAATTGCATCGACTGCTTGGACCGAACCAACGCCGCGCAGTTTGTGATCGGCAAGCGCGCGCTCGGCCACCAGCTGCACGCCCTGGGGATCCTGGGCGACACGGCGATCGAGTATGACACGGACGCGGTCAACCTGTTTACGCACATGTACCACGACCACGGGGACACCATCGCTGTACAGTACGGCGGATCGCAGCTCGTCAACACCATGGAAACGTACCGCAAGATCAACCAGTGGACGAGCCACAGCCGCGATATGATTGAGAGCTTCAAGCGATACTACAACAACTCTTTCATGGACGGGCAGCGGCAGGAGGCCTATAATTTATTCCTGGGTAACTACATCTTTGCGCAGGGGCAGCCGATGCTGTGGGACCTGGCGACGGATTATTACTTGCACCATGCAGACCCGAGGACATGGGCGAACGAGAACAAAAGGAGCTATATCGAGTGGTACACGCCGGACTTTCTCAAGGAACACACACTGCCGGACTATGCGCCGCCCAAGGGCGCCGCCGCCAAGATGCCAATTTCTTACTTCGACGACTACTGGCTCGAGTACTATCGCCCTCTGACCCTGTCGTCCCTGCAGAAGATGTTCCCGTACAAGATGAACTCAACCATCAAGTACATACCTTTCAAGTCCACGCAGGACGGCCGCTACGACCTCAGCCCATTCCATGTGCGCGCCCGTACCGAGACAGACGCCGATGGCCACGACAAGCGCAAACCAAAAAAGGGCGTGACGATACTGGACCCAAATGAAATCGCCAAGGCCGGTGATGGTGACGACGACACCGCGTCCATTGCGTCTGGGAAGGCGGGCCACACAAACAAGGGCCTCTCGCTGCAGCGCTGGCTCCACCAGTCACCTGTCCAGGACAAGCCTCCCCTGAACGGCAGCCCGCACGGCATCATGAAGGAGCCTGCTACACCGGTTGTGAATGGGAATGTCGAGCTCCCAGCCGAAGCCAACCAGCCCAAGGTCAAGGCAACGCCGCTTGAGAAATCTCGCCAGGCGCAGTGGACCTTTACAAAAGTCGTCCATGAGTCCCTGAACCCGTCCGTCAGCGCGCAAGAGGCTGAAGACTACATTCGTTATGTCAGTCATCCGCAAAATCTTCCGCTGGTGGTATCGTCCGACACACCGGCCGATGTGGCCGACAGCGAATACCAGGAGTACATCAACGGGAGCTGGCAGAGTGATGGTCTGTTGCTCATGCCGCCTGGATCCTCTTCAGGAAGCGCAGGTCTCGCTGGGGGTGGTGGAGGAGGAGAAGGAGGAGGAGGCGGCGGCGGTGGTGGCGGCAGTGCGGTCGATGATTACTGGCACATGTACTCTGAGCTGCTGAAGGTTGGAGAGGACCCGCTGACGGTAAAGGAGGAGGACGTGCACAAGAAGCGCTACAAAGCCTATGGCAAGTGGCTTCGTGGAAAGAGCCTGTTCAAGCAGCAACCTGTCGACTAGGAGTCGGCTAGGCCTGGCGAGTGGCGGTAGGCCATTTCTTTCTTCAGAGACAGGTTGTCAAAGATCCTTGAAGAGATCTGCGAGGAGAGGCTCTTGCGCGATCAGCGGTGCTACTTTTCCCTTCAGGCCGTCTCCCTCTTGGCCGCTCTTTATCGCATTGGAAAGCATGGCTGCTGTCCGGATGAGAGTGGTCTGGATCAGCACCAAGTCCTTGTCGGAGTCGTTGCTCTTCTCGTCGTGCACGTTCAGAAAGCAGACGACGAGAGCCTTGACCAGTTCATCCTGGTAGGCCGGTGTGGAGAGTCGCGGCCAACAAATTGAAATTAACGATTCGAGGGAATGTAGAGCGGAAAGCAGCATGTCTGGCGCCAAGGGCGCAAAGGGATTTGTCATGACTTCAGAGTGCATAGGGATCAGATCCTGTACGCATATAATTAGCACTGTTTAGATACCCTCATAAGCAAGCAATTGCAATCGCGGTTTTTATAAACTTGATTACTCACTTTCAGATGTTTGACGGCTTGAATGCCCATCTCCCTGACAATGTCGGCCGTCTGCGAAAGCAACACACTGACGATGCGCACGTGCTCTTTGGCGTGAAAATAAGCCGAGAAGATACCGTGGCGCAAGATCCTATCCAAGAGCCTGGCCCTCGGTGAGCGACTGCCCTCTGATCCCCCCTGCTGAGCCTTGTTGTCCACATTTGCTTTCTGCGCAAGCGTCAGAAGCGCTCTGTAGGCCGGCCCGAGGAGCTGGACCGAGTCCTCCTCGGGCGTGATGCTGGGCAGGAAGTGCAGCGTAGGGAAGATGGCATCTTGGAACAAGCTGCTGAGGCCGGTGTCCCGGAGGATGGTGTCGGGGAATTTCATTAGGAAGATGTTCAGGAGGATGAGGCCGCGAGCTCGGACTCTGGTTGTCCCGTCGTCTGCCATCGTTAGGAGAACCGGGATGAACAGTGGCCACTGTTTGCTAATGAGATATTCCTGAATCATTTGATGACGAACAAAAAAGTCAGTTGCAGCTTGCGATATCAAGAGGCTGTTTGAGAAGAAGAAAAAGGAAAGAGGGAGAGGGGGGAGGGGAGACCTACATCCGCCCCTTGGACCGCCCATTCGAAGACGGCTATTGACCTGTGGTCTGCATACTTCCACGGCTTGACCTCCTTGGTCTCGTCTGTTAGCCCGCGGTGGGGATCGTTCTCGTCCGGGAACTCGGCCTTCCTTCCTGATGCCGTGACAGTTCTAGGTCTGGATCTGGAGAACATAGGGCGCAGGTAGCCCTTCAGGATGGTCTCCACTATGAAGTCGTCTTTTTGTACGTGGCTTGAGAGTTGTAGCTGCACGACCTCCTGGGAAAGACGACTCGTTTCCTGGTCCGTCCATGGGTATGCCTCCGACGTCTTGTCTGAGACGTCGGACACACTTGCTGTCTTGGTAGCAGTGAAGGAGATGACGGTGAGGAGCACCTCCTCGCTGAGCGTGGCCGCGTGGTCATTGCTGCAGAGCCACAGTATTTCGACGCCATAGCGTCCTAGTTCGCGACTTTGCTGTGCGACCTGCTCGTACTCGGGCGGCTCATCGTTTGCTATTCCTTTTGTGTGAGATACGGCTCCGCGCGGGGTCCTTTCTCTGCTTGCAAGGTTTCTACACACCTGCACTCTTCTCCTCCTCGGCTGTCACGCGTGGGGCAATAATTTCAGAGACCCAGTCACAGAGATGCTGTACAGATGCCTCATCACCTGGCTCCCTTTTGACTCTCCCCCTGTCCTTGAGACAGGCAAGGATGGCAACAAGACAAGTCTCGCAACTCTAAGTAGAAAGTTTCGTAATGAGTATACACATGCACAACATAATACAAAGGGATTATTGAGGACAATACCGTCGTCGGCCTCAGGCCCAATGCTTCATCAGCAAGGCTTGCAAAGGTAACCTGCTCTGGCACGTCTGCATCCATGATTGTCAACTCAGATGTTCCGACACTGATTCGATGAGACCAGGTTGAGACTCACGGGCGCCTAGCTTTTGCCAGATGTGGTCCGTGAAGACCGTGGATGATGGGAGTGTGTCGATGGCGTTCACAAGCTCGGTAAAGACAGACATAATATCGGTCTCGGGGTATCAAGTCATAAGGCGGATGTGTTGCGTGCAGCTAGAAGCACATACAGCAGCATGAAGAAGCGTTTTGATCTGGGCAGTCTTGTGGAGGGTTTTTTTCCTTCTTTACTTTCTAGGTGGCAGTTGAAAGCCTGAGATTCACTGCAGCAGGTTAGCAGTTCAGTGGTTGAACGCCCTAAAGCTTAGTGAGCGGCGGGGCAGAAGGCGCTGGAGCAAACGCTCATCACAGGCGATCCCCCCACTGTCCGTTTAGGCAACCCACCGCTAAACAGTCAGACGGCCCTGGCGCCTCCATTAGCCTCCCATGGTAAACCCGTGCCTCACAAGAAAATTATGTGCATCCAGGTGATATCCAGTAGTAGAGAAAATAGACATAGCAAGTCACATGAGAATGTGCTGTAACTTGATGAGTATTTACTTTCTACAACTCCTTCTCGTTATGGTTTTGTCAAAATAATTCGTAATGCTAGGCGGAATAGCTTGAAGCCACGGGGGCCAGTCCCGAGGAATGCCCAGTTTTCTGAAGTTTATTGGGTATCTAAGTTATAACCATCCTCCCAGTTTTGCCCTGGTCATCTTAAATCATGCAGAGTAGGCAGAAGACCGGTATAGGTCATTATTTCAGCAGCTCTGCGATACCAAGCTCACCTTCGCGCCGCCGCACTTCGTCAATCGCCCCAGCTGGATCGGTCTCCTTGGGATTTCGCAGCTGCCACGCCACGCAGACGTCCAGCGCGGACGACATCCACTTGCCGGGCTTGATTCCTAGTGCCTTTGAGAGCTGACGCCCATCAACCAGCGGCTTGATAGACGGCGCATCTAAGAGATCCAGGCTCTGAATGTGTTCCATGAAGACCCGCCAGCTCTCCCGGACAGCGTCGAGCGTGGGGTTGAGATCGTCCTGGGATGAGTCCTGCGCACGACTCATCACATCATCGAGAATGGCAAAGAGAACTTGCAAGCGCCAGTGTTTCCCTTGGGCCTCCCATCTGCGGATCGGCATACCCAGGTAGTCCCTCTCGTTCATACGCTCGCCTCTGGAAATGACGGTCTTTTTAAGTTCAATAATCTCCTCACGATGCCGCACAGCGGCTGTGACGAGTTCCGTGAGCTTATTTGGAGCCTTGATGCCCTCACGTGCGGCCAGCGTTGCAGCGGGCGGGTTCTTTTTGAGACCCGCGAACGAGTTGTCGAAGGGAATCCTACTAAATGGGACCACGCACGCAAGGACCCAGGCCAAGTAGCGTTCCTCGTCTGATGTGATGAGAATGTCGTACAAGGGGTTTGTCGCGAGGTTGTTAAGGAAATCATAGGTATCGCTCCAGCTTTCCAGACTAGGCTCAGGCATATCAGCCTTTGCGGGGTCCGTAAAGACTGTATAATACAACCCGAGTTCATGGATGTAGCGAACCGCGTCTCGAGGGTGCTCTCCTAATGCGTGCCAGATAGTCAGCTGGCTTGTTTATTCTCGCGACGGACAGAGAAAACAAAGGTGTAGGCTCAGGAGCTGACTGTGTTCTGGGGACCAACTTACCCTTTAGCATCTTCTCGACCTCCACACCGACCCTCTCACGGCTGATTTTGGCCCGGAGCGCGCTGAGAACCTTCTCATTGCCCATGTACTCCTTCACAGGAGGCTCGATGGTGAATCCAAGACGACTCGCAAAACGCACAAGTCTGAGCACACGTAGAGGGTCATCCATAAAAGTTTGAAAAGGCTCCAGTGGCGTGCGTATGACTCTCCTCTGCATGTCCTCCAGACCACCAACAAAGTCTTCCACCTCGTCCGTATGTATGTTGTAGAAGAGCGCGTTCACTGTCGCATCGCGTCTGCTGGCGTCCTCCTGTGCTGTGCCAAAATCCATCTGAGGGTTACGACTGTCTTCAGCGTACGTCTCAGTGCGTAGATTGACAAAATCAACATCCAGGCCAAATATCTTGACCGTGGCTGTCTCCAGATTTTTTGACTTCTCTGGGTTCTTGGCAATCTTGTGCAGATTCCCTAGGTCTTCCTTGCGCAGGTTGTGCTTCTCCCTGTTTTGGGGCACATCGCAGAAGTCGCGCAGCTTGTTGCCAAAAACCTCCCCAGTCATGCAGTTGATGGCGACATCAATGTCGTGGCTCTGCTGGCCTAAGAGCTTGTCGCGAACCCAGCCACCTGCCCATCTCAGAACGAGTTGCTGATCTACCTCCTTCTTGTCCTCAGCCTTATCAATGTAGGCAGCTGCATCAAGGAGCAGCTTCTTGAGCTGTTTCTCGAGAGGATCCAGTTGCAGTGTGGTCGTCATATTGGCACTGGCTGGACTGAGTTTTCTCTTCATCTGCCAGGACCAAGGCAATCCCAAACGACTGGTTCTGGAGAGTAAGACTCTGGATGTAACTCGATACATCAAAAACCATCGATATGACTCAATCAGTAGCAGATGCTTAGTCCGGTCTTAGGCACCCTTGATTGTGGAAGGTGCAGCATTTGTTGTCATCGGGGAAGTTTGTGTATGGCCCGTGTTGACTCATGAAAACCCCTTGCAGAAAAGCCTGCATGGGAAAATGGACGAGACTGCTAGACAGATTCTTGCAGACTCAGACTGCTGAAATGAGGCTGACCATCTTTTTTGCCAAATGCAACCAGACTGTGTTGTGAAGAAACGGTCAATGAGAACTCGCCAGTGCAGTTTGATGAGTGAGTGCAACAGAAGATGGATGTTGATGCTTAGGTAAGCATATGCTAGCCAGCTTAACCAATCAAAGCCTCTGCAGAAATTGGACCTGTAGTTTCCTCCAACAACCGATTTGCGCTTTCCATGCACTTCATTCACTCCATCCATAAAACGAATCATACTGCCAGCACCATGCAGCAGAGGCTGCCACACCTACGTATTTTCTACAGAGGGCACACCATCATGGATGATGATGTTTCGCCTCAAGAACTCTCTGGCTCTTGGTCTCTCTTCGTCTCATTGGCATATCCCACGACCATGCTGTAGTGAGCATGCTCGGCCTCATAGGAATAATGCGGACTTTTCTCTCTCTCTCAGTCAACTTCCGGATCCAAAGTTGCTTCCAGAGGCATCTTCAAATACTACTCACCAGGGACAACCCCCATCCAGCAATTGGTCTGACGAGACAGCATCATCACAAAGCTTGCGCTGCTGCTGTATACTGTCTCATGTTCAGGCTTCGCGTACTGTTCTCGTCCGACCTCTCTGCGTCTCGACCCGTGCCCTTGGAGGCGCCCGAATATCCCTGCGACTTCTGTTCCTTTCTTTGACATTCCGTCCGGCAGTGTCTCTGAACATGTTGATAGGAGTTTGAGGCAGTGTGTGTGACGCCGTCATCGGGATGATGCGGGGTCTTTGGGCATGATTGGGTTGGCTCAGTGCACAACAAAGTTCACGCCATTTGGGAGGCAGCCAGCGAGATGAGGATCGCGGCTCCTCAGTGAACACATCGTGGGCTGGGGTCCTCCCTTGGGCTCTTTTGCCAGTTTCTTATCTGTTCCTCCCATCTGCATTCGTCCTCAGACTACATGCACCACAGCAAGTGAAAGACTACAGCAGCACGGGAGATGACAGTGGGTCTTGCCCTTGGACAGCATTGCAATTGTGTCACATGCTTCGGTACTCTGAGGTTATAAGCCATAACCCACAGTGGCTTGGGTCTTGGCCTCGGAGCTAGCATCCTAAGCCTCGAGGCTGCAGTAGCATCACGAGGCAGCCAGCCAAGCAGAACCCCTCGCTTGGCGTGCTCAAAGGTACTCGACAGGTGGATACATGGACCATTGTCAGGCTGTGCTACGAGAGGTTGGGTGCTGCATTGATACCCGAATCAGGTGTCTTGTTTGCCACCTTTCCGACCCTTCCCAACTTGTATCTTGCACAGGCCCGTTGGTCAAGTATACTTAACGCAAGCTTGGCATGTAATGGGCTTCAGTCTGCTAGGCAGTCTTCCCTTTCTTTGGAGCCAAGATGGACTTAAGGCTGTTCCTCGAGGATTACCCCCATTCCGTCACGTGGAATTCAATTATAACAGGTAACGAAGAAAGCCCAGATAGACACAGCCCGGGCGATACCTGGTGTATGATCGCCTTGACATTCGGTTAGTTCATGATCTGCGGCGGTTCGCATAGTGCAGACTTGGCAAAAGCTTCGCTGACAGCAGGGCCAGGGACTTTGTCGGCGATGCTTCGTGCCCCATATCTCTGTTGATGCGCGGCATATTGTGAGTCTTTGTCGGCACCTCTCGCCTTTTTTTTCTTCTTCGGGCGTTGTGAGGCTATGCTAGGCCACGATCGACCGTGCGTCGAGGGTAGCAGGCTCTACGACGTAGGAAATTCTTGGCAGAATTCATGATGCCACGGCTGTGATGGCATGCTACAAGCGTCGCCGTCTCCCTCCGTACTGCTTGGCTCTTTGGCCCAATAAAGGTGAACATGCGCGGGATAGCCTCAGCTGCTGGTTGTTTTGACAAAGAGCCCCAGAGAGCTACTCAAAAAGGGCAGTAGGATGTGAGAAGATGTGATAACAGCAAACTTTAGTACACAGCGGGCATATCGTGGTCGTCTCTGTTCAAGATCTAAAAAATGGCCCTCATTCTCCCTTGAATACGAGTACTGAATTATCCTCTGTTAGTATAGTCACTTCCATCAACAACAATCATTTTTTTCTCTGCAGCTCCGGCGGTTCAGTCAACATGGTTGTCCGCCAGCTCAACAGTGACGGGGCCGGCCCATACTTGTGCATAGTCAATGATGACAACCCTGCACATCAGTGAACAGATATCGAGGTCACCCAAAGGCCCCTGGCTAGCAACGGTTGCAATCGGGCAAGTTTTGAAGTCACTCGACATCATGAACGGCGACAAGTAGTTCATCATCAGATAGGCAGCCAACAAGCAACTTTCAAAGATGATTCCACTACCGACTTCCTCCTCAACGTTGCACTTCCGACCAACCAAGCCTGTACTGGCAAAGCCGTTGGAAAGAACAACGTCTGCCTTGTGCGGTGCCAGAATTTTGCACGAACAGGAGCCTTCGGCGGTATATTCCTTATGCAAATGGCTGGTGCCAGCTACAATACTGCCGCCGCCGCTCGCGGCACAGAGAGCGAGGAAGAAAGGCCCTCTTGAGGGAGAAGCATCAGCTCGCTGGATTAGCATCGAGGAGCGTGAGGATCTGCGCGAGGACGACGAAGACATCTAGGGAAGCTCTGGGCTGGTCTACGGGCCGATTGGGCAACGTTGGGAGTATGGATGAGGGGAATATCAACAAGGAACAGAGCTGCTGGAAACTGATGCTGACAATGCAATATAATTACTTTTGTATTTTATTAATGAGTTCTGAATTCAAGGGCTAGATGCTCTTGTCGACACACGCTCCTTTGTCAACCTTTGTTTTCCTCCCCTGCGAACTCTTGACGTGAGCTTCTCAACAAATAAAATCGTGAACTCATTACTTGATCTTTGACATCGAGAGGCATCGAGATTCTTGGCAGAGAAATCTTATACACAGACATAAAGAAAATATTATGTATCTCTGCCGTCTCCGTCTGGTTCCACTACCTGCAAACGTTGCTAGGCTACCCGTAGACCGTGCTAGCAAATAAACCATCTTTGACTTAGACGTCAGGGACCGGTCAACTAGAATAGTCTCGATCTGTCTTACTTATATTTTTAGCCAGACAACAGCAGTGATACGTGGGGGAAAATTGATGTTTTCGACCAAGGGACCACCTTTTTTGGTAGCAGAGTAGCGCCGCCCGTCTGTCAACCTTCCCACCTTTTTCCAACTCTATCTTTTCTCTCACCTTTGACAAGCCAAAGAAAAAAAAAAAAAAAGAAAAAAAAGGCCCTTTTCTTTTCCCTGACCAACCTCGAAAAACCTAATCTTTCAATAGAAAAAAGATTCCAGGCCCTTTGACGCCATGACGCTGGCGGAACGTTCTCCACAGAAAACGATGAGCGGGCACGCGAGCAGCATCCTGCACGCAACAAGAGAGACTTGGCGAGATCTACATGATGGAGGGTCTAGACTCCAAGGCCATATTGAGATCTGGATTTCAATGTTGGAGCTAGAGGCAAATCCGGGGGGTGGCCTACGGGCGCATCCCATTCGTGGAGCCCATGCATCACCAACCTCATCTCGCATCAAGAGGAGAATCGAGAGGGTGAATTTGGGGGGGGGGGGGTGTGGCGGCGCGTGGTTTGCTGGTACTATAGTACCTGCTCTTCCCTCCTTCTTCGTCAATCTGGTCAACCGCAACGACGAATTGTCGAACTAGTGGCCATCTTTCCCCATCTTTCAACCGGTCAGGCGACTCTTATGTGGCTTTGTGAACTAAAAAGAAAACGACAGGGCTCTCGAAGGCCGCGGCTACAATGTCACTTCTGAGGCCAAGACCAATGGAGGGGGCACAGCGGCAAAGCGGCTTGGCTGTCGATAAAGTCGTAGTGGTTCGTGGTAAGACATTGAGTATTAGTGCAGTGGAGTCGAGGGTGTGCCGACCCTCTCTCGGCCGCCTTGCTTTTTTACTATAGTCACTCGATACTCACTGGTTGTACACACCCACTCAGCCTCGACACTAACTAAACTGTGCGCTGGGCCAAAGTTAATCCTGACAGAGTGGTTGGATACAGGCCGACCTCTCCGCGTTCAAAGAGCTTTTACTACTGCTGCCACACAACCTCTTGATAGTTCTTCTTGACGCGCATGAAACTAGGGGCGAGGAGATCATGGATGAGGTGTGGTGGGAAGGTCTGCTCTGTGACGTAATGGCCGGCACAGCCTCTTCTCCAAGAGAAACCTCCATCACCTGTTGCCCCGTTCAAGCAGTCACTTTGCCAATCCTGTCCTCCTTCTGTCTTGGCTTGCTTTGTTGTCAATCTGAGCCGTGTTGGGCCTCTAGAATTAATCCCTCCTCCTCTTATCTTTTCCCTCGTCAGATCGTTGGAGGGGGGCCGGGGTCAACAATTAGTTGTGTTCTAGAGAGACACATTGATAGACGTAACTGTACAATCACAGAAAAGAAAGAAAAAGAAAAAGAAAGTAGACGTGTTGTACCTTCATCCCTCCTCCCCCCTCCTTCCCAACTCCAGAAACTTGCACTACGCAGTTTTAGATGGCTTCGTGCTATGCTATAGCACACATGTACGTACCTCCTGCCTCCTTAGTTGAGCTTGGCCAATGGCCCGTCCATCCCATCCTGTCCATCTCGAAAGAAGCCGCGCCTTCCCTCCCTTCCCTGCTACTACGTACGGTATATCCTTGCCGATCCCTCCAACTCGTCAACGAGTACAAAAGGCGAAGGCTTCCCCCCTCCTCCCCTCCAATGTGAGAGACTTGGATTGAGCCTCGCGATCTTCTATGCTCACCTAAAAATCGTCTTCGAGTCAAACAGTCGAGAACAACTCATAGAATCTTGAGAAGACACACCTAACAGAATCCTTTAAGAAGAGGCTCGTTATCAACACCATTATCCTAAAGCAATCCACCATTGCCACCATCATGACCGGTTTGTGAACCCCCCCCCCCTTCCGATACTTCGTGTATATCCCCCCTGTATCAAAGAATTTTCACTGATCTCCCAAGTTCCATTAGACCAAGAACAAACCCAGGTCACAGGCATCGAAGAAGCCCCAGGCTTGGCCAACTTCGGCACCTCCCCAACCTCGTCGGCTGGCGACCGCCGCATGAGCGCAGAGTGGGATGCCTCCAAGACGCCGCCCAGCAGGTTCCAGCGGCGCAAGGGCTCCATCTACTCGACGCCCGCGTCGAGAGATGGCCATGTTGACAAGAATTACGCGGACAAGTACCACGACAAGCTCGCTGAGAAGGGCTGGGGGAAGAAATAGGTGAAGGAGACAAGAAGACGCCGCCGCCCAGATAGTGGTGATGATGAATGACAACCTCCGTCGCCAAAGCCCAAAAAAAGGCGTTGGGCACCAATTTTGGATGGGTTCTCTGAAATTTCGAGAAGGCTGGCTGGCGTTGTTGAGTAATACAAGTAAAAGGCCAGAAGGGTTGGGGATGGCACATATTGCACACGACAATGTTGGTGTTTGTTCCCGGGGAGTTAGTAAATATCTTTTTCAATTGAATAAAGTTGACTGCCATGGAAAAGAAAACGTAAAGGCGGTGCATTTCTGCCCCCTTGGGTCGTCATGCCTGGACGCAGGGAAATGACTAGGAGTAAACCAAAGTGGGCGTCTTCCAGTAGTGTTTTTGTTGGTGCCTTGCCGCCCCAGGTTTGCCGGCCCCATCGTTGCCCTATATCTGGCCGACATAAATCAAATATCTATCATTCGTCCATATCATCAAGTTCAATCGCATCCGGGTTCGCGGCCACGGGTTGGGCGGCCGGTTCGCCTCTGGGGTTGTCTTCTGCGGCAACGAAGCCGACAGGCGCCCGAGCTTGTCTCTCCAGTGCCGCCATGGCGTCCATGACCTCCTGGTCCGCCTCGCCCCCGCCGCCTTCTCCTTGCGCCTGTGCTGCTGCCGCCGCCGCCTGACTCCTTGCGATGGCCTGTGATGCGATGAAGTTGACATCGGTGTTGTACTGCGCCTGGACACTGCGCTTGATCCGGCGCATCTCCTTGAACGTATCCTCGTTTCCGTGCTGCACCTCGAAACGCTCCCACTTGGTCCAGAAGTCTGGGTTGGTGCGTGGGTCGCAAAACTGCGAGGCGTGTCCGTAGATGGCGCGGGCACGATCGATCTCGCCCAGTCTCTTCTCCATGTCCGCAAACTTGAGACACATATCGCGTGCCTCGCTGTCTGGTAGGGCGGCGATGGCTCGCTCGTAGATTGGTCTGGTTGACGGCAGGCCAAAGTTGGACGCCGACTTGGTGATGTAGAAATTAAACATGTCCGCGCGGTCCTCATCCGCTACTGCTCTTGTCGCTCTCTCGTAGATGCGCATTGCGTGTCGAGCGAGGCCCCGCTCCTCTTCCAGGTTTCCATACATTAGGTACAGAACTTTGGCAAACTTTGGCGGACAGTCCTCAATGGCTTGCTCAAACAGGTCTCGCAGCCTTTCGATGCCAATTTCTCGGTCCACGGCTTTGGTGAGGTATAGATTCCACAGCTCAAAGGCAACCGGGTAGCTGAAGAGATCGAGGCCGCGTTCGTATATCTTGAAAGATTCCTCGTAATAATTGTTTTCCTCCAGTAGATTGGCATAGTTGACCACCGTCTGTGGTGTGGCGATCCGAAGCTCAAATATCCTCTCGTAGACTTTCTTCGTTTCCTCAAGGGAGCTGACGCTTTCTACCAGGTCGACGTAGAAGCTCCACAGTTTCCAGCTCTTGTGGACTCTTTGCTGTGGTGAAAGCGTCTCGTCGAAATAGTCCACTGTCGAGCGCTTAGGTGACTGTACCGCCTTGGCCATGATCTTGACAGCCTCGTCGAAATTCTCGTTTCGCAACTCCATCTCTGCCCACTCGATCCACATGTCGGCCAGCTCGGCCACGGACTTGAATGGCACCTTGACGGCCTTCTCCATGATGATCCGTGCGTTTCTGACATCGCCTCCCTTCTCGTAAAACTTGGCATAGTTTGCCCAGAGTTGATGGAAGGCCCCGACGGCCTTTTTAGGTTGTATCGCCGCGATGGCATCCGTATATGTCTGCACAACCTGTACCTTGTTGTCACCCCATAATGCCACGCGTTTCTCCCACTCGTTGACATTGTTTGGGTTCTGGCGCAGCAGTACATCGTTCAAGAGAAATGGGCGGCGATCCATCAGATGCTCGAACCTCATCATCCGGATGTCCAAGTCGAAGTCTGCATTTTCGTCAACAATCCCCTGCTCGCCGCGAGTCTGTGCGACCTCCATCAGTGCGCCTATGATGGACTCTTCGAACTCGGCGTATGAGTCGAAAACCAGGGTGAAGTCGCGAACGGTCATAACGGTTGTGATGCCCTCCTCGAATGTGTCTCTTGCTCGCTCGAAGCTCCCCCTCCTCATCCAGTACGACGCGAGTCCAACCCACAACTTGCCCCTCTGGTCCGCGAATTTCTCAATCCCACTCCGTATAATTCGCTCGACGTCGATTCCCGTCTCGTGGCCTGTCTCAACTGTGGCGGCGTGCTCGACGATGAGGTCCACCATCTCGCTCCACAGCTCGTAGTGCCCTCTTCCGTTCTTGCTCTGGAACCGCGGGTTGTTGAGTACGGATATGTACTTGTGGATGGCCTCATTATAGAGGCCCTCTTGGACGAGCAGCTCGATGAAGTCCTCTGCGTCTTCTGGATGAACCTGCATGTATCGCCGCCAGATCTTGACCGCCGTCAAGCCGCCGGCCGAGTTTGCAAATGGTCGGTAGAGTGCCCATATCCTGTTGTGCTGGGTCAAAGGAAGCGCTCTCAGGGCGCGATCGAAGGTGTGTCGCGTCAGCGTGACGAGGGGCTGAAGCATCAAAAACTTGAGGTACATCTCCCATATCCTCGGCATCTTGTTGAGCAGGATCAGCGCCCGCTCAAAAAGCGCATTAACCTTGCGATATTCAGAGGCGAACACGGCAGCGTTAAGCTTGGAGACGTGCTTGGTCCGGAAGGTGAGGTAAGGTTTCCACAGCTTGTAGGACCGCGGCAACTGGTTACAGGCGCGCTCGAGGACGTAGGCCTGCTCCTGCACGGTGCCGTGCTGGAGCTTGAACTCGATGTACGCCAGCCATGGTTTTATGCTGCCGGGGCTACGCTGTATGTCCTGCTCGTAGACAAGGTCGTCGTCGGACACGAGAGACAGATCGGGCTTGCGCGCAACGCCGTTGTTTAGGAGCGCGGTTGACGGCATGGCGGGCATTGTGCTCGAGGCTGCGGCGGGGGGGAACAGCCGCACGGGCGTGAGCAGAAGTCAGCTTTAAGGCTGAGGTCCTGGCCTAGGACATTGCTGTTCGGGCGTTCGAGGTGAGGATGGGACGGGGCGTGCTGGGCGCTGGTGGACGATGGTCTTGAGCGACGTTGTAAGTTAAAGGCTGGGCCAATTTTTCGAGAGAGCGCGTTGGCGCTGGCCTGGTTCAACGGCAGTAGCTGCCGAAAAGGTCGACCCACTCAGCCGCTGAGCACGGTTCTGGCGCTGTGGTTGGGCCTGTACTATGGGCAGCGATACCACCTAGTGCTCACTATTCCTACTATGATTTCCCCACCTCTAGAGCTGTTGACCGTAGTACTCTATGCCGGCCGGTCTTACTGACGACACCAAGCTCCAGAAATAGACCCTCCTTACCCAGCTTCCAACGACACCAGATAACGACGATTCAATCGCACTCTCTCGACGCACGCGCAGCCGGCTACTTTTCAACTTGTACCACGAACTATCCATTGGAAATCAGGCGTTTTGCGAACCGTTTGTTGGAATTTGTGCAGTCGCTTAACGGATCGTCACGATGTCAGGAGCAGGAGTAAGACCCACCGTGATCCGTCGTCAGACAAGACATGCCGTGACTGGAAGCTCATACGGCATAATAGGACAGAGAGGCGGTCTTCCCGACTCGGCAGAGTCTGGGAATAATGAAGGCCAAGCTCAAGGGAGCCGAGCAGGGCCACAGTCTGTTGAAGAGGAAGAGTGAAGCTCTCACCAAGTACGCACACCTACCACATGATTCTCCGACTGCACAACATCTGCTAATATGCTGCTGCGTGACAGGCGCTTCCGAGGTACCGAGATTTGAGACGTTCCCATAAGCCTTCTGACCAGTTGTCTGACGTACAGCGCACAGAAATCACACGTCGAATCGACGAAGCCAAGCGCAAGATGGGCCGGGTCATGCAGATCGCCTCCTTCTCCCTCGCCGAGGTCACATATGCCGTGGGCGGTGATATTGGCTACCAGGTGCAAGAGTCGGTCAAGCAGGCACGCTTCCGCGTCCGTTCAAAGCAGGAGAACGTCTCCGGTGTGCTGCTGCCCGCCTTCGAGAGCTACACGGAGGAGGGCATCAACGACTTCGCCATGACGGGTCTTGGTAAGGGTGGCCAGCAGGTACAGAGATGCCGCGAGACGTATGCCAGGGCAGTCGAGGCGCTTGTGGAGCTTGCCAGCCTGCAGACTGCTTTCGTGATCCTGGACGAGGTTATCAAGGTTGTGAACCGAAGAGGTGAGCCCCCCCCCCCCTTCTCCCCTGGATCTAGATATTGAGCTCTATTGCTGACCTATTTGCAGTGAATGCTATGTACATGAACCCCCCCAAGGACTCCCCCTGTATATATGGAGATGCTGACCTGGGGCACAGTGAACACGTCATCATTCCTCGAACTGAGAATACAATCAAATGTGGGTTTTATTGGAGGAATTCTGGGCTATCCGAGATTTTCTGGGCAACCGTGGCTGACATACAGTAAAGATATCAACTCCGAACTTGACGAGGTGGACAGAGAGGAGTTCTACCGCTTGAAGAAGGTCGCCAACAAGAAGCAGCGAGACAACGCTGCAGCGGATGCCGAGATGAAGGCCAGGAAGGAGGCGCAGGGCAAGAAGGAGAACGATGGTGATCAGGATTCCGGCCCAGCAGACATTCTCGGGGCCGAAGAGGAAGAGGATGTCATCTTCTAAACCAGCCGCGCGTGCCAAGCTAGTGTGTACATTGTGGCACGTCCATCTACGCGCACGAACACAAAGAGGACCAATGGGATCATGTATGGAGTTAGTATCATATTTTCTGCCTTACGCCAAGCGCCTGCCAGTCTGCCTGTATTATAATCATACCACCATCCATCCTGAGAGCCAATTCTTGCATCTAATTTTAACTCGAAAGGAGAAGACCCTGCCTGTCCTTACTGCCTCTGGTATGTGACCTTGATGTTCTTGCCGCCGTCGAGCTGCATGCCCGCTGTACTCTCCTTGGCGCTGATAGCACCCGCCTCGTTCTCGTACTCTACAAATGCAATACCGCGCCGTCCAGGTACCAGACGGACCTCGCGGAAGCCCTCAAAGTGGCCGAATATGCCAGTGAGAGCCTCGACATCGCAGTCATCGGGCAGGTGCTGAACGAAGAGAATCTTGTTCGGAGGGAGGTACTCGTCGGGCACAACAGTGGCGGCGGCGGGGCCGGTGGCCTTGAGGCCGGCACCTCGGCTGGTTTTTGGTGGGCGGCCGCCTTGATCTGTTGCAGGCCGCTTGAGGCGTTGTTGTTCTGCCTCGAGAGCCTTCTTCCGCTCTGTAAAGGCGTGGGGGAAAAGCGTCCATGTTAGCAAAATTGCACGAGTTCTTTGCATGGGGTTTATCGATTCGGGCAGCATGTCGAAGGTGTGTGAAGTCGAAGGGCGGGGGGGGGGGGGACCCTTACCTTTCTCCGCTGTTCTCTTCCTCTTGTGCAGCTCCAACGCCTCCTCGCTCTCAAACGCCTGCACCGTGGCGTCACTCCTCGTCCTCGCCAACGCGACCTGCATCGGCTTGTCGAACAGGTCGAACCCATCCGCCTCCTCGATAGCCTGGCGCGCCGACTCGGGATTGTCGTAGACGATGAACGCCTGGCCCTTGGCCTTGAGGTTCGTCTTGGCTACAATGTCGATGACATTGCCGAACTCGGAGAAAATGACACGGAGGGCCTCCTTGAGCGGGTCGGGCTTGACGCGCTCCTCGAGGTTCCGTACATATACGCTGTGATTGGGAGACAGAAAGGTTAGCCACACAACCATCTTCTACCTACGTAGTGTCGGGGTGCAATGACACATACGTGGTGACTGGTGCTCCTTGAGTTGCCATATTGCTATGTTGTCTCCAGCTTTTTAAGACTCAGGAGGGATCAGACCAAGTGGACGTGGTGGTTGAGAGAAGTGAAAGTCGTTGCGTCGCGAAGGGAAAACGAATGAGCTTGGTGTTGTTTCGTGCCTGGAAGTAGAACGAGCTTTAGCCCCCAACTCCGGTCATACAGTTTATTAACCTTTCATACTGTATATTCGCACCGTACTATACTATTGTCTACACCACTTACCAAAATTGAATGTGAGTCCCATGCACCTACAAATTCTAGATTTTGATTGAAACCAACCGATATACACCTCGTGGTTTATGGTAGCTGAGTAGACTCTACTTAGAGAAATGCTGTCGGCTGTAGTCACGAGACATCAAGATTGAAGGGTGGTCTTCCATTGCGTCTCATGTAGGTAGTCTATTTTCTCATGCCGTTTATAGAATAATAATAATGCACAGAGTCCGCCTAGTACATCCAGGTCGTCATTTCTATTCTCATGCTGACTTCTCGTCGGCCTTCTCTCCTTCTTCTGCTGGAGGTGGAGGAGGGTCTGCTGCTGCTGCCGCCTCCTTGGTCTGCTGTTCTTCTTCCACATCCAGCGCAAGATCTTTCCTCAGATCCGGCAAGAACCGGTCTATACGTTTCCAAGATTCCGACCATATTTTCTCCTTGGATGGGTCCTTGCTTGGTGGCACTAGATAACCGTTGCTCGACATGAATAGGAGCACATTCTTGAGATTCTCCGGAACAGCCTCCTCCTGTAGTCAACAGTGTCAGCAGATGCACACATTGCATATATGAGGAAGGAATACAGGAGTGACTCACCAGACTGTCTCCTTGTCCACTGTTCATGAGACGGTCCATGATGTCAATGATCTTGAGCCAAAGATCCAACATGCCATCCCATTCAGACAGGAGCACCAAGTATTGGAGAAATACTTTGCAAAGAAGAGAAGCCGCCTGGACTCTCGTCTCGCTCATGCCGTCCCTGTCGGTGGAGAAGACCTCGGGCTTCAGCAACTTCAGAATCAACGGGAAAAGGACCTCGCCAAAGATCGCGGTCCATTCGCGATGATCACTCGACGTCAACTCAGGCGAAAACAGCGCACGCTGTAGAGAATTGAACGCCAGCTGGCGTACTTCTCGGCGCGGGTTTGTGCACTGCGTTGTGAGCGCCTCGAATATAGGCAGCCAATACGCAGACCACGCTGGTGACATGTCAGACATTGCAGGTTGATGAGGAAATGTGCCAGCTCTGCTTACCCTCATTTGTCTCCAGGTGAGACTGCTCAATGAGTTGCGGGATGCGCGAGGTCATGCTGTAGATGATATTGACAGCCTTGATGCCCCGCTGGACAACAGGGCTTTCACTTTGTAAGGTCAGCGCGTGCAGTTTCAATCGCTGGGGAAATGAAAACGTACTTGGAAGCTTCCGCTTTCGCGGAATTGGGGCGGCTCGCTGCTTTCCGCGGTTGCCTGCGATCAGGCTTGGGCTCCTTAGTCACGGTCGCGCTCGCGGCAGAGGCGAACTCATTCAGCAGAGTGATGGCTGCCTCATAGTTGTCCGCCATGATGGCCGTGGAGGGCGGCATCACACCGGTCTCAAGTATATCGAAGACGACGGGCGCGACTTGCGGGACTGTTGAAAGATTGCGAAGAATGGCCCAGAAGTCCGGCGAGGTCATCATCTCATTTCGCAGCGGGCCGGGCTCGTCAACACAAAGCTTAATTCCTTGGAGGATGAGTTTGGATGTCTTCCTGAGAAGCTCGGGAGGGAAGCTGGAGACAGTGTGGAGCAGAATAGGCACGCGGATGAAATCGTACTCCTGGACGTCGAGTTGAGCCTCTGCTTTCCTTTGGTGATATTTCGTGGAACTTACATAGCTAGCTTGAAGTAGTCTGAAGAGGTAAAAGGTCGTCCTTGCTATGATGATAGGATGGTGGTGGCTGAGATCGCGTAATATGGCCTGAAGCGCATCGACCACGCGCTTGCCAAGCAGCTGCACGGTATAATTGTCTCGCAAAGCCTGTACTGTGCTGAGTTCCAAGATGTAGACCAACCCCGGGTCGTAGGCCACGGCATGGTTTGGCTTCTGAGCTAGAGCTGGAGATGAAGAGGGAACATTGTCGGCCTTGACGGTGATTACGGCTTCTGATCCGCTGTCCTCTGGTATCTGGTCTAACAGAGCATCGACCAGAGCCTCAAGACTCTCATCTGGTAGATTCCTGGTAGGTGTTAGAAACCCCGAAAAAGCACAAGAAGACCATATGGACTCACGAGATGTTTGCAAAAATGTCATCCATCTGGCACTGGTTTATGCAGTCCACTGTGCTGAGTGTGCTGTCGAGCTCCTCTTGAGAAGGCTCTGGAGGGTCATCCGCCGCATAGCTGCTGATGAAATTCGAGAAAGCTGAGAATAGTCCGGTGTCGTTCTGCTTGTTGGCACGATTTATGACTTGCTGTGGGGTTCGCAGCGGTATATTGGACAGCGCCAGTTTACTGCGATCACTTGAGAACGTGATGAGCGAGTTCACAAATAAGTTCAGCCATATGCGAATAATCTATGTATAAACTTGTGTCAGACGAGTCAATACCAAGTGTGTGTTGAAATGAGAACTTACGTCTTTCCAACCTTTCCGGATGATGTGCTCCTTAGACGTCACGACCCGGAACAGGACGAGGATTGCAAGCTGGGCTCTGAAGTTGCGTCCCAGCTTAACCGCAAGCTCGCTCACCATCACGCTCCTCTCATCCACCTGGACCTCGGTGTTTAGGCTTGTGTTGGAGACCATCTCGGTAGAAAGGGTCGTCATGACGCTCAAGGTGTAGATGATTTGATCCAACGCCTCCGTGATGTTGTATTTGGCGGCAATACGAGCGCACTCGTCGAAACCAGATACGATCCGCATGAAGACTGTATCATCCGTCGCAGACATGAAAACATAGGACAGGGTTGAGACAATAGGTCTCCATGTCGCAGCAAACATGTCTGCGTCATATATGTTCGTGTCACATGTTATGAGAGGACCTGCAGCTTCTGTCTTGGACAGCAACTCCTTCCATGCGTAGTCCAGAGCATGCTTGTTATCGTGCTCCTCAGGCAAGATGATCTCGTTCGTTTTGATGGCATCGTAGACGGCCTGGAGATATTCGGGCGCAAAGTCTTTCCCGTCGTTCACTCCGCGCAGATTCCTCGCGAAATCCTCTACCTTCATGCGAGCTTGAGATTTGACATTAGGGTTATGTTGGTCGGTATTGAGCATGATTGTTGCATATGTGAGGACGTAGGCGGCGTCGGGATTTGCAACTTCTCCAGGTATATCGCTGTCCAAGAATTTCTTGGAGAACGATGTCACAATTCTCTCAATGAGCGGAGATTCGCCCGGAAGACGAAATGTCTCGAGAAGGGATCTCAATGCTTCATCGACACGCTTGCCAGTGAAGTCGAAAGAGTCCAGAAAAGCGTCCAGAATCGCCTCGTTGCCTCTCTTAGATATAAATTCCCCCAGAACCTTCTTTGAGGCCAGAGTAGTGCTCCTGAGGAACGCAGCAACACATTCGGGGTCTGTTGCGGACTCAATGATGCCCTTGTCTTGCAAGAAAGCGAGACCGCCCCGCGTGCTCTCATTGAACTTGTTCATGCCTTTGATAATCAGCTTTTTTCTCCGCCGCTGTTCCCGGAGAAGTAATGGATCCGGATAGCCATCAGCCTGCGGCGGCTGGTCTAGCCTTTCTGTGATGGATTGGATATATCGCAACAGTGCGTCGAGGCACAACGGGGGCACACTAGTGGTGCTCCAAGTAGCCGAGTCGGGCAGGGCATTTCTCGAGAGCATACCAACCATATCTTCGCACAGATCCGCGAGGTTTGGGTCGCAGTCATAGTTGACAAACAGCTCGACCAGGAATGTAGGCATTCGTGCTAGAACACAGATGTTCTCAACCATTGCCTGTCTTGCATCCGGCTTTCTCGCGCCACCCTCTAGGCCTAAGCTCTGCCGTTCCCTCACCGGTACCGGTGTTGCACGGCCACTGCCCATCTGCGACGGGGGCGGTCTGACGAGTTTTGGCGTTTGAGGAATGTCAGCATAAAGAGACGGGTCAATCCCAGGTTCTCGGGGGATCTCCAAGGACACATGAAGGCACGCGACCAAGTAGGACAAGAACTTCTCCTGCTGCAGCTTCAGAACGCCCCTGCAAGTTGACAAGAGGGTTCCCGCCACTAGCAAGGACTCTTGCAGGATGGCCGTGTGGTCAGAACGTATCAGTTGGAAGAGGTAGAAGCACAACCGATCTTCGGCGATCGTTGCCAGGGCCGGGTGCCTCGCGATCGATGGTCCAGCGACCTCGAGCGCGACATGTATTATCCGCAGCGCCATGACCCTCATAGTATCTGGATGTTTGCGGTCATGTGGGTCAAGAAAGTTGACGAGGACTCTGAACAGTTCTCGGACAGATGGCAACGAATAAGGCCTGAGGTCCAGGGACTCTGCCGTTGCGGTTTCAGATGCAATAGTTGCTTGGTCTGCCTCTGCCGTTCCAGACGAGTCGGTGCTTGCTGACTCGGAGGTTCGTGGTAGGTCGGAGGCCGTTTCCGCCGCCGACACCGGGATCTCGGTGCCATTTGCTGATGGATCCATGTTGACAGTGTCCATATCCCCATTGGTCTTTTTGTCAAGCGCGTCGCTTTCTTCTCCGGCTTCTTCCTCGAGATGCTTCAAGTCCTCGAAGATGATCTGACACATCCGAACCATCGAGGCTTCTGCCGTCTGTCTGAGCACCTCAGAGAACCTGGGCCGCGAACATATCGTCAGGCCACGTCCCATCATGTCACAGACACTTTCGTCGCTCAGTATGTCGCCGCCCGGTCCCGAGAGCATGTCCTCCATCAGATGCAGGATCATCAAGAGAACGACCTCCTCTTGCGCGGAATCGCTTATATCGAACTGACAGTGTGTGATGGCGGCGGACAGGGACTGCATCGCGACGGCGAAACGGGGCGACTCGGGAGAGATGAAACCGTAGGCGAGGAATTTCCGTATGGCTCTCAGGGCCAGGATTGTGACAGGGGCGGCGGTACCTTTTGCCTGTACGATCTGGAGGAAGGGGTAGAGCATCGTCAAGGCATCGAATTTGTGTATATCTGTGGCATTTGTCAGCCTGGGTGATCACTGGCGCCTGTACATACCATCCCCTCCCAATACTGTGAGCGCACCTTTCACACCCGTCAATTCATGCCTCAGCCTTCCAAAACCCGAGATCAACGGATTGTCTTGCATGCTCTTTCCCTTCTTCCCCCTCAGCCCCCAGCGCACCAGGTCAGCTGTGCCATCGCCTGTGATATTGGCTGCCGCGGTCTTGCTCCTCCCCTTGCCGAGGGACACGGAATTCGAGGGTCCCAGCTGCACCGGACTGGGCCCGCCGCCGAGAATGGCTGCCACGGACGAGTGAGGAGATCGCGCATGTTTTTGGCAAGCTGAGGTGATCGCTATGCACTCGGCTATCACGAGAGAGACCGGGTCTACCGCGACAGCAACTGGGCGGCTCCGGTACTGCATCCGAGGGGAGTGGTGTTGCGCCCGACGAGACAACGGCGTCGTGGGCCGCGAGGGCAGAGGAGAAACCTGGGGCTCCATTATCTGTGGGATAAGCGCATCTTGGCTCATTCTTACAGAAGAGTGATGCTGACGAGGTTGGAGAAAGTGAGATGTGAACAAAGTTCGAGGTTGAGACTGGCTTTCCAGGGCTCGGTGATTTCCAGAGCTTGTCCTAATGCGCCGGCTGTAGGTATTTGCATTCGAGGTATTGATTTCCCGTTATTGTATAATGACAAAAATCAAACATAAAATTACCAGTGCTCCATGGGTGCAGACTTGAGAGAAAGAGACAGAAAAATTATCGAAGGATTGGGAACAGAAGTACTATGAGTGTTAGCTGTCCCCGAGGTTCGTAGTTCTTTTCTGGGTTATCGCCGGGTTATCGAACCGAACACCTGGAGCTTTGAATTCCACCCAGAATGTGACGTCCAATCGGCAGGCAAACGCCCCAGCGCGGCCGGCAGATCATGTCGGTCAGATTTATGAACAATTATTTTCACTTTGCCACAATATTTTGGAAAGACAAAAGAATTTAAAGCTGAAGGGGGGAAAGGAAGCTGAGAAAGATGAAATTAAAAGGAATACAACGATTTGGAAACTTGATTTGATTGTCTAGTCCCAACGTCTCAAGAGATCCAAGGCACGGGGAGTCAAAGGGCGTCAGGAAACAATCAATAATACCTCCACTCATTTTGGAGGCAATGGATCTGTCGGTCATGAGGGGTCATCATCCTAAAGTCTCAAGATCCCAGAGCGCCCCAAGTTGAGCCATGGTGTTCATCGGCCGTATTCATAATCCTGTACAGCATGTAAAGTTGATGTTTGTTCGTCCGTTTTGTCTTCCAAAGCCATCAGTCTCCTCGAACGCCATGGATCGTGCGTGTGCAGAGATGTCTCCCTTGTCCACCTTCTTCACTCCTCGACCAGAATATATGCTGTTCAGGAAAGAAAGAGAGAGAAGAAAAAAAATGTAAGTCGTAAGCAATGATCTAAGGGGACTGAGGCTTCGCATCCGAGCCCACTGCTAGCGGACCAGCAGACCTGGCAATGTATCCTGAACGTCTATGGCTGCTTCCTTCTCAGATCATCCTCGCTTCTTGCGGGTTCTGCCTGGCCGGACTTCTCAGGCTTCTGCGCGGTGTCAGATCCAGGATTTTCCCTCCCTGCCTTGGTGTTGGCCATGTTCGACACGGCATCTTTGTCCTTCTCCCACTGTTGGCTCGCGTCGTCAAAGCTGTACCCTTCTTTCAGCTTCTTCTCTTTCTCAGCCTTCTCCTGTTCTTCTGCCTCATGGGCGAGCTTCTCTTGCTCCATCTCCTGTACGCTGCGTCAGCTGGTATCATCAATGCGGCCGAGCCGGGGAAGCCCTACCTCCATGTGTTTGATGTCGTCCACACTCGGCTCATAGAGATGCCATATGGTGTAGTGAGGTAGACCAACGACTGAGAAATCCATTTTCCTAGCCATCTGCACATTGTTAGTTTGATGAGTCGCGGAGGCTTAGGGAAGCTGGCGGCTTACCTTTCCAAATCCTTCCGTCTCCGCATGTTTCTCAAAGCTGAAGGCTGGGAAGTGTACGCCATATCGGAATACGCGGGCCTTGGCCAAGATACTGACACCGCCGACGCCGTCAATCTCCATTTCCATGTCTGGATCGCCATAAGGGTCTCGTAGGTAAGCCAAGTGCGGTCTCCATGTTGCGTATTCTGCGTATCCTTCGACAATCACGGCGTCCTCGTCCAGGGTATCGGCCAGTGCCAGGGCAGTCTCTGACTCTTGCCAGGAATTGAGATCATATGGCTGTTCTCCGCCAAGCCAGTCCGGGAGAGGTCGCCATACATCTGCACGCTATCGTCAGTACCACACTTGTCTGGTTGGCCGTCTTTGCTTAGACTTACTTGGTACTATGACGTCCTTGTTATGCCGCATCAGGTCCTCCAGAATGGTGAATGGGGCAGTCTCCACGTCGACGTCCCTCCAATAGACCCACGAGTGATAGGGGCGAAGCGCAGCGGTCAGGAGCCAGTTCCTGGCCTGGGCCATCAGCTTTCTCCTGCTCGCCTGCGCAGCAAACCCGTGCCGACTCTCCGCATCTTGTTCGACCTTCTGCCCAAAGTCCTTCTCAATGATGGATATCTCTCCATAATGCATATTGTAGTTTTCTGACGCCTGCAGGGCCTCCAGTCCGTCCGTTAATACCTCCAGTGTTCGGTCCTTCGAGTCGGAGACTAGAAATGCAAGGTCTATCAGGTGGTGCGGGTAGGTGAAATTGTTAAGGTGCGAAAAGAACATCGGCAGGTGGGCTTCGGCTTCGCGGAGGGGCACGCAAAGGAGAATGCGCTCCTCGCGCTCCCAGCCCCGTGCGGTGCCCTGTACATTAGACAGGTCATAGTAGCGCACGGTTTCGAGCTGAAAGTCCTCTGTAGATATCAAGCCGAGGGAGAACAGCGACGCAAAGGACCCTCCTCTTGCCCCTGGCCAAACAAATATCCCGAAGAGAAACGCGACAGCTAGTACTATGCCGATCCTCACGAACAGGCGCCGGCGCCGTCGAAATGCTGGTGTCGTACCACGAGGTTGAAATCTGTCAGGAAATTGGAGAGAAAAGGTCAGCAAGGGTCGCCGTACGACGGACTCGACGCTGCCACTGGAGTAGCAAGGGCGGCCGCTTGGGGCGGAGGGGCGGGCACCCTACCGATGTGGTGATATGTCAAAGTTCAGGTCCTTCTTTCTAGGGTAGCCATTTGCAAACCCGCCAGCGTGATGCCTTGGCACCACCTTGGAGCCGGATGTCGAGTATGTTGGCAGCATTGGGCCGACTAGTCGAGGACAGCGTGGAACGTGTAGATGATGCTGTCGAGGTCGATCGCGATCTCTCGAGGGCCCCGTGGTGAAAGTCCAAGGGAGAGGACAGTGACAGGTAGGCCCTGTCCAGGCACGCAAACAGGGCTGATGACAAGCTCAGCGATGAATGCGAGACGAGGTGATCAGGCGAGAAGGAATTGAGCCGACCTCATCATGGTGGCAGAGGGTAAGACGCTGTCGTGGGAAAAGAAAGCACCAAGTTCGTATTGCCTCAGAGGAGTGCAGGTGTCCTGCAAGGCATCAATCAGCCTCGCAGTGCTAATGCCAGCGCAGGGGTCCTCTAATAGTGCAGGGTAGGCGGCTTGATAGGTGCCAAGATGGAAAGACCCATGCCCCATGCACCCGAACAGTTACTCTCTACAGGGGCGGGATAGGTAGCTGCAAGCGGAGCAACACAGCTCAGTGCCGGAAATATACATTTCTCACAGGGGGCTTCTGGTTCTAACATTACTTGCTCCCTGCGGCACGTAGTTTCCCGTTGTACTATAGCAACTGAGAGGTGTGTGCCGTCCATGCTCCACGCCTGTCTCAGAGATGGGGCGCAGGTGGACAATTTTCTCGAGCTTCACAAGGGATGCTCAAACGGTGGGATCGTCTTTATTCTTGAATTTTCTTTTTCCTTTTCTGTCTTTCTTTCTTTGTTTTGATCCTGATAAAAAAGCATTTTAGTTCTTACGTGAGGACATGTCATCCAGAAGTAATAAAGTGCTGCTGACGACGTTATCCTACTCATATGCTACAGGCTACTACTCTAAGTCATCCAACAAACCTACCTTCAGTGGCGGATACCTGACTCTACCTCTACGAAAATGCAAGACAAGAATTTCGGGGCCTGCAGTTCAGTCGATTAGCAGTGAACTAGTTGTAAGTCTAGACTCGTGGCAACATCGTATCGCCTCCCAAACACCTGTCAGAAAGCCGTTTAACTCAGCTGTACTGGCCGGCCCAAGAACATTCACATCCCAAAACGGGCCATGAAGGTCTCGGGCACAAAAGCAAAATTATATTCCCGAAGGAAAGACTCCACTACTGGTCATCACCACACAAGGCGGCTCTAGTGCGGGAGGATGGCTCGGTTCGTACATGTCGTTGAATGGATAAGCTATTATCATCATACAAGATGATGCGGGAAGTTTTTTGTTCTATCTTGAAAGAAAATACCGACTGACCTTATATGCATGGGGACAAGAGCTTGGGAACGTATCGGACCCATGCCTTGTCCTGGCGAAGGCATCGACGGGCGTTCGTATCTGGCCTGGGTGCAGGTGTGTTAGCCATGGTGTACAATCCCAGCTAAGAGTAAACGGCAGGACGTAGAATTGAGGCTGTGATCAGAGTTTGTTTTGGTATATGGGTATCTTCAAGTATTCTCAGAAGCAGAACTGAATTGAAAGATTTCATCACGAAAGTCACCAAGAGGGGAGGGATGGAGAAATCGGTCAAGGCTACTTACATAGCAAGAGTGAGAGCAGGGTGATGATCCTGCTGTGGTTGGTGAATGAAATTGGACTGTTGAGATCCGTCAGTAACCGTGACACGCATCTTGGAAGAAGGAGGTAGCATGAACTGGCAGCCTGATGCTTCAGATGGTAGTGCATGTTTGTTCGTCTTCGCTCACAGAAGATCGCGATGAACAGTGGATGTGATTTCATCACTAGCGGCGTCCAGTCCAGCTTCGTAGAGGATTGAGTCTGAGGGAGGAGATGCAGGCACATACCAGAAAATCAACAGCTGGAGGTTTGAGCAGATGAGCAGTCGACCCGACACGGTCTGACCCACGAGACCAGAAAGGCCCGCCTCAACCGCGCTCTGTGACAGCACTTGCTGATCGAGTATCGAAAGCTAGATATATGCAAGAAACCATCGCACGACTGAGACACTCGACATATCGCTCACGTTGTGGCAGGCATCTGGAACCCATCTGAGCTGGAGTGGTGTTGCGATTTTGACATCCAGATGTTGGAAGATCGCGTGCTGTGGAAGGAAAAAAAAACTGAGAGCATAGTTGTGTTCGCAGAAATTTTGTAGCTGGCTGCTCTGGAGTGGGGCGCTCGTGGACGCTAAAAGCACCCTGGCACGCTGGGCCTGGTTTGTTCCGTTGGAGCCAAACAGCTGCATTACCAGCATCCATCGCATGCCGCTCGGCTCTCCTAACGACAAATTCTCAGAGGCTTCTGTTATTGACCACAGACACACGAGACCGCAAAAGAAAGCAAAATGACAGACAGAAGGCGCGTGAATGGTCCTGTTGGCGGTACTCTGCCGCCAGTGTTTGCGGGCGAGGATGCCGAAAATCTCATCGAGGAAGTGAAGGGCAGAACAAGGTCGGCCAACACTGCCAGACCGATGTGTGAGTTATCACGCACTTTCATAATGCTTGGTGAATACCTCTAACACATTTTCATAGACCTCAAGACTGGTGTCACGCCTTCAGCATCTGGTTCCGCTTATCTGGAAATCCAGACATCAGCAAAGCCAGGTGCTTCTGGCCTCAAATTGAGCTGTACGGTCCACGGACCTAGAGCACTACCGAGGTCAACGCCCTTTTCACCACACATCATCCTCACTACTCACGTCAAATATGCGCCATTCGCGACAAAGCAAAGACGAGGCTACATCAGGGACTCGACAGAGCGGGACCTCAGCATCCACCTCGAGACGGCGCTGCGAGGAGCCATCATCGCGGACAGGTGGCCTAAGAGTGGCGTCGACATCATCGTCTCAGTGATCGAGGGCGACCAAGACCGGAGCCTCAGTCGTGGCGAGTACGACGAGGCGTGGGATACGATGAACGTGCTGGCAGGATGCATCACAGTGGCCTCGGCGGCGCTGGTTGATGCTGGGATCGACTGCGTGGACACGGTAGCAGGAGGGGTTGCAGCTCTCGTCAGCACCGCTCACGATGGCTCCCAACCAGAACTTGTGGTTGATCCTCTGGCATCTCAGCATGACAAGATACTGGCAGCGTGTTGCGTTGCATACTTACCCGTGCGAGAAGAAATCACAAACCTTTGGTTCAAGGGCGACCTGCCAGCAACGAACCCGAGGCTGTACACGGAGATGGTCGAGAAGGGCGTATTAGCGTCCCAGAGCGCAAATCGCGTGCTGGCTGAATCATTGAAGGAGATAGTGAGCCAGGACAGCTGAAGAGCTCCAGTACTGAAATAAGAGTACGGCAATGCTACCCTTCGAGGCTACGGGTATCCTCTCGTAAGCAGCAGTACCTGGACTACATATTGAGGAGGATCTTGAAAAGCTGGTAACGAGAGCATGAGAGAATATCTGGTTTTTGGGCTACACACAGGAAATGGGTAGACATTGTATGGGGCAACGGCCGGAAATATGCATGGGACGCATCTGGGTGAAAGGAGTTTAGGCATCAAGTACCTAGTAAAATTGCCCACTTAAAAAACGAATTGTGACTACTATCTGAACTCCCAGTTACTATCTGAACTCCCAGTTCCAGAAAGAGGTCATTCTGACGTGGATGAAAAGCTCTAGCAAAGGAAGTTAAAACAAAACGAGGTTGTAGAAGGGGGTAATAGGCGTCTTCGTCATGAGGGCGTCTGTGCGTAGGTACATTGACATGCGGGCCCCTGCCAGTTGTGGCTGCCGACCCTCGGATCAACGATGCACTCCAGCAGCCCACCCCCCTCCGCCAAGGTCCCTTTCTCCTGCCATTGTGCATACGTCTGACTAAACCACCACATGCGCTCAGTGTCCATTTTCAATCCCCGTGCCTCCCAGAGGGTGTTGGATGTTGACTTCCTTCTGCCCGCGCTCACTATGTATCCAGCACCAAGTTCTTGATGAACGGGCCTGTCTGTTTGATTGTTCCGCCCATTCCAGCCCCGCAACACTCGTTCTCTTTCCACCCTTATCGTTCATCTGACATCACCGCGCAGACCACTGCCGACGAGCAAGCGGCGCCCAGGCCGGATCAGCCGAACAACAGATACACGCCAGGCACAACCACGGTTGAGCCCTGACTGCTGCAGAGACATTATGGAGCACGCCATCGAATCACTGGATCACCACCAGGCTGTCGCGCTGTTCGACAATGCAAGCATATGGCATAATTTCCTCAATTTGACCTCGACTCACCTCGGAGTCAACGTCTCGAGATACACCCCGTCTCTGGAGGACCTTGTGTGGGCTGGTCCCAGGATGGTCATGAAGCTCGGCAGACTCGGCTCCTTCATAGCGGTTCCCGATGCAATTGACGGGTTCGGCCAACGAGTCGTGCCTGATGCGACTGGTTCCGACCTCTTCTCCTCGACATCCTCCCTCTACGGCTCCAACACCTACACTACCCGCAATCCCGCTTCCGCCACGCCCTCAGACCTCGCCGAGAAAGATCCTGTGATGTATCGTTTCTCGATGGAGGGTGCCAAGGGCCTAGGCAGCGTGTTCAGCTACGCCACCAGCAAGTGGGCGCTATGCTGTATCGCCATGGCAGTCGTCCTAAACCGAACCCATATTTTCGCGGCGACGAGACGGCGAATACGGCTGCGGTGGTCCGTACGACTTGTGATCCGAATCACTCCTCTCCTTCTCTTCTACATACAAGCTCGGAGTCTACTTCAGTCCATACAATGTCAGACATCGCCGGATTTTGCCGAGTTGCGGTGGGGAAATGCTAGCAAGAGCTCAGATCTTATGTTCTCTCAGCGCAATCCCCTGCTGCATGACATGAGCTCCATGCTGTTGTTTGGTGCGACAGACGAGGAGTCATGCTTGGCCGTGCACATGATTCCAGCGGCGGATGAGGAGTCACCTGATCTGAAGGGCTCTCTGTCGCTTCTGTGGCCTCTGTTCGGTACCTTCTGTCTGAGCCAGTTCATCGAGACCATCTCCTGCGCAGTTCAGGGAAAGTCGGTCTCTGCTGAGACGGGTATGACTCTTTTCGAACATTCCCTTGCGTTTGCCGAGGCCGAAGCTGCAATCAGCAATCAGCTTGGCTGGGGTATCTTTAGCCCTACAGCAGCTGATGCGACGGCCCAATCGACTATGGCTGCGAATGCGATCAGCAGATCCATGATCATGAAACGAGTCAATACACCTCCCGAGGTGCTCCTTATCGCCTTCTTTTCCACAATGAGCCATATTACAAGCCACCTCCTAGGAGTATTTGGCAAGCAGGCAAAGTTTCGCCTGATCAGCACGGGTTTCTGGGCGCTGTGCTTCATGAGTAGTATCGTCTGGAGTGCCATCACATTCTCGCTGGAAGACTCATCAAGCCAAGGGCTGTTGAGATATCCTACGGTCTGTATTATTGGGTTCATACCTCATGTTCTGGTTTTATCAGGGATTGTGGTCTGCTTCTCCATCTACTCCATGGCACTCTGTATATCTGCGCTAGCGACTCCGTCCAGCACAGCGCAAGGAGAGCGGCTGACGTTCAGGGAACGCATTGCTCTTGCGCACTCTAATATGCAGGCCAATTTATCATTTTCCGACCTGAGGATCACGTTGGAGATGGACTTCTATACGGCACTCCTGCGAGCTGGGTTCGGTGCAATCACGATGGCCACCGAAGCCGTTTACCTGAACGAAGACCGAAGCGTGAATCTCAAGCGCACAACCTGGCTTGAGGAGGAACGGTACCGCGAGATCGAGGAGCTAAAAATGAACTGGATCAGCTCTGGTGTACCTGGCTCACGGTATGATACCTCTGGTGTCATCGGTTTGGTGCCGGTCAAGGACGGCCAGCTTAGGGCAACCAGTGGATATGCACGCGAGAGAGCCGCACAGAAGCTTTCAAGCTCCATCACTGGCGAGCGCCGCGCCATACGAGACGGCATTGGCGCCGCAGAACGAAGCGGCCGCTGGCTATTAGCCTTCTACTATCTGAGGCACATCGGCAAGCTATGTTGCACGTTTTCCGCCATGGGCTTGTGTTGGTCCTTGGCCAAGACTGGCGTGCGAAATCCCCCGAGATGGCTCAAGAACTGGTCCAAACTGCCCAAATCCGCAAAACCTGAAGAGAAGCGGTCGAGAAGGGGACGGCAATACGACAGTGTGATTCAGGGCTTCGGGGCCACAGGGATCCCCGGCATCCAACGATCTGATCGGGTTGATGTAGAGCGAGAAATGCGTCGGCTATACACTGAGCATAATCCTCTTGACGACGAAGGCACCCGCGAACGGTGGATCGACAGCAACCTCTACCAGTGGTGGCTCCATGGTGGTTGGTGGGGCAAGACCGACACAAGTGGCGAGTATGCCCCGGCTGCAGAAGTGGAAGATCCCGACTTTGATGCGACAAGCGTCATCTCGACTACAGAATCTTTGTATTCAGCAAGCGACGATGAGGATGGGCAGGACTGGGAGGACGTTGATGGCATCGACGATGGTCAGCGGACGCCAACCCAGCGATCTCCATTCTCCTCGAGAGAAGCCTCTCCCGTTGTCGACACACCTGTACAGGCAGCTGACCTGGCAGCCCTGCTCCACCCACGCAGCGTCGAAGAGCGCGGTCAGGCACGCGCTCTCGCCGCTCACCTTGGCTCGGACCGCGTCATGACACGGGCCGGCTTCAGGCGCTACGAGCAGGCGCAGCGGTCACAAGTCCTCTTTCCCAGCCGCTATGTTCGAGGCTCCGCCAAGATGACACCCGAAGAAGAAGTCCAAGTGCTTGAGCAGATCCTACTTGAACGGCGTGCCGCCACAGCCGCACCTACCGATGGCGATGCAGGTCCTTTTGGTGCCGAGGGCGCTGGCTCGGCCAGCTGGGCCGATGGCGCAGCTGGCATGGGCTCGGACGGTCCGCAATGTGTCGTGTGTCACAGCTCTCCGCGGACGGTGATTGTTTGGCCGTGCCGGTGCCTCAGCCTCTGTGATGACTGCCGGGTGTCGCTTGCTCTGAATAACTACGACAAGTGTGTCTGCTGTAGGAGAGAGGTGATCAGTTTCAGTCGTATCTACGTGCCTTGACCGGGTCGTGTTGGGGAAACAGTGATCTCATTTGGAGGTTTTTCCTCATCGTTGTTGCAGTGTACATAAGCGATCGGAAGCGATCAAGTCATGAATGGCATGGCCGGGCGCGGGGGCGTTTTTCTTTCTTCGTTCTTGATTGCAGTAGCAACTGTTCGTTCCTCAGTACATAATGTAGACTCAACGTCACAATTCAAGGACGATTGTGATTACATAAGAACATGGGCTTAGACCTGCGAGGCGTCATTGCTTTGTTTCTTCTTTCTTTTCTTGTCTGTTCATCCCCCCGTTCTTGTAATCCGGCAATGTGCTCGCTTTCCACTACTACATGGCCGCCCACTCGATCGTGAAAGCTCTGACTCTGTCTTTACCAGCACCCTGTGCTGCCTCCTCAGACGGAGCTTCGCCACCGATAAGGAACCCCTTCTTGACACCTGTGCCTAGCCGTCCTCCAGTGACGAGATCTAGCACGGTGATCTCCTCATCCCACTCGAAACTTGTGGCCATAAAGTGGGCATGATATCGAAAGGGGTCACCAGGATACACGCTGTAGTCAGCACCAAACCTGATACCTGGTGTAATGTAGTAGCCTCCGGCGTTTAGGTGCTTGTACAGCGGGTAAGCGCGGGGCGTTTGGATAGAGACACGATGGGCCTGGGGGTCTGCGAGGATGTCTACGCTGGTCGTGGGCGTGATATGCCGGCCAAGTGTGCTCACTCCAGGCAAGGACGGGCCGGTTTTCCTAGGGGCTGAAGAGGACTCAAAGAGAGAGTTGTCGGCGGCGGATGACGAGTCTCCAGCGTCTACTGAAGCTGATTTTGAGTCGTCCTCTCCTTCCGGGTCGTCCTCTTTGACCTCTGGAGTCCGGCCAGTGTCTCCCCGATTTCTGGTAGCACCGGAGGCCGCCTTCTTTGCCAGGCTCGCTGCTTTCATTTTCTCCCCAATCTTTTGCAGTTCCACTTTCTCCTCGTCCGCAGCACGCTGGAAAATCCTCCGTCTCGTCTTGAGCGACTGCAGATACGCCTGCTTGGTGGACGCATCCATGGGTGTCAGGTGAGAGGTGGCATCGTCTGCGATGAACGCGGCACCCTTGTCCACAAGCAGCTTGGCCTCCTCGGCGAGGAGCTCTATTGGTAGCCCTGAGAAGACGTTCTGATTAGGGTTCTGCGGCGTGGTCCCCACGAACACAGCGCAGATGCAGTGCTCGCGGCGGAGGGTAGCTACGTCCTTTACCTCGAAAACGAGGTACCGGCCGCCCACCTTGGAGATTCGGATGAGTTCCGCCATTGAAGGGCAGTTTCGACTCTCATTAATAGTGCGTCTGTTGTGGGTGTCGTCAGCTCAGTGCTCGCTCAGATGTGAGGTTTTGAGTGAGCCAGATGGTGAGGTGCGAGTCATAATTTTTGACACAAATTGTTTCGTCACTGATGATCTCAGGGGATTGACAGATTGTAGATGTTGTTTGAATCATTCGAAAGCACGGATGTGAGTGGCTGTGAAAGAAATTCGAGTTGACTTACTTGCACTGTTAAAGATGTTGTCGTTTCGAGAGGGAAGAAAAAGTGCAGAGAAAATTCCTGCAGCTTTTGTTGGCAGGGCAGTTGGTTGAAAAAGCGGGTACCGGGATCGAGGGTTAGGGCTAGTATCGCTTGGCTCACGCTGCCACATGGACCCATAGTACTGTAATGGTTCTTGAGCAGGGCATATAAAATCCACAAGAGCTCGGTGTCATGTCGAAAAGGATTTGTCTCGTTTTGAGCCTGGATTTCGCTGGAAGAGGGCGTTGGGAAATCAGGCCAACGCCCTGAGGCCTTCAAAATTCGATTCCATCCTTGACGGTACTTGCAGGTGATTTCTCCGTGTGGTCTTCCTCCTCCATTGGCGGCAGTACGTAGGGTTGGATAACTAAACCCTTCGTGCTACTCATGTGAAATGACAGGTCCTCTCGGAAGTGGTTGTTCGAGGCACCACCGCCTCCTCTCTCGTGAAACACAGGTAGGCTGTGGACCCTCAAGATGCCTTGACTTTGATCCTGGACTTTTGGGCCGCTTCCAGACGATGGCGGAGTGGCACCGAGCTTTGGTGGCAACGGGACCATCTCCAGAACACCATCCGACAAGAGTTCCGTCCATCTTGTCATGCCGTTGGTTCGTGGAAACAGTGAGACGGGTAACGTGATGAGAGCCGTCAGCTGTCCAGGATACTGGCGCAACAAGGACCTGAGGGCGTGCAGGAATTGTAGGACCTCGACCGGCTGACACGCACTTGGTGCGTAGAGTGATGGTGTCAAGAGATTAGGGATGACTGCCCTGTGAATCGTTGAGGGAGCTGAAACGTGAAGTTTTTGCTGCAAGTCCTTGATGAACAGCTTGAACGCAGATGGTGTTTCTCTAGCCTCAAGGGCAGGGCTCATGGGGGTGGCCGCCGGAGTTGCGAACATTGTGCCCACGATGGATGACGCCGCGAGCCTCTTTGTAAGGTCAAAGGCATGGCAGAAGACAGCCTTCATATCATCATCTACGTCTATCTACCAGTCAGAAAACCGATTCATCGTGATTTAGCTCGCAGCCGGAATCTTTGCACGCACCCTTTGGCCCACTGCTATGTGAATTCCTACTAGCAAGGCTCTCGTACCTCCATGCAATCTTCATCTTCTCATCTGTATGGTCCGATGCTTTCTTGGGATTTATGTTTTGTCTGGTAGACACGGCTGGCAACTCGTGTTTCCACACTTCGGGATAACCAAGAACATGTACTTGATGGCCTTGTACGAGCCCCTCGGCAGCGTAGTATTTGAGCAGGGTCCCCGAGAAGTCTGTCGTCCCATGCTCCTCAATAAGAAGAGACGAGCCAAGCGGCAGGCCGGCGTGTCCAGCAAGAATACTGTCCAGGGACGCGGTGCCTGTAGAGGTGGTGACCCGCCCGTCGAGGGGCGATGGCCGCAGCCCTGGCGCAAGTTGCGCCTCTGGTCGAGTCTGAGCAGCCTGAGGCGAAGAAGATGCAGATATCACTGCATTTCTCTTTCGAAAAGACATGGCAAGATGCTTGTATGACCGGTATATGCTGAAGGGTGAGGACTTGTGGCCGAATTCTCGAGATTGAGCTTATTTTGTCCCATGCCAGAACTTTAGGCGGTCTGGGTGATTCTGCCGGCACTAACCTAGCAGCAGCTGCTGCCCCAAGTGCAAGTGAGCTACAGTGAACTTACCGCCTGCCTGCCGCGCTCACAAGCCGCAGGCGATCGCCTATGTAGAAAGTTTTCCTCGTCAGCTTTTTGCTTTTGTCCCAACCCAACACCACCAAGCCAAAACCCTGACGCGTTACGCTGCCTGTACCTCTTCCCAAATCGAATTCTCCCATCGTTTTAGCTGCATCACAATGGCCGAATCTACCAACGATGCCGTGCTCTACGAGGAGCCTTTCGTCATCACGGCCAAGGACCACAAGAAGTACGACCGTGCCGCGCGCCTCACAGCCATCTCCCACGACAACCTCACCAAGCTGGAGCTGGACATTAACACCGAGCTGCTGCCCATCTCCCCCGACGAGAACATTGAGGTGTGCGTGGCATCGACTCTGAGCTTGGATGGTTCTGTCGACGAAGAGAGGGGCTGGCGCGATGTTGGCAAAGGGGGCGTGCAGACCCTGGCTGATGGCTACGACTACGTCTGCCATGGCAAGATCTACAAGTTTGAGGACGGCAAGGCGGCAAAGACCCTGTGCGTTGCGCTATCGACCTCCACCCCTAAAGCTTTCACTGACAGGAATGTGACGAAAACAGGAAAGTCTACGCCTCGTTTGGTGGCCTGCTCATGGCACTGGAAGGTCCTGATGCAAAGCTCACCCCACTGCGTGTGGACAGCGTATACCTCCTGATCAAGACTTAGAGAGCCTTGGACTAGGTAGGTATGGTTCTCACCACGCCGCTTCCAGCGTCGCATCGGACCAACAGTAAGTACGCAAACCTGAAACGAATTGCTTGTAATAATTTAACTGATATATTATAAAGGCCATGGGCCTCATTCTCTCATCACTACTCCCTCCGACACCCGAAACATCCGCAAGGAAGACTCGCCTGCCTCCTCCTCCTCTTCCTCCTGGGTGTTTCTCTCTTTGTCATCGTCGAAGTTGATGACTTTTATTCGTCTTCTTCGAAAGTTCCAGGGAAAGGCATCTTCCTACGAAGACGTGTTTCGATCTCATCGCAGTCAGGCTCGTTGTCGGGGGTGAGAATGCCCATGCGAATGAAGAAGTCAAGGATAATGACAGCACAGTTTGGCTTCCACCGGCCTGCCGCGAGTTGCTCTCTGACCTCATCTACCGTGCAGAGACTGAACGACTCAACTTCCCCGTCGTTCGGGGCCGGGACCACATCGTCAGGTAGCTCCACATCATATACCCATTGACACTCAGGGTAGATATACCCGTCATCAATACCAGGTCGTTGTTCGGTCGTGTATATGTACCTGATGGTACCTGCCAGCTTTGCGTGCTCGCGAATTATATACTCGGGCAGACTGGCTTCCTCGTCGGCCTCGCGAATAACGCACTCCAAAGGTTCTTCACCTGTCGTCAGGCCACCTGCCACCGTGTTGTCGAACATACCAGGCCACGCATTCTTGAGCTTGGATCGTTTTGGTACCCAGAGCTTGATCCCATGGGGTGCTGTCGGGCAGCGTACGTACGCAATGAGGTGAATGCCATACCGCATATACCCCCAGAGTCCCATCGACGACCGCTCCATGCTGAACAAAAGTTCTCCGCTGCGACCATACACGGGCCACAGCTCATTCCTCCAGTTCCCAAGGATCTTGAAGGTTCGGTGCATCCGCAGATAATGTGTGGTCGCAGCCACGAGGTCGGTTCGCATCCGTTCCGTCGCTGGCCTATGGAACATCTTGACCGTCCTGTCATAAGGATTGAAGACAATTTCTCCCCTGATGCTTGCTGGCACCTTTTTGATCTCTTCAAACACGCTGCTCAACATGTAGCCGATCGGGAATGTGCCCTTCTCGTCTTCCCAGATGACGGTGTACAGATCATTCATCATCTTGGCGTATCTCTCAGGCTCCCTTTCGACCAGGGGGAAACTGCAATGTACAGTCAGTTCCGTGAGCTACCGACACTTTAAAAAAAAAAAAAAAAAAAAAAAATAAGGCCTGGCGCGTACTATATGGAGCGAAGGAGAGCTGCAGCTGTTTCCTACATGGCAACACTCTGGCCTTCCGTGACTGACGCCTTTTCCTTCCGATGTCGCACGAGAATGCAGGTGGGCAGAAAGAGGTTGACTCAAGAGTCAACCTAATAATGGCGCCCGATGGAGAACAAGGATCACGCAGGCATGGACGGTATTCTTGACAACGGCGTGTGTCCTGGACCGATTGGGTTCAGAGAATCGATGGAAATCCAGAGACTTACCCATCACAACGATCCAGCAGGTCCCTGCTCGTGAGGCGGCTCGTCGCCATTGTTCCTCCCGCGTCAGCCATAATTTGTCTTGGTGATGGTTCGATGTCTGGGCTTCTACGCAAGATTTGTTTGAACACCAAGGCTCTGATGGATCATGCAGTACCAACAGCACGCTATTAGTGGGAGAAAGGGAGAGACGAGGGAGGAAAGAAACTAGAGCTACAGGAAATTACGGATGGATCGCATAAAAGTAGCAAAGCCTCTTTATAGACGGGAGCCAAGACTGGCCGGCATCAAGATGCTCACCTCATTTATTCCGATAGTATTGCGGCTACCTGTTGGCATAAGATGGACGTCCCACACGTTACCCTCGACTTACCATACCTAATCCCGCCCAGCCCCCAAGCAATTTTTCTGTTTTGGCTCTTCTTTCTCTGCTTATATCTCTCCAAGCACATCAGTGAGGTTCTTCACGTGGCAAATCTCTTAACGTGGGCCCCTGTTTTGAGGGACTAATGCTTTTTAAATCTGAAGCCTTTCCTAAAGCGCTGGTGGGATCACTTGCTTTCTCACTTGCGGTCCCCGGGGGGCCCCCGGGGGGGGGGGGGGGGGATGAGATCTCGGCCAACATTTAGCCACCTCCAGGATGTCTTGTCAATCCATACCCTGCGTATTTATCTCCGCCGTATTACTCTTTATCCACAATATGCGGGCATGCTCACTTGCCCGTGTGGACTCTGAATTATGAAGGGTTTTTGTTCCAAGCCTAATTCTATTATCCGTCACATGCATAAATAGGCCAGGCCAGGCCCAGTGTACTGTATAATACTATGAAGATCGTCATAAGCTTTCTGAACCATCTGGCAGAGGTGTGTAAGAAATGGTGAGGCGGAGCCGCATGTCGCATCAAGATCAGTCGTCACTTGGCAGAGAATGTACCTGTGCTACTACTGGCCATGTACACAATGGCACGATCACCACCCCTCACCCTTCCCCCTCTCTCTTGTACACACACACACACACACACACACTACTTTGATCTCCCTCCCCCCAGCACAGCCCATGCTTGCTCCCTCGGGTGCCACCGTTTGCCAGTGCTGTTGCTCAAGGCTGTATGAGTGAGACACCTCTCAACCCGAGACGAAGGTAGCACACCGCAAATACCCCGTTGCTTTCCTGGTCTACCTTTCATATGTCGACTGCCGCTCTGGGCATTCAGGTGACAACCGCCCTTGGGCTTTTAGGGGGAGACGAGGGAGTGTCCATCCTCGTTTTTGAGCAAGGCTGGATAACCCCATTTTGGTTCGCCGATGGATGGATGTATGGATGATAATGGTGATGATGGTGATCCGTGCCACTGCATGCCCGTTCATGATTCATGAAAATAATAAATAGACACCTAAATAAGAAATACGGGTAGTGAAAGCGCCCCCTCTCTTCATGTACATACAGATTATTGATGTTTGTGTGACAGGCCAATGCACACTTGACACCTATTTCATGCCATCTTGCAACAACAAAGAAAGAGCAGTATGCTTATCCGCTGTACATGGTGCCCTTGTGCAAAGAGGCTGCATAGTCACAAAAGGTGTTGGCGTACAATGCAGTGAAAGCTACTATAGTACATGCCGCAAGAAAGGCATTCCAGGAAGAGAGAGAGAGAGATGGCATATTGCATGCGGGGCTAACATACAATTGTCTTATAACCCTTGTAAATCAGTTTATTGTACGAGAAGGTAACCAACTTGGGATCAGAGAAGCTACATGACCAGGTGACTTCTGAAGGATTTACAGGGCAGCGTTCTGAAGCAGGGATTGTCAGGCTACTGTACGGAACGGGGCAGCCGTAGTGGGGTTGGTTGTTGCTCCCAAAGGTTCTCGCTTCTTCTAGAAATGGATTAATTAGGTCCTTGGCATCACCACACCACTTTCCCGTTGGATGAGGATTGAGGGACTGTGGAAGCTGCAGTGGAATGCAAGTTTGATGTCATCCTCGTACACGGCAGCAGCGAGATTACGGCACCGACATGATTGAGGCAGAAAAGAAAAAGTGACAGCGCACAACATCAAAGTCTTACGACCTGCTACCTCTCAAGCCCATCAGCAAGTGGACTTGGCTGATAACTATTGGCCAAGCTCCACCACTTCTCTAAACAACTTGGTGTCATCCCAAGAATCTCAATCCAGACACGCTAGCCGAGGACAGCAGCAACAAGAACGCTTACAAAAACAACAAGGGTAGTGACTCCTTCTCTGGGACTTTTATCTGCACCACACCTAAGCCATGTCGGATTGGGATGACCTCACTCTTATGCCTTGATCCGAGCTGATCTATTATATCTATTAGTTACAGCGAGTCAACACCAGACGCTGAGGGGAAGGGGTCTCGAACTTCAGTCCACAATTCGTCATCCACACCCACTTGCAAGCATCTTTGCCTGGTTAGGACATCTCTCCCGATAGGGCTGCTCAACACATCTCATTGGCCTTGGCTTTCAATACAGCCGACACAACACAGGCTCTCTCTCTTCTCAATATTCGCGCTAATCTTTATCCTCCAGCCCTGCCCAGCGCTCACTTCCTCACTCGCTCGACCAACCAACCAAAACCATGGCCCAGCCCCTCTTCGGCCTCGTCCCAGCTGGGCTACCAGTCATCACACAACCCACTGAGACACCCACGCCTACCTCCTTCGTCTACTCAATCCCAACAGGTCAGAAGCCCTTCTCCCACGTCGTCATCTTCCTGCTGCCGGGCATCATTCTCCCGGAGAACACAGCAGCCGCCATCTACCTCGTCACGCCGCCGAACCCAGCACAGGGGCAGACCGCCCCAAACTCGAGGTTCCTCGGCGGCGTGGGGCCCGGCAAGGAGTCGGCCATCTTCAAGCTCAACGAGGCGTCGTCGCCGTCGGGCCAGGTCATCCTGGGAGTCAGTATAGAGGATGGCGCCTCCGTAGGTGCCAGGATCGAGGGGCTGAACGCGGCCAAGGCCTCCTCCTCCTCCCCGCCTGGGAGTTCCCTCGCGCTCGTGCCGGCGGGGTCCGGAGCTGGAAGGACCCAGCCAAGCACGCTCGTGCTCGCGCAGAGGATCATTAAGAATGCCTTCAACTTCCTGTCTAGCTTCTCTGGGCAGGCGGGTCAGGTCGAGGTCGTGCCCCTGCGCGCCTTCGAGGACTGGTGGCGCAAGTTCGAGAGTAGGGTGCGAACGGACCCGGGATTCCTTGAGCGGGACGAATAATGAAAGGTGTCGGGGCGGTAATGACTGCATGTATGCTGACACCAGCGTCACAACGTCTCTCCCCATCCTCCTCCTGTTGTTCTTTTTGTCATACACACAGCAGGCTGGCAGGCGAGCGGGCTGGCTAGCTTAGTTGTCCCTGCCTGCCCAGGATCGTGGGCTACCTAAAGAAGAGGGGAGTCGTCACCCTTATCGACGTGCCGTCTTTGGAATCACCCTCCCCCGGCCCCTATAGCATCAACGCAGTGAGATGTGATCGACATGACCCCGTGACAGTCTTGTACTGTGGGCGCTTATGTGGTGTGGTCATTAGTGCCCCGATTTCGCAAGTGCATTTGTGTGCATGGGTGGGTGGACAAGGCGTGTATGAAGCTACGTCTTTGTGGCAGTCTTGCTCCGCGCTAGATAGATAGCAGGGGGGAGGGGGAGGGGAAAAGAAGGAAAAAGTCTGGTAGCATATCAAGGGAGGAGAGTCAGTTACTGGAATTGTCAGCGTTGGTGGGCATAAGCTGACCTCTCCCCTCTCACGACATCCTATCGACTGAATAAAGGTGGGCAGTGGAGCCAAGCTGGGGTGGTATCTATTGCGACAACAGAGCGAGCAAATCAGAGTAGGAAAGGCGGCATGCAGGTCACAAAGGGCATATCAAGACACGATGCTAGCAAGAGATGGTGATCATGTGGCAAGTCAGAGAATCGTAGCTAGTATATCCCGTACCTAGGAGAAGAGGTGCAGGAGCCAAGAAGAGGGAAAAGGTAGTAAAATTCAATCACACCGTATTTGATGGCGCTGATCAGTCAAAGGTCTGCAGAGCCCAAAAGATCTATCGATACTCCATGTCACCATGCTTCTCAAGTTAAGTCAGACAATCCCTCTAAAGCCCCTTGACAGGGGGAAAAAAAAATTAAAAAATTTCCAGAAACTGTTTTCCAGCGTTGGTCAGAGACGCAGGCGCGAATCGAGTCCTTCCCAGGGTTGGAGAAATTTAAATTCGTATATTCTCACGCCAGGGAAGAAAATAAATAATCCTGTAAGTGGTACATTAAAAATCATAATAGAAGTGGTATCTTTTCGTCATTTCTCCAGAAGGGACAGGAGATGAGAGTCCAGTGCTCTCTCTCTCTCTCTCTCTTTCTCTTCTCTCTTCTCATGCTGTCGCCAGTGGGCTCTTTCTCGCGGGACTACCAGTTCGAGACCGTCTTCCCGCATTCGACATGCTTGGTGGAAGCCTCAACGAGTCGCGGCTTTCTGTGCGGACAAACAACCCCTCCCTGTCAAGCGCAGAGCTGGTGTCGAATCGGTCGTTCAGCTTAGGAGTGGCAAGCCCCGATGTCCGGCCAAATCTCGACTCCTCTGACCCGTCCGAGTGATCGTTCTCGTCTGAGTCGACGTCGCCCAATTCGAATTGGCTCGCTTCGCCCTCTTCGGCGATGCGTTCATAATGGGCTATGGATCTGCCGAAAAGCTTGTTCGTAAGCCCGGCGAGCCCCCGTGCTGGTTTCCGTGGACTGCCGGGCTTCCTAGATCGGCCAGTGAAGCTGTCGATCTTGCTCATCAATCGCATGCGACGTTCCTTCCTCCGGAGGAAGTAGGCCAGAACCGCCAGGACCAAGACGAAGAACAAGAAGGTCGAGAACTTGCTCGGCTTTGCATGATCGACCAGGTCTTCCAGCGTATCGTCCCAGTCATCGTCGTCATCATCCTCCTTCCACTTAGACCCTGCGTAGTTGAAGTCGGCCGGGACCTCCAGCGTGTTGCTGCCGAACCCAACGGGGAGGTAATCGCTAGATCTGGGCGGGATTTGACCTGCGGCGTAAAGAACCATCGGACCCAGCGTCCAACTGACCTCGATGCCGTCAATCTTGTCTACTGGCTGGAATGGGTCCAGGAAGCCCTTCTCTTTCGCGTCTTCTAGGGCACCCTTTGAAGCATTCACACTCGGTGGCTGCTCGAGCCCCAAGCGCGGAATGCCAATGCCATCGTGCATGACGTTGATCAGCCAAGAAGCCTTGAAGCATGCCTCCTGCGCTTCCTTGACGTTGTCTTTTTTCTTTGCCGAGTCCACTTTGCTGACGATCGTGTCCCAATTGTTCGTGCAAAATTCCTCGACCTTGCCCTGATACGTCTTCAAGTCGTAAGCCATGTCGCCCTTGCCAAAGACACCATGCGTCGTATGCCAGTACTCGGAAACTCCGATGAAGTGATTGACATCAAAATCGATGGCGGGGACATGTTGGCCGTTTAATAGACAAGGCTCATCCAAGCAGGGGGCGTCCTTTCCAAGTAGGGGATATGTCTGCTTCAAGCAGCTGGTAAAGTCACCGGTCCCGAGTAGTGTCAAGCCCGTCGAATGGCCAGGCTCCAGTAATTCACCCGACGTCGTGGTACGCAGACCCTTGGGCAAGCACGGATCGGGGATCTCTTGGGCATCAGGATCGTACGTATCGATCAGCTTCTTGACATAAGACTCGCGAGCCTGGTTGACGCCAAATCCGAGCCAAGTCGCTGTGAAGACTTTGTACTCGGATCGCTGCCCGTCCAGGGTCCGCATGCGCAACAGCTTCAGGTCGTTGGCATGCTTCGCAGCCTCTGTCGCATTCGGGGCGAAGGCGATCTGTGCCGAGGCGCCACCCATGTCCAAAAATCCGTAGGTGTTGTGTCCTTTTCCATGGTTGTGCTCCTCCGGGTGGTCGAAGCCGCCCAGCAGGTAATTCGATGCTATCCAACCATACAGTCCCTCTGTCTCGCCCGGGATGATCTGAATGTGCAAGTCGCAGTCAGGCAGAGAGAAGTCGGTAGTGCTTTTGAGGTAGGAACAGATCTCGCGTGTCAAGGCCGATTGTTGTACCTTGGGGAGAAGTCGCATGCCAGCAGTCGCCATCAAAAAGATGGGCGTGTCCTCGATCTGGTCCTTGGGAATTACGCCGAGGGCGTGGTCGACGAGGCCCTTGAGATGGTCGTCGCCAACGGCTGTTGGGTTCTCCCCAAATGTCGACACGCCTGGTTTGATCTTCTTAGTCCATTTCTTCTCTGTCACCAGTTTCGGCAGGCTGTGCAGTTCTTCCTCCAAAGCATGTTTTCTAGCCTTTGCGGGGTCCTTCCATTTGTATATGTGCAGTCGAGTCCCTGAAGAGCCAGCATCGAGAACGACTCCCCATCTCCCTGTATACATGGAACATCAGCCATCGTTGTTCTTAGAAAACGGTCGTGGAATGGATAAATTGCGCACATTTCTTGCCCATCGGGACGTCGTGACGGTGGCCTTTTCCGTCAAGTACGGGTCAAGGTTTGAATCAACTATCGATCGTATGTCTCTCGAATGATCTCGTTATCGACGTCGGAGAGCGCGATCGCCCTCGTGAGGACGGAATCGAGACGTATTACGAAATCAATGATGGTGAATCGAAGATAAAGATGGAATATTTGTGACGTCGCCTCGGAATCGTGACACCTTCGTGGTCGGTCGAGAGGGGGGGGGGGAGGACAAGCGAGAATAGGCACGATAAGAACGGTAAAATGGATCACTAGAAACGGAAATGCCTTGCTCGCCGCGCAGAACGAGGGGACGCGCCGATGCAAAGCAGGTTTGAGATGAATTGGGTGGTGGGTAAAAGTCGGATTATCGTAGCGAGTGATAAAAAAGAATTGCAATGTCTTAAAAAATGGTGATACGTTCGCATCGATTAACGAGGGAAGGGGTCGAATGGATTAGGCATGGTCGGGATGAGAGCCCAGGTTTTGGGAGGAGGCAGGATCTTCGAGGTTTGGTTACGAGGGAATTGGCACATGGAAATGTCGGTTGGCTTCTACTGTGCACCAGCGTGCTCGTGGGGGGTTCCAGATAGCCGTCCAGTGCCAAGAGTGCCTGGTCTGGGGCGTCGAAAACAGTGCATCCCTTGCTTACCCGCCTAGCCTGCATCTCTTTTCATGGGTCGTCTTTTCCCTGGCCAGCCTGGAAACGGCCGCCTGGGCAGGACGGGAACGCCCCCCTGGCTCCACTGCTATTCTTAGTTTCCACACCACTGTCAGTCTACTGCACTTGTGGCAACTTGGCAAAGGCCTTGGTATTCAATTTCTCCTTGACGCCTTTCGACTTACCTTTTGACGTTTTCAATAGACCAGGCCACTGCAGGTCATCCCTTGCAGCTATTTGTGCACAGCATTGTCACAGACTATTGGAAATCCAAGCACCCTACTTTCCCCCCAGTGGAAAAAAAAAAGTCGCCTCGGTCTTGCCACCTTTTTGCGTGGCACCCCAAATCTGCGACGAGGCCCACGTAAGCCCCCCTTACCTTGACTAACTGCGTGCTGTACACAGTATCCCCGAATCACCCCCGCACCACCTCGCCTTCAGCTACTGTGTACCAGCATGGCGTTGTTTCAATTTGATATATCATGACCACCTTCCTGAGGACCACGGATACGTCATGGAGCATCATCGCCCGAGAATGGATCCCGGATACCAGGGGTGAAGCTTTCATGTCACAGGCTCTCGGGAGATGTACAGAGGAGGGTTTAGCTGAACATGCAAGTTTGTGTTGAATTTTCGTGATTGCGCAACAAGGTACTTAATCCTTGCCAGTAACTAACTGGATATATGACTGATACACGAGCATACAGGCTCTTCATATATGTATATGTACGAGATGTGCTTGAAACAGCAAAATTCCGGGAACATTATATCCAAATCTGCTGTTGTTGTTGAGCGGATGGATCGCGCGGCGCCAGATCTTGTCTATCCGAGGAGGGGAAATGCTGCTCGACCCATGTCAGCCTCTTCTCAGTCGTACTCAGACTCAATTGCAGGCCCTTCCGCTCCTGCTCGGCCTTGTCGAGCTGGGTTCTGAGCTGCTGGTTTTCTTGAGTCAGCCTCTCCGCTTTGCGACGCGAAAGAGCCTCGGCCCTCTTGTAGTGCTCGAGGAAGACATCTCGCTGAGCAAGCTTCCGCTCAAGAGAAGTGGGCCTCGCCTTTTGGTCAGTATCTGGCTCCTCTTGTCCCTCGGGACGTTGCGTAACAACAGCATTTTGGACTTGCAAGCGCGAGATTTTGTAGACCTGGTCCTGGATCTCTGCCATGGTGGTTATGTCCTGGAATTCCGAAATGTCCTCCTTGACCAGTGTCCACAGGGTCTTCAGCGTCTCCTCCATAACCGCGTGGTGTTTTTTTAGGTTCTGGAGCTCCTCGGTCACAACAACGCGCTGCGAGATCGCATCGTGGAGAGCCGAGTTCAGCTCGCGGTTGTCCGTCTGCAGTTGGCTGTTATCCTCCATGAGCTGGTGGGCGTGTGCGCTGCGTGGGCTTGGAAAGTCCGGGATGTTAGCCGGCGAGCTCACCTTACCGACTCGGAGCCGCCGGTCAGGTTTGTGATCAACGAAGGAAAATCTATTCCCACGGAGTACCTCTGAAGCCTCTTCGAAGACGGTAGGCAGCAAGGGTATCTTCTTCCCTCTGTACCTCCTACCTCTTCTCCCGTTGTTTCCACGACGCTTTGGCGAGCGCGAGGACACGGTGTGATATGCTGCTAGGATACGGTCTGTAGAATGAGGCTGAGGCCTTCCAGGCCAAGACAGGCGGGCACGGGGGAAGGGGTGGCGCACGGGAGGAAGGCAGAAGCTTTGGAGACGTCTCTCGGCAGGGAAGAGAGAAAGGTTGGAAGAAGGAAGGAGGGAAGGCGAGTAGCCAAGGCTCACCTCGAGGGCTTTTCCATTGAACTGAAAGGACGGATCAAGTGCTACGTCCACATTAATGTTCACAAGCTCGGAGATGTGATCTCTAAGGCCTGAAACGGCTTGTCTCTTCCTCAGCTGCGGAGGAGTCTTCTCGACTCGCTTATACAGCCGTGCCAAGGCAAAGGGGAGTCTCCCGCAGCTTATGGCCGTGGGTTCCGCATTCGACCACACAGCATCGATGGCACCATGAGAAGAAGGAGAGCACCAGCGGGTCGACTGGGCGAGGCGTCGGGGGGCATGGTCCAGCCCAGACAACGACCACCCATTTGTATCGGCTGGTGAGGCTGACCCAAGATAGATCGGCTCCCGGAGAGCGAGCCCGGTCTTGAGGGGAAGCATGGCAGTGCACGTTGGAGCAATTCGAGACTGATAAAAGAGAAGATGAAAACCCTCCAAGACATCCCTTATTCAGAACAAACTCACAGCTACACTTGGTAAGTGGCGACGAAGCTGACGGGTCCTCGTAACTAGATATAAGGGGCTTACTCGGCCTCCTCTCGTTAGGTAACAGATGAGCTGTCCGACTCCATGGCCGCTGCGATTCATTTAATGCCTCTTTCATTGTGAATACAATCACCATTGTTCGTACCTTTGCTTTGTTGCAAAGACGGGGATAATTGACAGTCAGATAAGCGACAAAGAACCCATCTTCGTGCTCGAATACGGACCCATGATAACGACCACGGTCAAGCCTTGGACAATTACGCTGTAATAGCACTGATAGACCGAGTGTAGCGAGACAGGCGCGTTCGTGCCTGAGCTGCTACAACGCAAGGCCCCGAAAGCTTTGCAAAACATCATGATCTTCAAGCCAGCAATCTGGTCAGTGTACCTAAATCACAAGCCGCCATAACAGTAAAGCCGGCACGCTTCAGTATGAGCACCTCCTTGTCATTCAAACTTCCAGCTCAGGATGGAAAGTTGCCACCAATGCCGTGGGAACCTCGCGCGATGTCACCAAACAACGGGGCGCCTGAACGATGGACTGCCGAAAAGATCAGTAGAGTCTCGGCCAAACAGGTCAGGAAATGGAGCCTCCTACCACGTGGTCGCACAGGGGAAACAACGGCACCAACCACCACAGGTCCTTGGCTGGTCTTCACATGGGAACTCAACCCGACTCCACGGAAGGCGTCAGCATTGCTACGCTGGTTGCGATGTAACTCTCGCATAGGCTGTCGAGTCCTGCCTAAGCCGTGCAGGGCCGCTGGATCTCCAGCAATGAATCCCGGCCCTGCGGGAGAGCCCATGCCATCTGTACCTGGGTGCTGTCCATTGTTTGAAGACGTCACAGGCACATCAACTATCAAATTTCAGCAACCTTGGTATCTTGGGTCTCTGTGATGCCTCAACATACCATGCGAAGATGTTGGCCTTGCCCAGGCCAAATTTGGGATATCTGGTGGGCCCACTGGGGGCGAGGTAGACACCGAAACCTGGGAATTCAGCCCGTTGCCATATTGACTGGCCATATGAGATGTTCTCAATTGCTGTTGATAGGGCCTTTGGGGTCTCCCCCAGTTTGAGCCATACAGAGACGTGTCAACAGCATCAGATGCAGCATCCTGTATGTGGCCAAGCATTGCCTTACGCTTGAGCTTGTCGTACAGCTCCTGCGTCTGCGATAATTTATGGTTTTTTTCTCTGTATGCCCGACAGAGATCATTGTACTTCTTTTGGAGTGACTCTTGGTCTAGAGACATGCCTGCGATGATTCAGCATAAGTCGTTGGTGTTCTACCATGAGTGGGCCAAGGCTCACTGGCAATCGTGCTGTGCAGGCTTGTCATTTTAGAATTAGCATCTTTTATTTCTGCGTCAACTGAATCTTGCAGAAAAGCGTAACGATCTCTCAAGGTCTTGAATCTGTGGCTTTCCCAGGTCCTGGACCACCACGCTAGTCAGCATGGCCTCAGGACAGGTAATAGCCTGGCTGCCAGTAGAGTCACAAACAGATCATGCGTCATTTGCAATGACCAGAACTTCAGAGCACGCCCTGCACACTCCATGATGGAATCTGGGTCGAGTCCAGTCAGGGCTCTTGTCTTGAATTCCTCTGTGGGATTCAGCATGGTAACATAGACATCGTCTGGTCTAGGGAGGTGTGTTCCACAGAGTGGGCAGTTGCGGTGGTCAGGAGAGGGACCATTGAGTCCAGCACTGTTGCCACAGTCAACGCAGATGATATGGCTACACAGAAGACACAGTCAGTGGACAAGTTCGTGTGGGTATTGAGCATGCTGGTGAAGCACAGCTTATTTCATGTGTACTTACTTGCAGGATGTCACCAGGGCTTGCTGACGCAGCTCCGCCCGACAATGAGTGTCGTTGCAGCGAAATGTGTAATCCATCGTTGTGGATCTTGTCAGAAAGCCATCAGAGTCACTCACAGGGTATCATATGTCTAGGGGAAGAAAGAAGAAAAAAAAGAGGACAGTGTGCAATCATGGTGAAATTCGAAAGCAGTGAAAGAACAATCTTCAGTAGGTATGATTACATAACCAGCTTATGCTTGTGGAGGGGAAGTTGTGGGGCACCTTCCACACAGAGCTTCTTGCACCTTCCCAGGATCACTATCGTTTGACTTCTTCTTACCAAGACACCGGTCGAAGCTGCTTAGTAGCCCTTTCAAGAACGCAGGCGAGGGAAGGAAGAGCCTGGGATTCAGAATACTCCCCTCAATCCACGCAACACTTCTGGGAAGTCGAACCTCTCGGCAGTCTCAACGGCACTCAAAATGACAGAAGTCGTGGCGACTCAAACGCCGCCCATACTCCACGGACCGTCTGACAAGGAGAAGAAGTATGATCGACAGCTTCGTCTGTGGGCTGCAAGCGGCCAAGCAGCACTTGAGTCCGCAAACATCCTCCTCTTCAACACGGGCGCGGGCACTGTAGGAGTAGAGACGCTCAAAAATCTGGTTCTGCCCGGTACGTCACTTCCCAATGCTATAAGCGAGACAAGGGGTTGCTAAGAGTTCGCAGGTATTGGTCGCTTCACGATCATTGATGACGCTGTCACCACTGAGGCTGATCTTGGCATCAACTTCTTCCTCGACGAGGCTTCTGTGGGCAAGCCAAGGGCACAGTCTTGCGCAGAGCTCCTGCTAGAGCTGAACCCGGAGGTCCAAGGTGACTGGTTTCCTAAGAACCAAGTCAGTCTCTTTTCGTGTCTTGAAGCATGGCATTTCCACGATGCATCTGGCTGACCAAGACACGGGTATAGGAGTCGTTGGACCTGGGCAAGGTGCTCTCTGAGGTGCCGACTTTCACCATGATCGTCTACACTTTCCCCATCCGTCCAGATGATTTGAAGGTCCTCGAAGACTACGGCAGCGAGCACCTCACACCGTTGGTTGCCGTCCACTCCGCAGGCCTCTACTCGTACTTTCGAGTAGGCCTACCTGGCAGTTTTCCCATCGTCGACACACACCCAGACGAAACCGCCACAACTGATCTGCGACTGCTCTCACCATGGCCCGAGCTGCAGACTTTCGCCACTGACCTGACGGAGGATATTGACGCTATGGACAACCATGAGCATGGACACTTACCATACGTGGTCATCTTGCTGTACTTTCTGGGAAAGTGGAAGGATGTTCATGGAGACTATCCAAGGAAATATGCCGAGAAGACGGCGTTCAGGAAGATGGTTGCAGCTGGGGCAAGGACCAACAACCCAGAAGGTGGCGAAGAGAACTTTGACGAGGCGGTCGCCGCCGTAGTTAAGACGGTAGTGCCGCCCAGCATACCATTAAGTCTGAAAGAAGTGTTTGAGTACACTCACGATGATCCGGTGGGTCCTTTCCCCATTTGTCGGCCACGGAGTGTTACAGTGGTTTAATCTTGAGGTGCTAATGTGAGCTTGTCTAGATTGAGCAACAATCGAGCTTCTGGATCATCGCCGACGCGGTCAAGAGGTTCCATGAGAAGCACGGTAGTTTGCCACTGCCTGGCAACGTACCAGACATGAAGGCACAGTCCAAGGTCTACATCCAACTCCAAAATATATACAAGAATAGGGCTCGGCGGGACGTTGCCGAGGTGCTCGAAACAGTCAGGCAGTCTCCAGGTGGCGAGAACGTCGATCCTGATGAGGTGGAGCTCTTTTGCAAGAACGCTGCCTTCGTCAAGCTTGTCAATAATGGTGGTGCGGACGCTGATCGTCTGGCAAGGGTTGCAGGTAAGTGTCACCACCCCGCTGGGCTTCATTCTCAGTTCTGCAGGTCGTGCGGTAGGTAAGGGTCACATGAGATTGACTCCCAATGCAGGAGAGCAACTGGCTCAGGACGCAAATGCGGAGGTCACGATGTCGCCCCTTTCGCTGATCCCCATCTACCTTGCTCTGTTTGCGACGTCACACAATCCCCAGGCCTCCACAGAAGAGATTGTGAAGACCATCGGAGATATTGTTCCAGATGCCGCGAAGAATGGACGAGTGGTCAAGGTTGCTGAGGAGGTTGCCCGTGCTGGTGGCGGAGAACTACACAACACATCCGCCTTGACCGGTGGCATGGTGGCCCAGGAGATAATTAAGATCATCACTAAACAGTATATACCTGTCGACAACACCTGCATTTTCGACGGTATAAGCAGCAGGTGCCAGGTACTTCGCTTGTGAGCCGCAGCGAGGGATTCAATAGGTGCCCTGCCTGTCTCTTTTTTATTTCACATCACTTGAGGTCCAGTGCTGGAGGGTTGTGGTTCTGAATCAAGGCGGCGTTGCAGACGAAACAGCAGAAGACTGTTCGTCACCGGCCTCGCAGCTCCGGCTGAATTAGGGCTGGGAACTGGGAAAGGACTGGTGGAGGGTACAGCTGGGCAGCTCCCTGACTATGTTTATTGTGCGCCAGCATGGGATCTCTGACCAGTAGGCGGTAATCACTGCATCTTCCATCGCCCCCTTCGGGCCGCTGACAGTTCGAGACCGGGTCACATCCAAAAGAGGGGGAATCTCTTCGGACCGCATGTCCTAGCAGTACTGCAACCCTGAGATCGTTGTATGCACAGGTAGGGTGGTCACTCCGAGATAGTGGGGCCGCAAAGGTCGGGGAATCAAGCCAGAGTTCAAGTTCACATCCATTTTGCCCCTCATTTGATCGGGCTGTATTGGGATCGCGGCTATGGAAAGTCACACAAGGCTCTCGGCCCATGTGTCACCTTGCGCGCCCGCTTCCCACTTGGTACAACATCACTGACATCATAACAGTTCGAGCACAGCCATGCAATTACAGAACCACTATTGAGACCGAAAATCTGCAACAGCCTCGGAAGGAGCCATGCTGGGCACATAGCAGCCGGTGACAGGTGAACGGCCGTCTTCCGTTGAATTTCTGTTCAGTTCCACCTTCTTGAGTCCCTGATGTACTAGTGATTTGCACAAGCTGGAAGGACAAAAACGTAAGGTGGAAGAATAGCATGGTGAGTTCAATTGATCAAACCACCATCAGATTCTCTGGGACCAGGTCTGTCTCTTCCCCGTGAAGGAAATGAAGGAGTTCAGCTGCTAAATGTTCAAGCGTAGTTTAGTTGTCTATTATGCAAAGGCGATAAATCAGTGCCGAAGGTATTGCCGGTACGAACAGATGACTGTAAGTTCCATTACGGCTTGAAAATGGGCAGACTGAAAATGAAACAACACACCTCAGACCAGCGTTGCAGGAAATCATTCATCGTTCCTAGGGTACTCATACTGACAGGCGGGGGTGGCCCTGCATAGCAACCCAGGTCCACTGCAGGTGTGGATGCCTGCTGGGTTACCCCAAGCATGCAGACCTCCTGAAGCATGAACAACAAGCTTTGGAAATGGAGGGAACTGAAGGCTGGATCCTTTGACTCTTCATTGGAGGACCATATTCGAGCAACCGGCGCCGGTAAGTTGCCCAAGGAATATGCAGTGCAGTGGCGCCCGTCGTTGCACGAAACTGAAAGACTGGATCCTCCTAGACGTGGGAACCAAGCTGCGCAGATGCGGAAACGATCTTTCCAAACTACAAGCCTCTCAGAAATGTACTGATGACGTGGTGAGCCTTCCACGCCACGGATTGACGTATCGAGTAGAAGGGAAATCAGACAAGGTGTCACCAGTGGCTCGAACGAGACCTGTACCGACCAGCTGCGTGCCTCTCCATCTCATTAACCCAAAGGTCGTCTAGCAGAGGATTGGTTTCCCGCTGAATGCGGCCACCTGCATCTCATGGACATGTGGACACGCAAAATCTTCATGCTGATGAGACTGCATCAGGAAGTTCTGCCCGTCTGCCGAGACTGGGACTTCGGGGGCAGTCCGAGGTCCCACTCGTCCGGCGCATTCCCGTCCCACCAGCCATGTAGGTTCGGTTAGCCAGCGGCGGTTCCCTCGCTTTGCGACTGCATATTTGCGGGTAGACGCGCTGTCAGCCCTCCTCTTAGGATGCGATTCAAACATACGCAGAGGTGGAGAATGTGAGATCCTCGAAGGAAGGGTGGCAGAACTCCTCGAATGATAAGTCGTAAGTCAAGTGAGCCCGATTCATTGGGCCGTCGGGATGGAGAAACCATTCAAGTCGCTTGAATTTACCGACTCCATGAAGGTTCCATCCAATTACTCGACTTCTGCATGCTCGCTTCTGTGCCACAACAGTGGCCGAGTTGTTGGGCTTGTCAGGGGCACGTCACTCGATATAATAAATCACAGCTGTAAGCGTGGGGCAGTACGATTGCACGAGCTGCAACCTTCACATCTGCTCGCTTGGGCAGGTCAAGTCATATTCTGATACAATCAACGCCCAAAATAGGCAATGATTCGAGACGTGGGAAAAACCCTCAAGTTTGTGATATCTTCAAGATCGCCACGTGATGTATCATTTGGACACTGAACTCGATCCGGCCTCGAGCAGGGGGGGCATCTCATCTGCAGGATCTCGACTTCCTAACGGGCTTAGAAGGCCCTTTGGATTGAATCCGGCCAGACACAATGTGTGGAGGAGATAACTGCAGGCGTGACTGGCCAAGCTGAGTAGTCTCGCTTCAGTCTGTGCCCCCCCCCCCCCCCTTCTCTCTCTCTTTTTTTTCTTCTTCCCCCTGACCATCTCCCTCTAGGACGTCTGCAGGTCCAAAGAGTCATCACTCGAGGCCGGTACTGGTCGAGCGGACTGCAGGCTGCCAAGCCGCTACCATGATCAGTCTGTCGTCTGCAGGCGAACATGTGAGGCGACGTTATACCGCCTGTATAACCGCACCACCAGATGGAATGTGGAGAATGTGGCGGCCCGCCACTGGCGGCAGCGAGAGGAAGCAGACCGCGAATGCTACGCTCCACGACCCAACGCAGGAACTCAGGTAGCCACATGAACCCTCGCTTCGACGTATGTCGATCCAACTGCACGGCGCAACCTATCAATGGCAATCTGACAACAATATGTCATTAGCGGATTGTGCGGGTTGAAAGAAAATGAGGAGGAAAAAACGAATCACCGGCATCACCACCTCCACCACACTGGGCGACAGTAAGTGTAGGTCTGTCGAGTTGTCAGGCCAGCGAAGGTGACGAGTCTCCCTTGGTGCGTGTCTTGATTACCCAATGGATGGCAGGTTTACATGGGACCAGCTTGTTGGATACACATGTCGTACCGGCTGAAGTCACATTTCCACAGGAAGATATTGCTATGTGACCAAACTCGGCCCAGGGGGGGGGGGTTGTGGTGACAGAGCCGAGCTGAGCCCGCCATGCCTCAGTTCGAGGCACCAGCCAGAGCAGAGCTTATGCAGGCGGCTGGCGAAGAGCTGGAAGCGAGCTGGTTAGTCGTACCTCGAAACGTCTGAGAACCAAGCTCTCAGCTTGCTTCCACATGAGACCAGAGACGCTAGCGGCAACGCGCACATATTAAACATTGGGTCATGAGACAGAGCCTCAGGGCCGAGATGCCACTACAAGGAATAAGTAACTCTGCAAGCCGCCGTGAAGGGGTGCTAGGCGAACCAGTCGAGCTGGTGATATACTATGTGCCGTGCATCCAGTGCCAGCAGAAGCAAAGTTGTGAGCTTCTTGGACGGGCACCAAGTGTGGCACTTAATATCAGATGGGCCACTACCAGGCCGTCACCGGAAATTAATTGTTTGCCTTTTCACTGTTCTGAACGAATCAGGCCCAGTGACCATGACGCTTTCAACCGGTAAAACCTCTCAAACCCTGGCGTTGGGTGAAAGAGAAGAAGAAAAAGAAAAAAAAAGGGGGGGGGGAGCAAAGTTTGATTTTGTCATTTCTCATGGCCACGTGCAGACTGGATGTCTGAAAGTCCGCCACCCGATCGGCGGAGAATCCTTTGGTCTCAGTTGTGTTATTTTTCCTTGCTGATGAAGTACGACGCCATGCTTCTTTTCCTCTGGGACGTGTCTGATTTGAGTCTTTTGCAGCAGGAGCAAAGATTGGAGGCACAGATGGAGATGGTCTCATCCTTCGTCATGGACCCCAGGAGGGCTCGACGACGGATCGCAAGATTCCAAGAGATCCTTCATCGCAGTCAATCTTAGTGGTCGGGATCTCATCTTGTTAAGCCGTGTGCCTCCTGTTTGGCATGTTTCAAGAGTGACAAGAGGCTAGGGACTAACGGCTCTACGACGAGCAATATCCGAGCCTACAAGCGAGACGGTTTCTTCAAATCTTCGTCTCCCATACACCAACCCGCGGGAGGACTAGCAGGGGGATTTGTGAGGACAACCATTATACCACACCCCATACCCACCTTTAGGAATAAGGTTAAGGTTACTCGTCACATAACTTGGACGATTAGCCGAGCAGCCCCCTTGTCTTGGTCTCCTTGCCGCCCAACTACGGTACAGCCGATGCAGTCTTGGTTCTGTTCCTGGCTGACGCTCGAAGGGGGGTCCCCTCCCTCCAATTCCAACCCCCTCCCCTTCCCCAAGAGGAAGCACACACATACACACGCATTTGGAGCTCCTCCACTCTTTGATCCCCCTCACTTAACCCTTGACAGATCAGCACCAGGGATCTTGCTTTGCCGGCCAACATATCGTCACCTGGCCCTGGCCTGCGGGCTTAGCCCCCGGTTCTCCAGGCATTCTGGACCTTCAAGCCGATACATTCGAGGTACAATACAGTACCGTCGCTTAGCTGCATGATCTTCTTTCTCTGCACCCCATCTCTCGGTTGCTGTGCACGGAGTACCTGACGATCGTCGCGGTTCGCCGGAACCCGTGAAGTATACCACTTGTGTCTTCCCCCTGTGCAACTACCCTTACTTTTACCATTTTTGGGTCTTTTCTTTCTTTTCCCTCAGACCCACGCGCAACAGGTTTCTCCATACTTCTCCTCATCCTACTTTTGGGGTCTGCTGTCGGAAGCTTTGCTTCTGGAGCCAACTCTTCCCTTATGAACTGCCTCTGCTTCTGGATGAGAGCAGCGCCCAATCAATCAAGACTGGTCTCCCTAAAGGCCATGCATTGACGCAGCTGTCAAGTATTTAGCTCGCAGAACAGATTCTGGGCTGCAGTTCTGCTGTAGGTGGGTCTTTTTTTCTTTCTTTTTCGGTTTGTTGGGTCCTGCTATGCGCTCCAGTTCTCTGGTCGAGCTGTTTATCTCGGACGGCTCCTAAGCCGTGGTATGGACCTGGGCCCCTCCCTCTACTACTACTTACTTCTTCCGTTGGTCCTTGTCAATGTCTTGCGTCGTCAGACGGGGCTCACCGCCGCGGCATTGGCCAGTAATGCGTGTGACTTTCTGCCCATCCATCCCCCCTCCAAGGCTGTTCTGCACCCACCCATTCATTCACTTGGTAATCGACCAATGGAGATAGGATTGTCTTTGTTGTACCCACCTCATCTCTACTTCTTCTTGCGTCCTACCCTTGCAGTGAAGCATCGACTTTGGTGCACATGCCCTCATTATACCCCCCTCCCTCGCAGACTGCCAGGCTGTCAAGGCTTCCCTGGGACGGACTGGGAGCACGGCCGCCGGTTCGATGGACCAAAATGGTCACAACTCCCACCCACAGTCCCATACTATGGTACATGCAACTCCAGGTGGGCCGTCAGCACATCTGTATGTATACAGTGAGTGGCAATAAATGTGTGTGTGTGTGTGTGTGTGTGTATATATATATATATATATGTATATGTGTATATATATACATATATATATTTCGTTATTCCCCATCCTCGCCTCTTGTCGGTCTGGAACCTGGACGATCCCTCTTTGATGAGAAGACACCCCCTCTTGACGTGAAGTTTATCGATACCCCAGACTCCATCACAAGAGGGGCCCGTTCTTGTACATACATACTATACTATACTGTTCTCATATTACCGGTGTATATGTGCTACGTTGCTCAAGGCATCGTCTTCTCGGGCTAGTCCTATTTTTTCTTTCTTGTTTACATCTTCATACTCATCACCATTGGGCTTTTTTTCTTTTTTTTTTTTTTGAGACGGTGTACACACACCAACATCAACACACACACACACACACACACACACACATACATACATACATACATACATACACCATGGCACCGACAATCACAATTGCCTCTCAGGGTGGCATGTTTCACACGTTCCAGGGTGTCACCCCCAGGAAGCCGGCCACGGAACCGCAGGAGAACCCAAAGACCACAATCAGCACAACAGCCAAGAGGATAACAACACCACATGCATGTGCTGAGTGCAAGCGCCGCAAGATGTGAGTTCTAATATCTGGTTCCAATGGATGGAGCGTCTAGAACTTTTTTGAATTGACTGTGCACTCCTTCTCCCTCCCTTCAGTCGATGTGATGGACAGCAGCCCTGCGGTCAATGTCTCTCGAGCCGCGCTCCCAAGCGGTGCTTCTACGACAAGCACCGTCAGAGGGTGATACCGTCGAGGAAGTAAGTCGTCGAAACAGATCCTTGGTGCCTATTTCCGATGGCGGTTGTTGAGCTGATGATACTAATCGTGACGGACACAGGACTCTGGAGGCGCTGTCTCAGTCTCTGGAGGAGTGCCGGTCCATCCTGAAGCGGCTATATCCCAACCACGACGTCCAGGCTCTTCTGCCACTCTCCCGGAACGATCTGCTCAACCTCCTGGACCGATCGGGCAACGAGACCTCGGGAGGTCTGCCGTCACCTCCACTTACATCACCGCTCCCTGGCGGCGACCTAGACTCACCCATCTGTCCATCCTCGACCGAAAGCCTCTGCGGGCTGGAACAGCTGCCTGCAAGGAACACAGAGTGGGATGAGGAGCGAAGAGGGAGAGACCCGATCCCGGCAGAGGCAGACGATGTGAATGCCCTGTCTCTGTCTGTCGACCGTCAAACGTCGTACCTGGGAGCGTCGTCGATCAAGGCGGCCCTGATGGTCATGCTCAAGGTCCAGCCACAGCTAAGGAGCGCCCTGAGCGCGCCGCTGAGCACATCGGAGGTGCCACACAGCTTTCCTGCGGCCCGTACCAGCAAGCCGAGCGCGCAAAAGGACCCACAGCGGATTCCTTGGTCCTGGAAGGGACAGACGTTGATTGATGCCTACTTCAAGAGGATCCACGTCTTTATCCCGATGCTGGACGAGACGTCGTTCCGGGCCGACTACCTGGAGGGACAGCGGTTCGATGGGCCCTGGCTCGCGCTCCTCAACATGGTCTTTGCCATGGGCAGCATCGTGGCCATGAAATCCGACGACCACAACCACATCAACTACTACAACCGGGCCATGGAGCACCTGCCGCTCGACGCGCTGGGGAGCAGCCACATCGAGACGGTGCAGGCCCTCGCCATCATCGGCGGCTACTACCTGCACTACATCAACCGGCCGAACATGGCCAATGCCGTCCTGGGAGGAACCATCAGGATGGCCAGCGCCCTCGGCCTGCACAGGGAGAGCCTGGCGCAGAGCACCAACGACGTGGCCGCCGCCGAGACGCGAAGACGCACGTGGTGGAGCCTCTTTTGCCTGGACACATGGGCCACCACCACCATGGGCCGCCCGTCGTTCGGCCGCTGGGGCCCGGCTGTGAACATACGCGCGCCCGAGTTTGGGGTCAACACCTCACGAGACTCGTCACAGCACGCAGGGATCCTACCGCTGGTGGAGAACATCAAGTTCTGCAAGATTGCCACGTCGATCCAGGACATGCTCGCCGTCGCGCCGCTCCTCACCACGGACGACCGGCACAACCTGGACGGGCAGCTGGTCAGCTGGTACAGCAGCCTGCCCTGGCTGCTCAGGACGACGGACCCGTGCGCAGAGCCGCTCTACATTGCGCGGTGCATCATCAAGTGGCGCTACCAGAACCTGCGGATGCTGATCCACCGGCCCGTGCTCCTCAGCCTGGCGAGCAGCAACGCGACGTCGGCGGCCGAGGCAGACGTTGCGGCGGTGGAGATGTGCCGCGAGCTGGCCAAGCACACGGTGGACGACATTGCGCGCGAGTGGAGCCGCAACCAGATGTCCGGGTGGAACGCGGCGTGGTTCCTGTACCAGGCGGCCATGGTGCCGCTCGTGTCGGTCTTTTGGCAGTGGGACAGCCCGCGCGTGCCCGACTGGCACAAGCAGATCGACACCATCATCGAGCTGCTCGAGGCCATGGAGGACTGGTCGCTGGCCGCCCGCCGCAGCCGCGAGGTCGTCACGCGCATGTACGAGGCGAGCCGGACCATTGCACAGACGCGTGGTGGAGGGGCGCCACGAGGCGAGGCTATCGACACACCCCTCAGCCCGACCTCGCTGCAGAGCTTCCTGTCACAACACCATCATCATCTCCACCACCAACAACAACAGCAGCAGCAGCAGCAGCAACAGCATCAGGACTTGGGCGGGCTCTTTGCCACGTCTCCTCCGGCTGGCGACCAGCTCATGTCGCCAATCGGGCTGGACGGGCCCGAGGGAATGTCCATGATGGGCATGCTGGACCAGCAGGGGATGTTGCTCGACCCAGAAGGCATGTACTGGCCATCCCAGGCTGCCGACGACCTGGGCCTTGATCCATACCCGCCCGTACCAACGGATGGTGGGTTGGCCGGCATACCCCTGGACTACAACCTGCTGACGACAACAGCCACTGGACATCCTGGCACCCTGGAGACTGCTGGATATGGTTTTGTACATTGAAAGTTGGATGAGCATGCTAAGGATTGGGGATGGTGTGTATGTCAGTCAGAGTGTGTGTGTGTGTGTGTGCCTGCCAGAAACGACAAAACGCAATCTTGTAAATTTTTTTTTTTTATGATTACTCTTCTACTTTCTACTTTGTTCCCAACCACTACTACCCCAAATTGACACTTGTGTCTGTTTCTTTTCTTTGGTGGCTCATGATTCTTTTTTTTTCTTTCTCCCCCTCTTCTTTTTCAGGTACTAACGGAAGGGAGCAACGAGACTGATTTTTTTCCCCTTTGTGTGGTGGTGTGTATGTTTTTCAATGTTCCTGTGAGAGACAACCAGTATTCATGACCTGACGAAGCCAAACACCCCCTTGAGGGAAAACAAAACCTAAACAAAAGAACAACCCTTTTGAAGAAAAAAAAAAGTCCCTTGGTTGCAGATTATTCTGTCTTTCCTATTCTCTCATTCACTCGTTCACACACATCTTCTCGGTATCTTTTTACTTCTTTTCTTCCTCGTTTCAAAGTCTTTTACACAAGCGGGACACAAGTCCGGGGAAGAAAGGGTGGGATGGATTACAAAGAGTCGGCTTGTCACCCACCACCAATTTGGGAGGGGGTTTCCAAGGATCCGCCGCATAAGGCTCTGGTAGCGAATTGAAAGAAAAATATACAAGTAAAAGAAAAGAAAGAAAAGAAGAGAAAAACAAGGATTGAAACCGGTACACCCTTCCTGGCTCATTCGGAATAAGCCGTTCATGCGTTTTCCGCGAGTCAAGAACTGTAAACAGCAGGCACATGAGACGAGTCGAGCTGAGGAGGGAGGGAAGAATTCCCACCCCTCTTTCTTCTCCTCCTCCTCCTCTTTCTCCTCTTCACCTTCACTACCACCCACACCACTATCCCCCGCCCTCCTCCAAAAGTCCAGCCACGTCACATGTACCCCATTCGTCTTTTCATCCAAGGCGAGAGATACAGAGAGAGAGAGAGCCGCCCCTGCATTGTTGTAGCACAACAGTCCGATCGATCTGCATGGTGCGCTTTTCTTTTTGAGGGGGCTAAACCCCAAGTCGAGGACCCCTTCCCAAGAGAATATGGGAGATGCAGGTCCGATAGCAACACGCGCATCGCGCAAGTGCTACACACAGATGCACGCGCGCACACACACCGGGCATTCCCCATGGGGAAGCCCCAAAGGGTATTCTGCCTATCGGGGGCCAGCTTTACCTTGTGGTCTGCCCTTACCAACGGAGACAAATGGATGGATGCATGGATGAACAGGCAGACAGAGACTTAACAGTGACGTGTTGTGCAACCATAGACAAAGGCTGGTGACAAGTAGTAGACAGGCAGGCTATTTTGGACAAGGGTAGGGGGAGGAAGAGCATAAGGGGTGTTGCACCTCCGTCCTCCGCTAGAAGAAGAATTGTTGCTGGTATCAGATGGAAACAAGAATAGGTTTCCTCGGCACATCGGCAGCCGACTTCACTTACATGTCAAGGTATTTTGTGTTTCCTATTTCTTCTGACATCTGACAAACACGAAATGTAGGTGACGAAAAATTATACTTGCACACACCCTCGCTGTGAACGTGTCCATTGGTCAGAAAACGAACTGTACCCGGGCCGGGTGTTGGGAAAAGCCGGCCATGACTGTACTTGTGATGTCGTTTTCCTCGCCTGTAACATGTGATTTATGCAAAGAGAGAGAAAGGGAAAAGTTTCTGTCCTAGTTATCAGTTTGGTGTTGGAGGCGCACAATAAATTCAGTCAGCCGCCTTGGGCGAGAAAAAGCCTGGTAGGTGATTGGTTGGAAAGACAGAGAAGAGACAGACACAAGTTTGATGAGAGGGGCCTCAGGATATTTCCGGCGCCTTGATGAGACACCTGCTGGGTTGGTTGTATGGGCTTCAGGACGCACATTCATGCTCTCTTCCTCTCTCTCTCTCTCCCTCTCTTTCTCTCTCCCTCTCTCTCCCTTCTGCCCTATCCCCTTTCTGGTCCTCTTGTTTTTCCTCGAAGACCTTGCTGCTTTGGTTCTTCCTGTCGGCGACGAGGATCTTCTCGGAGACCAGCATTCGAGATGATTCTCACCACTCTTCCAGATCGACCAAATCCACTCTAAAAAAGCGCCGGAGGAGAACGACAAGAAGGGGTGTGAGCGTGTGCAGATCAATATCCAGGGTCCCCACCACTCTCTCTGTCTCTCCCTCTCTCTCTCTGTGTGTGTGTGTACTACGGTATGTATCATTCACCCTATGCGCTGAATGTCACCTTGACAGGGGTGGTACAACCAGCCATGCCCTTTACAAGATCGTGTTGTCCCATAGAGAGAGAGAGAGAGGGAGAGAGAGAGAGAGACAGACAGACTGGAGGCATTCTCACAAGCCCAGGTGACACTTCTGTAGCGCCCTCCCACATTCCCTCTCCACATATCTCACATCCCAGGGTAACCGTCAATTTGATTCTTCTTCGTTTCTGGGAGAAGATGATCCTGGGAAGGAGGGAAAGGGGGGTTAGAAGGCAGAAGGGGGCCAAAGAAAAGGCGATCTCCGCCAGGTATTGCAGGGCTTTCGACCACCATTGCGAGGCGTCTTCGGGCCGTGTTGGTCCTGGGCAATGAAACGTGGAGACGGCGTTGGAAGTACTACTATGTACTATTACCGTAGTAGGTAGATTGAAGCGAAAGCCTACCAAGGTGACGGGTCCTCCTGCTTCTCCTCTTCCTCCTCACCACGTCAGGGTCCCCAATGGACAGCGGACAGGAGGAAGGAGAGGACGAGGGACAGGGGAGAGCATTGACGCCCAGCCCTGCCAACGAGACCAAATTAGCCCCCCATCATGGATTGCATGCCCGTCCTTTCCATTCTTTGGTGGATTCACTGTCAGGTCAGGCACAAGGCACGGTACCCGGCAGCAGAGAAGGTGGAAAGGAGCCCCGGGGGGGGGGGGGGGAGCGTGAAACGAAGAAAAGAAGGTTAAAAAGAAATAGAATTGCGGAACGCTGCTGGACTGATGAGTGGTGGGACCAGCGCAAAGGACCGTGGTAGCGATGCGATTGGCGCCTGCGTGGGAGAATGCGTGCATAGTACCAAGGTTGCGTGAGAGTCTGTTTTCTTCTTCTTTCCTTTCTCTGCCTTCTCCACAAGACAGCAATATGGAGAGACGGCCCGTAGCGATCCATCAGGTGCACGGTCTCAGAATCCCTCTCTGGAGACGGTGTGACGAAGGGGGGGTGGGCGCCTCAGTTCCATCGACTCGTCCAAAATTCCTACCTCAACTCTTTCTCTCTTCCCCCACGATGCTCCACTACCAGTGCATCCCACCCTCTCCTTCTCATTGAATGTGGATCCTTCCCCTCGCCCGGGTATAAGGATCTGGGGTATCCGTGCCTTTCAGTCCTTGCAATGTTGTTCTGTAGTGCCGGTGAGGCGGTCCGGGCTGCGCGATCCGTCGTTAGGTCGTCGGGGGCTGCTTGGACCGCTCCCTGCGTGCTGTCACGTGATCTGCGTGTAAGAGTACCCGCTGGTGCAGCTTATGACTTTGTTGGAAGAGGGGGGATGAAGAGGAAAAGGAGGGGGGGCCGTGGAAATATGGGTAGCTTCTCTTCGATGGACCAAATGCCAAAAGGCAACTGGGAAAGGTCCCGTCCTGCTAGGGAAAGAGCAGTAAATGCCTTGTACAACCCGGCTGAATCAGCAGTCAATGCTGGCAACACCCACCCGAAGCTAGCGCTTTCCCGGCACCTTTCAGGTACCTCCTACTGTACATATTACAAGCCATAGTAAGGTCAACCAATACTTTCAGTAGACTGCAGTGAGATCAACAAGCATGGTCCAGCCATCGACAAAAAGGACAATCTTCTGGACAACCCATGATCGAACATTCGAGAACGATTCAGGGTTGTGAACAAAACGCCTTGCTTAGGAAGTTGTTGCGAAACTGAATATCCTAGGCAGGCCATCCCAGAGTAGGTTTCATGGAACCATCAGCATCCTCGAAATATACGAGGTAGAGAGTCTTGCAGCAAAAGAGGGACCTGGGTTCAGATCCCCATGTCATCCTATAGATATTCTCTGGCTAATGAACTGCGCAAAGCAAGAGATTCCTGGCCATGGCTACCAACGAGCTCGACGTGAGCCAAGAACAAAGTAAGCCAGCAACAATCTTAATTTAGAGAGCCAAGACTGTGCTCGAGCATCAAAGCGGTTATTCAAGCACCATATACTGTACTTCGACAGGCATTAAGTCCACTCTCCATGATAATACAGAGTCTCTCCGTAGTGTTGGGTCAGATATTGGGTCTTTCCCAACAATTCTTGTGGCTGGCTTCGGATGATAGCTCAGAAACAAGATTTCCGATCGTCTCCGAGCCTTCCATCAAGTACCTTTGCGCACTTTCTCAGAGGCGCAGCCATGTTATTGTTGCTGGGCTTGATGTTGGCTAGCAAATTCGGGAATGGATCATGTTCACAGAGTGACCGCAATGTTTCTTCTTACATCCAATCTGTTCAGTGGCGAATTGACTCTATATTTACGTATGGGAAGGATGGAACGATTAAAAGGTTCGTTGCTCAAAGTTCTCTTGCTTTGCCTTCACTGTGTAACAGGGCGAGAAGAGGAAGAAAGAAAGTGTTGGGCCAGCCTCATTTTCCAGAGATATCATATCATTATCATATGTCAAGGTGACTCACTCGATATAGCTGCCCATAAAGGCTTGGTATGTCTTCCCCTCCTCCCCTGTTTGCTATGGACGTCGGGCCCGTCGGCAGGGCGAAAGCCCGGGCCTCGGCCGCGGGTCGAGACAAGGGTGGAGAAAAACCGGTTCACGATCAAGCCGGGGGTAGCCGGGCGGCGCGGAAACCGCTGCAGAGGTCTGTGAGAGGCGCGCGTAATCCGGGAGTCGAGGTGCTTTAAGGCTCTTCGGCCCTGAAGCCTTTGACTTGCACGGTCTCTCTGACGAGTCATTTCGACTGGTCCCATCTCTCATGATCTCTGTGGTGATCGTGAGCTTAATCAAGGGAGGGAAGGGAAGGGAAAAGGGGGGGGGGGGGGCGTGGAATATAGTGGCCGTGCACTTGATATGTTGTCGGAACCAAGACTTTCTGTCCCGTCTGCAAGAAGCTTGAGAGGGGTAAGGGAGGAGGGGGAAAGCCGGTTGCAACGCACCTTTCTTTCTCCCTTCTCTCCAAAACAAGTTTGGGGTTGCAGATGTCTATCACATGGCAGCGTCGTCTTTTCTGGGGTGCAGCATACATACATACATACATACATACATACATACGACGGTGTCAAGAGGCTTGCAGATCGGGATGGGGTGGTGATGAGAGCAACTTGATGACCAAAAAGCGGAGAAAACCCTCCTCCTTGCTGTGTTCGTCCAGGTGTGGTAAAGCAATGTTTGCAGAATGAAGATCGGCTGGGGCCCTTTCTGTATTCTTTGGCGAGGTTTTCCCACAGCCCCCCGCCCCCCCCCCCCGGTTCCCATTCTGCACTCTACGTCTGGTTGGAAGACCCTGGGCTTTGCTTGTGAGGAGGTAATAGCCTGTCATGCCGGTACTTGAGCGTTGGAGGGCTGCTGCTGGACTGCAGGACGCCTATGACAGGTGAGCCTGCAGACCCTGCCGTGCAATAATTGTGTTCTGTGTTTCTGAAGAAAAGTTATCGTGCAGTGTTCAGCTGTTGGCTGGACGTTGTTTTGCACTGTTGCCGGTCCTAGGTGAGGAGATTCCAGTAGAACTAAATAGAAAATTGCTTTCGCCTCATATGTGCGCCATGGCAGATAGTGTCATTGGTCTCATTATGAGCTATTGCTTATATACGATCTTTCTGCTCTGGTGCAATTCACAAGTGACTGAAGTCAAGATCAACTCATTTGAGGCATCTCAGACGTAATTGACACATCTTGTAATGAATGCTCAACATGTCAGGGCGAACTGATATACTCGGCTACTGGACAGCCTGACAGTGGATCCCAATTCAATTAGATACTTACTCAAGTTCATCTCATATTGTTATATTAAATCTCAGGTCCTTTATTGGACACCATGAGGATGGTTGGCCATGTTTGGGGGGACTCCATTATAGTTTGCTTGGGATTTGGATGAACCATCATGCGCCCCCATATATACCAACACATGCCATGAAGGAGACTCAATGTCGCTGTTTCATACTCACTGCGTTCCTGGACATGAGACGAACTTCATGGTATACCTATCTCCAACCCATCTACGGATGTGTGTGGTCACTGCTCTTCCGGGCTGAGCAGCGTCAGCCTGCAATCTCAAGAGCTGTAAAGGCTCGATGGGGCTCTGAGCAAGTTCTTAAGTAAGCCGCTCGTTATCAAGAATTCAAATTAGTGTTGCTCTGTGACCTGATTCGGATCCTCAAGAAAGGCCCGATTATCAACACGCGGACTTGAGTGGGCCGGCATAGTGTCTCAAGTACATATGTAGTCTTGAATGAGTAGTGGACCAGACTTGCTTTGCAACCTTATAAAGTCCAGTAGAGGACTGCATCCATTGCTGTTCTATATCACATCTCATCTTCATCATTACAGTGTTGTTCTGAGGTCAAGATCTTGAACTGGGTCATTCTGTGGCTGTCACTCATGCATACGGTTAGAGATGTTTGTAGAGTTAGAAGGCACCCAAGCTTGAAATATATAGAGAAAATACAATAGCATCAAAGATACAACATCTTCAATGCAGTATGACAAGATACGCACCCAGCGCCTGTGTTTTGTCTTTCTTCTGGCTGGAAGCTGGTGTAGAAGTCTACTGTAAGTTTATCCATCCGTGCTCTTGGTGCAAGCGACGGGACTTATATCTGGATGATTGAATTGACTTACTTCTACAACCAGACTACCAACTGATCTACTTCTCAATTATCAATTAATGGGCCCTTTCCCATGAATTTATTCAATAATTACATTTGTGGCTTAGGAGGCTGATTCAACAAGATCGTAAGAAACCCCGTCAGAGACCATGTGGCAGGCCTTTGAACTTACCAGAAACAGACTTGTTAGTGTCAAAAAGTCTTATGAGACTCAAGGTTCTAAGACTCACTAGGTATTTAGGTAAGCTATGGATAAGTGTATCATGAAATGTGTATATCTACAATGTTCTGCCTCTTACTCAACCTTGAAAGGAGTCTGGGCCTACCTGACCTGTCCTGAAAGTGTCAAGTCCTCCTCATGTTGATGGTTTGTAAAAGCATGATCGCGATAGAAGACCCACGAAGGTCAAGGTCTCATAAGTCACGTTTTGATCTACAGAGCTGTTCTAATATGGTGGTGTATCATATTGGGAGCAGAATTCCTGGCTGGAACCCCAGAGCCTACACACCCGATGGTTCTGACAAGGAAACATGGACAGGCGGAAAGAAGTTCACAATTCCTGCCTTTCTGGAAGGCAGATACATGTAACGATTGGAGTAAATATCTGAAGTTGAATAAACAATTGAAGATCAAAAGCAACGAAGGCATGAGCGACCCTTATCTTGGCCTCTTCGAGGCTATGACCTCAACGTTACAAATCCTCCAAGCTGTCAATTACGGATCAACACATTTAGTGAATTGACCTTCCTCTCCGAATGGTTTGAAAAGGATTACCTGGGTTGGCTGAGCACCACAGGATGCCTGTGTCCAGATTCATCTGAGTCTTGCGTCTCAAACCACGAATTGCAAGCCATCTTTTTGCATGTATCACTGGAAGAGGACGAAGGGCAGACTTTTCTCCGATAGCCTGGGATCTCGAAAGCAGGGACTGCGTCAGGTGCATACCCGATTTTGCACAGTACACACATATCATCTATAGACAGTGACAATATCAAATAGTAGGGTCTTCTAGCAGATCATGCACTGTCACTCTGACGATCTTTTCTTCCCCTATCGGATACAAACCCAGGTAGTCATCCTACATAGGTAGGTGGACATGTGTCATGCTTGGTGTGGACCGTAATAAGCCTCTCGCGAGGGAGATGCGTTGAGCAAACAGGCGGCACTCTAGTGGGCGGCTCAGCTGAGACGTAAACATCACAATTGTCCTCTGCTGATACAGTGCATCTTCACAGAATGAGTGGAATAAAAGGCCCCGTCTAGGATAAACTTCAATGTCTCTTCAGCTGAACACTTCTGTTCAGCTGGGACCTGGGCGTGGGCGGTCAGCCAAGTTGGGAAGAGTGGCTGACCAAGTTACGGCCGTGAGGGTGGGCGGTTCACGACGTTTCTGGTGTAGTTGCCTGAGCGGCAGCGCACAGTTGGCAAGCGGAACATCGCAGCGTATAGATGTAGCACGAGATCGTGCCAGGCTCATTCAAATTGGCGAGTCCATTTTTTTTTATTACTCTTGGGCCAGCAAAGGCAAGGCGGTGGTGCGTGCGTGCAGTCGTTCTACAGGATACTTACTGTGTAAACTAGACTATGACAAACGGATCCCTTTGTTTCACCGTCCCCGTACCTTCTTTGGCTTTGGACAGGTAGAGGGAGGGACTCACTTCACTTTGTGCCTGTAGGTAAAAATATGATCTTGTATGGGTGCGAATAAATCCGAAGCGAGTGATATGGTAGACATTGATTGGTTTTGAATGATTCGGTAAACGAAAGAAAGAAGAACAAAAAAAATTGGAAGGGGAGGGGGATCCGTTGGTGGGCGTGTCTTCTTATCTTGGGCCCATCACGGCTAGGTTAGCCTAACCTTAGCTGCAGGAAGCGAATGCGAGAGTGCGAGAATGCGAGAATGCGAGCTATGCGACAGCTACTAACACCATAGTAAGCGCCATAGTAGTAAGTTTCTCTTACTCTTCACACCACTTGGAAGGCACACTCGGATGAACATTGAACTCTGGCATTTTCCCCTTTCTTTAGAAGGATGCGATTTGTTGCTACAGTTTTCCAAGCACTTGTACCACAGTATCGTAGACTGTGTTTGACCTTGTGCTTTAGGTGAAAGGAAAGCCTTTTGAAAGCTTTTGACGTGGTACGAGTGTACTTCCGGGCCCTCATCTACCCACTTCCCTACCCTCTTGTGTCAGCTTCTCCATCGTGCTTGCCAATCCTACTAACGAATGACAACGGGATCCAAGCTGGAAGATACGATTTGTTTGGCAGGTGGCAAGATGACCTGTCGCTTCCTTCCTTTTAGCATGGATTTCGAGGGCAGAGGCGGGTTGGGGGCTTAGCCTGCTACATGCATTGCAAACGACCATCTCGTGAACGGTCATATCGTCACTCCACCTCCAAAACGAGAACGACAGGTTTCTTTCAGAAATCCCCTGTGTCTTCAAATCCTTCTCCTCTCTGTCTTGCACTTTTCCTATCGCACCAAACAATACCTGTAACCCAAACCCCCACCTGACTCAAGGAGAGATTCATCAGTCCGACTCCGACCTGAGCCAGTTTCAAGGACCCTGTGCTGCACCAGTGGTGCCTTGAACTCGCCGATGAGTACAGGCACGACAGCAAGCTTCTGTCGAGGCGCGTCTGAGGAGGTCTCACCCATAAAAGGAAATTTAAGACACGTTCACCCGCCTACTCGCACCGTACTGTACAGCACAGCAACGCACCTCGGACCCGCCTCGCCTTGTTCCACAGTGCAACACTCTACCATATAACCTGGAACCTCTTGACGATCTCTTAGCCGTCTCTCGCCTCATTAACCCCCTTTCGAATGGAAAGGGCCTGCCAGCATGGTAGCCCTCCGAGACGTGCCATTAGCTCATGGCGGACAGCAGGAACATGAGGGCAAGCCTGATGATACTGCAGACCAGATCACCCGGCTCGAATCAGAATTGCTCTTTCGAGAGTCTGCTATCCCACCATGGCGCTTCGCCTTCCTCTGTGTTGGGTAAGCTAACATCGGGCTGACCCCCACCCCCCCCCCCTTCTTCCAAGACAGCCAAATTGTGTTGATCGCTGGCCTGACTGACAAGTCAAACAGCCTCTCCCTTGGCCTCCTCATGGCCATGATGGATGCCTCCATCGTTGCCACAAGTCTCTACACCATCGGTACAGATTTTAACGACCTCGAGCATATAAACTGGATCGCCCTGGCATATACACTGGCATTTCTCGGGTGCTCCGTCTTCTTTGCCAGCATGGCCGATGTCGTTGGCAGACGTAACGCCTTCATTGCAGCCTTTGTTCTCTTCTTTGCGTTTTCGCTCGGCTGCGGCTTCTCTCAAGATATGAACTCTATTATTGCGTGCCGAGCCTTTCAAGGCATTGGCGGCGCCGGCCTGTGAGCAAACTCAAGGGCCACCACCGTCCACCAGGCTGACATGAGACTGACTCTGAGTTAGGTTCTCAGTGACGATGATCATATTTCCTGAGCTGACCCCTCCGAATTACACAAACCGCATCGCACCTCTGATAGGGATGATCATCTCTACCGGTGGCGTGCTTGGTCCCATCCTCGGCGGTGTGTTTACGAAATACGTGTCATGGCGATGGGTATTCTGGATCAAGTCAGTTTCATGGCCTTTTTGTTTGCTTGGATCTGGGGCTGTTACTACTGCTATTGTGCAGTCCGTACTGACTGGGTTCTCTTAGTGGCCCTCTTGGTTTTGTGTCCATGATCCTCTTTTACCTCGCTTGGCCGAAGGCAGAGCACCTCCCTGACATCCGCAAGCGATCCTGGAAGGATATGGATTTTCTGGGATCCTTTCTTGTCGTCGCAGCTGCCGTTCTCGTCACCTTCGCATTCCAGAATGCCGGCACGGAGGTGGAGGAGACGAACCCCTGGGCAAGAGGGCTCTTTATCGGGCCGCTCGTGGCTGGGATCATCTGCTGGGTTGCGCTGCTCGGGTGGGAATTTGTGTTCAAACGTGCCTGGCCCCGGAAAATGGCAGCTATGCCTCTAGGCCTCTTCAGAAACCATGTCTTTGCGGCGTCTACGCTGAACACTGTCTTCCTGGGGTTTGCCTACCTGGCCACGCTCTTTGCGGTGCCCCTACGCCTGCAGGTCGTCAATGGGAAGAGCCCAATCATGGCCGGCATCCTGATGCTCCCCATGCTGGGAGGGACAGGTATTGGCAGCGCGCTCACCGGGATGTTTAGCAAGAAGCAAAATCACCTGAGCGAGACGATGACAGTCGCAACAGCCATGGTCATGCTAGGTCTCGCGCTGGAGACGACGGTAACAGACTCTTTAGAGGTGGAGCCAAAATTCCTGGGATTCCTGGTCTTCATCGGTCTCGGCTATGGGATGATCGCATCCTCGGCGACGATGTTCACGTCGCTGGAGTCGCCCATTCCGGAGCATGGTAAGTGTCTCCCAGCGGTGGTTAATGACCCGGGATCCATTGCACATCAAGGCTAAACAAGCTCCTCGCCAGCTCCCGCTCAGGGTATCATCTCGCAGTCCCGCATGCTCGGAGGAAGCATCGGGATTGCCATGTCCTCAGCGGTACTTGCGGCTCAGCAGCGGACACATCTGGTCGGAATTGTCTCGCCCGCTGCCCTTGCGGATCTGAAGGGCGCAGAGGCGAACCTGACTGAAGCTCAGCTTGCCGTGATCCGCAAAACGTACAACGATTCCTTCACCGAGACGATGAAGGTGTGTGCGATAGTCGCAGGTGTCGGCGTCCTCATCACATTAGGGACCTACCGCCGCGGCAGGCTGTCGATTGCTGAGCAGAGACAGCAGCAGGTCCGAAAAGAGACCGAGCGCCGCCGTGCTGAGAAGGAATCGGTGGGCTCAAATGCATCCAATCGGTCAGCCTGACTGTAAGGATTCCGAAGCCCGATTCAAAAGACTGTATAATTCTCGCGGGCTGGGAGATTGTTCAACTAAAGAAATTGATGACGGTTGTATAAATCTTGATGGGCGTTTGGAGGGGGAAATTGTTAGACTGGCTGGAGGCATTGTCGGCGTTTCTTGTTTCTTATGACTTGCACACTGACTGCATTTATACCTTGACAGTTTAGGAGTCGCTCCTGTTTCAGGTTACACATGGAAGTTTGGCCGAGTACAAAAAGATGTACACTTGTCGAAACGGTGGTTGTCCACTGCCGCTCTTATGGAGTTTACTGCTCAGGTTGGCAATAATTACTGTACTGCCTAGGGGGACTGCCCCTAAGCTTAGAGTCTCACCCAGGGGTGCCAGGCAAGTAAGACGTGGCCCGTAGATCGGACATTCTCAGTGCCGGCTCCACTGAAGTGAGGGGTAGCTCCGGCCCTGTCAGAGCTGCAATGCCCCTCTCTTATCGGGTTCAGGGTGAACATGGCGGGGCATAGATCGGGATGGCGTGCTATGAGCAGTGACAGGGGTGGGAAAGTAGATAATTCTCTCCCAAAAACATCCTTTCAACAATTTTCTTTGACTGTCACGGACCAATTTCTTCTTCTTTCGTACACAGAGATCCTATTGACCATCACATGTTCCTCAAGGCGAGAACAGCATCCCGCACTGTCCAGCGTCTTCTCGTCTCGCCTCGTCATCCCTCACTTGCTCTCACAGCCAGCATTGCTGCTACCACCACTACCACCAGCATCCTAAGAAGAACCATGGCTTCCTCCGCTGCTGCCAGGCGTCTCCAGGATAAGACGGTCCTCATCACGGGCGCATCATCCGGCATCGGCAAGAGCTGCGCCTTCGAGTTTGCGCGGACGGCGCCCAAGAACGGACTCAGGATCATCCTGACGGCGCGCCGGGTGGAAACGCTGCAGCAGATCGCGGCAGACATTGAGAAGGAGACCGAAGGGGGTGTGAAGGTGCTGCCCGTCAAGCTGGACGTGAGCGATCCGGCGCAGGTGAAAGGCCTGGTGCCGGGGCTGCCAGAAGAATGGAGGGGTATTGATGTGCTTGTGAACAACGCGTAAGTTCCCAATTGCCCCTCTTCACTCACATATGATGGTGGTGATGATGTGGGGGGAAAAGAGAAAAAAAAAGTTTGTCTAACCTACTCTTTCCCCTCAGAGGCTTGGTCAAGGGCGTCGCCAAGGCCCCCGAGATCGCGGAGGAGGACATCAAAGTCATGTTCGACACCAACGTGACGGGCCTCATCAACATGACGCAGGCAGTGCTGCCCATCTTCAAGACGAGGCCCGACGGCGGCGCGGGCGATGTCATCATGATCGGCTCCATCGCCGGCCGGGAACCGTATGCCGGTGGTAGCATCTACTGCGCGACCAAGGCGGCGGTCCGTAGCTTTACGGATGCGCTGCGGAAAGAGCTGATCTCTACGCGGATTCGGGTTATTGAGATAGACCCTGGCCAGGTCGAGACGGTATGTCCCTTCGAGAAAGAGAGAGAGAGTGTGTGTAGATGTGGGAATACTGATGAAGATGCAGGAGTTTTCTGTCGTCCGATTCTACGGAGACAAGGCCAAGGCGGACAAGGTCTATGAGTGAGTATCAATCATGTCGCCCTTGGTGATTATGATGGAGGAAGACTTCAATAGGCTAATGGTGTATGAAAAGGGGTGTGCAACCTTTGACTCCTGACGATATCGCCGAGGTTGTCGTCTTCACAGCGACTCGAAGGGAGAATGTCGTGGTCGCTGATACGCTGATTTTCCCACAGCACCAGGTAAGCTTTTTCATGTGGTATCTGTTCAGCCCTGAGTGTCGTTTTGGGTATGTGTCTGACCGTCCTTTCTTTTCTCTCTCTCTCTAGGCTTCACCGGGACAGCTGTACAAGAAGTCGGCTTGAAATGGGTAGGGATGTGGTCCTATAATGTGAGGGACATATCGAAGGCGTGTTGTGCTGTTCCTTCAAGATTCTTCTACCTTCTTAAATTAGTCGCTGGATATTCATTGGAATAAAGATGGATATGAAGCATATAGAATAGAGAATGGACTTGCCGTGTAACACTTGATGGCTGTTTAAAAAGGGGCCCTTCACTCCCATTTAATATGGTCTCTTGTCAGCAGGAGAAAATATATGTTTAGGTTGAAAATGCCAGCAGGCGGCGGCTGGTTGTCTGTATTGGGTGTGCATGAAGGCGGCTCGTGATTGGTCAACGGTACGAATATTTTCTAGGTCAAGATCTTGTAGTGAGCGGTCTTCGCTTTGGATTTCGACGGACCCTCATCCTCAAAATTCCAGTAATCGCGATTCTCCTAACCCTTGATTTTTGTACAACTGTTCGTGGGTAGGCTGTATGTTCTTTCCTCTCCTTTTTTCCAAATTTTTTTTTTTTTCCATCTCTATTTCTTCTCTCTGTCCGGTGGAGAAAGTCATGCGGTGTCGCATGAAAAACCGAGCCAACGTCAAAAAGTCTGATGCGCAAGAAAACCCATAGAGGACGACCCTCCTCCACCTCACATAAATACGTCTTGGCGCAATGGGCATCCGTGGACTCACAGCTGCGCTGAAACCATTTGCTTCACGCTCTGAACTACGCGGCCGCGTTGTGATCGACGGGCCCGGGCTGGCATACCACATCCTCACAGTCGCGCGAGCCCAGGCCGGCGTTTCGACGGTGCTCGACGAGCCCACCTATGCTGTGCTGGGCCAGACTGCCGCATGGTGGCTTGACGAGCTGCAGTCTTGCGGTGTGACAATGTAAGAAAGTCCACATCATCCCTATGCTCCCTCTTTTCTTGAACTTGAGCTTGGTGTTTTCTTTTCTCGCGCTGACCTTCGGCTCGACAGCGCGGCCATCTACTTTGATGGCTACCTTCCGTCTTACAAGGCACAAGAGCGCCTACGGAGGACATGTGGCAGCTCGAGCAGGTCGAACCAGTATTTCCTGGCCACGAGCGCAGGAGTACCTGGCAGAGCAGCAGCAGCAGCGTCAGCAAGGCCGTCTTTGCCCCTGCCGCCCTTTGTCGTGCCGGCTGTCCTCGAGTGCCTGCGGTCTCTGGAGAGGTACCAACGCATCACGCATCTCGTCCCAGGGGAGGCAGACCCGTACTGCGCCAGCGATGTGCGCCAGCATGGTGGCACGCTGCTGACGGGTGATTCTGATTTTCTTCTCTACGAGCTCGGCCCGACGGGCAGCGTGGTCTTTTTCCAAGACGTCCAGGCCGAGCTGAGCGGCGTGGGAGGAGGAGGAGAAACGAAGAGGAACCCGTGCATATCAGCCCTGACGTACAGCCCAATGGAGATCTGTGGGAGGCTGACGATGGAGCCTGCTGGGCAAGGAGGGATGCTGGCCCTGGCGTACGAGATGAGTCTGGCTCAAGATCGGACGCTCCAAGCGCTGATTTCGAAACCTCGGTCACAGTGGGCTTGCCAGGCGACTTGTCAAGCTTCTCAGTATGCCGAGTTCACATCTCAGTATCTCCTATCTAAGGCGTCTCTCATTCCTATCCCCGTCTATTTGGGCCTCCTCGACCCTAGAGTGTCCGAATTCGTTCTGGACTGGGCCGCTCTCGCAGGACATGAGCCCTCTTCACTAGTTGTCACGCTGGCGCGGAGGCCAATTGTCTATTTACCTTCCTTGCTGGACCGGTGGGACCGAGCCAGCGCTTGGAATGCGTTCACGCCCATACGCCAGTTGGCGTACAGTCTCTGCCGAGTTGCCGGTCAGAGTACCGTCTCGACGGTGACGGAATACCGGCGAACGTTGTCCGAGAAGTCTACAGGGCAGCAAGTGCAGTTGCTGGGGTTCTCCGAGGTCATGGGCTCCCTACGCGACACCCACAACTACATTCTCGGATTCTTTAAGGCGCCTGCCGTTGCTGCTGCTGCTTCTGCTGATAAAGAGGCGCGGAGGCTGCAGTGGATCGCCACGTGTATGGGCTTCGAAATCTCGCACGCCGCCGCGGAGGGCAACGAGTCCACGGCACTAAAGCTTCTCCAAAAGGCCGAGGCGTGCGGCGGACGACTCGACCCGGGCAACTGGGATACTCTTCACCTGGCTGCCATGATACAGGGCGCCATGTACTCACTGCGTATACTTCAACAGGTCTTGATGTGCAAGGTCGGGTCTGTGTTTGCGAGCTTGGATCTGGAGGAGCAAAGACACCTGCGTGAGATGGAGGCATGTCTGGCCTCGCTGCCGTGCATTGCAGAATTCCCAGCTCCTGTGGACATGGAAAGCCTCTTTCAGCAGCTGTACCAAGTTGGAGCGCTGAAGATGCTGGCGAAGGTCGTGGGTATTTCGGAGCCAGCATTCGAGCAGAGACCAGTGATGACCAAAGAGGGGAGACGGAAGGGGGAGAGTAAGAACAAGCCTGTCGTTCAACGGCAGTCGAAACTGTCCCGGTCAGCTTCGTCGAACCTATTTGACGCCTTGAGCATAGATGATTAGATGTCAGCATGATGATACCCAGTTTTTATTTTCCGTTCTCTGTCTCTCTCTTTTCGTCCAAGTCTTCTCAAGACCATGAGTTCATACATTAAGTTTAGTAAAGACCGAGCTTCCTACACTGAGCTGAGAGCTAGGATATTTGGGAAATGGCGGGGCACCGTCAGCGACAAGGATGTGTCTGCGCTTGTGTTTGAGCGGGACAGTTCAACTCTTAAAAAGGCCAGTGACTCCTGCCTGCCCCCCCCCGCGCCCCCCCCCTACCTCACCTCAACTAGCAACCATCTTCCACAGGGGCCGTACGAAAGAGCTCCACCCAAAATTTCTGGCTCAAAAAAAAACATCTGCTCTCCCCCCACCCCTTCTTCCCCTTCACAACTCAACCTCGACACGATGCGAAACACGCTGATTTTCGGGGGCTCTTCCTGCCCAGCTCTCACCAGCAAGATATGTGAGAACCTTGGCATGCCGCCTGCTGAGGCGGAGCTTTCCCAATTCTCAAATGTTGGTTGATGCCTTGTTGGCCCTGTGCTTGCCTTGCCTTGCCTTTTATCATCGTCAAAAAGAAAGTCATCTCGGCAGGACCTGACCGTGCTCACAATTTTCTTTCCTTGTCTATTTAGGGCGAGACGAGTGTCAAGATCTCGAACAGCGTTCGAGAGAAGGATGTCTTTATCGTCCAGTCCGGCAGCCCCAAGATCAACGATACTATCATGGAACTGCTGATCATGATCTCTGCCTGCAAAGGAGGTTCTGCCACCAAGATTACTGGTTAGTCGCGCAATCTGCTGCAAGTCCTTGTTCCATTGGTCCTTGCGGCTGACAACATCCGTCTAGCCGTTCTCCCATACTTCCCATACAGTCGACAGTCCAAAAAGAAGTCACATAGGGGTGCCATAACTGCGAGACTGCTATCGAACCTGTTAGGGATTGCTGGTGTCAAGCACGTTATCACGGTCGACCTGCACGCCTCCCAGATGCAGGGTTTCTTCAAGTGTCCAGTCGACAACCTCCACGCCGAACCACTGATCGCCCGCTGGATCCGTCACAACGTGCCCAACTGGCGAGAGGCGGTCGTGGTGTCCAAGAACGCCGGTGGCACGAAGCGTGTCACGTCCTTGGCCGACGCTCTCAAGCTCAACTTTGGCATGGTTACCACTGATCGGAAGAGAGGGGGCGGCATGACACACAGCATGCTTTTGAACCAGCTGGAGGGTCTGGAGCCTCTGGAGCCTGCTGCGAACCGCATCGCAAGAAACAGCTTTGTCCAGTCGTCGACGCCGACCCCGCGGACTCTGATCGTGCAGCCTAGCCTCGCCGATGAAGAGAGACAAAAATCTGCAGCGCAGTCCAATGGCCTGCGAGTGCAGACCAGCCGTGCGGTCGCGAATGGGGGCTCTCCGCTGTCAGCTTCCTCTTCAGTACAGGACAGGGCGAGCAGCTCGGCAGAGGGCGATGTGCTTGACTACAACGACCAGAGGGCCTCAGAAGTAACGCATGGCCGCCTCGTCCAGGGCCACATTGTGCCAGATGACTTCCCCTCGCCAGCTATGTCAGCTGCGGACACAACCATCGCCGAGGACGACCCTATGCTTCAGTCGCAGATGCTCCAGTCGCAGGAATCGTCCTTCTTCGCACAGGACGGCCATGCACTGGGCGGATCCGGCGACGCGGAACCCAGCTCTGACGAGGAAGAGGAGAAGCTGAGGGACCCCAAGGTCGAGCATATGATCACCCTCGTCGGCGATGTGAAGAATCGCACAGTCTTGATCATCGACGACATGATCGATAAGGCCGGTTCCTGGGTCGCAGCTGCTGAGACTGTGGTGAAGAGGGGTTTCGCCAAGAAGGTCTATTGCATTGCCACTCACGGTGTCTTTGGTGGTGATGCCCTCGAGCAGATGCAGAAGTGCGAATGCATTGACGCCATTGTTGTTACCAACAGCTATCCCATCAGCGAGGAGCGGGCTAGGAACGCCTCCAAGCTCACCGTTCTCGACCTGTCCTATCTCCTCTCCGAGGCCATCCGGCGCAACCACTATGGCGAATCAATCAGCCCACTGTTTCAGCACATCCAGGATTAGCATACCATCTCGTCAGGCAGAGCGGCATCCTACGCGACAAGTGTGGTTATGATTTCGTCACTTCTTTCTTGGGAGGAATTTTTGCTAAACCAGAATGCTTTCTGGGCCAATCGAAGCGCGGCGTCAAGGTATTGATTGATATTTCTTTTGTCCCTGGGCACAGGCGCCCAGGGCAGGCTCGTGCACTTTGTTATGCATTGACTCTTCAGGTTACCAGTCTAGGCTTCTCAAATAAAAGCTTATTCCCTTCTAACAGCGCAGCACCTGCGCTATCACCTGCTCAGATGCGATGACTATCATCAAGGGATCATCCCTTCCCTTTTCCCAGCGTTGCTACCCTTTGGTAGCAGGGACTCAATCCGCTCTCCATGGATGAGTTCTTAACGGACCGTTGGCAGATCAAACTCGAGACAAGAAGGCCTGCTGTCATGACCTGGTCACTTCTTCGGAAGGGTGGGCAGCAGGCAAGATAACACCTTGAGACATACGCGCATATATAATGTAGGCAAGAATCAACTTTCGTCCTCAATCTCCATTGGATCGCCTGTGATCACGGTCCTCAGCGAATTTTTGTCATAGAACACATTCACTGGCGTCGGTCCCTCCGCCCTGGGCATGTTGGGCACATTATTGTTGCGCCTCCAAGGATGCTCTGTCGAAAGTGATGCTGCCCTGTCTGGTCTCCGCTCGGTGGTTTCGTATCCATACGTGGAATCGAACGTGGGCCGCGGTAGCTGAAACTCCGTCGCATAATAGTCGTTCGGAACCATGGGTTGATAATGCTGGCCGTTGAGACCCAGAAAGAAGACATGCCTGGCGTTGTAAGAGCCGTAGATGATGGGAGCTCGAACGTACCCATCGGCGGCGGCTTTGGCTGTCGCATCATGGCCTCGGAGGCCTTCCACGCGGTATGTCACGATGAACAAGTTGTATAGGTCGGCGGTGACGGTGAACATGGAGTCTGACGTCCACACTGCAGGAACGGTCAACTGCTGGTACAGATTCACCCTGGTCGTGATCGTCTTCCCTTGATTTGTCACCCAACTGGGCACAAAGAGGCGGTTTAGGTCTGTATAATATGCGTGCCGGGGGTGGTCAGGCCGCTCGAGGATCTCGCCAAAGTAAGTCAGATGCTCGGCCTTGACCCTGCTGGCATACCAGTGATGTCCGTACACCACATATGCCACAGCCTTCCAGTAGCAGTTTGACTGCGCCCCACGGTAGTTGCCCGCCCGGAAGAACGCCACCTCCTCCATCATGGGGAACCCCCGGAGCAGAGCGCCTGTTGTCGCCGCGTCGCGCAGCCAGTACTGCTGCACCGCCCGCTCAAAGGTAAACGGCGTGGTCACGTCTATGAAGGCCAGGTAGTCTTGCACCGCGTCTTCGTTGGCGTCGGCCTCGCGCCCGCCCAGGTCGTCACGGAGCAGGGACAGGTCGAACCGAGTCCCTACTGCTGGTGATGGGTGTCGTCCGATATTGGACACGCGGATCTGGTAGCGCAGCTGGCTGCGGACGCCCTGGCCTGTTGCCTGGGCGGGAAGCCCGTAGAAGGTCTGGGGTTCTACTGCGTGGGGTGGCGAGATGGCGTGTAGTGGTACGGTGGTTGTTGTGGACTGTGGCGGGGCGGCGGCGGCGGTCCCCTTATTGGTTGTTTTGTTCTTGCCATTGTCATCACTGTCGCTTAGGAGGTCCACGAATGTCTGCTTTTTCGGGGGCATGCCTACGGTAAGCTGCAGGACACCCACACCGCTGTACAGTGGTGTCGGCCGTCTGATGGCGTCAAGGCCTCGAAGCCATTTGGCCCGCCCGGTGTTGCGTGCCCTGACCCTCATCTGGATTTCTTTGTTGTTTCCGCGCTCCTCCTTGTCATTATCGCTTGCGCTGACGTTGGGGATGCTGGAATCATCACTATCACTAGATGTCAATATCAGAAGAGTCTTCTCAGAGCCGCGAGTAAGTGATACGGGGTGAACGAGGGTGAGACAGACCTTGTTGGTCTTGGAGCCATATTTTCCTTCTTTCTCTGACTATAGCCCTTTTCTCACAGCTTAGTTGAAATCTTGTAATGGTCAGGTAATTTTCAAAATCTTCTTGCCTTTGAGCTCGATGATCCGGCTACGTACAAACGTCTTCCCAACTGAATAGAACTTTGTGGGGATTTCCCCCCTCCTCTTCTTTTCCTCTCGTTCTTCCTTTTTATCTTTTTATTCTCTTACTATTTCTTTTCCTCTGCTAGAGACAGACAAATCAAATTGCTATCCATTGTGTCCCTTGACGGATCCGGAAGATACTATTCCACGAGTGTTACAGGCGAACAAAGAGCGGTGGGGGATTCAACAATGTGACACACCAGCCTTTCAAGGCCAGCGATTTATACCAGTACACTTCGAGAGAATGGAAAGTAAGGGGGGGTAGAACATTGATTACCTCGAGAATGAACAAAGACAGCCACGCCCATGTCGTGCGTCTCATATCACCGTGGGAGGTGCCGAAAGTTGTCACATGGACAACCTACAAAGTAGCCATGAATATCGGACTCTCCTTTCAAATAGATGAGCTATCATAGGAGACTATGAGGTTGAGACTCCAAATATTGTGACCAACGATATATGCCTGCAATCCAGTACTGGGCACTTCCTGCCTTTGCCATGTTGACCGAGTTTTCACCTCCTCCAGAGTTTGGTGCACCAACGAGAACTGACCAAGACGACTTGGCACGTCGCAGATGGACATCATAATCACTCGAGTTATACGCCCACTGGACAACTGGAATTTTCTAACTTCCGTTAACGCCTGGGTCCAACAAAATATTGCCCCATCGTAATCAGACTGAATGTGGTGTATCTTTGCCATCGTGACGTGCAATTCGAGCTTCAATAGACGAGCTCGGGACTTGAAAGGTTGTTCGCATAATTATATCCGTATTCGTAGAGAGTATTAAGAGGGCAGAATGACAAGTATTGAGGTTTTGTCTCTCTCCCAACTTAAGGTGATTGTGGCAGTAGGATCCGCCGACTGAGTTGTCGGGCTTCGATATTCTGATTGCTTCGAGCAACAGCAAGGAATTAAGTATCTTGACAGAAAGAACACTATTAGACGCGTCGTCGTTATGTCTGTTGAAGTTCGCCATTTCCGTTCCGAAGAGCATCGCTTACACCAAATGCCATTATTAGCAAATCTGAATCACAGGGTTGAGACGCCTGGCCGCAATGAAAAGGCATTTTCGAGGTATAGAGACGATATCTCCACGAGCTCGCAAAATAATCACCCAAGGTAATCCACTGTCTCGATATGAAGAAGGGACCCGTGGGCAACATTAAATGTTCAAAAGAGTTAGAGTTCAAATTTAAGCGAAGAAACCAGCCTGCTCCATTATAGCATAAAACCACCCATCCTTCAAGACACCTGATTCTGACCTGCAAGAACGAATATCATCCGGCAATTATCGTCCTTTCTAAAGCAGCTGAAGAAGATGTTGCCACTCAAGACCACTCAAGCCACCCTTGCTACAAAACTGATACCCTTGACCGTCTCGCCCCAGCCCATAAAGTTGTCCACCGTCCAGCAGGTCTTGAGTGGGATGCTGTCGAGGAGGTTATTACTGCAATCCGTGGTGTTGTATGCGTATAAATAGCCGCCGTCGTTGACACTCCCTGTGTGATGTTTTTCTTCTAGTCAGCAAAGTAAAAAAAAAAATAAAAAAAAATGACGAGGATGGCTCGGGATGATGATCACGATGAGTGTGAGTAGGCCGAAGCCTTCAAGTTGATATGAAGAGAGGTCTTTGTTCAAGCATTACGTACAGTAGCCTGTGACAGCCACGGTGGTGTCTTCAAGCCCAATACAGTTCACGTCGGCCGAGCCGTCGTCAGTAAGGGCGTACGCGCTGTGACTGATGGGGTCACTGTCGCTGCTGTGGGTGCCTGTCAGTATCATCTCTGTGTTGCTTTAAGAATGGAATCGGTGAAACAGAGGCAAATGTACTGACCAGTCTGTAGTGGTATACTCTTTGAACCCGAGGTCCTCTGCGCATGCCATGTTGGCAGCCAGCCCGGCGATCATGGCGATTGCGAATCTAGAATGCATTTTTTTTGTTTTTTTTTGTTGGCTAATGGTGAGAGGAATTGATTCAAGGGCAGAGAGGTAATATAAGAGAGTTTTGCTGGTTTATTTCGGGAAAGCCTGTCTTTCAGATGTGCAAGTTGATGAGGGAGCTCTTAATATTTCAGAGACTCAACAGAGCAGATCTTGTCTACTTAAATAATTCGGATTTTGAGTCAAGATACCAAAAGTGACTTGCAGTTGAAATTCATCACATGTTTTCGAAAGGCTATGAATCTGATTCGGCCGGCCAACAAGGCCAGAGTAGGCCGCGAATAGCATCGATCCAGGTCCGCCCCCCAAGGCCGGCATCCTCTCTTCTCCACCTCTGTGCGTTTGTGACAACCAACGCAACCAGCTGTTAGCTCAGCCGCGCTGTTTATTTCGTTACAGTCTTCATACGCCCAGTCTCCATATGCTGTAGTTTTGTGTGGATCCCTTCGGCCCCCAGGAAGCAGAGTTGAATAATTAGATGATGTGCGCTGAACACTTATGGAGAGGCCCGGACTGGCCTTGGACCTTTTGTGAAACAGTGTTTTTTGGTTGGCTGAATATGAGTGTGTTTTTGACACCAACGACATTATTCTTGGCCCCAAGTCGCACTCTGGAGCAATCTTAGCCAGACAACGTGATGGACTCCAATTATCACCCTTCGGCCCCCTTTGGCTCGAGTCGATGGTCAAGGTTGACCATTTCGGAAATCTATTCTTACAAGAACAACCTCAGCGTTTATGGCTAGTCGGTTTTTTGATGCCTTTCTTGACTTCACATACAGTGCTACCTCTAAAGTATACAGTTGTCGCAGATGCTCCTTCAATTGAGTAGAATACCAATACAGACAATCAAGCGCCAATGCCTATGCATCAAATGATGCACCCTTCAATGCCAGCAAAATTACCCCTCCAAAAACTCGGTTCCCTTTAACGGACTCCCTGCCACACAAGCATAGTCTCAATTTGCCCATACAATAAGCACAACTACTACGAGCTAAGCTGTCATACTCGGAGGCGGCTGACCATGAATGTCGTCCAGGAGCTCCCAGAAGGATGACTGGTCAGTCTTCTTCTCTTCCAGAGAGACATCCCGTAACAAGTATTCATCTGACTGGCCCTTTCCGGCATTCTGGATGATCCTCCAGGCGCGGCGGAACTCGTCGCGGATCGAGACAATGCCGTTGTGAGTGACCGTTCGGGCAACGTTGTGATCCAACTCGAAGGGATCCTCAATCGCAACTAGAAAACGGTGGCGCACTTCCTTGACTTCGGGCTTACCGCGGTCTTGAACAGACGCTGGCACGGTAGGAAGGCCGGGCGAAGGTAGTAGTGGATGGGCTGCTGAACCTGATGGACCGTCGTCCTGACTTTCAGCTGCCGGCGCAAGGTTTGGTGTCTGGGCCACTGATTCTGTCGCGACAGGAGGCTTGTCGGGCTGCTGGACCTCGAGCACCGTCTTCGCACCTGTCCAACCTTTCTGCCGCTTGGTCAAGAGGCCCCCAAGAGAACGGATGCTGATGACGTCCCTACCCCAGTCGAAGCCTCGCATGTGGCCAGCGCCCATGATTTTGTTCTGAGCGTAGTACTCAAAGAAGCCATGCAGAAGAAAGCCGATACTCTCAGTGTTCTGACTCAGTAAGCCGCGCTGAGCAGCGTCGGCTATTTGGTCCGCATCCCTCCAGAATCGGATATCTCTACCCTTGCACTGAACCGAGTTCTCGATCTGCTCTGGAGTGAGATCTGGAGGCACTGGCGGCGCCAGGAGCTGCAGGTTGGGGCAGACGGCGGGTCGAGCAACGTTCATGAGATAATGCAACACGAGTAAAACATAGCCGTAACTGGACAGCGTTCCGCGGTATGCGGTATTGATGCCTCGAACTTTAGCCCAGTGCTTGACGAACAGGACGATTGGTCTGACGCGAGGATCCGTAAGAGAGTAACATCTCAGCAGATACGTGTTCTGAAGTGCGAGCTGCGCCGAGAAGTTGATATCGCACTGAACACCGATGCCGTTTTTGGGATACTCTAGCCGATCATGATAGCGATCGCGAGGCTGGTTCGGGGTCATACGAGACGGGTCTGGAAGGTCGCGCATCTTGGCTACCAACGCCCAGTCTTCCCGCGTCATGGGCAGCACATAACCAGATTGCACTTCAGGCCTCTCGCCGGATTCCATTGGCCCACGTAATAGCTCAATATAACGTTGAATGTCAGCTCGATCATCAGGCGAATACAGGTCCTTATCCAGGGCCTTCTCAAGTTCTCGGGCAAGTTGCAAAGATTTGTGTCGTCTTGCAACCGCTTGAAGACTGGGCATGTCCACAGAGCGCATGTATTTCGTGACCTGCGATCGAATTGCGGTATCGTATATGCCGTGTGCATATTGTTGGACGATGGCAATTGATAACGGTGTTTGAGCGGCCGAGAGGTGCTGCCCACCCAGCTCAACCATCAGCTTGATGACTCGACTGTGGTAGGATGAGGCTGACTCGAATTGACCTTGCTCTAGAAGAATCAAGGCAACCGAGGGAATATTCCTGAGCGTCTCGACCGCAAGCTGGAGCTCTTTGTTGTAAGCGAGGGGGTCCAAGCCGAAAGTTGGCCTGTTCTGAAGATCAATCCACTGATTGATCCGTAGTTTTCCCCTCATCTCAGATTGCTGATCCTTCTCATAGATGGAGCGTGACTCCCAAGCCATGACCATCTTTTCACCCTCGATCTGTAAAATGACTCCATATATCGAACGATTGATGGACATGGGAGCTGTTGAATCGAAAGAGAGGGACAGATATCTCTGCAGTCGCGTCCTCAAGTCACCATCGGCCAGGCCGTGGACAAAGGCAGAGCAGACATCGTTGAGGATGCGGAAATCACCCTTGCTGAAGCTTGCTGCCGTGGAATTGGTGATGTCTCGTCCCCCAAGTTCTCGAAGCAACTTCTTTGCAGCCCCGTAATAAGTTGACAAAGCCTTTCCTCCCTGCTTCAACTTATTGAGCTGGGCCTGGTAGGGATCATCGTGCTGGCCATCACCGTTGGGAGGAGAAATGACAGGTTCAGAAGCGTGTGTGTCGTGACGGGTAGTAGATTCATCATGCACTCCACTTGGGCTGCTGGCATGCGCGCTCACAGGATCATCCTCTTCGAGGTCCTGGTCCTCCTCATCTCCCCTCTCCCACCTCTCCCGCTCTTCCAAGAGGTCTGCGTAAAGCTTCTGCGGAGGTTTCTGGCAGACCTTGATGATAGGCACTCTGGTCTTGGTGAGCAGACGGGCACCAAAGCCCATGTTCAAGAAGGTCTTCTCCACTATGCGAGGAATCTCCGAGCCGGGAGCATCAGGCTGTGGGTGAGAGAGGGGGGAGAGAAGCCCAAGGTCCATGTCGGCAGATTTGGTGGCAAATCCGGACGCCAAGCTGCCGAAGCATCGCAGCTGGACGGACATGGGCGGGAAGTCGGACCGGCCACTGATCGCATTGTGGTGTTCAGTAATGGCGGCTCGGCATGCTTCCTCTATGAGCAGCCGAAAGTTCTCTTTCTCCTGGATCTGAGCAAGGTCAATCTCGGCATTGGCGAGTATTGTCGTGGTGAGTTTCTCTAGAAGGGCGACCTGAGCCTCGAGATTGTCCGGCTGAGCATGGTCAAGGTGCGGGTTGTACAACGAGCGGCCTTGGGTCATAGAATTCCTCCCAAAGGGGTTCGAACGTGCTGGACCAGTCTGGTATCCCTGATACCCCATCTGACCACCGCCTGGCTGTCTCCAGTCAGAGTGAGCAGGCGAAGACGAGAAGCCTGGGTAAGACGGTGAGGGATGGTGACGGTTCTGAGGTGGAGGACCGCCTCTCGCGTAGCCGTCGTGCATGTTGGCTGGCGGAATGGCATTCGGCTGCGAACGTTGATTTCGATGCTGGTGGTTCTGGCGGTGGTGGTACTGGCTGGAGAAATTCCCATGGTGTCGGTTTTCCTGCGCTTGGACGGAGCGGTGGTCGATGGGGATGTTCAACTGAGAAGACATTTGGCGACGTTGTGCCTGATTTGGTCGCTTCTGTCGCGATTTTGGAGACGGGTCTGGTTGCGAGAGCGCATCCGCATTCTGCGCGGGACCACCCTCTACAGGCGGATGCTGAGATGTAGGAGGAAGACCTCCCTCAGTCTGAGACTTCTCAGCATTCTTCAAGATGAGATTTCGCATTCGTACGTCCAATGGCATGTCGTCTTGCTGGTTGCCGTCGGCCATGGTGTCCTCCTCTTGGCCCACACTTGTTGTTTGCTGTATTCACGGCTGCAGTAACTTGATGACCCGTCCGATATCAAGAGGCAAACGGATCTCCCAAAACGATTGTGTGACAAGGCACTGACACGTGCTGTCGGTTGAGAAATAAACGAGAAAAAGAGAGCGAGAGACTCGATTTACCCCAGGCAGGAAGGGTGAAGGGTTGGCTCGAAGTGCTGTGGAAGGACTGGCTACCGATGTTGAATCATGCTTGTTGCCATGTCAAGGAAGATGGAAAGAAGAGATGGACTGTTTGATCGAGGGTGAAGGGTGAGGTTGGTGTAGAGTTGACAGCACTGAAGGCACCGGAAGAGATTGGCAGTAAACAGGCTGCTGAGCTGCTGCTGCTGCTGCTGTGAAGGGAATCTTTCGTTGGAGGGGCGACTACTGCCTGCCTGCTTGTATGTATGCTGCAGGTTCCCGAGTTGTGAGTTGTACGATGTAACTTGTGAGCCCTGATTCTGCTGTGTGACTGCTAATTGCTGGTGACTTCTCTCAGAGATTTTGCTCGTTGGATGTCTGCAATGTCGATGGCTCCACTGTCACTGTTTGAACGGGTGACACAGTCTGTAGAGGATGATGTCTTGTGGGGATCTACCCTGCTTGCTCTATCATAGCTGAGCTTGGTAGCCCTTCTCCAAAGTTTTTCAAGGGTTGTATCAGTTGAGATGTGTTTTGTGTTCGTGATGACAAGGTTTGGAGGTGTTCTGAGGTCGAGTTGATATGCGAGCCTGTGGATCTGGGAGCGTTGAAGCTGGATAAGTGACAAGGGACAGCAGAGTGCAGAGTACGGGGTGGTGGGGTTGGTGGGCTAGAGGCCCGACTATACTAAGTACCAAGTGGGTTAGTAGCTTGTCCCTTCACTGAGTCCAGCCAGCACTCTACTAAGCGCAAGATGTCTGTTGGCTTGTCCCCATGTAAATGTAATGAGACTTTTGTGTCCTGCATTGGGCTATTTCCTTTTCTTTATGAATGTATGTCTTTGCAGAATTTCTGTTGCAGTAGATGGAAAGGGCACATATTTTAGAGGTCTACTCTTCTTATTATTATTCTTCTTTTTAATAGGTGTCAATTTTGCTTGCCCCAGTCCTCTTGTTCCCAGCGTGAAATACAGTGAGTGAGTGACGCAGTGAATGAATTTAGGAGCTAAGTACTTAAGTACTGTGCATGGTGTGGCCTAGGCTGGGACTCACCTGCCTGGACCCACCCACCCGCACCTGCACCGCACTACTCTACCTCATTGTCAAACCCACGTCTTTCTTTGTGCCTTGCTGCCTTCAATTCTTTTCTTCAACATCAGCATTCGAACAAAGCTGATCAATTGCAGACTTTGTTCAGCAGACCTCAACGTCTCAACATCTTCCTTCTGGTGACGACAATATCGTACTCGAGACGTTACTCGTATCACCGAACGTTCGTCTCCGACCGTCATCGTCAGCTTCTTCACGTTGCGTTGGGTGCCCCCCCGGAAATAAAACACATTCGTCAGCCCGCTGCCCTTCCACATGTCGCGTCATTCACGCTCGAGGATTCGTCTCTGATATCGCCTCAACGGACGGCTCAAAACAACCGTCTCTTGCCCGCTGCGGCATCGGCAGCTGACCGCCCCGAACTCGATCTACCCCCGTCGTCATCATGAGCGCCCCTACTCCCAATGGCCTGCCTAACGGCGGTAATCGTCCTCCAGGCGCACCACCTCTGCGCCGCAGAAGACCTGTTTCTTCCAACCCGCTTGTCGCGCGCAAGAAGTCTGCTCCGCCGCCGACCCAACAGTCCAAGGCACCCAGCAGCTCGAGCAAGCCCAAGGCAGGCGCCTCCAAGAGCACAAACAACAATTCGTCCAATTTCTATGGCGTGACTGCCCCTAAGGTGGATCTGAAGACACAGGAGGAGTGGAAGCAGCGCCGACGACAGAACGGTGGATGGTGGGACCCCCCACCTGCTGCCGAGGACTTTCGCGAGGTGTCGGTCTATATGACCAAGGCCGATATCAAGGAGGGCCTGCGAGCTCACGTCATGCGATTCGCCAAGACGCGTACCAGCGGTGTTATCGATATCATGGACGACACGCAATTCCCGCGACCGGTTACGCTCCACCGAAAGGATGCACGAGACGTGAACAATGCGCCTGTGGAGGAGAAAGAGCCGAGCGAGAGCCCAGCACCTGTCGACTCGGTCGAGGCAGAGCGCCTCGCAAAGATCAAGGCTGACAAGGAAGCCCAGCGCGCCTTGGATCAGGCTCAGATCGCCCCCGTCTCCAGAGATGCTGCCGCGGCCAAGAAGCCCGCCCAGAAGCAGGAGAGACTTGAGACAAAGGCATTCTACGCCAAGCGGACTGTCGAACGCAAGAAAGAGAACAATCTGCGCTACGAAGAGTCCCTCCCCTGGGTCATTGAAGATGCAGATGGGAAGAGCGCTTTTGTGAGCCAGTACATGGGTCCTCTGTCCGAGTCTACGGTTGCGTTGCAGTTTGAGGGCACGCAAGTTCGCGCCGTCCCCTTGGAGAAGTTCTACAAGTTTACCCACAAGCCTCCATTCAGGGCCTACAGCATTGAGGAGGCTGAGGCACTGATGAAGAAGCAGACCGTGCCGAGCCGCTGGCATATGAGGCAGGACGAGAAGGACAAGGACAGGGAGGAGATGAACGCCACCAGACAAGCTCTGTACGGAAGATCCATGGTCAAGTCGGAGAGTACCACATTCAAGTCAGCCGCGCGCTCAGAGAAGCAGGAGCATGACGACATCGACTTCTCGGGAGACGAGTTCCAGGACGATGACGAGAACCCCACCTTTGAGCGCGACAATGACGAGGAGGTCAAGGACTCCAAGGACCGTGTCCGTCGCGAGCAGCTGGGTGCTAACCTCTTTGGCGAGGCTGACGAAAAGGAGATCGAGGAAGAGCTGGCCCGCGAGGAGGCCGAGGAAGAGGCTAGGAAGCGCCTCGGGAAAGGCCTTGCGAAGCATCTCGTCAAGTATGAGAAGCATCTCGAGTATAAGGAGGACCCCGACGATTCTTCGGACCTGGGCCTGGATTCTTCCGTAAGTACAGCTCCGCCACCTCCTACTCGTCGTCGGCGTCATCGCCGTCGTCTGCTTTTCATCTTCTGGCTAACCAAAAATCCAGTCCGACGAAGAGTCCGACGCCGAGAAACAGGAGGTCAAGCCGGAAGATGAGCAGAAGAATGCGCCAGACCAGAAGGCGGGAACAGCCACCAAGGGCCCCAGCGGCACGCCCTCGGGCAGCAGCAAGCTGAAAGCTGGCCCTGACTCCAAGAAGGTCAACAATCTGAAACGGCCCGGTTCTCCCAACCTTTCCGAGATGGAATCTAGCGGAAACGAATCATCGCGGAAGAGGGCCAAGAAGGCTGCCACGGGCTCTGTCCGAGACAGCCGTGCATCCACCCCAGTGTCGCAGCGGCCCAAGAAGATCCCTGGTGCCTCCAGTGATGGCGAGGCCACTGCGACCGAGATGTCGGACAGCGGCCGGCCCAAGGCTCTCAAGAAGAAATCCAAGCTGGTCGTTGGATCTCATGGCAAGGGAACCCCAACAGGCTCGAGGGCTGGCAGTCCCGTCCCTGGCTCGTCGCAGCTTCCTCCAGGTAAGTCATCCCTATCGATTGTTGCCTTATCAAGTCCTCCTCGAGGCCCCTCCAAGGATTCATATATACTCATCGCGACCACAGGCTCGCAAACTCCCAGCCGTGCTACTAGCCCCTCGGCTCCAAACTCATCACCGCCGCTCACAGCGGAGGACATCATCGCATGCCTGAACGCTCACCCTGAGGGCATGAACATTAGCCAGATGGCGCAATACTTTAAGGGACCGCGTATGAGCGATAGGAAGCTCTTCATCACGCTTGTTAAGAATAATGCCAAGTGGGGCCCGGACAAGCTCTTGCGCCCCAAGGGCGCGTGAGTGTGTACACTCGCCGCTCGGAGGGTCATCATGGGTCAGCAGCATCCAAAAACAGATGTGGTTTGGCTGGGGAAAACTTGAAATTCGAAGACCCCAGTCCATATATGCATTAGTTCACAGCGGACCAAGTAAGGCCAAACTGTGGCATGCTGCTAGCCACGAAGTAGTGAGAAGACAGAAAAGTCTTCACTGGCCCATCATTGTGTCTGTGGGGACATGGCCACGCCACTGGTCGTCCACGTATGTTCATAGATGATTCATAGCCAAGCAATCGGCAGCGCCCTCTATGATGGTAAAGCAGGATAGTCACCGAGAATGCAAAGGACTTGATACGAAACAGTGTCTAATGATCTTAAGAAGATGGTTTGAGACGTGCAGTACGACTACGGTTGACAGAGCTGATGCTTCAACGCCTCTTTGTTCATGATGATGTATAGTGGTATCGTCCGCCTCTTGTCATGCATTACTCATCCATTTGCCAGGCGTAGTCTAGGCCCTTATTCCTCTCTCGCCGGTTGATAGCCTTGAATCGTTCCGCCTCGAAACCATTACTCCTGTCAACACCATCCCACCGGTATCCTGGACGTATGCCATATCGATTTGGCGGTGCAGGACCCTTATACACAGGCTTCCTGCTTGCCTTTTTGGACCCCTTCTCATCAACACCGCCTGCACTCGTTTTCGGACCTGCCCTCTCCTCTTCTGCGTCCAAAAACCGTGCCATAGGATCATTCCACCGCCTCTGCTCCTTCAGCTCCCTGTTCATCTCCTCGTCGTCTGCCGTCCTCGCAACGGCCATCCCCCTTGCATCCTCCAGCACTTCTTTTCTCTTCCTTGCCTCCTCGAGCTGCACCTCACCCTTGAGCATCTCCTCCTTCATGCGCTCCTTCTCCTCCGCCTCCAGGGCGGCCCGCCGCGCCTCGGCACGCTTCATGCTCACATCGACCCTCCGGCCGGTCGCATCGCGATAATACGTCTCCTCCTCGCCATGTTTGACCACGCCGGCGCGCCTCTCTGCCTCGAACTGCTCGCGCTCCTCCTTCTGGCGCCGCTCCAGCTGCGCGGTGACCGCAGCGGCAGACTGCAGGCCGGCATGTGTGCCATCCGCCATCCTCGCCGCGGCGGCGGCGGCGTCGGATGACTCCTCTACCACGGTCGGGTCATCGTCCTCCGCCTTGCGCGCGGCCTCGTTCTCCGCCGCCGCCGAGGCAAGGATGGCGTCTGCCGCGGCTGCCTCCGCGTCGTCAGCGGCGGGCCTGCCTCCAACGGTCTTCCAGTTCGCCTTTGTGGTTTTTCGGAACTCCTTGACCTTGCCGACCGTCACGGGGCTGTTATCGTCCTCGTCGCCATCGCCACCGTGGGCTCTCGACCTTCGGTGAGAGCTGCTACCGCTGCCCCATTCGTCGTCGTCTTGGATGAGGAGACCGCCGCCGGAGGATTTGTCGTGCTTGCGCTTGCGCTTCTTAGTGGGTTTTGTGTCGGCGGTGAGGTAGTGGGTTGCGAGATACGAGGAGAGGTCGGAGGGCATGATGGTGAGGGAGTGTTTGAGAGGATGAGTGGGTGGGCGGATGTGTCTGGATGCCCAGTAGTAGGGACGTGAACGTGAAAAGGGTTGGGACAATTGTTGGAGTTTGGGTGTCGTGCTCGGTCTTGGAAATTTTGGCCCAAGGGTCGTCGCTCAGCCTTACCATAGTGCAAGCGAGCCTCCCTGGACGTTACTTCCCCAGCTGGCGGCTTACAGTAGTTGCCGATCATGGTCTGTGCAGGAAGACCCCTGACTCTGGCACTTCTGCTCAAGTATGACGTCACAGCGAGATGTACACATGAAAGGAAAGACACTGCGTATGGCTTCAATTCGTTCAATATTACTTCCTCACTACTTACATATTCTGTAAGAATACTCATAAAAGTATGCTTATAACATGTTTGGGCCCCTCATAGCCTCGAGCTATTTACCTTTGCTCGCCTGCGAGCGGCAGCAACAGCAGCTCGGGTCACTCTCTTCCCCTTCAAGCCCGTCAGACATGTCGGTGCCATTCCCACTACTCTCTCGAGCCTGTGATAGCGATTAAGAGTATGTGGATACTCATCTGCATCACAGAGACAAGGCTTCATATCAGACCAGTACTGAGATCCATACGTGATAAAAAGTTCCTCACCCCCAGCGATGTCACGCTGGGTCTTGTAGCATAACACCTTGCGGCGGCCGTACATGACCTCGACCACCTCCAGGTTATACGCCGTGCAGTGGTGGTTCACAAACCTCGAGATGTTCCCGTACTCGATCGAGTCGATGCGCGCGGTGCCGCCGAGCATGAACACGTAGCTGGTGTCAGGCTCAAACACCTGCGCGTCCAAGGGCATCAGCCGTCCCGCATACTCGCAGAGCATTGTGCCCTTGGGAATCGCACGTCTCGCGAATACGCCGAATCCGACCGCCGCCCTGCGGATTTCCATGTAGTGGGCCTCAACACGAGCCAGGGCTGCGTGGAACTTGGTGATGCAGGGCTCACCGTGGCACTCGGCACCTACCTCGTCACAGATCTCGCACTGGCTGCCGTCTATGTCAGCGCTTAGGATGTCGGCGACCGTGGTGCTGCCGAGGGGGGCGCCGGGATCGTTTACACGGCGGCCACGTTTGCTGGCGGTCCCTGAGCTGGTGTGTTAGTCAGGTGTTGTAGGCTGGACTGGCTCTCTAAAGATTCGAAGGAGAAATTTTGGGAGGAAAAGGAGGGATGTAAAGAGTCAGTAGGTTCCACTTACAGTCTGCTGGGTCAACCACATAGTCGCTGAGTCTTGGGGTTGGACGAGAATCAGTGTAAACAATGTCCACCATATTGTTGCCATGCTCTGGCTCAGAGTTGTACTTATACGTTGGGAGAGTATCCGGATCTGGGAGACCAACCTGAACAGTGCTTTGGCAAGCAGGAGTCTTCGGGGCTGCTTGCTGGAGCTTTCGTTTTACCTTTCTCTCTAATCTCATTATTACGAAATCTACTATTAGCGAGGTTGCCGGTAACTCGGACGTTGTTTTCGAAAGGGGAGAGAAAAAAAGAGAAAAGAGAAAAGAAAAAAGGTTCTGAAATGTTTTACAGAACAAGAAGTTTGAAGATGACTACTTGTGAACGGGGCCAGTGTCTACATATCCGGAAGAAATTATGCCTGTGTGAGCATGCTTTGTTGACGTCTTTGTGATGGGGGTTTATTGTCTCCAGCCTATACTACAGGAGACTCAATAGCATTCATCTGCTATTTCTGACGGACAATGACAACAATGTTTTGTCGTCTTTGTATAGGACGATCGTAAGCGCTTGAGGGATGTTGACTACAGCCAGAGACGGTATTGTTGGCCTCAAAAGACTGCACGGCCATGCCAACCCCATTGAAGAGAGAAGGCCCCATTATGACCATCGTCCTCATACAACCCAAGCAGAGACATTTCCTCGACTTTAGTCGTACCGCTCCTCGTCGCGTCCCTGGTCGTAGCTCGCCTCCATGCTGTCTCCAAAGTCCCCGACCTCGTCTCCGAACCGCTCCACCTTGCCCACCCCCTCGCCAACCCAGCCGGCCACGTCCTCGGGCGCGTCCTCCACGGCGTCGACGGTGTTGTCCCACCCGCGCTCCACCTTGTCCTCGGCGCGGTCGAAGTCATCCTCGACACGGTCAGGGACAGACTCCACTGCGCCGACGGCCTCGCCGGTCCAGCGGGCTGCGTCCTCGGGCAGGTCCTCGACGTCCTGGACGCCGTCGTCCCACTTGCGCTCGACGTGCTCCTCGGCGCGACCAAAGTCCTCGGCTTGGTGGGCGGATTAGCTTGAAAGCACAGAGGGATGAAATGTAATACCAAGAGCAGCATTGGTCCGTGTCGAATGGTAGTGTAGTGGGGAGGGGAGAGGGGGTGGCCAGGCACGGGTGCAGGTTCGACTTACCAGCTTCCTCGAACACGGGTTTCTCGAAGCTGCGCTCGCCGGTGGCCTCGTTGATGAAGATCCAGCGGCCGGCCTCGTCGTCCCAGCGCGTCACCCAGGGAGGCTGCACGTATGGCGGGTCCATGGGCGCCTCATTGCGGCTGTCGATGTTGTTGCCGACGACCTCCTCGATCATCTCGCCGATGAAACTCATGATTGCGTTGGTTTGGTTGGCTCCTTGGGTTGGCTGGATGCGTGTTGAGGGATTTTTGCTTCTTTCCTTTCTCCTCCTTCCTTTTCTTCTTCGCTTTTCTTGGGTGCTCTTCTTTCCTTCCTGCGTTTGTTGTATCTGTGTAAGAAAGGTGAACTATGTATGCAGATGCAGCAGGAGCGAGCAGGAGCGAGCAGGCAAGCCAGTTCAGTTGGAGGTCCTAGCAACAAAGTAGTATTTGTACTATGTACAATTCATTTGAGCCATCCTCCAAATACAGTTGCAGTTTTACACGCGCAAGGGCCAACTCAGCGACGATCGTGTCACCTCCACCAGCCAGTCAGTCACTGGAATGCCACGCTCAAGACCCCCGGCGCGCAACAATGGGCGGGTCGATCATTGAAGAGAAGCGATTCGCCCATGCCCGCAGACCGAGACTCGCTTGCCCCATTCACTGGGCCTTGAAACGCAGGCGATGGGAGCTGGAGGGAAGATCAAGGAGAGTGGGAGAGAGGGCGGAGGAGCGAGCACCGCCCTTCTCTCGGTGGATTAGATTATCTGCAGCAGTGCTTGGCGCGAGGAGTCGTTTCTCCCAATGGGTGCAAGCGTTGTTTGTTGACTGAACTTACATAAGCCAACTGCAGAGTGACTTTCTAGAGTCGTAAGACATACAGCGCGTCGTCTATAGTTTCAAAAAGTCGCTGTCTGGTCTGGCTCTCCTCATTTAATCGAGTGACGTCTTTTTCTGGCCCCCAAGCCCTCCCGGTCTCAGAAATTCAGAGGGTCATGCGCCTTGGTTTAGTGAAGGAACCGGGCGGCTGCCTCTGTAGCGTTTCTCTTTTTTGGCGCATCGATCAAACACCCAGAGGCCTTATCTTCGAAGCCAGGGTGTTTGCTGTACAATTACGTCCTTTGTCCCAAAAAGAAACAGAGAACAAGCCTTGCCTTGTATTGTCGGACCGCCGCCTCTTTCTTTTGTGTCTTGAGCCACTTCAGGAGCGACAGCCGTCCAGGTGTACAAGCAAAGGTCAGTAACAACTGCGGTGACGTGCTGGCACTGTGTATATTGTTAGTGTTCCTATTCTTAGGGGAGGGGCAGGGGGCATGATGGCCTGTCTAAGGCCTGCCAGCCTGCCAACCGTCAACCCCCAGAGGTCATGCATCACCCTCGGCTCACCGGCTGCAGTCTGGTGGATGAGCCACTTGCCATGGACGGATGGACTCGCGGATTCTAATTCGTAATCTAGAGAGAAAGACGGGTTTGTCACTGCCCAGCAAAATGGCCAGTAGCCACACAAAATGCTCAACGAGATAAGTAGATTGACATCTCTGACTGGCCGGGGAGTAACAAGACCCCGCAGCCGTACCGCTCGGCATAGGTGGGACTCTCCCCTCAAGATGTGTTCGATGCATGCCGGGGGCGCCCATTCTCCTTCTATAAGCTACACGAACGAGCCTGTTTCACATGTACTGGCCTCGCTAGCTGCATGATGGGGAAGGGGGAGGCCATGACTGGTTTTCCTGATCTGCGGAAGACTCTATTTCCTACTTGTGTGGCCGTGTCTGCGTGGCGGCACAAGTGGGCGTCTGGGGCCTCTCCTGGAAGTGACAAGGCTGAAATGTCTCAGATGCAAGCCATGGGAAAAAAGAACAACAACATCATCATCATCGATTGCATGAATGGCGTATACGGTGGTGCAACTTCCACTCCTTTGGCCCCCCTCCCCTCCCGATGAGTGAGGAGAGGACGTCGATAACCAATGCAGCGGAATCGGAAATTGCATCGAAGAGCAGCCGGGAACACAAGGAATCCCATTATTAGAAGTGTATGGGCCGAAGCAGCCCGTTTCAGGCTCTCCGCTTGGGCCGAGGGAACCAACTAGTTGACTATTAGTAACTAGTAGATAGACCCAGCCTAGGGGATTGGGGACCCCGTGACAAGTCCTCATGTGCCAGAAGGGGGGTTAGGGGGATTTCGTCACTGGCAGTGGCCACTTATCATAGTACTGGGTACTGTACTAGCCAAGTAAGTAGCAGGCATACCCACTGAGAGAGAGAGGGCGCGCTTCAGGGCCTCCTCATACCCAGATGCAACCAAGAATAGTGAATAGTTGGCTGCCTGCCTGACGACAACGATCCCTCTCATGTGGTAAGGTGATGTAGCGACAGGCTCACAGCTGGCCAAGCATCACGGAGGAGGGGCGTGGGCTGAACCAAGGAGAATGAGAGGCTGGACACAGGGCTGCTCTCTTCCAAGGTTGAAGCCAACAATGACGAGACCTCATGTAGTATACAGTGCCAACCAGTTCACCAGACGCAGGGCACACACATGTCACCCGGCGGGCGAGTTCCCAGCGCATAGTGACTTGGTCCGTCCCCCCGGACAAGGCAAGTAGAAGACGAGGTCATCCATCCATCACATCCTGTCTCACGCGGCCGCTCCGGGCACACGGGCACACCAGAGATGACCCCTGCTCAGCCTTGATCACATCCCAAACTGATAAGCTCCAACACCGTCATCCCGAACACGGCCTGATAAGATTACCCAGAGAGAGAGAGCGAGAGACCAGAACAGAACGCCCCGATTTGTATACAAAGAGGTTACGCGCTTGCCTTTGCTTCCTCGCCATGATCTCTTGACTTTTCTATACAAACGCAAACAAAACAATACTGCAACTGCAAACTTGTTGGACTTTCCTGTCTCGCATTTTGGGCCTGTCTCGGTATCGCCTAGACACCCTTCCCCACCACTTGTCATCCTCACCAAGTGTGACCTTTGTACCCTTTGTCCGTGACTCCTTTGTCTGAGTCACTCGGCAACTCAAATCCTCACAGCCTCACTAGCCTCACGCCGTTATTGTCATTAGCATCTAATCCAAAGCGGATATTTTACAAATCCCAGAGCGGCCCACGCCCACGCCTGCCTTCTTTCCGGGATCAGAGATCACGCCGAACAACATCTGCAAGAGCCACTGAGCGGCCCTGCCTTCCTCTCTCCTCTCTCTTTCCCTCCCCTCGGAATCAGCAAACCAGTTGACTTCCTGCTCGTGTCATCATCACCTGCACTCTCCACCAAGAGAAGTGCCCCTTTTTCTCTCTCCAGAACACTCCACGCTCTTCTCTCATCTTTCAACTCTTTCTCTTATTTCCTTTCCATAGCAACCCACCTAATCAACCGCTATCCTTCCCCTGTACTCCTACAGGCAGAATACCTGGCCCTCCTGCACGCATCCGACACATCGTGTCTGTCAACACGTTCCAATCTCCCAACCCAGCCAACCATCAACCATCTCTTCTCTTGTGAATCTCGAGGCTTCTCTTCCGGTATCAAACATGGCTGCTACTCCCATCGCCGAGTCTCCTGCCCAGTTCGATCGCGACCTCCGCAGCGCCAACCAGGAGTGGAAACGCGACAAGGACGCCGATGTCAAGTGGTCGTACGGCACGAAAAGGGACTTCCTGTGGTATCCACCACTGTCGTCTGATGCGGACATGGACCCAAGTTTCAAGCGTCGGCCTCTTGGGAAGCCCAGCGATAAGTAAGTCTCCGCGTGTATTCCAAAACCCCTAATTCCACGTAGGTGGAACGAGACGTTCTGACTTGGAGCCGCTGCAGCCTGGCTCCGTTCACCAAACCCAAGGGAAACATCAACAAGTACGCTCGTACAACCGGCCGGATAAGAGAGTGTGGGAACAAGCACATCCGCTCCAAGGTGTCTGCTCGAGAGGAGATAGAGGAGGCGGCCAGCGCGTCTCGTTCCGTCCTCGACTATCTGCCCGCCAGCCCGCAACACCAGAGGCCAAACCCCATGGACCACGTACTGTACAGCTTCGACCGAACTGACTCGCCCGGCCGGCCACTGACGCTGGAGATATTCGTCAAGACGACAGGCCGCGAGACCGAGAAGTTCGTGGAGAAGGAGTACGAGGTCATCGATACCAACGGTGATGCCCTCAGAGGCCGCAAGGCACGTCGCAACCTGCGTCAGGGCACGGCGGCGGATGCGAAGTTGGCGGGCGAGGAGGTGGAGATCGACGAGGACGGTTTCGAGCTGGTCTGAGTTGCCGGGTGGCAGACGATCGAGATGGACGCGACTAAGCGACAAATACTGTCTCCATGCGAGGTGGGCATGTGCTTGGTGTGGCTTGATCCGTTCGTTTGTACTGTTTGTTCTTCTTGAATACCTTTCGCTTCTCCTTGCTCTTTCTACTCTTCGCTCTCATCTGCCTCCTTCGCGTGTTATCATCACCTTGCCACATTTTAATACGTCTTCCATGTTTCTCGTTTCTGTACCTTTGAGTATTCGGTCGACAGGAGTTTGGGTTAGGAAGGATGGGTCGGAAGCATTTGTCCTGTCGCAGAAGTCCAGAGACACCGGTGTTTGGGTGATGGGAGACGATTGCATGTTGAAGAGACGGTCGAGAGATTTGCTCAGCCTTTGATGATGCTGACTTGCATGCATGATCCACTCACCTAGTGAGGAGCGTTTGAGTTGTTTGGGGCGGTCCTTTTCATCAGTATGGAGGCATGCACGATTACCTTTCTTACCACTGCGACAGCACTCTCGATTGTTGCGTGGCCAACCTTTTCAAGTACTTATGTAGACCTAGTTGAGATCGGAACATGATTAGATAGCACATATAGTCAGCGGCTCAGTACAATCAAAGAGCATCATCGCTGGTTGTCAATGTGTGTGTGTGTGTGTGTGTGTCACTTTTTCCTGGGGATTGACTGTGAGGTGGTGAGGAGACAACAAAGTTCGGCACGATTTTGTGGGAGAAGGATCGGCTCGCAATGGAGTGCATTTGCTGCTGTGTGGCTTGCACGTGCCAAGCCCCTATCCTTTTGTTCCCGCCTGAAAGAAGGCATACGTCTTCCCCCCTAAGCACAGAACACTTTCCCCAATTCAACTACACGCGATTGCGAAGGTTGACTCTACTGTAAGGTATGCCTCGCATCAACCCCGATCTTCCCTCTTGCTACGCACCCTCCTGGTTTTGGAATGGCAGCCAGACTTAAACTATCGTAGCAACAGGTAGCTTGCTGACTGACTTTAGGCACCCTGACAGGAAGGTGTCTGGGTGGGTACGTGCAGTGCAACCTAGCCGCCCTATTGGCCCCTGTTCCCTAATAAACCCCCCCCCCCCTGTCATTCTGATCTCACGATGTATACAAGTTGACTCAACCGGCGCATGCCAACCACTGCGCCCCGCTGTGAGGTAGACCTTGCTTCCAGGGACGATTACACCAATTGGGAATTTTTAATTTTATTATTTTGGCTCTTGTATTGGGATTATGTACCCGATATTTAGGGGAATGATTGAGTGAAATCAATATGTATAAGTAAGTGAGGTAAGGTCTCAAGGAGGTGGTCGCTTGGTCGAGCATCTCGTTCATCCGTTATTGCGTTCAGTCTAATGATATACATATACATATATATCAAAGTTTCTCTGTCTATGGTGACGGTTGTCTTGCCTGACAATTAGCATCTCACCACTACGCTTCGTTGTATTATCACAATTTACATCTTTCGGCTGCAATCATTTTGCCATATCATTGTTTAAATCAACTACTATTTAACTCGCCATCCATCATCGATATATACAGACCTTTTCGAAGTCGAAGTCAGAGAAGATCACTCCCCGTAACGATCTCTCTTCTCCCTCTACAGAATCAAATTTCACATTTGATCACTCACCAGAACACAACCTGGGCTCCCCCACTCCACAGAGGAAACGCAGAACTACCATGGGGGGCCTCGAGCAGACAGCAGCAGGAGGAGCAGCACCAGCGGTGGCCACTGTATCCCACGATACCGCCCTGTGTATCGTACCCCCAAGAAGCCTGTGGCCTAGGATCGACCGCCTGAGATCACGTTACGACAAGGCCTACGGCAAGTGGCCACCGCATGTCAACCTTATTTATCCCTTTGTCCAGGTCGACGCTCTTCCCAGGGCGTTGGAATTGGTGCGGTCCGCTGTGCAGGGCCGAGACCCCTTTCGAGTACAATTTGGTGCGGCGGATGTGTTTCGGCACCGGCACGACAACACCATCTTCCTGTACGATGACGACGAGGCGCGGAGGGAGCAGCTCGGCCGCCTGCGCCAGGCTATCCTTGTGGCGCTTGGGGCCAGGCCTAAGGACGCTGGTGGCTACCGGATGCACATGAGTCTTGGGCAAAGCGAGGATGTCGATGAGTCGTGGCACCACTTCCTCCTTGAAAAGGCAAGACTGCTTCCTGGGATCGAGTGGGAGGTTGACGAGCTTCACCTCCTCGTGAGGGAACGAGTTCAGGTGGGAGATTCGTTGTCGGCGCAGATGAAAGGCTGGGCGACGATCTCTTTGAAAGACGGCACGATCTATCAGTCCGCCACGCTACAGGCATTGGACGATGGGAATTTGTCAATTCCAGCGCCAGAGGCTCCGTACAATTATGATGGAGGACAGGGGTGGAAGAAGATCTCACCAGACAGGACCTTCCCCGAGACAGAGACCGCTGAAGATGCTTCTTCTACTACCTTGGCGGTGGCGACATACAACGTGCTGGCCGAGTTCCAGTACCCGCCATCGCACAAGCGATACCCGTTGCTCATCGAAAATATACTCTCAAAGAAGGCCAAGACTGATGTTCTGGCCCTGCAGGAAGTCACTGACGATTTTCTGTCCTACCTGCTGGCAGATCAAAACATCCGACAAGCGTTTCCTTTCTGCAGTCATGGCCCTCCCAACCAGGAAGACGTCGAGCCGCTTCCGAGTCACAACAACATCATAGTTCTCAGCAGGCACGCTTTTGAATGGGAGAGCGTACCATTCAACCGGGAGCACAAGAACGCACTTGTTGTCAAGTTCCAGGGCCTTGGGCGATGGGATGATGCCGACTTCACCCCTCTGATACTGGCCACCGTCCATCTTACTCACGGCCTAAAAGATGGATCTATTGCAGCCAAGAAGTCTGAGATCGATAAGATGCTGAAGTACTTGGCCCAGAACTACCCAGATCACCCGACAGTCCTGGCAGGGGACTTCAACATAACCTCGTCAGCCTATACGATTAGCCAGGCACTCGAGAGGAACGTCGTCTCCGCTCAGGCTGCCACACATCTTCGCAATCTTGATGCGACCTTCACACGGAATGGCTTCGTCGATGCCTGGACCGTTTTCCAGCTGGAGAAGGGGGCAGGACCAGACGAGGAAGTCATTGAGTTCGCCTTAGAAGGCGAGCAGGGTGCGACGTATGATCCGACCGTCAACGCCTTGGCCGCAGAGATTGTGGGCAGTGGATTCGGCATGCGTCCTCAGCGGATTGATAGGGTGTTGGCCAAGGGAGACGGATTCTTACACGTCCTGCACTTCAATAAGTTTGGGGACGTTACGACAGAAGCTAATGGGGAAAGCGGCCCTCAGACCTTGTACGCCAGTGACCACTGGGGTATCCGGACTGTCCTGAAGCTTGGGTTCGAGACCGAGAGCACAAGGTCAGCGACTTCTCAGCTTGTTCCTGTCCAGTCGAGAACGGCGAAGGGCGCCCTGGCAGACTCAGAAGCTCTGGAAACGGCTTTGCAAAATGCTGGCGCAATTCCCTCCGATGAGGACATCAGAACTCGGGCCGCTGCATTTCATCTGCTGAAAGGTGTTATTCTTGATACCTCATCTTCAGAACCGGCGCAGTCAGCGACGGCTCTCATATTTTTGCCCGTGGGATCGTATGGCCTGGGCGTCTGGACGTTGTCCTCCGACATCGACTGCCTGTGTATTGGGCCCTTCAGCGCTCCTACGTTCTTCTCCCTCGCGACGGAGAGGTTGCGAAAGGCTGCCGATCGAGGTGTCAGGATCATACGCCGCGTAAAGGCGAATACCGGCACAATGCTGGAGCTGGATTTGCAGGGTGCCAGGTTTGACCTCCAGTACGCGTCTGCTCAAGCGGTTGTAGAGCTCTGGCCGGCCGTCCTCAGGTTCCCGACTTCACATGCTGTTTGGCGTCTCTCGAGCAGCACGCTGTCGAAACTAAGAGCCATCCGTGACCTCGACTATGTTCGGCATTCCGTCCCAGACATGACCAAGTTCGCCCGTGCACATCGTCTGATCAAGACATGGGCCAAGAACCGTGGCATCTATACTGCAAAGTTTGGATACCTGGGCGGTTTCCAGATCACGATTCTCCTGGCAAGGGTGTACAAACTCCTGGCGCGCGATGCGGCTTTGCTATCAGTTGCTGACGTGCTGGCGACATTCTTCCATCACTATGCCGATTTTGCTTGGAAGCGGAACCTGGTTTTTGACCCGTTCTTTCACAAGACGTTAAACTATAGGAGAACCGATCGTGAGCCTCTGGCAATTCTGGGATACTTCCCGCCCGCCCTCAATACAAGTCTTGCTGCGTCGACCCCATCGGTTCGGACCATCGCAGCCGAGTTCAAGCGGGCTGCCAGCCTGCTCTCCGAGGAGAGCATGAGCATGACCTGGCCCAAGTTTGTCAACTCTGACGGGACATTTGATTTTCTGCGGGGATTCAGGAGCTACGTCAAGATTGACGTGCAGTTCTGGGGTGGATCCATCACCAAAGGTCGGGGTTTTGTTGGCTGGGTGGAGTCTCGATGTGTCTCGCTCCTTGTGGACCTGAACAGACGCGCGCCAGCGCTGCATGCAAGGTTCTGGCCAGCTCGCTGGACGGAGAAGAGCGAAGACACGTCTGTCCTCCCCCATCGTGCTGGTACACCTGCAGCTGATGACGACTCTGGGGGCGACTACCAGGGCTGCTACCTCATTGGTCTGGACAAGCTGAAAGAAGACAACATGTCGACGGAGGACGAGAAAGTCATGTACGGCACGCTGCTCTCGGTCCTTGGTCGTTTCGCAGAGCAGATCCGTGGTGACACGAGGCACTTTGATGCCCAATCCTCATGGATGAGCGCTAGCGTCGTCAAGGCTGCTGAAGTCGGGTCGCTACAAGTCGATAGGCGCGAATGGGGCAAATATGCCATAGGGGAGGACGACGAGTCGGATGACGAAGATGGAGAGGACGCAGCAGCAGCAGCGCAAAACCATAGCCTCGGCGACGAATATGAGGATCAGAACTACGCCCCAAAGAAGAAGAAGCCCGCCAGAGCCATCACCAACCAGCCTCGCGCTGTGGTTGTGCCTAAGCCTGAAGGGGCGGGTAGATTCCGCACTGCAGCCGATGTGCTGAACCGGCTGCGTTGGGATCCATCGCTAGACAGCGCAGACCATGTTGTTGGCTACGAGGACAGGTTTCTGGGCGCCATGGAGAAGGCACTAGATGCGTGGAAGTTAGAGCAGACACATGAGGAGTTTATCCCGCAGCACAGGATCCTGTACTTCAAGCGGAAGAGCGACGGCGTGGTGGTGTGGGAGCGGAGGACGAGAAAGGATCTACTGTTTGGGAGTGGATAGTTGCAGTGTGAGTGGAATTCGAACAGCCTAGCCGGAGGAGTGAGTAGAGTAAGTGTCTTTTTAGGACAAGGAAAATAATGAGGGAAAGATGAAAGAAAAAAAAACCACCAAAAAAACCGTGCACACTTTGCTGGTACCAAACCCACACGACGTGGCCTCGCATCAGTGGTTGCATATCTTTTTTTGAGGCAACCCAATCATGTGGCTGTGCGTAGCATATGCGGGATCCTTTCTTTTCTTCTCTCTTTCCTTCCTATGAAGTGTACTTCCCCTTGGGAAAAAAAAAAATCCCCCCAACGACGATGTCTGTACAGGGCCAAAAAAGGAAACAACATTATTTGTGAACCTTCCCACAAGAGCTGAGCGATAGTGCGTGCCGCAGCAGGAGCAGCAGCAGCAAAAGCAGCAGCAGCAAAAGCAGCAGGAGCAAGCCATGGCGCGCCACCCAGTCGACAAATCAGGCAGCAGCAACCAGAGGACCGGTCCAAATCAGCAGCTCTGCGAGCGATGTCGGCCCTGGGACGACCTGGTCTCCATCTCGTCCGGGATTAACCCACTGAGGCTGGGTTACCCAATCGCCGGCTCAGTGGACTCGACGCTGCAGTCGATGCTGAGCAATACCCACTGCCTCGTCTGTCAGGCGCTGAGCAAGGCGATTCAGACCAGACTCGCTCATGAGCAGCGCACAGACCCGAACCTCAACGTGCACGACGTCCTCATCCTCAACTATGGCCCTTATTTCCTCCACTCGGGCTGTCACGAGCAGGCCTCGCCCGACAATGGCTCAGGGGGTAGCTGGATGGTGGACTGGTCCGACCCGACCTGCACGAGGCTGCGCCTCATCATCAAGCTGGACATCTTTTGCTCGAGAGGGGACGACATGCTCGCGCCCTTGTACATGACGCCGCAGTTTTGTTTGAGACATGCGAGATCCAAGCCTACAATGCTGATAGGTGTCGACCCTTGGGAGGTGCCATATTTCGACACCTCCTTGCTGAGAAGCTGGATTCATACCTGTGATGGTATTCATGGCCATGAGAAGATCATTCAAGATGCTGGTACAGGTGAGGCGAGAGACGACCTCCCACCCCTTTCCAATGCATCATAAGAAGGAGAACACGCTTTGCTGATAAACATGCACACAAAAAGGACCACTACCTCCAGACTTCAGGGTCATCGACGTGGAGCGTATGAAGGTGACGAGACCCGTCGAACCTCGTGGTTTCGTCGCTCTTAGCTACATGTGGCAAACCACAACCTACGGCGGCGGTATGGCCGTCGATATTCACGACCAGTTGACCAGAGTCAACCGGACACGCCTGGAGGCCGAAGGCGGGCTGGGCAGCATCCATCTGCCGCCCATCATCACAGACGCCATCGCCCTCTGCCGCAGCCTCGGCGAGCGGTACCTATGGGTCGACCGCCTCTGCATCGTCCAGGACGATGCCGAGTCCAAACATGGCCAGATTGGTGCCATGGACACCATCTACAGCACCGCCAACTTCACCATCATGGCGGCACTGGACTCGCGCGACGGCAGTGCCGGGCTCCCTGGCTGTTCTGGCCGGCCGAGAGTATCGTCAGTACTGCTACCGCCGCGCGCCTGTGAGGGGAGCCGACGTGGGATCTTGCCTGTCGGCTTGCGCAAGGTCGTGGACGTGTGCGAGTGGAACAAGCGAGGCTGGACGTTCCAGGAGCGCCTCCTCTCGCGGCGCCGGCTGTTCATCACCGAGTCTCAGGTCATCTTCCAGTGCTCATCTGGCACTGCATACGAGGAGCTTTCGTATCTGCCTCGCAACCGCGATGCCATTATCCTCGGCGACGTCCAGGGTGTTTATCCGGTGGACAAGCAGACCGCTGACGTCAGGGAGAACATGGAGAAACGCCGTCAGCACCGCCTCCAGATGCCTGGGTTCGAGGACCTGTACAGCCACGACAGCCGCACCGTGGTAGACGGCTGGTCCATCAGCCGGTACGAGATCGGAGCGCCCACTGATCTCCAGACCTACTTCGAGAGTGTTAGTGACTACACGGCACGACAGCTGAGTTTCCCCTCCGATATCCTGAACGCCTTTACGGGAGTGGCCAACGCCTTTGGGCGGGATCTTTGTACTCGCATGCTCTTTGGCCTCCCAGAGCGGCATCTGGTCCATTCCCTAATGTGGAGCCGTGCCCGGGTCAGCAACAGGCCACAGACAGCAGACGACAACAGCAATAACATGGGGTTGGTGGCAGTGGCGGGCATGCCGTCCTATATCCCCAGCTGGAGCTGGGCCTCGGCGGGCCACCCGGCAGACTACAACTGGTCCGACGACAGGCACTACTCCTTCAAGCTAACCTATGTCGTACCCCTTGTCTACCTATACGTCCACGATCCGTCCAACTCGGGTGGCCTGCGCATGCTAGACCAGGACGAACGGCCCTGGAGCGAGGAAGACGACTGGACCTCGACAGACACCTGGAGCGACTGTCCCCACACACCAGCCCAAAAGCTCGCCCACCGTGCCCTCGACCCGGCCACGTGCGCCGCCGCGATGCGGTTCCTTCCCGGTGGTGCGCTGGTGTTCAACACGACAACGGCGGACCTGTGGGTTGAGCAGGAGGCGAGACGAAACGGCACGGCCAAGATGGGCAGGATCGTCGCGCCGGCCACGGGGGAGACAGTGGGATACCTGAGCGGTGCTAGTGCCGGGTGGATCGCCTCGCAGCAGCACAGCGTAGTAGCAGCACAACGCACGACATTCAAGTTTGTGGTCCTGAGCGCAGGGGTGTCCAACGGTCGGCCGTGGTCGGGTAAGTCCTCGTCGTCGTCGCGGGCGCAGTCGGTGCGGCTGCTTCACGTCATGTTGGTCGAGCCTGTTCCCGGCGAGCCGCTTGCCATGCGCAGAGTCGAGGTCGGATTTGTCAATGCTGAGATGTGGAAAAGTTGTGCGCCGAGATGGGAGACGGTCGTTTTGTGTTGATAGGGAACGGGTGTGGGTGGCTTGCGTAATTCTTTTTTTCCCCTCCAAAGTAGTTATGAATATTGTAGAGCCTGGTTATCTTCTTATTTGTCAACAAATCAGTTTCGTAACTTGCTCATTCTTGCATTTATTGTTCTCTCGCCCATGATGAGCATACGTGGTCGGGCAACGTCTGCCGCATGTGTATCGATGCATTTGATTACTCATGGACCAGGAGATATCATGGGAAGCAAACCACAGGTTTCAGTTGACTGATCAACACTGCATTATGCTCACAGTACCTAGTATGCATGCCCAAGAAACAAGAGCTCTGCGCTATTTATGGTCTAGACCATTTCCTTCCAGCCTGCCTCGCGCTTGTCTCTCGTCTCTTTTTCTCTTCGCTGAGCCTAGGCCCGCTTTCAGTCAATCAATCCCAACCACCCGACACAGGCCGCCTCATGACAATCTAATACTATACAACACAGAACATGCGAAAAGTACATAAATAAAATGGTATCCTTTGTTCCAAAAAAAAAAAAGAGAAAAAAAAAGCAAGCCTCGCAAATGTGAGGGAAACGCCTGTAAAAACTTGTTTGGTGGGGGAAACGAAGAGAAAGAAGCCAGCCCTGGATGGTGGGAAAGAATTTCATCCTTCATCAACACATTTCATAAAACAATAAAAGAACAAGAGGGATAAGAGGAAGATGAAGTGCAAAGAGTGCCGTTTGAGTGAAACAAGAATTCCCTGGCTTTCTCTTTTGGAACCGTGCCATGCCGTGCCGTGCCGATACGATGCCGTAAAAATTCGAGCCCACAACGCCTATGTGTTGGAATGCAATGAGGTAGGTCCCTTTTTAAAAGTGGACAACAAGAAGAACAACTCATCTACCCGCCTCCTTTATATCATGGGACCGTCTGGGTGCTGGTGTGGGTTCGGGCCCCAAAGCGCTGCGCCTATCGTCGCCTGCGCCGTATTGCGAGCCTGTGAATCATTCCGCTGAGGGTCGCTTCCCGCCTCGTCTGCATAGTATGCTGGTGCTACTATGTTGGTCCCCTGTCTCGGTGGACTGTGGCTCTCATAATATTCATTCGTCGATATGGCGTGACTCTGCCCTGTATACTGTCTCTGCTGGGCACGGCCTCGCTGCTCACCACCGTCGATGCTGCTTCTGCTGCTGCTGCTCATCGAATGCGGCTCGTAAGGCATGGGTGGTGGTGGCTGATGGATCTGCCGGGCCGCCCCTGGGTATCCTAGATCGGACTCGTAAGGCTGACCGTCTTGATCGTACTCGTGGGATGGAGAAAGTGCCCTACTGGACGGGTTTGCCTGGGCATGGGCAATTAGGCCAGCTCCCTCCTCATTACCCCCGTTCGCTCGACCGCTATGGTGGTTCATCGCGTATGTGCTTTGCCCTAAGTCGACAATCAGTCTTTGCTTGCCCTGCCTAGAGCCGGGATGGGGGAGAAAGAGAGAACGAGAGAACAGGGGTGGAGAATGCTGGTGGCGGTATTGCGAGCTGCCGCAGACAGGCAGACAGGGTCCTCCATGACCCTCTTGTCAGGATTGCCTCTCAAGAGTGCGAAGCTGATCAATATCGCCGGCGCCAGGGCGGTGGTGCTTACGAAACTGAGTCGCGATGGGCAGGTGGTCGGTGCTCCTGCCGATGCGCGGCTGGTAAGGGTATAAAGCATGAGAATGATCGTCTTCCTTACCATCCATGTCGATGTCCATAGCCATGTTCTTCTGGTAGCTAACGTCCTCGTGACGGCGCTTAACCCCCACGAAGAGCCAGCGCATGCCACGGCCAAAGGCCTTGACGACGTCCCAGAAGTTGAACGCGTCCACCAGCGCCCTCCCGACACCGAGAGGCGGCTGCGGCGTATTCTCCTGTGGTTCTCGTGCGTCCGGGTTCGGCTTGGGGTAGAACACGATCGGCGCACCCTGGCGATAAGGCTGCCAGGGATAAGCATAGATGTGCAGGATGGAGAAGATAAACATCTCGACAGAGAGCATCAGCGCGGGTATGCCGGTAGAGATGTCGGGGTACTGGAGCGTGGAGGTGGAGTGGAGGAGGGTGAGCCACGATGACGAGATGATGGAGATGATCACAGACTGCCAGAAGCTCAGGAAGATGACCAGTTTGATGGAGAGCACCTTGAGGAAGGGCTTGTGGTATGCCAGCTGCTGCTTGAATTGGACATAATACTGGATGATGCAGTACATGGCAATGGCGACTGCAACACACTCGACAGCGAGAACCTGTTGCGGCATCCAGATGATTAGTATAGCCAACGGCAGAAGTCTCCTTTCCCGTGAGATTTAGGGGGGGGGAGGGGGTGTTTATCTATCTCTTACCCAGATGTGAGCGAACAGGGGACTAAGTGAGCTTTCACAATATTTCTTGAAATGTTGGGTCACAACGGCAACAATGGTCATGATGACTCGGATGAAGCAGTAGTGGTAGACACCGATCCAGATGATGTTGAACCACGTCAAGCCACTCTTAGGCGTGCGCCAAGGCCCCCTATCTCCTCCGCACATGGCCTTGAACCAATTCAGTGGCAGCACCCAGGGCTGAATCGGCGATAGTTGTCTGAAGAATTGCTTCTGCTCGTGGAGGTTCGGTGCCACATATTGGCACATGAGGCTGAAGAAGGCGGCAATGGCGAACGCCTCATAGCAGTCAGAAATGACTGAGTAGTAAACGGCATGGTGGTAGAAATAGAGCTGAAGAAAGTTGGAGGCCGCGTAGATGGGTATCATAAAGAGGATGCGAATGATGCTAATTGTCACAATGGGTAATCAGTACACATGCCGAACAAGACGCAAGGGGGCTGGCGAGCCCGTTTCCCGCCAGGATTCTTCGTCTAAAACTCACTTTCTTTGCTCTGCTGGCTTGGTATAATGAGCAGCATGCATATAAATCAAGAAGAAGCTGAGCATAAAAGACCCTAGCCCTGCGGCGGCAGAGATTAGTATGGCCAATTGATGGAACGTCAGGGTGTTGTCCTTGAACAATGGTTTTTCCGAGACTGCCAGAGCGAGAATTAGCTGCGTGAATCATCAAAACGAGAAGACAGACCCTCCGCGACCGCCGCCGTCGTTGCAACTGCTTACTGTTTTGCGTCTCCGCCGTCGTATTGCAGACGCTCCACTGCATCTTGGGCAATCGTGACTGCGCAAGCAGTCGTCTCCACGTGGGTTGCTCTCGACCGTGTGCGCGCCTCTAGCCAGAGAATCAATCGGGTTGCCTTGGTTTCTCGCGTGTGTATGTGTGTGTGGCTGTCTCCCAACTTCCTGGTCCCCTTTGTCTGGACTGCCGTCTGTTTCCAAAAATAGAACCAAGCTCTTTATGACATTCGGTCGTATTCACCCCTAGGGATTTCGTGGGGTTGGTTTTCCAATTTGACCAGCAAATGTTCGAGATATTGTTTTCCAATTTTTTTGTAGAGCAAGAGAGCGACTCCAGCCCATCGAATACAAGAGAGAGGGAGAGCTATTGTGACGGTGGAAGTCGAGTCGAGTTTGTCCGTGTCGAGCCGTCGAAACGGACGAGTGGAAGTGGTGAGGGAGGCTGTGTACTGTTTGTTGCTGTTTATGCAGGCGACGAGCCGTGGATGGTGTCCGAGAGGAAGGAAACAGGACAGACAAGAAAGGACCAGAAGTTGGTCTGGGAGGTCGGAAGGGGCGGGCGCTCGCTCGGTTTTCTTTTGCCCAGTCGATCAGGGCAAGGTGAGGTAGATCAAAGTCGGTCGATCGTGGTAATGTGAGTTGTTGGCTCTAGTAAGCGGAGCCGTGACGCGAGACGTATTACGGTTGGCCTTGTTTCGACCGCAGCGGCCGTTATTGTCAGCACTATCTCATATGGCGCCTGGCACTACGACCCGCTCGCAGGTTGCACAAGGACAAAAGAATGAAGGAACGGCAAGTGAGCAGGTTAGGTTAGGTGCTGGCGATGTTGTGGGCGGGTTGGGTACGGTGGCAGTCAGTCGGGCAGTTGGGCAGTGAATGATGAAGGAAAAAGTGTACCGTACATTCCCCCCGTACTGTGGTGGTTAGTGGTGGTACGTGCTAACGTACACAAGGGGTACAGTAGCGGAGTAGGCGCACTGTAAGGAGTATGATTGCGTGTGTGATTGCTCAAGGATAGGTCAGGGACGAAGGAGGCAGAATGGGTGGGTAGTGCACTGACTGGAAATCCGCGACGTGAGGACCTGAGGAGGGCTCCAACAAGAAACTCGACCAGAAGGTCCTTTGCATGGTTCCGCCAGTGTCTCTTCCCGCTGCGTGTGTAGATCTCGAGGCAGGGCCTGCTGGTGAGGACTGCAGTGTCAGAAGCTCGGTTGGCGCCATACTCTTACGCCAAGACAATGCCCCCCTCCACCCCCCTTGTCTCTGATTCCGCAGGGTCACTGGTCAAGTCACAGATCCTTCCCTCTTTCTTCTTCTTTCAGGGTCCCCCTCAAGCATCCGAGCATCCCCTCAGCACAGAAAGGCCCCCAGGGCAAGCCTTCCTGAGGCTTGGGCCACTCACAGCCCACAACGTTTGAGGCTGAGCTACTGTGTACACGCTTCGTCCCGTCTCGAGAGATGAGAGAAATCTTAGCAAGCTCTTTGTCTGTCTCCGTTTCCCCTCCCTGCTACTACCATACGTATGTACTATAGTACGAGGCCTGCAAGGTTGCCAACGGCTTTCTTTAAATCCCGAGTGGAGATGATGTGCTTGACCCTTGCCAATTTCGATAACTTGAGTGTGCAATTGACTGTCATGGCTGTGTGCAATGTCAATTTTGGCATTCAAAATCGTCCTCTCTTCTGGCATATGTTCCCCACAACGGACGGAAAGCAGACGGGAATAAATAGATCTCAGTCTTGTGTGTATTACAGATTATATGTATATCTGTGTGAGTGCGAGGACATCGCAAATCACAGTCATACACACATATAGGCTTCGGCCCTTCTTCGCCCTGCTTGTCATACACAACTTTCCAATCATTGTAGAGCGCTCCCCTTCCGGCCCCCAGTTAAAGTAGCTGCTTACTTCGCACAAACCAACTGCACATGGCCATCACATCAATATACCTACCACCGATCCCGAACAACATACCCACAAATCCTTCGACCTTGTCACCTGTTGCTGCCATGCCAGCAAAACCCATGTTACCCCATGTTACGAGCTATGACCAGTCTACCTAGACCATAGACTAAGTCAATATGTTCTACGCCAAACTTGCCAAAACTTATGGGGAAAGAAGAGGAGAATAAAAGGAGAAGGAATAGAATATGATATATAAATATAGGCAAAATGAAGAAGGAAAAAAGATGCCATCGACGTATGCAGCAGTGTGTAGGATGACCGATATAACCCACCACCCGGCCCCTCGCCCCTTGTAGGCCACAAAATTGGCGGGTTGGTTAGGAAACATCAGACCGCACTTTAATACTCGCGTTGCATCGAATCACAACTTCTTAGGCAGCGGGCAAATGCTATGTGTTAAAAGGGTCTGACGTCACGTCAAAGGCCCGTCCACTTCGCCACGGCGTCGCCGGTATGAGGACTTTCAACTTCGCAGCTCGTCCCTCTGTCGTACATCACGGCACGGGCGATGTTGACGTGCAGCTGTTTTTTTTTTTGGGCGTGCATACCATCATGCTATGCCCAGATCGTCTGTATACACAGCTCAAGACATGTCGTCGTCTCCCACAGTCTCACCAGTCTTATGCAAAGTTGCACAAAGTCTTGCACCACTTATGCTTACTGAAGATGGCTATGCAGTTAAGGAGGGCTGCAAAATGAGCCGTCGAGTAGTTGCAACTGCGTGCTGGCTCCATGCCCCAGAACGAGCTGGCAGCCGGTTCTTCCGGTGAGTTTCATGAAGAGTTGATCCTATCGTAAATTGTCGGTCGGTGAGAATGGGTGCGATTAGACCGCAGCTAAGCTTTGGGGGCTCACAAAGCCCGCGGCTCAAGTATGGCAGCAGGTGCCCCTAGGCCTCGTGAACTCCGCTGCAAGACAGTCTCAGCCGAAGCGTCTGCCCATAAGCAGCTCGTAGTAGGCCTGCTGGTCCTGTTCGCTCCCAAGTATGGGATCTTGTTGCACGGGAGGCTGTTCTATTGGTTCTGGGTTGAAACTCATGTCGAGGAAGTCCTCTAGTGTTTCATTCGGTGCGAAGCCCAAAGAGCCGAGGGTTTGAGAGATACCAAGAGACCTTGTACCCCGTCAGTCTTTATTCGCTGATAACGCAAGGGAAAGTGAGAAGCAGAAAGAAGAAGAAATGAAAAAGTTTAGGACCTTGGGGTGCAGGGGGAAACAATGCACATACGATCTGGCTGCATCTTTAGCCAAAATATCAGAGAATGAGATGGACTCTTGTCTGGGCTTGTTTCGGGCGGACATGCTGGACTGTCTGGGCCTACCACCGCCGTCGTGCGAGGAGGGCGACGGGGTCGGCACATATCCAAAGGCAGGGCCGTCGGGCTTGGGCATAGACAGGCCATCGGAATGCGGAGGCTGGGCGAGTTGTGGCAAAGCAGGCGGTTGGGGAGGCGATATAACGGTATTCTGTGCGGGGGCGAGAGGCTCAGACTCTGGGCCGAAAGGCTGTTGTTGTATCGACATAGAGGGGGAGGCCTGAGGGATAGACGCAGGAGCCGGCCCATCTGGAGTGACACTCGACTTGTCGGCTGCTTGTGTCTCATCGGGGAAAAAAGTCTTGAATACGCCGCTCTGCTGCCAGGCCTGTATAAAAAACTCCTGTTGGGCCGGGTCCTTGATGGCCTTGACGAGTCTCCTCCCCTCTGGCTGCCGCAGATAGCCCTCGACGACGGGACCCAGACTGGGGATAAGATTGAGAGCAGCGCCCCACGCAGCTGCACTCTCACGCAGGGTATGCAGGGCACTGCGATAGCCCTGGGCGGGACCTCGTTTCTTCTGGGGTCTCAAGTAGAGACAAGACTTGTTGTGCCTCTCACAATAGCCACAACGTGGCTTGGCATTATCGCAGGGCTGGTGGTTCACATGACAGAAGTCGCAGCTGGAGATGATAGTAAGATATATGTCAGTCAGATGGTCATTCCCGGCCCCCTTTGGAGGGCTCGGATTGACGGAGCATGAGTGAGTATGAGTGTGAGTGTGCAGGTGCATGGATGAGTAGTAAGAGAACGAGGATGAGTAAGGGGCATGAAGATGGGGTTAACACAACGAGGGCTGCGCCTTGTGCTCTGTGAGGCGTGCGACCGCTGTCACAAGACGCAGCAGCTCGTGCAGAGTGCTGTGGCATTGATGTAACAACAACAATGCCAACAACAAGAAGAACAAGAAGGTTCAGGGGAGACTGTGACTGACGCTCGAGAGCTCTTCTTCCTCTTGCGAGGGTTGGCGGGGGCGGAAACAGTCCCAGCAACTGAGTCTCCGGCGACCGAGGCGGCCGTATCTAGATCTGGTTCCCGGTCGAGGGGTTGGGCGTGGATGGAGGAGTCGACGTTGCCGCCAGTGTTCTTGAGGTCGTCCAAGTCCGACATGATAACGCGGCTAACCGTTACAGCTTTTGTGTGTCTTGGTCTTTATGCTGAGATGTGGGTATCAGCTTCAGCATCGGCATCGGCATTGTACTGCCAGCTCTGGCTTGTGAGTGTGTGGTGCGAGGCGTTGTGTTGAGTGTATGGTGTGAGGGTGAGCACCCAAAACCTTTCATCTTAGCCGCAAGGGCTCTCGGGTCATTACACAAGAGACAGTTGAAGTCGTCGGGTGCTGAATATGGTGATGGAGATCTTTAGGGGGGGAGCAACGTTGGAGAAAACCCACTTTGGACATGCGGGGATATAGTACTGACCCAGCGAAGCGGTGGCTGACGACCCCAGCAGCTTAGCTAGATTAGTGAGCTCTGAAAGCCAAGGAGAGGGGGTGTGCACTGGGTCGTGGCTGCTTCAAACTGTACTCTACAGTAGGGCTCTGTTGGAGTAGCTTGGCACTAGAAGAAGCTGGGGCCCCACAAGCTGACCTTCAGGGGGTTTTTTCTGGTGAGTCCTCAGGCGCCACCCCCGCCTGTCAAAGTTCTTCTGTAGGCTCTGTCCCACAGCCAGTGATGGTGAAGGTCAATTGGAGAAGAAAGGCTCGAGTACTGACCATGATACTAGGTGGGGTAAATTCAGCGGACGTGTATAAGTGCCATCCCCATCATGTCTGGAAAAAATAAAGGGTGCCAAATTTATCCCCGGGATTCTCCCTCACAAGCCTATTGAGATCAGATCAGAGTAGGATCACTAGACCCCCGCAAAAAAAAGGAAGGGTAATAGCTGTTGTTGATGATGTTGATGAGGGGGAAAGTCCTCTCTAGTCTAGTTTAAGCCTGACAAAATGCCAGTGTATGCCCTGTAGGGCCTACAGGCCCTACAGGCCCGGCAGGCCCTGGCAGCCTGGCAGTTGCTCCTGCCCACAGATTCCTGACCACAAGCCTTGTTGAGACTAGATTAGTCAGTCAGTGCTCGGTTGCAGTATTGGGCAGGGGCTGGTTGAACTGCCGAGGCCAGGGTAATTAGCATAGCATGTGCACTGTACATAGAGGTGCTCCTGCTGTATTACAAGGAGTTACCTACGTAAGGTCTGCATAGGTACTCTCTAACAGGAAGTGCTGACATTGTATATTGACCAAAGTTAGTAGTGTTCCTGTTCCTGCTGCTACTGCTCCCTTTCGCTATACATGCCCTGAATTTCTTTTATTACGAGTCAAATCGCGTTCAGCATCGAGAGCCTTTCCTCCTGCCCCTCATCTCATCATCAAGCTGCCTTCTTGACAATGTCAACACACCTCACATCATAATCTTGGTCACCAAGACGGACTCAATATCATCATCTTCTTCTTCTTCCTCTTCAAAGTAGTATTAGCACTGTTCATTTGAACAAGTACTACTTGAAAAATCAGGTTCCAACTTTATACAGCCTGGTCTCACTCACAATCCAGGCCCTTAACCAGTCAGAGTTGGCCTCGAGCTTCCCTCAACACTAGAGAGGGAAGATATCTTTTCCGCCGCCAAGTCCATTTCCTGATTAATGACCCTCAAGTACCGACAACAGCGCACCACACCACATCTGCCACCCATCATTCTTCTCGCTGTCTGCGTCTGCCGGAGAACGGAACTCCGAACCTGACAAAGTCCCTCCCCCTTCTCAGTCTCTTTGTCGCTTCGGGTTGGTGTTGAACCGTCAACAACCTCCTGTGACGACAAAACGGGTCTTGTCCAAACCCAACCCAGAATAGCAACCGCCCCCCACCCTTGGGCTCCCGATACATAAAATAAAAAACCCAAAAAGGAACCACCATCGTTTCACTCCACAGCCGGCGGCTCTTCTAACCCACGGTATGTCCAGGGCATGGCGACATGGCCGTCGAAGATGCCAAGATCACCACTCCGCTAAATGAGCGCCTTTTCAATGCAGACGCCTCTGTTGTCCTCGTCGGCTGCCGTGGCGCTGGAAAACGATCTTTGGGTTTCATAGGCGCCCTTCACCTACGCCGTCGTCTTATCACTGAGGACTACTATTTTCAGCAGGCCACCGGTTATACGCGTCTTGCTTTCCTCAGCAAGCATGGCAAGCATGAGTTCAACCGTCGCAACGATGAAGTTTTCAAGCGTATGCTTGACGAGCACCGTCACAAGTGCATCATCGAGTGCGGTATGAGCAGTTTCTCCGAGAAGGCCCAGGAGGCCCTGCGTCAGTTCTCAGAGACCAATCCCGTCATCTACATCCACCGAGAGAGGGACGAGGTCTTGCGCATTCTCGAGTCTGCAGATGGAGAGCGTATCCTCCGCGCAGACCAGAAGCACAGGCTGTGCTCCAATCTTGAGTATTACAACCTCTTCGACTCGTCCAAATCGAAGGCTGCCGTGTCCCATGATGGATCTACTGCTGGCGAGTGGGACATGCAGATGGCAGCTCCGTCTAGCCTGCTGGACGCCAAGCAAGACTTCACCCGGTTCATCGACTTTGTCACGGGCCAGGGGCTGGCCAAACTCTTCCTTGAGAGCCCCTTCGCGGTGAGGGCTATTCCGCCCGAGTTCAGGCAGTACTCATATGCCCTACGATTACGGCTGTCCTATCTTGTGCACATGGATCTGGAATGGGAGGATTTCGAGGCGAGGGGTGACTGCGTGGAGCTCATCATCGACCACTGGCCCGAGAACATGACAGATCAAATTGCCAGGTTTGTGGCGCTTATCCGGAGGAAGATGGCTGTTCCTATCGTCTACCACGTCGAGGAAAACCCCAGAGAAGAACGGCGCCGTCCGCCAGATGAGAAGACCAAGATGGACACAGAGCTCCTCGAGCTTGGTCTCCGGCTCGGCGTGGACTATCTGAGTCTGGATCTGCAACGCAAAGACCTCCCCATAGAAAAAATTCTCAGCCACAAGGGTCGATCCAAGATTATGGGCAACTACTGGAATGTCGGCCTGATGACCACACCTTGGTCAGACGACAGTCACCTTCGCGACTACCAGCATGCCAAGGCGCTCGGCTGCGACCTCGTCCGCATGGTCCGCTTCTGCTCAGGCGACAGCACTCTGGACATGCTCACGGACTTTCGAAACAAGATAGCCACCATAGTGCCCAACCCACGGCCTCCCCTTGTGGCGTACGACTTCTCTGTTCTTGGGGTTAGGAATCCTGTGCAGTCCCGCATCTTCAGCCCTGTCAAGCATCCAGACATGGAGAACGAACGGGATCACCTGGCGACCGTCTGCACAGCAGCAAGCTGCTTTGATGCGCTCTTTCGCAAATTTGAACTGCAGCCTCTACAATTCTATACGCTGGGGGCGGACGTCTCCTATTCGCTATCTCCCTGCATACATCACACTGCCTACGAGTACACAGGCATGCCACACAGCTTTACCGCCGAACCATGCTCCACGCTGGAGGACGTGAATTCGATCTGCAGCAATGCTTCGTTCGGTGGAGCGTCACTGACAGCTCCCTTCAAGGTTGCTATCGTGCCCTACCTGAAGCTGAAGAGCTACCATGCCACCGTCATCGGAGCCGTCAATGTCCTGCTTCCCCTGCGAGGCAAGACAAACTACATTCTTGACCACGCCGTCTCACGCAATAAGGCTGGCTTGACGAGCGAGTTCTACGGCGACAATACCGACTGGTCGTCCATCTTTACCTGTCTGCAGAGAAGCATGAGCCCGCGAAATTTCGTGCGGGCGTCCAAAACGACAGGGCTGGTCATCGGCGCTGGAGGACAGGCAAGAGCCGCAATTTATGCACTGATCCAGCTCGGCTGCCGCCACATTTTCATATTCAACCGCACTATATCCAACGCCCAGGTCGTGGCGGATCATTTCAACAACTGGGCGCACAAGCAAGGAATGACTCCTGGTAAAGGCGGGCTCAAGCAGATATGCCATGTCTTGACGTCCATCTCCGAGCCCTGGCCACAAGGATATGAGCAGCCGACCATGATCATATCGTGTGTGCCGGCCACAGGTGTGGAAGGGAAGCCACCGGCGGATTTCGAGATGCCTATGCAGTGGCTCGGTAGCCCAACTGGAGGGGTGGTGCTTGAGGTTAGTCTTACGAGAGAGCGCGCCTTTTTGCGCAGTCCCTGTCATGCTTCGTCTTGCTTTCCCACTACCCAATGAGGGGGAAAGAACGAGATTCCAAGAAACAACAAGACTGACACTGCTTACAGTTGGCCTACGAACCTCTCATCACACCTCTGGTTGCTCAAATGCAAGTTTATAGGGATACTAGGAATCCATCCTGGGTTGTGGTCGACGGACTCGAGAATGTGAGCGAGATGGCTATCGAGGCATTCGAGCTCATGACGGGGCGACTGGCGCCTAAGAGGCTCATGAAAGAGGCGTGCAGGAAGACGTGGGAGCAGCAGAGGAGGGAGCTGTCCTCCATGTCTGAGCTGGCATGAAGAGTGTTTTGTTCATACCTCGAATAATTATATTCGCCAGGCGCGAAAAGGAAATCTAAGGAAAAAGAAAAGAAGAAGAAGAGACACGGCTGAGAGATGACCTGGCCGTCTTTTTCTTCTTCTTTCTTCTTCCTCTTCTTCTTTCTTTCCCAAAGGTTCACAACGTCATACACACACACATACATATATATACATATATACATATATATATATATACATGTATGTATATGGAGGTTTTGGCTTTATTTTCTCTTTCTCTCTTCTGGGAGAATTTTTGGGACCCAATGCTTCAGAGGGACAGAGTGAAGAATTCGCATTCTGCCATAGGCTCTGGATCGTCCCAGCAGAGACGACTAATCCCCTCCTGGGTGAGCTCGGCTCCGGATTAAATCAAAGAACCACCAATTCAAACTTCACTTTAAGAGGATTGCTCCGTCTGACAGCAAACACGTGAACGATCTCTGCTAACCACGTACGGCTAGAAAATTGCCACGAGACAAAGCAGAATGCTTGCACTGCCATCATGGCCGCAGAGAGATAAGGCCAATGACACACCAGGGCCAAGCATGCCCTGTGCCTGTCAGCGCCAGATCAGCGCTGCAACTGCTGCAGCTCTAAGGTGCTGACGAGCTGAACTCCGCCACACTGAACATGCGTTCTTTACATGGGAGAAGGGAGGGAGGCATCCAATCCTCTGTCTATCTTCCTTCAATATGACTTCTACAAAAGACCAACCTAACATTGTGAGGCTCCCAAGATCTTAAGCAACTACTTTAATATCAGTTTGCCGTTCATCTAGGGATCTATTTCCCCTGCCACTGTGGGATTTTCTAGACCATTGAATTGAGAGGACATTGACAAGCCGTGCTCATCGCGTGATCTATTCCCTAAAGGATATTGTTTCACCTCACGCCTTCGTCTGGAAACCATCAGATCCTCACCACCCAGCTTCGTCTTGCTTCAAGCATTGTGGAGTGGGAGAGGAGTCGCACTCTCGAACCAGAGGTAGTGATACTCTCTGGCGCATAGACATGGCTGGCAATGAGAAGCAGCAATCAGAAAAGGACCGGCTGCGCGTCCACTACAGCCATCAAGCAGACCGGGACCTACCACCAACGCCGACTTCCCTCACCCTCGGCAGCCCCATCTCCCCAATGGGTTCCAGCAACGGTCCTGTAAGCCTGTCGGCGCTCAGCAGCCCTGCCGCGGTGCCCAATAACAACGACGACGACGACAGCAACAACAACAACAACAACAACAGCAGCAGCAGCAGCAGCAGCAGCAGCACCCAATATCATCAATCAGCAGAACCACCACCTTATTCCGGGCCCACAAGCACCTCAACCCCACGCCAGCCCTCCGTTCCCTTCTCTTCCTCCCCCTCCTCCTCCCACCACCAAAAGCCTCCCCACAAGCACCCAGGCCTCCCTCTCCTCAACTACCAGCTCTACGCCCCGCCCCTGTTCGAGCTCTCCTCGGACTGCACCACCCTGAAGTCCACAGCGCCCTACCTCTCCTCCTCGGCATCCGCCCTCGTCAACCTCATCCGCGCCCAGGCCAGCGTCCCGCCCAAGCCACAGCTCCACATCACAGGCACGCGCGCCAACAACTCTTACGGCAAGCCCGACTTTGCCCTCAAGCTCAACCTCATGCACCTGCTCGTCCCAGACGAGACCGCCACCATCACCATAACCACCACCGGCGGGAAGAGAGGGCAGCAGCGCATGGACTACATCCGCACAGTCGCACCAGGCGAGCCCGCCCTGCGCGGCGGAACCCGGCCATCCCTCGAGCCAGACCTAGGCGACCACGCCGGCCTGGAGGCCTGGGCGCGGCGGTTCGTCGAGGACAAGAGCCCCGTCAAGGCGTTTGTGCTGGAGCGCACGGTCGTCAACCTCGACACCAGCTGGCTCGAGGGCCAGGTGCGGAGCCTGGTGGCCGCGACGGGGTACAAGGGCGTCGTGAGCGTGACGTTCCCCGTGACGCACGCGAGAGTGGTCGTGCAGAGCCCGGACAAGGTGAACAAGTTCTTCACGGGCCTGACGACGCTCTTCTCGGGCAAGAGCACGTATGAGGTTGTCAAGGCCGTGTGGCCTTTTGCCTCGTGTAGCAAGGAGGACGAGTCGCAGCAGCAGCAGCTGGCTGGAATGGGGCCCGCCGGGTCGACGACGGCGAGGAGGGTGTGTGTGGTGCAGAGCGAGGAGCAGTGGTGGAGGGAGTGGGCGCAGTCGATTCGGTATGCGATTGCCACCAGGAGGAATGGCTGGGTTACGGTCGAGGACAAGCTGGAGGCCATCATGGAAGGGAAGGGAAAGGGTATCTCGACGGTCGACTGGGGTGATGCCTGGCAGTACTAAGAAGTTATCTAGCAATTATCACCAGAATCATAATAAGGTTACCAACAAAAAAAGGCAACTAACTGTCCACGCCCAATTCATGTCCCATTTGCTCATCATGGAACCATGTCCAATCAAGCTTATAATTTCATTGTGTGGAATTATCGCCGACCTTTTCTCACGCGCGAAACACCGTGCTGGAAGAAGGAAAAAGAGAGAAAGAAAACCAAGGACACCAAGAAAAAAGAACAAGAAGAAGGCAAAAAGGGTAAATTCATTGCATTCCCTTTCCCCAACCCAAATACGCGTTGTCCGTCCAAACGCCAGACACATTCCATCATGCTCGCCGATGCAATTAAATTTGTCCTTTTTCGGGACCGCGAGAGGTCGCTGCGCGCCTTAAATTGGGTATCTTTTCAATCCAAACTTGCGAGATGATGTTTTAAATGATTTACAAAAATAAAAAGATCCTTGTACGGGACAATGTCGGGCTGGCAAATTCAAGAGTTGAATAGAGACATGTTGTAGATGTTTGCTGAATAAAACGAACACATTCTCTTGAAGAGGGTCGGCGTGTTTGTTCTTGTTACTTTTTTCTTTCTTTTTCAGGAGTTTCAAGAGTCAAAAGGCAAGGCCACAGCAGTTTGTAGGGTACGCCTTGTTATGGATGTCTTGCCGTATGGTAGGAGTTGGGTTGATTTGGTTGTATGTGTGTTGAATATTTGACGCGTGGCAGCTTCGGAGGGTCTCGTCCATGAAAAAGCCATTACTCTCTGCCCGTAGGAAGAGAGAAACTCAGTCTCCCAATCCAGGTGCACGGGAAACAAAAGGGGTAATCTGCAAGTGTTGCACACATTCTTCTTTTTTCGTCGCTAAGGACACCACCCCTGACCAGTTCTGATGTCCAATCTGTGGCTTTCTGGAAAACAGCGTCCGACCAGAACTCTCTCTCTCTCTCACTCTCTCTTTCAGTATTCTGTCGTCTTGATTTTTTTTTTCTCTCTTTGTCTTCCCATCTCGGCCCTCCCAACATTATACATTCTTGCCAGCAAACATAGCGAACTGAAATGGCGTCAAGGGCGCTACCGTCTCGGCCTCTTGTCCCGCTCGTTCAGCGGCATTTCTGAGACGTCACTCCTGCGCTTCCTTCCCGACGATCTTTCGTCGCCGCGAGCATCTCGCCGATCATTGCCGAGCCGTCCAGATCCGCTGTCTCGAGGGCCATCCCTAGGGCCAGAATCTCTGGGTCCTCCACGCATCGATCCTCGACTGTTGCCAGCCCATTCATCGCCAGGTCTACCACCACTGTTGCCTCCATCACCCCTGCCCATCTCGCCCCTACTGTTGTCACCCCTTTCCCCGCGGTGCCGCGATTCGCGACCGGAACTTGACGGCTCCCTGCCCCCGGCACCACCAGCAGGAAGAGGTTCTCGGCTGCTGCTGTTGGCGGCCAGATCCCGCATGGGCCGTCTCGGTTGGATCGGTTCGTGGTTGGGATCTCGATCTCGATCACGGTTCAGGTCCATCCCCGGTGGCGGCACAGCAGCCCGTCGATCGTGTCGTTCGTGATTGTCACTGCCACGTGGCTCCCTCGCTTCGCGATCTCCACGAGGACTCCGCTCTCGACCACCATGTCGACCAGACCGTTCTGACCGGTCCCGATGGTCCCTCCGTCCGTTGCGATCATAGTCGCCCCTGCTGCTGGGGACGTCGTCTTGATGTGGTCCAGATCTTGACGGCTCCCGAGGCGGTGGTCCATTGCTGCTGTCAGTTCCTCCCTGAGGACGATCCGGGACGGTACTCCGCCGCATTGGATCTGGCCGTTCCTGGACCGGAGTCGAAACCGGTGACGCGCCCGTCAGGACCTGCGCGTCAGAGTCCGGCAGGTTCGTCCTCTGTCTCCGATACTCGGCATCTCGCCTGTTAGGCGTGATACTATTCTGGAGGTCCTGGAGCTGTCTTCTGGCGCTGCCCCTCTGGCGCTCGTGGCTTGCTGCGGGGCCGGTCGGGGCAGGATAAGAAGAGTTGTGCTCTGTGACTGGCGTGTTTGGTAGACTGCCCTGGCCGTGACGCGAGCCAGATGGGCCGGTCGGTGTGGGCATCCGGTCGTTGGTGTGGAGAGGTGGCATATTCGGTCGGCCACGGGACGGAGGAGGCCCGCCTGGTGGTGGTGGAGGCGGCGGTGGCACTGAGGCGATATGATTCATCCGATCCGGATGTACTGGCACCTGGTTGGGGTTCGAGTCGAAGTGCTTCACACGATCGGGGTGCATCCCAGTGTTAGAGGAAGCATGCACACTGGAGGCTCCAGCGGCCTGAGCCGATTCGGCCTGACTCGGCTGGGCTCTGCGTGGTCGTGATGATGCGGGGCCCGTCGGAGGTTGGCGATCCGGTGAAGGCGCTCTGGGAGGAGGGTCAGGAGGCAACATCCGCCCTTCTGATCGAGGTGGTGCGGGAAGCGTCGAAGACGCCCTAGACGAGCTTCTGGATCCGCGACCCCGAGGACCCAGCGGAACAGTGTCTGGGACAGAGGATGCCGCAGGCAGTGAGTTCAATCGTCCGTAGTTTGGGTCCTGCTGACTGGACCGGCTCCGATCCGAGTCGTGCGTGCGCGGGGCTGGTCCCAGGTGAGATGCATCGCCGCGGCTGCGGTCGCTCGATGGAAGGTTTTGATCTCGCGGCGCTTCACTGTCCCTAGCAGAAGGATGAAGTGGTGGCTCAGCCGCATTCCCATTCCTGCGGCTATGCCGGTCCTCTCGACTTGGTCTGTCGTCTCTCCTCGGCGATGATGCGCGCGATGACACACGATCGCGTCCCGTCTCTCTTGGCGACCGTGCCGATGGATTGCCTGGTGTGGTTTGTATGAGTGCAGCACGTTGGGGATTGATCATCTCGGGTCGATCATCCGCCTGGATCAGGGCTGCTCTTTGAGGGTTCATTGGCGGTTCTTCCTGTCCCTCTTTGGAGGCTGCCGTTTGAGACTGAGGAGGCGCAACAGGCTGCTCTCGGGGGCCACGGCCATCACGACTCTGGGTGCGATCTCGGGTCGGGCGAGTATCTGGGTCATTGGCCGGCTCACCTCGACGCGGTGCAGTCTCAGGTCGACTTGCCCAGTCACGCTCCGAGAGTCGTCCGGGCTCGCGAGCGACACCCTCGTTTCCTCTGCGGTCCGAGTCGTGGTGATCTCGTCTGTCTCCACGCCCGCTGTCCTGCTGACGATGATCTCGCAGATCTCGAGGATCACGAGGAAGGTCCCTAGGGTCACGGTGGCGCTCTCTTGCGTCACGTGGCTCTCTTGTCTCTCGAGGCTGTTTTGACTCCCGGGCGTCTCTGCTGGGCAGATCGCGACGTTCAGGAGTAGAGTGCTGTGGGTGGTAACGACCAGGGATCGGCACATTAGGCCGATTTGGCAGGCCGTGGGGCAATCTTTCTGGTCTCGGCGTGGATGACGGCCGCGAACTGTCGCTGCGCACATTTGACGTGGAGGCTGGCGGCATGGGTAAAGCCGGTTTGGGCGTCGCGGGCCTGCTGCCCTGTGCAGCAGGCTTGTCCCTGTTGGAAGAATCCTTTCGCGCCTCGTTGTCTTGGGCCGGAGTCCTGCTGGCTGCGGGTGCGGCCTTTGCCTCTTCGTTCTGGGCAGAATTCGCTGAGGCTTTGGATTCCTTGCCATCCTTCACCTCGCCATCTTCCACCTCCCCGGGTTGGGCAGATGCAGCAGTTCTGTTCCATGTCAGTAAATCTTGTAAGCGGTGGGTTTTCTTTTTACAGTTGTTGTCGAGGGTACTGACGTGGTGCTCTGTTGAGGCTTGAATTCTACTGCAGTCGGGCGCAGAGTGGAACTTGCCCCTGGGACGGTCATGTCGACATCCTTCGGTCCATCCTGCGGCGTGACAGACTGCGTGGGTGCGTTAGCGCTGCTGGTCTCCTGCTTGAAAGCTCTTGTACTGCTCACCACATTGGGACGGAATGCTTGCACAGCAACCCATTTGGAGTCTCGCCTCTTCAACATCGCGAAGACCGTCTGAGCAGCAACTGAGAGGTCGACACGGTGCTCTTCTTCGGACCCACCCTTCGAACCGTCTTCACGGGCCTTGATCTCGTCGAGAACTTTCAGCATCTGGTTCCCCATGAAGTTGACGGCGGGGAAGAATTCTGCGACCCATTTGAGAACCGTCAGAGCGTTCCGGATATGCATCCACTCCTTAGTTCCCTGCAGACAGGCTTTCAGCGCAATGTTAAGGTTCTTGTGCCACTCATAATGAGAATCTCGGAAAAATGGATGCTCGACGAATGCCGTTGGGTTGCCTTCGTCGTCGAAGGTGGTGGCGAAGCTCAAATACTTGCGCTTGGGCCCAAAAGCCTCCTTCTCATAGACCGTCTTATCAGCATGCCACCTTGCCAGATCCTCGAGGACGCATCTGAGGAAACGTCCCAAATACTCGGCCTCGCGGACTGTTGCAGAGAAGATGATTGCACGGAGTCGGTTTGCGTTGAAGAGCTGTTCATAGAGCGTGAAGAGCTTGAAGTTTGGTGTCTGGTTCTCGTGCAGGCATTTGAGCAATCGAAAGCAGTATTCCGTGTCTGCCGCAGAGGTGAGAAGCCTGGGCAATATGCAATGCTCCAATAGAGCATCAGCAACCACTGCCGACTCTGCAATCGACCCAGAAAACCAGTATTTGGCCTGTCGGGCCAATCTGAATTTGGTCTTTTGATAACGTTCGATATGGCTTCCCAATTCTTCCCTGATAGACTGTGCAAGTGCCTGGAGAGCCTTCTTCTTTTCTTCTTTCTTGTTCATTCCATGTCGCGTCATGTCGGTGCGATCTCTCATGACGTCGTTGGATTCCTTGTTGAGCCGATCGTTTTCGGCCTCATAGCTCATCTGCGGCACGTGCAAGTCGCCAAGAGAGAGAGACCAGAACGTGACATAGAACTCTGGACTGAGGCTCTTCCAGGTCGATGGAGGGAAGGAGTCCTGGATGCTATCAACAATAGGCTGTAGCACGTCTGCGATTGGGTCAAGCTTTCGTGTCTCGGATGACGTTTGAGGCACGCTCGCATCTCCTGAATTTTCTGGGACAGGCATGTCGTCCACAGCCATCTTATCCTCCGCCTCGTTCTTGACAGCCGCCTGTTTGTCCGTCGGGCTATCAGCGATGGTCTCATTCATCGCCAGGTCGCCATCAACATCGATAACCTCTCGCGCCGTCTGAGGGTTTGAGGAGCCATCCTTGGTGGATGAGGTTGCCGGTCCTTTGGTATTGGCCATACGATGGGCCAGGCTGGCCCTTCCAATCATGAAAGCCAGATTGACGTCGAGACCGTAGATTGCCATCAGCTCCACGACACCAGGAATGAGCTTGTCAAAGTCATCCGGGGTCAGATTGCTTCGGAGGAGATCAAGATACTGTGCCAATGCTTGTTGAACCTCGTCCATGATTGTGGCGAGATACTTGACATGAGCATCGTCCTGATAGAGTGCTGACTGGCGATACTGAGCCAAGTTGATCAGGAGCCTCCCAGCCAGCTTCGTGTCGACCAGCGACTGCATAAGACGGTTTGCACCGCTGACATACTCGAATCGCCGATCGCCGAGTTTGATCAAGGTTTGCCGACGCAAAACCTCGCCGCCCGTCATTGCCCGCAATTGAGCATCCGTGAAGTCCACATCGGAGACCACGCCAGCCATGCTCAGGATGAGCTCTCGAAGTATCACCAGGTCTGTAGAGTTGCCTTTGGACAATTGGCTGTTGACATACTGAAGAACCGGAGATGGTGCCATGTTCTGGTATCGCTTGAAAACACGGCCAGAGAACTTGGACAGGGCTTGCAGCCATTTGCTGGTGAGTAACACGGATGCTTCTTGTGTCCGGCTTCGAGATTTTCCGCCCAAGGCACTCATCAAAGACCACGTCAGAACGTCATAGCCCAGATCGGTGAAATATCTCGCGCACTCGACAAAGGCTTGGATCAGGTTGGGATAGGCCTCGATCTGGTCGAAAGCGGTCTTGAAGACGACGCCAGGGGACGAATAGGCAGTCTTTGCGAGCTTTTTGGCCATCGAGGCCAGGTTCGTGAGGGAGAGCCGCTTGAGCACACTGTTCGTCTCTGCCTTGGTACGGGCGAAGGCCGACTTGATCGCTGTGTTACGCGAGGTCCGGCCGAGGAACCATTCCGAGTAGATGGCGTACCGCGTGGTAATTGGGAATCGCTTCAGCAGATCCCAAACAGCATGAACAGCGAAAGAATTGTGTTCAGTCAGGCTCAGGGCGGGGACCAGTAGACGTGTGAGTAGTTCTTGCCAGCGGTTCACGTTCTGAGGCGACTGATCCTGAGACAGACTCATAGCCCCGATTCCAGCGAGCTTTGCAAGGAGCGTCGGGTTCCTGCCAATGTTGACTCCTGACAGGTTCATGAGTGTATCACAAAGCGTGAATACATCATCGATAGTTTGACAGATGGGTACGTTGTCAGCCCACTCGTCCCAGTAGTACCTGTAAGGCGTATTGTTGCTCTCGCCGTCGGGGTGTGGCCAGCGGAAAGGTCGCCTCTGCAGTGTCTGGCCAAGTCTCACAGATCCCTTGGCGACACCTGTCTGCTCAATATCTGGAAGGCGTTTCGCCGGAATCTCGGATTGCACTCCAGAATCCCGAGGAACGACCCTGCATTCGTCGGAGACCTTCTGTATGGAGTACAAAAGGAGGCGATTGATGAGCTTGTAGAGGTTCGGATATGCCTCTGGAAGCCACGGATATTGCGTTAAGATATAGAGAGCTTCGGGTATGGACCCCATGGTGAGAAGCTCGGTCAGCAGCTGCACTTTCTGAGGAGGATATTCGGGCTTCTTGTCCTTGTCCTTGTCCTTTTCCTCGGATGCATCAGTTGCTTTCGTCTGGGTAGCTGGCTTTGTGGGCTGTTGATCGGGGGAGTCGTTAGTCAGGACGGACATGGTCAGAGCGTTGTTGCCTCTGCCGGTCTTCTTTCGCTCTTCCTCCTCGAGTATCTTCTCTCTCTCCCTCCGATGCTCTTCCATGTTGGCATCGTCAGGGGACAGGTGTGGCCACAAGTCTGCAAGTGAAATGAAGCCGATCTTGATAAGCAGTGCAGTCATATAGAAGAGGTTGGCAGGAATAACATCGTTCTCTTGATCCCGAACATCCGATTCGTAGAAACGCAGCTTGAAGCCGAGCAGCTGGGCGGCGACCCTGTTTCCTTGAGGCGGCAGGGTCTTGGTGGCCAAGATCCATTGAGATTCCGAGTCAAGATGGGAGAGGTCATCGGGCGGTTGGTCGCTCGATTCAAGGACAGCCTTGATGCGCTGAAGCTCGGATCCCTGAAGTTGTCGGCCACCGAGTTCAAAGTATGTTCTGAGACGCCCTTCTCGGGCCCTGCTCCAAAAGTCAAGGTCTCGCTGTAAGCATTCAGCGCTGAGTATCTGTTCGTCCTCCTCGCTGATCTGCCAGTGACTCGACTCCGGGAGCGCCCATTTTGGCAGCCCACCACAAAAAGTCGAAGATTTCACATGGCTGCGGGGCCACCATGAACTGATGCGCAAGAACTTGACGAAGAACCGGTTCTGCTTGATGACAACGGAGGCAAATACGTCGAGAAGGACATCGAGGACTCGACCGACGTCCAGGTCAAAAGTACCGATAAGACCCTTGACTCTCTCAAAGGCTGCTTGAACCGCGTCCGAGCTTGGGGCCTGGTGGTTGCAAGTCGTGAAGAGCTCCGTTGCAAGCTTCGCATATCCCTCCGTCTCCTCACGCAACAAGTTATAATTTGCTTGTTTGTACAAGATGTTGGTAGCCTGACGAATTCCCACCCTGGTGAATGTCTCGCGAATCAGCCCCAACTGCTCCAGCACGGCTGGTTCGAGAACACGGCGCATCAGCGCAGGGTCGATATTGGTTGCGATCATAAAGTCACGCAGATTTTGACCGTTTTTGCTCGTCTCAACATCGAGGTAGACGGAGACAGTGTCGAGAAACAAGATGTGGGCATCGAAGGTGGGCGCGCCGCTGCTGTCGGCATCGTGGGGCCCAATGATCTCCTTAGTGACTTCGCCCGCCTCGGAAGCCCTCAGGCGGTAGTCAAGACATGACTGAAGTAGTTCCTGAAAGATCGTAGACAGCTCCTGCAAATCCTCGTCATCACGCGACTGGATGCCATGCTGAATCAGCTCCTGGCGACCGCCCTGCGCCCAACTGCCCAGTCGGGCATCAGTCACAATGTCGTAGCGGTAGCCGGATTGTATCGGCGAGGGATGTGCAGGAGACTGTGGAACGGGAGCGTTCGTGGTCACAGGGGCGACGGCAGGTTGAGATGATGCGCTGGAGGGTCGGGCGAGAGATGATGGGTTGGGAGGAGCTGCTGCTGCTGCGCCAGAGCCAGCCGAGGGGGCACCTGAGTCGCGGCGGTCGTTGCGCCTTGACCTAGAGCCACTGCCAGTACGGCCTCTGTCATGTTGGGCCAAGTTGGTGTCGCCTGGTCGGTGAGGTGAAGGGCGGGTGGCTCCCGAGTCGGCAGTCCTCTTGCGCTTCGGAGCCATGATCAGATCGGTATCTGCGACGGCAATGTCATCAGTGCGGAGAGGAGAATCGCAGGAGTCTGTAAGACGAAGTTGATTGAAAGCACCTGATGAAGAAGAGGAGGGGCGTGGATGCGAGGTGCGGATGAGATCTCTTTGTTCTGGCGCGACCGCGAATCAATAAAGTTCGAAAGCACGTCTCGCCTGCCGCTCGGAGCGGCGTGAGAAGAGGTGAAAGGACCCTGAGCGAAGCAAGAAGATTAAGAAATAGACAAAGAAAATTGGTTCAGGCTACGAAAGTGTGAATATTGTGCACCACTCCGTCACCAAGTCGAGATCGAGCAGAGGGAATGACTGGGCGAGGTCGTCGACGAGACAAAAAAAAAAAAAAAAAAAAAAGAACTTTAAGGCTGTCAATTGCGAGAGCCTCGCGAGTTGCTGCTGCTATTGCCATGGTACCAAAGAAACGACGTTGGGTCGGTCGCGCCTTTGCCGGCCGGAAGGCAGGCCCTTCTGACTAAGTAAGCACGGGCGTTATGACAAGGGCTGCTATGCGTGCTAGGATAGCTAGGGCGGGTCCTAGCAGTGCCCCCTTGGCAGGTTCGACCAGGCAATGACGTCTCCGGCATCGCAACTGAAAAAGAAAAAGAGCAAAAAAAGATGCCGCCGCTATTTACTTGGACAGTCATTTGAGATGTTGACTCTTCTTTGCTTGTCATCAGCGGCATCTTTATGCAAATAGTCACACGATTCTCTTCCTGATCTTCAAGAGACTTGTCACCTGCCCACTCTCATCCAATTTCATAAGAAAAAGGCCCATTTTATTCTTCCTATCTTCCCTTCTAAAAGTCCAGAACAGACAATGACAACCACAAATGGCCGTGACGGCTGCAAATATGGTAAGCTGGCGTCTTGGACAGAGACAATGCGCATAATGACCAGTGGCTGAATACATGCAAGAAAGAATACAATCACAGGTCGAGAATCCATTCTCAGGCTTGATCCCAGACCAGCAGATTGCAGTGATACCATCCTTCACTCTCGAGTCTGGCGTGACATTACAAAATGTCCCTGTCGCGTACACCACCAAGGGAAAACTGTCTCCATCCGGAAACAACGCCATGGTGATATGTCATGCTCTGACCGGCAGTGCTGATGTAGGTGACTGGTGGGGGCCGTTACTGGGTGGGAACGGGCGTGCGTTTGATGTGTCTCGCTTCTTCGTGGTCTGCATGAACAGCTTGGGCAGTCCGTATGGCACCGCCAGTCCAGTGACCGCCAAGGATGGAGACAGCAGCAATGAAAGATATGGGCCTGAGTTTCCTCTGACCACAATACGTGACGATGTTCGGTAGGTCGCCTACGCTCTCGGCATGGACATATGCGGCGGCTGTCTAATCTGATTCACTTCACAGGCTTCACCGGCTGCTTCTGGAGGACCTGGGGGTCAAACAGGTCGCTGCCGTCGTCGGTGGCTCCATGGGTGGAATGCTGGTGCTCGAGTGGGCCTACTTTGGCAAAGACTATGTTCGTTCTATCGTGCCCATCGCAACATCCAGCCGGCACAGCGCATGGTGCATCAGCTGGGGTGAGGCACAGAGGCAGAGCATCTACGCCGATCCCAAGTATAATGACGGCTACTACTCCTTCGACGACCCGCCTTCCACAGGTCTTGGGGCAGCGAGGATGTCCGCGCTCTTGACTTATCGTAGTCGCAACTCATTCGAGTCTCGTTTCGGCCGGAACACTCCCGATCCTTCAAGGCGCCAGACAATCCGTGAAAGATCTCGGCCCAGCACCCCCTCGGAAGCTCACTTCAATATACACAATGATGGGCACAAGATCAATCGACCCGCCAACTCAAGAAGGACAAGCCAGACACCGCGGGCGAGTGAGGCCAGCAGCCCAGCAGCACCAGGAGCTGACGGTGCGGCCGAGCAGGCATTGGATCCTCAGTTCCATGGCCCAAGGCAGGAGAGTCTCGCAGGAGGGGAGAACGTGCCCAGCTCGACGTACTTCTCCGCCCAGTCCTATCTGAGGTACCAAGGAGGGAAATTCGTCAAGCGTTTTGACAGCAACTGTTACATCGCCATAACGAGGAAGTTGGACACCCACGACGTGTCCCGTGACCGTGCTCCGACCGTTGCGGAAGCCCTCGCCCTTATCGAACAGCCGGCTCTGGTCCTGGGCATCGAGAGCGACGGTCTGTTCACCTTTGCCGAGCAGCAGGAGCTGGCTGAGCATATCAGAAACGCCAGGCTCGGGAAGATCGAGAGCCCTGAGGGTCACGATGCATTCCTGCTCCAGTTCGAGCAGGTCAACAAGTACATCCTGGAGTTCCTCCACGAGGTCCTTCCCGACATCATGCAAAAAGACGGCGAACCGGCGGCTATCGTGAGCTCCGCCGGTCAGCTGACCAAGAGTAGCACGTTTGGCGAAGCTGAAGTGGAGGATATCACGGCTTGGTAGAGGTGGGAAGAAAGAAGAGGTTGTTGCCACACGTCGATCCTCGGAAAGAGATTTGGGACAACTGCGCAAAAGCGAAGCAAGATTGGATTATGTTCAACTCGTGATTCAGCGTTTCTGGCACTTTGGGCGGTCTTCTGGTGGGAGTTTTTTCTTTCTCTTTTCTTCCATATGAAGGGTTGGTGCTTACGGCGTTCAACCCGCCGGCTTGGGTTCAAGCTTGGTTCTAGTGAAAGGCGAGGGACAGACGGGATGAGGATGGAGTTCCGAATCAAAGATCAACCATCCATCTACTTGCGACCGACGCCAGTGACGGGGGAACCCAGCCCAGCGGTCGATGTCTCGGAGTTCTCCACCTTGGCAGTACGGCATGATTTGTTACTTCAAGTTGGTCATCGTCAACTAACTCTCTCTGTGTGTAAATTGATCGATGGAGAAAGAAAAGGAAGAGGGAAAAGAAAAAGGTAGGAGGGCAGATCTTCGTTCTATCTCGTTCATGCAACGTGCGCGAAGTGTCACCAGAAAAGCACATGGTCGAAAACAATGGGTTACTAGACGCCAAGGGGGGGGGGGGGGGCGGGGGGCACGTGGGCAGATTCGATGGATTTCAGCCACTTACATCTGCTGCAGCCAGTCGCCGCTCTTTGGATGAGTCTCGAGAAACCCCCTGAAGTATACAACGGAGCATGGTCAGGTCTACTGCTATGTACTACTACTATCCAGTAGTAATTTGTCAATCATCATCTTCCTGCAACAAGCGTGGATTGGTTGCATTGAAAAGGGGGTTTGGAGTGGAAAGCTGGCTCAGGCTGTTCAGGGCGCATACGGGCGTACACCAACGGCGGGGCGTCCACCCTCAAAGAGGCAGGTATCTTGGGTCCAAGGGGTTCGCGGCGAGGTTTATCGTGCCCCGGACAGGCCCAAACCCCTCTCGACAAATTTATGCAGCCGAAAAAAAGTACTGCTGACCTGCATGGCGCCAGGCCGCCGGCGGGCGAAACCTCCCCCCCCCCCCTCTTTCGGAAATAAAACAATAAGACCCAGCTGAATCAAGCTTCTCGTAAACCTGGACGAAGTCCCTACCTAATCGCGACAGGCGCGTAATCCCAGATTTGTACTATAACAAATTGCGCGTACTATTGCGACAAGCCGTGGGGGGCTGGCTGCAGCAGAAGAAGAGGCGTCGTGCAACGGGGCTTGCATTTTGGCACCCTCGTTGGGCGTGTTGCGCAGTAGAAACGTGCCACACCTTGGAAGAATGGGAGGGGTAGCACGGCAGCACAAGGATAGGTTTGCTTCCCTCGCCAAGAACATGCGCGATGCTACACATTACTAATGAACACCTCTCCTCACTTTATCAGCACGCCGATCCTTTGACTGTCAGTCTGTGTGTCAGTGCCAGTAAGGCTGCAGCTCCAGCGCTCGCCAACTAGCCACCAACAGCAAGTCCTCCTTTGCTTGCTTTGTGATCTCTTTGGTTCCTTGGACCGAGTCCGTCTCATGCGCAGCAAATGAGGCTCCCCATGTCGCTGTAACGCCGCCTTATCCTGGAGCCTTAGTTAAATCAGGTACGCCACCCGCTGACCTGTAGTACCGTGGTTGCAAAAGAGCCTTACTCGCTGCTTTTGCTACTGCTGGGGCGTGATATATTCCGGACGGGCCGAGGTACTAGTTGCATTAACTTTCGTCCCGTTCTTCTTGGTGTTCTTCTAGAATCTCGTCCTCGTGGGTTCCAAAAGACGACTATCTCAGCCTCAAGAGACGCACGCTGTGTTCGACAACCGTCTGCCTTGTCAGGATCCGCGCAATATTCTTTGACCTCCTGGAGAATTTCTTCAAGACATATACCGTCTTTCCTGAGCAGTGAGGGGACGTCTTCTAGGACAGGCTGGTCAGGAAACAGACAAGATCTCTCTGCGTCCTCGATGGACGGAAAGCATGCGGCATGCTAAGCAGCAGCGAGCCTTCATGACCAGGTCCCCCAACAGCATATCAGCATGAGCTCGCTGCCAGAAGGAGGAATATACAGGGCGTATGGTGGCGATCGTGCCTTTCACAATTTCGGTATGCTACCACACCTTCCTCCAGGAGTATCATCCTCCACGAGCGTCATCCTCGCAGAGCGTCATCCTCGCGGCTGTCGCTGAGGAAAGCCCAGCCAAAGGCCACAAGGCTAACTGAAAGGCCGCAAAAATGAACCACCATAGCCAACGACTACTCTCATATCGCCGATCCGAACTTGAGACGACGGCTGGCATTATCTGAGATCGACAAGGTTCCCTTCAGACCTTATCACATCCGAGCTATACTCGTCGCGGGCGTGGGCTTCTTCCTCGACAGCTATGACATCTTCGCCATCAACCTGATCACCATCTTCCTGGGGCTTGCCTTCTGGTCAGGACCTGCAGAGGATGCCCGCTATGGGTTCGGTGGGAACGACGGCGTGCTGCCGACGCCTGTGTCGCAGGCGTTGAAGGCATCTGCAAGCGCGGGCATTATTCTCGGGCAGATCGTGTTTGGATGGATGGCTGATGCATTTGGGCGTCGGAGGATGTATGGGATTGAGTTGATTATCATTGTGGTCTCGACGTTGCTCTTTGCCATGGTCAGCCCGAGCCAGTCGATGAGCTCGACGGCCTTGTTGACCTTTTGGAGGGTCATGATGGTAAGTTGGGTCTTGGGGTTGGGGGTGAAAAGTCCCCTTCCAGTGACAAGAGATGAGAACTTGGGATGGCTGCTGAGTCTTGATGATAAATCTTCAGGGTATTGGAATTGGTGGCGACTATCCTCTGTCATCCGTCATCATGAGCGAGTACGTCCCACCCAGCATATTATTTTCTTCATTTAACCACCCCTCATTCGCTTGCACGATCCTCACTGACACTTGTGTGTGTGTGTGTGTGCAGATTCGCACCCACAAGATGGCGAGGCGCCATGATGGCAGGTGTCTTCTCCATGCAGGGCGTCGGCCAACTGGTCGCGGCCATCGTAGCCCTGATCGTGACGGCGGCATTCAAGGGTTCCTTCGCGGGCGTCTCGGATTTATCAGAGTGTGACTACAGTTGCCAAACCGCGGCAGATAGATGCTGGCGCATCATCGTGGGCATGGGAGCACTTCCTGCGTGCTTTGCCTTGTATTACAGGCTCACAATCCCAGAAACGTATGATCTTTTTGTTTCCCTTCCATCTTCAATGATGGACTCTCTCTCTCTCTCTCTTTTTGCTTTCTCTTTCTTCCTCCCAAGACTAATTATTTATTATCACCATCCTTCTATGGGAAATCTACAGACCTAGATACACTTTCGACGTTGCTCACGACGTCGAGATGGCCGATGCTGATATCCAGGCCTTTATGGCGAGCAAGGGCAAAGGGGAGGTGGACATTGTCAGGCAGGCTCGGCTGAAGAAGCTGTCTGGGCCATCCCTCTCGGTGCCCGCTGCGTCGTGGCGGGATCTGACATCGTACTTTGGACAGTGGAAGAACTTTCGAGTTCTCATGGGTACCACTCTGTCCTGGTTCTTTCTTGTAAGTGTGACAATAGAGAATCTTGTTTGGCACAAGAATAGGGACCTTTCTCTCTTTCTCTTGCAAGGCGAAACCCATACAGAACTGACAACCTTCTCCTCTCTTCCAGGACCTCGCCTTCTACGGCCTCGGGCTCAACAACGCCCTCGTCCTGGCCGCCATTGGCTACTCCAACGGCGCCTCTCTCTACACCCAGCTCTACAACACCGCCGTGGGCTCCATCATCCTCGCCGTCGCGGGGTCCCTCCCAGGCTACTGGGTCGCCATCTTCTCCATCGACTCGCTGGGCCGCAAGCCCCTCCAGGTCCTCGGCTTCCTCGTCCTCACCATCATCTTCTGCGTCATCGGCTTCGCCTACCACCGCCTCTCGTCGAGCGCCCTGCTGGCCCTCTACGTCCTGGCCCAGTTCTTCTTCAACCTCGGGCCCAACACAACCACCTTCATCGTCCCGGGCGAGTGCTTCCCCACCCGGTACCGCGCCACCGCCCACGGCCTCTCCGCCGCCGCAGGGAAAGCCGGCGCCATCGTCGCCCAGGTCATCTCCATCCCCATGCTCGCAACACGGCAAGACGACTGCTTTGGGCCGCGCTGCAGCAGCAGCAACCCGTGGCTGGGAAGCCTGATGCGCCTGTTCGCCCTGTTCATGCTCTGCGGCACCCTCGCCTCCCTGCTCATCCCCGAGACCAAGGGGCTCACCCTCGAGGAGCTCGCCGGCGAGGACCCCACGAGCTACAACGCAGGCGTCAACGGGAGCATAGCCCACGTCGACCTGGCCACCGCCCGCAGTAGTAGCAGCAGCCGAGGCCGACGATGGCTCGGGCCCGCACGCCGCATGATGAACCCTTTTCTGGGCGGAAAGCCCGCCGGGTTCGCCTATCCGCGGACAGCCAGCGCAAGAGGCAGCGGCGGCGGCGGCGGCGGCGGCGGCGGCGGCAGTATGTGGACCAGCGCGAGGACAGGCACAGATCTAAACACGGGCAGGCCACTGCCGGCGAGGAGAAAAGGGCAGTGGTGGAGGAGGACGAGGGCGGGACAGCATCACAGGAGCGTCACGGCGGGGTCGCGTGGGGGCGCGAGTAGTAGCTCCTCTTGTGGGAGGAGGGCGTTAACCAGCCACGGCGATGATGACTATGATGATGACAGTAGAGAAAACCGTGCTGGTCATGCTGGTGGTGCTGCGCCGGAGTGGCATGCAGGATGGGGACGGATAGATCGCGGTGCGCCTCCTGAGAATATTCGGTTAGAAGATGTAGGAGGGTTGATACAACAGAAGTGATGGATTATTCTGTAGACACGCATACACACGAATACGCACAATGCACACAAACACACACAAACACACACACACACACACATATATATATATAATATATATATATGTGTGTGTGTGTGTGTACTTGAAAAGAAAAAGAAAAAAAAAGGCATATAGAGGGAAGAAAAGAACAAAAGAACCAAAACATCACAAAGTACATCATACATCCAGCAAGATCATTGGTCCTGATACCTCCCTCCCTTTTCTACAACTTGTTCACCGTTAAAACTTATACATAGATAGCCACGTAATCCTGGGCCCTCTAACTCTGAAAGCAATGTAAAACTCGGCCAATTTTGTATTTTGTTTTCGCACCAGATTCGAAATGATACTAGTACAGTCTATGTATTTGTATGATACAACATGTACCTGGCCCCCTCTTAGTTGAGATGTAATAGAGCTTGCCCACCCCTACCAACCATACTTTACACTCCGTTGCTAATGCTCGCTAAAGACAGAATTGAAAAGAAGAAGAAACAAAAAGAAAGGAGAGAAATAGAAAGACAGTATGTACTAACATACACAAAAGTATACCAAAAAAAAAAAAAAAAAAAAAAAAAAAAGGTTCAATGCGTAGGAGAGGTTTTCCATCCCGTACCTTGTTCTCCCCTCCCCAGTCGCCGCCGTCTTTTTAGTTGACCGAAGTTGTGGTCTGTTCGCTCTTTTCCACGACCGACTTTAGGACCTTCAATTTCTCCTCCGTGATCTTGATGGCATCCTTGATCTCCCGCTCGTCCATGCGGTCTTCACGAAGCCTCTCCTCCAAGGTGCGCGCCTCTACCACCCTCTTCCGCGGTTGCGGCTCCCCGCTGTGCAGGCGGTCCATGCCGACGCGCTCCTCCAGCCATTCCCATAGCTCGCTCTCCTCGCGTCGCCACATCTCCTCATATGCAGCCAGCCGGTCAGGGTACCCATAGAGACCCAAGGGAGCTCCGTAGGGCCCAGGCACAGGTTTGTTCGTGAACCCGAATCCGAACCAGGCGGCCACCAGGAGACCAACCAGCAGGCCGTAGACAACATTTCCCGTAAGCAAAGGCTTGCCGATATCGACCACCGGGCCGAGAATGCCATGCAATGGTTCCAAGATGCCCCAGTCTTGCTTGGAAGAACCCTTTGCCGCGTCTTCATTGTCACTTGCGACGTTTGCGGCTGCAGCGGTCTTTCCTTTCTTGCCTCTCTTCCGGGTTTTACCTCCAGCCCCATTCGCAGCCGCTGAGGAGCGCTTGGAGACGGCAGCCTTCAGGGCGACGAAGAGATCCTTGCAATACTGCCCTTGTCCATCGTAAGCACCGTTCTCAATAGGTCCTGTTTTGCCAAATAGATTAGATACTTTGTTATTTCCAGGAGGGAGAGGGGGTCACGGTGTGAGGCGGGGAAGAGGACGATACCTTTGAGCCAGCTCTTGCCTGTCCACTCCACAACACAGCTGATTTGAACCCGGGTAGAGTTATGCTCGCCCCATGAAAGACAGTACTTGGTTTTGACGCTAAAGACATTGCCACTCGGGACGTCTGGGTTTTGTGTCGTAATCAAGACGTTGACGGCCTTCTCCAGGTCCAAATTCTCCAAGGTCTCCGTTATGATACACTTGGTTTGCTTCGGTCCGATCGAGGCATTCAGAGGCTTGATATACGTATATGAACGCGTCTTGTTGTCCTGAGTCAAGCCCTTCTTGTCGTCAAGTTGCAGATCTCTGCACTTTTGATCAACCGTGAGGAATTTTGTCATCCACGCCACAGATCCAGGCCCAAACAATGTGTCGTAGACCTTGCCCATTGGTAGCGGGATAGTATCGTCGCCTGCAACCCTCTGGTAGTGTGTGTCAGCATCGCCGCACTCCGTGGGTGCATGCGTGGCCGGGCCTGGAAATTCTCCTAGGGCCGGGGCCGCTGGTGCATCCTTTGGCTTCTCGGATGGGGCACCGCCGTTTGCGATAAGTCCTGATGCCTTGCGAGTGAGTGGCTTCTCGATGGCGGACTCCTGTAAAGGTGTCTCTGCAGCCTGAGCCGCCTCGTGGCTCTCGTGCTCCTCTTCGTCCTCATCATACACATCCTCGCCGTCATCGCTCTCGTCCTCCTCTTCTTCTTCTTCCGATGCCGAGGCACTTCGGCTGTCCCCAACCGCAGATCCAGCATCGATCTTCTCGGTCTTGTCGCCACCCGTGTCGTCCAGTCGCACCCCGTTAAGGGAGCTCTGAAGTCCAGGGTGGCCCAGCTTCCAGATCTTGACAATCAAGTCGTATGTGGAATCTCTGCTCGCAAAACTCGCAAAAATATGTTTTGCGTGCAGAGTAGAAATCATGAGGCCGTTCTTGAAGAGCAGCGCCGTGCTCCGTTTCTCGACTGACACGATCTCATCGAAGCTCATGACCAAGGTGGTCACCCACCCGAGAATGTTGCTGCTGAAACATAGGTGTCCTTCGGAAACGTATAGCCGCCCATGAGCCAGAATCTCCCGCTGCAGGGCACAGCTGTAGTCCTCGATCAGGTAGTCGTCGTCCGGCACACTTTTGAAAAGCGCATGGAAATCTCGGTTCCGCTTCTTGCTGGCCACCGCAAACCCCGTAAGTTTGGGTGCAAGCGACGCGGCGGGCTGAGCCAATGACGAGTTCACAGCCGACAGGGCAGCACCAATAGTAGTCCCCGTACCGCCTGTACCACTGGTACTCCCGCGTTTCCTGTTGTTGCGACGACCGATTGCACTCCTGACACTGCCGCTTCTGTGGACACCAGAAGGCTCATCATAGACGCTGCCTGTGGGCGGCGTTTTGTCTCCATAATATGCCGGTGTTTCATACGAGGACATTGGTCGCTGCGCATCGTCCCAGGGCGCATCGATGGCGGCCTTGACAGGACTGACCTCAACCGGGGCGGACTCGGACCTTGATCTGCGGTGATCAGGATGCTCTGGAAACTTGGCAGTTAGGGGAGTCGTGCTTCGAGAGATAGGCTCGCTGATGCCCAGCTGGCTCAAACTGAGGTCACCCATGCCTATCGTCTTGACCGCAGGTTCTTGGGATTCCATCAACGAGCTTGGGATTGCTGCCGCAGACGGCTCGACCTCGACCTTGTCCTCGTCGGCTGTGTCGTCCTGTTGTGGTTGAGCGGCCGGGGACCCTTTATTTTTGGGATTGCTGGGGCCGGTGCTGGCGATGGTGTTGCTGAGATTCTGGGCAGCACTCTGGGCCGCGGAGATGACAGACGTAAAGAAGCCGCTGGTTGGCTGGTTGGTAGGAGTAGCAGCAACGCTTTCGATGGGCGTCAGCGGTGTCGACGAGATGGAGGATAGCTTGCTAGGCACAATGCTCGACGAGCCAGACCTCGCACGTCTCTCCGAGAGTGAACCGCCACCACTGGTCGAGTCGGTCCCTCGGCGTAGAGTTTCGAACGTCCTCGGCGAGGTAGTCTTCGTCGGCGTGGGAGGGGTGTTGACAATCACAGGAGTGCCCTTATCCGAGGCAGAGGGAGGGGTTCTTGGCGGCGTGCCGATCTCAACGGACTGGGCTCGCGACCGACGAGTGAAACGCTCAGCAAGCCCCTGCTTCTGCTCTGTGGTCTTCTCGGCAACCTTTGGTTGTGGTATGGAAGTGTCTGGCTCGGTCGAGGAACTGCTCGCCGAAGGCTCGGGAACGGTGATCTTGAGTGCGTCGAGCGACTCGGTCGAGGGCTTGGAACTTGCGGTTGCAGGACGCCTCTCTGGGCTGGAGGTATCGCTGCCCCCTGAGAGCTTCGAGAAGCTTTTCTTGGACCTGAAGACACCCTTAATGCGTCCCACAGGGGATGGTGATCTCCCGTTATTACGAGAAGCCGGTGGCGCAAGGCCGGCCGGGTTGTGCGACCCAGAAGGGTCAGTTTCTGTTGGTTGCTCCGTGGTGGGTGTGTCCTGCGAGGGGCGAGAACCTTGATAGTACTCGGCTTGGATGAGGGGAGAGTTGGTCGTCAGATAGCCGATCTGGGAGGGGTGAAGAGAGACTGCAGGGGGCCGCTCGAGGTGACTACAGCCGCGAAGGATCAGTACGAGAATAGGTAGGTAAGCTCATCAGAGAGAGATGAGGTCGGCGGTGGCCAAGCCAGCAATCGGACAGAGCGAGAAGAGCGAGCTGGCAGGAGGAGCTTCTGACCAAACAACGGCCACGAATGGACAAAATAGGCACAGAAAAAGAAATGACAAGAGATAGAAAAGTGATATGGTGCACAAGGCTTAGAGGTATGAAGAGAAAACCAGTGAGAAAGTGAATGCGAGGAGGATTGACGACCTTGAGGCCAGCTGAAGTAAGACGTGGACAATGGCTGCAGCTTTGACTGTGGAATAGTGGGTGGGTGGATGGGTGGGTGTGGAGGGGGGCGTAAGGTAAGGATCAAGCGTAGTAATCTTGTGGAGAGGGGGGGTTTGAGACCTCGTTTCCGAACGACTACATAGTATTACGCTATACCACGGCGCCCATTATACCAAGCTCGTCAGGGGGGGATGAGGGGGACAATGGAGTGTGTGATATGAGACGCTAGGGGAGTAACCTCGCAGTGCCGCACGTCCCTGACAGGTCGAGTCCTTTAGTCTCGCTGTGTGGGGAGCATGTGGACTGGAGAGATTGAGTTCGAGGTTGGCCCTCAGCGAGCATGAACCAACCGAGATGGAGAGTCCGTAAAAAAGGGCAGATAGCTGGGAACTTGGGAAGGGATTGGGATCGCCGCGGGAAAAGGCTCCGCCTGCAAGACGCCATGTGCTGGCCCGACCCAGACTGGCGAGTCGCATATGGGGCCAGGGGGGAAGATCTGATATAACAAAGCAAAATAGTATGCATATATGATAACATCAGACGCATATCTGAGCGCTGAGAACAGAGTCAACTTACGACTCGATGGTTTCCTCCGAGTCGTAGGAGACTAGACTCGTCGACTCTCCATCGTGGCCCTTCTCGATTGGAGGAGGGTGGACGGCGACGGACCTGTCGTTGTGGTTGTCGTCGCTCTCGAGCTGAGATGGGGTTTGAGATGGAGGATATGAGGACTGAGACGCATGGGAGAACGGATCAAAGCTGGATGTGTCCCTCGAAAGGTTGGTGATGTCGTCGCTGGCGATACTGCTGTTGCCGTCTATAGACCCTTTTCTGGAACGCCGGATCGACTTGGACTTGGCCAGAAGCTTTCCGAACGCTTTGTCCGCCATGATGCATGCACGATCTGGATCAGACGCACCGGCTGGTTCCAGGTTGTGACAGGACGACCCAAACAACCTCCGCTGAGGCCGTTTCTGCTCAACTTCCACTGGAGCTAAAGCAGGAACCGGTCGGTGGGAAGGCTTCGTACCTGTTTCAGCGGGTGACGGATTGAATGACTAACAAGAAGAGGCTGACAGCCAGACAGACACGACAGACAGGCGACTGACTGAAGTAACTGACTGAAAGTATCGGTGATGCTGACAATCTGATCAACCTCGGCCAGGTCGGGAACTTTGTGGGGTCCGAAAGAATGCTGAGTTCAAGGATCAGGGACAGTTCGAGGAGATCGAGCAGATCGATTCGCGGGGCAAGGTCATGACGGTATGAGCTTGTCCTTGTCCTTGACTCCCTTGGCAGAGTACCTCAAAGCTCCAGTATGGAGAGACGCTGCTAGCAATTCCGGGTTGGAGTTGGCTGCTGCTGGGTGCCGGGTCAGGTCTGAGAAAATCAGAACTGTCAATCAGAAATGTCTTGGAGGAAGGAGAGGAAAAAATCAGATGGATGGTCGGGCAGGTTGAAAAGGGTGCAAGTGCAAGTGCAACTGGCTATCCAGGAATATGCCAAAGACGGTAACGGTAACGCGCGCGTTGTTGACTGTGATTTCCAAAGATACGGAGGCTTTACCCCGGATCGACGACTACGATGTCCATTGCGTACTATAATGGCCCTGGACCGTTGATCCAGACACCTGGGAACCATGGCCAAGTTTAGTATCGTTGCCCCTTGCAGCTCTCTCATGTACTCCATTTCCTTGGATGCTTCGATACGCTCCCCCAAATTCCCCTCACCTCACTCCTTTCATCAAGCAAAAGCCAGGTGCCACGTAAAGCAAAAGGGGGGGAAACCTATCCCAGCAGCGTGGGACGGGGCGCTGCTCGGCTATCCTTAGCGGGCTCTCAAAGATGGCTGTCCTGATGACGCCGTGTCGCGTCATCTCAAGCTGCAAGACACTGAGACCTGGCCAGTAGGCACCCTGTAAAAGGCCTGCGCGGGGTACTTGGAATTGCCCCTGTGACACGCTATACTTGCTAGCACAGAGACACCTTGGCACTATATACTGCTGGTGGTAGCAGCGTGACCCCTGTAGCTTAGCGCTTCTCTACCTGTCCCTTGTAAGGGCTTAGCGAAACCAGCATCCTAGCCTGTGGGTTCACTGGAGACTTGAGCCTCACACCCTCAACGCAGCCTTACCAAATATCCGGAGGCGGCCCAGAGGACCAACATCCCATGCCGACCTTGCACCGTAGAGCATCGTCAAACTGAAGCTATCGTGTCACGACAACAGCACGCGCATCGAGGCTCTGCTCTGTGACCCGGTATCTCTTGCGCATACGGGCTACCCTCTTTGCCATTCCAGAAGACTGAACCTTGGTCTAAGGCACATGTGACCTCCGTCAAAGACTTCGTGGGTTGTATATGCAATGTGCAGACCACTCTTTACCTGCCCGCCATCATGAATACCTCCTCTCTGATCAAGGTACTCCGCATAGGACTTACTAACACCATCCTGTACATGATGCTGACAGTCTTGCCAGGCGCACGACCACGCGAAAGCCGCCTCGGACGCCACCCAGACAGCCAACTCCACCGTAGCTATCAACGAGCACACCCTCGCGGCCGGCGAGTTCTCCAATGCCGCCAAAGTCACATCCAGTATCGAGGCCCTGAGGACTCTGAGGCTCCTCGAACAGCACCACCAGAAGCTCTCCGAACTGATCAAGTTCTCCGTCGATCACCCAGCAGAACACGCCGTCACCGAGAAGGATGTGACCGAGGCCGAGGAGAAGGCTGGTGGTGCGCAGACAGGCGGTTCTGACACACAATCGGACGCAGCCTCGGGCACAACGTCGAAGCCTCCCGCAGCCGTGCCAGGCCTGACAGCACAGCGTCGCTACCCCCCATCCCGAGAGCTATCATCATCGATCGCCAGCAACCTCGCCTCTGCCAGGGGCATTCGCGGCTCGAGACATCGCGCACCGCCCGCCGCACCGAGTGTCTCCAATGACCAAGCTCCCGGTAATCTAGATGCCACGGCCAGGAAGGATGGCTCAAAGACAAGAATGCAGCACATGCTTGATGCGAAGAGCGGGAAGCCAAAACCAAGCTGGGTGCCTCCACCACAGCCTTTCTCGGCGCAGGGCTCGCGCCCGGCCTCCATCGACGAGGGGGCCGAAGATGAGCCCATGACCACCTCAGGCATCACCGAGGAGGGCTTCTCGCGTTTCTACAGCACGTTTGGCAACATCATCAACCGCCTCTCAGCTCCCCTGGCTTTCGCTGGCCTGCCCCTGATCACCGAAGAATCAGGCACCCCAGAGAACGCCGTTCCGGAATCGACCTCGCAGGCGAGAGGCAAGGCCAAGTCTGTCAGGGACCCCACCGAAGACCCAGATCTATCCAGGATTTATTCCAAGGCTGCTCTGCGAGCTGTGTATCGAGATGGCCACTCTGGCAACGACTCGTTCTACGTCGTCCCCACGAGCGGCCACACTGTCTCTTATGCCAACATACTGAATTTTGACCAGAAGGAGAAGAGACGTGCCATGGCGGCCTCTCTGCACGGTGGAACTGCCGATGCGCGTGATGACCCGGACGAGGAGGATTTCGTCGACGCTAAGGAGTCACAGATGATCTTGTCTCCAAGTACAAAACGGCGTGTCGGGAAGAGCCAGACCGAGAAGGAGCTCTTCAACGTCATCGAAGAGCTCAACACCGAAAACCAGAGCCTGAAAGGTATGCTCGACAAAGTCACCAAACGCCTGCATGCCTTCGAGGCGAGCGCCCAGCATTCTCGGCTTGCCATGGTGGACAGTATGCGCCTTGCTCGGCCGGGGTCTCCACTGTCGCAGAGCGGAAGTGCGCAGGCTGCAGATGAGACTCTGAGGAAACGAAACCGCGAGCTAGAAGAGGAGCTGGCCGCAGCCAGCAAGCAGTTTGAGACCCTTGAGAGGGACAACAAACATCTCAGGCGGACACTCGAGAAGTATCGTGAGAAATGGGAAGCCCTCAAGGCCGGGGCCAAAGCTCGAAGGGAAGCCTCTCATTCGGCTGATACCTAGGCTTTTTGGACATGACTGCAAGTGTAAGTCGATGCTTTACTACCATAGTTCTTGATCAAACTATACTTTCTTCATTTGCGAACGCAATGTGGCTTGATGTGTCTTGATATGTCATCCATTCGTTTCAGACCTGGCTCAGAAATCATCAGGTGTGACTAAGAATCCATTTCTGCTATCTCAATAGATGTACGCTGTAAAAAGCAACGGTTCACCATCAGTTTACTTCATTACCGTCACGGACGAAACAACGCTTGAGGCGATCGCGTGAATTGGCGCCCCCCCCCCCCCCCCCAAGCGAGATGGAGCTGTTCGTCGCGCCTTACTCCCAAGGTTCCCTTCGTGACTTCCTCACTGAGAACTGAACTAGACAGACCCCTTTTCAGCAACACACTCAACAAAGCCACAGTCTCGAACAAGAAGATCCAGCACAAGCCCTGAAGAACACAACCATTTTAACGCTGATCTACAACGTTTACCACGTGCAACTCAAGAATAAAAACTGTCCAAGCGGTTACGAAACCTCGATCCTTACGAAACTGGCTGTTTCACCTTGAAAAGGCAACAACGCTTTCTCGCTTGAGCGCCGTACAGCACTGCTGAAACCATCGCGTCAGCGTGGTCCTCGAAACGTCAGAGACTTACCATCCTCCATTGAGAAACTTGCCTCTGGGTGAAGACAAGATGGGGAAGAAGAAGTCGAAGAACAACCAGGCCAAGAAGCAGGCGGCTCAGAAGCGGCAGAAGGCGCCACAAAAGCAGCAACAGTCCCTACAGAAACAGCAACAAGCAGCACAGAAGCAACAACAGGCTCTGCAGAAACAGCGCCAGCAGGTGAAGAAAGAGAACGAGGGCCAGCAGGCTCCGGTGTCCAAGAAGGGGAAGGGTCGCCGTAAACGACGTGATTTTAATGCGGTCTCGAATGAAGACCATATACCCCGACAGCTAGACTATGGCAGCGATCACCACACAGAGCTTGTCTTCAACCCGTCGACCGTCAACAATCGCGAGCTGGGAGATGAAGACCTTACGCTGATAGATCCGCCATCAGTCAATGGGAACGACGAAAACGACACTCTTGTCGAGGATGAAGTCTCCGCCTATGGCGTTGACATCTTCCTGAAGGCTTCTAAGCGCGTCAGGCGAGGTCGCCCGTCGCCAGCGATTATGTGTAGCCCGGTCCAGCCGCGGAAGGGCCTGTGGGATCTCTATACCGAGTATCCTGATGAAAAGCTGTCCGGAATCGAGGCGGAGGTGCTGGAGTTGGCAGGCCAGGCAGCCAAGCAGGTCGTCCTCGAGGCTACCTACCACTTCCTACAGAAGTGCATCCCGACAGCTGAGAGGGAGAAGATCTGGGGTCAAGTCATGAAGAAGACCAGTAATGGTGCCTCGGACGATGCCGTCACTTCCATCCCCGTTCCACATGGTGTTCTCGATTCGAAGAACGGCACCCGTCAACTCCACCAGCTCATGGCCAATTGCATCACCACCCTCTCTTCCTCCTTCACTACCGCAGACGCTACATCTCTCCGACTCGTCTTCAACCGATGCATTACCCTCTGCAACGCTCTCGATGACTTGAATCGCCAAGCCGCTCTTGAGAAGGCCCTGCACGCCCTCGACTGGCTGATTCTCGGACTGGATGTTAAGACAACCCACGCATTCCGCAACCTGAACGAGGTATTGGACACCATTGACTGGGGTTTCTTGAAGAAGCCCGGTACGGATGCGCGCCTTAAGCGAAGTCGCTTTGAGCGTCGCATCTTACGGAATCACAAGAAATTGTGGGAGAATACGAAGGCGCCGTTGAGGATGAAGTTTCTCGAGGCGCTGCAGGAGCTGGTGCGGCAAATGTCGCAAATCAACTGAGCACTGGCTGGATACTCTCGGTAGTACCATCCGAAGTGTAAGATCTGCAATACTGCTACTTTTATGCATACAATAGATCCCGGGGGTCTCGTCAGACATAAAGTTAAAGTGTGAGGGCCCTCAATTTCAGGAAGTGTGAGAGACGGAAGGGCAAAAGAAAGTTGGTCTGGTCACAACCGGGAGGTTAGTGCAAATTCCAGGACACAGAGTGTGGGTCCTATATAGTTTACCCTTTTTATATTCCTCGGAATTGAAATGTCTATGGGGACGATTTTAATACAGAATCAGACTTGCTCAGCAAGGCATCAGAAGCCATTCTTAGCCCAACAATTCAAGAAGAGAACAGGAGAGCGACCAAAATGAAAGACTTCAGCTAAACCTTTATCAACGGCCAGATTGTTCCTAGATGCCGAAATGGAGTTATAGACATGCCATACGGTGCCGCACGCTTGTCATCCGTCCGCCCGCCCCCATGGACCCAAAGGGGAGCAGGAGGGCTTTCCCATTGGCCTTATTCGCAGTGTTTGATAGGAAATCCTGTCCTGGTGGGATATGCTGCCTACCTCCCGACCAACATACCGACTTCCTCGCAACCAAGGTTTGCATCTACACGATTTCCCTTCCAGTCATTTGTGATGCAGCACCTCTGTGTTCAGTCGTCACCCATGATCTCAAGGCACCTGCGGAACCGAGGGAGCAAGCTTGTGCCAGAGTTCAAGAAATCGCTGAAGAAATCACCAAAGTGGCTCGTTCGTCTCAGCCCTCGTTCTCGAATACTCGGCAGAGGGATGTTGCGCCACACCCGCGGGCTAGACCGATCCTGTTGATGAAATCATTTTGTTTCTGCTCACGTCATATTCGAGAAAAACGTGCGCGGGTCGCAATGGGCCAGCCTCTCGTCATTGGGGCTCCTGGCACGGCCGCCTATTTGGCTATCATCGTTTGCTCTCCATGTCGATCGATCCTTTGGAGTGAGCCTCCGGCTTTTTGGTGTGGTGCAGCTTGGGATTCAGAAGTGAGAACGAATGAATGTATGTGTGCGTGCGTGCATGCGTGAGTGACTTGTGTGAAGGGTATTTTTTTTCTTCTTCTTCTTTCCAATTGAATGACGATAGAATGTTGCAGCCCACACAACACTTAGGCAAGCAAGATTGTCATCATGAATAATAAACAGAGAAAAAGAAGAGAAACAATAAAAGAAAAGAGAAAAAAAAGCTGTGACGCTTTTGTAGGTATAAGGCGATTTCCCTGCAAATATTCCCATTCCATCTCATCATTTACGGTCGTCCTGACCTTGAACCAATGCAAAAGAAATTTTCCTAATACACGCCCCCAGACCCGAGCGTACAGGACGATCAGCCCAAGAGAAAATAGACAAGATAATTAATACATCTTCCCCCCAAAGGAAAGAAGGAAGGAAGAAAAAAATTAGCTGGTAACGAGGATTCCAGCGTGACATTCGGTGCCGATATTGGGCGTAGTCGGGGCAGCGGTCTGGGTGGGTTTCAGGTAACAGTTGCCCGGGGCATAGCCGACAAGAGCAGCCGTCTCGTTGGTCCACAGCGGAATAAAGCTTACGGCGCCGCACGTGGTGTTGGTGTTATTTCCGAACATGGAGGGTGTGTAGTGCGAATAGGCGGCGCAGGCGTCCATGCAGCCGTTGATGTCGGCCGCGAAGAGGCTCATGAGCGGACTGCCGTCGGTGTCCTTGTTGCACTGTATCGTGAAGGAGTAGTCACCAAACACTACAGCATAAAGAGTTCAGTCATGTTTTCCCCAAAGTTTGAAAGACGTTCAAGGGGTGAGTTTTCTTTTTTGGGGGCTACTCACATGAGAAGGCATTGTATGTTGTTCCTGTCACCCCATCCGGGTTTCCAGTGCAGTTGTCGTCGAGAGAGGCAAAGGACGTGCTGGAAGCCGAAGCCGACGCAGAAGTCGACGTCGAAGCTGATGACTTGGTAGTAGCCGTCGCGCCCCCCAGAGCGGCGACGAGTGAGGCGTTCAAACGGTCCGCCCTGTTCTGGGCCGAGGTGGCCCTCGAGGCCTCAATGCCCGTCCCGGCGGCGAGTCCGACGACTGCTGCCGCAAGCAGTGCGACGAGGGCGCTGAGAAAGAAGACGACGGCCGTACACCCGCAGATGGTGCGTCCTGCTCCTCTCCTCTTTTCGAGACCGCCGGCATCACTCATGGGGGAGCCGGCAGCGCCGCCTCCGACCAGCTGGGAGTGATATGTCTGTGGGGTGGTATGGTGGCTTGTGGCATAGGCAGAGTTGGGGACACTTTGTTGTGACATGTATGAGATATATGAATCCTCTGGTTTGGGTGGTGGTGGAGGCGGGTTTGGAGGATAGTGACTATACTGGTTGTATTGTTGCTGCTGGCCTTGGGGGAGAGCCTCCTGGTAGCTGTGAGAAACCAGCTCAGGAGCCTGCTGGGCGTGGTGATCTGCCTTTGGATCCATTTTTCTCACATTAGTATCCAAGCTTACATTACTTTTTCTCCTGGGCCGCTGTTCACAACAACGAAGAGGGAAAAAGATGAGAAGGGAGTAAGAGAGGAGAGAGAGAGAGAGAGGAGAGGTAGAGGGGGAAAAAAGCAAAGGAGGGGAGGAACGGAAAGACAGAGGCCAGGCAGATGCCAAAAAATGGTGCTCCACCTCAAGTATCAATGGATGGATTATGAGCAAACTCACCTGGTTCGACATCGTGTCAGCGGGCAACCGCTACTTCAAGTTATTTACAGACTGGTCGTCGCCGACATGGGGCCGGGCGGAGATTTGGGAGGGCCTCAGGGAGCCCTAATGATCCTTCGGGCGAAACGACAAGTGCTGCTATGAAGGATGGGAAGGTAGGCCGAAGGGAATGGAGACTCTCGTTAGAATAGACGAACAAGACAAAAGATTAAGCTCAGCAGGCAACCAGTATTGCCATGTGTGTGTGCGTGCGTGCGCGTGCGTGCGACTATAAAGCAGATTTCAAGTGCTTGACTGGGCCCACCCTTTTTCTGTTCAGCTCTGGTCTTTTTGATGCCATCAGCCAGATATACCGTGCCTGGACCCCATTTACGATGGACCCTGATGCCCTCAGCAACTGTAAGCCTCTCTTTTTTTTTTCTTTCTCCCCCTTCTTCTTCTTATTTCTTCTCCTTGCCCTCGGTTCTTCTTTTCGCGGCCGCCCTTCTCCCTCCTCCCTCCTCCCTCCTTCACTCGGGTCCCAGGCTAGTTTGATTAGCCGTCTTGGCTTCTGCAGGTGGATGGTGATCACCGTAAGCACTTAACCGCTCCTAGGCATCCTGATTACTACCACACCACGAGGGTTGGAGAAGCTGAGGAAGCTGCTCTGTAAGGTTGGAGGGGGGAGGGAGGTTTGGTTGAACCGCCACCATCGACAAGCCTTTTTACCTTTTCTTCCTTCTTTCTCTTGTGTGTTCCAGGCCCTTGAAGAAGGATTCATCCAGGGGATGGTGTCTCATGGCCGAGAGAGACTAAACGTGTGAAACACGTGTGTGCGCCAATAGTACTATAGGAAGACGGCCGGTATTATTTTCCTCTTCTCTTCTCGATGTCGAGACTTGAGTCCATGTTGGGCGCCTGAGCCGAGCGAGAGGCCCTGACCTTGTTCAGCGCTACATCGGACCCCCAGCTCGTGGAGAACAAAGGCCTAGCGCAGTGCCTAGATACGAACCCTTCCAGGGCCATGGCAGGGGGATGGGCTAGAAGGGCGGTCGTTAGATTAGTATATTCAAGAGCAATGAGGGCCCTAAGCCTTATGGGACCACCGTTTAGAGTGTGTAGTGTGTCTGTTTGAGGAGGCGATGGGGAAAGGGAAATGGATTACTTCAGTATGAAGTCAGAACAAGATCTTTGTTGATCTACATACCACAATAAGCCCAGTGAAGAACCTTCTGGGCTCATCCCAGCCCAGCCAGCACCCATGTGCACCATCCTCCTGAATTGCTAGAGTAATCCTTGTCCTTGTAGGACGAACCTTGTGGTCTTAAAAAAAAGGGAGCATTCTTGACAGGGCCCTTTATGGATGCCTGATTGGAGCTTGGAGGGATAAGCAAGCGGAAACCTAAGGCTGAGAATAGCCGCCTGGGTTGGTGCACTAACGCAGCCATGATTGAGTAGCCCAGATTGATGGAATGGGAAAAGCATAGGGAAAAAAAGAGAAAGAGAAAAAGACGGACAGAACTCTTGTTGGCATGCTCCTCAGAAGACGTAGGCCAAGCAATTAGGTTCGACAACCGAGATCTGCTGAAGAAGGTTATAGAGATTGGCGAGAACCAACTGCATTCGTTGCCTGCCTGCCATGTAGGCTGCTCTGTTACGTCAGGGGTCTGGCCGGTCCAATGCCCGGGTGCGGGTCCGAGCTTTCTCCTGCTTGTACCAACAGCGCGGTAGTTCTGATCCCTGGAATCAACCGTTCCCAGGACCAACGGTGCCAACCTACTACTTTGCAAGGCCGCTTGCCGAAACTGATCTCCCTCATAATCTACGCGCCGTGCTCCTTCGTTCCCCTCCTCCCCGAGAAATTTCTTCCCAAAATGTCGAAGCCAGAGGAATTGGTGCCGAGATTCAAGCTCGGACGCCTGCTCAACCAGGGTGCGCCCGCTTTCCTGAGCCACGCTCCGTACTCGCCATCCACCTTTTCAAGCCCCTCAAGCTAACCATAGTGGCATACATTTGCAAAACACGATGCAGACCAGGCAGGGCGGAGGACGTCGCTATGCGGCACCATCGACGAGCAGCCTGCGCTGCTGATTCTCGAGCGCGCCCCTTTCCCCAGCTCCAGTGACTACCTGGGCTCTATAACGGGTAGCCTGCGAACGCTCAAGAATCTCGGTGCCAATGACATCTACTATTGGTACATGGCCGGCAGCGGTGCAGTTGACGGTGCGGACAGTGCCGAGTTTGCCGACCTCAAGATCAACCTGATCTACCCTTGCACAGAGCAACACATCAAGAAGTATAGCAAGCAGGGAGTGCGCTTCGTGACCGAGACCCCAGAAATCTACCGCCAAAGGATCTGGCCGCACATGCAGGCCAAGCGCGACGAGGGCCGGCTGAACTGGGTGTTCAATATCATTGAGGGCCGCAAAGAGGTGGAAGATGTGATATACAGAACCCCTCTCGGCCAGGCGGGCGAGGAGGGGTTCCTCCTCTTGCCAGACCTGAACTGGGACCGCAAGACCATCGAGGCTCTCCACCTGCTGGGGATCGTGGAGCGCCGCGACATCTGGAGCCTGCGGGACCTCAAGGTCAAGCACCTCACGTGGCTCCAACATATGAAGACCAAGTTCATCGAGGCCACCGTCAAGGTATACCCAGATATCGAGCCCGACCAGCTCAAGTTATATGTGCACTACCAGCCCACGTACTATCACTTCCACATCCACATCGTTCATGTAGCCCTCGAGGCCGGAGCGACGCAAGCGACCGGCAAGGCCATCGGGTTGGACAGCATCATCGAGCACCTGAGGAGCATGGGCGACGAACAGGACAAGGGTATGGATTCGGTATCGTTAAGCTATACGCTCGGTGAGGCTAGCGAGTTATGGACAGAAGTATTCGAGCCGCTCAAGAAGAGCGGTACTGCTTCTCAATCTCAAGAACCAAGTCGTTGACTTCGGGCCCTCGGGGACAATCTGACCACTCTCCGTCATCCCTGATGCAGTAAATCTCCTCATTCACCCGTACCGTGCAGCTCTTGGTGACGCCGGCCTAGAATTGTTCCTCCCGTGTCAGAAACGCCTTGTTGTGTGTGTGGCTGTGTGTGGTGGCTTATGGGATGGAGATTGCCCTTACCTCTGCGCTTCTCCGAACACTGCTCCTCAGCATGTCCAGACCAAATGCGCCGTCGTCCTGGTCTGCACAGTCGCTCAGCTTTTCGAAGTCAATAGCGTGCTCGAGAGCGCAGTCCTCGATCAGACTTCTCTGGGGTATGTCCTCGTAATCCTTGATCAGGCACATCGAGAAGCCTAGGTATATCTTGGGGTCGGGATATAGGGAGGCTGCGCAGAGCAGCATGATGTTTCCAAGGCCTAAGCCGGGTAATCGTAGCCAGTCTTGTTAGCTGCCAGACCAGACACCTCAGGATTGTTCCCGGACGACGTACATTCTTCGGGACCATGTTTGCAATCCACACCATCATTGGCCGTGGGCGTCCCAATGTACGACAGGGTGAAGTTGACCTTATCGAAGACGCGCTGCATAGTAGGGAGGATCAGCATCCTAAGGCAGTCCCTGGCATCCGGACATTTCGACATGATGTGGGCCTCGAACGGGACGAGGGTTTTGGTGCTCGCCGCCATGGCCTTCTGCACATCTGCGTCATGCGCCGAGGCGAGCCTAGCAACCTGGGGGAGGATGCCGAAGGGTGTAGCTGGTCGCACGTAGTAGTAGAAGCACAAGACCACGAGGGCCGTGATCAGAAGCGGTCTCAACCTGCGCGTGGGCCGAGCGTAGGGCCTCATCGTTGCGTGTGCGGGCCTCCCGAGCTTGTCGAACTTGTAGGCGGATTTCTCGTCCATGGTGTGGCAGACAATTTCCCTTCTCGTCGAATCAGACCAACGGTAGGCGGCTTCGGGGCAAATGGAAAGACGAAGAATAAAACACAGAAGAATAGGGGTTTGATGGGGGCTGGGAAGAGGATGATGCAGCATGGAGTTGTCAGAGGAAGGATGCCGCCATGTTTTGGAGAGGGTACGCCTTCGGCTGTAGCTCATCCTGCGGGCGGAGACGCGTAGTGCGGCTCTAGAGGTTGCACCTGCAACCACTGACTCTCTCAGCCACTGCAAGTGTCTCTTGAACGGCACGGGCACGGCATGAGGGGGTGGCGCCACCCCCTGTCTCTCCAAGACCTGCCCCTCACTATGTCTGTACCACCTGCCATCATAGTATGTACAAATGGCCACCTAGAAAAGAAAAAAAAAAGAAAGAAATAGAATGTCTTGCAGGCCGCCCATGTGCAGCTCCCTCGTGCCGGTCCATTCATTAGGGCTTGTACGACCACTACCAAGGCATAGTAACTAATCACTGCATAGTACATGGCAGTACTTGAGTATCGCTCTGGGTACAGTACTCTGTATCCCTCCTCAAATGGTTCATAGTTTCCGCACTTATTGCTTTGTAGTAACGTATTATTTTGAACCCGTCCGGGATGGAATACCCGTCTTGTGATTATATGATATTATGTATTCCCTTCTCCTAAGGTTACGTTAGACTGATGTTCCCGTGTCTGCTGCTCGATACCCTACGTTACAGTTGGAGATCGAGCCTGTTGGGTGCGGAGTCCGTTGTGTACTGTATTATGCCGCTGCCCGCCTGCCCACGGGCGTCGTTCAGGGTCCAACACCACTAGTCATTGTGGTACCGCACTGTACCTGTTACCTCTGGCAGTGCGTGTGGCTTGGCTTATCGATTGGGCGGGCGCAAAGTCACCCAAACCCCTGAACCACCATCCGGCACGAACAGCACTAAAGGAGAGGGTCACCTTCAAGTCACTCCTTTCCTTCGATTGGTCCTCACAAGTCCACCCAGACGAAGGCGAGGAAGAGGAGAGTCCTCTCAACTTCACAAGAGGTTTCCTCCTTTCCCCTTCTTAAGCAGGACCGAGATTTTTTCTTTTTCTTCTTTCTCTTCTTCATCCTGGGCAAAGGAGCTACACCAATGTCGTCTCGGTTCTTGTGACGTTTGCAAGGAGGATTGCCACCCCTCGAATCCCAAAAGAGTCATCAGCTATGAGAACAGGTCTATAAACCCTTGTACTTACATCTTGACTGTGCACAAACACTCATCCACTCCCATTCTCGCCATTATTATGTCTTCCGAACAGCGACGGCGCCCAGTGTCGGTAGAGGAATTCCTCACGCCTCTCCGCATCGATGATACGATAGTGCACGACCTCTCTCTGGAGATGGCTAGGACTTTTACGGAGCTGTCAGCCAAGTCGGAGGTCCAATGTCTGCCTACCCCGATCAGCGAGTCCCTTCTCAGACGAGTCAACGGTGCTGACCGTGGTCGGTGAGTCCTACTGGCCCATCCACTCTCACGGACGATCTATCTTTATAATCTGGGCAGAGGCTGACCTTTTGTTTTGAGATTAGTTATCTTGCTATTGACATGTGAGCTGCTCCGTCTTTGGGGAAGGTCTCCACACGCCTGCCTTGTCCCAGGGCTCTCTCTGAGCTTGGTGTTCGTCTTTTGCTGACTACGACATACAACAGAGGCGGCACAAACCTGAGAGTCGGTTTTATTGAACTGCTTCCAGAGGAGGCGCGGAGCCACGAAGGAGGCGTGGTGAATGGGAGCTCAGCAGCAGGCCACCACGGCTCGAGACTGCAGCGGCTCCTCGAGCAGTCCTGGCCCATAGGCGAGCATCTCAAGAATGAGAACCCCGAGAGCCTATTCTCCTGGATCGGCCAGTCCATAGCCACCGTGGTCAGGAGGGCGCAGGAGGAGTGGGGCTTTGGTCCAGACAGCGCCCTGCCTATGGGGGTCACCTTTAGCTTCCCGGTGGTCCAGACCTCGGTGTCGCAAGCAACGATCATGTCTATGGGAAAAGGGTTTGCTATCACCTCGAAGTTGGACTTGGGCTCGCACCTCCTCGCCGGGTATGAGCAGCATCGCCAGGACCTGCCGCGCATCACCATCGCGGCTATTGCCAACGATGCCATCGCGACGCTGGTCTCGTTCATCTACCAGTTCCAGGCCAGTCCGAACCAGAAGGCTGCGATGGGCCTTATCTGCGGGACCGGGAGCAACGCAACAGTCCCCCTCAGACTGAGCAGCCTGCACCCAAGCAAAAGGCCCGAGACGGTGAGTGTGCTACCGGGCCAGGCGGGTGAGGACGTCAGGCTGGCGGTGAACACCGAGTGGGGGATCAACGGCACGGCACCCCCGCTGCGAAAATTTGGCCTCATTAGCCGGTGGGATACGGAGCTCGACATGGCTGGTGAGGCGCCCGGCTTTCAGCCGCTGGAGTACATGACATCAGGTCGCTACCTTGGCGAGCTCGGTCGCCTCATATTCGTTGACTACCTGACTTCAGTCCTTGGGTTCGAGGCGGGCGGACTGCCCTCCAAGCTCAAGACGAGGTTTGGTCTGAGCACGACGTTTCTCAGCCATTTCGGCCCTCGAGGCGAAGGAACATTACGAGAGCAGCTGGACAGGGAGGTTCCAATGGAGAAAGATAAAGAGAACATGCAGTCCCCGTCGCGTTGGACAGACGAGATCGCCAGTGCTCTTTATCAAATTGCCGTGGCCATCGAGGCCAGAGCAGCGGGGATTGTGGCGGCCAGCACTGTTGGCCTTTTGATGTGCGCAGGAGAGCTACCATCACCATCACTATCAACATCTACAAACACGATAACAAGCCCTCCTCCACCAGCGATGAACGCTGAGAACGCCACCGAGCTGGTCGTGGGCTATACAGGAGGCTGTATAACAGGCTTTCAAGACTACCTCAAGGACTGCCAGGCCTTTTTGGATAAGGTTGTTGCGCTGGAGTATGGCAGGGACACAGAGCGCCGGGTGCTACTCTCTCCTTGTCATGACGGTGGGATCATTGGGGCCGGCATTCTAGTTCCCGCATCACTCCACAGTGAGACCGCCTGACGAGGGCATAGATTGGGGCTCGCCCCTATTTTTCTCTCTCTGTCTCCCTCTTTTTCTTTTTCCTTGTTCTTTGAGCGCAGCATGGGTGGTTACTTGTGCATAGAGTGGTGGCCTTGATACAGATATACAGACATACATACGTACATGCAGCTGCAGCAGCACCAAAAAGGCGCTTGAGTGCGAGACAGAAGGAGGGCAGCATGACTTTGTTCATAGCGAAGCGATAGCATCATACGGCAGGATAAATTTCGCACAGAAAATGTTTTTGTCCCGCTTCTTTTCCTCATTCACCGATCTAGACCTCGTTGCGCAGCTAATGCCACCGGTTCCCCCACCCAAGCAGCCAGCCGGTCCAGTCTCTCGTTGCAGAGAGACACACGAAATACATGCTATGAGTGGGCGGCCGCTGCCTTCTTTTCTGATACTTGGTACGGCCATGTGAGACGATCACACCCACCACTCATCCTCCCGGCCGGCCGCCCGGCCGCCCGCTTGCCACCAACAGACACGCGCGCACACCTACAGGCACACGCGCACGCACACGCACATGCACACAGCCCACACCTGTGCTGTGGGGTTGGGTTGGTCCGAGGAAGCAAGAGAGAGAGAGAGAGAAAGAAAAAAAGAGGGGGGTGTCCCTCTTGCCCGGCCAAATAATGCAACGTTCCATGAGCGGGCCGCGAGAAACTTGCCGGCGGGAACCAGTACCCTGCCGCGAGAGTCTTAACGCATGTTTAAGATAGAGACAGGAAACCAAAAGATAGAAAGAAGAAAAGAAGAAGGAGCAGAAGGAGCAGGCTCAGTCTGTTGCTATTTTGTTGTTGAAGAAGGATGTTACAGGGCGCAGTGATATAATTACCAGCCCGCGCGAAGGTACAGTATTGAGGTACCGCGTGGTAACTATCTGCCGCGATTCGTCGTCGCGGCTATAGAGAGGGGGAAGAGGCAAGGGAAGAGGGGGCCCGCCGGTGCTGTGCCCCTGGCTTACAGGCTGCCCGGCCGAGTCCCACGTGGCTGATTGACACCAGGAGAGGGGTACCTAGGAGCTGTATGTACTGTAGTACGTACTGTATTGTTGATACGGGGGTCTGTCCAGGATAGATAGGCTACTATGCTATTCTCACCTATCTTTCAACAGCAACAATTGTTGCCCGGGGAGGTCCGTCTACCGCAAAACTTTTCTACATTCGGAGCTCATTTCAATATTAGACTTCTCTCCCTCATCTTGCTGATCATCTTGTTGATTGCTCCAACAATCCTTCTCTTCTTTTACTTTTCCCTTGCCCTCCTTTCTTTGTTCTTCTTTTTCCCTTTAATCTTTCTCTCCGAAGCAAATGAATCACCTGCCACAGCATAAAACATTCGCGTGCAGAATTGCAAACTGTAGTCCAGAAACTCCTTTCCTGCCTTTGCCCTGCTGAGGTTTTCTGTGTCTTGTGATCACGAGGGGTATGGGTCCCTTCTCGTGTTGTGAAAGTTGGGCATGGTACAAAATATTGCATAATGAACGAGCCGTCTGTAAGGGACCGAACTCAGTTCAATGGTACATTCCATAAATAGTCAAGACATTAGGCTGTTGATTTAATTCTCTCTTATCTCTCTTATTCAATGACATGCTCATCATCAGTCTCATATCAGACAGACTCAGGGTCTTTCATGTGAGAGTGAGAAGTGGGAGAGTATGTGGATCAAAAGAAGGTGCTCCATGTTCTGTCAGGGCAAAACAAGGGGTGGGCTTGGTGGGGTCCTTCCTTGGTGGGCTCTTTTGTGAGTTATTGCCTGCATATCACTACACTACGTCAGTGCCCTGTTGCAGGGGTATTAGCAGTTCATTACGCGCAGTCACAACCGAATTAGTTTATTATTGTTTTGGACTTCACATTGGGCACAAGTTGACCAAGGGATGGAATGTGCACCTTTTGCAGAGGCCCCCTTTCTTCACGATGACTTCAGCAGCAAGCACCCTCTGAAACCCACACCCACCCCAGCAACAGAGAGTTTTCTATCACCACTGAAACATCTTCTATACCACAGACAAGACATCTGAGTCCTGGGGTCTGGGCGTGCATCAGGTCTTCCCCCTCCAAGTTTTGGTGGTGGCAGTTTAGAGAAGCACCACGAATCGACTGTGCACCAAGTGACGCGTCCTCACCCAAATTCACCATGTCGTCGCTGCCATCACCATCGCTGCTGCCGCCGTCACCAAAGCCCATGGCGACACCAGTCAAGCAGAGGGTTCCGTCGAACCAGTCAGGAGGAGGAGGGGCAGATGGAGAGCTGCTGCATTCTCTCAAGGGGCTGGCCATCTCAACCTCGCCGTCCGCAGCCACTGCTCCTGCGCCTGCGCGTTCGCCTATCACCACCAACAACACCACTGCCACACACAGACCGGCCGTCGACCGATCACCTTCGTCGCTCAGCGTCCGATCGGCTTCGCGTATGTCCTTTGGAAACAACGGCGGCAGCGCAAACGGTCGCGATTCGCGGGCAGCAACCCCCAGTCTGATACGAAAGGCGTCCATGAACTCGCTGCAGTCCGCCAACGGAGTTGTGCCACCGCGTCGATCAGCCTCTGGCAACATGCCGACCTCTCCCTCCTCGCGCCCACCCATGTCGCCTGATCCCTCACGCCCGCCTCCCCCTACCGCCAACGCCATAGCGAGGGCCCATTTCCGCGGCGAGCTCGAGCAGCTGCACGGCGACGAGGCGGGTCGCGCCGCCGAGACCATCGTGATCCTCCATGATGCGTGCTACGGACACCGCTTTTCGCGCCCCAAGACGTCTCGCGCGGCGCTCAGCACCGTCGTCGAGCGGCCCGAGAGGATCAAGGCCTGCGTGTTGGGAGTTGCTGCCGCCTATGTGCTGCTGGGGGAGCGTCATGTCGACGGAGAATATCCACCCCACCCAGACCTGAACGCGTCCAACATACCCTCGATCCCGTTTCGTATTCACAAGTCTACCCGTCGCCTCCCGCTCACGTCACCTGCGGTCACAAATGTACATGGGACCAAGTGGATGGAGGAGCTCAAGATCATGTGTGATGCCGCCGAGGGCAAGCTTGCCATGGGTGGAAAGGAGCTGCAGCGCCCCGAGGTGAACCGCGGCCCAGACAACAACGAGCTGCCCAAGAAGCTGCACGAGGGAGACCTGTATCTGTGCTCGGAATCGCTCGAGTCCCTGGAGGGCTCGCTGGGCGCTGTCTGCGACGCAGTGGATGCGGTCTTCAGGCAGGGCGGACCTAGCCGCGCCTTTGTCGCCGTCCGGCCTCCTGGGCACCATTGCTCGGCAAGCTTTCCGTCGGGTTTCTGCTGGGTCAACAATGTGCACGTCGGCATCATGCATGCCATCCTGGGCCACGGCCTCACGCATGCTGCCATCATCGACTTTGACCTGCACCACGGCGACGGCTCACAGGCGATCGCCTGGCAGCACAATGCAAGGGGCGTGGGTCTGGCCAAGAACGCGGCATACTGGAAGAAGGCCTCGATCGGATACTTCTCGCTCCACGACATCAACTCGTATCCCTGCGAGCTGGGAGACGAGGAGAAGGTCAAGAATGCCAGCCTGTGTATCGACAACGCCCACGGCCAGCACGTCTGGAATGTCCACCTGGAGCCCTGGAAGACAGAGGCAGAATTCTGGGAAATGTACGAGGACAAGTACGCTGTCCTGCTGCACAAGGCTCGGAAGTACCTCAAGGCACACACAAATCGTCTGCGCACGGCAGGCCAGAACTCCAAGGCGGCCATCTTCCTGTCGGCAGGCTTCGACGCCAGCGAGTGGGAGGGAGCTGGCATGCAGCGTCATAGTGTGAACGTGCCGACCAGCTTTTATGCCCGTATCGCCCGCGACGTTGCAAAGATTGCCGAGGAAGAGGGGACCAGCGTCCAGGGCAGACTCATCAGTGTCCTCGAGGGTGGGTACAGCGACCGTGCTCTGACGTCTGGTGTCCTGAGCCACATCAGCGGCCTGGCTGGCAGCGATCCTGTGCCGGCGGCTGGAGAGCACCACCAACAACAACAACAAGGCGGACTCGCTGGTGATACGATGGGAGCCATGGGTGGTGGCGGCATGAGCGATCGGAGGAACTCCCTTGAGGTTAAGCTGCGTCCTCATGCCTACAATACCTCGTGGTGGAGCCCAGAGAGCCTTGACATGCTCGAGTCGGGCGTTGTCCTCTCTCCGCCAGCACCCCGAGTGCAGCGGAGCTTCACGCCAGGCAACTATTCAACGCCCACACAGTCCTCTACGGCCAAGATGGCGGACATTGCGAAGCTTCGCCGCCAGGCGTCTTTCAATGGTGTAGCACCCCCCAGGCTGCCCACTCCGCCCCCGCCTGAGATCGCCTGGAATGTCGCGGCCCATGGGCTGTGCACGGTCTTGACGCCTACCGAGCGGACCACAACCAGCTGCAGCCCCCAAGAGCTTACCGCTGAGGCCACGCGCGCCCGACGAGAGCGGCATCTGGCCTCGATGGGTATCACTGAAGACCAAGTGGCTCCTGTGGCAGGACCAGCGCCTCCCGCGCCGTCGAGGATGGGTTTGCGAGAACGCAAGGCCGTCAAGTCGTACTTTGAAGGAAGTGATGACGAGGATCGCAAGAAGAACAGGCGCCGGACTGTGGCCGGCTCAGCGGTCCTTGCCTCTGAGGAGGGTGCATCACAGAGCAGCGCGTCGCAGCCCACGGGCCGTGGCCACGAGAAGCAAGCAGGACGGCGTCTTAGTGCGGCGCCGTTTGTTCCCGAGACTTTTGATGGTGCGTCAGGTGCTCTCGAACCGGACCGTCCCTCGAGTGCAATGACTGGACGGCCCAATTCATCTCTGAGTGTCAGAACAACCGCCACGACGGCAACGACAAATACAAGTGCAACAGGCGCAAGCAACCCGCCTCTTGCAGTGAAGAAGACCAGGGCGACGAACACAGCCAAGAAGGATGCGCCGAAGGCCCCACGGGTCAAGAAAGCTGTGGTTACGGCCAACAAGAGCGGGCCGAAGTCATCAAACCCACCAAGCCCCGAGGCCAGTCGGCGTGCCACTACCAAAGACAAGGCGGGAGACGATTTGGACAAGATAACGTCTGGAATAAAGAAGATCACGCTCGTCACCAAACAGCAAAAGGAGGCTCGCGCACGCGAAAACCAGAAGCCGCCCACGGGTGGTGTCTCAGAGGCAACGCCGACGAACACGACTCAGGAGGAGAAAACTGGTCTTCCTATCACATCTGAAGAGCAGCCGTCACAGCAAGAGCCGCTTTCCCCTCCTGCCAATGGCGGTGAGCCTTCCGCTGTGGTCAACCCGACCATTCCTCAGCAGCAGGCGTCTCAACCAGAGATCACTGTCGCTCCCGTGGTCAAGGCGCTCGAAGACACAAACAACACCAAAGTTGAAACTCCAGTGGCTTCCCCGGTCTTCGGCCAGGCATCCACTCCCGATACATTCATTCAATACCAGTATGATGGGCCAGCACCCGAAGCCCATACTTCCGACGCCCCTCTGCACTGGCTTCCCGTCAACATCGCCGCGACGCCGAGTCCGGCCAAACAAGCTGCGCGGCCTACTCTTCATACGGACGTAGCCAGTCCCGTCAAGCAGGAAGAGCCGGATGTTCTATCGCCCAGCCTGATGAAGCAGACTGATGAACGTTCTGCGGCCACACCCAGCCCAATGAAGCGAGACAACTTGCCTGTCTTCACCTCAAGCTCTCAGCTGCGCTTTGCGCCTCGCTCCACAGAGCCGTCCTTGGCGTCACCCAAGTCCAAGACTGAAGTCGAGCGCAGGTCTGACAAGGCAATCTCAGAGGTTCCTGAGGCTTCCAAGTGAGGCAGGATTGTCTTGGAATTTTTTCCCCCCCCTCTATAGCTTTTCACATGCCGCCGTCAGCATGCCTCGAAGAAGGGGGAGGGACGGGTTTCCCCGTTGTGGCTTGCAGACGCCTCAGAATCTCAAAATGTAACCGCAAGGTCTGGCGTTGATTTGTTCCTCTTTCATCTGGAGGGAAAGCATCATCAGCGTCGACTGCTGCCGTATGATGATACTGTACTCTATGTAATCTTGCTTGGAAAAAGAAGCATTACGATACCCGATTCTCTTTTCTTCTTCTTTTCTTCTTTCTTTTCTTTCCTCTTCTCCCCCCCCCCCCAAGATAATTTCCATACCCGCAAGGGCCACCTCTCTTTTTTTTTTCTGTTCTTCTTCTTGGTTGGAGGAAAATCGTACAGGATATCAATGGCACTTTGGGTGAGGAAGCTCGCGATGGTGGATATGGGCAAGGCGTTCAGATGGTTTGAGGGGGGGGGGGGTTCTCGGGATGGCGGGCGGCGGTCATTATACACCTTCTAATCCAGACAAGACAGGCTGTCCATTAGAGAGGACTTTTAATTTATGAGACCGTTTACATTTCAGTCGTTAATGGATGCATCAAGGCAACAACACCAGTGATGCTTCGCCATCACCAATAAATAGCGAAGCGGCTCTCCTCATTCACCACCAGCCCACCACTTTGGTTCTTCTTTCTCTTTCACTCCTTTTTGCTTTTCAGGAAATGGCATTCTGAACATCCACATCCACGCCCTCGTCCATTGCTCCACAGCTGCCATCTCTTGCGCTCCACGAGTCTCACACTTGGCCAGCCTCTGTGGAAAGGGGCAAGAGAATGAACTTATTCCATTACCCGAGTTGCTTTGTAGTTATGGAGACGAGCCACACACACACACACACACACACACACACACACACACAGACGCATTGCTACATGAAATTTTTCTTTTCCGAGTAAAACAAATATTTACCCATACTCCTCAAGAGGTTTTTTGCTGGTTTTCAAAATACAGACTTGCTATTTGTGAGGTCCTGCTGCTGCCTTTCTCCCGCCTTTCATTCTTCTGTTTCGTTTCCCCCCCCCCCCCTATCAGATGGTGGAGGCAAATAGTTAACCGCTTTCTTGTAGTGAAAATTCTTCATCGTATAAATAAAAATAAAATAAAATAAAAAAAACCATTTTTGCGCTCCGTGAAATGACAACAGGCGTCCTTTGTAGGATAAGACACGTGTTAATGAGACTCCAAGGCTATGCCAAACGAAAGATAGGAAGAACAGGAAGAAAGAAAATACAAAATCAGTTTTGCTGCTCAATCGTGATAACTCATTGAAAACTTGAACCAAATTTGCCCTTGATCCCCTTGTGTTTAGAATATGAGCACCCTGTTTAGAATTGGACACAGCTGGGAGGGAGGGACAAGAGATGCCCTGGCACGTCCGTAACCCCCAAGTCATTGTCGGTAGCGAATGACATTCGAAAAACAAACCAGCAGCGGCTTTCGATATAAGAGGTCAGAGCCGTCAGGTGGTGGAGTGGGAGGTTTCCCCCCCCCCCCCCCCCCAACAGCGATGCTTGCGTCTCTTTGCACGAAATCCCACTCTTCTGCAGCTTTGGTGGTGGCCTGACGGGTCTCCCACCTGCTCAACGAGTCAGACGAGAGTAGTTCTCATTTGGGATAGATTCCAAAATCACAGCAACGGAGTGTCCCATAATGGGGCACTGTGCGGTTCAGCAGGCATAGTCTGGACGTGTGTCTTTAGACATAGCAACATGCCTCGCTGCGCCGCTGTGCCTTTCCCGTCCAACCTTCTCGCGGCGGGACGAGCCTGTTTCATCGCTCTGTCTTCGTGAGGCAGATGCGGGATATGATCTTGGGCGACGATCTGGAGTAGTGGGGCTCGTACTCTTCCACTCAGCTCGTTCAGGGGCCCGACCCGAGCGGTGGGCCCATCGTTGTCGGTATCGATGCGGGCTGGAGTCTCGGTGCTGCTCCCCCGTTCGTATTGCTGGCGCGAATGCCCTCGTCGACTTCGAGCGCCACCATACCTGTATTGCTTGGGGTCAAACTCGGTCCGGCTGCACCATTCATCCCGTTGGCCGCAGCCGTACTTCTGCCCGCGAAGCTGGGCCGCAACCTCATCGTATCCCGCCGCACACCGTGCGAGCGAAACGTCCGGTTTCCCACAAGCCCCTCAGTCAGCAGCTTCTTCAGACTCCCGTCTGTGTCGCCAGCCAGCATGCGCTGCATCTCCTTGTCGGCCAGGGTCTTGGTGTGCGTCAGCCGCTCCTTGATCTTAATGATCTCGTCGGCGCAGTCACCGTCGCGCAAGAACTGATGTGCTGCGCGCTCACACATGGACTGCACGACCTCGAGGCCCTTGTCAAGGTCATCGAAGATGTCGCCTGGTTGTTGCTGGTCGGCATGGCCATTCTTGCCACGAGCAGGGTTTGAAGGCGACCGGGCTGCCAAATACGGTCGAAAGGGACTCGATAGTCCCTGTCTGGGCAGACCGTTGCCGTTGCCGTTGCCTATGCCTACTGTTTGTTTGTATGATAATTGCACGGGACCCGTGACTGCTGTTGCTGCTGGTGCTGGTGCTGGTGCTGGTGGTGGTAATGGTGGTGGTGGTGGTGTTGTTGGTAATATTCCATTCGAGCCGCCCTTCACTGCCTTGGCCCCTGTGCCAGTAGGCTGCTGGTGGTCGAGCTTGTCCTCCTCCTCCTTCTTCTTCTTCTTCTCCTCCGCCTGGCCGTTCACCTTGGTCCCATCCGTCGTCTGAGCCTCCCCGTCAATCTCCATTGCCGAGGACGGTGACAGTTGTGGTGGGACCAGCCTGGCCGTACCGAAGCCAAAGCCTGGGCCATCGTCTGAATCGGACGACTCGTCGTCGGGGGTCTCCAGCTCGGCCATCCTTCTGATCTGGGCGACCTTGGCGGCCATCTTGGCCTTGCGCATCAGGTTGCGGCTGGCGCTCACAAACTTGACCACCTCCTCGAAGAAGGACTGCACGTAGCTATCGTAGTAGACAATCACTAGGTTCCTGCTTCGGTACTTGGGCGCTGCAGCTCCGTCACCCGTCAGCATCGACTCGGCCGAGACAACCGCCGCGGCAGCCCTTTTGTTTAGCTGTGTGCGCCGCAGCGTAGCGCGTGCATTGGCAGAGGCCATGGCCATGACCTGGGGTGTCTGGCGCTCGACAGCCGACGAGGTGGGGGAGTTGGCCTCGTTCGGGCTCAACGGTTCTCGTGGATGCTGCTGCTGCTGCTGCTGCTGCTGTGGTGCTGGCCCGTCTGTCGTCTGCATTTTATGGACCGCGCCGGTGGCACCCGGGCTGGCGACGCCATCGACGATGCCGGGGTGGGCCTCGCCATCGTCTCTGGGCTTCAGGCTCTCTGTCGAGCCGCGGTTCCGCAGGGACCTCCTGCACGAGGTTGGGGACTGCTGCTCGGCAAACTCGGCCAGGTCGATCTGGCGCTGGTCAATCTGGCCGCTGAGCTCGTCGAGGCGCTTGGCCCAGTCCGGGCAGTACGTGGTCAGGTTGTACAGGGCCTCGAGGGCGAACTGGGCGTCCTCGGGGACGGGGGGAGGAGGGGTGGCAGGAGATGGAGACGAGGGCGCGCCTCGCGGCCCGGGGGTTGTGGTGGACGGAATGCTGGGCGGCGGCGCGTCGCGGCCGTTAGGTTGCCGGGACCTAACTTGCCGCCTGAGTGGTCTTGTTCGGGGACACGATTGTCGGTCGTCCAGGCGGCGGCGGAGGCGGCGAGGCGGCCTGTGGAGGGGGTGGTTGGCGGTTGGGAGGTGTAGGAGCTCCAGGATGGGTGGTGGCCACGTGCGGCACTGGGGGATGATGTGTGTGCGTATGAGAGGTGTTCGTGTATCAAGAGCTGGCGAGTATCTTGGTTTGGGGAACGAAGAGGAGTCGTGATCAAGTCGAGTCCGTCTGTGGTCGTGGTCGTGGTCGTGGTCGGTCCAATTTACATCGATCCGAGTCGGATTGGACAGGGCATCATGATTGAGTTCGTTTCCGGGAGGAAGAGCACACACAGGACTTGGTGTGGGCGGCTAAGTGCCACGACTGCTGCAGCATTTGGGGTGGGGAGGAGGGAGGAGGGGGTGGGAAACGAAGCTCAGCTCAGCTCGAAGCATCGGCCTCTGGGGTTACATTCCGGTCCTGAATCGTACTCTGATGAGACGGCAGCAGAGTGTTGGGTTGTGCCGGGTCCGCAGGTCCAAAAAAATAAATGCAATCAAGAAGGAGGTACAAAAGAGGAGGAGGAGAACGAGTCGGAGGTGGAGGAGGAATAATAAGAAGAAGCAGCACTTTTTGGAAGGCTGCAAGGTCAGGGTAGCAGCGGGAAGGGTGGAGTGAGCGAGTGTACTATACGTACATCCACTATACTTGAGGGTGCCTGGGGGGGGGTGGTTGAGCGCTGGATCTTGAGTGCTGAGTGTTGAGTGCTGACAGTGTCTGATAAGTGCTGTAGTGTAAAGAGACAGTGCCGAGTACTCACTATAGTGACTCGGAAAGGGAGGGGGGGGTCCCGAGAGCGACAGCCGAAGCAGACAGGCTGTAAGAGTTAAGTACATAGGAGTTCCTCCCTAGCTGGCCTACTTAGGGCGCTGGCTCACAGTGGCTGGTGGTAAGCAGGATCGGCCCGTAGCTTGCGCAGCGTCCTTTCTTCCTCTGCTCCATTTTAAGATGATTGCTTGCTGTCTTTTTTTTTTCTTTTCTTTTTTTTTTCTTCTCTATCGTGCAGGGTATTTTGACAGGACTTACAACTCGGCAGCGCAGACATGATGATGGTTGAAAAAAGGTTCCTTCTCGCCTCTCTATTACAGTACGAGACATGCAACAAGTCTCTGTCTAACTTAAAAGTACGCAGAAAATGTACATGGCAATATGATTTCCAAACCCAAGTCCAACATGAACCCGCCTTTTTACTCACCTTCTTCTTCTTCTTCCCAAAAAGACACAAAACCTACTGAGGTGACATCAGGCAGCCGAATTAATTTCAAGGCCCTAGACCCGTCTTAGCATTGCTGTTATGGGGACCACTTCTCGGCAAGCCACATCCTCGGGCAGCTATTCCTGATCCCGGACAGGTTTGATGGAGCAGCAGTTCCATTCATTCAGTTGTGCTTACAGTGACTCTGATTGCTACTCTATCATAGTAGTAGTATCATGGCGAAAACCAAGTACCGGGCCTCCCAAAAATTAAGGTTCTGGAATCATTTGGCTTTCATTGGCAGCCCAGAACCAACCTGCTGGTGCATGGATCTCGATACACTCGTCCACTCACTCACTCGCTCACTCACTAATCAGACCACAGAGCAGATTTGAATACGAACTCTCTCTCTCTCTCTCTCGCTCCCTCCTAGAGAGAGAGAGAGAGTCAGAGTGTGGACGTCGAGTGGTCGGCGATGCCAGCGTTACCTCGGGCGAGACCCACACTCATGCGAGTGCTAATGCTGCAGCACATGAGCCGCCGGGGGGGTCCCCAAGAGAGGGAGGGCGCGCGGAGGCGGTGGGATCTAAACAATTCATGTGCTTGGCCAGATTCTGCTTGTCCGCTCCTCCTGGTGAGGGCCTGTACAGCACATGCAGTGGCGATCACATATCCATCCCGGAAGCGGTGTCCAGCTTGGCTATCATCCCAATATGGGCCCGATCATGCTTGAGCGCGGGCTCAAACAAGGCCTCGATGCCAGAACCGTCCCATTTCATACAATAGCTCTCCAACATGCATTCCCCGCCTCTCTCTCTCTCTCTCTCTCCATCCCTTCCTTGCCGCTGGAAGGGGCGGGATGGGCAGCAGCAGGAGGGGACATGTCCACGACTCAGAGACTCACAGTCGTCTCAGATAACGGACCCAGGGAAAAGAAGAAAGAGAAGGAGGAAGAGAAAGAAAGGTGATGTTGGAACACATCGACGCCACCTGTTGTGCACTGGCGTGCATCTTGTCTCAACCATCCGATCCACTTCAGATTGGACATGTTTTGTGCAAGGGGAAGGTTTCTGTCCAGCAAACGATGCGATGAAACCAAAATTATCTCAAATACCTCTCGCCCGTAGTGGTATCCGCCCAGCCACACTTGCCCACTCCACACACACATTCCCTTCCCATGCGGGTTTCTCGAGTCTCAATCCCAACCAACCATGGCAGGACGATGACGATGCAAGCCTCGGCGTCGCGGTGTGTGGGTGTGTGGACGAAGGCTGACCAAACGCTGGCATGTCTTCCCTGATGGGCAGGTAAGTATGTACTCTAGTAGGTATTCTTGGTAGTGGTAGTGGTAGTAGGTCTATTCATGGGGGCCGTCGGACAACGAGTGTAGTGCTGTTTATTTTTCTAATTCTCTCACTCCCTCTTAATGTCCATCTATCTCCCATTCCTCTGATAATCTTGTCCTACTGCTTCCGGATATCCGTCCACACACATACACACAACACCCAGACCGGCCTGCTGTACGACGCCCTGAGAGGGGTTGTTCGGTACAGTATCTCGGTCCCTTTGCAACCTCAGACCTGCAAGCCGAGGGTGGTTCATGTCAATGGCAGCCACAGCATACTTTAATTGAATACCTTAGCAACCCAACCACATACTCCTACAGTGGTGGTACATAGTACATACTACAACACGCTGCATGCAATACGCTGCAGACCCCCCCGCCCTGCGAGAGCCGAGGGTGAGTGCGAGTTGTCGCTCCTCCAAGATCCAAACACATAAGAGGGGTAGAGGAAACCTTTGATGGATTAGATTGCAGGTAATACATTATGTGCCTCTTCACATACACACATACATACTTAGTACATGTATTTAGATATAGTATGTACTTTTTCTCGGTCTTCTCGGAGATCGAGACAAGTCTGTGTCCTCTTCCTCCGGGAATGCGCAATCGAGTCCGTCCCCGTGGGCGGCGGGTGCAGCCCTTGAGAGGGACCCATCTGCCCTTGACGCCTGTCAAATGGTGCTAGTACTGTACTACTGATGATGTACGTGGGATGATCAACAAAGGTGGACCCGTAAGTGGGAAAGAAAACCCAGTGTACCAAACAGCAACAGGCGGAAATCCGTATCGGCTCTCGCTGGCTTACTATATGGTACAGGGAGAAAAGAAAGAATATGACAAAAGGAAAGAAGAGAGAGAGAGAGAGAGAAAGAGAGAAAGAGGAATGGACTAATGAAATCTACCCTGAGGTGTGTCGGTCTGGTGTGTCAAGTATGTGTGTGAGTTCCGTGTATCTGGCCACAAAATAGCGGCCCAACTGGCACCCCAAGACCTGCATGCCAACCCTCCAACAACCAACAAAAAAGACGAGCGTCGGTTGAAGGGATGGGAGGGGGGGTGGAGGGGAATCGCCGGGGTAAGAAGAAGAGGGGGGGGGGGGAGCGCGGCGCCTGGGCCAGCCCACCCAAATCTTCGCCATGTTTGCCATATGCGATTCGGTCTGGCACAAGATGCACGTCATTTTGTCGAGTCACGACTCCGCTGGCTATGGGAGTTTCTTTTTTGGGTCATTTTGTTCGAAGGGCAGGGCACGCCGGGGGGGGGAGGGGGGTTGACATGTTTCTCATATGTATCACGAAATCATCTCCACCACGTATATGAAGGAGGACGGGATGACACCAGCCCTCTCCCCCCCCCTCCCTCTTCAATCACAGGTTTTAAAAAATTATATATACGGATACATAAAAATACGTACATAATGTTATGTATGTTGGGCCTGCGCGGGACCTTTTCCGCGTTGTGGTCCAAGCCCCATAACCTTAATGCTGGATGTGTGTTGGGCCAAACAACAACACGTTTCTCCAACATATTCCCATGTCACATAACCGAGTCGATCCATTTTTATTATTTTTTTTTTTTTTTTGTCGTCTTCTGCTTCTTTTCCTTGTCTTCTAGTCATGCTAGCGATCACTTCTTGATTCGGTTCGCGTGCCAACTCGTCGCAGTGGTTACTTTTCTCGCTCCATGCAGTACCGTAGCCTCTTCGTCCTTCAGAGTGTGTGTCCCTGTCCGAGTCATACATCGTCTCGTATTCTTCGGTCAGGAAAAGGATGGAGGAAATGAATGAAACCTTCACCTCTGATTGTGTTGCGTCTTATGCTTTCCCAAATGGGTGAAGGAACGAATTTGTGCAAATATTCATAAATCACATGCATAGCGAGCCCTCGGCCGATCCAGTCCGACCAGAGCACAAAATGTAACAAGGGTGGCATAGTACCTCGTTCCTTGTCTAGGTATTATATAGGTCGATACATTTAAACAGACCCTGTTCAATTTTCTTTGGCATTGAATTGAGCATACTCATCCAAGTAGTCATCCATTTCGCTTGAGGAGATTTACATAGATATATTTAGGGTACTATTAATCCATAGACGGTCTCGTAACAGGCGATGACGGCGAGAAATCATTCCAAGTGTCCCTCGCGACGAGCAATTGAACCCAGAATGACTTGTTACATCACCGTCACGGTGACCGGGAATACATGTAACGGCCTCTGATGTTCACCATAGAGGGGGAGTAAACAGATGGACAGCACGATGAGATGAGCACAGATGTTTACCCATCCAGCAGTCGAATTCCAAGCAGCTGATGCATTTGCTGCCGCCTCTATGAGAGACGTTCAGGCTCTTCACTGAATGGTATCAATCCCGTCTCCCTGAGACTCCATCGGCTGGGAGATCACGTAGATTTCTTTCCGTGGGGAGTGCTTCAGCCATCACCCAGCCGTCGCCGGCAGACGGACTGGTGTTCTCGATGCCCCCGAAATGCACACGAGATCAGTCATCATGAAAGTTGCTGTAGTCCGCAGACCAAAGTAATGCAACCAAGACTGGAGAGGCCTCGAGTCCAGCAATATTTCTTTCTCTTTCCTCCGCCTAGATCAACCTCACGACATTCCAAGCTCAGCAACAAGGGCCTTAGCAGCACTCTTCTCAGTAGCTCCCCAGTCAACTCCCTTCAACCTCTCCCCCTGATCTGCCACCTCCCCACCAGTTGACACCAGACCCCATATCTCATCTACCACCGACGTTCTGACGCGCGGCCACGGGTGTACCATCAACGTACCCAGCCTCCTCTTCGCCTCCGAGATACCCTCACTCCTCTTCTGCTCCAACACCGCACTCGCCATCGCCGGCAGGCCGGCAGCATTGTTGTTGCCCATGGCGGCCACCCCGCCGTAGACCTTGATGCAGGCCTCGAGTTTCCGCATGTTGCCGCTCTTGTAGCCGGCCTTCTGGGCCTGCAAGCAGAGGCTCTTCATGTCGACCTTCCTGCTCTGCTGGAAGATGCCCACGGAGAAGAGGAACGCAGTGATTTCGAGCGTGGGCACCGTGACGCGGTCTTGGCCCTGGTGGGATTTCAAGTTCCGGAGGAGCGATGTGCATACGCCATCGAGGTGCTCCTGGCTTGCGGTGCAGTATTCGGTGAGCGCGGCCCGGCTGGCTATCACGAGGTCTTCGTTGCCTGTGTCGGCTGACGTGACGTATCCGGCGAGGAGCTCGTCCATACAGCGATCTGCGTTGGACTGGGCTTCGGTGCCGAATGGCGTCTGGAACCAGTCGCTCTCAAGCAAGTTGAGAAGATACTGAAAATGGGATTTGGAGGAAAAGGTGAGCTTGCCAAGCATCGACGATGGTCTAGAGATAAGTTAGTCATCCGAAAAGAAGAGAGGTTGATCATTCTTGGGGCGCTGATGTACTTACTCTGGCTGTAATGCTACCGCAAGAGTGGCTTGTGCTTCGACTCTCACCCTGTCGAGCTTCTCAGCTGCCAGACGCAGGATCGGCAGAAGTAAGCCACAAACTGCTCCGCTGTGGTTCCCCATCTCTGTACGTGGCTGCTGCATTGAGAGCCAGAGATGTTGGGTAGCCCTGACGGCCTGAAGACGTACATGAGATCCAATATCGCCTCTCGCGGTGGTGGTGTAGTCTTCTAGGCCCGCCGCAACCAGACTGAGGAGCTGGTCCACATTCTGATTCAGCATTTCACTTTGCGCCAGACTCTGCAGTATGGCTGCACGTACGTCAACGTTTGTGTCTTGTGCCCACCGCTCCAGCAGAGGAGCGCATACAGTAGCCGACACTTCTTCAGGTTTCTTGTGCATTGCCACAACCGGATACGCCCTCGTCAAGGCGCAGAAAAGTCCCGCGCCGGTTGCGGAGTGAGATCGTTCACGAATCGTGTCTGCCCATCTTCGGAGCACATGTTCCCGTTGCTGCGGAGAAGAAAAAAGCAGAAGAACGATGGACGCTTCGGAGGCTGCATCGATGACCTCTTGTTCAGTCCTGGCTAGCCACGTGTTGATGAGTTCCCAAGAGGTAGAGAGGATCGTTGAGAGGCGGTCTTGGTTGTGGACTTGCGACAAATCGATTCTCGAGACGACCTCGGTGAACTTGGCCAGGTTTGTTGGAGACACCAGATCCAATCCAGACATCAACAGCCCCTCGCCAACTATAGCATCCAACGATCCGACAGCATCGGCCTGCAGGATGGGAAACGCCGAGATGAGAAGACGGCATATGCCTTCTGCGATGAGTTCTGGTTTTCGAAATGAGGTAGACGCAACAGATTGGAGCATATCAAGCAAAGCATTCTGTCCTTCTTGAACAACGCTGCCCAGACCCGTCGGTAACGTCATTCCAGCCATGCTATCCCTGGCAACTAGCAGAGGGACCTGATCCAGGATCGCGGCAAGACTCACGAGCAGCCCATGTCTCTCCTCCACCTGACGGGTCTGCAGTGCCTTCATAGGCCGCAGGACCCGGTTAATTGATGTCAGGATCACCTCGTCAAGGCGGCTCGACGGGGTCAGGCTCGTCATCTCAGTCATGACAGTTCCGTACGCACGCCCGGCGACCCTGCGAGCAGCAGCATCTGCATCTCTGGCTCCTCTCCAGCCCAGGAGCGCATCCAGTATAGCCTCGCCATATTGCACGTGAAGTTTTGTGGCACGAACGGCCACATCGTGGATTGCTCTTGATCTCCGGGCAACTGCGTGATAGTCCACAGCCTGCACCAGTGCAATGCCATTTTCCACGGTGTCTGGATGCCTGCCGATGAGCTCTTGCAGGGCAGCGGAAGATCCACGCCGAATGTTACCTGCAGGATCTAATGATGCGGCGACGACCAGGTTCGTGGCAATGATTTGCAAGACAGACGTGTTGACGTCTCCAGGAAGTCCGGTGCGTACCGTTTCAGAGGGGACTGCAAGAAGATCCTGGGTCGAGTACCGCCTTGCGAGGGCCCAGATGCCAAAACAAGCTGCATCACGAACGTTGGTACCGACCGAGCCTCCAGAGGGGCCACGTCGTTCAAACGACAACCCGAGTAGTAATGCTCGGATGATGCTGCCCAACTTCACTGCCGGTGGTGAACGCCGGTACAAGAGGTGCGACAGAGTCAGCATCAGCCCATGCCACTCGAGAGGATCGACCGACGTGAGATCTCTCCTTGGCGGCAGAGAAGGCTCCGCAGCATCATTCACCAAGAGAACATTTCTGCTCAGAGACTCCAGCACAGTGTCCACGACTTCTGAGGCCATATAGCTAGGTAGATTCAGAGTCACGATGCTCAAGGCTTTGCTCGCTGAGAATCTGACCGGCGTGTCGTTGTCGGCGAGGCTCTCCAGAAGGTACCCAATTGCCGTCTCAAGCAGCTCGACACCAGCACTGTCTTGTCTGTCTCGCTTCAACTTGGACACAACGATCGACCGTGTGACTTTGACGATGGTCTTTTTCGCCAGGGCAGAAGACTGAACAATCCTCGACATCTCATCGTCGTTGACAGGAATGGCGTTCACGGTGTAGAAGATCGTGGACGAGTATCTCTCCATATCCGACGTCTCAGCCGATGATGCCAAGATCCCAGCTAGAAAGGAAAGCACTCCGATGTATTTATATGGCGACTGGGTCGGCTCATCAGCCCTCGGCCGCAGCCAAAACAGGGCCCACTGGACGAGGGCATGCAGAACACCGAGCTGCTGCATGTCCTTGCGCATCGCCATCCTCACTAGAAGGGCTTTGGCCGCCTCCCGCTCCTTTCCTGGACAGGCCAGGTACTTGACCGCCAAGGGCAGGACCCTGACTGTGATGCCTGGGGTATTGGATGGCCAAAAGAACCCAGGGATGCCAGCCAGATCAACATCCTCCATGTAGACGGAGGAGATGGTCGACAAGTCGAAAGGCGCAAGCATGAGGTGAGAGAGCCATAGAAGCACTATGTAGCGCTCCTCCCAGGCCCAATGGGCTACTAAAGTGTCGTCCGGGCCGCCTTGAGGCTGTCGCTCGGCGTCCTCGAGCGCAGAAAGCAGGAGCTCGAGGTATTTTGTCTCGACGTTCAGGAAGCGCACGATGACCTTTTCGCCGCGAATCTTGCAAAAGGTGTAGATCAGCTTGCAAATCGCCGTTGGCAGAGGCATGAGCAGCGAGGACGCAGCAGAAGCCTCCCTGGTTCGCCTCCGCCTCATCTGAAGGTGCTCCAGGAACGCCTCGGCAAGCATGGGTAGCCATTTTGGCAGATGCGGGTCGAGGAGCTGCGGTAGCTCTTGGAAAGGTTCAAGCAGCTGTTCAATCTCGTCAGCAGGCCCGAGGGAGAGAGAGAGAGAGAGAATCTGCCATGTCACACCACTTTCAAGACTCACATGAAATATCAGATGGTATGCTTCCCTCGACCGCACACGCGAGCGGACGTGGGAGCCGCCTATCCGATCAGGCTTTCGCAGAAATAATCCCAGACTCTGGTCAAAGGCAGTGATGAGCTCGCCAGAGACTCTCTGCAGCTTGATGTCCTGGTCTATCTCTGCAGCATCCATCCTCCAACTGAAGTCGGTCGTCTGTCTGTCTCGATGTCTGCCTGGCGTAGTGGAGCTTTGACGTGAGATGCACTGGGTCGTGCCTGTTCCTTGTCCAGCCAGCGGGTGGTTTTCTTCTTTTTCAAATAAATAAAGTCAAGATATTCCGGCTGATTCTAGTTTCGAAGACAACGACGGAGAGCACATAGTTTGCATACAATCGACTTGGGCTTGGGGAATTGTTGATGCAGGAGCCTGCGGATGAACAGGGGGAAGGTTGACAAGTTGAGTCAGAACCCTAACCCTATGAATAATACCCATTGACGAGCATCTGCACCACAATAGCCCAAGGTCTTCAGCTGACCAACCTACTTATTTTAAGCTCATACTCCTATGAGTATGTTCCAGATCGACGGTTCGTGATGATGCATTTTCCCTGTTGCTATTGATTTTTGTTGCTTTTTGTTGTATCTAAGTTTTTCCATCTTCCGTACTTCCATCTACAACTCCGAGATATCATCTATGATAGCAGTATGAAATACTCTGATGCTGCATAATTATTTCTCACAGATTTTAAATAATGAACACAAAGGGTCACTTTGTTTGTACTCTTCGCTATGTTTGACAGACATATTCCAAAACCAGTAATAATATAAAGATACTCAGGAAACCGCCACGGCAGCAACGAGCGCGTCCAAGGCAGAGCTCTGCGTGCTCGCAATGGGGTCGCCGCCCGCAGACGGAGGACCTGACCAGTCGATACCCAAGTAATTGGAGCTGTTCCTATCATTATCCCAGATCGAATTGGCATTGTCCAGGATGAAGGTCTGGAACTCGTCCTTGTCCACTTGAGCCTGCAGATACTGCAGGTTGCGCATGAAGACGCCTGCTCATGGAGAATATTATTAGCCAGCTGAAGTAATGCCGAGGAGGAAATGGGAATAATAACAATGAATGATAGTAATACTGATTGTCTGCAGTTGAAGAAGAAAAAGAAGAAAAAACCACTACAAGAAAAGCAAAGAGGCCAAACGTACCTTTGAACTGAGAGCCATCACCTCCACAGTTGGGCTCGCAGCCGTCGTGCAGTATACCATCCACAGTCAAATTTTGCATGGCGGCTTCTGCAATCGCGACGGCCTCGGTGAGCAGCGTTTCGTTGCCATTGGCCCTGTATAATTCCGCCAAGCCGCCGAGTATCACGCCCTGGTTGTAGCTCCACACAGCCGCCCCGTTGTTGACACACGTTCCGTCCGAGTTAATAGTGAGGCCGTCATTGATGAGGTGGTCACTGTTGATCATGCCGCTGCTCAGAAACCACTCCCACTGCTCCTCGGCAATGGCGAGATATGTGCCCGGGTCGGACGCGCGGTTGGCAAGAGAGGCTGCCACGGCGAGGTAGAGCTCGTTCGCGATGGCGTTCTTGTACGTCCTGTCCTTGCTCCACCATATGCCGCCACCGCATGTGGCGTTGACGCCGCCCTCCATGTCGGCGAAGATGCTCTCGGCCATGGACAGGTACTCGGCAGTGCTGGTGACGTCGTATGCCTTGATCCAGGCCAGAGCCCACCAGCCCTCGTCGTCATAATAGTCGTTGAGAAATCCGCTGTATCCGCGATCCACCACGTCGGATGAGCCGGTGGTCGATCTTTGCTGTGAGGTCTCGGAGTGGGACTCGACGATGGGCAGACTATGGCCTCGTGCCATGATCATCTTCCGCACCTTGGAAGATGTACTCAGCTGGGCTTGGGTGAAAGTGTTGGAAAAGACGTTACTGAGCCCGAGTTCCTCTGCTGAGCCCGAGTCGACGGAATAAAAGTCGCCCAAAACAGTCAGGCAGTTGGCTGAGTTCCACCAGCCAGTGGTGAGCCATAGTCCTCCTGCATCGTCATACCAGGTCTGCAGCGCCTCGATTGCGGCGACTGTCCACTCTGTGTAAGATGCTCCGGCAGTGGACGTGGCCTGGGCAGAGGTGGCGGCTGAGGCTATGCTCGCCACAGTGCTCACAGTTGCTGTAGGCAGGGCCAAGAGTCTCGACGAGTAGCCTGGTGCACCTACAGCCACCGAGCTGAGAAGTGAAGGGGCCAGGAATACCCATGACCAGAGATCTGAAGAGCCCAACATGTCTGAAAGGAAGGACGAAACACGATCTCTCGACTGCAATATCCAATGAGTAAGGGAAGAACAACAGTTGTTGGATGGACCGTGTCCTTCAAAAGCTCCGACGAAAAGAATGACGAGAAATGCACAGAGGATACTAAAACCTGTAAACCTATAAGTGAAGCAACTTCGAGAAAAGTTGTAATTTTGTACACAAACCTCCTGGCGACGACGATTAGGCTGCTGCTTATTGCCAGGATTGGGGGCTGAGGCGAAGGCCATCTCGAAACCTATTTCAAGAACAACCTATAATACCAATCTTAATTTTGATCCTCCTTAATAGCATTAATTGTCGAAGAAGACTTGCACAAGAGTCAGTATGTGGCCCATTCATTTCATGAGTCCGAATGCAAAGTCCGCATGCCACTTGCGAACATAGAGGCAAATTATAAGCCTGATACGACAACACATTTCCGGTTGAAAGGGTCATGTCAGTATGCATGCAGACGGTCGCAATATATGAATGCCTCCAGCCAAGTAGAGTGGGCATGTGGAGAAAGAGCACCTCTCCACCGTAGACACGCACGCACTCAGCTGTGCAGATCTCTCTTGATAATCCAAGGAGTGGACAGGCACCACACAAAATTCGAGGTTTGCCACGCTGGTGCGCCATCTCAAGTGCACTTGGAACAGCAGTGTGGTAGGACCCGAAATGCCGGCCAATCTGGGGTCACAACCTTAGGTGATGGGACTTATGGTTACACCAGTAGATCGGCGCTTCAGACAAGATCCGGATCCCCGTGACGATGCGGCCATATCCCCGGTCCTTGTTGTGGAGATTTTGTTCGGACTTCCCCAGATCCTATGGTCAGATTTGCGCGGTGGCCTAGCCACATATGACAACCTAATTTTTCCAAGCCCCAGCCTACAGGATGCCAATCCAGTTCGGTGTCTTTGATTGGCAGATGCTCAAAGATGCCTCTGGTTTCTACAACTGTCTGTGCAAGCTCTAGCCGAGAGAATCCGCCAGCTGGAATGTATTCCTTGAAACTCGAGAGAGCCTACCTTAGCTGGATGCTGACATCTGAGTGCCCTGGTCTTTCATTGGAGGCCAGTCTGGCGAGCGTCTTCCCTAGCCAGCCCCTCCATCTGTAGGTGACAGTGGGGAGAATTTTGCCAGTTATTCTGTATAACCCCAGAGCTTATAGCCCCAAGAGGAGTCAGCCCTGGTTCTCATGCGAGATCAAAGAAAAATATGGTTGAAAGTGGCAGACTTTAAAAAGCGGCACTATTCTTATTATAACTTATAAGGTACGGGCTGCGGTTTCGCTGTCGATTTAGAATCTACATGAGCCTTTATCATCCAAAGTCACACCCTGCCTTTGTTCAGATCAACAATCGACTTTATATGCTATGACACTGGCTGTGATTTATCTGTGAAGCGTCGGTACAAGATATCCTCACCAAGGACTTGCAATCTGGTTCGGGACGCATGCGGTGCTCTTTCCTCCCATTTCTTTTCCCTTTTGGTGTTCACACTACCGAACTACCAGGTGCAGGAGGAGCGTCGGGTGTGTGGGACGAAAAGACCAGTGGGCCTTGAGTTGTCCTTCCGGTAGAAAAATGAGCGTTCGATTAGAAATTATAGTATGTGATAAGTAGCAAAGTAATTATCAGCAACTTTTACTAACATGCCTAGCTCTAGCCCAATACCTCATACAATACGCTCAAATGCTTGTCCCCTCAAGTATGAGAATATGCCCACGATATCTCAATATGTCAAGAAGGACAAAAGTATAGGCAGAGATCGCAAGCAGAACGAAGAGCATTGTGAGTGACTACAGCTGGATGGCAACGCTTGCCTTGAAAGAGGGCGAAACCTTCTGAATAATATCTTGCTGCACAATGTTAAAAATATTTACTCCAGTACTATCCTTCTTGATTTGAACATTGGAAACAGACGCGTTTGAGAAACTCAATTGATCAAGATATTGTGTGTATGTTTTCTTTTCTTTTTGAGAGTCTTCTTCAAGGAGACATGTAAGCTCTACAACATGCGAAATGGCGAACAAATTCTCCAAACCCAGACTTATTACTTATTAGCCTTTGTTTACCTCAATTGGCTGCTGATGTCTATTACCTACTAAGTAGGTAAATGCTGTAAGATTCCTTGCCAATTCTTCTACCGAAACTCGAATCAATAGAAGTACTTATGCAAGTAGTTCTTCAGTAATCAATTAAATAATCTAAAAAAGCCCGCGCGTATCCAATCAGTAGTTAAACAACTAGATAATATTATCATCTCGCACAACTCTATCAAGTTGCTCAGCTACACGTAGTCGGTTATGAAAGTGCTGTGATTCTGGAGCCAACCACTTATACTGAATCTCACTTTGCGAACTACTTAACGTATCTACTACTTGGAGATAGGTCATTAACTTTGCCTTTGTGGTTCCTCTCATCGGAAACCTTACTACTGAGGCAACTCTGCCGATCCCCAATTACGAACCATTCATTATCATTTACGCCGCCTTGTACTTTCTCTACGAGCGAGCCTTTTTGCAATGCATTAAAAGTATCTTATTATCCCTCTTAATTTCTACTTTTTATGTCTCTTCCTAATACATTGGTATGATTGTATTAGGTTTCGCTCTCTCGATTCTTGCTGCACTTGAACCATCAGTCTGTCTGTTTGACATCGTTCACCGCAGAGATAATATCCAGGCTTAATTTCGTACAACAAACGCAAACAACTCTAATCACTTTCCTACATATAGCTCAATGGGGCGGTATCAATTCGCGAAGCGGAACACAAGTTGAATCAGGAGATTTCTCCTCGTAGTTCTTCCATGTACGAAGAGCGGATTCCACAAGTCAGTCTTTGGACACACACTCTCACACGCTGGGGTATGCTCATTAATTATGATATTTACACTGGTACTTAAAGAGGCTGGAGGCAAGATAATTACCATCTAGGCTAGGTCTGAGGTGATGACTGCCTCGAAGTCTCAACGAGGCCCTCAGTCCGGAGCATCTCGCTCACCGGAACGCAGATAACAATCCAGCCTCCATGCGTCCAAGAGACCACAAATTCAAACCATCCGCCTGGATTCCCAACAACTATTGGCGAGAGCATGGGCAGTGTTTCCTGCGGCTTTCAAAAGAGCAGGAGGTGCCAATGCAGGTGTGTCAAAGGTCCAAGCCTCATGCAGACAGACGCTCGCCACCCGATGCTCCTGGGCTGCCCGCCGTGCCCCAGCCTTAGCACTCACACAAACCTAAACACACACACATAATCCACGCTTCACCACCGGCAAGATCATGATCCTGAGACATGCCATGCAAGACATACAGGGTCTCTTCTAGGCCTAGCCCGACGAAAGTCAATCGATGCCTCTACCCGTTACACCCCCTCCAAAAGCTGGTCCACCATGCCCCTGGCGGGAAAATCCCCGTGCCGTGCCCCCCTAGTAACGGCAACCCTCTCCCGGTGGCGCTGGGTCCAGACCAGTGTGGGGGTGAGGCTCCTCCTTGCAGAAACCTATACATATATAGTATGCTTGAGAGGAGCTCTCATCGCAAGAGCTTCTACAGCTTGCGATTTGCTTGGGGCCACCCTCTATCCTGCTGCTTTCCCTGAATCGCTAACCCGAGGGACCCTAGCTGAGAATCTCTCCTTCTTCCCCTTCTTCGTCCAAGCGAGGTTTGCTTTGCCCCTTCCCGTTCGAGGGCGAAAGACACCCGTCTGCAGGTCTCACCTGAGAGAAGGTGTGGGGGGCGGGGGGGCAGAGCTGCCACACGCCTCACCGCATCTTTCGAATCTGTTTGAGATGATCAGATGTTAATGACGACGACGGTCTCGCAAAGATGTTGCCTCATTACTCTTTGTGTGTATTAGGGGAATAGATAGAAAGAAGGATAAAGAAGAAAGAAAAGAAAAACAAGACGTAAGGATTTGTAAGCCCTTGAGCAGATAATCTCGACGTGGAAGGACTAGAACGAAGGGGCGATTCGGCTCGTCCCTGGTACCTAAGCAGGATATTCTCCTCCTTTCTCCTGATTCGTATCTCAAGATCGAAGATTACTCATTTCAAGACGTCACCGTCCCTGCCAGTCTGAAATGCACTGCGATAGCCCCCTTCCTTGACCAAATCTGAAGGACGGAAAGCACGACTTACTCGATGCACCTCGGATGGTAGCAGGCTCCTGCACCCATACTAGGTCACGAGATAGGGATCGCTCGCTTGTTTCGACCGCATATATTACGAAGGCTAATGCTGAAAAACGACCGAGACGTCAGTACTGCAGAACTTTGTAGGTAGACGGACGGACCGCATAAGGACGACTTACTTACTGAGGAGGGAGTTTGTGTGTTCTCTCTCGGCTAATGAGCGGTGGTTTGTGAGATGATGGCAACCATTTTCTGTGGCTCTAAGCCCCTCGACACCAACTGGGAAATGCGGTGAGAAACCACTGGTCTAGCGAATGGACAGTGTCTTGTCCCGTGTCTCTTGTAATCGACACTGAAGCATGGTAGTTGAGGGTAGATCCCTTGTACATTGCTTTTGCGACCAGCCGTCCTGTCCACAATTAATATCGTGAGGCGAAATTAGCTTCGCCTAAGCAGGCGCCCATGATGAGGCCATGGATTTCAAAGCTGAGATGGCAGGCTGAGAGTAAAAGCGCACCATACACTTTAAAATTTGGCTTATTGGACGAGCGACAGAGAACCCGAAACGACTCTTGGAGGACTGTGCAAAGACGTGCAAGTGGACAGCTATGTCTCCCTTGCCTGTACCGAAAGGCTTCAGAGGACCAGACAGAACAACTGAGTCGGAGATCTCGATTTCGGCGGTGAGATTTTGGTTGTACAGTTGAGACATTGCGAGAAAGGGTGATTGATGGCTGAGAGATGTTGCAGGTATAGGATTTGGGAAGTATCTGCCAGGACGGTTTTTGCCCCTTTTTGCCCCTCCGCTCTTCAGAAATCAACATGGGTATCGCAAGGAACCCGAGGTAAAGAAACATACATATGATCAGTCGCGTCTATAATAAATTAACGATCTTGTCTGAACAAGGAGATGTCACGTAACACCGCATGCGGATACTCGTTTATTCCCAGCAAACTGGATGTAGTGATACGAAAAGACCAAGTCCAATGTACTATCAGATGAGGAGGATTCGCCCTGAAAAGTGGGAAGCCAATGTCGGGCAACAGAAGGGAGAAACACCCAGTAATTAGCAAGATGAGGACTGCAGGGAGGTATATGGTGGCTTCGAGTTTGCACCTCAGTCTCGGCCTCGCGGGCTACGCATCAAGTCTTCTGGTGGAGTCCCAATATCTACCTCGCTCGCATAAGTAGATTATTTCGAGAATTTACCACAAGCGACCTCGAGAGCAGTTGACAGAATGCGAAGCTCCGTCATGTCTGCAAAAAGAGCCAGTTGAGGTATATCATGTTCTCACAACGGACACTGCTGTTCTGTCTCGTGCGAGGTGTCACATAACAGGAAATGGACTCGATCGAAAATGTGATCCGTCACCTCATCTAGATCGGATCCATGACGGTATTGAACAAGCGAGCATCTCCTCGCTTGTGCAAGGATGAGCATATGGGAAGTCGATCAGGTACATGCATGAGTGGACGGTGAGATTATAAGAAGAAAGAGCTATAAGAACTACGTGTCATCACCAATGTTGGTTCTTCCCTGTGACGAGATGAAAAGAATGGAAGGACAAGGGAAAAATGAAAGAGTAATAGAAGAAGGAGATAAAGAGGGCCTCGATACTGCCCACCTGTTTGACCATGGAGCCAAGTCAATAGAATCTCATCCCAGATTGCCTTCCCTGCTCAAGTTGCAGTGAAGTCTGTAGCAGGGAATCATGCAACCAATCGCTTTTATCTCGATCTCGACAGTGATCATAGAGTCCTGACAAAGAAAGACAGCGGAGTTTCGATGACTGAGACCTGTAATAGATGCAGAAGTTTGCGCTGCTATGCCGCATGTGTCAATGGCGCACCAGTTTGGACTCCGCTGGTACTGTGAGAAATATATGTCGAGACCGAGTAGTTGGTGCATACAAAAGACGAGATAATGTTTGTAACTGCTAGGTTCAGACAAGCGCCAAAATGTTCCCGCTAGGTAATCTGTGGCAGGCAAAAAGAAGAGAAAACGATGGTGGTGTGCAGCCCGTGCAGGCCCACTAATGCACCTCGAGGGGTGACAAATGGTCCAGTCGTGGTTGAAAAAAATTTGAGACTAGTCGATGGTTCATGTGGATGGTGCCGAAGGAGGGGGATCAAGGACAAAACGGTCGCAACCGACAACCGCATTGCAAAGAAAGTTCAGATAGATTGGCACCGCAATAGCTCGATCCTCCCACATCCAGTGAAGTGCGGTGCCCCAGGGAACGGAAAGGAAAGGTGATCGTCATTATCTCGCCATTCACGACGCCAACTTGCTCCTCTTGGGATCCTGCCGCTGCTCCCGCAGCTCAATGAAAAAGAGTGGTACCTGACCTACTCCTGCCACCCCCCTTGTGAATCGTCGTCATCCCCCTCTCCCTATTTAAATTATCGTTGATCTGTGAAAATAATCATGTCAGCCAGTGCACCGCATACTACTCCTCCTGGTGGAGTTACGTGGATTGGGACGATGGAGACAGCTTAAGGAAGGGTAAACCTACAGTCGCCGGATTGTCGGGACATATTGTCGGGACATATTGTCTGGGAAGATGTCCAGAAAATGACCCCCACGCCGACTAAAGAAGCAGCTGCGGGTAGGTTTTGCAGACCACACACCATGGGTAGGAGGTCCGATGCAGCCACTCCAATCGACAGTGAGAGTCATTGTCCCTTAAGAAGTCAGTGTGCAGGCACGGCAGGTGTGTAGCTTGCAGTATCGACATTCGAAAATCATGTACAATGGCCCCGTGTGACAGAGGTTACAGTGCCATACAACCAAGGTGCTGTCTGATTTGAGGACCTGGAACGCGTGGGCACAAATCGAATGGATGGCCATTGCAGTGCTCTTTCTTCTTTTTTTATTTTATTTCTTTTGTCGAGTTTTGGTTGTTTTCGAAAGACCAAAAGGCTGCTGCCTGAACGAGCTGGTAGCTGGTACGGTGGTATCGACACACACACAGAGAGAGAGATAGAGAAGGCGCAATGGAGAGACAAGGAAGGGGCAGTCTCTTGAAGTCGGGAAGGAGGGAAGAAAAGAGGCGGCGGGGCGGTCAAATAGTGGAAACCCCTACGTAGTGATATTTCTGGGGTCAGTGCAGATCGCGGTCAATGCCGGGGAGGGTATATAGTTTCCTCGAAATATCTCGACAGGGGAAGCCTGACTTAATCTGGACCTTTGTCTTGAACTGTGACCTAGTCAGTGACGGCCCCAATGTCGCTTCTGAGGAGAGGAAACGAGACAAGCACTTGTAAGGGTATACAACGTGAGCAAAGGAAGAGCCAGAGGTCAAGTCGGAACTTCTATGATACCATCTATAAGTACAAGCGACGGATCGATTCAGAAAGAATATGTGTACTCGCATTGCGAGAAAGTAGAAGTGGAGCGTGAACGTGGAGAAGAAGTCACTTGACCTTCCTTTCATCCGTTGATGCTAGTAATGTTTTGAGATACAGGAGCACAACGAGTACAAGTCTTTCAAGGTTGAGTACAGCAAAAGAGGTTTTAAGTTTATGGGAAGCTCAGAAAAGAAGCGGAGACCGGTAAGAAGACTTACGTTTTTTGCTATCGGCGACTCGTTCGTTTGTATAGGGCTGCAGCAAGGGAACCTCCGATGGGGACAGTGGTGCGAGGTACTTGTGAGATGATGAACTGTAACGAACGAGGCTCTCCGTATGCTCTGCCAGTCGGATTCCCAGGATCGAAATCGTAATATTTAGGGTTTCGTGACAAGAGATTTAAGTTCACGATCAAAGTGGGGGAACAGTTATAGTGATAACAGCAAAGACAAAAGATCCTGGCGACGAGCCACGAGACCTTGAGAGGCCCAAGCGAGGAGGGGAGGCCCACGGATTTTATTCCCTTCCTTGCTCGCGTAGACGCATGTATGTGAGTTGAAAAGGAACCCGGCTGGACCGCAAGCGATCCGCGGCGGTGGTGGGGTCGACCGATGGCAATATGTATGCACCTTGATGCACCATTTCCTGGCCAGTCCACGACAGCCGCATCATTTGCCGATGAAAGCCAGCCAGTGTCGTCAGATTCCCTCATGATGGAGGAGCGGCAATGAGCCTTTGTAGCACAGCAACAAAAAAAGAAAAAGGAAAAAAAGGAAACCTCGGTGAGAGCACGCGGGCGAGGAAACTGGCTGGCACTTGCTGCGATGGTACACACTGAACGCAACACGATACTGGATGGTAAAAGATATAATGGGGAGAAGAAGGTTGAGATGATTGGTAGAGTGAACTGCACAAAGACAGAGAAAGGACGAGGTACGTTACTGGCCTGAGAGACATGCAAGAAGTAACAAATACAAGGCGCAGTATGTGATAATTTTGTTGAGTAATTAATTACTTACTTTGGGTCGTGGTGAGCCGGTACATGCTCATGTACATGCAATGCAGTGCTTGGAATCCTTGATCGAAAAGGAAAAAGACCACCATGGTCGGCGCCCTCCCTGGGCACATATCGGGGGATTGCGCCCTTGCTGAGGTACCTATTACATAGTAGTCTATGGGATACCCCTCTTTAGATCAAGCCTTTGCGACTTTGCTCTTCTCATCATGATGAGTCACCCTGTCATTGAGAGGAAAAAGGGGTGGGGGGAGGGAAAGGTCGAAGGACGGTGCAAGAGTAAGGCTGAGGCTCGGAGGGTAAGGGGGAAAAAAGGCATCTGGTGGCCCAGTCGGATCCAATCTGGGCTATGTTATATTTTATTCCTGACATGTTTGACATTCCGCTGTCAAAATGTGGGCTGCCGCGGCCACGGACGCAAGCGTTCAGCAAGAAGTCCTTGCTTAAGAGGCAGGATTGAAGCTGTGGGCATTGTAAGGACCGAGCTACGGACAACACAACTGTGTGCTCTACTCCCCTTGTCCGTTTGTGTTTGTTTTGCATGATCCTGCCAAATTAGATCAAGGAGTTGTTCAGCGAGCAAAGTAAATGCCGTCCGTTCTAGATAAAGCACCAACTGGTCATATGAAGAATTGTCATATGCTCGCTCGCAATCCTCAGACCGAGGTGCGGACCTAGCGAAACTCTATTATGATACCGAGCATCTTGTTGTTCGACTGTGCTGCTCTCGCACCTCCCAGTTGCCGAGAGCAGATGCTACGTAGTAGATGGTTGTTGACGTGCCATCTCATGATCCTCGCACGAGGGTCCCTTGCTGGCACGCACGAGCTTCCCGGACCATTCGCATTTCCGGAGAGAGGCTTTGAGAGATGGGAAGAGTGCTATTTCTGGGACGCAGGACACAAAACCCACTGCAAAATGTTTTCCATGCATGAACCGCGCGCCAGCCTACGCCGTAGGATGCAGACTGAGCACTTCCAGTATTGTACATCAAGATGGGCGTGAGGCGTTCAGGACGATCATCTTGAACTGAAGATCCCTGGACAAATATGACAGGCTGCAACGGGGTTCCCCTTGCCGGCACCTCTCCCCCTTCTTGTAGGCTCAGGAGTCCCGCGGGTGTGGTGTTTCTGGATCTGTATCACGGGTCCAAGTTGGCGAGGACTCATACCACTGGAGACACATGCTGCAGCTGATGCGAAGAGGAAGGTGGGTCAAGGTGGGAATACTTCTTCCAAGGGGCTTGCTCGAGTTGCCCGGAAGAGGAAGGGCTTTTTCGGGGTGGTGTGACACTGTCCAATATACCTTGTTCGCATGCTCAAACAGGTATCAAATAAATAAGAGAGAATCGGAGTCACGAACGATGTATGAAAGCTTAAAAATAAATTAAAATATGAATACGTCCAGTCCAAAGGGGGAAAGGGAAGAGAAAGTAAAAAGTTCGACAGCACCTAATACTATTGGCAAGAGTGACCCTCCAGGGTACATTAGTGCCATGCAGTGTCGTCCGTAAACGGCGAGCAGCTCTCATCCTTGCAGGAGCGGTACATCCCGGTTGGGTGGGCTAGGTGCGTTCCTGGGGCTCCTTCCGGCTGGGATGCTGGGGTCAGGGTTCTGGCAGGTGCATGTGCAGGTGCAGGTGCAGGTGCAGGTCTGGGCACGGTGGATACCGGGGAGGAGTGACGGGCCCCGTTGGCACTATTCGTTACTGGGCGTTTTGGTTTCTCTTGTCACTTGTCAACCCCCACAAGCCCACTTGCAGATGGCAAACAGGGGGGGGGGTTCAGTGGTATGGATGTTGGGGTTCAGCATTTTGGGTGTGGCTATGCTGTTATTCCCGAAGCGAGCCCTTTTCTTCTCTTTTTCCCTTTCCTTAACACAACAACAATCTCATGAGCCAATTATGCTTTACACTTGGCCTTTGATTGACAGTATGGCAAAGTGAGAGCAGTCGCTGCTGCCAGCACATCTTCCAAGACCACACCTAAAAGACCCAACAAAGCTCGTTCTTCTTCCCCACGTCATGATCTGAAAAGAGCTGTGTGATCAACCAAGCCCCCTCCCCACCCCCCCCGTCCCACAGTCGAAACACTTACTTGGGTACATGATATGAATAGTGTATCGAGTACAACGCTGATTTCGCTGACCGCATAAATACACAGGGTGCAGATGGCGTACACATTTTCGCACTCCAGTTGCAGCCAAGACTGCATGAACGAGAAGCCCTTTAGCTCTTCTTTTTTCTCCTTCTTCTGAGAGTGCTTTCTCTGATCTAGGAACGACCAATTTCCAGCACGCCAGCACCCTTCCTGTCGTTTGTTTCATACCCCTGTGTTCCTGGCTAAAAACTTCTCTGTCAGCCTGACCATGACCGACTATCGTCCCTTTTGCCGCCTCGACGGACGAGAACGTTTTGTGCCTAACATCTATCTATCTGCTGCTGCCTGACTTCCGGTGCCTGATGTCAACAAGTCTGGCATCTGGGGGCCACTGCACCTGACAGGGGCCGGGTTCTCACCCGTGCTTGGCGAACACCACGCGTTCCTTCGGAATATATCCGACAAGGCTTCGAGACTAGTACCACGGTACAGACGGTCCAGAACCCCCCTCCCTCTCCTACGAATTCAGAAAGCTGCTGCTGGCTGGGCCAGCGTTTCGCCACATTCCGGGGCGGCCACTGCCTGGTTGCGATGCCGATCGAATCATGGAAGCGGGGACAGCTACCGCAAATCCCGAGCAACTCTATCTCTGCGCGCGCACGTATCCTATAGTATACCATCAGCATTGTCCTGTGTGATTGCGTGGCTCTTATGAGGAGAGGCGAAAGCATCTGGCCTCTCCTTGTGCACCCCTGCGCCGGGAACACCTCAAATAAGAAGAGCTGGAACAGTACTGATAGGGCGCCATCATAACATGGTGAAGCTCAGCGCGGAAGAAGCTATGCTGCGAAGGCGCATTCCGCGACGATCACGAGGGGCACGGCTCATAGGTTAAATTTCAAGGAGACGGCTCCCGGCGGGCCAATATCCCCTGTCCGCATGCATGCGTCTAAGCGTGGCCATCTGCAGCGCTTCACGATCCTTAAAAGCTGCCCGACGATCTCTACCCTGCACGTCCGTCAAATGTCACTCCTCATCCTTCAAGGGTTCTGGGGGCGCCTAGACTTGAGGCTCTCGGCTACCTCCGAGCACCATATCTAGTCCTCCTCACAACTAGCTATACGCTAACGGGCTAGAATTAGAGGTGGCCGTAAAAGAAGAGGAAAAGAAAAAGGTCAGCATTCTGTCAAGCTGTCTAGAATTCCTGTCCACGCACAGGGGTGGCCGGAATAAATCAATGTCGACATGTGTGGTCTCAGCCGTGCTGCATTTTCTTCCCCTCCTACCCTGGTTGCTCTCTTACACAGACCCAGTACGTTGGGCATCAATGCGAGCTGGGTCTTGTGCTGGTCGACGTCGGGCGAGAAACTAGCAGTTGATGGCAACTTGGCCGGTCCTTTAATCAAAAGGTTTGATAAATCGGATTGACACGCAATAGCATCGATCAGTTGATGCAGCTTGTTCTCGGGTACGGCACCCTACCCTTTCCAATCATACACCACGAGCGTGCGGGGGGTGTCTCATCTACCACGACAGCGTTTCTCACACAACGGGGCACAGTGTCTCGTGAAAAAGCTAGGTTGAGGATTTGCGGATAGGCGCACGAATCACGTTGACAAGAGACGAATTGACCAAAAATGATTGGGGTAAAAAGACATAGAAAACGGTGGCCACACCACTTCCCGTGTGTCCTCCTCCTCCACCAGCCTGTAGTATGAGGAACCAACGTCCCTTCTCATGCATAACCCAATACTAATTTGGAACAGCGTGACATGAGCCTGCAGACCGGTGGTCATCGAAAACTTGCAACCTGCACCATCTGTGTCATTTGTGACGAAAAGTGAGAGGGCCGAGCTTGGACGCGGCTTACCTCGCTGTGGAAGAGGTGGCACAATGCGACAACCACCTCCCTTCCCCCCTCCAAGGTCGCTTCTTGAGACCTGAGAGGCCAGTTGCGGCTCACCGGTCGTCCTCGAGTACACACCATCATCATGGCCACTCCTGCAGCCGTGTCCTCATCTAGAACTAGCTCGCTAATAACGATCTAGATGAAGGGCCTTCTAGACCACCTCCTCAGGTCAGCGTGGTCAACTATCGGGCAGATCGAAAGCGAGGTACTCCTCTAAAGAAAAGCAACACGACTGTTTCACATGTGACTTGAACTTGTCTTCGTACCTGACTGGCATCACTGATCAGCCAAAACTTCTCGTGAATAGAAAGGATGGGGAGGGGAGCAGAACGCCACCCAGGTCAGCAATTAGCCGCCCCCCCCTCCCTTGTTCCCGAGAACATCGGAGCATGTACAGTACTGGCGGCACGGCCCTCGCTTCAACGTTGTAAGTTGTCAGATTTTAGCTCAGCCCAGGAGTAGTATGTTCACTCATTTTGCGACTTCATACCCTCGTTACCGGCCTTTTGTCACGAGAACTCGTTTGCGAGAGCTTTTATCCGGTGCCTCATCGTGCTCGCCTGATATGGTTACACTTTGCATTAAATTTGATGCTGGCACGGGAATACCCTGAACATCCTAATGGTCTCAGTCACAGCAGGGACAAAGAGACAGAGAGGAGGAGAGAAAGACGCTCAGGCCAGGTCTGTCCTGCCAAATCCCCCCCCCCTCTCTCCCATGGAAACCTATGCGAGCTCGAACATTTCTCCTGAAATTGGGAACAATAACCGGCCCTCCTCGTCATCACTTTGATTCTACCTACTGTGCAATAGTTATTGCCTTTGTTCCTGCCAGGGTAAGCGACAAACCGTACTCGGGACGAGATGGCTTCGGGCTGTTCAGGTACGTGGTATCAATGACACAGTAGTATGTTCGTAAGTGCGTGTGCATATAATATTGACAGCTGGCGGTGAGCCCAACAAAAACCTCCCATCCTCAACCCCACTCGCGCCTACATGCTCCATAGCCGGTAACGTAAGGAACAACGTCATCCGTTAGGATACTTGTTTTTGGAAAGAGACTTCCTTTGCCCAAGTAGGCCTCATTGGGACATTTCAGCTGCAAAGCTGTTCAATGTACATTAAAACAGGGAAGCGTTATCGTTCCTCTCGCCCCGCCGCCTCGCTTGGAAAGAGCAGGATGATGATGATGATGATGATGATGACGACGATGATGACCCCAAGACTTGCTTTTGCTGCGTGCATGCCTTACACACGCCCATCACATCACATCCAACCCCCCACAAAAAAAGCATTCCTCATGACAATAGGATATCACACCAACTGGCCACTATTCAAACGCGTGAACTAGCCTGGGCACCCTCTTTGAAAGCCGGTCGAGGCCCTTGTTTCTGCCCACAGTAATGGTGCAGACTCCCCGCTCCTAGGATATGACATCTCATATTTCGAACCCCCCAAATTTCCCTCAAGAGACAACGGACAAGACATGTCACCTCCCTCAAAGGGCCACGTATCTCTCTCCCTCTCCGTCTCTCTCTCTCTCTGTGTGTGTGTGTGTCTTTTTAAGTCGCGTGGGCAATCTCGACCCCGCTCAAGGCTTCCAGGGGCTCGACACCAGCATCAGGCGACCGGTGAAAGATCATCTCCAAATTCAAGATAGCGTTTTCTTCTTCTTCTTCTTCTCCTTGGGCTCTCGAAGAGAGTATAGAGAGCGAGAGAATGTGTGTGTGATACCCACAAAAGAAAAGAGGGGGGGGGGGGAGACTTGTTTTGTGTTTGTTTCCTCGTCCGTCTTAGGATCTAGAGGAAAGAAAAAGAAAGAGAAGGACATGGGAGAGGGAAAGAAGGAGAATGAAGGGAAGAAGACGAGGACGGAGAGAGAGAGAAAAAGAAGAAGGGCCTGCCAGAGACGTGATAGCGGACGATTTTGTATCTAGGTGAGAATCTTGCCACATTGAGCCTCGCCGCCAATTCAAACTTGACCAAGCATGTTCGGCAAACATTGTGCACGCGTCCCGCCTAGGTCAACAAACGAAAAATCTTGGTTCGCTTGGCCCCATGTGGGAGCTATCTTGATATTTGGGTCTTTTGTATTCTATCGTCTTGCACTAGTGGTATACCCGGCGGACCGACAAGTCTTTTCTCATTTTATCTTTTCTTAACGCTTCACATCAGGACAGTCCTGTGATGTCATCCTTTATTTCCTTTGAGATGAGTGCCCAAGGTCGTGTGTGTGTGTGGAAAGCTCCCCCCCCCCCCCCCGGCCCCCGAATCTAAAATTTTCGAGAACCGCATTTTGCGCTGTAATTATGGCTGGCCTCGGGGCCCGGATCTTGAACCTATTACAGCCGCGGCACATCGTCCTCTGCAGCCACTGCTGCTTCGGTTATTGCGGAAACAAGGTCCTGGGCAGCCGTGACCTTGTCCTCCTTCGCCTTCGCGCGGTCCAGCCTCATCTCCAAACCATCATCGTCGTCCGTCTCCTCTTCACCCTGCTGCTTCTGCCACGAGAATGCATCCGAGAGGTTTACGGCCACGAAGCTCTTTGGGAGCTTAACTCTGCAGTTTGTTCATACATTAGCTTTGGGGAGGGGAATCATCATACTGCGTGGTGTCAAACATCCTTGACTTACGTATGGAATTTGGCTCGTAACGTGTCAATCACAGTCTTCCAGTCGCAATGTGGCGTCAAGCTCCGCCTCGGTGCACAGCTGATGCAGTGCTTGCTGTCAAGCTGGACGTCCAGCGGATCATAGACGTGACAGCCAGGGCTGATGGTGATTCGGATGCTGTACTCAAAAGTGGGATATCCACTTCCGCCAGCCGCCTCGGGTGGATTTGTCTCAGACTCATACAGCTCAAAGCAGATCTGCGAGAGATAGTCAAGCTCCGGGATGGTACTCCGTTTGATCTTCGTCTCAATGCCTCCCTCAAGGATACTGTTGAGTAGCGTGTAGATATGAGATTCCTTGGTGAAGTATAGGAAGCACTTTGCATCGTCGGATGCCTGCATATCCTCCAGGTCGGTGACAATTTCTCTGAGCAGAGGGAGGGAGGTGAGGAGACCGATTTCGAGCTTCTCGCTGTCACTGATGCCGTATTCTTGTGGACAGATGAAGTCAAAGAGAACCTTGGCCAACTGGTAGAGTTCTCGTAGCGGTTCAAAGCGAGCATCGGTCTTGGCCTTGGTCTGGCTGTCGCCCTTGCAGAGGTTGAAGTACTCTTCCGCTGGGGCAATTTTGCCAGCACCACGCAAACCAGTCTTCCAGGAAGGCTTCCTGAAAATCTTCTTCATCCTGCGCTCTTCCTTGTCCCCTTCCCTCATGGTGGTCTTGTCTCCGTTCTTGCCATCCTCGGACGCTTTGCCAGATGGCTGCTGGTCCTCGGAGTCCTTAGGGCTAGAACTTGACTTGCCATCCTTGTTCCCGATAATGATTCCGAATTCCTCCTCCAACATGGCCTTGGAAGGAGTGAAGACCCATTCCAGGAATTGGCGATTGTGAAGTGCGTCGAATTTCATTGTATCGTACAACTCGGAGATTTTGGACGGGTCGACCTTCTCACCGTCGCAGAACTCGGTGAAGAGCTTCTCCCATCGCTCCCTGAATAACTCTGCATCCTCCCCACAGCACCAGCGGGCCTGAATGTCCGCTACAGCGCTGGCCTGCGAAAGCGCAGACGCGTGCGACTGGATGGAAGTAGACGAAGTCTCGCCATGTCTGGATTTCTCAGAGCTGTTTGGGTTGGAAATCGCGGTGAGCGAGGTGACGGCGCCACTGTGCAGCTTGCTGTAGTTGTGTTGCATGACTCGACGATGAAAATTCATGAGCAGCACAACCCGTGTCTGGACTTCTGAAGGCTCTGGCATATTCTCTGGCCACGCGAACTGAGACGGCCGCTCGTTCCCTTTCCGGAGGAGACCCTTTAGCTTCTTTTTGACCTTATCCATCTCATCCTTCGCCGCATTAGAATCATCCAAAAGGTCCTTCCGAATCTGAATGAAATCGTCAGGAAGGTCTGTCCGATTCAGAAAGGCAGACGACCAGATTTGTGCGCTTGTGGTGACTCGTCTCTCCGAGCTGCTGAAGACGTGTACTTCGTCAAGGATCTCTCGGTTGAGGATGGCCAGGTCATTCCGCATATTCTCGCCGAGCTCCTGAGATTGATACCGAGCAGAGTGTGTTGGCTCACCTCCCCACTTCACAATGAGCTGTAGCTTGTCGAGCAGCAGCCCGTTCTCGGCAGCTGTAATCTTCGACATAGTCACACCCGACAAAGAATCGTGGCGTTTCGGAGGGAATCGAGGTTTCCCATCTTTCTCAGAGAAGTCGCTTTCTGGCTGCCCGTTTCCCTGATGTTCCACAGCGCTCGTCTGCACAGGTTGCACCTCTGGCAGGGCTTGCTTTTCGTCTAGTATCTCCATCTCGTCCGTCTTTTTCTTCCGGAACATGGGCTTGATCTGGACTTTGGTGCCAGGCCAACTGCTCTTCTTGATCAGTACATTTCGTAACGTCCTCAACTTCTCGCGGTCTTCGCCGCCTGCTTTCATGGCTTTATCCACAGCTTCCAAGACGCTAGCAAGTGCTGGCTCGCCAATAAGCAGTACCTCTTCCTGGTGGCCCTTGAGGAGTTCAATGAATGGTTCGGTGTGGAATGTGAACTTGAATTTCTGCTTCGGTGTGCGATCAGCGTGTCGGATGACCGAAACCATGCCCTTCAATTTCCACGAGTGCTTTGGAGGGGGTGGAGGGGGTGTCTGGATCTCGGACTCAGCCACGCCAAGACCATGCAAGTCCGGCGTTGCTGGCAGCGTGGCTGGTGCGGACGTTGGCAAGCTGTTCCTGGCTGGAGGCTCTGGAGGCTGAGGCAGTAGAGGGCTTGCGGCGCCACTCCCAGACTTGGAGGCGTTGCCGCTTTCCAGCTTGGGAGGCTCCGGGGGAGGCGCGCTCATGACCCGGGTGTCCTGGGGTGTCTTGGAGGCCGGAAGAGCTGCCCTCTGGTTAGGTAACATCCCAATGAGGGGGGTTTCCTTAGAGCCCTTGTCTTTCCCACCAGGAGCAGCCCGCCCCATGGGATCGGAGTCTGTGATGACCGGAGACGGCATCGGTGGTGTCATGCCAGCTCGTCGCATCTTCTCCTTGACAAAGATCTCCTTCAGAATGTTGGCACAGTGATCGTAGTAGTCATCATTGTCCTTGACAAAACTCCAGCCGTTGACATCGATGACATAACTCTTTCCACCAGCCCGGAGGAGATCAAAACCACAGACGCGTTGGCCAAACGCGGTAGCAATCTTGCTTGCCATGGCCTTCTCCTCGTCAGTTAGGCTAGTGACATAGCGGATCTCTTTGCCGTGTGTGTTCCGCCGGACAAGACCATCCACGACTGGTGATTTCCTGGTTTCAGCATGGCAATATTCGGGTCCCACCGTGTACGCCTTGACATCTTCTGCATTGTCGACTTCCATGAATTTCTCGTAGAGAAAACTCTCTCCCGGTTGAGTGATGCACCGGGGAACGTTGAGCTCAGCAACGTATTCGGAGCTCTTGTTCCCAATCTTTCTGAACAATTTTCTCGCGCCGCCTCCTGTGCTACTGTGAAAGTAGATTATGATGTTGTGATCCTCGCCGCTCGTCGGCTTCTCGACAAAAGGTTTCTTGAGCAGAGCACCGTCGACACTGAGAACATCTCCGTTGTCCACAAGCTCCACTTTTCGAGGCAGAATCATTTTGTCTGGGTCTGTAGGGGTGGGATCCAGGGCTATGCCCGTGACGTCCTTGATGTGCTTCGCAATCTCGGCGGTGAGAAGACGAGGGCCTCCGTCACGACTCACCTCTAGGCGCTGCGGCGTTGGGACGCCTACTTTGTCCAAGAGATAGAGGCACAGCCTCCTGTCCCACAGAATCTTCTGCATGGGCACGTCGTTGACGCAGAAGGGCTTCCGCGCCTTGGTGTAGGCGATGGCTTTGTCCAGCGGGAAACCGTCGGAATAAAATGATATCAAGTAATCACTTGAAAGATCCCATGCCGTCCGTTAGCAGGATTACAGAGGAGGAATTGCACTATCCGAGATGGTACAAAGGCAAGAAAGAAAACGGAAGAAAGAAGACCCTCTCAGAGCAGAGCGCTTAACTTACCAGACGGGCCAGTTCTCAATATCTAGGTTTACGTCAGCGGCAGTGGCAGTGGCATGGGACCAGGTGGTAATTACCTTCATCCAGAATGACCTTGTCCCCGAAAATCTTGACATCAAAATCTCGATTTGCCAAGAGTCGGTTCAAGATGTTCCGACTGGGTTTGCTCCTCGCCTTGACGTCCAAGGCACAGACACCAATAAGGCCCAAGGGAGCAGGCTTTGCTACAGAATCGGTTAGAGATCTGACGGTCTGGCTTGAAGACAAGACAGACAAACCTTCCTCCTTGTCTTTGTAATGGAGAGTCCGATCACTGCTCGGACTGTGGCTGCTAGCCGCTGTACTCCCGCTGAGCCTCCGCTTGGCACGACTCCTCTCTCTACCGGGCTGTGGCCTTGACGCGCTTGAGGGATCAGACCGGGGAATTTGCCCATGCTCGTGGTTCCGCTTAAGAATATCGGACAGATGGTGATGGTGAGGTTGTTCCCGAGGAGCAAGATTTCCTCGGTTTGAGCCCTGACTGCCGGTGGTCACCGTGACGTTGGATACGCCCGTGTCGCCCGGTTTGCCTGCAGGCGACGCCATGAGTCCTGATACGGAGCGGGGCGTGCCGGCTGAACCAGTGTCGGAGCCATTCGCTGACGCGGCTGAGCTCGGTACACCCCTCGCAGATGCCAATGAGTAGATCGATGAGATGCTCATACGTTTGTTGTCGTTCTCAGAAAAGGAGGAGCGTGCAGAGGGCATGGCTGGGTCTGGGAGGACTCGCTCATCAAACTGTTCAGGAAAGGCACCTGGGATCAAGCGGGGGGTGTCAAGATCTTCTGTACCATCGCTGGGACGCACAATTCCCCTCAGAGAGCTTGAGCTACCCGTGCCGCCAGACTGGATAGCACGAGATGTACCAGGACCTGCATCATCGGTGTGAGAGTCGGAGGGGCTCGATTCCACAGGCGGAGGAGGGGGCATAGCCAGGCTAGCCCGCTCTGCGTTGACCTCAGAGGAGAAAGATGACGCTCGTGAGGTACCAGGAAAACCGTCTTGAGACTTGAAAGCCTGGGCAGCAGGCATTTCATCGGGTGAGGGGCTGGGTTCTCCAGGAGGAGGAGGAGGAGCCTCTGGCGGGGGTAGGTCGGACATTGTGGGCTAGTGAAATGTCGCGTGATATTGTAGGTCTCTCTCTGCTGGGTCTTGAGGCTGAAGTGGCACCACTGTGCAATCCTCGTCGGTCAATGACCCGCCCCCCCCAAAAAAAACCCCTGATGAAGATCTCAAGGGGGAGCCCTCGATGAGGTTCGAACAATTCTGTTATGGTGGTCGCAATGCCAAGCCGAGGGATGTCTCGGTTTGAATGGTAATGACAGTCTTAGTCTCTGAGCGGTGTGAAGAGAGCTGTGGGTGGAGATTCAGATATCAACATGCTGCAACATGCTGAAGGCCTCCCGTCTTCTGAGATGGTCGTGGTAAAGTGATGGATGATGAAGATCAACTGTGTCGGGAAGAATGAAGAATGAAGAAAACAAAGTCTGGTCTTAAGCCTCAGAGACCTGGCATGACTAAGGTCGATATCAAGCAGGGAAAGTACGTCGTCACTGAGGCAGGGAACGTCCCTGGATGCCCTTAGCCAGGGAGTTGGAAGTAGTAGTTGCAATTTTCCGTCAAGGGCGCAGTGGTGGTTTCTGGGATGTTTGCTTAGTGTTGTTGCAGTATAGAGACGAGGAAGCACGATGTGCAGATTACTCTTCAGCGAATAGGGGAGCTCGAACTACAAGCTACAAAATGCTTGACGTCGTGGCGGCGTCAGAGGGAAGACGTCTACTAAAAGTCCCGTTTGCAAGCCGAATGCGTTGTCACAGTAGTACATAGTACATAGTGTGTACTGGCAAGGTGCAAAACATGTGAAAACTTCAGCGGGGCAGGCCCATAGATAGTGGGGCACAGAAGTCACTAGGTACTTGGGTACATTTTACTTACAACCAGCGATAAGATAAGACCAGCTCCTCGCGGACGCCAGTAATTTTTGCGAGGCTGAAGACAAAAAGTTTCCCGGCCCGTACGAGCAAGCTCGCTCAACGGCATCATTCGAAGTTGGGAAAGAGAGAGGGCTAGTCGCAACCACACCCTCTTGCTTCGTACCTAGCAAGTTTAATATTGGCGATAAGAAGAGCTTCAAGATGCCTCATCAGCATCAAGAGGACCGGCCATTGGTCAAACGGCAAAGAGTTGGTGGCCCGTCAAAATCTGCGAATACAGCCTCGAGAGGCTCAAGGATCTTTGCGCCGTTCAGGGTAAGTTAGACCCTCCTCCTACCCCCTCTCTCTTTCTCCCCCCAATTGATTCGTTGATTTGGGATATGGTCAAGGAGCTGATACGTGTGCGAAAAAACAGACTGTGGGATTGGTGTCGCCTACCGGTGTGCCCTTTACTTCGATTCCGCAGGGCAAGACAACCTTCCAGATCACCACCTCGGTCGGCCGGTCCCTCCAGACTTACGATTTGAAGCGCGGCTTGAATCTTGTCTTCATCACCCGACCACAGGCTCCTGCAGACATCACAGCCACGTATGCCTGGAAAGAGAAGGTATTCGCAGCATGGGGCGATCCTCGTCATGGACAAACCCAGGGCCTATGGGTGTTTCAGAGGGGCAAGAAGACCGCAGAGCTTGAGCTGCCCGGCGACCTCGATCAGCCCATACGACAGATACTTATATTTGGCTCCTGGATAATTGCGTGCTGCCTCACAAGGGTCGAGGTATGGAAGACCACAACACTGGAGCATTATACCACGTTGCACACTGTCGCTTCCAGGCCAGGAGACAACGAAATCACCGGGGGCCTCTGCAATATGCCCACCTATCTGAATAAGATCTTTGTGGGACGGCGTGACGGGTGGGTGGAAATCTGGAATGTCAGCACAGGCAAGCTGATCTACACCATCCTGCCACCCTCGCCAAAGTGCGGCGCTGCGTGTTGTCTGGAACCGACACCGGCTTTGTCCCTACTAGCCATATCCTACGCCAATGGACCTCTGATCATACACGACATCCTGACTGACAAGCGAGTGCTGTCGCTTATGGCCGGCACGGAGGAGGCACCAGTCACAAGCATCTCGTTCAGAACCGATGGGCAAGGTGCTGGTCAAGATGGTCGGAAGGACGGCGTGATGGCAACATCCACGAAGAGGAATGGAGATGTCACCTTCTGGGACCTCAACAAGGGCGGCAGGATGATGGGAGTTCTTCGAAGCGCCCATAATCCTCCCGCTCATGAGGGCCCTGCCATCGGTGGAGGAATCAGCAAGATCGAGTTCCTGCCTGGGCAGCCCGTGATCGTCACCAGTGGCCTGGACAATTCTTTGAAGTCGTGGATATTTGACGAGACGCCATTCTCTCCCATCCCCCGTATACTGCACTCAAGAAGCGGCCATGCAGCGCCTGTGACCTGTCTCGCGTTCCTGCCATCTGATTTCGACGGTGCTGAAGCAGGCAACAAATGGCTCATGAGTGGTGGAAAAGATCGAAGCCTCTGGGGGTGGAGTCTGCGCCGCGATGGACAGAGCACTGAGCTAAGCCAGGGGAATATCCGTAAGAAGGCGAAGAAGATTGGTGCCCTCTCCACATCGGCTCTCAGCCATGGACCGACAACAACCCTGGATGACCTCAAGGCCCCTGAGATTACCTGCATCTCCTCTTCACTAAACCGCGATGGTGGAATCGGTGCGCTACCCGGCAAGCAATCGATCTGGCAGAAGGGCAATGTCCAGAAGAGGACAGATGCAGAACTTAGCGCTATGACTGGCTGGGAGAGCGTCGTTACAGGCCACAAGGACGATCCGTATGCCCGAACATGGTTCTGGGGCCGGAAGAGGGCAGGGCGCTGGGCTTTCCAGACTGGCGACGGGATGAACGTGTCAAGTGTGACCATCAGCCCGTGTGGGACGTTTGCCCTCGTTGGTTCCGAGGGTGGTAGTATCGACATGTTCAACCTGCAGTCCGGCATGCACCGGCAGAGGTTTCCCTCGAGGCTGACACCAGCACAAGCAAGACAACTGAAGCTGCATCAACTGAAACAGGCAGATGCGGTGAATCAGCTTCAGTCCCGATCCACACCCACTTTTGCGCCCGGATCTGGCAAACACACCAAGCCTATTACCGGGTTGGTTGTCGACTCTATGAACAAGCTGGTTGTGTCTTGCTCGCTGGACGGAACTGTCAAGTTCTGGGAATTTTTGACCGGAAACCTGCTAGAGCAAATCGTCTGGGGGCCCACGACGAAGATTCTAGGCTGCCGGTATCATGCCGCCAATGATCTTATCGCGTTCTCATGCGACGACAATACCATCCGAGTGGTAGATATCGAGACCAAGAAGACGATTCGAGAATTCTCCTGCAGCCAAAGCGCAATTAACGACTTTTGCTTCTCCAATGACGGTCGCTGGATCATCGCTGCATCTCAAGACAGCATAATACGCGTGTGGGACCTTCCTACCAGCCACCTGATCGACGCCTTCAGGTTAGAGTCGCCGTGCACAGCTCTAGCATTCTCTGCAACCGGCGAGTATCTAGCAGCTTCTAGCGAGGGCCACCTAGGCGTCAACATATGGACGAACAGGGCCGTGTTCAAGCACGTACCCACAAGACAGATCTCAGAGAAGGAGGTCGGCCAGATCTCTGGACCGACCACTTCAGGAGAGGGTGGTCAGGGCTTGGTGGAGGCGGCCTTCGAGGACGATAGCCAGGATGGCGAGCAAGAAGAAGACGGGGTAGCAGCGCCTGACCTGGACCAGTTGAGCACGGACATGATGACCTTGAGTCTGGTGCCCAAGAGCAGATGGCAAACATTGCTGCATCTTGATCTGATCAAGAAGCGGAACAAACCAACAGAGGCACCCAAGGTGCCAGAGAAGGCACCATTCTTCCTGCCGTCGACAAATGGCAACAGGGCTTCAGGTTCGAATGCTCTGGCGTCGTCCAGGGAGGAGGTCGAGTCTCAGTCGAGGATCACGAAACTAGACTGGAGCCGATCGCAGGAGGCATTCACGGCGAAACTTGGTCGTGGTGCCATGAGCGGAGACTGTAAGTATTTCTTCCCAAATCAGCCACACAAGGCCAGATGTGAACCATCCCCTCTGTGTCAACTTTCCTCGTGAGCTGACCATGTCATTTCTCTCGTCCAGACAACGACTTCATTGAGCATCTCAAGTCTCTGTCGCCATCAAGCGCCGACCTCGAACTGCGCTCTATGTCGACCGGCGACGGCGATGACAGTGACTCCAACGAGCTGCTGCACTTCATCCGGGCCTTGACGGCCAGGTTGGTGGCCAGACGAGACTACGAGCTGACCCAGGCTTGGATGACGGTGTTCCTGCGGCTACATTTCGACCTCATCATGGAGAGCGAGGTGTTGCTCGCCGAGCTGAAGACATGGAAGGCACACCAAGGGAGGGAGAAGGATCGCCTGGATAACCTGGTCGGATACTGTGGCGGTGTGGTGGGTTTCTTGAGAAGCCCAAGAACATAGAGAGTGGGAGACATACATGATACTATGCCCCACTCCCCTTTCCCAATGGTACTCTCTCAGAGACTGCCCCAAGCCCTGTAGCTGAAATAAAGATTTCTCTATCTGGGTATCTCTGGTCTATTCCATCTATGCGCTCCATAATGATCTATAAGTCTATACCAAATATTACCTGATTGTTTCATTTTGCACGACGGGGTATCGCATTTATACTTCCTCCTTGCTCTTCAGACCGGCTACCTTCTCATCAGCCATCTCACCCCTCTCCTCGCCCATCTCCTCCGTCGTCTGCTTCTCGGCATCGCCCGGGCGGTGGTCCACGCTGCCACTGGGTTTATGGCCACCCTGTGTTCCCACGCGCAGGAACGGGACAAACAGACAGCTGAGTGCCGCCAGCGCGACAGACACCTGGAAGGTGCGCGTGAACTTGAGCATGGGCTGTGCCTGGCCTGCTGCGGAGGTCTCGATAGAGGTGTAGACGGCTGTGGCAATGCCGAGGGCGACGGTGCAAGAGAGGCGGATCAGGGTGTTCATTATCCCGCTTGCGAGTCCTTGTTGCTGGGGCGGGAGAGATTGCATTACATACATCTGCAGATAACAAGAGTGAAGATGTCAGTCCAAAGTTTTGTGTATGAGACTTGGGGCTCGGGGGGGGGGGGGGGGCGGGCAGCACTGGGGTCTTTTTTCTTCTTCTTCTTTTTCTTTTTTTTTTCCTTTTCTCTTGGAGGGGAAGAACATACATTAGCCACGTTGAATTGGAAATCCGCCCCGACAACGTTCAGAATTAAAGCAGGAAAGGTAAAGGCCCAGTACGAGCTGTCGGACTTCATGAAAGACAGGAGCAGGTTGGCGGCCAGGTACGACAGTGACCCGGCGGCCATGATCAGGGTGTTGTTGACCTTGTGGAGGACGCTTCCGATGAGAACGTTCCAGGCCAGGCCGGCGATGACCTGCGGCAGGAGGTGGACAGCGATGTTCAGGGCGTCCCACTGTTTGATCTCCTGCATGAAGTAGGCCAGGTAGAAGGAGGTGGACTGGAATGCCATGAAGCCGAGCACTGCGACGACCATGATCTGAGACGTTTTGGTATATTAGATTTTGTATCATTGAAGGTTGGGGCTTCGCTGTTGGGAAGAGAAAGGGGGGGGGGGGGGAGGAAGAGAATGTTACGCCTGACATACGAGATTGAAATTCCTATCTTTCCAGATGAAAGGCGGCATCATGGGATTAGAATATTTGGTCTCCCAGTACATAAAGACACCGATGAGAAGAATGCCTATGATCAGCAGGCAGAGAGTCACTGGGGATTTCCAGCCATCTGTCGGGCCCAGACTGTGCGTGATTGTAGTACTCAATGTTAGACAGCAGACAGGAAAAGTAGCAGGGTACAACAATTTGCGGATACGTACGTGATTCCAGCGGACAGCATGCCCGTCCCAAACAAGGTGAGGACAGCCCCAAGCCAGTCAAAGGTCTTGACAAACATTCCGAGACGCTCCTTGAAGGGCTGTCCGGGAGCGTATGCTTCGACCTTGGGTACGGCCCACAGAGCAAAGAGGAAGAATACTGCCCAGAGCATAGAGATGAAGTAGAACGAGGCCCTCCACTGTTTAGTACCCAGAGGCATTAGTCACTCGCAAGTCTGGTGAACAAAGATATCGACCGAAATGGAAATAGTAACCCGAAGGCACAACGTACACTAAAGATTCTCGTGGCTATCCCACAAGCAATGCTTCCCAACACAAATCCGAGCGGATTCCCGGCCGAAAAGGCCGCAAAGGCCATGTTCTTCCTCTTGCTCGGCCTCCCGTACGCCTGGCCCAGGATGCCACCGGCAGGCGGGACGACCATGGCACAGCTGATGCCCAGCACGCCTAGGACGATGTCCATCCAGAAGGGGTTCTGCGCAAAGCCGAGCAGCAGGACAAAGACGGCGAAGGAGCCCATGCCGGCCAGGAACACCAGCTTGCGGCCCAGCAGGTCGGACAGCTGGCCGACGGCGAGCTGGAAGGCGCCTGCGGTCAGGGTAGACGCGGCCGCGATCCAGACGATCTGCGACTGGGTCATGTGCAGGTCGGCACCGATGGAGGCGGTCACGATGGATGAGGCCCCGACGAGAAAGGTTGTCGTGGACATGGCGATGGTGGCCTGCGCCACGAACGAGACCTCCTGGAACGTGTTCTTGAAGCATGCTGGCCTCCTCCCGATGTCCTGGACCAGGGACTGCACGCGAGAGAGGGTGTGGCTAAGGTGACTCTGGTGGCGATGGAGGTGGTCGTCGTCATTGTTGTCGTTGTCGGGGTGATGATTATGTTGCTGATGGTGGCGAGGCTCAGAAGAAGAGGAGGAGACGGGCATGATGATGTTGTCGTTTTTGTTCTCGTGGCTGTCGTCGTCGGTCTCATCTTTCGGGTTATAGGCGTGCTGGGACGGTGGCGTGATAGTGCCATCCTCGCCTCCCGAGTAGTCACTCATGTTCTTCTCCATCTTCCCCACGTCGGCCATGATGAAGAGGGATGCAAAGAGAGACGGAACAATCTCTACTTCATAGTACTACTACACATGCACATGCACATACACACAGAAGGGAAAAAGAAAAAAGTCAGGGGCAGCCGTGGTGTTTCTAGGTGTCCACTTTTCCGCCATCTTATCTCTAACGGGATGTGGGAGAGTGCAAGAGGCTCTAGGCAGGATGCAGTCGACGATGGATCGTCGGTGGGTCGATCGGTCTGTATTTCGTTGAAGGGATAACGCCGTGGTCCGCCGAGTCGGTCACTTTTGCTTCTCTCTGCCGATTTTCTTTCTCTCTTTTTGTTCTTTTTTAATATTAAAAAAAAAAACATCAAGTATTAGAGACCCCCCTTTCTTAATTGACCGCCAATAATTCCATTCTCCCTACCAAGCTGGTAGCAAACTTGCAAAGCTGATAAAGTTCTTGTTCAACCCCTTGTGCTCTTTTCGCCACCGCCATATTCTCAATTTCTCAATTGTGAGATCTGGCATCCCCCTTCGGTCGTTTTGACCATGTTCCGTTAATCCGTATTTCCGACAATTGACACCGCGAGGAAAACCTAAAACTTTCAATCCTTTGCTGCACCAGATCTCTCACAGGCTGTCACACTCTTTGGCGCGCACGTATTACTAAAATCAAACAGTATTCACTCGAGCATGTCTGCTACTTACTTACTAAGTACTTAGATGTAACCCCGCTTGGTTACAGTCTACTCTTCAGCATGCATGTGGCCTTGTTCAGGTCCAATGACAACAATCCAGCAAGCCTTTACCATGCACACGGCAGAAAATGAGAGAGAAAAAAAGAGTATGTCCAACCTAGATGATATCAAAGTGCGCTTGCTCGCATTAATACCACGGAATTCTTGGTCCTTGTAGAATGAGCTCTCACTCATCATGGTGGCAGAATTTGAGAAGGGGCACAAAACGCTTCAAAGCGGCCTCCAAATGAATCTAATGCATACTGACAACCCTTCATGGATTGTCACAGCAGTTTTTCTATCCATTATTGACACAAATACACACACAGACAGAGAGAGAGAGAGAGAGATGAAGTCTCATGGAACTGACAACGACAAGACAGATGAGATTGTATTACACGCCATCCGTGACTGACTAGGATCTTTTTCTTCTTTTCATTCTATGCGCAGCTGACATGTGACAACTCGAATGTTACGCGCCATGACAACACACCTTATACATACACACATATACATAACGGGCCGATGCGCATAAACGTTCGGCTCGATGAAGCGAGCAAGTGGAGCGCTCTACCTAGTAGGTTTTGGACGGTGGAAACTCGCAAGCCTCCCGGCCACCAACCGAGCCTCCCCCCCCCCTTTTTTTGGCGGCACGCCCACAGCAAGCATATACACGCATGGAGAAGTCAAGTTTCAGATCATCTGGAGTTCAGACGGGATCGCCAGCCGACCGGGTGATCAGCTGAGGGGACTGGTCCTGTAAGCGACAGCCGGATATGCATGCAGTCAAGCTTCTTCTCCCTCTTCGGTCTGATGAACACACACAGTCTACCCGCCCCTTGTGCAATGAGCGGCAAGGCAAGACAAGGCGGTCACAGATTGAAATGAACTGAACTGAACTGGCAATCAAACGTTGGATTTTGACCTGCATACCCGCATCAAAGCCGGGTCTAAAGCCTGCCGACCGGTTTCCTGGCTCAGACCGGTACAGTATGCATGTATGGAGGGGAGGGAGGGCAGACGGTGCAGCCGGAGAGATCTGGGCTGGGGCTGCATGCAGGATGCCTCCGCTCGAAAATCATCTCATGTGAATGATTTTCGTCTGAGCATGGCTCTGTCCAGTGTGTGAGTGTGTGGCGGTGTGAAGTGTTGTGTAACGGGCTCGCGGCCAACATCAGGCGAACTTGCTTGGTCGCCACTGTTCGGACGGTTCCACCCACCTTCACAAAGTGAGAAGAGGAGGCATCATAATCATCATCATCATTAAGCAAGTCAAGGTTTCAAAACCTTTCCATCCGAATTCCGGTCCTTGTCAAACCTGACAGCTGTGACAGGGCGGGGGAAGGGTCCCAAATGGGGACATCGGCCCGCGCTCGCAGTCGATCAGGTCGAACAAAGACGAACATGAAAAGAAAAGAATCCCAAAAAGGAGAAGAAGAGAAGAAGAAAAGAAGAAAAGACACACAAGCGCCGACATTAGATCGGATTCCACCCTCCCTCCAAAATGCGGACTCTTGCGATCCGGTGTCAACAAGCAGCTTCAGGAGCCCCCCTCCCCCCTCCTTCTTCTCTGAGGCAAACAAATAATTATGCAGCTGTAGCTACAGCAGCCAATGGCCCAGTAGGGACCTTTCAATTCGAATTTGGAAATCAACCTGTCGGCCGATATTGTGGGGAAGACCAATCTTGGTGAGGATGGGAATATCTAGGAACAGGAACTTATTCGACACGCTGGAAATGCGGCCCATCTCCCGGGCCCTCTTCACGTCAGTGAGCGCCGAGCTACAAACAAGCAGGCTGCGTCGCAATTAGAAGACCTTGGTACTCTGGGTAACATTCCGGGGCCAGCCTGACCTTGAAGGCTGCACGGATGACCGTCTTTAATCAATGAGAACCAGACTTTGCGACCAGCTGGCACCATACACGGAAGTGGAATCATCGCGAGTCGATCCGCGCGCCACGCTTATCCACCCCAGCCAGGGAAGACAAGCGAGCAAGCAGGGGTTTTTTCCCTTTCTTTTTCTTTTTCCTCTCCTTTTCTTCTTGTCTGGTACTCTCCGAACAGTTCCTTGTCAGGGTATACAGTAGCTGCTAAGGTCTCTTTCAAGGCAGGGCTGATCGGTGACAAGCGAGCCTCGGGGCATGTCAGTCTCGTGGTCAGATACGTGACATATTACCCCTTGTGAAAAGATGCGTCTATAATGGGCCAGGTTTGGCCTGATCCTTGAACAGTGCCACGTGGTGGAAGACCAACCGCATTGACGGAGTAGAGCGAGAGCATCTGGTAAGAAGGTTTGCTGCCAGAGGCAACTGGATCCATTGGAGGATGTCAAGGGTGCGTCTAGGTTTCAGAAAGACGGTCAATCCAAGAGGGCGCGTTGAATTGTCGCATGCCCGTTGAAGGAGGGACGTCGCCCAACTTGCGACGCAAAACTGGTCCGTCAAGGCAGTCTAACCAGCCACGGCCCTCCAAGAGGCTTGGATCCATATGCAGGTCAAATGCGTCGTTCTTTGTACCCCTCCTCCATATACGACGGTGGAGCTAGCTGCCTGACTCTGTCGGAGGTCATTTGTGCTCACCGGGATCGACTGGTAAGGCGATGATCAAGAAGATGAGATGGTCTTTCTGGATCCAATGATATGAGTGAGACCCAGCTGAGCCATGAGGGTTGGAAGTTTCGGCCCGCCCACCGTGGCCAACTGCTCTACGCAGTAGAATGTGCCCATGAGCAGGGCAACGCAGGATGCAGCATAAGCTGTGGGCGCATCACACCGCATGGCGCTTCGACTGCTCGGCATTTCCGCGGTGGCCATACCCTGGATCGGAAGAGCCTGTCCAGCCAGCCTTTCTGCAAGCAGAGAACGTCATGGTCGTCAATGGGGGCTTTGTGGCGTATTGTCTCAGTTGCGTGGCGTTTTAATGTGTGTGATGCCCCGGGGGGGGCCAGAACTTGTGCATTTCTTCTGATAGCAAAAGCCGATTTTGCAGGTTTCAACTCGAACCTTGGCAGCTTGCAAAGGCTGTAATTTTGAGTGAGAGCTGGAGCAGCCCGGAGCTTCTGCTCACGGAATTTGCCCCCAGCGTTTCAGCTCGAGGCCGATGATCAGCCGCCCATCTATGCTTCTGGGGAACCTGAGGGGCCGCGCTGGTTGGTCTGTCCCTGCGGCCGTCAAATCACATTCGCCTGGTTCGGCATTGTACACAGCAACCAAGGTTCATCATCATTATGGGAAGGAAAGCGGGGGTGAGGGAGCCGATGGCGCGCCACCCGCCCTTGCCTGGCGACCAAGGGATGTTGGAAGACATGTCTCTTGTCGCGAACATTTTGGTTATGGGAGAACTGGAATCCAATCAGCATCCCTCGATCTATATGCTCCTGCACAAGCGTCCATCCTTCGTACGAGGGTGATGCCAAACAAGGCTGCACCAGGCACGGCGGCGCGGCAAGTCAACCCAGCAAAGAAGGCAGGGTGTGTGTGGCGAGCAGATGAGGCAATGAGGAAGCAGAACGGCACAGTACCGCTGCCGCTGACCCATACACTTGATCGTCTCCTTCACACCCGACCGGAGACCGAAAAAGGGCCGTCAGCTGGTCCTTGAACACGATATTGGGATGGCTTCTCCGTGAACGTCTCGTGCCCATCCAGAACATGGCAAGCGCCGTAGTCCACAGTGGCTCGGTGAAGGCGCCTTTGGTCCTTGTGATTGAGATAGATAGCTGCTTGATTAGGGCATGGGGGTTTAGGATTGCAGCATCCGAAAGTAAAGCAACAGACAAACATGTAGTGACGCCCCCGTCACCGGTTGACCAGCCAGCCTGTCAGCCTGGGCAACCAGACATGGCAGCCAGGTCGAACGACAGGCACAGCACCCTCTCGAAGTAGATTGACCTGCAAGATTAATGAGCATCAGGCATGGGCTAG